TGGACCAAGGGGGGTGTTTGGCCCAAGGTCCCCAAAAAAAAGTCAGAATTTTTTTTTTGGAAAAAAAAAAAAAAAGAAAAGAGGTTTTTAAATTTTTAAATTTTAAAAAAAAAGCAAGTTTGGTTCCAGTTAAAGGAACACCCCGCCCCTTTCAATTGGCGGTTTTAAGAGAAAAATTAGGGCCCAAATACAAAATTTTCCCATTAAGTTGGGAAATCAGAAAACAAAACAATTTTAAATTACCAGTTTCCGTCCCAATACCTGAAGGTTTTTTTACCCAGGTATTTTTTTCCCTAACTCGCCAGTGGCTAGCTTCAAAGACCATCCAAGATTGTACAGTTGATTTACTTCGATAACTCCAGCAAAACAAAACATAACTGCCTCTTCAATATAGCACTGTTTCTGTAAACTACTTGTACACTATCGAACTGAGGAAGGCCTGAACTTATCTTCTTCCACTACTGGCACTGGCCATTTGTACGTATCCGTTCCTAACGATCCCCATAGTCACATTCTGAATTAGACAGTCCTTGTGAACCAGACGGATAAATGGTCCGCTGATCTTCATGGGAACCTATTGCTGATCCACTGGTTGTGAATAAATGTCTTTCCAGTCCCTCATAACCAGCAGAATATACCATGGATTGAGCTCTGAACTACTACTTGATCGCTTCAACCGTCGAATAGTGTGCTGATAACTTCCTCTTGCATGTAGTGTTCAATCACAGACTATACTTGAATCTTTTTATCGGACATCCACTCAATTCAGTTGCCAAGAATTCACATTCATCTATTAACATCATCAGCTGATCTGAGTTCAATTTCCAGTGGTAATATTCTAAGCATTAACAGGTCAATTGCGTGGACAACTCTCCCGGTACCCCCTGTCCAGCCTGTCACAACAACAGACAGCCATCTGGCTGCCACATTACTGTCACTGCTGTTTCTATTGTACGTCTCCCAATGCTCAAGGCAGGATTGTCTTCTAGCTGTCTTCAAATGAGTCTCTTGATCCAGACAGGACAACATTGTGACCACATCATTAACGGTGTCAAAGACACTCCCATGATAATCGCAATATTCACTTGTACTGTAGACTGTCCATTGTAGTGTGTGCTGCTTTAATGGACTACTATTCTTCTTAGCTCCAGTCCAGCAAGAACACCGACCACATACCGTCAGAAAACAGGAAACGGAAAAATCGTCGAAAATTCCCCCTCCGGCAAGCTCGCCGGCCCGATTTTTTCCCCATACTAATCACGAAAGGGTCGTTTTCGAGCAGCGCTCTCACGAGAGGGGCCTCTTGATTTCGGCATTTTTCACGAGAGGGTGTTTCGCTAACAAACGTTTTTCACAAAAGACCCCTTTTGCCATACTGGAGCGAGAATTCCCATATTAGTAGTTCACACTAGTTTTAAAAGACCGCTAACTACAGTTCGGAGAAAATTTATGGAAAAGTAGGGTAAGGAAGGTACTTTTATAAAGCTTCAAGATCTCGGTCCTAGTTTCCGAAGTTCGACTACTTTTGAACTGACTTCACTTTAGTATGTAGATGTATTTGTAAACACCAAAGCCGAAAACATCCATGCAGTCATCAGCTACTAATGTAGGAGCCAAGAAAACGAATATATTAGAGGATTGGATTAATCTGCCAGCTAAACAACTAGCTGCTTCATTTAAGCAGGGTCGGCTAAATTTTATGATTTGCACGAGTAGAAGGTGTATTAAAACTAGATAACCTATTGGAGATGTGAGACCTTCCTTCTCGCATGTATTCAGTTCGGGGTACTCAGAAAACATCTCATGATACATCTCTGACAAGTTTTCCAGATCGATATCTTCATCAAGACTCCGCTTCTCACCTCCTCCATTCTTGCATGGCGTGCTGGTAACTTCGAACAAAGCGAAATTCAGATCCAGCCCTAGATCTTCAACACGGAATGAAGAGTTCAGAATTGCAGAGTCCTCATGAACCTTACTCCGATTATCCTCGTCGCCAATGACGCTGTCAAACATAGCTAGCAGCTCCTCGTCTTCAGGCCTGCCGCAACACCAAAAATGGTCTTTGTCCTTGAATCCGTAGAACCTACCCATGATATTGGCACCGCAGAACTGGTTGTGATTTAACACAACACAGAGACCTTGCCCTCTGATACGACCCAGGCCCTGGATGAACTCTATGTCCTGCGGGCTGTATCCGGAAAACACCACCAAGTTGACATTACTCACATCGATACCGTTTGAGATCAGCTTAGTGCCCATCAGAATCCTGTGATCACCATATACAAAGCTGTTGATCACCTCCCGCTTTTTGCAGTGTCCATGTCCCCATCAATAACCAAACAGTTCTGAAACTTCAGAGTATCTGCCCTCAGTCTACTCTTGTCGTTGAAAAAAACAACCGCCTTTCCATGATTGTAGTTTTTCAGGTACTTCCCCAACAGTTCCTCAAGTGCCTGGTAACACGATTGGCCTTGCAAAGTATAGTTAGTGTGACCGCTAGCTTCCTGATTATTAACATCTAGCTTGTTTATTCTACCTCGCCAATGCAAAGGTGTACTAATCGGATATGCGTCACTTGGTGATAGATCATTTCGGGTAAAGTAGACCAAAAATTCCATAATGTTTTGCGCCTTTGCACAACCTTCAGCTAGCTCCAACTCCGTATCGTCTTCTAAAATGATCAGAGGCTTATCAAACAGTTCAGAAGACATAAATGTGGAGTTATAGATTGTACCATTACCCATGCAGAAACTGTTTTTGATCGAAAGTAATATCGTGTGTTTCTACCGCCACGCTTATGTTACCGATTTAATCAGGATGAGTCCCGATCAATGTCCTTGCTGCTAAACATAATTAAGTAAGAATTAAACCACACAATGCCAATCTGACGGTCGTATGAAGTCCTCACATGTTTATTTATTTTCATGAAGGTTACACAATAACGCTACATATTAGTATGTATAACTAAACTTACTAAATTACTACCAAGGGGAAAATACTGCGGATATCTATAGGCCCTACTGAGAAAACATTCTCAGCGTCCAAATCACTTGTTCGCCATAATCTCGGAGATGCTAAAACTGAGTCGGATTTTTGAAGAAATTATGTTTTTCATTACATAGGCGCGTACGGGCTGAAAATTGGACCTGAAAGGAGGGGCCCCCTTCTTTTTTTGGAAAAGGCCACAACAATATTTGCTAACACTTTTTTACCATACAAACCAGAGCCGAAGAAATATACAGGGAAACGCTAAAAAAGGGGAACCTTTCAACACATAACGATAAGGCGTTAACCGCCGAGTTTTTATGCTTGTCTTTTCCGGTCTTTTAGTAACTAGTCCCTTTTTTCCTTCCTTTCTTCCTCTTGTAGTAGTCGTCATACCGGAGCGTGAATTCCCGAAAGAGGTTGGTACGGCGTTACCTGTCCCAAAACGGATATCTTAAAAAAACGCGACTCAAATTTCGATTAGTCTGATCTCGCTGAAAGCTTCTGACGTCATACCGGAGCGCGAACTCATATTAGCCGTTTCCTTTTTTAAGACTATTATTGCCGCCGCGTTAGGCGTCGGAGGTTCATCCAAAAGATCTGATGCCGCCCGATCTCATAACTATTGGAGCACTCAGCGTACAGCACAATGACATACATCACGTCCAGTAATCATCGATAAGCGTTTTGACAGATGTAGCAGCTTGAGCGATTTTTCACCGACATAGTGTGCAATTGATTGTTATTTCTTGTCCATAAATATTAATGTTCTTATGTGAATTCACGCAAATGTTTTCAGGAAAGAAGTTCACCCTAAAGTCAGTAGTCTAAGGACCAACATGGTGTCGTACGGCTTCATTTACTTCCTCAGCGTCGCTCCACTTCTGTATAAATTCATGCAGCATATTAAAAGATACTGAATTTGATTCAACATATTCACTAATTTGAAGGTGGAATGTTAATGTACTATTCATCAAGCTTCTCGAAACGTATGTCTTTCAATTATTTGGCAATTCGAGTTTGTCAAAAGCTTTGTCATAATAACACATCTTCTCGGTATACCACTGCAATCTTAACATTAGAAGATACTAATAAAGCTCCGTGTATCGAAAGGAGGTGATTTCACTGAAATTGATATTTTTCTGTACTTAGAATCCAATTTTCCAAAGTATTTTCGGAAAGAAAGTATATTGGCTCGAAAAAATCAGTTTTGAATCTACAAATGTACTGAAATGTTTGAAATTATGTAAAGTGATTGCACATCTGCTTTTGAGGGACGAAATACGAATAAAGCGTAAACAGAAGAGTGCCCATGCTCTTCCTTCTTCAAAATATAACGAGTCTTCAACGGAAGATTGTTTGTCGATAGTGGTACAACAGCCATATCTTCTCTTACATTCTCATTTTCCAAAAATTCATCTATCAAACAGTATCTCTTTGGGCTAGGAAATTTCTTAATTATTTTCTTCAACTATTAAGCTAACCTTCTCAGATATCGGATCTCTTTGGGCAACATAGACTTCAGATCAACTTTCGGATGAACAGCAAAAAACACAGATAGGCTTGCAATATATATGTACTGCAGCTGCAGTATCACACTTCCAGTGGTATACTTCCCAAACGAACGCTTCACGGATTTTGTGCCACATCTTCATTTCTTTAATTACAAAAGAGTGGCAGTTTTCTCAGGGATATATTCTAACCAATCAACGCCAAATACCGAACAAGCAAATCTTTCAAGCACTGGGCTCAATATGATCTGTTTGGTGAATCTTTGCTACGTGCTCTTGCGTTACCGACAAATGCTTACCAGATTTCACATCGCAACGAGAACAAGCAACGTGTAGAACGCATAGGATGAAACATCCCATAGAATTTCCTGTAATCGACGAGAACTTTATCATAAGTTTTTATTTTGGAAGGAATTCAGTAAAACTAGTTCCAATAGTATTGCCTTACCTTTCTCATCTTAAAAGCTACTTCTTATGATAAAAATACGAAGAAACAAGAAACAATTGATTAAAAAAATATTGACCTCTTTCATACGCTTTCAAAAATTTATTATTTCCTAATTTACCATTCATCTTCCTCTTTATGATATTCTTTTTTCATAGAGCCTATCAATCTGTCTTACTTAGAAATACTTTCTGCAGCATGTAATGACCAGTTGTTAGGGATCGAATGTTGAAAGGTGAACCCACTTACGGTCCAGAGCTTCAGATGTCTACTTTACAAGCGCAAAGATACCTTCCCAAAAAAATCATGGAGGGGAGGAGTTCAAATAGGGAGATAAGGAAGAGGCAGGATGATTCACGTCCATCTCATTCATCACTAATGCTTGCATTAGCTGTAGCAATGGTAACGGTTCATTCATTCGAATACACGCATTACTGTTTTTAACAGATAAATTCATCTATATGGATATTGTACAAGTTTCGCCCTACGCTTAACCTTATAATACTATTCAGTAATATAATATATTAGACTAGCTATTAAAATAGAAGGTAGCGCAAACGTCGAATTCAGCACTGTTCAATCCAAGCCCTAGTAACTGCATGGATATTGATGGATAGTTTTTTGGTTGAAGGGGAAGAAGTAGTAAAAAGGGACAATGGACGAATCAACAAAAAAACAGCTCAGCTAAAATTTTGATATTCTCAGCATTAAACAGAAAATGAAAAGATTTTCTTTCGTGTTATATCTGGATGCTTTTTAACCACGATATAAGTAAAGCTAAGTAAAAAGAAAGCTCAATGCAGCTGGAGCGTAAAACTTAAGCTGGGTCGCAAAAGTGTTTTGAGCGAACCGCTGCTTGCACGCCAGTCATGCTCAATATCATAATTTACCAAATGCCTAAAAATTTGAGACCTGAACAAGTTCTGGATATCTTTTACTGAAGCAATCCGGGGCAAGTCGGTGCCAGAAGGCCCTTCTCCGACTAAAAAGGAAGAGGTAGTTGAAAAATGGCAAAGGTCCTGCGATGCAAATTCTCGGAAATTCGATCATGATGCATTGAAGGTGTCATTTCGTCAACCTTTCTGCTGATATTAATGATGTCTGACTTAATACCACTGTTAGTATCCATACGATTAACACTATTGTTCAGATTATTCAATGAGTGCATTACAGATAGAAGGATATTCACGTTATCATTTTCCGCAAGAACTTTTTGTACTTTGTACTGACTCGTTCGAGCTTTGAATGCTTTTTTAAGTTGCCTTAAAATTTGCTTCACCAAGTATCTCTTAATACTCCATAATATCTCTTTTTCTTTTGATCCGTGGAGGCGGTATACCTTGTTCATTGAAAAACACATCATCCAAAATATCGATCTCAGCGTCTAATTCTTTCTGCAAAGTTGCTTAAGAGTTGATTTCCCCTTGCAATTCTGAAGATCAAATTTGTGTTATTAACTTTATATTTGACAAAAGTTGACCAATAGTGAAGCCATCAAAGTAGGAAGATGAGGAAGAAGAGAATTGAAAAGAGGGTAATACAAAACAAGAGCAAAAGCATAAACAATAACAAAATGGACCATCGCATCTTTTTTTCCTCTTTTGGTGTCGGAGGGGCTCCGTGAGAGTATGTTCCTGCGGGGACTTGTTGCATCTACAGTTTGGCTTTCGGAGAAACTCCCTCTCTCTGACACAAGAAGAAAAATGGGCACAATAACCAGTGTTATTGTTTGTGCTGACGTTCTCTTTGCATTGCCCTCCTTTACCCTCTACTGCCTTTTCCCATAGTTATGCGTGTTAATTCACCTTTTCATTAGCTTTTAACTAGAAGCATTACGTTCATAAAAAAGAAGCACTTCACATTTATCAAATTCCACAGGCCTATAGAATGCCTGACGAAGTAAATAACGAAATCGACGTTTTAGATGATGTGTTTATCAAAGACTTCGCTATGTATCATCCTGATGATCCAATTGGTACAAAGTCATGAGTCTATTGGCATATATTAGTTGAATCTAAGTATACTAGTATCATTAATAATGGTATTGTTCAAAGTTTCAACAGATCAATTGCTAGACTACTGTCACAACAACTTCTAGGACAATTTTTCTGACCTCCTAGCTCACGTTTCTGCTGTCCAGCACTCTTACAACAAACGAACAACCAGCTGACTGACACATTACTGTCAATGCTGTCTCTTGTCTGTCCAAAGTTCCAGAGAACTGCCTTCTATTTAATGAGCCTCATGATCCACAGAATTACAGCCTTGTGACCACATCATTTCTTGTTTCAGGAACACTCTCATAATAAACGCAGTATTCATTTGTACTTAAGACTGCACATTATAGTGTGTACTGCTTTAATGGACTACAATTCTCTTGATCTTTAGTCCAGGAAGAACATAGGCCGACACATCGTCATAAAGCAGAAAACGGAAAACGTCCAAAAAAGGCAAGCTCGTCGACCCGAGATTTATCCCATACTAACCACAAAAGTTCGTTTTCGAGGAGCTTTCTCACGTGAGGAGCCTCTTGATTTCGCCATTTTTCACTTTAGACCCAACTGATTTTTACGTTAGACCTTTGCCGCCACACTGGAGCGGGAATTTCATGATAGTACCTGTTATTTGGCTCTACCTCGCCTAATACACGTTACAACTATTGCTCACACAAGCGCTCCAATCGTTACCGTTCGATAGACCAAAATAATAAGTAACATTCACCAGTCCTACTAATAGACATGCAAGCCCGTCAACTATGTAATTGTAACAACAGTCGGCCTGCCAAAAATAGACAGGTCTGTCACCAACACATTCACTCATGACACCACACCATGCTGACACCTCTTTTCCATCAACACCACGTCATCTATGGTGTGGATAGAAGTTGCTCGTCACATACCCGCAGCTATTGATCCCTAATCGTGCTGGCTGATATGAACTTGAATGGTCATAACTCGTGCTTTGTTCGAACAGTTCATAATTGCGGTTCGCACTGGTAGCGTCACTGTCCGTCGCATAAGCTTCGTAATATGTTGTCCTCCTGAGCAAATGAGTGTTATAACCACTAGCGTTTGTACTGATCAAAGACTCAATCTCCGTCTGATTGTAACCAATATTTTCAGCAACAGTTCTGTATTGGTTCACAACTGAAGTATTTGCTGCTACGTGTGTAGCAATGTACAAGGATTCACGCATAATCACGCCTTCATTGACTAAGTCTTCTCCCGATACGTTCTCTATATTGTTTACAAAACCAGAATCGTAATATCTCCTAAATCCTAAGTCAAAACTAGCGTAAAAACCAAAACCAAATAACTGATTGTAAATACGGTATGCGGTCTTATCAATATCAGCATCTGCATTCACGCCACTTAAAGAAGATAAATTTAGATACCCCTGTAGCGTCACATAGTAAGCATAATCAGTTGCATTGTGATATTTAAGACAGTCAAGAAATGCTTGGACTGTGGTAACATTTGCCGGGTCTGCGCTTACTTTGTCAATAAAGTGGAAACCATGACAATTGCAGCAAGTAAAAATGTAGAAAGCAGCATTGTTAAGTTGATTTTCAAGGTTATATTATAAAGCTATATAGTGAGTGTGACTAAGCTATATAAGCTACTTTCAGAGGGAAATATTGCTTGTATTAATAGACCTCACTGGGGAAAACATTTCTGTCCTCTGATCCGCCCTTCCCCCCCCCCCCCTTTGCTACCCCTTATGTAATGGCAAGAAGAAAGTCACCTGTTGAAAAAGATTACCGTGGAGAATGACAGATCGGATCAGGACAATGTAATTCAGAACCAATCTTAGTGAATTGGAAAACCGGTATACATATGTTTGCGGTGAATTAACGAGCATTTATGGAAATAACATACTGCACGACATCTGAATTATGCTTGGAAGGAATAATCTAAACATCAAATAAATTACTCTAAGAGTAAGTCTGAAGCATTTGTCGGCTCATTTGACAGATTTTACGGACCTGATATGAATCTTTATTTTTCAATTATTTCTACAATTGTTTGGAGTTTGGTAGATAAAGAACATGGACTAATGTCAAGACATACCATTTTTCTAGCAATTTAACCACACAAGCCTATTCACCACCATCCGATACTTATCCTAGAAATATAAGTATTTGGTTATGTGATTATATCCACGTTGGTGCCGAGACAATTACGGAAAACCAAATTGGTGGTCCATCGAATTTCACAAAATCCTTCAATTTTGTTGTAATTCAATGGTTTGTGAGAAAAAGTAGAGAAGGGTTTGTCACTCATTGAGCAACACAACCTTGGATCCATACCACAGCTGGTGAGGAGTCTTTAGATTTCATATATTCTAACATAACAGCTTCTTCAACTTGTGAGATTTCATTTACGTGTTTGATTTCTGGTTTGGATGTTTACCCAGGTGAAAATCTTACTACTATTTTATCTTTACCTGGCTTCAAATTGGCAGATAAGTTAATGAGGACTTCGATAGTGAGCTCTATTTTTACAATATTTCAGATGGCATCTTCAATTTCTTCTAATATTTCAATTTCACGTGAGACCCGCTATTGTAGAAACAGCAAAATCAAGCAGTAATGAAGACGGGATTTCTCAGTATTTCGGCATAAAGTAAATTCTGAGCCTCCACAAAAAGATAGCGTCATGAAAGATTTCCGCAAACATTATATAATCCAATAAGGAGTTCACCTAATTTTTATTAGCGTGAAATGTTCAATTAGTCTATATTAGTATTTACCAGTTATCTATCTTTTGAATGAATGCAACTGCTTATAAAGTAACGCTAAATAAGAACTGATAACTAAATAGAAACATAACCTCCTTTTACTTAATATATCAAATCAAGTTTATTATTTCCTAATCCAGTAATTTTTGTTGCCCTTTATCTGATTTTTTTTCATGACCAGACAAGGTGTGCGGGGCACCTAGTTCTATCGACGTTATATAACAAAAATCTAACACGGTTTTATGCCCTCTCCGTTCTGCTTTCTTTATTTTGTTTTCTCGTTTTTTTCTTACCCCTTTTTTTGTAATTAGTCTCTTCCGGTTTCTGTACTTACCAATTTAACAAATCAAGCACTTTTAGAACAATAATGGAAACCGTACAATCACAATCGGAAGAGGAAAGCGTAATACAATTTCAAAATCCGTTGGGCGAAGTCCTTGATATTCCTGATGATGTTTTTATCAACGATGAGGGGGTATCACCTCCTCGAACAAAACGAAGAGGGGACATCCTGGATTTTGGACAGGAAATACGTAAACGCGTTTTGAGTTCCCGCAAAAAGACCTTTGAGGCTGAGGCTGTCACGTTCAAGTTGGATAAAGCTCTCGTACAGACCACAAATAATTATAATACGGCTGATTTGTTGAGGAATATCAATAGTACATTAATTCGTATGGAAATGGAGTTCAGAAACACGAATCGCAAGATTGAGAGCATGGACCGCAAGATTGACGATTTGAAGAGTGACGTTGCGGAAATTAAACCACTAATGTTCTATGTTCGGACGTCAGAAAATGCTCGCAGGAGACAAGCAAGAGTGCCTCCAATTCCTGTTCCCTTTTTATTTGGTGCAGGGCCAGGTGGTGACTTGCCTATAATTAACTCAGTCGAAACTATCGAAACTCTCAATTTGGAACAGCTTAGAAGATTTTTAACCGGATATGGAGTTCAACATAGCTCCCGTTCCAGTTCGAGAATACTGAAACACAAGTTGCGGGAGGCATTAGGCTTTTATGAGGCGCAAGATCTCAGTTTAGAGTTCTCGTAAAACATAAATTCAGTTAATGTTATTTCTTTCTTTACTTAACTTTGTGGTCTTTCCTACCTTGGTCTTGCTGAATAAACTTATAAAATAAAAACTTATTTAGCTCACTTTTCATCTATTGAAATTCGGAATTCGATAGGTATTACAAATTTCTCTAAACAAACGAATTTTGTATCGATGTTACCGTTGGACCATAATATTATATAAAAATGCAAAAAAAAATTTTTGTTACTTTGACATCGACTGTGAAAGCTTGCAAATTGAAATACACAATCTACCAGCTGGAAAATAATTGTTGTAATAAAGAGTAGAAAATTATCGGAGTTACAGCCTCAATCACTTTACGGAATTTTAATTTGACGTAATGTTTCAAGTTTTCCTTATTGTTTACTACTAAGATAGGAATTCTCGGCACATTATGGTACGAGTTTCTCTCATAAACAAGTTTCATTAGCCAAACACTTGTGTGAAAAATGTCAAAATCTTTATAATCAACTGGTGGCCTGCCTGGTCACATCACTCCTGAATTTTGTAACCTTCTGTCCTATGCAACAATTAACACATCTGATTTGAACCAGTACTGTTTGCATCTTTTCCCCTTCTAAGAGCCTTTTACCACAAAAATATTTTCGAGCGAGCATCTATCTTCTTTCAAATGACTCTGAAAATATCTTCAACTCGATCTGAGTTAACTTGGCATCGATGACAAGAAAAAAATACATATCTAGTAGCGCAAATATCAACAAAAATTATACCAGAGATTTTCCCTGGTCCTGGTTGGCTTCATCCCATTGATTTACGTGTTGTAACTAGCAAATCAAACACAGGCAATGGTCGCAAATACGTATAAAATAACCATGAATTCTGGATTAATAATTATTTTTGCAAAAAACCTGGTGATATAAGTGACCCAGTTTTTGGTGGCTTATCTTCAGGCCGCAAAACTTGCCCTTAAATGACTGACTCAAAACACATCGGTCTAATAAAACCAAACCAAATAAAACTGTGTAAACCGTATTTCCACAGATAACGTCGAAACCTTTGAATTATTGCACACTGACCTCATTGACTGATAGCTATATTCACATTGACTGCTCAATCGATGGACAACCGGGCAGTCATGATTATAATTCAACATTTACAATGAAAATCCAGTCAATCGCTAGTGCATTATTTCATCTACTTTTTATCATACATCAATTGCATTATAACACACTAGGCCCAGTCTTTGCAAGCATATTTTGCAGGACACGTTCCTAAATCCTCATTTTTGTGGAGTGTAAATGAGATATACTTTTCCGTATCAAGCAAAAATTCTGCATCACGACTTTTATCTACTTGCTTCTACACTTTAATCAATGTTTACTGTAGACAACTATTTTTGCCCTTTTTCTATCTATGTTTAATTTTCGCGTGCTCAGCGGCATTCTGTGATTTCTACGTTATCCTTTTCTGCTTTGAATGTTCTTTGTTGCCCTCATCTTTTTTGCCTTCTTCTCCTTCTCTAGCTTACAGAAAAACAGGTTCACACTCTCTGAAAATGCAGCCTATCAATTTTCAAACTGAGGCAGCAGAAGCGATTGAACGCCAAACCCGGGAAGAACTCGGCATCCCAGACGAGACGTTTACTAACAGTTTAGGCGTGGCGGCTCCTGTCAATAAAAGGCGTAGTTCGATTATCGAATATAAGCATGAATTACAGAAAAAAATAAATTTGGGCAATGATGACTGCTACAAAGTGGAAAGAGCTTTAGCTGATGTTGAAGTCAACAATGATTACGCGTCTTTTGCCAGTGCGGTAATTGAAATCAATCAGAATATAAGGCTAATGGCACAAGATCTAAACAGGAGGCTTGACAGGATGGACGGCAGACTAGATAGGATGGACGGCAGACTAGATAGGATGGAAGGCAGACTAGATAGGATGGAAGTTGGACTGGAAAAGATTACTCCTTTAATGTTATATGTTCGGGTGTCGGAAAATTTTCGGCGGCGAGACTCAGGATTAACTCAAATTCCGGTTCCTTTCATAGTAGGCGAAGGCCCTCAAAACACAGATCTACCTATTATTGAGTCTGTTAAAGATATTGAAAGCTTGAGTAAGCCACAAGTTAAGCGCTATCTAACCGGTTATGCAGTCGATCATGATGCGAATGCCGTCAGAAAGGAGTTAAAAGCTATATTGAGAGACACATTGGGTTATTCTACTGCTGCTGACCTACGTTTTAGTTTCACTTGAGGAAAATCTACATGGATATGGTTGATAATTTGCTAAAAATGAATATTCCGCGGTGTATATCTGCAAGTCCTGTCATTTGCTAGACATCGGATACTTAATGATCAATCCTAGAACAGATGAAATCTGTCAAACTTCGACATTTCTTCTCATCCACTGGTCTCCAATTGCCACTGTCTAGCAAGATCCAAAACAAGCAAGCCACTAGCTCACTTTCACTGCTGTTACTGCTGTCACTCTCTGATGGTCAGGAAGAATCGTTTATTCAATGATGCGTCTGATTCAAACAGAGACATCCCGCTGGCTTTTGCTCTGTTCACGCAAAACGCACTCTCGTGTGTGTAATAGCATGTGCAATTATACTCTAGTCTGTATATTGTAGTTTGTGATCCACTCAGACCCTAGTCCAGTAATAACTTCAACTTACCATCGGACAGGAACAAATGGAAAACACGTTGAAAACTTTCCCTCTGGCGAGCCTGCCAATCCGGGTTTCTCCCATACTAATGACAAAAGGGTCGCTTTAACGTGTCGAGATGTTACGTAATGTGGTGTTGCTGACGTAAGTGCCGAGTTTGCGAGCTGACCCTTGGTGAGGAAGCTGAGCATGATGTAGAAGTAATACCGATGTAAATAGGACACAAATATTGCAGAAAGAGAAGCCAATACTGAGCAGAAGACAAACAGGTACGAGCATCTGCAGCATGGGACATGTGAGCAACGGAAACACTGCAGCGAAGAAGAGAGGCGACTCCGCTGGCTTGACACCAGGGAATCAGGCGCAGACGCAGACGGAACCTTTTTGCTATAGTGGACCGAGAATTCCCTATTAGTATACATACAGAATATACACATGAATATAGTGTTCATCTGAAGGTTTTGAGAACCACCGGATGCTGAAGTAACATAAAGTACCACCTGTAAATGTTGCCATAATTTTCTAAGTGAATGGTTTCTTCTGGGAGCTGTGAGAAAATAACCTTGAAAAAGACGCAAACACTAATATTTACGCATGTTAGATTATCATTCGAAGCAAAACATTTTGAGACAGCCAAATGATTATCTAAATAGTCGAAGTAGCTTAAAAGATTTTGTGACGCTTCTTCGAGTTCAGGCTTTCCCGAAGTTAGAGCTCCCACCATTGGAGAAATTCCGTTTCCTCTAAAATCCTGATTAAAAAATGACGACCACCTAATAACATTCGCCTCTTCAAGTTCTCCGATGCCTGCTAGAGATTTATGATTATCGGAAACACGTGCAAAATATATCATTATTGCAATTGATTCTGTTAGCTCGTTGCCATCACTGTCTTTAAAAGCTGGGACCTTTCCCAATGGAGATAAGTCCTTGTAGTCTGAATTTTTTTACCGTTTTTCGATTCAATGCTCAACCCTAGATATTTAATATAGGCAGGGAGCCAATTTGATCTGGCAGATCCAGGTTAATAATAAAGTGTACCCGCTACCATGATAACTATACTATAAGTTGTCTTACCGTTAAATGTATGGGAAAGGAATTACTGCATGAGCAGCCTATAAGGGCACAGTGGTCAGGAGAGGATGTGTATGTAATTATCCACATTGGTATGCCGAGAAAAAATGACCTAAATCAAAGTTTATATTTAACCACATATGCTGGGAGATAAATCACCGATCACCGTCAATCTAATATTAGCAATGCCTTTGAAGGTGGCGTTCTGTTATAGTTTTAAAGGACTTAATTACTCAAAAAGATTACCTATACTATACCTAATAAATACAGCTTTGTGGGATATCAGGAGAGCCCGCGGAAAAAATGTGATTCCTCCATGTACTGAAGACACAGAGGCAATGCACTAGAAATCAGCAAACATATAGCCAATACGAAAATCAACTTCGAAATACGCGGTTGACTATATTACTTTTGTATCCTTTCCCGGAAAAAATATAAAAAAGGAATGCGTCTCAAAATGGTGCTGTAACATTCTTTTGTGGACCATGCCTGCAGTGCAAAACTAATATCATAAACTACACTAAACTTCTTAAACTGATCATCTGAAGTTGAACACTTACAATCATTGTTTACTAATTCGGTAAAGTTTCAACAGCCGGGTTCGTCTAGGCCATCTTAAAAATATTTGGAAGCATGAAGTATTCTCCTCAGTTCACAGCATAAGCTAAACTAATCGATTCAAGCTATACAATAAAAAGTCGGCTAGAAGATTTACTATTTTACAACTCATCTTTACTACTGACCTCGGTCACATAAATACTGGACAATTTTTTTCCTTCCAATGAAGTTTGCTCCTTGTGTAGCCCAGATTGGGTCCAATCATCCTTGTCGAATATAAGAGCTATCTCTTCCAATGAGTGGCCCTTTGTCTCTGGAAAAGTGTAAAAAATAACTAGGAAAATAATGACTTGAACACCAAGATAAACGCAATAGTATTTCCATCCGATAGCCTCAATAGCGATAGGGTTCACAAAGATATTGAAGAAAGTGGCACCATTTAGAAAAAACATGGCAGAAAACAAACCTTTCGATCTTGTGGTCTGTGGCCAAAGTTCATTTGGGTAAGAAGTGATCATTGGCGCAAAGGCAATAGCCTGGAAACCGTAGACAAAGAAAACAAATACAATTATAGCTTGTCCAATTTCTTTATGTAGCTCCTTGTAAACAGCTGTGATAACTGTCAAACCAATATAAGAACAAAAAATTCCAATAATGGAAATTAGAAATAATGTTCTTCTGCCAACAATATCAACTAAAAATGCACCTGTGATTGCAACAAGCAAGTTAAACAGTTGAATGCAAGCATTCAAAAGAGTTTGTTTCCAAACTTCTAGAATACCTACATCTTTGAAAACAGTACTCAAATACCAGGTAACAATACCTTGTCCGTTCCACGCAAATGCAACTCCAAGAAAACAGCTAATAAATAATCGTTTTCTATTACCTGGCGTCGCAACTAAAGATTTCCACGATGAAATATTGTTTTTCTTTTGAATTTCCATGGCGGCAAGAATTTCCTCCATTTCAAGTTGGACTAATGGAATATATACTTCTTCATAATTCGCATGAAATTTCAGAAGAACAGCTTCAGCTTCTTCAAATCTTCCGACAGAAGCAAGCCAACGAGGACTTTCGGGTGCGTAAATTAGAGCTGGAAGTAAGATTGTTGGAATCGCTGCCTGAAGACCCACAGGTATTCTCCAAGCAGCATCCCCACTGCAAACACGAGTTCCAAATATAACCCAAGCACATAACACGGAACCAAAATAGTATATGGCGTGATAGCACGCAGAAAATATCCCCCTAGTTGTTGGATATGAAATTTCACCAATCCAAATAGAGGCTGAATAGTTACATGAGAAAGACAATCCCATGAATATTCTTGAAACAATATAAGAAGCTGGATTTTTAGCCGAGGCACCAACAATAGAGCCAATCCAAATAAAAAGAACTGTTGCATATATAACAGCTTTTCTACCAAACCTATCGCAAAAATAGGGAATGAAAAATATGGAGCCACATGTTCCCACAAAAGGAGAAGCGCTGATAAATCCTAGCCAAGTTCCTGTTGGATGGTTCATAAATACTTTCCAAGACGGCAAGGCCTGAATTGAATTGGTTATTGCCGAATCATAACCAATTGATGAAGCAAAAAGAACAAATTGTGCAATCAAAATATATAGTATGAGCAAATTTTTTCTTTGATACCATTTTCTGTGATCATCTGGAAGAGTACTGGCAATTAATTCACCAGTAGCTTTGACCGGTGTTTCTCCTTTGAAGTCAATTGTCATTCCAAATTGCTATAGTTATATTTATATTTCATAAAATTTATAGGAGGATATTTTTAGGAGCTTTATTGTGATTTCTATTTGCTTCTATTTAAATCAAATCGAGAATCAATCGGAAATTTATCTTATCGTTCAATGTAAAGAAAAACAAAAAATAGACACATGATAAATGTCTCCTCAAATTTAAATGATAAGTATTCAGCTGATAAGCAAAGTGGGTGAAATTAATTAGGTTAAGGGCTCGTTTGCAGCCCAATTAACACGAAGTGGACCAAGGCCTGTTGGGATATGTTTTCGGAGGTGATAAGGAAAATAAAAACAGCGATAAGTCTTGATCGGGGCTTCCTCGCTGTCGGAATATCCGATGCCTAATTTAGATATCTGAGAAAAACGTCGGATGTGCCTAGCCGATGATTATTGTGCAAGAACATCTGTTTGAAACAGTGCAAGGCATAGGGCCTAGGACTGTTACCAGAAAAGATATCGGAAGAGCAGAAAACAAAGGTGTTGGTATGGTATTGCTACCAGCCAGTAAAGGCTGTGCTCTCCGGCCAAAAGAATTATCACGTATAAATACCTACTATCAACTGTCGTTTCTTCTATAATCTCAATATACAGAGAGATCAAAATCAAAAGCTCCAAACTACCAAAACCAACGACACTCAACATGACGCAAATTGTTTCCGGGGTCAAAGTTGCCATTGATAGAGGGGGTACCTTTACTGATGTTATCGCAGTAATCCCAGGTCAAGAAGACTATGTTTTCAAGCTTCTCTCTGTTGATCCATTAAACTATAAGGACGCCAATGTGGAGGCAATCAGAAGAACCTTAGAGCATATCACCGGCTACCATATAGAAAAGGGCAAGTTATTAGACACATCTTCAATTTCATCCATCAGGTTAGGTACTACTGTTGCAACTAATGCTTTGCTTGAACGAAAGGGGGCCAGATGTGCACTTTTGACAACAGCAGGTTTCAAGGATATTCTCAAAATTGGCGACCAAGCACGGCCAGATTTGTTTGCAATGCATATCCACAAGCCCGAGGTTCTATACGAAGAAGTTGTTGAAATCCAGGAAAGGGTGACGGCACCCGATTACGATGAAGATCCGGATAACGTAAAATTTAAGCACACTGTCGGACAAGACAGAAAAAAATTTAAGACAGGAAGAACAGGGCAGATATATGAGATTTTGAAGCCATTAGACCTTGAGGATGCTAGAACAAAGCTGCTTGGTTTAAAAGAAAAAGGAATTGAATCCGTTGGGATTTGTTTGGTTCATGGATATAACTTCACAGAACATGAGAGTATTTTGAAAGAACTTGTGAAAGAACTGAACTTCAAATTTGTCACTGCATCTTATGAGCTTATGCCTATGATCAGAGCTATTCCAAGGGCACAATCTGTTGTTGTAGAAGCATACTTAACTCCAATTATCAAAGATTATATTGCTTCTTTTTTGTCTGGTTTTGCAAAAGACTTTGAAAAGACCACAAAAATTGAGTTCATGCAGTCTGATGGAGGTCTGGTTCCATACCACGAATTTTCTGGTTTGCGTGCTTTGCTTTCAGGTCCTGCTGGAGGTGTTGTGGGGGAAGCCAGGACTTGTTATGATGCGAACGAAGGAACTCCCATTGTTGGTTTTGATATGGGGGGTACTTCCACAGACGTTTCGAGGTATGATGGTAATTACGAATATGTTTTTCATTCGATTACAGCTGGAGTCCATGTTGCGGCTCCCCAGCTTGATATCAATACCGTTGCCGCTGGTGGTGGATCCATTTTGGAATACAAAAATGGTGTTTTCAAAGTTGGCCCTGAGTCTGCTTCCTCCCACCCAGGTCCTGCCTGTTATCGTAAAGGTGGGCCATTAACTATTACTGATGCGAATCTTTATATCGGAAGAATTATTCCACAATTTTTCCCACACATTTTTGGACCTCATGAAAATGAACCTTTAGACTACAGTATAGTGGATAAGATGTTCAAACAGCTGACTGATATTGTGAATGCTGAAAATTCATGTATCCAAAAAACACCTTATGAGGTTGCTTTAGGCTTTTTGGAGGTTGCAAATTATAACATGGCAAAGCCAATCAGAGCTTTAACCGAATCTAGAGGACACGATGTTTCAAGACACAATCTTGCCTCTTTTGGTGGTGCAGGAGGTCAAAATTGTGTTGATGTTGCGCAAATTTTGAATATGAAGCGGGTAATTGTGCACAAGTTCTCATCCGTGCTATCCGCCTATGGAATTGGACTTGCTGATATTGTTAAAGAAAAGCTTGAACCGTGTGACAAAGTTTACTCAAAAAAAGTTTCTGCATCTCTTTTAGGCCGTTGCGAGCAGATTGAAAATGAGCTTATAACAAAATTGCTGGAACAAGGCGTCGACAAATCAACTATAAGAAGTGAAATTTATTTTAATCTTGGATACAAGGGATCAGAGACTAAATTAATGATTCTCAAATCAGATTTAGATTTTGCTGAAGCCTTTACTGAAAGACACAAAAGAGAGTTTTCTTTTGTTGATGCCAGCAAATCAATTTTAGTTTATGATATTCGTGTGAGAGTTTTAGGCACTACTTTAAGTATTCCACAAAGGTCACCATTTGATAAAACAGGCATTGAATTTGGGCCTGTCAGAAATGGGGTAGAGATTAAGACGAGTACGGTTTGGTTTTCTATGAATGGCAAAGGTCTTTTTTACAGTACTAAAGTATACCGAATTCCAGAATTGAAGGTTGGAGAAGTTATTCATGGTCCAGCAATCATGCTAGACGACACACAAACAATTTGTGTTACTCCTCAAGCAAAGGCCACAATTTTGCCGAACCACATTGTCATCGACATTGAATCTGGGAAAAAGATAAAAGATGATGGTTATCAGGTGGAGTTTGTTGATCCTATTCTCCTCGCAGTTTTTCAAAATAGGTTTATGACTATTGCAGAAGATATGGGAACCACTTTGCAAAAAATATCTGTTTCTGCAAATATCAAAGAAAGGATGGACTTTTCTTGTGCTCTTTTTGATGAAGATGGTAACCTCACTGCCAACGCACCTCACGTTCCAGTTCACTTAGGTTCTATGTCTCATTGCATTCGGTATGCAAAGCATTACTGGGGTGATAATATCAAACCTGGAGACGTTCTTGCATCTAACCATCCTAAAGCAGGAGGGACACATCTTCCTGACATCACTCTTATTTCCCCAGTTTTCATAGGTGGTATCATTCGCTTCTTCACTGCGTCACGTGCCCACCATGCAGAGATTGGTGGTTCTGCGCCTGGATCATGTGCAGCGGACGCAACAGAGCTTTACCAAGAAGGGGCCCAGTTCTTACATTGGAAGATAGTAGAGGACTCTAATTTTGATTATGATGGTGTTCAAAAATATTTTGTTGAGGAGCCAGCCAGGTACCCTGGATGTTCGGGCTCCAGGAACTTGAATGACAATCTTTCAGATCTCAAAGCTCAAATAGCTGCAAATTTAAGAGGTGTTCACTTACTAGAGGAGCTTTTTGAAGAGTACGGTACCAAAACAGTTTTATTTTATATGACAAATGTGAGAACTACCGCTGCTTTGGCTGTACGAAACTTTTTCAAAAAGACCGCAAAATTGAAAAAGGGCCAGCTGCCACTGAAAGCTACCGAAGTGTTGGATGATGGTTCGATAATCAATGTCTCCATCAGTATTGATGAGGAAACTGGAGATGCTTTCTACGATTTCACTGGAACCTCGGAAGAGGCATTCAACCCATGCAATGCCCCGCTTGCGATCACTGATGCTTGTATTATTTATTCCTTAAGACTGATGCTTGAGCAGGAAATACCACTTAATGAGGGCTGTCTAGAACCTGTTACCAAATACATCCCATCTGGTACGTTACTGAATCCTTCTGAATATGCAGCTGTAGCAGCTGCAAACTCGACTACTTCTCAAAGACTCAATGATACTCTTTTAAAGGCCTTCGGCTTATGTGCAGCTTCCAATGGCTCGAATAACACAATTGGTTTTGGAAAGGGGGGTAAGGATCCACTTACTGGTGAAGTGAAACCTGGATTTGCAATGGTAGAAACGATTGGTGGAGGTTCGGGTGCTTGTGAAGGATACAACGGATGGTCCGGTGTTCATTGCCATATGACAAACACTAAAATCACCGATCCGGAAGTTTTTGAGAAGAGGTATCCTGTTATCCTACATGAATTTTCTATTAGACATAATTCGGCGGGAAAGGGTCGTTGGAATGGAGGGGATGGTTTAATCAGAACAATTGAATTCACCACCGATTTATCGTGCACTTTGCGTACACAAAGACGCAATAATGCGCCATATGGCTTGTACGGAGGTAAACCTGCTGCCATGGGACTCAATAAACTGGGAAGATTGCAAGATGGGAATATGAGATGGATCAAACTTCCAAGCTTTGCTCAGTTTCAAGTCCATGCTGGTGAGTTTGTGAGTATCCACACCCCGGGAGGAGGAGGGTATGGGAAGCCAGATGATGAAAAGGAAAATGAAAGCTGCAAACTCTACGCTGAGAATGGATTCTTCTCTACTATGGGAGCAACTGATCCTAGCCTCAAAAGTTTTCAACCTATTGCTGGCGGAACTTTAGCCATCATTACCGATCTTGGCAACACATCCCAGTAAATTGTTTTATCAAACCTTATAGCGTTTTTTTCACTTAGAAAACTAAATTTTTATTCAATTACCATATTTTGCTTTCACATATAAAGTTTTGGCAACCTTATTAGTAACTTGAATTTGCAGCCTCGTAAACTACGTACTCCACCTACGTGAGGTGCTTATCCACTTCAAATGTTCCCTCATTTTTGGTTTCTGAGATACAAATGTAAAAACAACTTTGTTGGTCCATGAGCAACTTTTGGTTTCACCCTAAAACACAGCTGATCTCCATCCATGTAATTTCCAGGACTACATTTCACAATCCGACAGATGACTATCGAAACTACTTCACCTAATTTTTCTGTTGAAGAAATTTTAGTGCCAAATACAATTAACATATCGCTTGCTAAATAGAGTAGAAATAAAATGTAAAATTTTTATAAAACACTACTCAAGAAGAGACTCTCGGTAGTAAAATCGCCGTAGTTAGTGCTAGTGGACAACGAAAAGGGAGTATGATTTTTTGTAACGATACCTAAAGTACACCAAAAAACTGTCCGCTGATGTCAGCGAGTCTATCGCATTTGTGATAAGTTCGAGATAAACGCTGCTGAATTTCCGATAAGAAAGTCCTTAGATTTTTTGAAATCGTGAGTTTCTTTTCCCCTCCGTTAATGAACCATGTCTTCTAAGCTAGTTTCTGCCAATAATTAGACACATATAGTAAAAAGATAGATTTTTCTCAACGAGCTGAAGCAGCATCATGAGTGAAACGAATTTAGGTGGCAGGGTGTTCATTCAAACTGTTTTTGATAATGGAGGTAGAAGATCAATAAACAAAGCTAAAATTCATTCTAAACTGTCTCAAGAACCTAAAGAAAGTCCTAAAACTACGAATAAACTGGTATTACCTAACATTTCTCTAATTCAAAGAGGAAATATGCAGTCCAGCAAAAATTCGAATGTTGGAGATTTGTCAGATCGACAAGAGGAAAGCTTAAATGAGTTTCACGGAAATTGGGAGCTCCAAACCTCTTGTAGAAAGAAAAGGCACCATAATCACCACAAAGGTCAGGAGAGATTGCGTGTGCTTGCTGCTTGTGACAGATGTAAAAAAAGAAAGAAAAAGTGTGATGGATTAAATCCTTGCAGCAATTGTCTAGAATCGTCAAACGAGTGTTCGTACGTGCACCTTACTTCAAAGGGAGTGCTTCTTCAATATGAGAAGAACCTCAACAGAAACGGTAGAAATAATTCAAAATCAAATAAAGCAACGGAAGAAAACCAGTCAGAACGTCTTAGAAAAGGGAACCAAGTGCAGAACTCTAACATAACTCTTAATCCCCATCAATGTCTAATACCTGCTAAAGCACATCCTGAAAGGCACGATCTCAACTCAAAACCTCAATTCACGACTATAGAAAAAAAGATGGAAAGGCTTCAGAAAGAGTTAACTAATCTCAAAGAAGATTTGAAAGTATGTAAGGATATTTCTTTGACACCCAATGTTACCACAGATACCAGACACAAGCCTAGTGATAGTTCTCCAGGCTCTTCTCAGCAACTAAACGAATTTTATGGATCAGTATGGCTCCTACTCAAAGATACCAATGGGGAGTCTGTTGCAGGTCCCACAGCCATTATAACTAAAGTGAATTTCATCAAAAATTGGATAGCATCTAAAATATACAGAGAAGCTCAATCTTCTCTTCGCCCTCCTCCTGATCATGATGTCTACATCAAAAGTATTGATCAAGATGGCTTGAAGATTAGTATTCCTCCCACTTCAGACATCCCACTTGAGAAAACATATGTTGAATACTATTATTCACTAATGTCTCAGAGATATTACTTTTTTGAAAAGAGTCATATAGAAGATTTAATTGCTGAATATGTTGAGACCGGTGGTAAATTTGATCCTAATTCCAAACTAAATGGATTCCAAGATGATGCGCACAAAAAAACAGCTATGTTTCTTGTTCTGGCAGTTGGTTGTAGACTACTCAAGCTTTCCAAAGGCATTAGTGTCCTCACACCTAAGATATATTTTGACAAAGCCATTGATTCACTGTCAAAGATTGGTCCTGAGCTAAATCTAGTAGATCAAATTAGGCTGATTATGTTAATTGCTCTCTATTCACTCCATTCGTATAACCATAATATCCAATTTATTATGAATATCTGGGAACTTTCAGGTCTTGCAATAAGAAAAATGACTCAAGTAGGGTTGCACAGGTACACTATCCCAACTCTGAAAACTTCAAAAGAGTATGAAATGAAGAAGAGGTTATTTTGGTCGATTTACTCGTTTGAGAAAATTCTGTGTCTAACTTTAGGTAGACCTGCTTCAATTTCAGACGACGAGATTGATGTTCCATACCCTTTAAATATAGACTCTTTGGAGACTTTAACGAATGAAGAATTGCTTCACCTTCAAATTGAGCAACAACGTATACAATATGAAACACAAAATCATCGTGTTCTTCATCCGGCGAAAGTTTCGCTGACATATTACTTGATTCAACTTTGCCAAGTAAGAGAAATAGAGGCAAGAATTAGCCGTTTAGAAAGAATGATGTCCATTCCAATCAATTTGAAAAATGTTCGTACACAAGTTAGTATCAGCGGTAAATATATCACTCAGTTTAATAAGATTCAACAAGATTTGGAAATTTGGAGAAAGCAACTTCCGTCTCCTCAAGAATTCAATGAAGGAATGCAAAACCAGATTCACTTTCAATATTTGGTAATGTGTTATCACAGGGCCAAAGTATTTTTATACTTGGCTCGTATTATGCAAAACCAAACAAAAGATGAGGAAATGAGTTCTGTTTTTTGTGAAACTTGTGAAGCAGCTGGTGGTGTGTGTAGATCATACATGATCATTTCTAAAGGGCAGGTGTTTGCATATAGTATGTTCACACTGCATACTCTTTTTTTGGTTGAATTCTACTCACTTATTGCATTTTAAATCTAGAGAGTTCAGAGGAACAAGGTTCAAATTCCGCTAAAGATTTTTCGCATGGGTCAAGTATATTGAAATTTCATGAATATTTGCGTCAGTGCTCAGTATTACTAACATTGTTCTCTGAAAGAACAAAAAAGGCCGCCAGCTTTAAAATTCTATTTGACAAGCTTTTGGAAGATGGATCTTTCAGTATAGATAATCATAAAGCACGCATGAAATACGGAAACTCAAAACTAAGCACAGAAATTGATAAGAATATTCCTTCAAATATGAATCAACAGACTTCTACTCTTTTCCGCGACACTATCACTGAAAATGGAATGTTCCACTCTAGATTTTCTACTCAAAAGCCGGTAAACGCATCATGGATTGAAAAGAATACACATGATACAGGTGAAGAGAATGTGCATAATGAATTCTTGCAACATAGTCGGATGAGTGACCATTATGGTTTACGTGAGTTCATGAATATTTTCTCAGATACAGGACAAACTACTTTCCCATCAGAAATGCAACCTGATCTAAACATGAGTGATGAAAGTGAATTTTGGGAAAGAAAATGATAATGCCATCCTTCACATGAATTTTGATGAGCATTCAAAACATCATAAACCTCGGCATTGCTGTTTTTCCCCTCTATTTCTTCGGGTATAGATGCATGAGACAATAGACGTCATATCAAAGATGATACCGAAGCTTAATTATATGGTTCGTTGTCCAAGAGGACAGACATTGAAAGTATAAAAAGTTATTAAAAACAAATATTTACGTTCATTGTAATACAAGTGGGTTAGAACTCGAGAATAATTTGTATATAATGACTTGAAGTATTGTTCAGTGACGGTATTTGAATGAGCTGAAGTCGATATTCGCATGGAAGTGAAACCTGGCCTTAGATTGAAAGGTATCTTAGTATGGCATTGGCTTCAGATAAGAGCAGGAAAGTATTAAAAGCTTGGCCTTCCTCGACTAAATCTTCACCTAAATTTTCTCTACACTAATCGCAAAAGAGTGATTTGCTGACCAAGCTTTTCACAAGAGGCTCCTCTTACTGGAGGACCCTTAGTGGCAAGCAAAAGGACGCTAAATAATACTTTATCAGACCAGAGAGCCGCTTGAAGATGGAGAGATAGCAAAAAAGAGGAGTTAGGGTTATGCAGCTAGCCATAGTTTATTCTTCCTGTAGTTTAACAGTAGCAACGCGTAAATAAAATTTGAAAAAATGGCTGTCAACTCAAATAGAGAAGAACAGGATATAGCCGTTCCAATCTGATAAACTTTTCAGTCTGCACTGGTGTGAACGTCACTCCATTCAAATCTGAATTTGAACAGTTGAGCTACAAAGCAAAGAGCTAACAAAATTGGCACCTCCAACAAAGGTCCAAATGTTGCCGCAATAGACTGATCACTGCCTGATCCATATATAGATATGGCAATGGCTATACTCAACTCAAAATTGTTTGACGCTGCTGTAAAAGTTTGAGTTATTATTTCAGAATAATTTGCAGAACAACCTCTGGTCACTTCCCTAGATCCGTTGGCGACCTGTTCCTCACATCCGCAAAGTAAAGCTTCTTTTTCGCCATTCCCAGTTTCAAAAACCTCTAAATTAGGTGTAGTTCGTCCCAACAACCATCTAAGTAAGAAAAACGTACCAAACCAGGTTATTGTAAAATAAAGAATCAAAGGAACAAAACAACGAAGCCCCGTACAAATATCTTCAATGAAAGAATATCCTCTTTCAATGAAAATCACAATAATTGTATATATCAATCCAATGAAAGCCCATGGAGATATAACAGGTAAGATTTTTTTCTCAAAGTTCTTTTTACCAAAGGCTAGGAGAGCCAGCATCCGAATAATTAGTCCAAAACCCAATGGTACGCCCAAAAAGAAAGCAACACTTTTTGCTACAATTGAATAAGAGACAGTGTTAGATGCATTCTTGTGATAATCACCGGTTATGACATAACAGAACAATATTTGATAGGGTGCATACAATACGATCTGTAAAATGCTGTTCAGTAGCACCAAAATGGCGCACAAATTTGCATCACCGTCAGCAATGTGATTCCAAACTAGCACCATTGCAATACATCTAGCCAGCCCAATCATAATTATTCCGTCACGATACTGAGGCTTGTCAAATAATGTCAGCCAGGCTAAGCCAAACATCAAAAATGGGCAAACGATCCAATTCAAAATGACCGAGAATATTATATGTTTCATGTATTTCTTTTGTTTGATCAACCTGTGAAATATCTCCCATTCCACTTTACATAACGGGGGAATCATCATGATAATAAGGCCTATTGCTAAAGGTACGGAAACACCTACAACCTGTGCCCCATCAAATGCTCTTCTGGAACTTGGTGCAAAAACTGAGAGCAAAACACCTAGCACAATGGCCAACATTATTGCAACGGGAAGAAGTTTATCAGTAACCGATAAACTGGACCATGCTCGACGGAATACACTCTCTTTGAGGGACATGATTCTGGTTCGTGACCTTGACGCCTTACCTTTGAGATATTAAATACACTTTTCACGTGGGTAAAATAGCTTCTATCGTAGTAGCTAGCATCCACGGATTACCGTAAAGACTAATGACGTCAAGCCTGTTTTATCAATTTGAGAAAAGTGGATATCATTGACCGGAGAGCGATCAGGGGTGACTAGAATAAGCAGATAGTCACGTGCCCCAGCTTTCCATGTGCTTGTGACTTATGAGTTTTTAGTGTTGTCGATTAAGTATCTCTTTGTTGGGTAAAAAAGATATATAATCCCCCACCTTGATAACACTTGCTGTTATCGGTTGGAAATAATCGGTTTTTCAACAAAATAAATGTAATTTGCCCGTCGGAAAAAACAGCGATTTTTATAGAAGAAGAGGCATTTTCATTGTATCCGGTCACACTATATACACCTTTAATATTATATTTGTCACAAATAATCTAACAACTATAGGAGAACTTTTAATTGTGCCTTTTTCACTACATCATAGTCGTAAATGGCTTGAATGAGCAGCCAACTAGTACTTTCGTAATAGTACTGCTCACCGCATCACACGTCAAGAGTTACTAGTATGATATTGTTTAATGAGACTGGGAATTCAATATAATGTTTTCAAAATTCTGAAAGGCCTTTCCAGGGTAGTTTTCCCTTCCGTGAAGGCTATTCGGACTCTTGAACTTTTGTAACAGCCAGAAAGAAAAGCGCATGGATCGATGGGTGTAGTTATACATAGTTTTCTAGACTCACTCACCACAGATAAGCTTGAAAAATTACATCGGAGGTAAACTAATCTCCAAAAGAACTCAGCTACTTTTTTTTCAGTGATATTTATATACACAGAGAATCTAAATCCGGTTGAAATCGGTTTCAAGAACTTCATATTTTCCAGCACCTCAGAATTCGTGACATGCCTCCTTTGCTTTTTTGAGTCACAATGACACTAAAATTTTCCAAACATGTTCTACATTTTTTAGTTGATACCAAGGGTTGCGTTCCTTATCAAGTATCGAGTTTTTTCAATGTAGCTTCTCGAGAGTTTTTGGTGTCATGCATGACGTCTTCCTTATACCATTTGCTGATTTTTTTAGTTAATGGTCCCATAGCTCCAGTTCCGATTATCAAACCATCAACCTGCTTTACGGGAACTTGGGATGCAAAAGTACCGGTACAGAATGCTTCATCAGCCGTGTAAACATCTGTCATAGTGAAATTCATTTCTTTGACCACAATGCCGTTTTCTCTACTAATATCAAGCACTTTTTGTCTTGTAATGCCATGCATCTGATTATCCTTGGTAGGTGCCCATAATTCACCTTTCCGAATAATAAAGAAGTTGGTGGCATTGCAGGTTTTCACAAAACCATGATGATCTAGCATCAATGCACCGTCTGCTCCAGCACTTTCTGCTGATAAACATGCCATTATATCTGTAGCTTTAGAAAGGTGATTCCACATCTCATCCTTAGTGTCGGGAGAGCCTCTTCTAACCCAAGATGTAATCAATTTGATACCTTTCTCATAAGATTCCGTAGTGACCTTCTTATATTCCGGTATGATGGTAATGAGAGACTTGCCGATGTTGACCTTTCTGGATTGATAAGGAGTGCTCTTCAAACCTCTGGTACAAATTAAACGTACGTGAACGTCTTCACTTTCATTCATTCCCGGATTGGCGTCAATGGTTTCATAAATAAGTTTTAACAACTCTTTTTTGGTTATCCCTAAATCAATCCATAATGCGTATGCAGTTTGAAACAGCCTTTCAAAATGCTCATATGCATATTGCACATTACCCCTTATGACTCTTAATCCTTCCCAGATCCCATCACCCACAAGAAAAGAAGAGTCAAACACAGAAACTTTTGCTTCGTTTCGTGCGAAGAGTTCAAACTTGAGATTTACACCGTCACGAATGCCAATTTTGATGGTTTCGTTTCTAGGATCGTCAACAAAAGAATGATCTCCATTAAGCAATTCTTTAGTCATAGTGCAATACAATTAGCTGGAGTTTTTACCTTCAACCTGGCTAAGCTACATATGAAACTAGTTAATCGTGTCTAATGAAGGGAGAAAGGTCGGTCCAAATTCCGGAAACAAGTGACATCTTATAACTCGACTCATCTAGAGGTTGATAAAAATCTGTCACTTTCAGACAATAGAAACCCAAACTTTCTTTGATCCGGTACTCGGCGCGCAGCGCCGAGTAGCGAGAAGCGATAAGCTGGCCATGCAGGACCTTGAACAGTTGGTAACAGAAGTGTGAAATCTGTTTACAATACAAAAAAACATTCGTTATTTCACAATAACTAGATAGGTTTCTAGAGCCTCCTAAGGGTTTTGAAAATGTAGATAAGAAGAGAACGTTGCATATTTAGCAAGGTTTAATTTTCGGTCGATAAATCATAGATAGTTACTTTATACTTTTTACGACTTTCATTAAACGCTTCATAACAAGACACAACGCTCAAATGTCCAATACTGAGAAAATGTTGGTTGAAAAGTCAAACGAACTACAAGTCAAGTTCTCTGAAATAGATAGTTTAAAACTCTTTGAAACAAAGGAGGAGGAAGTCTTGTTGTTAGATGAGATGGAAACAAATCCAGCGATAAAAAGAAAGGTCCTGTGGAAAATTGACTTATTTATTTGTACCAATCTTTTTCTTATTGCTTTCCTGGAGTTTTTGGATAAGAATGCGTTAGGTATTGCTGCCGTTTACTCCTTAAAAAAAGATTGCAATTTAGTTGGTAACCAGTATTCCACAGTGGCTTCTGTATTCTACTTCGGCTATCTTCTAGGAGAGTTTGCATGCTTTTTTCTACTTTCAAAAGTAAGAATCGGAAAATTTGTTTCAATCTCACTTGGGTTATGGGGAATTTTATTGATGTGTATGGCGGCCTGCAATAGTTTTGGCTCTTTGGTAGCTGTCAGATTTTTGTTGGGTATATTTGAAGCAGCTATTCTTCCATCGTTCATTATTATCAGTAGTATCTGGTGGACAAAATCTGAGCAGCCATTGAGAAGTACTCTATACTTTAATACGTTGGCTGGTATTCTTGGTGGTATTTTTGGACATTGCATAGGTTTAATAAACGGAAAATTGGCCACCTGGAAGTACATTTTTTTGATTTATGGGGCGGTCACTGTGTTCTATTCCCTTATCTTAGTTTTCATTTTGCCCGATAACATTGAGACTGCATGGTTTTTAAGCAAGAGAGAGAAGCAGATTGCCTTTTTGAGAGTGATTGATAATCAAAGTGTTAGTGCTCATGGATCCAAGATAAAAGTAAACCAAGTTTGGGAAGGCCTCCGTGATCCCAAATACTGGATTGTGGTGGCATTCATCATATGTCAGGCTATAACAAATGCTGGTATCACCAATTTCAACCCTTTGATTATTAAAGGTTTTGGTTTCTCAGCCTTAAAGACCACCTTGATGGGTACTCCTCAAGCAGCTGTTGCTATGGGTGGTGGTATCATAGTTACAGCCTTATGCATGTGGATCGAAAACATCAGATGTCTCCTATGGTTCTTAAGTTCACTTCCAGCTTTAATGGGTTCGATTATGGTAAATAGGATCAATTCCCATCAGCATAGAAGTGCAGCACTTGCTGGAGTTTATCTGATGGGTTTTTACAATGTCCCATGGTGCTTAATGCTTGCGCTCACATCATCCAATAATGCTGGATCAACAAAAAAGGCTTTCATGTCGGTCTCGGTCGCAGTTTGGTATGCAGTAGGTAATATTATTGGCCCATATTTCTTTAAAGGCTCCCAAGCTCCATACTACCCGATGGGTATTCACGCGATGGAAGCTTCGTTTTGCATTATGGCATTTACTGGATTCCTGTATTATATTTGCGTCAAATATCAAAACAAGCAGAAGGAGACACTGGCGGAAAACTGCGACTTTATTGCCGATTCTCAGACTCAAGATCAATCAGATGGGGATAATGTACACTTCAAGTATGTCTACTGATATATCCATTCTGGCTTGATATTATATTAGCTAATGTTAGATCTTTTTAATAGCTTTATAATTTTAGAGAGGTTATCCACAAACAGATTATTTGATGGATAGTCGAGTCATGAACTCTCGTTTCCGTTTGGAGTATAGTCGCAAAATTGTTTTGTATTACAGATTATCAAGTAAAGCACTGTAAGATAGCTTAGTCTTTATTTTGAACTAAGTAGAACGGACCTGCGTCTACAATGTTTAGAAGATAATCCAAAATAAATTGCTTTCTTTGCTCATCATCATCTATACTGAATGTCTCATCTATAGGTAATGCATCTTGAATTAATACATTCATGTTTTCAGAGTCGGTGAGATGCTCTAAGGTGTACACGGCTGCAGCATTGAAAATTGCAACATTGAGCAGTTCGGAAGTGGAATATTTTGTAAGGTATTTGACTATATATTGAATTTTTTCAATATAGTCTTTTGTGGCTCCAAACTCAGCATCTAATATCCAAGATGCAAATAAAAATGTTATTGCAACTGTAAGAATGTTTGCAGATATGAACCAGAAATCCATTAAAAGGTTAGAATTTATTTGCTCAAAAACAACATCAATGAATGATTTTGAATCATTCAAACAAACTTTAGACGACGATATTGATATATTGGGAAACGAAGGCGAAGGTCTCGACAAAACCAAAGAGTAAATATTATAGTTCAATTTCAAAGTTCCATAAACCCAGTCGTTTTGTCCGATATAAAGATCCATTACTGATTCTAACCATAGATCTAGTTCTTCCCTGAGCCGACTAGCAGATTTGTAGACACTTTCTACTGCCAATGTCTTATTTTTTCCACGAGCAATATAAACACTTTCAAGAATGTCTCCAGCTATGGTACGAACCTTCGCTAAGAGGTACATAGGCTGAAAACATAGATTTTCGTAAGACGGACAACTTAAACCAAAATTAGGATTAATCTTATCGAACGCTTCGGTAAACCTTGGAAGCTCTGCATCTATAGCATGGTTTCGTATACTCAAAGTTCTTCCTGTTTGAAGAGCGACCTGTCTCTCTAGAATGAAGCATGTCCACCATAATCTGTTTCGCATTTCCAACTCTAACGAGTCCAACCTCCAAATTGGGTTATTCCTGTGAAGTCCAAGTTGAATGCACAAAGATGTAGCGTGGCGTGTCAGAATCCAGAGGTTTTCATTTTCATCCTGATTTTTGAGACATAGACACCATACTATCAATAATAATACATTTCTTATCGTTCGATGATTGACTGTGGATATCATATCATCAAAATATTTGAAGGCCATTAGAAAATATTCTTTTGAAGTGTTGACATCGTGCATCTCAATATACTGCTGTTTTTCTGCAGCAAGTCCAGAAGAAATTGAAAGCATCATGAATATAATATATCTATCATCCACAGATACTTGCCCTAATCGGTGGTATAATTTTTCAATCGAGTTTGCAATATGATTGACATCCACAATCAGATAAAAGATTTGGACATGCTCTATATAAATGTGATAGAGATATTTTGTTACCTCTTTTCTCGGTAAAGAAACCACAGGTATGCTATCTACTTTCAAATTAGATATGTTCGGATTTAATTTGTCAAGATTATTCAAGTTTTTATCTTGGTGCATCAAATTAAAAACATTAATTTGCCTGAGGAAAATCTTTGAAAAAGCCACACCACTCGCAGTTCCAATATAGTCACTGTTTGTTGCTGTAAGTGTCCCTACTTCAACCGCTAAATGCTCTTCCACATCTTTGTTGAAGGTAGAATGCCGTGCATCTTTATTTTCGTCATCATTTCTTCTATCTTCAGTGTTTAGTTCGGTCAACTTTTTCTGCATATCATCAAGCATTTCCTGTAAGTTTCGTACTGTCGAGAATCCGTACGAAACCATATCACAGATGTCGCAAATCTCACCTTTTTTCTTACATCTGTCACATGCTGGGAGAGTCATATCACATTTAACTCTTTTTATTCTGCATCTACTGCATGATTTTATATTTTCCGGCTGTAATATTGGTAGTTCGGATTTCATGCCGTAAAACTATCAAATGAAGGTCTTTCTTTAATTCATTTTGGGTATGATGGGCTTCTTTAACCCCTGTCTATGAATTCAACCAAATTACTATGTAGCACTTGGATCTTCTGTGAACAAGCTGTCCTGTGCGCTTTTCTGTGCGAAAAACACATTCTTGGATATTACTCTCTACCGAAATTAGCCTTTTTTCCTCGAAGTGCACCTGAGTATACCAGTTTTTTATAACCTTCTACGTGGTATAGTAGGACATTGATGCTATTCGATGTTTACTGTACTAAACCACGTATGTATAACTGCTGCCAGTAACGGAAAAGAAAGAAACTGAATGAGAAGCCAACGTAAAAGAAGAAACTAGTTAACCCGCTGGCAAATCTATCCCAGCTCAGATACCAAAGGCTCCCTCGTTGCCAACTAATTACTGATCGCTGAATCAAATTGAATTGTACTGCTGTTTAAATGGTACTTTTCCTGACTTTACGCTTAAGAGTTCATTCATTGGCTAGATGTGTTATTTCACGATAGCAGGATGATTATTTCCCGAATAGTTACAACTTCAGGTTGATTTTCAACAAAATTTAACCAATTCATTTCTTTCTTTGTAGCTATCAAGCAACTACATTGTTAAATGATGCCAATGTAATGTGCTTGAACTCAACAGGGTTCGATTTCTTTTAGGAATTGTGTGTAAAACTCGGAGGCTATTGGCATATAGTAAAGACAACTCCAATTATTTTTTTTCTAAGTTTTACTTTGCACAACCATCTGATACAGCGCACTCCTTGATCAGTATTAATTAATGCAAGCTTGGTCAGTGGTGAAGCTTTTACATAGCTGTTTCAAGATACATAATCAACAGTTTCAAGAGACTTCTTTTACAATCTTTTGTTGAGATAAGATGCCGAAGCCAATCATGATCGAGGGATAAGAGATAAGAATCTTATCATGATAAGGTATCTTAGTGTTGAGATAAGATGCCAAAGCCAATAAGGATCGAGTGATAAGAGATAAGAATTTTATCATGATAAGGCATCTTGAGTAATCTAAAACTGGAAAGTTAGCCGCCATGATAAATGAATAATGGCAAGTTTAACCGAAGGTATAAGTGTATAAATACAAGAGGTTTGTCTCTGTATTTATGACTGAGAGTAATAGTCTGTATGTTAGTTATATTAGTTATATATAAAAATAAGCAACAAACATAAGAAAAAGTGAACATATACAATGGATATTCATAATAGAATAGCTAGATTACAACATTAAAGTGTGACTATACTCCAGGCAGCAAGGTCCTGCTATCATATTCTGGGCTTTGAGACAAAGGTCTATCCAGGACGCAAAAATATGAGAATGTGTTCAAATTTCAAAGTTATAATAATTCAGATTATTTGAGAATGGTTTGGTTTAGGCCAAACCTTCTTTCAAGAACACATTATACTTTTTTTTTCATTGGATAAAAAATACTTTGGGGGTTTCCTGTTTTCTTTACATGCTCTTGGACTTTGAGCTAATACTTACACGTTCTACACGAGCCCATGTATCACGATTTATTTTCCTTTGAAAGCTTTTGCGTAGAATTCATGCTCATAGTGGACTTTTTCAATACAAATAGTTTGTCGCACCGCACCATGTTTTTCAGAGTGCGCATCGAATTTGGAAATAGTAATAATGCTTGCCGAATAGTCTAGTGGCTGGGAGAAAAACTGAACTCATAATTGGTGGGGAAAACTCCCTCAATGGTTTACCTGGCAAGTTTTGCAACTTAAAAGATGACAATATTAGAAATATGGTATTGTTAGCTGTAAAGAAAAAGATGGTACTACATAGATGAAGGCTCCGTATGTATGAGCCGGAGGACTGAACACCTCGTTGGTCATTGATAATGGCAAAGTTGCAAAAGACGCTGAATAATCTAAATCAAATGAATTTAACGTATGTTTGACATACTCACACAATGGGTGTTGTTTGGCCAGTTCATAATCTCCAACAAATGACTTCAAACACTGACAGCGAAATCTCAAAAATCTTAACCAAAGCGAACTATACTGGAGAGATGTTAAAGAGGTTCTTAGCATACACGTTTGATGATTGATCTCAAGAAGTTTGCTTCAGAAATTACTGGGCTGAGGGGAAGTACGATAAGGTTCAAATTCACGGCCCCCATCACCCTACAAACAGTCTCTCTTCACTCCCATTGTTGGATCAATTCAGCAAAGTGAACCGTATTGCTTACATATAAAGTATCAAGGCAAAATCAGGTTACAAACATAGATCCAGCTCACTGATTAAATAATGTCTTAATTTTGCTCGGGAAGCCCCGGGGTCAGTGATGTTCTTGTAGGAAAAAAAAAACACAAAAGCATCCCGAAGAGATGAGAGAAGGTGCTGTGTTACTGGCAGCCACAAGTTTTGCACCTGGACCTGGCAGGAGAGACGTAACTTCAAGCTTAAAACATTACTTGTGGCATTTTGTAGCAAAAAGCAGGCTTCAAATTGAAGCGTTGCTTTAAACAGACGCAAACGAAACTATGGCTTGTAAATTACATCAACTGTGGTGGAGTTTTGCAAAACCAGCCAACAGCTGCTACCTTTATATATGCCGAGCACTTTTCACCTGCCCACTGCCGCTCCTCCCCCCAGCATTCACTCAAGAATGCCCCAAGACATAAAGAGGCCTTGTTCCTTTTCTGCCCGTTTTTTCCCGCCTCTGTTTCCTGTCAATGCCGCTTCACCGTCATCGCCTGCTATAGCCTCGCGCGGATTTCTAAGAAATTTGCATGCAAAAGGACATGTCAACGCCAGATGACAGCTTTTTGACACATCTTACAGCCGGCCGGAGTTGTAATGCCCCGGGCAGCTTCAAACTGCAGAAAACTTGGAATAGTAATTTCTCCTTACATGCCACTTCCAGAAAAGTGTGGCTCCGGTAACGCTCTCTGCTGGCTGCGCACCGGAGGGACGCCAACAATCATATATAAACTCATTGCTTTCAAACTCTCATTGCTTTTCTAGGTCAGGCACTCGTGCAACGTAGTAAAAACAAGAAAGCCTGAAAGCGCAACTTCATTCTCTAAATATTACTCTGTCCAAGGATAGACGCACTTATCAAGCTTGTGATTTATTTCTTCCTTTTCTTTTTAACCAAAAGCTTCGTTCAATACTTCTATCATTCACCGCTAGAGTCTTTCTCAAAATTCAGTTCACAAACTCTGTTACTAAATCAACTTTTTTAAGCTCAAATGATTTATATGTAAACTTGCTACAAACAAGAATACACAAATATCACACAAATAACACTTGAAAACATGACAGCTGTAGACGATGACTCCAACAAAACCAACAACTCCATAAAAGAGATTTCAAGACTGAATCCAAATCCTGAGCACATTTCAGGTAACGATGACATACATTCCACATTTTCCATAAATAACATTGGAACAGACAAAGTATTGACCCACATCAAGTCCATCGATGGTGAAAATGTCAGTGTTACAGGAGATGTTGATGAAGCAATGGAGTATGCCCTTGAAGCAGAATGTGAGAAAGTTGACATTACCCCTCGTGAAGAAAAAAAACTACTATTAAAAATAGATTTATTTCTATTGCCTTTAGTCTGTCTTCTTTACACTATCCAGTATATGGATAAAATTTCAATCAGTTATGCTGCAGTTATGGGATTGCGTGATCACTACCATATGCACGGTAACCAGTATTCGTGGTGTGGTTCTGCTTTCTATCTAGGCTATTTGATCTTTGAGTTTCCAATGAGTCTGGCATTGCAAAGATTTCCTGTCTCTAAATTCGTGTCCGCTGTTGTCATACTGTGGGGTGTCATTATTTGTTTGCACGCCACTCCTTCTAACTATGCTGGTTTCATTACCTTGAGAACAATCTTGGGGATCTTAGAATCTGCTGTCACTCCAGCTATGGTTATCGTGACAGGCCAGTGGTATAAAGCTGAAGAGCAATTTTTGAGAACTGCAATCTGGTTTTCTTTCAATGGTGTTGGTGTAATATTTGGCGGTGCCATTGCTTACGGACTAGCAATTAGACCTGACTCCTATTCAATGGATGCATGGAAAGTTTTATTTATTGTCATTGGATGCATGACATTAGCAATAGGAATAGCGTTTGTCTTCCATGTTCCAGATCTACCTGTCAAAGCCTGGTTTTTGAATGATCGGGAAAAAATGCAGGCTGTTTTGAGAATTAAGTCCAATCAACAAGGTTTTGGAAATAAGCACTTCAAGTTTCACCAGTTCCAAGAGGCGGTCTTGGATATCAATACATGGATTTTCTTTTTCTTTTCTATTGCTTTCCAAGTTCCTAACGGGTCTTTGACAAATTTTGCATCCATTTTGCTCAGTGACACTTTTGGTTATTCAGATAATGACTCTATTCTAATGAATATGATTGCTGGTGCACTGACCTTTGCGGGCTGTATTTTTCTATGTTGGCTTCAGAAGTTCTTCAAGCATAAACTAGGGATTGCAACAGTTGTTGTTACTTTCAGTCTAATTGCTTCTTGTATGCTTGCATTCCCAAAGCAAAGTCCACATGCAAGATTGGCAGGGTACTTTTTGTACAATTTATGTCCTGTCGGTATGATATGTTGCCTATCATGTTTTACTTCTAATATTGCTGGACATACTAAAAAAATTACAGTCAATGCATTGTATTTGATTGGTTATTCAGTTGGTAATCTAATTGGCCCTCAAACATTTATTGCTTCTCAAGCGCCTCAGTATAGAGGAGGACAAATTGCAATGGTTGTTTGCCTCGCAGTTTCCTCCGTACTGATTGCGTGGGTGTATTACAATTACTGGCATGAAAATAAAAGAAGAGAAAAGTTAGAAGCTGAAGGTCTTCTTGAAATGCCTCATATCGAAAACTTTGAGTTTGCTGACCTGACGGATAAGGAGAATGTCTATTTCAGATATACCTTATAGTCAGACCTGGTTAACTCTTAATGAATTAACACCTCTTGTGCATAGAGTACAATTTTTTATGAAAAGCATGTTACTTCTCAGTTCAGCAGACTTTGTACATACCGAATATACGAACTGTGTTTTAGTATTATCAACTGTAGCCTCACTCCAACGCAGAAAATTATTTGGAATACTTGAAAAACAGCATTTTATTATAAAAGGAGAAATCGATCAAAAACTGCCCGTTTTGGATTAAGAAAACGAATTATTTTGCAGATATAAAACGAGTTATATTAACTCCACGTCAGAAATGTTTTTTGAGTCAGAATTACATGAAAATTGAAAGGATATCAACTTTAGCTGTGACTTAGTTACCTGGATAGTCTCCCAAACATCCACCTGGAGTAAGTTCAAGAGCATATGACTCTGCAATGTAGTACAAAATGTTGTCAGTGTTGATAACGGCATAAGAAGAGTTGTGCTCAGCATAATCAACAAGCTGATCCATGTCCTCGACATATTCAGCAACAAAACCCTTGCTGATACTTTCGATGTGCAAAAATCTGTGGAAAAGGTCAATTCCAGCAAACTTTTTTGGTTTAACAGTGGTAATGTTGCCAATGACACACATATCCTCTAAGGGTTTCTTGGATGTGAAGAACAAATCACAGAGTACTGTTTCTTGGGAAGCATTGACTCTGTGGTAACCTGGGTAGGTAGTTGGGTGAGAGGCACAAGTACCTTCGATATCATCACATCTGTAAAGAACACCAGATTTGTCACCTTGGACAATGTTATCAATGACGCCCAAAACAGTAAGTGGGTTACCATTTTCACCAAACCAGTGCTCGAATGCTTCATCAACACCTTCAGAGATCAAATGCGCTCTGGCAACACTAGCAACTTCTAACAAGTCTTGATAATATTTGTTAATCATTTTAACTTGAGTTGCATTACAGTTCTCAATACTTGGGTAGGTGAAGTCGTCCCAAGTTTCCAAGTAAGAATCAGTAATACCTTCAATTGAAACAGCTGTTGAGACATTTGTAGCTTTAACTTCAAGGGGCTGGAATGAAATTGGGGAGGCAAAAACGCCAGAAGTGAGCACAGAAAGGATAGCAGTAAAAGTTGAGGTTCTCATTTTTGTTTGATATATTTGTTTGCTTGAAGGGTACACTTCTTACAACAGATTAACTCCTTCATTCTTACAAATCTCTTTTGAACTCTGGAACATGCTCAATTTTTATAGTTCTTCAAATTTCAGTCTTGAGGTACTGAATGCCTTTCTTACAAAACCATTACAGTAACTGGCGCAAATCTTTCAGTCCTCGTTCTATAATTCCGAAACAGGAATAGGAAGTTACCCCAGGCTCCTAAATTGATCTCGATTTTAACCTTTTCGGACGACTTCCACCCTGATGGTACCTGTTGAGTGTCATTTTTTGTCGAGTTTGACAGCTACATTCAACCGATTGGTCAACGTTTAAAGAATTGCGTGAGAACGTTGGAGCAATCAAGAGATCCACTTCATAGCTGCAAGCCGAATTGCCCCTGTTCTTGCGTGTGGCTTTCATGAACGTTGTACATGTACAGCTAGAAGCGATTTGAAAAAACCCTGAACTATTATTTTCCACTCTCCCCGCTCATGTGTCCAAACGAGGAAAGAGGACGACGCTGTGCGGGCGCTGGAAGCTTCAAGCTTTTCTCTATTTCTGTGTCTCTGTTTCTCTTCCCAAATTTTCAATGCTGCGTCTTAACCTTCCTGTAATCTACTTCTTTCTGCAACTAGTACAGCTTGGCAAGCTGCGAGAAGAGATTGATCATGCTGGCATAAGATTAGCTGATTTACGGTGCACTCCTATGCTGCAGCAGAGTCATCAAGGTGCATACTATGAGCACATGTGTGTAGCTTGAGTTTTTTTTTTGTTTCACGCTTGAAGTTTAATATTTATTGTGAGGTCTATCATCTTTTATTAACATGATGAGTAAAATACATTGAACGCTTGACTACTGATCTAACTGGATGAGAAAGTGTTTTTATCTGATAATAATTTAATGGACCCACATTATTTTTGATTTTTTTTACGGTTACCAAAACATTAAGTGCGGTGTGCATCTTCTTTTCAGTCAAGATGCTGCTATTTTTTGATTTTTGTGCTTTTCATAAGTGAAGGGGGAGTTCTCCTTTCCTAAAAATTATAAATCTAGATAAATCTGCGAGGAATAGTTTCGGAAAAAGTTTTTTCTGAAACTAGTTTATCGTTTTCGAATGCCTTCCTTTCAACAACAAGAAAAAAGCTTTTCTTGTCACACGTGAGAGTAGTTTCAGTTTCGAGTCTGATTTTCCAATTATCTTCCTCTCTTCCTAGCTCATAGACCCAAGAACTCTTACTCAGGGCAGACAACGGATTACTATTCTCTACTTCCCAATAATTCTTGTTGCACTCACCAAAGTAAAAACCAGATAATTCTTGGTTATTATTAATTTTCGTAAGGCCTCCATCTAAAATATCTGTAATGGACCAGATATCTTTAGCATAATTATAATTGATTGACTTAGCACGGTCATATCCTCTTACTTGCTCCAATTCTAAGGTCGGTTTCATTATGGTTGGCGCATCGAAATTAGGAGCCGGTACCGAATTTGAGTGGTCAAACAGGGGCAAGTTTAGTTTTCCGGAATACAATGTCAGTGTTGGAGTTTCTGGCGAAGGCCAAGCCTGAGGCCAGTCACATGTAGATAAGGCGACGCGCAATCTGTGACCTTTGGCAAGTTTGATACCAACGGCATCAAGGTCAACCTTGGCTCTGAACTTCTCCCCCACTTTGAGTAGTTGTGGAAATTCGTGAGAATCCTTATGCGTGAGATTCAATTGACCCCAGGATATCAAGATGTGCTCACCATCATCCGGGTATAGGTCGACCAGACGGACGGAGATGTTGGCAAGCTCCTTGTCGGAAGAAAGCTCGAGTTCAATGGAAGGAAGACCGACGAGTTCGAAGTCGGCGGTGAAAACGTCGGAATCAAAACACAAGCACTTAGAATCCTCGTACTTCTGGTCGCCTGGAAAATCGCCCTTGAATCCGAACGGACAGTATGTACCTCTGAACATACCATGGGAGAGCATGCCGCCGAACTTCACTGCGGCAGGCTCGGGTGTTTCTGGAATTTCCTGCACCTTCAACGTCAGCTGGTTCGCATCCAAGAAAAAGGACTGGTATGTCTTCTTCTGCGGGGAATCAGAAGACGCCCAGAAGCCCTCTCTGTAAACATAGGAGTCGTCAATAGTGGATGGGTCCTGCACATATGCCGTCAGTCGGGGCAGCTTGAAAGTGGACTTGGTCTCGGGATATAGCCATTTGGCAAACCACTTGCACGAGAGCTGTTGGTACCCGATTTTCGGAGAAGGTTCGGCCATCTCCGGGTACTCGTGGACCCATGGCCCGACGATGCAGGACGAGTCCGGGTTGACGAGGTGGTCGGCCATTCTGAACACGGGGTTCGTGTAGCCGTCACGGAAGCCGCCAACGGCAAGCACGGGGATCTGCAGCTTGCTCCAGTCCTCACAGACCGAGCCGTGTTTCCAGTACTCGTCTCTGGTCTGGTGCTGGATCCACCTGGTGAGCATCGGCTCCACGTCCAGGCGCTCCAGCCAGTTTTGCTTCCAGCCGTCTCCAACAACACGCGGGTCCTGCGGTCTCGGCTGGTACGTGGCCATGGTGGAGCCCCACCACACCATGTCGCTGGCAAGCAGACATCCGCCGCGGTAGTGGACGTCGTCCGAGTACCGGTCGTCCGTGGACATGAGCGTGACAATCGTCTTCAGCGCCGGGTGCTGTCTCGCGGCCACCTGGAGGCCGTTGAACCCGCCCCACGACTTCCCAAACATGCCGATGTTGCCGTTGGACCACGCCTGGTCCACGATCCAGTCAAACACCTCCAGAGCGTCGTCCTGCTCCTGCTTCAGGTACTCGTCCGTGAGCACCCCGCTGGAGTTGCAGGCCCCACGCATGTCCACCCGCATCGACACAAACCCCTGCGCCGCGTAGTAGGGGTGTCTGATCGAGTCCCGGATGATGGTCACGTCTGTCCGGTACGGAATGTACTCGACCAACGTGCCAAAACTCTTGCTTGGCTTCTCCACCGCCGCGTCCGGAAACCATGCGTGCGCATGGATGTAGTTGCCGTCCTTCAGCGGGATCCGGATGTTGTGTTTCTTTACCACCCCGAACCGCATCCCTTCGCCGGAAAGCTCTCTAGTCAGCCATTGCTGATTGGTGTTTCTCACGTTGAATGCCATCTCACCAGCTTTCAGTGCACACCCAACGCTGCCGCAAACCGGCTGTCACCATCCACACACTGCGTCTGGTCCAGGAAAACATCTCTGCTATCACCGGGGTCTCTGACATATATACCTTCTCCGCTTTCCTTCTTACTGCTCCTGTCTACCTAATCCCTGTCAACTGCCCTGCCACCTGTAGATAAACGGTTCTCGCGTTCCGACGGGAATCTGCTCGGTTCCAGCTGCATGGTCGGCTTAGCTCCGTCGGCCCGGCCCTGCCCACCTGCTCGGCTCTGCTCGGCTCTTGCCTCGATGTCTCTATTGGGCGCACACATCCCAGGCGAGCAGTCCATTGCGGTCGACAAAGCGTGCTTTCCTCCGCAATGAATGACGGCGGCAGCGGGTAGCGCAGCAAGTGGAGGATCGGGGGCCGGAAGCCGAGAGGCCAGGAGGATAGGGCATGCAGGCCAGGCCCTTATCGGTGGGCTCGCAACGGGTTGCATGGTCTTGGGGACGCGGGTAGCCACCGTTATCTTGCAACAGTTGCTACTCCGAGGGAGGTACGCGCAGCTAGCGTCGAGGATCGAGCGGGGTGAGACAGATAACAGATAGATAGTGGGTGGCAGACAGTGGCAGGCAGGTACAGGACGCGATAAGGTGCTTCGGTGGAGGGTGGGTGGTATAAATAGGCGGTCGGGGATGGTGCAGAGACGGCAGGAGTTGTGTTGGTGGACGTGGGGACGGAACAGTGTGAGTGGTAGCAGCAGTAACAGCGACAGCGGCAGCGACAGCAATAGCAGCATACACTATTAGGCACACGATGTCTGAAAAACAAGACTACGACGTTGGTGTGACCAACGCGGACGCCGCAGACAGAGAGTCTGCCAGCGACATGGTGTCCGGCGGGGAGTATCTGGAAAAGGGGCTCCCTGCGGACATGGCGAAGGACCTTACTGCGGTGGAGGACAGCGACGTGGCGTTGCAGAAGAAGATCCACCTTGTGAACAACGCGATCGACGAGATCGGCTTCACGTGGTTCCACGTGCAGCTCTTCTGCATCGCCGGGTTCGGGTACTCGGTGGACTCGCAGATGGAGATGGTGCAGTCTGCGGTGAAGACGTACGTTGACTACCAGATGAAGGGCGGCGGGTACCCCGTGGCGACGCAGATCTTCTACGCCGGGTTGATCACGGGCTCGATTCTGTTTGGGTTTGGTGCCGACTTGATTGGCCGGAAAATCGCCTTCAACTCGTCCTTGATCCTCACGGCGCTCTTCGGCTTCTTCACAGGCGGCACGTCCAGCTACGCCATGTACTGCATCTTCATGTTTCTCTCCACCGTCGCCGCCGGCGGGAACATCGCCACCGACGTGGCTGTCTTCCTCGAGTTCCTCCCTTCCAAGTACCAGTACCTCAACACGGCTATGGCTGCGTGGTGGGGAGTGGGCCAGACCATTGCGTCGTTGATCTCGTGGGCGTTCATCCCAAACAACTCCTGCTCCGACCCAACAGACTGCCCCTCCCGCATGAACAGAGGCTGGAGATACTGCTGGTACACCAACTCCGGAATCGTGCTGGGCGCCGCCCTGCTGCGCTTGCTTGTCTTGAAGCTCGGCGAAACGCCCAAGTTCCTCGTTTCTGTCGGGAGAGACGAGGAGGCCTACGAGGCCATCATGAAGATCTCCCGCAGGTACAACAGACCCTGCTCGCTGACCCTTGAGCAGCTCAAGGCATGCGGCGAGATCGAGCAGACCTACTTCGACTCCCGCCGGGCCACCAGCTTCACCGCAGCCCTCAAGGAGATCTGGCTCACCACCTGGACCAACGTCAAGATCCTCTTCTCCAGCGAAGCTCGTCGTCAGGTCCACCTGCTTGATCCTCACCTCGTGGCTCTTCATCGGCATCTCGTACTCGGTCTTCTACAACTTCTTGTACATCTACATCGCCTCTCACGGCGGGTCCACGGGCAGCACCACCTACGTCGTCTACCGTAACGCCACCTTGGACAACTTTGTCGGCATCTTCGGACCCATCCTCGGCGGCTTCCTCATCATGATCCCCCGCGTCGGCAGAAGAGGCACCATGGTCTTCGGCGCCCTAGCCGGCATGGCCATCTTGTTCGGCTACACCACCTGCAGAACCCCGAGCGCCGACGCCGGCTTTGGCTCCGCCACCTACTTCTTCATCAACATCTACTACGCCTGCTTGTACGCCTACACCCCGGAGGTGTTTCCTACAAGGGCCCGTGCCACCGGCGTTGCCCTATGCTTGGTTGCAGGCCGTGTTTCGGGCTCCTTTGCTCCCGTTACCTACTGGTTTGGCCAGCAGAGCGGCTCCAGCGTGCCCATCTGGGTCTGCGGTGCCATCGTCGGCTCCCTCGCCCTCTTGGCCATCTGCATGCCCTTCGAGCCAAGCAAGCAGAGAAGTGTCTAGTTTTAACCTGTGTATTCTTATGCCTCAATTCTGCTTTCTACACCCCCGTGGCCTCCAGCCCCCCGAACCGGAAGCCTCCCCAGGCACGTGCCCTTATTTTTGCCGCACCACTAAAACTTGCCGCCGCTTCGTCTCTTTATCGGGGCAAGAGGGCTCGGAGGGCTCAGGCGACACGCTCGGAGAACCGGTCTACTTCCCGGGTGGGTCTCGAGACAGGTTACTGCAACCGCTGTAGAACGTATTCAGAGGTACATCGGCTAGCGCAAACGGATGCCAGGTGCAACGGCGCAGAAAGAGCGACAGTCACAGCCCCGAGATAAGGGACTGGAGAAGAGAAAGAGGCAGATAATGCTCGGCAGGGAAGCCGAAAGGCTGGCGAAAAGGGAAAAAAAGACGTGGAAGCGATGGAGATGGGGTTGCCATGTGAAAAGCGGCACCTTTGCGTTTAAATAGGGACGGTTTTGGCTGGAAAAGCTGCAGTGGTTGGTCTGGCACTGCTCCTGGTTGACAAAAGGGTGGTCTACAGATCCATTGGTGCGATGAGTGACATTGCAGGAATACAGGGGAACCAGGGGCTGACGCAGGAGCGGGTGCAGCCTAAGGACGAGTATGCTACGGAGGTGACGAGCGAGACGTTCAACAACGGCAGCGACTCGTCGTCGTCTCTGGACACGCTGGAGAAAGGCTCGATGGACTTCAGCGACGACCTGGTTGTGGTAGAGGACTCGGACTTGGCGTTGCGGAGAAAGATCCACCTTGTGAACAACGCGATCGACGAGATCGGCTTCACATGGTTCCATGCTCAGCTCTTCTGCATCGCCGGGTTCGGGTACTCGGTGGACTCGCAGATGGCCATGGTGCAGTCTGCGGTGAAGACGTACGTTGACTACCAGATGAAGGGCGGCGGGTACCCTATCTCCACGGAGATCTACTTTGCCGGTCTGATCACTGGGTCGGTGGTGTTTGGTTTCGGCGCCGACTTGATTGGCCGGAAGTTGGCCTTCAACTCGTCGTTGCTCCTCTCCTCCATCTTCGGCTTCTTCACAGGCGGCACGTCCAGCTACGCCATGTACTGCATCTTCATGTTTCTTTCCACCGTTGCCGCCGGCGGGAACCTCGCCACCGACGTGGCCGTCTTCCTCGAGTTCCTCCCTTCTAAGTACCACTACCTCAACACCTCGATGGCTGCGTGGTGGGGAGTGGGCCAGACCATTGCGTCGTTGATCTCGTGGGCGTTCATCCCAAACAACTCCTGCTCCGACCCAACAGACTGCCCCTCCCGCATGAACAGAGGCTGGAGATACTGCTGGTACACCAACTCCGGAATCGTGCTAGGCGCCGCGTTGTTGCGTTTGTTCGTGTTGAGACTGGGCGAAACACCCAAGTTTCTTGTTTCCACAGGCAGAGACGAAGAGGCCTACGAGGCCATCATGGCTGTTGCCCGAAAGTACAACAGACCGTGCTCGTTGACGTTGGAGCAGCTCAGGGCGTGCGGTGAAGTCGAGCACACCTATTTTGACACCTCCAAAGTGACCAGCATCCGGACAGCTTTGCGGGGCTTGTGGCTGACCACACGCACAAACGTTAAAATCCTTTTCTCAAACAAGTTGGTGATTAGATCCACCTGCTTGATCATCACGTCCTGGCTCTTCATTGGAATCGCCTACTCGGTCTTCTACAACTTCCTATACATTTACATTTCAACACACGGCGGGTCCACTGGAAGCTCCCCTTTTATCGTCTACAGAAATGCCACCATTGATAACTTTGTTGGTATTTTTGGCCCAATCCTTGCGGGTGCCCTGATCTTGATCCCTAGAGTGGGAAGAAGAGGTACGATGATTTTTGGTTCGTTATCGTGCATGGCCATCTTGTTTGCCTACACCACTTGCAGAACACCTAGTGCAGATGCTGGGTTTGGTTCTGCTACCTACTTTTTCATCAACATTTATTACTCATGCTTGTACGCCTACACCCCAGAGGTGTTTCCAACGAGAGCCCGTGCTACCGGGGTCGCACTCTGTTTGGTTGCTGACAGAATAGCAAGTGCATTTTCACCCGTCATTTACTGGTACGGTTCCCAAACTGGGTCGAGTGTTCCAATCTGGGTATGTGGTGCAGTTATTGGATGTTTATCTATTTTGGCATTTTTCATGCCCTTCGAACCAAGCAAGAAAAGAAGTGTTTAGAGTTTTTATTTGTTTCACTTTTTAGATTTTTTATACCTTTTTATACACTTTTCAAATAAAACTTTGGCAATGCGTCAAATCAAAAAGAAACCTTTTTCCTTTCTCACCCTTTTAACGGCATTTACCCAGGAATCACCAGTATTCCATGTGTCGTTCAATATCTTGAGAACATCCCCGGCAGGAAAATTACCACCAAGAAACTGAATTTGAAACCTGTCGTAGAAAAATCGTCTATGTTCTTCAGATATAGATTCACATGCTGCAACAAATAGGGGAAGAATTGCACAATTCTCGGCACTGGAAGCCGACTCTATATCATTTTTGAAAACATCATAAATCTTCTGCACCATCTTTTGAACTACAGAACTAGTTCTCGGTATTCGATAGATTCTCCTGTAAAGATGAAGAAGTCCCGTAAAATAGAACGCATCGTTCGAAGCATTTAAAATACGATCAGATTCCGTAGGATCATCCGGGTTACGAGGTGCAGCCTGGAAATCGGTGTAGGCAGAATTAAGCTCGTGCTCCCACTCCAGTGCCAGAGACAAAATGTCTGTTGGAATCGAGTTTCTATCCACTTCATGTCGCTCTTCTAGCATATTTAGTATAGGTATCAGTTTGTCGAATATTTCCAGAAACTTGATGTCAAATCCCAAGAAAAGATCAATTTTTGATTTCTTTTTCAGTTCAACCTTCTCGAAAACGGGATTTGGCCTATACGGCATTCTAAAATCTTTTGGCGAAATAGCCATCATCATTCCAATAACTTCAAGATATCCTATCCAGCTGAGTAGAAAGTAGGAAAAAGAGTTATCTTCTTCGGTTAGCTGATATTTTCCGTTCGGGAGTTTACTTACTTTCTCGTCATTATCAATGAACCGCTCAAATCCCTTTCTGCATAAATCTATCGTTTCCTTGTATTTATCGGTATCATCCCCAGAAAAGATTTTCTGAGTACACATAAGCAAGGCAGTGACACATACAACTTCACATTTGATCTCCATCGTAGTTGCATTGAGAGAAGAAACAAGCCTGAATATGCCTCTTGATATCAACAATTCAACAAGATGCGGAGTAAAGTTCTCATCCGTCAACACCATACTCCGATGGGTCAAAGAATAAGCGACCAACAAATCAAGGAGACATCCGTTTTCTTTCTCTTCTGCAAATTGGGGGATCAGCTTATGAAATGGATTTGATCTGTACATCTGTGGAGTGGCCGCCACAATGAAATGTGCAGTAAAGTACTTGTAAAAATTGAAAGCATCCTTGTAGTAAGGATGGTCCAAAAGATGTTCAGGGAGTGGCAAGAGTGGAATTTTACTTTCTGGTATGAACGATGCCATTCGATATGGTAATGAACCACCAGAGCTCACATGAACACCCGAATCTGATGAGCCGTCGCCGGGTACAACATCTGCACCAGAGCTTTTCAGAACAAAGGACCCCAAAGTTGTAGTAGACATAGGTTCGCTGTGAAATGTAGACAACTCGTTTTCATTATTGCTCACGGTATTTGTTGATTTGATCAAGGCCATACGCTGAAGTCTTTTCTCATCATTTTGCATTAACTCATAATCTTTTATCCGGACTTTTTTCTTGTTCTCTGCAAGCGACTGGTTCTGAAAAACCATCTCGAAAGAGTATACACAAACCTTACCACGTTTTTTGCATCGTGAGCAGGTAGGCTTGACTTCGTCGCACTTGATTTTGAGCTTTTTGCATCCATTGCAGCCCAATCTACTTCTTGGCTTCACCCCAGAGTAAGCAGATACTATACCCGATTGCACTGCCATGTGTAGTTCCTGCCATAATATGCTATCAGCTTATTCTCTTCTAGCTTTCGAAGTTTGGAATACTGTAAAGAGTCATCAAAACCAGATCGGTCAAAGTATATTTTTATTCAGCAAGTTAAATCCGAACGAAATCATGAAAGCGGTGTACGGTGCACGGATGTGTATATCACCTCTTATGGGAGTTGCGGCTCCCAGGAACTCCAAAGACATCTTAGGTGAGTGAATGGGTAAGCATGATGTAAGAAGTACAAATGGTGGTAGTTGGAACGAGAGACAGAGCAGGCACAAAAGAAAGAGTCTACGTTACAGAATGGCATCAAAGGAAATCTCCACGGTAGGTGCCTCACCTTCGGAGCAACTGCTCGAGGCGGCACGCAGAAATAACACAGATCTCTTGCAGGAATTGTTATCGAAATACCATGATAAGCCTCAAGAAGCCATTGAGCTCATAAACTCTGCCAAGGATCCATCGGGAACCGGAGCCTTGCACCTTGCCGCCAAATACGGTAACTATGAAGTTATGGATCAACTGTTGGATATCGAAGGAGTTGATGTCAACATAAAGGCCACCCTGAACGGTAACACACCATTACATTATGCAGCTGCCTACTCCTTCGAAGATCCAGAATATGCATTGTTTCTAGTTAACGAATTGATCAACTGTGGAGCGGATCCTTCTATCAGAAATAAGGAAAACTTGAAGCCCATCGACATAGTAGGGCACTCGAACGAGCAGATCAAAATGGCGTTGGAGTCTGCAGAATACGCTTCAACTTTCGACCAAAATGTCATGGATATACCTGAGGACAACGACATAGACGAAGGAAGCGATGATGAAGATGATGAAGATGAAGATGACGCTGCTGCAAATTAGAAGTCCAGTCGCCCACCCATTTTTTCTGCAACTATCTTCTCTCCCGCTCCAACTTTATCCTTCTTTCACTTCTTTCATAAATCTAGAAACTTCATCCTATATACTCTATTGTTCTATAACTATTTCTGTGCATATATTTGAAAAAAAATGTGTTTCGAAGTAGTGCCGACCTACTTTGCAGGTTATACCCCAAGTGTAAAGTCATCGAACGTGGAGTCACCCCAAGTTCCGAGACTTTTTTTGGCTCTCAAGACTTTTTCTGTGTATTCTGCATTGCTGGCCCTTTTCTTCCAATCAAGATAGGACTTGTAAGTGTTGCACGATTTGTCCAATTGGATACGTTTTTGAAACATGGAGTACCGACACAAGATGCTATAACCTCTTCCGTTTTTTAAAACTGTTTTGATACTATTTCCGTTTTTCACCCCATCATTGATAACCTCGATGACTTTTGACTCCGGAATGCACACAAGAGATAAGTCACATGCCCTTTTTTTCTTCTCTCTGTCGATCCCTAATGTCCCTGACTTGTTTGCTTCCAACAATTTGTTGTATTTTGCAACGATGTCATCCGAACAGTTCAAAATTTTGAATCTGTGATAGAACTCCACCGCTGTAAAATCAATTCTTTCATTGAAACATCTTTCCAAGCTAGCACTGTTCTTTTGGGCTTTTTCTGCCGGTAAGATAATATAGTCTAGCAGAACATGGCTATTGTTTATGAGATCAGCCACAATGCCTTTGAGTAAGCCCTTCATGCTGACAGTAGTCAGTTTGTCGCCGCAGCTTTTACTTAAAGAGATAGGTGAATCCATTCTTCCAGGTTTTGTCCTCACCTTTCCCACTTGTGTATAAGATGATCTTCCTCTGAGCGCATTAGAGCTCTCTGGACCTTCCTTCCATGGCACTGGATCCAGTTGCGAGAGTTCTTCTAAGCTACAATCTCCACATGGAACCTCGCTAATATAAAGGGCAATTCTGATGTCACTTTTTAGTCTATACTTCCCCAGATTATCAAACTCAACCAAATCACTGGCTTCTTGGTTCTCAAGCTTTTCAATTTCCTCCATAATATACCATGAAAATGAACGTATCGACAAAACTTCGGCATGCAAATCATGAACAAGCTTTCCGCAAGAGTTTTGCAATTTTATATCGGGCACACATTTGACACCCGTAGTTAAGCAAGCTAGTTTCATACTACTTAGTTCCTCTCCGTGCCAATAAACTATACCGGATAGTACCGAAAACTCATCGTTGTTTGGCCTAGCATTAATCAACTGCTTGATTTGCTTATCTGTTAAATGCTTAGCCAACTTTTTATAAGGCAATGCATATGTCCCTAAAACCAACTCGGAGACATTTTGAGCAATGGCTCTGTCATTCATGTATGACTTGACAGCTTTGAGTACACTTCGTTTTCCCAAGCAGCAGCAGAGAAGTATGACACTACATTCGAAAATATTTGTTCAAAGATTGAAAAAAACATGAAAGACAAATTCAGCATGTGTCACGTGATCTTCAAGTGTTAATTGAATTGAACCTCAGTAAACCATGAGCAGCTTTCTTGCTTACTCTGTAACATCAAATGCTCTTCACACCATCAGAATCCGTAGCATGTCTTTTAGCTCATTAACTCGGCGTTAGACATATGTGGTATTTTAGATTTTTCATAGACGGACATTCAAGTATATATTGAACTTTTTGTTATAAACTGAAATGCCCACAACCCAACATACGTTTATTTCATACCAATGCCAATAAGGTAAAGCAATGGCCTCAGCACTGAATACCGAGTTTGAATAACAAAGGCTGTCACCTGTTCACAGCTGCGTATATGCTATGATCGAGTTTGTTGACTAGTGGCTTACGTAACAATGCTGCTTCAACGCCGATTTCCTAATTCGGTAACGCGGTAAGCTTGACTCATTTTTGGTGGCCACCAAAATTCATTTGGCTTAATCGAAAATTTTTCGTCGTCGTCGAGCTAGCTAACCCTGTCACATTTCTTTGTTGTCTTCCTTCTTAACATATTAGATTCTTTCCGCTTGCTCTATTTATAATTCCCACTTTCAACAGCTAGAGAATAGCAACCAAAATGCCTTTAGCGAAGTTATTGAACACTGTGAAAACTAGGTCCGCTCAAGGAAACAAATCGTTCTTTGCCTTGGTTGCATACAGAGCAACTCCGGTTTCCTTCAATTGCAAAAGTGGATCAAACAATTTCTGGAATAAAAAGTGTTCATCCAGATCTTACTCTACCAGATCAACTGTTATACAGTTACTAAACAATATTGGTTCCAAGCGTGAGGTTCAACAATATTTGAAATATTTTACATCCGTTTCACAACAACAATTTGCCGTCATCAAAGTCGGTGGTGCGATTATCACTCAACAATTACCGCAATTGGCGTCGTGTCTTGCATTTCTTTATCACTTGGGTCTTTATCCTATAGTTTTGCATGGTACAGGTCCCCAAATCAATGAAATTCTGGAGAATGAAGGAATAGAACCTGATTACATTGATGGTATTAGAATAACTGATCCTAAAACCATGGGAGTTGTTAGAAAATGTTTCCTGGAGCAAAATTTGAAACTAGTTACCGCTTTAGAAAAGATGGGTGTCAAAGCTCGACCAATCACAGGTGGTGTTTTCAATGCACACTATCTTGATGAGAAAAAATATAAACTAGTTGGTCAGATAGACTCGATAAATAAAGAACCGATTGAAGCTTCAATCAGAGCGGGTGCTTTGCCAATTTTGACTTCCTTAGCAGAGACATCTTCAGGTCAATTATTGAATGTTAATGCTGATATTGCTGCAGGTATGGTTGCCAAAGAGTTTAAACCTTTGAAGATCGTCTACTTAAATGAAAAGGGCGGTATTATTAATGGTACTACTGGTGCAAAAGTTAGCGCCATCAACTTGGATGAAGAGTATGAGGAGTTATTGAAAGAACCATGGGTTAAGTATGGTACCAAGTTGAAGATAAAAGAAATTCGTGATTTGTTAATGCACCTACCACGCTCATCATCCGTCGCAATCATCAATGTTGACGATTTACAGAAGGAACTTTTCACTGATTCTGGTGCAGGAACATTAATCCGTCGTGGCTATAAATTAACTGCTTATGATGACCTTTCAAAAGTAAACACTACTTTGTTGAAGAGTAAGATGGCCGATGAAGTCAATGACGTTGATGAATACATTGCCTCTTTAACTCCAGGTACTTTCCGTTTATATGCGGATGAACCTATGGAAGTTTTGGCTGTTGTCAAGAAATCTTCTGATGGTTCGATTTCCAAGCTTGATAAGTTGGTTGTTTCCAAGTCAGGATGGTTAAACAATGTCACAGATAACATTTTCAGACTATTGGAAAAAGATTTCCCAAATTTGTATTGGATCATTCCAGAGACCGACGAAAACATGTCCTGGTTTTTTGCAAAATCTCAAGGCTCCTACACCAAGCCTGGTGAGGTTCTTTTTTGGTACGGTATTAACGATCTAAACAAAGCCACAGATTTGATCAACAACTTCGTTGGGAACCAAACCTCCACTTGCACAAGCAATGTTTTTGCATCAAAAACTCAAACTCGTAAATTTCATTCTTCCAGATTCAATTTTGGTTCTAAAAAGGTTGCACTTATAGGTGCCCGTGGCTACACTGGACAGAACTTGATCTCTTTGTTGAACAAGCATCAAGATTTAGACGTTGGTTACGTTTCTTCCCGTGAACTTGCTGGTAAAAACTTACAAGGGTATGAGAAGGCCCATATCAAATACTCGAATCTTTCCTTTGATGATATCAAGCGGATTGAAGAAGCTGGGGAGATTGACATGTGGATAATGGCATTACCAAACAAAGTTTGCAAACCTTTTGTCGAAGCTATTGAAGAAGTGAAGGGTAAAGGTAAGATTATCGACTTGGGTGCTGATTTCAGATTTGATGAAACCGGTAAGTGGACTTACGGATTGCCTGAATTAAAAGGCCGTGAGGGTATCATGATGGCAGATAGGATTTCAAATCCAGGTTGTTATGCGACTTGCGCACAACTCTCTCTTGCACCAATGAAGGAATACTTCAGCTTTACCTCCAAGCCTAACATTTTCGGTGTTAGTGGATATTCTGGTGCCGGAACCAAACCGTCCAACAAAAATGATCCAAATTTCTTGAAGGACAATATGATTCCTTATGCTCTAACGGATCACATTCATGAAAGAGAAGTTGGATTTCAACTTGGTAATGGTGTCTCCTTCATGCCACATGTTGGATCTTGGTTCCAAGGTATTGCAATGACTGTGAACATACCATTGAAGGAAAATCACGGTTTGACCGCCGAAAAGGTTGAGGAAATATACAAAGAATTCTACAAGGGCGAGAAGTTGGTTAAGATTCTCGGTGAAGAAATTCCATTAGTTCGTGATATTAGTGGTCAGCAGGGTTGTGCCATTGGTGGTTTCAAACTCAGCGAGGCTGGCGACAGACTTGTTGTTGTAGGATGTATTGACAACTTACTCAAGGGTGCAAGTACTCAATGTTTACAGAACATGAACCTTGCTCTAGGATATGATGAATATGAAGGTATTCCTTCTTTTTAAGACTTTTTAAGCCGTTCTCCTAAAAACTATATACGCTAAATTACAAATTATAAACATGAAACTAAAGCTATCGGTAAGCAATATGTTTTTTCGATTAACTCTGCAACTTCTTCGGTTGAAGAAAAGTACAACGCATGCTGCTTACGTAACTACTCCGCAAATCTGGTCCATGAAATTTTCAATGTCTAGTTTTACCTTACAGAACTTCGAAGAGTATAATGAATTTGAGTTGGAGATGCAGCTGTAGCTTCACAGGAAACCGGAATAACCAGCAAATCCGGCATGTCCAGAGTTATGTTGAACAGGATACTGCAACAGCAGAGCATATTTCCTCGTCGATGTGGACTGGGAGTGGATAACCTGACTCGTGGCTTCCACGCCAAAACCAAGAGCCAGGATGCTTCGAGTATGTCCGATTTGAAGAGCCTACTAAGTAAGGCAAGCGTGAGCGGAGAAACGAAGAGCTATAATGGTAGGGAAGATGGAAGCTCGAGCAACAAGCCATACAAGGGCAAACCGAGAGAGTTTAAGAGGGCTGAGTTTTCATCGGGTTCTGGCACCAGAGATGCGGGTCCAACATCATATGGCAACAAGAAATACCCACCGAGAGAAAAAGAGTTCAAGAACCGAGGTGACTATGCCGATAAGCGATCGAAGTTCAAAAACAGCCCTGGCGGCGGAAAGTCCAAGAGGGATTCTAAAAACACCTACAAAGCTCGGAACGGCTATGATGCCGAGGGTGAGAAGAGACAGAAGAAGAAGTTCCTGTTTTTGGAGAGCGGAAACGACAGAGACAAGGACGCCGCCAAGAGGATCATAGCGATGGCGATGAAGGAGAACGATCGCGGACTAGTGCAGGTGATCAAGGGCGGAGGGGTTGTCCAGGTGGTGAACGTGGTGGATGCGTTCCAGGATATGGTCCTCAGTGAGAAAGGGATAGTCATTGTCGGCAACCGGAGCATCAAAGCAGATGACGCGGAAAAGCACGGTCTCGTGGTCGGCAGCAAGCTGCTGATCCTCAAGGTTGTCGAGAGACAGCTGGCGATCAAGCAGTACGGCGAGTACTTGAGCGAGCAGGTTGTGGAGAAGCTCAAGCTGAGCCGCAGCAACATACTCGACAAGCAGAAGAAGAAGAAGGACGACGGCAGCAGCGGCGAGCTGAAAGTTGTGCAGATTGCCTGGAACATCAACCTGAACGACTTGACGGGCCAGAAGAAGTTCGAGATCGAGAACCACCTCAAGAAGGGCAGCGACGTCGACATCGTCTTCGACGAGCGCAGCTTTTTGGACAAGGACAACCACGGCTCCCACGGCGGCGCCAGCGGCGCCGACAGCGCCAGCGCCGACAAGATGGAGGTCTACAGCAAGCGGCGCAAGGAGCTCAACGACGTCGAGCGGGCTCTTCGCAGCAAGATGCTGGCGATAGTCGAGGCCAACCTCCACGAGCTGCAGGGCCTCCCCGAAGCCAACGTGCTGCCGAAGAAGGGCTTCCTCGAGAGCCGCTTGCTGCTGCGGGTGAAGGGCATCGAGCGCCCCGACGCCGACACCGACCGGGACGACAAGCGGGAGAAGCGCAGGCAGGAGAAGGCCCTCAAGGCCGAGAAGATCAGACAGCGCCGGGAGGAGAAGGAGCGTCTTGCCCGCCAGACCCTGAAGGAGTTCACTCTCTAGTCGCCCACACCTGTACATAGGACGTGTAGATAGCCAGGTAGACGTAGGAGCACAAGACATGATGAGATCATCCACACGGCGGCCTGAACGGGGCAATAGAGCGGGCCCGATCGAGAAGGCGGAGGTGAAAAAAAGAAGAAAATTCTTCGGCCCCCATTCACCGAGAGCGAAGCGAGAGGAGGAGGAGGAGGAGGAGGAGGGAGGAGGAGGTAGAGCAAAGAGGCCGGGTTGTGGTGCCGTGACGAGGTGTGGAGGAGGCGTCTGGTTCCCATCATCAACGACAGGCTTGACCGCAGAGAAGCATTTGGCACGACGACCCGAGGAGACAGAGCCCGAGATTCAGAGGCGCATTCCGGAACCGCTGCAGACATAGTAAGAACCATTGAAACAAGCAAGGAGACACTTCCTTGAGTGCACACGAACGAACACACCCGTCGTCCCCTATGCTAGCTGGTTTACGCTGAGCACACACACACACACACACACACACACAGACACACACATCCTCACAGACACACACCGTAGGCTGAGTTTCTGTCTTTCCTGGCCATCTACTTTTCACGAGGAAGCAACACAGACAAACAAGGATCCACGGACCAAGCAAAGAGAGACCAACCGACCACAGCCATGTCGCAGACACTCGAAATAGACTACGAGGCGCTCCCGGACAACTCGCCGCTGGTGTCGCAGTTGCTGGCGGGCGCCTTTGCCGGCGTGATGGAGCACACAATCATGTTCCCGATCGACTCGATCAAGACCCGGATGCAGACGCTCAAAATCAAGTCCACCGACGGCATAATAGCTTCGTTCTCCAAGATCAGCGCCTCCGAGGGCGCCTTTGCGCTCTGGCGGGGGGTGTCGTCTGTTGTTCTAGGCGCCGGCCCGGCCCACGCCATCTACTACCTGGTGTTCGAGACCACGAAAACCGCCCTGTGCAACAACGTCTTGAGCCAGCGCCGTCGGGCCAGCGCCGCCCACACCTCTGCGCACGCAGCTAATGACACTAACGATAACGACCAAACAACACGTACCTCTAACGAGCCACCTAATGAAGATACCCCGAACATCAACAACATATCGAACTTCATCGTCACCAACGAGAAGCATCCGTTGATTGCCAGCGTCAGTGGTGTTGCGGCAACCATCACGTCCGATGCCTTGATGACCCCCTTTGACGTGGTCAAGCAACGAATGCAGAACAACAACAACACACACACCTTCAGGTCGATATACAAAACCTCCTCCCACATCTACCGCACAGAGGGCCCCAGAGCCTTCTTTGTCAGTTACCCCACCACCTTGATCTTGAGCATCCCCTTTGCTGCCTTGAACTTCGGCATCTACGAGTTCTCCTCTGACAGACTCAATCCGGACCAGCACTACAACCCAATCATCCACTGTGTCAGCGGAGGCATCTCGGGGGCCTTTGCAGCAGCCATCACCACGCCCTTGGACTGCATCAAGACCGTCCTCCAGACAAAGAGCATACCGGAGGCCCACGGCTTGGTGTCTGCCGCCAGAGGACTTTACCTCCAGGGCGGGATCCACTCCTTCACAAGGGGCCTAAAGCCCAGAGTCGTCTTCAACGTGCCGGCCACTGCCATCAGTTGGACAGCCTACGAAATGGCAAAAGCCTACCTACTGTAATTAGAGGATACCGGCCCTGTGCCGATATCGATTGGAAACTAGATTTCTTTTCCTTTTGTGACCATATATTTACCTCCTTATTTATTAAATGTTTTCTCTCCTTTTTTTCCCCGTCTCTCCCCCCTTCTCTCCCCCCTCCCCCCTCCTTTACCTTTACTTTTGCTACCTGATTACTTGTACATACATCCTGTATAGTGATTATCTACTGCATTCTCATCTATTGTTACTATAAAAACAACTTTCAATACAAAACGCAATCTACATACCCGGACCTCTCTCCCCCCCTCTCGCTCCCTCTCTCACCCCTCTCTCGCCTCCTTCTCTCGTCTAGAAGATCTTGGTGGCGAAGAAGGAGAACGTCACCGAGACGGCGATGAACCCGATAAAGTTGAAAAACGCCATTCTCGAGTAGATCCGCTCCTCCTCCTCAGTTCTGAAGGAGGCAAAGATCTTCCGAAGACTTTCAAACATGTTCATCTTGCACAATTACTCACCCTGCTCCGCAACTGACCACGCAAAACGTTTCCTTCTTCCCATCCACCATGCCGTCCCGGCCCAGCCTCTTGGCTTCTCCGATTCATGTTGCCTCCCGCTGCCCCTTAACGACGAAATCGCCGAGGCGCCCTCGTCCCCCTGCCACTGCCGCCGACGCGTCGATTGCGCCCATCGACCCAGATTTTAGTTTTTTCCCGTCACTCTTATCGGCCCTCCGATACCGCATCTCGCAAACCAAACCGGCTCGGCTCTGGGGGCTGCGTTCACCATCTGTGGCTGCTGCCCTAGGCGGCTCCTGTATTTGGATGGATGCATCTACACGTCCTCTTCTTCACGGAAAAATCGTTACAGTGTGGTGTTGCAAACAACAAGAGCTGCTCTGCCACAAGAAACATTGCAATGAAACAGGGCGCCTTACACAGAGAATGGTCGTTATGGAACCAGATTGTCTTGGGCCAGGCGGCTCCGCAAGACACCACCCAGAGAAAGGACGTCTCGGGGATCTCCGCTGAGGGCGAAAAGGAGGGATATGAGGAAGATGGTGCAAAGGAGGGCTATACAGAAAAGGCGGAAGGCATGTACTCACCCTACGTGGGAGAAAGGGGACAGGACGCTGGAGAGAAGGGCCGGCTTGGTGCAGGGCCTTTGGCGCTGGCCACGAAGAAGAAGGTCATGAAGTTTGCGCTGCTCTGGATACCGGTCTTCGTGTGTATCAGGTATCTTCTGATCAACGATGTTTTCAGCTTCAAGCCATTTGAGCCATGCTCCATGTCGAAGATGCAGGCCGTTCCGCTTGTGGACGACGAACCGGTTTTCTCGCTCCACAACGTCTTGGACCCGCTCTTCGGCATCGAGGAAGTCAATGCCACGCTGCCTCACGAGGTCATTGACATACCGCTAATGCCCTACTCCAACGTCTCTTCCCCGGTGTACTCGTCCAAGCTGCTAAACCACACTTTTGCGCTTTCCTGGAACAAGCCAGCCAAGGTGCAATACACCCCTCCACCGTCGAACATCACCTACAACAGAATCGTGCTCACCCTCGACACCACCGTCCAGGGAGTACAGTACGACAGACTGCTCCACGTCTACTTGGCTGACACCGAGATCTGGAGATCCTCCACTATCGAGCCTGCAGGCAAGTTGTCTCATTCCTACTCCCAAAAGGACGTCACGCTCTACTCGTCTCTCTTCAAAGAGGAGGGAAATTTGCTGGTTCAGTTGGACAACTTGGTCACCTCCAAACTCACCGGTGCGTTTAACGTCACTATTAACGCTCTGTTTTTCAATGACCCAGAGGGCTCCAAAGAGGCAAAGGACCATTTCGGCGGTTCAAACAACTCGTACCCAACGTTTGTTCCATTAACGCCATCCACTGTGGGCGACCATGTTCCCCCAATCGTGTACTACCCAGACTCTCCGCTCTCCAACATCAAGCTGCCGGCAGTCAACTACAACACAACCAAGTTGGCATTGCTTGTGTCCACTTCCGGTAACGCAGCCGAGGAATTTTGGTTCTCCAACGTCGTGGACCAGTACAAGGACTACTTCCTTGCCCACAATCGCCATTTTTACGGCCATGGCTCTTGCAGAGTCATCAACGTCTACGTCAACGGCATCAGAGTCCACTCTACAAATCCAAAACCATACGTTTTCTCCGGCGGCGTCTCGCCAACACTTTGGAACCCAATTGTTTCAACCGGCAGTTTCGACCTCGTGCCTTACTTTGTTGACTTGACCCCAATCTTACCTTTGTTATGGGAATCTCCTTCTTCTGTTTTGGACATCGAAATAACCAACTGTATTGACGATGATGAAAAGACAGTCGTCAAGTCAGGCATTGGCTCCAACTGGATTACCTCAGCTTCCTTAGCAGTATGGGAAGATGAAACTGTCGATGACTCCTTTGGTACCTTGGAATCTATCGACAATACAACAGCCATCAAAAGCTTTGCCATTGCTCCTCCTTTCTCGGGGATTTTAACTCAGATTTTGAAAGCCTCATACCAAAATGCTCTATTAAGTAACATCACCTACGTTTACAAGGATGGAACCCAAGCAACGAACGTTACCTCTTATGAAAGTAGCGCCAACCAAACCTCATTGATTCTTATCACTAAGTTCGGTGACTCTCAGTCCGACTTATCAGTTTTGAAATCCAACCTTTCTGTCTCTCAACTAGATCCATTAACTTTTGAGCCAATCAAGGATTTCACAATGTTGACTAACAACACCTTGAAGAACAAGCTCAAGTTCCTACCACCAGTCACATCCACCGAAGAGGACGGAGTGGCTGACACCGATATTTCCTTCACTACCAACCTTACTGTTAAGTTCAATATTGGCCTATACTCTGGCCTTGATCCTATGTTTGAAATCAAATCAAAGGAAAATGGTACAGCTAACTTCACGATATCATCAGCTGGTAATCATGGAACAGGTACCATGTTACATAACTATACACTCTCTAAAGCTGATGGATCCTTGTATTCCAGAGTTGCGTTAGCCGACAACGGGACTATTGTTTATGACAATATCACAGAGACAGTTTCCTCATTACAAAATGAAGAGGAAACTGCCAGTACCACAATCCTTTCTTATTTCTCAAAGATTGCTGAGCTGGATTGGTTAACTCAAGAAGAAATCAATGAGATTGGATATTTTTTGAACGACCAAGAAACTACTGAGCTTGTTAATCTTTTAGATAATTGCCCCATCTCTGAAGTTTGATGAATTGTTGGTCCGCCACTTACTTTATTAATTAATTTACACTGAACTTCTTTCTTTCTTTGTCTATCCTAATTTTTCTTACGATAGCTCCTATTATTGAACTTTAACTTTGAGCCATCATGCAACCTTTTGTTTTTTATTGTTTGATATATCATATCAATTAGAATTGTTTGTATATTCACTTTTCTGTACATGTTTTACCAATGAACAAAAGTTCTTCCTAAAATAATGTCGACGCTAAAGCCACTATAACAGTTTATGTGTAGTGATTTCGAATCACACTTTGACGTCTTGTATCATTTTAGGCGTCGACTATTTTTGCCGGCACCTCAAAAAAGTTAGACCCACAGATTTTGATTACTTTGATTATTATAAAGAGAGGAGAGCGCATTGAACATGAAAATAGATTTTTAAAAAGGCATCTAAACGTGTCTCGAACCGAACGAGTTGGAGGAATGACTAGACGTAAAACTAGATTTTTTGTGTGACAAAAAAACGTTGTCAGATTTGTGTTTAATTCCGGAATCATGAATACTACCGTTCTGTGAATGCTTATCCAAATCTTTGGTATAGAGCTCCACCTCTTTCCAAAATTCCTCGTCAGTTTTAGCGGAAGATTCCATGCCCTTCATTTGATAGTCACCAATTATCTGCTTCTCTGGATCAGCTGTCATACCAGGAAAGCTTTCTGAATCACTCAGTGATGATTTTGGGTAATAGTCCAGTGGTGATTCGGCAAGTGTTTTATTATCATCACTTGATGGATATGGGGAATACATATCGACGGTCGAGCTTGGAGTACTGTTAGACACCGAAGAGTTTGCCCACATAGTAGTCAGTGGCAATGAAATTGTAATGAGTGCTGTACCAAGAGCAGAAAAAGATTGTGAAGAGTATTGATCTGTTTCAGAAAAGGCATTAAAGGATATGAGAATCAATACGGTTGGGATAATCATTGTCTGGAATGTCATCACAAATAAAATATGAAATAGATTGAACTGTGTCAATCCTAGATAACGACGGGTCCGAATTGCGACACCAAGTTTCAATAGCAGCATAAAGCAAATTGCACACGACGAGGTGACAAACAAAATCAAAGGCGTATTAACCAAGTAGCCGGGTCTGCTCGAGCTCGGATTCAAAAACGTAATATTTGAGTACACCATGTACATGAAATACATGACAACCGACGCAAGGCCAAGGGAAGCCGAAAGAGCGGTAGCAACATAGCCCAATCTTTTCAAATGTGTTTGTGGAGACTCAAAAATGATATAAACTTGATAGCAAAAGGAGATTTCCACTAATGCAATTAAAATGACATATAAGACGTTGGCCGCAATTGAAATATTGCTTGCCAAAGTATCAACATTCTCATACATTGAAAACGAGAAGGCAATGGTATTGTAATATTTTGTCAAAGTAACTGAAAATAGACACGATTGCAAGAATAGAATACACAAGCATGCTGTGTTCAAGATGAAAATAGGAGACCTTTTGTTTTTAGTGACTAAGAAATTAACGGGAAGAGCTATGGCCGAAAGCCCTATTCGTGTGCCAAACACTATTGCCAAAACAACAATGGTTTTCAAATATTCATCTAAATCTGCAAAAGTCACCGAATTAAGCCCATCAATTGTGGTATAATTCAAGACAATATTTCCCGGGTCTTCTGGTAGCTTACTAAGGTAGTCTGACATGCTCGATCTCGATGCAACCCAGACAATTACAACATTTTGAATTATGATTTCAGTTAAGTATGTAAGGGTTTCTTTATATTCATTAAAAAATCAAGGCCAGAGAGGGTTGTTTTATAGTTACCTGAGTCCTGATAGTGCACAAAGGCCTAAAGTGGGGAAAACCAGAAATTTGGGCTGCAGCATTTTTGTTCCACGCTCTATCACGGGAGCTTCAAATTTCAGATCAACACAATTTCCTAATCAGGACAATTCAATGAGGATGTTCTAACCCGTTTTTACTTGTTTCACGCTGCGTGTTTATGGATCTAATTTAGTTGATAGTCGTCAGTGAAAGGCTTCCATTGATCGATCTTAACAAGATGTCTCATGGTGGGCCTACCGTGGGGACAATTCCAAGGTTTATCAAGAGCAGAAAGATTCTGAACGACAGTTTCCATTTTGAGCCTGCTCAATGATGACCCAATCATGATACTGGAGCGGCATGCTCTCATTGCGAACATCGATCTAACCTTACTTGGTCTAGGAATCGACATGGTGGAGGCCCCTTTCTCTTCGACCAATTGTATTAGCTCGTTTAGATCTTTTAAATCAAAAATAGTATTCTTGGAGTAGGGTAGGGCTGTGAGGTACAATTCTTCTCGTTTAAAGTGCTCCGCTTCCACCTCCGATTCCACCTCCCCTTCTTCACCAACAACACATGTCTTGAATTTAAACCCATTTTTCTCAAAGATTTTAAGGTTGTTCAAAATTGTTAGCCTCTCAATTGTATTCAAGTCTATTTTCTGAGGCACAACTAAAGGTTGGTTCTCAAACACTGTTTCATCTATAAGTTTCTCAAAATTGAACTTCTCGTCAGATGCATGTTGGTCAATAATTAATATGTCATCTGTATCCCTCTTATAAACAATAATAAAACCTTTGTTGAATTGCCCGACGATTTTCATGTTGTTGAAATCATTTTTATGTATCGATAGGCCTAGTATCTTTTCAGAAAGATTCCGATTAGATATATCAGAAGTTTCAAGTGAGCTTTTCAACGTCAGATGCTCTGAAGTACGTCGTCTTTTGAGATTTTTGCTGATAAGAGACCCATCACGTACTCTGACTTTCTGGTTGACATAAGAAATCTCTTGATTTTCTTCCTTCCTTTGTGGATCAACACTTTCTTCCTCAACATGTTCTACTGCATATCCAGATCTTTCTTGATTAGCTTCACTATCTTCTTTTCCTGAAATGATTGGATACTCTGGATGGTTCAAGTTTTCTGAATCACAGGAATCGCAACAGCTACCAGAAGAGCTTTTTGGAGAAAACTGATTCACATCAAGTGAACTTTTCATAATACCCTTTATCGTATTCTCTTCCAGCTCAACGCTGTCATTCTTGGCACAAGAGCTATGACTGCTGCATTGCATTGGCTCAATAGATACTGAATCCTTACTTTTGGCAATTGGCTCATTCTCACTCTGATCAACATCAAAATCAACATCATTATCACGCCCACCTTCGTCGACTTCTTTTCCTGTATAACTGTACATTTCAACACTCGGCACAGTATCTTCAATATTTGAAGCAGAGCTGTAATTGAAATCGACAATTACTTGTGAGTTCTGCACTCCCTTACTTTCCATTACCTCAACTTGAAGGTCTTCAAGAGAGTCTCTCACATCTGCTGATTCCTGGAATAATGCAAATGATTCCAACTTGGGTTGTGTCGTACATGAGTTCCTCTCTATAATTTTTTCTTGATAGGATTGATTGACTGGAATATTGTATGATCCTTCATTGTCCCAATGAGATTCTAAATATGTTTCGAGTTTGTTCATTAAAATCATCTCATACTTGTTGGACATTAATATTGTCTTTTTATCTGGAGTTACATTAATGTCAATTAAGTGTTCATGTATTTCAAGGTTCAAAAGAACCATAGGGTATTGTAAATAATTGAATTTTTTGTAGACGTCATTCACCAATTTCATGATCTTTTTGAATTCAACGGGCCTTTGATTTATATACAGATATTGTCTGTCTTTAGATAACCTCCCACTTCCTATGGAGGAATTTGACAGCAGACCAGTTATTTTGATACTGTATTTTTCATCCAAATCTATTTTCAGATCTATTTCTTCCAAGCCTTGTAATCCCGTAGCTCCGTAAACATTAATGATATTATCTTTTAAAAAAGAATTCCCGGCAGTTTTCATCATGATCTTCTTTTTTCCAGAAGCGTCGACATTGTAGACAATTATACGAATGTTTGTCAAAATCAAAAGATACGACATGAGTGTTTGTAAACATTTTTGAAATTCTTTCCGGGAATGTTTCTCCAGATGCAATCTTCTAACAGGCAAGTTCTTGAAAATATCATTGATTTTGATTGTAGTTCCTTTGCTCTGATTAATTAGTTTTTGGGCAACAAGGTCTCCTTCCTTATCAAAAGTCAAATCATAGCCTCTTGGAGCTTTACTTGCTTCAGCAGTTAGGATTGAAACTTGAGAAACGTTACATATCGAGTTTAATGCTTCTCCTCTGAAACCTAGAGTTTTCACATCTATCAATTTTTCAAAATTTTCAAGCTTTGATGTATAATTTTTGCGGCATAAGTTCGGAAAGTCCTCTACTTTAATACCATCCCCATTATCCGAAACTTCAAGTCCCTCTGAACCTAACTTCTTGAACGTAACATTTATGGAAGTAGAGTTTGCATCAATGGAATTTTCAACCAGTTCTTTCACAATATTGTTTAAGTCTGTGATGACCTGACCGCTTGTTATATTATGAACATCCTCTTTCGAGATGCGGCGAAGAGCCATAATGCCTGGTTTGCAGTGTTTTTATCGCTGATAAAGTGCAACGACAAGTGGCCATGATTCGTGATTCATGTTATCATTAGAACAGTTAAAAAGATATAGATACGCGTCAGATGTACAACGCGACCCTCCTAAGGGCAACATGAAAATGCACCTTATAACTTTCCGTATTACCAACAAATCAGTGGGCCATACCTAAATTTCTGTATAAACTTTGAAGTAATGACGGTTCTGAGTACCTGAGAAGGCGAAGAAGGCTAAAGGGGGAAAACATTTAGATGATTATAGATTCTATAAAATATGGGGAGTGAAAACTTGACACCTAAAAAGGTCATCACTACATTATCTTTATTCCTAAGGGTCATAATAGAACAAATTTGGTATCATTTTGAAATATACCCAAAAGAATCATTCAGGCCGTACACATTCTATGGCTTCAGAGTATTTTCTTCAAGACATCCAGGAGTTATTTCCTACCTCGATCAACTTGAGCTACAGCTACAAAAGTTAATGGAAAGAGGCATACTTGTGAGAGTCTTCTTGGAAATTTACGAAAACAAAAAAAGAAAATACTCCTTCGGTTTCAGCTTTAAAAGTTCCCTTCTTTTTGAGCAACTTGAAAATGATACTCAGTTTGTGAAATTTGATGCTTCAACTGACATCTTTAATACGTTTACTTTGGTAAATGAACTCAAAAGCTTATTATTTTCTATCATCAATGTCTATTCCGGGCTATCCATTGCTCCTTCAGAACAAAGTGACAGCTTTAAGGTACTCATATCATCGTCGGACGATGTCCACCTTTCAACAGATGGTAACTGGATACTAGAGAAATTTTCGCCTAACCAACCTACAATATCAGTGACAGATGAAAAGTTCAGGGACATTGATTTCCAGCCACTGCAAGATGTTAACCTTGGTTACTTAAACATTAAAAGCTATTTAGCGGTCCATTCCAACTAGTATGTAGGTAAAAGAAGCAGTAAAAGATATTTTAGTTTTACATGTATATTATACAAATCGGTTTATAGATTCTTAATTGTGTTCAGTGTATTTTTGAAATGTGACTTCTCGTCACTTGGAAAACATTAGTCTTCTCCAAGTGACCGTTTCCCCAGTCCTGTATCATTGTTATGAGAAACCAAACACAGACGAAGTTAAACAAGCTGTGCAAAAAATACAAATGCCTGGTTCCAAACAAGAGACAGTACAAGGAAAAGTGGCATAAAAAGACCTTTGTTAATAATATGTTGATTTTTTTTGTCGGTCGAGGGATCATATATCCTTGGTTCAACATCTGAATAAGTATAATTATCGGTAAGACAGCCAATACATTGTGATGAGAAGAGAAGGGCGTTCTCCACTTTAGTGAGATATCATGAATCCACACTATTAAAACCGGTACATTTATTGGTATTAGCCATAACATTAAAATAGTGAAGGATAAATTGAAGTTTTTGAAATTTTCCAGTAGTATTAGCGACTTTTTAGAATAGCAGAACTTGTCCAAATCCTTTGTACTATTGGAATGATTGATTACAGCATCTTTGTCAACAACCAAAATACTCTTTTCATGTTCTCTAGCTAACTCTTCATTTGTGGATAAGTTTTGAGCTTCTGGAGTCAAGTATGAGTTTAGGTTAGGATATGAAATGAAGAGGTTCAAAGTGGAAAATGCCTGAGTCAAGACACAAACAACAAATGCAAACTGGTAAGGGAGATAAATCAATACTAACACCAACAATGACAAGACACTTAAAGTTCTCCTTTGTGTAGATAAATAACTGAACCTGGGCATTTTCACAACTCTCCAAATTCTAAGCTTGGAAAACTTAATTGCAAACTTCAATAAGAATAAAATCAAGTTGTATAAAAGCATGTTCAGTCCCATTGATACAAATAAAATAATGGTACCATAAAACCACAATGAAGGCTCTTCAATTCCCATAAATGTTGAATTTATTCTTACTTCTCTATTTTCGATTTTGTCCATCAGCTTCAAATCGTTTCTCTCAACCGGGTCTAAGAGTTCAAAAAGCTTGCCAAAAGTAGAAGAAGTCGAAGTGAAAAACGATAAAGACGAGAAGAACAATATTAAAACTCCCATTATCTTGTAGTCACAGATGTACAACAATGTTTCTCCAAATGAGGGATAGAAATTAAACCTTGCATAATGTGTAAACTGAAGACAAATAATTAATAACGTTATTGAAAGCGGGAATCCAATAATGGAAAGCCTATACTTCAAAACTAGTAGTTTTAAACTCTGAAACCAGTCAACAGAAAGATATATATCCATAAGTTGATCTGATGACAACGAATCGCTGAATATTTTCAGTCTAACATGAGAAGAGGAATCATCGACAATAAAAGGGGTATAAGGTGAATTGCCATTAATAATTGAAGTGATGATTTTGTTTGAATCTATATTCGTATGCCATTTTGTTTCACCTTTAACAGTCTGACTAATAAGCGTCGAGAACTTTTCATTTTTTGACTTCGAATATCTGATATCTAAGCTATACGCTAATAAGCTGGAGCTGACAGATGGAATATCAATATCAACAATAATAGAACGATGCGATGGGATAGTAATATCATTTCCCCGGGATATTAATTTCCAAAGACTGGAATCTCCCAATTTCAAAAAACTTGACTTTTCAAGTTCCATATCTGCTAAAACAAAATCATGGTCGTTTGAGTGATTGATGCTAGTGCTTGACTCAACTAAAACGATGCTGTTGAAAGAAGCTAAAATGTTAGAGGGAATTTCCAAGGCATAATACTGGCTATCAAATCCATCCTCAGATATATGTTGTAGTTCTGGTTTTGGGATATGGTAAACAAATTCGTTGACATCAATACATTCGAGTTCTGCAAATTGGTTTGTTATATCTGTAGTATAATCGTGAACTTGTTTATAGTGATGATTAACGTTGGAAAATTTCCCATCTTTTAAAATTGTCCTGCATAACAAGACTGCGGGGGCTGGTGATTCATTCAGGTTTTCTATATTAGACGGCTTCAACGAGCTGATAAAGTTAAACTTGAAGTTTTCGTCTTTAGGGACATAAAACAGATGGATTGGTGGTGAATTAACTTCAGTCCTTTTCGACAAACTTTTTGGCAACTGAATAAATCGCTGATTTGCAGAATCCTTTAGTTGCTTTAAATCAATTTTCAACTTATATGGTAAGTTGTAATTCATATTCAGATTTTTCAAAATTTCAGTCGACTTTTGAAATCCAGGTAATAAAATAGATCTAAATATCTCCATTCTTTTTTCTAAAGAATAAGTTTGAGTTGGTGAATTAACATCAATTACTTGCAGTAATGTTTTGGCTAAAACTTTTCTTAATTGATCACACCACACAATGGCCAAATGATCTATTGGAGTCCATACTCCAGGTATCCCTGTTGTTGAAACCGAAAACCCATGATTAGAGGGAACCAAACCTGTCAAGGTCGTATAGTCGGTCGGCAAAGTCGTATCCAATATTCCGCCTGTTATTGAAATCAGAGAAACATCTTCTAATCTTTTTCTAGCAATCATACTCAATTTGGAGTTCATGTTTTCATCTTTTACAAATCCATTTCTCCAAAAATCATCAGTAAGTTTGAAAACGTTTAAGAGGTCACCATCAAAAGTAGTTGGGGCTGCATTGTGAGGAGTTGATAACGTTACAATGGTGTTTACCGAGTGATCCAAATAGTTAGGTAAACTCAACATCACTCTTGCAACAATCCCTCCCATGGAATGACCTAACAAGATAACTGACGTGGGAACATTTTGAGTTCGGGAATTGCCGTTGCCACCATCGTCATTGAGTCTGTATAGGGAGAGTATGAATTTTATTGCGTCATTTAGGTATTCCGCTTGATCCAACATTGTCCTTCCGTGAAAAGCAGTAAAATCTTCGTTGAAATCTGCTGTAAAAAAATCCATGTTATTGGTATTCAAATTCAGTGATTTGATGTACGCGTTGTTATCAAAAAATTGATTTGCTGTTTCAGCAGCTATTGACCTGACTTGTTTATAACTACCTGCATTACCAGGAATAAACAATATTGGAGTTCCTGCTAAATTGAATTGATCCGAGTCATCTGGTATTGAATCTTTATGCTGCTCTCGATATAGATAGAGAGAGTACTTTGAAGCAAATTTGGTGTGTGTAGAATCGAATGCATGAATTTTGGCATAGGCTGGAGACATAAAAACACCTTTGCAAGCTGGAGCATCTGCACCTTCATATGGTAGAGAGTAGCTGAACCCAATCAGAAGCAAAATCAACAAGCCTATCAACGAAACAAGGATGAGTATTATGTGATTAAGAAGATATGTGTGATAATAGTGATGAGCATCTAATTTTTTCACCTTCAGGTTGTTACTATTGCTGTTATTGTTGCCACTGCTGGTGCTAGTGCTATTGCTATTGCTATTGCTATTGCTATTGCTGTTGCTATTGCTGTTGCTGTTGCTGTTATTATTATAATGATAAGTGGTATTTTTCATAACTCAAGTAATGAACAATGCTTGGTACTATGAATCGGGGGTACGAAAAAAAACAAAACAAACGTTTGAATGAAAATGGGTCGATAAATATGCAGTATGAGCTAGTCGTGATATAATGAAATAACACAAGTAACAAATAGAATGAAAAAGGAAATGTGAGTTCGAGGTGGGGGAAAACTCGAAATGAATAGCAGTGTATAACTTTGCAGCACAGTTGCAGAATGGATGCTTATGGAGGCTGAAGGAAATAACAAAATAAAGTCAATGAACTAGTAGGAACAAAAAACAGACCTTGTGATGAGACTGTGGTTCACACTATGTATATACTTGAATATATCGGTGCTGTTCAATGCAAAAAATAGATGGCATTAAAAAAACAAAGGTCAAACAATCAATGAAAGCCGTCGATGGATACTGTTATAAGAGAAAACTAGAAAACGTCTAGGATTCAAGTAAATCTCTTTCTTTTCTTAAAGTCCCTCCTATTCAAGCTAATATCAGCGGGCTTAGCAAATTTGTCGTAGGGGCTGGTGGGGGAGGGAAATCGCTTGAAAGACGTTAAACTGTTCTCGTTTTTTGAAAACTGGTTCTCTTCTTCTGATGTGTGTTACGGGAGTTCCGAATGGACAGGCAAACAGCTAGATTCAGCAGACGGGTACAGAAGTGTATGTGAGTGTGTGTCGGGTGGTGTGTATGCTCAGCAAAGCATGTCCTACTCCAATCGAAACAGGCGTGTGATCAAGCAGTCCCAACACCGACGACAGAAGAAAAGATGCAATTGAGTGCAACAGGCTCTGCGTCCAGCTAGTATATATCCCACCCTAACGGTAACCTCTTCCGGTCCACGGCTGGAGGCAGAATAGCAACATTCATGAAGGGGAAAAAAGCGTGAGTAACGCCAGGTGAGGAGGCGTAGTGGTTCCGAGACTGCAGAAAGTGGAAAAAAGAGGGACAGAGACAGGAATAAGAACAGGGCTGAGGAAACTAGACGAGGCAATGGTTTTTCCTTTTCCAGAAAACGTGGTCGATCGGCCTAGGTTACCCGGCGCGGTCGTGCGTGCTCTTTTGACCCCGTTTGGTGGTCCACCTTTTTTTCGAGCAGTAGGCTGAAAAATGGACGGTTTGGCATTCAAAATGCTCAGCTAGAATGAGTTAATGGAGGGGAAAAAGGGACATTGAGGAAGGCACGAGGGGAAAAGAAGCACGACCAGCAAGCCAACCATGACAAGGAGAGCACAAAACCTCAACTCGTTGGTCCGCGGAAGGATCAGACCTTCCATGAACAAGTACAACTTGTTCAACCTGTACAAGAAAAGCAAGCCAAACTTCAGAATCATGACGTTGTATCAACAGAAGTGGTCGTCTAAGCAGGAGACAAGAGGGTACCACGGTGAGCACATTAAGGAAAACAGATGGCAGAGCTTTTTTGAAAAGAAGTTGGAAGGTGTTGCCCAATTGGACGCCTCGCTGAAGGGTAACGTTCCTTCCACTCCGATGGTGCTACAGACGTTTGCGCCTTTGGAGAAGAGATTGGACTATGCGATCTTCAGAGCACTTTTTGCGTCTTCAGTGAGACAGGCAAAGAAATTCATCTTGAACGGACATGTCACAGTCAACGGTGTTGTCATCAAGCACCCTAGCTTCAGTTTGACCCCTGGGGATATCTTCTCCGTCGATCCCGAGAGAGTATTAGAGGCCCTGGGTGCAAAGAAGCCAAGTTTGAAAGAGTCCTACAAGATCGATAAAATGCAGGTGATCAAGTGGCAGAGCTACGTTAACGAGGTGCAAAATGACCCAAGGAAGGTGTGGGAAAAGAAGATGGAGAAGCAGAAGAAGGTGAATTCCTTGTACAAAAATTACAACGTCAATGGCGTACTCACCGAAAACTCGTTTGCATCGACCGATGCTGCAGAACGAAAGAAGAACATGCAGGACTACAAGATCAAGAAAATGAAGGAGGTACAGAATTCCATCGACAGAAAATCAATCTTGAAAGACATAATAAAAACAAGTCCTGTTGAGAGTGCTGCTGCTTTCAAAGAGCAATTTGGTGACAAGCTAGCTGCCAAGGCATTTCAGGTCTACCAGGAGCTTCCATCCGCCATTGTGAAGTTGCAAACAGACAAGGAACTCGCTGCAGAACTGGAAAAAATTGTGCCTTCCTACAAAGATGGTAAGCCAGTTGGTGACTTTTACGACGACTCTAATTTCAAGAAAATCAGATCTCAATTGTCTGAACTTCAAACCGAATACCTCGAAAAAATCCGTCAAGATTTCGAAGAAAAACCTTTGGCGCAGGATGAGTTAATCAAAATCTGGAGCGAAAGCTTGACAAAACATCCTAAACTCCCTCCATTCAATGAAGTCGAAGAGAAGGGTACCTATTTTGTTAAGCTGCCATGGCAACGTGGAATGCACGGCTTGGCAGATCCATCCAAGTCATATTTCACTCCTTGGAAACCAAGACAGTTTTTACCTGTTTTTGCTGTCCTACCTAAGCATATCGAGATATCCTTTTCCACCTGTCACGCTGTCTATTTGAGAGATCCTGTTGCTAGACCTGGTGAATCAGAAGTGATTTCTCCATTTGACGAAGACATTCATGAAAGATCTTACATGTACTATTTAAAGAATGGTATGTGATGTATTATAGATTCCATTTACATTACCATCTCCTGTATATATATGCCGTTTTATATAGTTCGAGTAATTTACTTTCCAGTACGAAAAAGAGCACGACACCATTGCACCCTACTTTTCTGACTATCAAAATCAAGAGCTAGTGTTACTCCTATAGCAGAGGTTACCAATGCCATTATGTACGACGGCGAGGAAATTTCAGTCCGGTGTCTTGATCGTCGTTATACCAAGGACCTTCGTAGTTAATTAAGTATCTCGCTAAATCTCATGAGCATAGCCAAATGTCACCTAAAGTACTAGAAAAAATGGTGGAAACCATTTCAAAGTCTTATCCTGTCAAGCAAGCTAGACAAGAAGCTGTCTGGATCACTCAAGAACTACCACAAAAAGAATGGCTCAACGCAAGCCATCTCAGATCAAAACTAGTTCCGTTACAGTACATATTGGGGTCCCAACCGTTTGGAAACTTGGATATTTCGTGTAAGAAAGGTGTATTAATACCTAGATTGGATACAGAAGAATGGGTACTAGAAGCATCTGATATACTAAGGGATGTTAAAATTGATCACATAGTGGATTACTGTACTGGTTCTGGATGTATAGGTCTAGGTTTTGCTTCAGAGCTTCGAAATACAACTCAAATTGAATGCATTGACTACAAAGATGAGGCTGTTGATTTGGCCAGAAAGAATCACGAACTAAACTCTAGTAACATCCAGACTCAAATAAAATTTCATAAGGGAAGTATCTTTGATAAGTACTTGCCCAGTGACGCAAACTACTTAGATGAACGGTCACACAATATGCTAGTGTCAAACCCCCCATACATTCCGGAAGAAGATTTGATCTCGCCAGAGGTTGAGGAGAGTGTACTTAGATATGAGCCTAGAGATGCTTTGCTCGGCGATTCGGAGTTCTACGAAGCTCTTTGCTCTGAAATACTCATTAAAAACAAATCGTTCAAGGGATTTATTTTTGAATTGGGGTATATGCGTCAGGCGCAAACAGTAGCAAAACTCCTTGATCGCAAACTTTGGAATGTGGGAATACGAAATGATAAGAGTGGAAAGTTAAGAAACGTTCTCGGATGGAAGAGTAATTCTCCATTTACGGTTTTGGAAAACATGGTTCATCACTATCTGTAGCTTAAAGAATTTACAAACGAATTTTTTATATTGAGACCTCTTCTGCTGTTTCAAGGGCTTCAGAAGCTTTGCATTCTTCACCTTTAGTTTCTTCAACTTTTCCTGATGAATTGTCCCCATTACTTTCATTAGCTTTAGCTATTCTTCTCTTTTTAGTACCTCTACCAATGGCCACAACGTTTTCTATTGGGAAAACTTTTATACCTGTGAGAATATATCCACCATCCGACCTCGATGTCATCAGTGGATGTATCCTACCAGGAATGGTTTGATACTTTCTGACCACCGAATGGTGAATATTTGGCAACAAAATTCCTTTTTCTCTCAAAAAGATATGATTTAGCTCAATCAAAGCTTCTTTGTATTGGTTGTAAATCACTAACGGTGAAGAGCCACGCAAGCGTGGTAAGAGTTTAGGAACAAATGTTGTAGGGTTCAACGTCGATACATATATCAAGCTTTCAAAGTCATTTTCAATGACACGATCTAAAACTTTGTTGATAATATGGAACCTTTTTAACTTTCTGTCATATTGAGTCCGCATTTGCTCAGGAAGTTTCTTATATTCTTCTTCATCTAATGGCTTGAAATCTGGTCTCTCTGTCTCTGGCTCTAGAAATTGCAAAACATTTATGCATTGCACCATACTTTCTGGAGAGGTGGAGATTTCCTTGACATATCTAGTTTTGTTGAGCAAATGAACACTAGGCTGATCGTTTTCATGTAACAAAGTGATGGTACCTCTGTTTCCCATTCTTTCCAACATTGCGTAAACAACCAAACCACCAGTTTCATCCACAACTAGATAGTTTCCACCCGGCATCACATTCCCAAAACTCATCATTGACCCAAGCATCTCTATACTCAGATTCATTATTCTAAAAGGCTCCTTTTCATAGTATAGATAATCTAACATCTCATTTGAAGTCAAGTAGTTGATGGAAAAGCGGCGTAAGAATTTCTTGTGTTTACGGTCAAGGTACTTTTCCTGTGAATATGCTGTTTTCTTGTCGAAAGACCCATGATTTTTGATCATTGTTTGAATGATTTCACGGGCAACTTCGTTACCGCCCATTTTGTTTTTCATTTCCTCGACCTCTTCTACGGTTAACTTTTGTACATTAGCTCCATCGATCAATAACCGATTATCCTTGCTCGAACCGCTAACCAATTCGTCAGTATCTAACTCAGCAAGATCCGTGATACCTACTTCCAAGCTTTCAATTGCGCTGACCTTATTTTCAGTGCCGATTTCGAATGCTTGTCCGTATGGATAACCTAGAACATTTTCGACGTTAAATGTTCCAAATTTTCCCATATTGATCACACCTTCAATACGCAGCTGAATCATTTTCCTGGCACCTGAAGGAAGTCGCAGGATAGCATAGTCATCCACCGTTATGTTTCTGTGTGGCTCCATGATATTTCAATCTTGTTAAATTCTATTGACCTTTGACGCTTTTAGTTTTAGATCAAGGTAATTAACTACATGGTTCTGATAGTGAAATATTTTTTGATAAATTTTGCGATTTTTCAAATTCTCAAAATCTTGGAATTTTTTTTATTTGAAAATTTTTTAAATTTCACTTTCCACCTTCTTTCATAATAGTTTCTATTTTGTGAATAGTAACTTAAACGATCAACAAAGGCTTGAAGTCATTAATAAGTCCATTTATACACAATGGGAAGAAAGGCAAATAATAAGCAGGGTGCACCACCCACTTTTGAAGAATTTAATGCGGTCAAAGAACGTAAAGATCAAAAGAAACGTCAAAGAGAATCCAAAGTAACAACTTCCAAAGTTCAAAGTAAAAAGCAGAAGTCAAACGATAAGTCTCAACCAAAGACTAAGAAAGGCAAAAAATCCAAGACTGAAGAAGATGTCACTGAAATTCCGGCTGACATTCCACACGTTGATTATGAAGAACTAAGCGCAGCCAGAAAATCTTTGTTTGATGATGATTCAGACGAGGAAGACGGAAAACTAGAGACACTTGAAGATTTGGATGATGAAGTAGACTTAGATGATGAATTTGATGAGGATGATCAAGATATTCACGAGAAACCAATGTTTTCGGATGACGAAGACTTGAGTGATGAAGAAATTGAAAAAGTTAATGCTGCCAACATTGAAGAATATTCCAAGCAACTTGACCTCGAAAGACAGCAAGAAGAGTTAGAAGCCGAAGAAGAATTACTTGGAGTCAATCAGACACAGCCCCGTGCCGCAATCTTACCACCTCAAGGAGAAGCAGATCCAGCATCTCAAACCAAAGATGGCGCTAAGGATATCACTTTTATCAGAACAAGAATGTTAGAGATCGTGAAGGTTTTGGAAAATTTCAAAGAGTTGGCAGAAGAAGGGCGTAGCCGTAGTGAGCATGTTGATCAGTTAATCAATGACATATGCGATTATTTTGGATACACACCATTTTTGGCTGAGAAACTTTTCAATCTTTTTTCACCTAGTGAAGCTATAGAATTTTTTGAAGCTAACGAAATTCATCGTCCAGTTACCATCAGAACGAATACATTATTAACAACAAGAAGAAACTTAGCACAGGCCCTTGTGAATAGAGGTGTTAACTTGCAACCAATCGGTCCATGGACAAAGGTAGGTCTACAAATTTTTGACTCACAGGTTCCAATTGGTGCTACTCCCGAATATTTAAGTGGTCAGTATATTTTACAAGCTGCATCTTCTTTTCTTCCAGTCATGGCCCTAGATCCTCAAGAAAACGAAAGAATTTTGGATATGGCCGCTGCTCCAGGTGGTAAAACTACATACATATCAGCAATGATGAAAAATACGGGTTGCGTTTTCGCAAATGACGCTAATAAGGCTCGTACAAAGTCTTTGATTGCAAACATTCACCGTTTGAACTGTACCAACACAATTGTGTGTAACTATGATGCTAGAGAATTCCCTAAAATTATTGGAGGGTTTGATAGAATTTTACTAGATGCTCCATGCTCGGGTACAGGTGTCATCGGTAAGGATCAAAGTGTCAAAACTAACCGTTCACCAAAAGATTTCATTGAAATTCCACATTTACAAAAACAGCTTTTACTAAGTGCAATTGACTCCGTTGACCACGCATCTCCAAATGGTGGTATAATTGTTTATTCTACATGTTCTGTGATGGTGGAAGAAAATGAAGCTGTCATTGATTATGCTCTTCGCAAGAGACCTAATGTTAAACTAGTTGAATCTGGTTTGACAATCGGTAAGGATGGTTTCACAAGTTTTAGAGGTAAAAATTTTGATTCAAGTGTCAAACTCAGCAAGAGATTTTATCCACATGTTTATAACGTGGATGGTTTCTTTGTTGCTAAGTTCAAGAAACTTGGACCAAGCCCATTTGACATATCTAAGGCCGGTGCTTTCGAAAAAGAGAAGATGGCTAGAGAAGAAGCTTTGAAGGAAGGCTTAATTGCTGATGATTTTGCCAAATTCGACGCAGAGGAAGATAAAAATATCATGAAAGAATCCATAAAACATAGCTTGGAAAAGAAGGGTATCGATCCAAGGAAGGTGAATATAGATGAAAAGCTAAGTAAATTAGATGAGGAGTAGAACTACAAGTAGAAAGATGTACACTGATTTATATATTTTTTTACATTTCTATGTAAGATTAATACAACCAAACCCATTTTCGGTCATATAGTGAATACCAAATTCGTCGTACTGCTGTCTTGTCCAGAAGCTCTTCGAATTATTCAACTTGTACTCATTGTACGCCCATTTGGACATACCTCTCCAAGCATCAAGCATCGGATCCTTTGCCACTCTAACATTGAATGGCACGTTCGTTGGTGAAAACATGCGAACCTCTTTTTCCATTCTTTCTTGAAAGTTCGGGAATAATGTACAACCACCTGTTAAGAAGATATCCTTGAAAACGTTCTTCACCGGCTCGCATGCTGATATATCACCAGAAAATCCGAGCTCCTGAGGTAACCTTCTTAGTAGAGTATCTTCCACTACTTCAACAACACCGGCTTGATCAATACCAGTTATTGAAGGTTGGAACATTATCTCAGGTATTCTTATTCTTTCAACATTCAAATGAATTTGGTGTAATTGATGTTGGTCCTCGTTATCGAAATCTCTAGGACCTCTCAAAAATTTATGTATGGTCGAGTTTCTGTAATTGAATTGACGTTCTTGTGTATCTTCCATAGTAAAACTTGGATCAAACTCTAACAATTGCTTTTCAAGCAGATATATCTCTTCCAGCTCTTCTGCAGACAACTCCTCATCGTCAACACCAGCAATGTCCCTATATATAGCCCAATCATCATCATTAGCACCGAATGTATCATTTGGATCGTTATCAATTGTTACATTGTGGCGTCGCTTATTGTTACCGTTACCCGAACCATTTTGATTTCCTGAGTTGTTTGCTGGTCCATCATCTGCTAGAGATGCAATATTTCTCATTCTTTGTTGGGAAGCCCTAGACTTTCGATCTCCAAGTTCATCCTTTAATTTAATTCTCTCTTTCCTTCTTTTGACAACATTATCAAGTAGTTGACGTTTCTGTTTAATCCAGTTTTCTAGATCAGTGTTTCTAAATTCAATATCTTTTTGACGAACCTCCTCAGCTTCCTTAATCGCTTCCTCTTTCTCTTTCCTTGCACGGATTTTGGAATCGATGTTGGACTTAATCAATCTCAACCTACGTTTTTCTTTCAACTCTTCAGGGTTTAGCTCTGCACTGGGTTTATCTAAAAGAGAGAAATCATACTTAGACTCATCATCCCCAGATTCGTCATCATCGTTTGTATCCAATAATTTGGCCTTTTTTAAAGATTTTTCAAGAGTAGCAAGATACTTGTTTAAATCAGCTTCATCATCAAACCCAGCTTCACGTATAGTATCAATAACTTCCCTTTTGCTCATATTGTTGAAGCTATCTTTGATTTTGGTATAATACTCAAAGTCTTTCTGCTTCAATTGAAGTTTCTCGAGTCTTTTGACTTTTGCTTGGTTTTGAAGTTTCTTGATGTTTTCTTTTCTCTTCTGCTCCTCAATTTTGAGCTGCTCTTCGGTTTTCTCCTCTTTGATTATCTCATTGAAAGGTGCTTCAATGGTTATATCATTTTTCTCTAGATAATCTAGATCCAATGAATGTCTTATCTCCTGGCCGAAATCCTTGGAAACAAAACAATGATCTTGAACCAAGCTTTGGATTTGCCAGTCATTCAATCTCGTTGGAAAATATGGATACTTCAAACCTATCGAGCATTTCATGAAATCATATAACTGGTGTCCACCAACGTTGATTCTTTTCGAGATATCAATGATGGGACGGCTATCTAAAACTGGTATTACATGTGTTGCCTCATGATTCGTACCGACAACCATGCCCGATTTACCATCATTCTGATAATAACTGAAAAGCGAATCAACTCCATATGCCACAGAGGGGACATTATACGTTTCAAATAAAAGCTGTGATAGATTCTGTCTTTGAGATAATGGTGTGGCTAGGGTCTCATTCATGACAATAGGGTTGCTCACTTTACTATCCGAATCGACTCCTAGATGTAAGAAAGAAAAATCAAAGATCTTTTCGACCGCCTCCCAATTTGTCAGCATCTGACCATCATATGGGTTTCTCATGTTTGCCTTTATGGTAGATTCGAAGAAGACATCGTAGCCAACAAAGGTGGAGGGCCTGTTTGTTTTCCGGTCTCTATATCTGGCACTTAAAGTGGGAAAATTCAGAAATGGGTCACGAGTACCGGCCATTCCTACTCTGACACCCGTTCTCCCGAGATCAACTGCTATGGGAACATTCTGGGAATAGTGTGAGCTTTCCGTGTTAAACGGTAGTAAAGCCTCAGTTTGCGGATAATCCGTGAACGAATAAACTTTCCTTGGAGGGAGGTCTTCCTCTGACTTATCAAAGTTATGCGAGAACTGCTTTTCTGTCATTATCTGCTACTACTCCCACTTGTTGCTTCCTGACCATGCGAAGCCTCCCTTGTAGGAGAAAAGATCAATTCTGTCTAGTGCAGGTGGTATTATAGCAAAGAGCCAGTTCGTGTTTGCAAAGCAGGTCTCGAGCGAGGGCAGGTGGAAAAAATACATACGTCCTGGCCGAGGCGTGGTGAGGATGACAAGGAAAAATGCGGTTGTTGATTGTGCAATATTTGCCACGACAGGCAGGGTGAGCCTTCTCTGGAAGGCCAGTTGGTAATAGCTTTGGAGGGTACAGACACGGAAACAACACAATGGCTGACAATCAAAGCTTCTCTATCCAGGGGTACAACCTTGTCACGCTTTTGAAGCGTCTAGAAGCGGCAACCTCCCGGCTGGAGGACGTTACAGTTTACCAGGAGAACCACGTTTTGGGCAGTTCTGCTGCGAAGGACATCAAGCCAGAGAGTCCATTGCATCCAGCTGCCACTGCTCCTGCGGCAATTGCACCGGGAGCAGGAGCAGGAGCAGGAGCGTCCCCGGCAGCTGCAGCGCCAGCAGCCGATGCTGAGGTTGCAAAATCCATCAAGGAGTTTGATGCCTTCATTGAAGAGAAAGTTTTGCCTTACGTGGAGGCGTCGAAGAAGATTGATCCGGTTCTGGGAGAGCAGGCGGAGACCTTTGAGAAGGCTGTCCAGAAGGAGCGGTCTGTTTTGAATGCGGCCAGCAAGTCGAAGAAGATTGCGGTCGACGACGCCAAGTTCCAGAAACTGGTGATCGCCCCAGTGAACGAGCTGATCATGAAGGTGATCCAGATCAAGGATGACAACAGACAGAGCAAAAACTTCAACTTCCTCAACGCCGTGGCGGAGGGTGTTGCTGTTTTGGGCTGGATCGTCACCACGACTCCGGTGTCGTACATCCCGGACTTCAAGGACTCTGCGCAGTTCTGGACGAACCGAATCTTGAAGGACAACAAGGGCAAGGAGAGCGAGAAGGTGAGCTCGGAATGGGTGAAGAGCTTCTTGAGCATCTTCGACGCGTTGAAGACCTACGTCAAGGAGTACCAGACTACGGGCATTGCGTGGGGAGGGTCTGGGGACTTCGAAAAGGCACTGGATGGGTCGACTGCTGCCACCGCCGTCCCTGCCCCGGCGCCTGCTGCCGCAGCCGGCGGCCCCCCTCCTCCTCCTCCTCCGCCGCCTCCGCCCGCCGACCTGTTTGACGACGTTCTCAACGCCAAGCCCGCCGCCAAGACCGGCAGCGAGGGCGGCATGAACGCGGTCTTCGCCGAGTTGAACAAGGGCGAGAGCATCACCAGCGGGTTGAAGAAGGTCGAGAAGTCCGAGATGACCCACAAGAACCCAGACCTTAGAAAGAAACACGTACCATTACCGCCGAAAAAGCCCAGAAACTTGAGCGTCAGAGACGACAAGGACACCAAGACCCCTGCCGCCGCCAAGAAGCCGCCGCAGAACGAGCTGGTGGACAACAAGTGGATGATCACCAACGTCGCCAAGACCGACGTCGACAATGGCCTCATCACAATCGACGGCTCCATGGACCAGAGCGTCTACATCGGCAACTGCCACGGCGTCGTGGTCCAGATCAAGGGCAAGGTCAACGCCATCAGCATCAACGTCAGCGACAAGGTGGGCTTGGTCATCGACAAGGCCATCTCCAGCGTCGAGCTCACCAAGTGCAACAAATGCGAGGTCCAGGTCATCGACAGCGTCCCTATCATCAACGTCGACCAGAGCGAGAGCACCAACATCTACTTGAGTCGGTCTTCGCTTGCAACAGAGGTCTACAGCAGCTGCAGCACTGCCTTGAACGTCAACATCCCCTCCAGGGACGAGGACGGAGACCTGCAAGAGGTGTCCATCAGTGAGCAGTTTGTTACCCGGTTCTCCCCCGACGGCTCCCACCTCACTACCCCCGTCTCCCACGCATAGATTACGTCAGCGAGCACTCTTTTTGCCGACGCGTCGCTCCGTTTCTCCCGCATTTTCCCGTCTCTCTCATTTCCCGCCGTCCCAGTTTTCTCTTCCGGCTCGGAGTGCGGTGTCGGTTCCGGAGAGGAGAACCGGGGCCGGGGGGCTCAGAGGAGCTTTGACACGCCAACAGACGGCCGCCAGCCAGCCAGCACTACACACCTATCTAGCCACCTATTCAGCAACACGTTTACACCACAACCGTAGCACAGCGCCGGCGCCAGCAGCCGCCAGCGGGCCCGGGGCGGGCCCGGGGATGCGCCGACGCGTCGGCGGCAGGCACAACTGGCCGACGCGGAAAGCGCAAAGGCCCGGGGATTGGGCTACCCGGTGGGACAGAGAGAGAGAGGGCTCCTCGCTGGCCCTGGCTATTGCTGGAGCCGTGGTTGGCTGGCCGGAGGGGTCCACGGAAAGGGTGTCTCTGGCAGTGTTTTGGCTCTTCTTTGTACGGTTTGCGCTGTTGCTGGCCTGTTCCGAAAGCATTCTGCCCTGAAGCCCCCTGCCACCACCCACACCCACACCCGCAAGCCTAACCATGCTTAGAGTATCCGCCAGAACGTCTGCCAAGTCAGTCCTGAAGACCCCATTGAGATGTGCCGCAGCATCCAGCACGTCGGCAGCAGCATCGGTCGCCAAGATCGCTGCCGCCGCCGGCGGCAGCCATTCGAACGCTAGAGCGGTCCAGTTCCACGCTGCGTTTGCCCAGCCCCATGCATACAGACTGTTCTCCTCTGCGTCGGTGTTGAGAGCCCCTCAGGTGGTCAAGGTGCCCGAGATGGCCGAGTCCATCACCGAGGGAAGTTTGTCGTCGTTCTCCAAGAGCGTCGGCGACTTCATTAACCAGGACGAGCTGTTGGCCACCATTGAGACCGACAAGATCGACGTGGAGGTCAACGCGCCTGTCTCCGGTACCGTCACCGAGTTGCTGGTGTCCCCAGACGACACGGTCACTGTTGGCCAGGAGATCGCCAAGATCGAGCCTGGTGCTGCCCCTGCCGGCGGCGCTGCGCCAAAGAAGGAGGCTGCGAAGGAGGAGGCTGCTCCAAAGAAGGAAGAGGCCCCTGCTCCAAAGAAGGAGGAGGCTGCTGCCCCAGCTCCAAAGAAAGAATCCGCCCCAGCTCCAAAGAAGGAGACTCCAGCCCCAGCCGCCTCCTCTCCAAAGGACGCTGCCAAGTCCACCGCCGGCAAGGCTCCAGCCAACATCAACCCATTCGGCAACTTCGCCAGAAGCGAGGAGAGAATCAAGATGAACAGAATGAGATTGAGAATCGCCCAAAGATTAAAGGAAGCCCAGAACACCGCCGCCTCCTTGACCACCTTCAACGAGATCGACATGTCCTCCCTCATGGAGATGAGAAAGCTCTACAAGGACGAGTTCATCAAGAAGACCGGAATCAAGATGGGTTTCATGGGTGCCTTCTCCAGAGCCTCCGCCTTGGCCGCCAAGGACATCCCAGCCGTCAACGGTGCCATCGAAAACGGCAACACCATGGTCTACAGAGACTACATGGATCTCTCCATCGCCGTCGCCACGCCAAAGGGTTTGGTGACCCCTATTGTCAGAAACGCAGAGTCCTTGACCTTGCTTGAAATCGAAAACGAGATCGTCAACTTGGGCCACAAGGCCAGAGACGGTAAGTTGACCTTGGAGGACATGACCGGCGGTACCTTCACCATCTCCAACGGTGGTATCTTCGGTTCCTTGTTCGGTACCCCAATCATCAACACCCCACAAACCGCCGTTCTCGGCTTGCACGGTGTTAAGCAAAGAGCCGTCTCCGTTAACGGTAAGGTGGAAAGCAGACCAATGATGTACGTCGCCTTGACCTACGACCACAGAATGTTGGACGGTAGAGAAGCTGTCACCTTCTTGAGAACCGTCAAGGAGTTGATCGAAGACCCAAGAAAAATGTTGTTGATGTAGAGAAACTGATGATCTGTGTTTTTTTCGTTGTTACTGGTTAGTTTTTCACGCCTCCTCTCTCAAATATTCTATTATCGATACTCATACATATATGTAGACGCTGCGTACATGTATGCCACTATCTATCTATCTATTTATATATCTACTCACACATATGTTAAGACTCCCGAATTTTCCACTCAGTACAGAAATTTCAGCGTAGCCCGAGCGTGCGCCATTCTTCCTTCTACTTTCGGTAAGCACATCAGATACGCCAACATGAATAGATGCCCCTTCACACAGGAAAGCAGTCACCGCACGCCTCCTAGCAAGCACACCCCGACACGCTACCAAAATGATTCCAGCCAATGCTTCACTACGATTGCAGAGATACCTACTTTCCTTGGAATCCAACGTCCCCACAAGCTCGTGCTATGCCTCCGCATATCTCGAGGTGAAGCTCAGAGAAGACTCCCAGGCAAAACGACTTTCGGAGACCGTCTCGCGTGCCAACCAACGTTTGTCCCGCAACGTGCAACGTCTACGAGAAGGCTACTACGACACCAGCGTCCTCCCCTTCTCCATGGACCCGTGTTACCCGCTCCAATTGGACCTCCCGTACGAACTCCTCTCACACGCGACACCCTCAACCAGCTGCAGCTACACTAGCGGCGGAGATACAGATGTCACAGAAGCAATATACAGCAAGTACTTCAAAGGAAGACCCATCTCACCTGCTAATCTTGACTGCCAAGGGTGGTGGCCCACTGAGTTCAAGTACATCGGTACCAAAGTACAAACAAGCGATTTTCACGTGTCGCTCTTACCTCTAATCAGGTTCAACTCAGACACGGATATTGCACGTTTCCGAAAGCTCTTCGAGCAGGTTGTAGAAAGAATAAATCCAGCCAATGCCAAAGTCCCCGTCAAGTTTCAAACAGCCGACGGCGGTGCCCCCGTCCTGGAAATTCTCCCGAAACACGACTACAACAAACTCTTTCTTGCCATGTGTATCAGCAGAAATGACAAAGCCAACTCGATGCTCAACGAGATACAGATCGCCCTTGCACAAGCCCGTCTCACAAATACCGTGTGTCCGGGACACGTGACTGGCGAGCTGGACAATAACAGCGTGGTGGACTGGGCGCAGAGCTTGCTACACATGAGCGTTGGCGTCTGCAACCGGGGCGAAGCATGTTCGGGTTTTGGGCAGAACGAGCTCTTCTACATGAACAAGATGCTCTTACCAGCCGATGCTGGCGAAGACAGCCTTATCCTCCAAGCGACACCGGATCAGGACGCCGAGGGCCGAATCGTCTTCGTGTGGAGCGGCCAGAAACTGGTGTACTGATGTGGGCGAGGCCATCCCGATTAGGCAACTCGGACGAGACGTCCGTGTTTTGCTTTGATGTTTGTGTTTTGCCAAAAGAGGAAGTATTATTGGGATGTGTGCCGGATGGAAGTCTTATTGCGGATTACAGCTTACATGCATACTAATCCGGGTATGATTGCACAGTGGCTCCCAGATCAATCTATGTCATTAACTTTCCTGTAGGTAGATGCAGGGTTTTTCGGTACGGGGCTTCCTCCTTTTCTCTCCCGACTTCTCCATCTGTTGGTCATCCGGAGCTAAACCACGTCTTCACTGGACTCAGAAACGCAAAAAGGAAGCACGCAAACACAAGAAACGTATTAAAATCATATATCACAACATTCCTGGATCAGCTCTCAAGTACATGGACACACAAGATGAATATGGACTGGCATGATTCAATCAACCCCTTCTTTACCACATCGTCAGGTTCGTCTTCATACGGCAACGGGAACAGCAGCAGGAGTGGTGGTTCCTCGGACAGAATCATGGAAAACCCGTTGAAAATTGACACAAACAGCTCGTTCTTCCCAAGCTCGATTTTCAAGCCAATCCCGTTACCGGATGACATTCTCGGGTTCGACCCATTGCCACAGTCGCAAGTACATGATGTGCAACAACGACAGGTACCGCCTCTTCCACCTGCCGAAGGATTCAACGCAAGCTTTGATTTAGAAAAGTATTTGAAAAGCGATTTAGACGAAGAGCTAGACGCAGAAAACTTAGATAACGACTTCTTGGACGCAAACTTACAATTCAACATGAACTTCCCAAATATGGACTCCAAAGAAACGGATATCGAGAAAGTGTTGCTGGATCTTGGAATTTCTGAGGTTCCAAAACAGAACGTTTCTCCCGAGCAACCACCAGTAACTGAAACACCACACGCTCCCGGCCACAAGAGAAAGATCAGCGGTTCCGGAATCTTCGGATTTGTTGGAGTCGGAGAAAACACACAGTTGTCAATCCCAGGTATCGAGCCTGTTACCTTCATTAACAAAAAGCCACAATATAAAGACGTCACCAACTTTGATAACCTCGGACCATCCTATATTAATGGCAATCGCAACTCAACCGCTACTGATGCGGCAACCATCAGCAAAGACAACTATGCAAAAGTAAACAGTTCGAGTGCAAACTTGGACAACTTCATACCAAATGTTTCATTGACCAATCTTCAAGCACCAATCACTCCTGTGAAGCAAGTTCAAAATCGTGAAAAGCCAGACTACTACGTTTCTTCTGGCAATCCTGTCTCTTACAAGTTCCCTCCTTCACCTTCCAAGGGAACATTTGAACCAACGGAAAATGCCAATCGAGAATACCCCCCAAACAAATCATACTCTGCACAAGAGTTGCAAAACTTGCGCCAGCTTTCAAAGTCCAAATCTCAACAACAAATGAGACAGCCTACTATAGTGTCAACTAATCATCATCATCCAAAATCCCCACTCCCTACACCACTCCCTACATCTCCCCTGAACTCTGTTGCGATGTCGTCTCCTTTGAAAGAGATGTTTCAAACTCCAAAAACCGGCTCTCCCAAAAAGGTTCTACCTCTGTCTCAACTGCAAGCTCAATCTCAATTTCAAGTCCGCCTGAACAAACAATTAAGAGATCCCGATGATACTAATATAATTGATGACGATAAGGATAAGACTATCTCTGCAATGAATACGCCATTAAAATTGAAGCTTTCTGCTGAGATGTTGCAAACACCAACAAAAAGCAAATTCACAAATCTAGGCTGGGATCCAACCATGGGACCAAAGAAACCTCATATGTTCACTCAAAGGATTTTGAAGTCGCCAAAGCGCTCACCTATACGGAAAAAGCCAACCATCACTTCGACTCTAGCAACAGGAACACTAGATAAATATTTTGAAGGACCTACTGCAGAAGGTAAATTTGTTTGCAGGTTTTTTGATCAAGAAATTCAGGGAGTATGTAACAGAGAGTTTGGACGGATTTCAAATGCAAGAGCTCATATTCAAACACACTTATCAGATAGGCCGTTTGTCTGTGAAGAATGTGGAAAAGCATTTGTCAGAAATCATGATTTGAGAAGACACCAAAAGGGTCATTCAGTTGCATCAAATATATGCCCATGTGGAAAACGCTTCCCTAGAAGTGATGCCCTGAAAAGGCATAGATTTAGAAACATCTGCGTTGGTGGGATTCCCAGAAACAACGGTGTCTTTAAGCCATGTACTCATGGCCATAGTCACAGTCATGCTTCTGACAAGATGACAACCATGGTTCAAATTAACTCCAAGAACAAAAACAACCAAAAAATAACAGAAAAACTTTTGGGAGACATTAATAAAGAAGGACAACCAATAATTAGGGAAACGATTTTCACCTCGCAACAAGAACAACCATTATCACAAACGTCAAAATTTTCACATCTATCTCAACCTGTAAGTTTACACCAATCTCAATATACCGACCGACCGCTGCTACCAAACCAATCCCTTTTTAATACATCTTCATCGAAAGACATTGACTTGTTTGATTTCAATGAAATTGCAAGTGTCGATGGAAACTTTTCTTTCAATATGGATGATAGTTTGGTGATATGATTTTCGCATAATACCATTCTACTTACTTCTTTCTGCTTTCTTCTTTCATTTCTTTCGTATAGTATTTTAGCCGATACTCAGCGTATGCTCAACTTTTCAAGGTTTTCCTTGACGGCTTAACTTTCTGTTCTCCAATTTACTTTATTTCATTTACTTCTAACGTTCATTTATTTAACTACGCATTTATGTACAAATTTATATGCTTCAATAAGAAGCAGCCTCTTCGAAGGAGAAATCATTAGTAAGGTATACCATTGGTTAATCTTTGGAATTCATCATACCCCTTAGTTGCAAAGCTTTCAAATGATTTTTTGATCAAACCTCTCATATAAATTGAAGCTTCTCTGTCGTTCTTATTTGGAGCAAACCGTTGTGTTAGATGTTTAATTGTTGCAGCTTTAAAACATGGTAATCCACTTTCTAACATTGGCACAACCATGTTAATCAAAGAGTCCATGTGTAGTCTGCATGCAAGGAAGCATTTGACGCACAATTCTTCAAACCACTTGTAGGCCTGAGTATTCACGCTACCTCCCATTACTCTAACCATTTCTCTGGTCAGTTTGAATGGGGATTGCTCGAACTTAACACCTCCGGGGACGATGTCAAAGCAAAATCCGAAATCGATATGCAGAATATGACCTTCATTATCATACATAATATTACCATTATGTCTATCTTTGATAGCCAGTAGATATGTAATAATGGAGTATGCAGCCAACGATTTAACAAAGTTAATTCTAGCACGCTGAAATTCAGGAGACGTTTCTGGTCCAAACTGTGAGATAAAGTATTCATACAACCCGTTGACTGCTTCACGACCCAACATATCTCTTGAAATGGAATGAGGCAAAACGTCAATAATACCACAGCCTGGGGCAGTTGCTGTAACCCTGTATGGAAAAACGTATACATCAACACCTTGAGTCATCCAGATTGTTCTGAACATAGATATCAATTGAAGAGCTAGGACGTCCTGTCTGCAATCATCACCAACTTTAAAGATAGCACTTGTCTTCACAATTTCAAAGTTGTTGCCATCACTATCAACCACTTCATCTTTAACAATGCGATCTTTCTTCTTTTTGATAAAAAATGTGGCCATGAATGGAGCCTTTGCATGAGATTGTAGAGGTTTTCCTGATTTTCTATCAATATCAGTAACAGTTCCATCAGGATTACTAGGCAAATAGACACCTTCTTCAACTTTAATCTTGGACATTTCCTCATCAATTTTTTCTTTTTTTTCGGGTTTTGATTTTTTGATAAACGGCTTCAATTTTCCCGAGATTCCTGTCACCTCACCAAAGAAAGAGAACTCTTTTTCAAAGTAGCTTCTATCAGAATCTGAAAACGTCTTAATCATAGTCTCCCTGATCTCATCTAGAGTGGGCTTTATGGAATCAGGAATGGTGGAATCTTCATCTTTAAATGAGTTTGCTGCCATATTCCATATAATTTGATGAGCAAACAATTGCGAAACGTTTGCAGTTTCCAAAATGAATCTGCGAATGTATCCTAAATCATCATGTCTCATAGTTTGGACAATCTGAGGAACATAAAAAAATGTCAAATGCACATCAAAACTTTCAATCGAACGCATAGCATACTGTAATACTAACGAGTTTCTGTTGTATGGCGGCAAGAATTTGTTAATAGCATCAATAGGAGCAGCAGACGACCAGGCGACAATTGCCGGAACATCAGAGTCAACAACATACTCGACTGCAGCAGGAATATCGGTCACAGAGAATGGGTTGTTTATGATATAAGAACGTAAATTTTTTATCATGGAAGAAGCTAGAGTTCCATTTTTTTCATATCTCGTAACTAGATTGATGGCAAGCTTACCACTTATGAGATAACAGTCACGTAAAACTTTGTCGTCAAATTTATAGTTGGCGTATGATTTATATGTGGCAGCTGCTCCACCCAACGGATTAATCCAGGAGTTCAAAATGCTTATTTCATCGTCCAAAAAGAGTAATAAAACGGCTCTTTTCTGCTCATGGAAAATCTCCTTGAACGAAATGCTATTGAAAAAATTTCCCACCAAATTCAAAATTTCAAAATCTGCTTTAATTTTCAACTTGTTGTTTCCAAACGGAGTAGTGACATCTTTGGTGAACCACGATAATGCACCAACCAGTACTGTGTTAATAACCTTGTGTTTTAATGGAGAGGTGAATGACTTGTGATATTTCAGTAGTTCACAACCCAGGTAGATGAGCTCAAAACGAGCCATACGAGCATATGGATGTAAACTTGCTGATTTTAAGCCATCGATAGCTGTCAATAGCGACTCTGTGAACATATCCAGGACATGGTCACTTTGATACATTGTGGCATGAAAGTGAGAAGACAAAAATCTTATCAACAATAAATGAGGCTTTAACAAAGCAGATGCAGTTTTAGAATTATGTTCAACAATTACCTTATTGGTTGGTAGATATTCCATAGGATTAAACTGTGGGTTATGAAGGTCCTGTTTTCTTGAATACAAACCCATCCCTTTGACAACAGTAACTTCAAAGTTTTGCAATATAAATGACAGAACATGATCTGCAAGTTCTGATTTTTCTTTCATAATATTGAGCCAAATTGGAATACTGTGCTCAATTGAGTGAGAATCAAAAACTAGAAATGGAATGTCTACAACCCATTTGACGTAGTTCAACTTTTTTACAGGAACGTAAATGATTGTTCTACTGATTTCATCCATTAGCTCAGTAAACTCACGATGAATGTCACTCTTAGTCAACGATTTTGTGTTCATTTGCAATATGAATGTTTCGATTCTTTTATCGAGGTACTGAATTACAGCATCTAGATCTCTAAACCCATTTTCCAAAAATTTGAGGCCAGAATGCCACTGAGTGTGTGACAGGAAGCCAGCAGTAGTGTTTAGTTTTTTTGATTGAATGCCTTGTAACTGATAGAACTCCCTATCATTTGGTAAAATTTTACTTGCCATATCCAATGCAAATGAAATACCAAAATTTATTGTTCTATGAGAAGCATCAGCCTTGTTGACGTAAGAGCGAAGGACAGTTTTCATGTCACCGTCACAAGACTTCAGAGCAGCTCCAATCCATCTAGTTGCCCTATTAGTGAACACGTCAAGAGTTTGCTGTCTCCAGGCATAAGAGTCGGACAAGAGTAAATCAATATCTGTCACTCTAGACTTAAATTGAGTCATAGGCTCGTACTCATTGGTATCCGCATCGATAATACTTTGAAACAATAAACCTAAAATGTCCAGCAAGGCAAACGTACTTTCATCATAACACAAAGACGATGGGATTTTACCTAAAATGATATCTGCGCATTTAAATGCACAATTCTGTAGTTCATAGTTTCTGTGGCAGCAAGCGATAAATATGCTTTTCAACCGGTTTGTGAGTTTTGGCATAGTAAGAGAGGATGTGTTCTTCAACAATCTTTCAGTGTATTGAGAACAGCAATAGTAAGCGATAATCGCAATATTGTGATGTAGATGGGCAATTATTACCGAAGGATCTGACATGTAATCTAAGATTTTGGAACAATCGCCTGTCTGAACTCTTAACATCTCCACCATTAGCGATGATGACAAAAACATCAGGCCAGGCCTTGAGACCTGTGAATCAACATTTCTATCGTCTATGCCTTTGAGAGAAACTAAATTTTTCAACACATCTTTGTGAATTCTTTCTGATGTTTTGGAAGTACCTCTTCTCAAAATAGTGTTCATCTCGATCGATGTTTCACTTCTATTCCAAGTGAATTCAGAGGCTAGTGGAGGAGTATTATGTGCAATTCTAAGTAATTCGGGTAGACAGTTCACATATAACGGAGAGTTATAAGCAAATCCGTGAACCGCCAAATTGAACCAGGCATTTTGAAATCTACCAATGGTCTCTTTGTCAGTTGGGATTCTTGGCTTTTCATCAATGGATGGTAATAAATGTGCAAGAGGTTTCAAGAAAAGAGTAATTTCCCTAGCCGATTCGGTGACTGATTCGTTAGGTCTGTGATGTTCTAGATCATCAATATCACCTTTGGAGATGATCTGAAACAACAAACCATTCAAATATAGGTTATAGAGTTCATCATTGGACGACTTTGCCATTGCTTCTGAGAACTTTGTCCAAGTTGTAATATTCAGCTTGTAGCTTGAACTGTCCTTCAACGTGGACTCAGAAACATCATAGTAATATTTCAACAATGAGGCAAAATCTTTTTTGCTCATGTTATCAATAAATTCTGTCAAACCATCCAGCAAAATACAATTGAGCTCATCAGATTTAGGACTAATTTTTTGGTATAGTAAAGTAGTTACCAAGGTAATAATTGATTCATCATTCGCTGCTTTGGTAATTTCTACAACCGAAGTTACAATATTTTGTGGAATCAAATCATTTCGTTCAACCATAAAAGCATCTACAACTGAGGAAGCATTTGTCGAAATATTGGAGTTAATGTTGTTATTACCGTTATTGTGGTTGCCGTCGCCAAGCATATTAATCAATGTGTAAATTAATGAAATAGCGTCATCCTTTGACAAGCTTTTCATACAGTACTTGACAGTCGTGGCAAGTTTCTTGACAAAGTCTTTTGGCATAACAATCGTTTGAACAATTACAGGGAAGTGTTTGACAATAGTCAGACCCGTTGCCTGGTTTTCTTCGGACAAAATTGCGCCAGCACCAAAAGTATTTAGTAATAAGTTTGATGTGATCATATCCAAAGCAACCGGAGAGCCCTCCTCGATCGAAACCATAAAGTCGGATAGGTATGAGGAGATCTTCAGGTTCAAAAACTTGAGATCAATATTAGAGAGCTTGACGTTCAAACTGTAGATTTCCAAGGCAAAAGCATATGTGGTCAAACAAGTCTTACGGCGATACAAAGTTGAATTTGTAATCCTTTCGTTTGAATTTGAGATAAAATCCTCAACCTTATATTGAAACTGCAAAATGAAGTTCAAAGTATCAGTATTATCCTGCGCAACAGAATAAGATATAGATTGAGCATTCAGCAGATAATCCATTAGGGACAGATGGCCTTCCGAGTGAACCAACACTTTCAGGTACTCGACCTGGAAACGCTCGACCAAGTCAATGAAAAATAAAGAAGAGTACTCGAGGCCAAGATCATTGAATGAATAAATCAAATCAATATCAAGCGGGCTTGTGATGTTGGCTATGGTAACTTCTACTGTGTCAAAAAAGCTTGTTGTGAAAACCGACATGACCAAGTTGAAGATGTTCTTATTGATAATCTCTGGTTTTACAGTCAAGGCCTGCATGACACCTAGCAGAGAAAACTGATGGTAAACTATCGTTGAGTCTACTCCCCCGATGTAGTCCCCCAGAACGTTGTAAAAGGTGTCTCTGAATTTCGGAAATGATATTGTCAAGTTGATCAATGCCAACGTAAGTTCATACGATAATTTCGTCCAAGGAGTCAAGTCGTCGTTAAGGAAGCATGACATGGATCTGAACTTCTGCCTTGGGGAGCTCACCAAGTACTTGCATAGCACAGTGAAAAGCACATCTGCTTGGTACTGGTTTTTGAACTTCGAGCAGTTGTTGCAAAGTGCAAACAACACCTGAATTTCTGAGTTCGATATGATGTCCGAGGAATTGCCACTGCTGTTCTTCTTGTAGTACTTCAATTTCGAGAGCAGCAGCTGCAGAGAATCAGGAATTGCTGTTTCAATTGGTGTCTGTGCACTTGTTGACGCTGCACACAGCAACGCCAGCTTATCCCAGGCAGCCGAACGTGTGCTGATAGTCGGCAAGCTTCACGAAATAACGGCAAACGGACGCAAATACAGGTATGTTAGTAACCAATTGTTCGAACTGAATCTCTTCCTCAAAATCATGTGACACATACCCCACAAAGTTCATAATGCAGTCTTTGTCCAAGGAAAACACCTTCTTAGTGACAGTGGATGGTGGCGGGCGGAACTTCCAAGAGGAAGGAGAAGTGTGCCATGCTGGTGGTGTTTGATGCTCATCAAAACGTGGAACGTGAGATACTTAAACAATGCAAAGGAGGTCAACACGATTTCCCAAAATTTGGCCGATCGACCCCGACAAGCTTTTTTTTTGTTTTTTTGCATTTTTGCATTTTTACATGTTTTATTCATGTTCTATTATAGATGTAATAAAGAGATCGGAATTATACAGTGTTTAGCAGAAGAGGTAAGCAGTGGCAAGGACTCTAAGAGTAGGTTTCGATAAGAGTGTCTCTGAGGTTGGAGCCAATTGCGTCCGGTTGGTTGTCTTGGAGTCTGAAGATACTTTCGATGACAGAGAGCTCCGGGGCAGAGGTATCTAGACCCGCAACAGCTAGCCAATCGTTCACGACCATGCCTGCACCAACGACGTTGGAACCCCTGTTCACGGTACCGGCAACAATGGGCACCTGTAGCAAGGAGGACAACTCCTCCTGGTCCTGGATGGACGTCTGCGGGTGGACCAACCCACCCTGGTTGGAAAGCGCACAGTAAGAGCCGACAAGGACGTTGCCGGCAATGGTCTGCTTGAAAACCTCGACACCAAGGACGTCTGCGATGATTTCCTCTGTTTCACGCTCAATGTCCGGATGCACCAACGCAACGTAGTCGTTGCAGCATATGACGTTGCCCAAGGCAGACAACCTTTCCTCGATTCTCTGGATCTTCACACTATCCGGAAGACTGTTTCTCAAGTGGAGCAACTCCTGGTCAGTGGTCTGCGTAGGAACCAAAAGCCCCCTTCTGTTACCTGCCGTCATCCGGCCCACTATTCTTGTGCCGGCAATCGTTGTGTGGATGATTGGAATGACGTCTCCCAACTCGGCCTCGAAGGCAGAGTAGAAGTTTTCCGACCCGCCAACGGCAACCAAGGCGTAGGAGTTGGTGAGTTTGGAAAACACACCAACCTCGTTGGAATTCTCAAACTGTGCTCTAGCAGCCATCTTGTTTGTCTGCTGTTTGCTGTTTGGCTTGTAGGCACCAGGAATAAAACACTCACAACACAATAGCTGGCACTAGATGATCTCGATTTTTTTATCCAAGCAAATTTTTTTTTCTTCACTGTGCAAGGAAAGCGAAACCACAAACTACCCTCCCGGCTTATTTTTTTGCCCGCGACGGCCGTCGCAGCAGATAAAGTCAAAGGTCTTCTGGCCTTCACAGGGTCCAGGATGCCTGCTTCATGTGAGATGGAAGGCACAGAAGGGTTCCCAGACACAGGTTGGCCAGAAGGACGATAAAACAGCTGCTGATTGCAAAGAGGCAGTGGCGCATTTCCAAGAGCAGGCATTAGCACCGTTGTTGCAGCAATATTTCCGTTCCGTTTCGTCACGTATCGGGTCCACAGACAGATAGATATCATAATTATACTTCTAAGGTTCCATCGTCAGACATGTCGCAGACACAGAAACAGGTGAGGCAAGCGCAGTTCAAGTTGGTGCTTTTGGGAGAGTCGGCAGTAGGCAAGTCGTCGATAGTGCAAAGGTTTGTGAAGAACTCGTTCGACGAGTTCAGAGAATCGACTATCGGGGCTGCCTTTCTAACACAATCGATAAAGTTGACGGGTGATGATTTGGGGGAATCATTGGCACCAGCAGAGGAGGGTTTTGACGACGGCTTGATAGTGAAGTTTGAGATCTGGGACACCGCGGGCCAGGAGAGGTATAGATCCTTGGCCTCGATGTACTACAGAAATGCGCAAGCCGCCGTGGTGGTATACGATATCACGCAAAGCGAATCTCTGGAAAAGGCCAAGTACTGGATCAAAGAGTTGCAGAAGCAGGCCAGCAGCAGCATTCTGATAACATTGGTTGGTAACAAGCTGGATTTGAAGGAGGAGAGACAGGTGTCCGAAGAGTCGGCACGGTCGTTTGCTAATGAATTAGGGTTACTGTATTTCGAGGTCAGTGCCAAATCGGGGGAGAACGTTCAGGAGTTGTTCAAGCAGATTGCGTTGAAAATGCCCTTCAAGGCGCAGGTGTCGAAGGGCCATGGGGCAGGTAAAAACAAACAAAGCGTCGCTGTTGATCTATCGCAAAGATCAACCACCAACGATCAGGACTGCGCATGCTAACGGCTGGTCGCTGAGGCGGTTGGTCTCCGCACGTATAAATACATATTAAGACTATATATCTTTTTTTTTCTATCAGAATGATTGACGTATTATCTCACGTTTTTTTCCGGTGCTATCTAAATCTGTTGACAATAAGCTGGTCTGGTCCAACATCATCGTACTCCGCCTTGGATACCCACAATTGGTGGAACGTACCCAACGAGGAAAGAATCGACCCACCTATCCACGAGGCGTATTTTCGTTCGGTCGTGTTACCTGCCGAGTGAACCCTTATCTTCAAGCTCGGGTTCAGCAACGAAAGTTCGTTGTTTAGTCTTTCATTCAGTCTTGGAATCAAAGTCGTCGATCCGGTCAACACAATGTTGTTAGCGAGTTGTGGCTTCAAGTCAATGTCCAAGTTCTCTAGCACATTCTGAATGAGATCAGTAACTCCCACAGAGGAGTCATTTTTCTCGTGTTTGAGTATCGCCCCGTTGTCCTTTGTATTGCTGTCGTTCGATGGATTCTGTGAGTTTTCATCCTTACCGGCGTTCCCGTTATTATTTTCTTCATCCTCAGTCTTCTTTGCTCTTCTAAGTGGTACGTACTCTTTGCTGGTAAGATCGTTCTTAGTTCCGATGGTATTGATGATGTTACCGTCATAAGGATTTTCCCAGTTTTCAACGACATCACAAAGCGTGTCACTAGGATTGAAGACAGAATTCGATATTTTGTGTCTTTCGTATGCAGTGAAGGGAACGTTGAGTCCGCTTGGTAACTCAAACCATCTAGTACGTTCACTGTCTAACTCTTTTTCTGCGTCCGCTGGAAGCGTAAGCTCATCGTCAGTACAACATTCCAACAATAGTTCCTTCATTTCTCTGAGCGTTCTAAGGTAGGAAAAGTCTCTGACACTTGGGTGTATGTTGTCAATGTTGCTGATGGTTTCAAATATCGGCTTGGTCTGGTTGTTCTCCCAATACACGCCCTCTTTCTTTTTCACCATAAATGGAGCACTATAATCTACAGCTTTTGATTTTAAAAACTGCCTCAATTGTTGGTTCAAGTATGCGCCTGCATATTTTGTTCCTCTCACCTGATTTCTCAAACACAAGCCATCAATCACAGGCGTGGCAGTAGTAAGGTCGTGGCCAATGTCAACAACCAAACAATTTGGTCTACCGTGTGCAAAACTAACACATGTTGGCTGTTTGACAGAATAAAAGGCACAAAATTGCTCCTCTTCAAGGAAAAATTCCATGGCCTTTATCTTGTTCTTGTAACTATTCATAGTTGACTCGGTTAAAAGAAGTGGTTGTTCTCTTGGGTTGATCTCAAGTTGTTGGAAAAGGTATCGGTACTGATCCATCGCTCCGTCCCAATCTATTACAAGATTGTCGGAGACTAAGGACCTAATTTCAGCACCATCCTTTGGTCTTGAAAAGAGCAGATTCTCATCAAACACCTTTGTAGTTTCACCGCTTTCTGAGTTTGTGTGGATGCCATAATATGATGGAGTAACAATTGATGGCTGGTCATATCCTGCATAACCTGCTTGAGTTGTGTAAGAGCCAGGATCTAGTACAACAGCGTTAATTTCATCCGCTCCATACACCTGCGGTGCTGCAGTCTTATCTGACATGGTTTTGAGTAGTGGGGGTGATTGCCTTGTTGGCTCAGGACCAGGGATAACAGTACAGGGGTACAAGGACGTTGCTCTTAGTTCATTATGAATATTTCATTTTCAGCCATCCACACACTCAAAGATCGAAGGAGAGGCACACTCAGCTTTTGTTTTCAGGCGGGCCCGCACACTTTGATTGTGACAATAGTATTTTAGTCTAGCAATTTTCTTGAGTTTATAAGAATAAAAAAATAATAGTCAGCAGATATAAGCTATATAAAGAAAGAAACAAGATATATATATATATATGTATGTATGTATGTATGTATGATATTATAAAAGTGGTGGGCAATCATCGAATCATGCGCTTATGTTTACCTCTGTCGAAAGAAGGTCAACTAAGAATTGAATTTCTAGCTTACGTCTTGTATCAACTAACCAATCGTTTGCAAGTTCTCTAGCAACACCCTTCAAGTGGGTGACTTCTTCGACAGCATTATCGAGCTGGTTCTTTTGCAAGTGATTGTTGACTCTAGCAATAACGGATTCAACATCGTTGCCTATTAAATCATTATCGTTCTGGACTGGAACACCAGATTTAGACCACAGAAATTTGGAGAAAATCTTAGAGGAAGCATATCCCAAAATACCTGGGTTTTCAGGTAATAAGGAGACAGATCTCAACTCTGGAGCCAAGAGCTCCCATCTAGTCAAAATTTGAGCCTGTGTCAACACACCACCGTTTATTAATAATTCTTTCTCGGATGGAAGGGATTCAAGGGTGACATTGATCAAGTCATTGTCTAAAGGTTTGGTCAGTTCTTTTAAGTTGTTGATTTCTGCAACCAAGTTTTCACCACGGATGTTAGAGGAAACATTTGAGTTGAGTAGTTCTCTAACTTTCGAGATTGATTTTCTGACCTCCTTGAAAGTGGTGTATGAGGTGGCAACTTTCGATAGTTGAAGTTCAAACTTCTCTATTTCATCGATCCTCTTCGATAAAATTTCTAAGTCTTTCAATTTGTTGTTTCTCTCGCTTTCGATCCTAGAAGAAACGTTTTTGCTGAACTTGTCAACCAAATCCAACTCCTTCTTTTTCAACTTGTTGTCGTATTCTAAAGCAAGTGTTTTTTCAGTTTCAGAAATTTCCTTGGACAGCACTTCCCTGTGCTTTGCTTCCAATTCTTGTTTTGTTTGCTCAGCAGTCTTAGCCAAGTTCGAAACAAGAATGGTCTTTTCTTGCTCTAACTTCTGCTTGATTGAAGCAACTTTTTCCTCTGCTAAGACATTGATTTCTTTGTTATCAAACTTAGAAGAAAGCTCATTCACGCTAGAAACAATGCTTTCAATAACTTTATTCGACTGCTCATTAATTTTGGAGGAGTTGAACTCGGAGATTAGGCTGTTCAAAGAGGCAACCAAGTTGGTGATTCTTGGATCGTCAGACTTGATTGAAATCGAAGGAAGGGTGATTTTCTTTTCTTTGCTTGCATCAGAATTGGACAAAACTAAAAACTTCTCCTCCTTTTTCTTGTCCTCTGCCAATTTCTGCTGAGTAGATGGTGTCACTGGAATTGATTCAATTCCTTTATGTGGGATATTGATGTAGTCGTCGAGACCCACCTTTGCGGCAGTGTCGTTGATGGAAGAGGCCACCTGTGAGTAAGTGGTGTTGTAGTACTTTTTGTAGTCAAAATCCTTTACTTCTTGTTTATGCTTCCAGGCATAATCAATCTTGTCCATCACCTGTTCACCGTATGGGAAGTATTCAAGGTATGGCTCCTGTAATGGTTCATATAGCAAAGCCGCCGTCGCAGCAGTACCATAGATTCCTGCTGTCAACAACGACAGCTTGAAAATAAACTTGGTCAATGAAAATGGCTTAGGCTCCTTTGGAACCTCGGATGAGTAGTGTCTTTGGTATTGGCGTTGGTTACTCTTCATCAGTACGTTTCTGGCTCTGGCAAGATTTGGTGATCTCCTTGCCATGTTTGTTCTTGCAGTAGACAACGATGCGGACGCAGAAAGCATTGCGGTGTTTGCACTATACAGTGAAGTTTTATATGTGGCTTGTAACCTGTTACTACCGTCCTGGGTCTATGATGCATCTGCCAGCTCCCATATGCTCAGTTTGATGTTTGCTTTCAGGCTGACGGGCTATTGTCAACGGGAGAGGGGAGAGAATGTATTGGCTGGAGCTCGCGAGAGAAAGTTGAGAAAAGTACAGTGCGACAGTGAAGTGTGTCGTTACGCGACATTTCTAAATGTTGTATAAGTACATGTTTTTTTGCTGCTGTGAGAACCAGCTGTGTATATAGAGACTGAGGTCTACAAACTACTTTTGCTTCGAAGGAACTATTTGATATTGTGGAGGGCGTTCTCCAGCAACTTTTTCTCGTTGAGGACTGCAGTGATAAAGCAGAAGCGGGTGCTATGTGGGTCGGTCTTTCTGAGCTGTCGCTTGAGCTCTCCACTTCTAGTTTTCCCGTCACCGACGGTAGCGTATCTCTCCTGAATCCATCTTTTCAGCAGCACCTTGCCTTCCTTGGTCGGTTTTTTGTTGGCCAACTCCCTCATTATCATTTCTCCGTCGCAGCTCTCGTCTGCAACCATTGCTTCAAATTCGACAGTAGACATCGTAAGCAATTTTGCGACAGCACGTAGCTGTGTGCTGGCCTTGCCTGGATGATCTACCCTGCATTGGAATAACCAGGACTCTTCCTCTTCTTCTTCCTCATCTTCTTCTTCTTCTTCCTCCTCCTCTTCATCAGAATCATCTCCTTCCTCTTCGTCTTTTGAATTGTTCTTCTCCTCTTCTCTCAGTAGTATCCAGCCCATACAGCTCCACCAATCGAAACGTTCTTCAAGGTGGGGGTTCTCCTTACGAAAGTTCACAATTTGTGGACCTACACATAGGCTTTCGTAGATGTTGTCTTCTACTGCAAACCCATATTTAACCAAAAGCACTGCATTGGGTAGTTCTCCGTAAGTGTTGAACACCTCTTTGTTTTTCACTATCTTTCTTTCAAGAACGATATCACAACACTCGTCCGGGTTCATAAAAAACTCACTATGGTCAAATTCTTCGTCTTCATCATCACTTGTTTCGCTCTGCTCTTGGTCTTCGGCGTCCTTCCGTTCTTTCTCTTCTTTCAATTCGTTTTCGATTTGCTCAACATAATCCATGGTGATTTCATCCAACTGTTCAATTACTTCGGCATCAGAGCCATCATCTTCACTATCTCCCTCCACTCTCTCACTAGAGACTTCTTCTTTTTCCTCCTCTTCCTCTTCCTCTTCCTCCTCCTCGCTTTCAGGAGGACCATAGTCTTCATGCCCGCATCCATCTTCTTTACCACAATAAGGACATACCTCTCCTAACGTCACAAAATGAACATTTTCTTCTCCAGATGCGTCATGATTGAATAGATCTGCTCCTGGAACCAACCCTAACGCAATATAGTTGTCGATTTCAAAAGCTCGGGATGCCACAGCCAGAGTTATTGCCGCAAATTCGTTCAAGTTTTCTTCTTTTAAAGCATTCGGAACAGCAATCCCAACTTCATCATACACATCTTCAGCAAACTGGCAACTTGTTTGAAAATGTTCCAATAAGTCGTCGGAGTCAAGACCACCCATGAAATCTACTTCGGTTCCTTTCAAAATACTCTTTTCTTTTTCGGAGTGTAGAAATAGGGGCAGTAAGTAGTTCCCCTTATCGTCATTGTAATTTATTGTTTTCAAATATACCCACCAAGGGCTCTTATCACCCATTTCCTTTTCATATATAAACGCTAGTACCAGGCCGTACATACCAGACAGACCATGATCATATAGCAAGTTGGAAATGGTAGACGTTTGAGGCGACAAAACCATTGATTTGTGTACTCTTAACAGTAAATTGTTTTCCTCCACATCATCCTCGGTTGGGATAACGGCTTGTGTTTTCTTGGCGAATACTCCCACCCCAGAAGAAATAGGTGAAGGTTTGACTGTCAGCAGATCACTATTGAAGTAGCATCTATTCGCAGGATCCTGAAACCACTCTAAAAGTTCTCCTGTCTTTACCGATGTGGCCATTGTATTTTAGCTGCTAAGTGTGACTAGTTTGGATGGTATTCTTTTCTCGCAAGCTTCTGTCTTATCTTTCTCTTTTAAAATAAGCCAGAGCATATTCAACAGAGATGAAAAATAAAATTATTTTTCATTCCCGTTTAGGATTTTCGCATTTTTACCATATTTTTTCTCGTTCACTTTTTCCAGGTTGAAGTGGCGGCGACTTTGATCATCTAGAATAGAAGGTGTGTTGGGCTGTTCTTTGCTTTGCTTTAGAAACCAGTTGAAAGAGCTGATTCATTATCAAAAGCCACTAGATAGTTTCAGTTGTTAAAATGCAAGCTCCTGTCGTTTTTTTGAACACATCCACACAGAGACAATCGGGTAGAGAAGCCCAGATTCAAAACATCACAGCTGCAAAAGCAGTTGCAGATATCATCAGATCATGTCTTGGACCTAAAGCCATGCTTAAGATGTTGCTAGATCCTATGGGGGGCATAGTGTTGACCAACGACGGACATGCAATTTTGAGAGAAATTGATGTTGCGCACCCTGCTGCAAAGTCAATGATTGAATTAAGTAGAACACAAGACGAAGAAGTTGGAGACGGTACGACCTCTGTTATTATATTAGCGGGTGAAATTCTTGCACAAACATACCCTTACATTGAAAAAAACATTCATCCAGTTGTTATCATTCAAGCATTGAAACAGGCCTTGAGCGACGCTTTGGAAATTATTCACAAAGTCTCCATGCCAATCGATTTGACAAATGATGCGCAGTTAATCAAGTTGATTTCTGCTTCCATTGGAACCAAATATATTGCCAAATGGTCTGATAAGATGTGCAAATTATCACTGCAAGCGGTCAGAAATGTGATGGTAGAAGATGGAGACTACAAGGAGATTGATTTGAAGAGATACGTCAAAGTTGAGAAGATACCAGGTGGAGAAATTGACGATTCTGTGGTTTTGGATGGTATCTTGTTGAACAAGGATGTCGTTCACCCAAAGATGAAAAGAAACATCGAGAATCCAAAAATCATATTATTAGATTGTCCACTTGAGTATAAGAAAGGTGAATCACAAACCAATATCGAAATTACCAACGAGTCAGACTGGAACAGATTACTAGAAATTGAGGAAGAGCAAGTTAAACTAATGTGTGAAAAGATTTTGGAACTCAAGCCAGATTTGGTTATAACGGAGAAAGGGGTTTCTGACTTAGCACAACACTATCTCTTAAAGGGGGGTTGTACAGCGTTAAGAAGAGTCAAGAAATCTGATAATAATAGAATCGCAAGAGCTAGTGGTGCGACGATCGTGAATAGAGTTGAAGACTTGAAAGAAAGTGACATTGGTACCAAGTGCGGACTATTTGAAGTGAAGTTAATCGGTGATGAATACTTCACGTTTTTGATTAAATGCCAAGACCCAAAAGCATGTACCGTCCTCTTAAGAGGTCCTTCTAAAGATATTCTAAACGAAATTGAAAGGAATTTACAGGACGCAATGGCCGTTACAAGAAATGTCTTCTTTGAGCCATCTTTATCTCCTGGTGGAGGTGCCACAGAAATGGCAGTCTCTGTTGGTTTGGCTGAGAAATCAAAAACTATCGAAGGTGTCCAGCAGTGGCCATACCAAGCCGTTGCCGATGCTTTTGAAGTGATTCCAAGAACCCTTATTCAAAACTGCGGTGGTAATGCGATTAGAGTCCTTTCGCAACTGAGAGCCAAACACGCCAATGGCGAACATACATGGGGTGTCGATGGCGATAACGGTAAGATTGTCGACATGAATGAATACGGTATCTGGGAGCCTGAAGTCATCAAGCAGCAAAGTGCTAAGACTGCCATCGAGAGTGCTTGCATGTTACTTCGTGTGGACGATATCGTCAGTGGTGTTCGTCAACAACAGTAGTCTTTATACGTACATATACCTGTATAATAACAGTAGCTTTCACCATTGTATCATCACCTATTCATCATTCTGTCTAATAACCTGTCAACATACAGGCAAATGCGTTTTTAAGTCGACAGTCGCAAAATCTGTAAACCACGACAAGATTTTGTGTCGCGTTTGTTTTTTTCTCCTTTGATCTGAAAGGGATTTATAGGTGCATGTTTTGCATATGTTTAACCGTCGTTGACAGACCGGCACAGTTCTTATGCACCTCTTGAAAGCACATATCCGGTATTTCAAACTCTGCTGGTGGCCAGAGATACAGGTACGCAGACGCAGATGGATACGCAAACAGCGGAGCTGTTACACGGGTCCAGTTCGGGCTCGGGGCAAACATTACAGCAGCAACAGCAATATCAACAGCCACAAGCTACGAGATCAAGAAGCACAAGTGAGTCTCAGAGGGCAACCCGTGCAGAGAAAAGGATGGGCCGCTTGTTTAGACAGCAAAGCTCTTCTGCAGTGAATTCCCACTCAAAGCAGTTGTCAGATCAAGGTCTCAATCATCATCACGCCCCTCATCTTCATTATCCACAAGCACAAAATCATCCCGAGGCCCTTTCAAACTCTCACAGTATCAGTAGCGTTACTTCCAGCATAAACAATAGCTGTAATATCAACAATACTACCAGCAGCACAGCTACTACCAATATAGTAACAGGGCATGCAAATGCAAATGCAAATGCGAGCACAATCTCAAACACAGCTGTAAACGGAACATTAAACGGTGCAGGTCATCCGAGTTTAGCTGGATCTACAACAACATCAGTGGCCGCTCAAGATGACTTTATTGGCCCTCATGATGGGCAGCAAGATGTAAACTTTGCACATTCGAATTCATCCTCCATATCTTCTCAGGTCGGATCCTCAACCTCCTCATCTACCACACCATCAATTTCGTCAAACCAAACTACAAGAAAGTTTGGCTTTCCTTTGACTGGTGTTGGTGCAATTTCATCACCAGAAATAGTGTCGCCGAACATGTACTCCAATATGTCCGTTTCCACAATTGTCACAAATCCAGACTCGATGGTTTCTCAGGATGAAAGCATGAAATTGAAACACCGTGAGAATTCCTCGAAGCTGTCGCCATTACCTGAAAAAGTTGACATCAGCTTGGATACTCTGTTATCAATGTCCAAAAAGTTTGTTTATTTTCACCGTCGATTTTTGTCTACCTTAGAATCACTTAACATAAATATAAGCTTGTCCAAAACTAATTTCAATGTTTACTTGGCTGTGCTTGACAACGTTGAAAGAAAGTTTGTGCAAAAAGGTCATGAGCAGATAACAGAAAGTATGAAAGCTCATTTGAAGGCTTCATTGGTCAATTCGATGAAAGATCTGAGAAAATATATTGAAAATTTAAAACTTTATTTCAAATCGAGCAATTTAGATGTTACTATTTCTTCTCTGCGCATGAGTTACTTTACTCTTTTCTCATTATTCATAGAGTTAGCCAACATATGCAAAATTATAGCCCCGTTCTCAAGTAGAAATAATCATTTTTCACAGAATAATCAGTCAGTTAATGTCAACAATAGTTCTAGTTCAATCAGACTCAATAATTCTTCAATTTCCAAAAATAAGCCGCCTTTCATTATTAACAGGGTTCCTGCTCCAAACCCTCAAAGTTCTTCTCAAGTAGCCTCAAGCAGACAAGCCTCGCTATCGAGGCAACATTCTAAACTGGATCGACAAGATTCAGATCTAAGCATATCAAGTTCACAAGCGGCAGAAACTTCAAACAGCTCTGTAATGGAAGATGAGAAGTTGTTTGATTTAATTACCCACACTGTTCAGGCTGCACATGTTGTTTATAGTCAGATGAATGAAGCAATTGCTAAGAGTGCTATAATGATAGCTGAAAATAGGAATTCAGAGACAGAGGACCAAATCAATGAAAATGAACACGAGCAAACTGTTGGTGTTAATAATATTGCAATGAAAGTGAAAGAGTTGACCAATCAGTGTCTAGCCTCGATGGAGCAAACTAAAAACGTTGAAAATTGTCTCACTATAGTCAAGAATCCAAATTTTAACTCATCTTCCGATACAGATGTACATAGAAACATTTACGAACAAACAAATCTTTTTCTCAAGTCCATTATCAGCATATTGGCTGCAACAAAAGGTGCTATCGAGGATATACCGGCTTTGAATGAGGTAAGGTCTTCATTGTCTATACTCACAAGAGCAACAAAGGAGTTGACCATCAAACTTGAATCGAGCTCACTAAAACAATCCGTTTTGAACAATACCCCATCAACTACCTCTTTAGTCGACCAGCCTAACTTGTCTTCGATCCCATCTATGGGAAATCTTACATTTGATCAACAACAACAACAACAATCAATTTTGCAGGGAATGCAATCACCGGTTCTTCAGCAACAGATGGAATCGAATTCAATCAGGCGAATAAACAAGCTAAGGCAAATTCCCGAGCATAACGAAAATATAATAGGCACGATGAAACAACATATAATGAATTTAGAGCTAAGTGCTGGTGAAATGTTCAATCAGCCCCCTTTAGGAGTGACAACTCCTCTCATAGCCTCAATTGGACCAGCAGTTGCAAACGCAGTGCTGCCTATAAAATCACCACTGAAAACAACATCGACAGTGAACCTAAACTCTTCTTTCATATCTAACAATTCTACGATTGATGGGACTTTGAATGGGGGGAATATCTCAAATGGTGCTACGACACCATTATATTTTGGAGATGGGAACATGCAGGCTGAATATAACCCCTTTGACAGGCTTGTCCCCAAGGGCCAACAAAATTAGTTAGTGTATAATTACTACCATGTAACATAAAATAAAAATGTTTTTTTTATCAGAGATCCTTAAAACTCCGGTTTAATCTGAACTTGATGTAAAAAAAATTCATTAAAAGAGACGTGGCGAAATTATAAACGATACAAATAAACGTAGATGTATGAATATTTATCAATGAAGAAAGATTAAGATTGAAATAACAATCACCCTAATTAAGATGAGTATATTGATTCCGTCTTCTGAAAAGACCTGTGAGCGACTTGTAAAACCTGGACACAGCAAAACTGACACTAGTCATACGACTGTTACCATTGGCAACAAAGCTGTCGACAGACAGCTCATTGATGTCTCCTCTAATGTCTGGCAAACCGTCATTCCAACCAAGGTTATAGGATTTGTCTGCACTGTTTTGCATTTTTCTTTTTAGTTTGGTGACAGACCAACGTTTTAGCCGCAAAGAGTTGCCAACTACAGAAATGGAAGAGCACGCCATTGCTGCACTTGCAAACATGGGATGCATGGTAATACTAAACGGAATAATCAGAAGCCCCATTGCGATGGGCAGCATTACCATATTGTAGATAATAGCCAAGAGAAAATTCAGTTTTATGGTGCTGAAAGTGGCTGAAGAGATATCAAAACTTGCATAGACTCCCAGCAAACCAATATGAGAGTTGTTGCTAACATTTACTTCTTCCACACCTTCAGCACTAGAAGACTCTTCTGTTGATGACAAGAGGATAATATCAGCTGCGCTCATGGCAATATCGGTGCCCGAGGAAATGGCTACTCCAACATTAGATTGAACTAAAGCAGGAGCGTCATTTATTCCATCGCCAACAAAAGCAACATTGAAATTCAGTTCCTGCAACTTCTTAACATACTCTAATTTATGCTCCGGACTTGCCTCTGCGAGAACATTGTTTAAAGGTATACCCAAAAGGTTTGCAACATGACGAGAGGTGTCCTTCAAATCGCCGGTCACCATACCAACTGAATATCCCTGATCTATGAATGTTTCAATAGTGGTCTTAGCGTCAGATTTCAAAGAGTCTGATAATTCAACATAGCCAGCATATGCGCCATTGATTAAAATGTGGCAAATGGAGCTTATTCTAAATTTAGCAGAACAATGGGCTAAAGATTCTTCAAATTCTACCGTATTCAAGATTTTAAATCTTTCCAAAAACTTTGAGTTACCCAACTTAACATCAATTGCTCTTTTTGTTTCAATATCTACGCAGCTAGCTGATATTCCCAATCCTGCATGTGTGTCAACAGAAGATATTTCAAACAAATATGGGTTTTGATTAAGTAGCTCTTGATTGCAACATCTAACAATTGCCTTTGCAATTGGATGTTCGCTATTCGATTCAATCACTTGTAGTAATGACCATAAAAAGTTTGCACTTTCTGTGTATTGTCCTAAAAAGCGGAAGCTTGTAAGCTCCATGAAACCATTAGTCAAAGTACCAGTTTTGTCAAAAATGACGCAATTGACCTTACTTGCATTTTCTAGAACTTCGCCACCTTTGATAAGAATACCATTGGTTGCCCCAACACCGGTTCCCACCATAACTGCGGTTGGTGCAGCTAAACCCAATGCGCACGGGCAAGCTACAACAATGACAGAAATTGCAACCTGTAATACTTTGAAATAAGCAACTTTAGATGGATCTTTTGAATCCAAAAAAATGGGTGGGATTGAATCTATGGGGGTATATTCAACATATGATGTCCAGAATATTAATGACAAGATTGAGAATATTAGAATGCAAGGAACAAATATGGAAGCAATTGTATCAGAAAATCTTTGAACTGGAGCGTTTGAAATTTGGGCATCTTTTACCAATTTAACAATTTGTTGAAGTTGTGTTTGTTCGCCTAATTTAGTGATTCTCATGAAAATCGTAGAAATTATATTCACAGAACCACCTATTAAAACCGAGCCAATCACCTTTCTCACGGGAAGCGATTCACCTGTGAGCAAAGATTCGTCAACTTCCGAAGTGCCAAAAACGCAAACACCATCGGAAGGTACTTTGGCCCCGGGAAGAATAACTGCAATATCGTTTTTTTGTAGCAAGTCTATGCCTATTTGTTGTTGAGTGATCAGTGAACTGTCTAGTGTTGTAACCCTCCCTTTATTGAACATCTCTGGGTTTTTTACAATAACACAAGACGATGGCGCCAATGACAATAGTTTGGACAATGCAGTTGACGTATTACCCTTGGCCTTACTTTCTACCCATTTTCCCAAACTGACAAACATAAGTAGCATAGTGGAAGTGTCGAATAGGATGACGGGATAACTATCCGTGAATATTCCGTGAATGATGCTGAATACTGAATATAAATAAATAATTGACGTAGAAGTACAGATCAAAACATCCATACTGCCACTTCCATGACTTAATGATTTGAAACAATTAATGTAAAATTTCTCCCCTAACCAAAACTGTATATATGTTCCAAGACTGAATTGGAGGATGATGTCCCAATATAAACCATTTGTGACTCTCATTTTATTGCTATCCCAGTGGCAACTTTTTCTTATTATGGGGAAAATATGGCTCAAAAATATAACTGGTAAGCCAAACTTCAAAAGGCTGAAAAAATTGTCTCTCCAATAGTTGATTTCTTTCACTTTTGCAAGCAAATCTATCTGGGTCGTAGAATCTAGCTTGTTTTTGACCAGAGCATCGTACCCAGAAGCATTAACCACTTGGAGAATTGCTCTTATTCCAGTGACATCTGGATCGTATTCAACAGTCATTTCCTCGGATGCAACTGTCAACTGACAACTCAAAACACCTTCCAAGTTTGATATACTTTGCTCGACAGTATCTGCGGAAGATTGATCTACCAACCCATATAATTTCAGTGTGCCGGTGACAATAGCCGAGCTTGAGTTCAGCTTGTTGTCACTAGGACGCAAAACTTCAGAGACGTCAATGATGCTGGCATCAAACCCTAGATCCTCTATATGCTCTTTGATCAAATCTACCGACAAGCTCTCCTCGTGAATCACCACAGCCTTTTCAGTCATCAACGACACAGAAACATTATCTACCCCTTCCAATTTTTCCAGCTCATTGATTATCGATTTCACACACGATGTGCACGTCATCCCAGATATTGTAAGTTCGGTTTTGTATTTCATGACTGGACTCAGTCCTTTTTCTGATACTGAGGAGATTAAGTTAGCGTCAAACCCCAAATCTTCTATAATTTCACAAAATGCGCCAGGATCGATGTAGCTGTCATGGAAAATGATCGCTTCTTCCGTCAACAACGAAACATTAGCATCACTCACGCCTGGTATTTGTAAGAGAGAGTTTGTGATTGAGTTTGAACAAGAAGAGCAGGTCATACCGCCTACCTGAACTATAGTCTTTCTGGCGTGAGCATACGACGGCGTTGCGGAAGAGGCAGAAGTCGGGTTGCCAGCCGAGGACATGAAGTTGGCGTCGAATCCCATATCCTCTATCTTCTCGATAAGCTCCTCTGTCGTAACCGATGGCGCATGCGTTACAGTTGCTTCTTCTGTGAGCAAAGAAACAGATACAGACTCCACTCCGTCTATCTTTGCCACTTCCGCCTTTATGGAATTCGAGCACGATGAACATGTCATTCCGCCCACTTGAATCACTGATGTCACAGACATCCTTGTAATGGAGTATGTGTTAAATCCAGAGTATCAGACAAAGAAGAAGCCTGAGAGAACAATTTTACTAATGATGTCCTCTGAGCCTAATTATAGAAGTCTTGGCAGCTGTCTATGGGCAAGAAGAAAATGTTAGGTGTTGATGGTGGGTACAACAAACAGTGAATATAGCCTTGTGCAATCGTTTTTTTCAGCAGATAATTAGTGTATCGAGCCAGCAGATTGAGTCTTCGAAGTAGCACCGGTGATGTTCGCCTCTCTCATACAACGTCTGCTAAACACCGGAAAAGCACGAACAGACGAGAAAATAACGGTCTGCCACTTCCGTAAGGAGAAAATTAGTTCATGCTAAGTGTGTGCTCTAGGGCAAGGACGGAAGGTCGATATCTCCGAAAGAAACGGAGAAATTTGGATTACGTCAGCAGAAAATTTGACAGGAAATATCTCCCAAATTCGCGAACTTTCTGATGATTTTTGCCATAGTTAATATATATTATGCAGAAAAGTGGTATCTGTCTCGGATTTAAACAGCCCTGGGGCAAAAAACGATGAGCCCCCTTCATTAAGGACTAACTTCAGAACGTTTGTACAAAAAACAAAGTTGCATACAAAGAGGCTATACATCTTTTTTTTAGAGATAAAGTCATAAGCTCTGGCTCTCATCAGAGTTAGAGCTAATCAGAGTTAGTCAAATTTAAGTGGATGTGCAATTTAGAAAGGCCATCGGCGAAGCACCTCCTCCACTCATGAAGACGTAAATGCACCGGCAAAAAAAGGTTATTAGTACATCTGAGATACTTGAATCTCACTTCACGCTACTTTATTCATGTGGCTTTGTATTTCCAGAATGGTATCTTAGGTCTTCCCTGTAAATTTTACTTTTACTCGCCTAACAAAACCCATTACCTCAAATTTGTCTGCAGGTCAGATATCAAAAAATTTCAGTTCAAGCACATCATCGTAAATCAGCATCGCTTTTCAAACCACTTCAAATTACTCCTTCAATAAACACTAACCGGTTAGCCCACGGTCCCCTCTGTAAACAATCTTTCACAACAGCAGTGATCATTAACAGAACTTGCCGGTTTGCAAAAAGTTTGACTATTTTAGCCTTGAGGTAGCTAGCTATGCAAAATCTATTGGAGTGAGTGGCTTAAGACTTGATGTGAAAAGGTGTAACACTGAATGCTTTTCCCTATCCACATAATATTTCTATTGTTTAGGATAAAATACTTTTTAGCTGTGTTTTTTTTTCTAGATTCATTTGAGTAGTTTCAACTTGAGTTGTCAACCTTGAGCATCTGGAAATCGAACAAGAAAATATAGTATAACTTTAGTCTTCAGTACATTTACTATTTTGACAATTATTATTAGAAAAGGTGCACGATTTGAAATTTTATTATTAGGTATCAGTAGCTTACTGAAAAAAGTTTTTGACAAGGTATTCAAAGGATGCTCAGATTAGTACACGCAATTAAGATGTCAGACTAGCATTTCCGGCATGATATTTGTCAAAGTTTGATAGAAATTTATTGAAATTTTGCAATAAAGAAAGGAAATGGAAGCTGTACAACTGCCAGGAACTATACAGATAAGTGGTTTTATATGTGGTTTGCGAGAGATAGGGAGAAGAGAGGAGAGGAGTCATTCTTTCATCTCTTCACACTTGTGTGAAGCTTGTTCTCCTTGATGGCACAGACTGCAAGCAACCCAAGTACGGAAGTGACAAGAGCAAGCACAAAAGTGTACCACACACTGATGTTGTAGGAGTCGATCATCAAACTAGTAGCCCAGACAGGGGCTTCTTTGGATCTAATGTAGGTTGCATCGTGGGATGCAGCATGGATGATAGCCTGTAGCATATCGTCAGTAACATCTGCAGGTCTCTCGCTCGTCAACTTGACAGTCAAGTAGTGGGACAAACTTGTTGTGAAGAGGTACGAAGAAAAGGAAGTACCAAGAGTAGAACCGATACTTCTGAAAGCGTACTGAACGGAAGTAACCGAGCTTTGGAACTCAAATGGGACGGCAGCAATCAAAGAAAGCAACGTGACGGTCAACATCGATGCGTATGCAATCATTGGCAGAAGACTAAATGTGTACTGTTCAAAAATATTTGGCCTTTCACCAGAACGTGTTAAAAACAACAACAACACGATACCGTGAGTACCAATGGCGTTGATGATGATGGAGAACCTGAGGTACTTGCCGCTCCATTTCATGTAATATCCGCTCAAAATACTGGACAAAGAAGTGGCAAAAATGTTTGGAATCAATCTCAAGCCAACACCCTCCGATGGGATGTCTAGCACAGTGGTCAAATATACAGGGATGTAGTACGTCAAAATGTATGCGTACATCGAGCCGAACCAGTTGGCCAACGATGAGCCTAAAACAGATCTGTTTTTCATCAACTCCACTGGAATGATTGCAAAGGAATGTCTGTCTTCCACTTTGTAAAGAGCGTATATGCCAATGACCAACAAAGCGAACAACCCCCAATAGAAGGCAACATTGTCAACACTAGCACTGGTCATAGTGATTAAAACCAACAAGTTGAAAGCAATAAGAGAGATACCGCCAATGTCGACCTTCTTGAATTTTTCACCCATGGTGACGTTTTCATTGCCAATTTCATGTGGTAAGATTGGAAGGTTGAAGTACACAACAATCACCACGAAACCCAGTACCCCAATCGGAACTTGGCACCAGAAGGCGGCTCTCCACCCCCAGTTCTGGGAAATCCAGCCACCACATGTACCTCCAACAGCACAACCTAGACAAAAGAAGATGTTACCTAGTCCCTGGTAAACACCACGGTCTCTTAGTGGGATCAAATCGCTTGTTATTATTGAGCTTAGAGAGTTTAGACCAGCACCAAAACCACTCAAGAACCGTCCACTCACAAAGCCGCCCACAGAGCCTGCTGTTGCACATTGCAAGCAACCAATGGTAAAAACAAAGATGCAAACAAGTAAGGATGTCTTTCTACCGAAAATGTCACTCAATTTACCCAATGGCTGTACGATGGAGGTGGAAAAGAGGTAGGAAGTCGCAATCCAAGAGATGTAAGGCATCGCATTCAAGCTGGATGCGATGTCGGTAAGCAATGTGGACAAAATAGTGGAATCTAATGCAGCCAAGAAAATCAAAAGGTATAATGGAATCAACACAGCCACAGTCTGGTTGAATGGCAGAAGATAACCTTCGTTAGGGTCGTTTTCCTCAGAAGATGTTCCGGTTTCTGCACTTACTGCTGTTCTTGCTCCGTTGTTAAGTGCACCGTATGACTCTTCAATAATCTCCTCTGCAACAAACCCCGGCAAAGATGTGGACGCATCATCCATGACGTCTGCGTAAGGAGGACTCTTTACTGGCACTAAAGGCGATGTGGACATATCTGATCTAAAAGTCGTGGCTGACCACCAGGTTTTCCTTGATTAATGTGCTTGCACACTAGAGTGGAAACAGAGTTAAAGAAGAAAACAGAAAGTCGAGGAGGAAATAGTGGAAGTGGGTACACGTAAAAGTCAGACAAACTCGCAGATAGGTAGATTACGAACCCCCGGTTCTAACGGCCGAGAAACACCAACTATGAAAGTTATTTTGTCTGATCGGCGAGGTTGCCCGATTCGGGAGGGAGCTCCGATAAGTGGACGGCCTTTGAGCTACAGAGTGATGGGTAGATGAATAGATAGATGGGTGGATGGGTAGATACATCAGGTATACAAATAGGATATACAAAGAGGAGCTAGAATCATGCCTCAGATTTCACAGAGAAACTGGTGTCTTCTACATCCGGAGTGGCTGCCAACGAATGCGATTTCCTCTCCTCTTTGCGTCTACGTTTCCGTTCCTCCTCCCTTTCCTTTCGCTCTTCTTCTTCTTGCAAATGCATCTCGATGGTGTAGTCATCGCCCCAGCGATAGTCAACGTCGATCTTGAAGTGAAAGTTGTCTGCCCACCACTTATTCAGCTTTCTCACGGTCGGGGTCTGTAGCTCGGGTTTTTTCAATATGATGTTAATAATCTTCATGAGCCCAGTCGTTTTTAGAATCGACTTGGAAAGGTCAGCAGCAAGTAGAGGGGCAACCAATCCATCTATGGTTTTGTTAATTTTCTTGTAGTCTATCACTCTATCATCCTCTTCCTGGTCTTCCTCTTTTGCTTTTTCGCTTGCTTCTTCCATTCCGTTCTGCTCCTTCGCTTCCTCGGTCTTCACTAACTCTGCTGCAATTTGATTCGAAGTAGTATCGGCGGGTATTAAAGTAGCGGAATCGGCAGTGGATTTTTCTCCATTCATGTCATCATTTTGAGCTTCCTCTTTTTTCTCAGCTTTTTCGCCTTGTTTCTGTTTTTTAAGAGGGAAGATCAATTTCTGGAGCTCGGCTCTAAGCTCACGGCACCAGGCTGTCATTTCAGCCACTTCTACAGCCAATGCAGAAGCAGGAGGTATTTCGTTGAACTTGACATTCAAGTCTTTTGCCTTACTCGTATCGAGTCCCCACACCTCTTCTCCTTCTTCGTCTTCTAATTGTGCATTATCCACTTCTCCAGCCTCTTCATCGTCTAACAACTCTCCGCTGTCCTCAGCATCGTCCACATTCTCGTCCTCGTCTGCAAAGTCATCTGCATCATCTGCATCTTCGTCGTCATCTTCAACTGAAACACTATCATCAAGACTGCTTATGTAGTCATCATCGCCCTCGGCCTCGTCGTTGATGATGAATTCTTCCTCGTCAAAGGCGACAGAATCTGGTGTTTCAGATTCATCCTTGGCTCCTCTTCTTGACTTCCCTACCTTTTTGCCTCCCTTTTGGACCAGCTTGGAAGTGGTAGTAGAGGTGGACTTTTTAGTGGCCTTTTGCTTCTTCTTTGACTGTTCAGATTTGGCCGAAGCAGCAGCCCTTTTCTTTCTATTGACTGGTTTGGATTCACCAGGTGCTTCGTACTCGGGCGTGATTTCTTCTGCCTCCAACTCAGATTCTAGATCCGGCACGACAGGCTTGCCCCAACTGCCCCATTCGAGAAACTCATCGACAGGCACCTGTTTGACCTTCAAATAGGCTTCCGTGATTCTCTTCTTACGTCCGCCTCTTTTGCCTGTGGATGGAACAGAAGCAGGATCGTCACCTCCGTTCAATTCACCAACGCTTATCAAGTAGTCATCGATTATTTGGTCATTCAAAGGCTTGGTACTGGCAAAGTTTGTCCAAGAGTATTGGTCATCATAATAGAACTTGACGCAAACGTGGTCGTTGTGGAGGTAGTTGTCCAAGAATTTGGCGTTTTTGGAGGTTTTCAATTTGGCTGGTATTTGATCGGCAGGCACCACAATGGCGGGCCAATCAGGAAACCCTTTGATTTTTGCAAGGACAAGCTGTTTAGGCTCCAAGGAAGACGACATTACCTGTTTCAGTCGAATGTGATATCTGGAGCAATTTGGTGGGACTGTGAGCGAAGCGAAGAGAGAGAGAACAGCGTTTGTTGAAGTTTGTCAAAGAGTGAATAAACAGATACGAGCTGAGAAGCGTTTAGTGATGCAGAGGCGCGTCGAGGGAGTTTTGTGAGGAAATGAAATCCACGTGTAAGCAAGGTACTGGTAATACGATGTAGAGTGTATCTAGAGCTATATAAGAACCCGGCGTCGACACGCTGTAGGTGTCGAGGATCGAGTCATTCTATAAAGCTTTGCTGCTTGGAGCAGGGTGAGCATTTTAGTGAAAGCCTTCGACACAATTCCACGTCAGCCTCATTTCTTTGCACAGCAGGCAGGGGTCTTGTCGTGGAACTGGAACCACAAGACCTGGTCAGTGAACGCCTTTTCTGCTGCGTACTTGACTGCCGGTACGGAGAGGTCGCCTCTGACGGTAAAACCGTGGGACACGTGGGAGAAGAGGTCGAACTGGTAGTAGACCTTGTTCTTCTGGAGAATCTCCTCCGACTTGATTCTCAACTCTCTTGGGAAAACGGTGTCCTCTTCTGCGCAGGAGAGTACCAACGGCTTGGTGATGGCGTCGAGCTCCTCGTCGCTGACAAACGATGGGTGTGCAAAGGCCCCAACGTCCAACAACCCCTCGGCAGTGAGAAATGGGGCCAAGAACTTGGCGCCAAAGCAGTAGCCGATACCGGCCAAGTAGGTTGTGTCTGGGAACTTGGTCTTGAAGGCGTCGAAAAACTTCTTCGTGATGGCATTAGTGATTTCCGGACTGTGGTCTGGTCCCCAGGTCTCGAACGTCATCGAGCCGTCTGTCTTGAATGGGTCGCCGTGAAGGATGTCCATGATGATGACCGGGTAGCCCAGACATGCGGCGAATCTATCGGCCACGAGCTTAGTGTTGACCAACTCGAGCCCAAAGACGTCCGTAAACACAAAGAGGAACTTTTTGGCGCTTTCAGAATAGTTTTCCGTGACGTAACAGTCCAGGTCGCAGACCTTCTGGATCTGGCCCTTAGGGGTGCCGTCTTGAAAGACGACCTTGGCGCAGCATGCTTGGGGAGGAAGAGAAGCCATTGTTTGGGGGGTTGGAGAAAGCTATTTGGTTAGTTCTGGTGTTGTGTCTCTTGAATTGCAACACCCGTTAATTTGGAACAAGCCGAACCAGCGGAGAATCGGAGCCGTGTTTTATAGCAGCAGCTGTTGAGAGGAGCCGGAGTAGCATTGCGGGGCACCGCGGCCGTTGCTGCCGTGGACAAAGGAGATAGAAGGACTTAGCACGGGGATTAGCGGACGTGGCTGCCCAAAGCGGGAGCGCGCCGACGCGTCGCCGACGCGTCGCCGGCGGAAGCGGCATGGGCTTTTCCGCCTCCCGTACCCACGACACCATCTGCTGTCGCGCCCTCTCTCCCCCCACGCACGGCGAACTCCCGCTCGCGGCGGCGCCCGATGCGGGCAAACGTAAACAGCGGCGCCGGATCGGGCGAGCCGCGGCGGACGCGGGCCCCAGCCCCATTCGCTGGCCGGCGGGGGTCGCAGGCGCACCGCCGATTGGCCGCGGGGCCCGGCACAGGCTGGGCGGGCGGCAAGTTGCCACGCAGCCGGCTGCCGTTGCCAGCACCGGTATGTCTGTTCTGTTTGGCTGGCGGGCTTGTTGTGGTATTGCCATTGTTGTCGGGCGCACGCTCGGGGCAGAGACAGAAGCGGCAGTGTGTCCGTGGAAGCTGGTGTGCCCGGCAGTGCTGCTTTTTTCCAGCAGCGTCTCTTCTCCACCGCTCTCCACTCCGCCCAGCGCTACTGCAGTGCACCCAAGGTCCGCTGACTCTTAACTGTCTCTCTTTCCTCTCTTCTTCTGTTTCTTTCTGCGTCGTCTCTTCTTCTTGTGGTTGCCTTTGGCTTTGTCGGTCCTTCTGTGATTCCTAGAACCAGCCAATCCTTCCCTACTAGCCAATCCATAATGTTACCAGCCGGTGTTATCGTTGTCTTCTGCTTACTTTTCGTTATCGGTTGTACCGTCTTCATCCTCTTCATGATCAAGAAGTTCAAGCACTAAGCAACGGCTCGGGGGCTAATTGGCCCTGCGCCGTCCGCCGCTTTTGGAACCTTGCATTTTTCTTGTCTCCGCAGGGGAACCAGGCTGTTGCGTTCTGCTTGCGTCTGCTGCCAGCCACAATAAAACAAGAGGCGCTCCGTCTACAGGACGCTTCTTCTATAAAGGTGAACGCTGGCAGGCAGGCACCAAGTGCCCAGAAACAACCCAGCGTGCTTCCCCTCGGCCACGTCTTTCCACCACTAATCATCCATCCATCCATCCGTCCACCACCCGTTACAATGACACTTGATATCTCACTTTTCAGCCTCTATTCTTTATTCTACCTTCTAATCGAGACCCTAATAATATAATTTAAATATAATATAACATAATATAATTTAATTAATTTCATTAATTTCATTAATCTGGGTTTTTCGTTCGAATTATTTCGCCTACCGCCCACTCCAGCGTGTGCTGACACTCTCTGTCCGCCTTCTGGCTTCGTCCCGTGCCCAACCCAGTGGTACTGGCACTTGCTGCCGGTACTTGCTTTACATGCCTGCCCTGCCTCCCCGTGTTACCCGGTCTCTCTGCCCCCAGCCGCCGGTTACGTAGCCCGTGGCTTTTGCACAGCCCAAATCCGCGTCGATCGGTCCTTTTTCTTCTTTTTTTCCTGTTTCCACCACCACAGTCGCTAAAGGGTGGTCGCGCTCCGCCTCCTCCACCCTTACACACCCCCGTGCACCGGCACGTTCGTCCGCTTGCGCCCCTTCTTTCTCTCTCCTCTTTGGTAGAAAAAAATCGAAAAAGGCAAATTGGTTGATTATCCCTTTTCGGCCATGGCGTTCCCACTTTTGCTCGCATGTTTATTTCCTCTCTTTTTCCCCTTTTCAAACACACTTGTCCTTCTTAGTTACCCTTTCCAGACAGCCCTCTCCGTCCAGAGTCACAGACACGCACTTAGTCTTTGCTCCTACTTCCCCTGCTCCTCCCCACAGCGTCACGCAGCTTGTCCAAGTAAGTACACGCCCCTGTGCACACATTCCGCTCACTCACTGCTACGTCCTCCTCGTTTTCATTGTGGTGGCTGTGGTTGTTGTTGTTCTTTTTTCTCTGCCTCCTCGCTCAATTGCCGCCCTCGTGGCTAGCGATGCCCCGCTGACACGCAGTATACTAACGTCTGTTTCTCTCGTCCATTTCATCTTTTGTGCAGTGTCGGAAATCCAAGAATCAAAGCCTGAACCTCAGCCTGAGCAAATCATCCAGTCAAACCCTCAAGACGATGACTTGGATGATGACGATGACTCGAAGTCAAACAACACAGGCGCCAACGCTAAAAGAGAGCGCCGCAAGATCGAAATCAAGTTCATCCAAGACAAATCAAGAAGACACATCACGTTTTCAAAGCGTAAAGCAGGTATCATGAAGAAGGCCTACGAGTTGTCCGTCTTGACAGGCACCCAGGTCTTGTTGTTGGTTGTTTCCGAAACAGGTTTGGTCTACACTTTCACAACTCCTAAGCTGCAACCTCTTGTCACCAAGGCGGAAGGTAAAAACTTGATCCAAGCTTGCTTGAATGCCAGTGATGAGCAATCGGCCGATGACGATGAAGCTCAGGCCCAGGCTCAGGCCCAGGCTCAAGCTCAAGCTCAGGCACAAGCCCAGGCTCAGGCTCAGGCCCAGGCTCAGGCTCAAGCCCAGGCCCAAGCTCAAGCTCAAGCGCAAGCACATGCCCAGGCCCAAGCCAACTATCAACAACCACAAGAAATCCACTACGGTAACCAGCAAGCATATGGTACTGGTCATATGAACAATGGTTATATCGGCAACGATCAAGCAAACTACAACTATGGTGATGGAACTGGCTTTCAGTGAAGGGGGTACCCACTAAGACTCCAATTACTTACGATACCTTTTTTTTCTTTCACACACTCTTAAACATGAAATAACCAAAAAAAATTGAGAAACAAAAAGCAATGTATCTTTGTCGTTCCAAAATCACCCATGTGTTTCCATAATTTATTTGTACATTGAATTAACTATATTTAGCGTATAATCACAGCTATTTATTATAATATATAAAAATTTTGATCTAGAAAAATCGTCTGTAGTCGTTTATGACTCGTATAAGAACTCTGCTATCCATTTCTGGAGCTTCAGTCCTCCATCCGGGTCGGAACCGTCTTCGTGCAGCTTCTGGTTTCTTGCTGAAGCGTCCTTGTAGAATTCTTCATCGACGGCACCTTGCGAGAATTTATCCCTGATCATGGCACCCGTTAGCTCGGCAGAGAACTCAGGGTGACCCTGGAAACTTAGCAGCTTCCCACGCTTGTAGAGTCCCTGGACCGAGCAGATCGACGACGAGCCAAAAGTGTATACATCCAGCTCAGAGAGAGTTTTCAGCTGTTTGCTGTCAAACGGTGTAGACACGATATCTCTGTGCATCTCTGAGATGACAAACTCGTGCGGGATATTTGCATTGTTCAGCCGCTGGTACTCCTTGTCTGCAATGCTGACTACCGTATTGCCCATTTCCCATCCCTTGGTGTTTGGCACGGTCGTGAGATCCAATGCCCGGGCAATGATCTGGTGTCCAAAACAGATCCCAAGAAGTTTCGTCTTTGAATCAGCATTGCTAACCACGGATTTCAGAAACGCAATCAGTTTGTTGTTAAACTGGATGTTCTCGTACGAATCTTTGCGGGATCCCGTAAGGTAGATCAGATCGTACGTGCCATCCAGCTCAGGGAGGTTGTCGTTGTTCCTTATGTAGTCGAACTTGGTGAACTCTAAGTCGTCGACGTCAGACTGGGGGTATTGGGCTACTGCAGACTGGATAAGCTTTCTTCCCAAGTCCGCAAAATCAGCGCCCTCTGCGGTGAGGAGGTCATCGAGAAGCAAGAGTGCAACCCTGGTCATTACAAAGAACAAAAGAATTGGCTCCGAAGATGCTGCTGTGACCTCTCTGTGGGGCCTACGTGCCATCAAAACCAAATCGGCATATCTACTTTGATAACATGGTGTGACTCGAGAAAAACAAGATAATTCCGAATCTTCCTCGGTGACTCAAAACTGCTATAAAAGCGAGAGGGTGTGCTGGCTGTATTGTGGGGCATGTTCTTTTTGCCTGCAGGCACGAATCTATGCTGGTTTAGCCACTCATACACACACACAAACCTACTGCAATATGAATTTAGATTTGCCAACAGACAAAACATATGACGAGAGCGTCAAGACGGAGAAGAAAGACAAGCTAGTTTTTGCTCCAGAAACTTATCAGTACACGCTCTACACGCTTTCGGAGGACGAGTTGGTGAATTCGCCAATAGAGCAATTCGACAAATGGTTTGAGGAAGCGTTGAAGTCGGACGAACCGATTCCCGAAAGCGTGGTGTTCAGCACCTGCTCTCTCCCTAGCGGGCGTGTGTCATCAAGATACGTGCTTTTGAAAGAGCTCGACAAACGGGGGTTTCTTATCTTCTCGAACTGGGACACTAGCAAGAAGGAGAAAGACGTGGAGACAAACAAGTACGCCAGCTTGACGTTCCTGTGGAAGAAGTTCCAGAGACAGGTGCGTGTCGAGGGGATTGTGGAGCGGTTGACGTACGAGGAGAGTCAGGAGTACTACGGGGTGAGGCCACGGGGCAGCAAGATCGGCGCCTGGGCAAGTCCGCAGAGCAAAGTGTTGAAGAACCGGGAGGAGCTCGATAAAATTGTGGCTGCAAAGGAGAAAGAGTTTGAGGGGCTTACAGACGACGAAATCAAGTGTCCTCCCAAGTGGGGTGGAATAAGGATTGTGCCGCTCGAGGTTGAGTTCTGGCAGGGCCGCCAGAGCCGGTTGCACGACCGGTTGAGCTACCGTCGGGAAAGTATTGAAACCGACGAGTGGGAAGTGGTGAGACTTGCTCCGTGAATGGATTGAAATTCGGACATCGGTCGTGTTACAGTTTACGTATATACAATATAGAACACTATCTGAAACTTTTGTTGATCTGACTCTAATTGTCACGAGCAACATCAGGCTCTCTAGTAGAGGAGACAAGGAAGACACCGTTATATAATTACTAGACCATTATACACTATGAATTCACCATAGCGGTAGTAATTACAATTTAGCTAAAGTTCCTAAAAAGAAATTTTGAGTCAGTAGATGCTCGTTAAAAAGCAAGGCAGAGCCAATCTAATCGATAGCGCTTCAAACCGAGTCGAGTTTTCCCATGAGACGTCTTGTCTGTATTTACTTTCGTCACTCTTCCTTCAAAACCAGACGTGTGTACCACAATATTTTGGTAACTTTGACATGAATTTTCTGGCCAAAGCTATTGTATTACTCCAAAATTCAAAATTTGAAGATTGAAGTTTGCAGAGTAATGGCTTCAAGAAGTTGAATTGTGGCTAAATGGACTAATTAGGAAATTTAACCGGTGCTCAAGCCATAGGTAGGACCATAGTGTCTATTTTGGCTGTATGAAATGCAGAAAAATATCATCCGTGTTCATGTTGCCCATCCATCCATACATACATAGAATTACTAGGGTTGTGCCGTTATTACTAAAATTTCAGTCTCTCCAGCCTCTCGAACGGAAAATACTAATTCCTTTTCCACATAAGCGTGTAAGTAGGTTGATATTTTGGTAAAGCTATCGAAAAACAAAGTTAGATAGGGATTTATAAGAAAAGGAACACGTCTAAGTGGCTTAGAACTTGGAAATAACCTTGCCGAACTCAGCACCTTGAGTGAAAGCGACCTTGAGTTCCAAAGCGGAAGGCTTTCTGGAGCCGTCAGCACCAGCAATGGTACCAGCACCCCAAGCGGAGCCACCGTGGACCTCGTCCAGGTTGGTCAATTCACCAAAGACTGGCGCAAAACCCAATGGGACGTAGATCATACCGTGGTGGGCCAAGGTAGAGAGCAAGTTGACAATGGTGGTTTCGTTACCACCACCGGTACCGGTGGAGATGAAGACACCGGCTGGCTTGTGGTGGAGGGTACCCTTTTGCCACAGACCACCTGTGGAGTCGATGAAAGCCTTCATCTGGGCTGGCAGGTTACCGAATCTGGTTGGGAAACCAAAGAGAATACCGTCGGCCTCTGCAAGAACATCTGGGGTGGCAATTGGGTAGTCTGGCTTGGCTGGAGCGTACATCTTGGCCAAGACCTCCTCGCTGAGGGTCTCTGCGACTTGGTAGATGGTTGCCTTGTTGCCGGAAGACTCAACACCCTTCTTCACCTCCTCAGCGAGGGTGGCGACGTGGTGGTACATGGAGTAGATGACGATTGCGATGTTAGCCATTATGTGTATGTGTGTTTTTTGGTTGTTTGGTTGTTATATGATATCTTCAAGCCTCTTTCTCGAACCTCCGTCCTCTACCTGCTATTCTGTCCTACGGCGGGCCATGGGGCCTCTTTATACGCCAAAACAACATGCTGTCCCCCGCGAGCCTTATGTCAGCGGCGGCAGGCGGCCTTAGTCATGATGCGCGTGGGGCGGACATTACTAAACGAGCGCTGAGCCCCCGGCGACGCTTAGTCAGGGACGCTGACAAAGACGAGACGGGGTGGAGGAAGTAGACGAACACATGCTTGCTTACACAGGCTTACTTATACAGCTTACTTATACAGCTTACACAAAGAGCTCAATGGAAGAGCTTGGCAAAAAGCCTGCTGAGTGGGTTCTTCTTCTTCTCCTTCTTGGCGGCTGGGGCCTTGGCTGCTGGTGCCTTGGTTTGGGCAGCTGGCTTGGCAGCCTTCTTGGCCGGAGCAGCAGCAGTGCCTTCAGCAGCAGTAGCAGCAGCAGAAGCAGCAGCAGGCTCGGAGGCGGTCTTGCCCGTTAGCTTGGCGACGGCGACGGCGAAGTCTTGGCCCTGTACCTGGGCGATCTTGAGCTCGCCGGCGTTCGGAGTCCGGGAGCCGTCGGCACCAGCAACTGTGCCGGCACCCCAAGGACTGCTGCCGTGAACCTCGGACAGGTCAGTGAGCTCGGCAAAGGTTGTGGCCGTACCCAGTGGAATGTAGATCATACCGTGGTGGGTCAAGGTGGAGAGGATGCTGACAACGGTGGTTTCGCGTCCTCCACCGGTACCGGTGGAAATGAAGACACCGGCTGGCTTGTGGTGGAGCTTGCCCTCCTGCCAGAGGCCACCCGTGGAGTCGATGAAGGCCTTCATCTGGGCTGGCAGATTACCGAATCTGGTTGGGAAGCCGAATATGATACCGTCGGCGGCCTGAAGGACGTCTGGGGTGGCGACCGGGTAGTCTGGCTTGGCTGGGGCGTACAGCATGCCCAATACCTCGTCGTCAAGCGTCTCTGGGACCTGGTAGATGGTGGCTGTGCTGCCGGCGGCCTCAACACCCTTCTTGACCTCCTCGGCAAGGGTTGCCACGTGGTGGTACATGGTGTAAATAACGATCGCGATGTTGGTAGTCATGTTGCTAGTACGATGGTATGCGTGCTTGCTTGGTTGCTTGGATGGTTTCGCTAGACTTTGCAGACGCTACTTTCTCGACAGAATGGAGTTATCTAGACCCGCCGATCGTCACGGGGCCCGTCGCCCAGGAAAAACGGGTCGTCTGTTGTTTTATACAGAGAGCTCGACGCTGGCAGAGGACCGGCTGCAAAACCTGCGGCTGTGCAGTCGCACCCTCTTAGTAAGCCGTTGGAGATTTATAATCGGTTACTAAGGTTGACAATAATAGCAACTCTGGGCAGAAGCAGGCACCTCAGCGCCTCATAAGCACGGTTCGGTTTTTAGTCTTCTTAACCCGGCAGTACTTGAGACAAAACTTGTCGATCTTGATCCCCTTCGCATTGAGCGGGGCGACAAAGGGCTGCAACTCCTCGAGCGTCCACTGCGACTTGAGGCCAAACAGCCTCGAGAACCGCTCCTGCGGTGTCTTATAAGCCGAGAGCTGGTCTACGGTAAGGTGGTGGATCTCCAACTGCCCATTGTCCAGCTTCTGCGTGTAGCTGAACCCGCTCAGGATCTCGCTGATCTCGAAGCTTGGTAGATAGTTCACCGGGAGGTTCAACCGAATCTGGATCAGCAGGTCGTCCAGCAAAATCGTCTTCTCCTTCTCCAAAATCGTCATAGTGAGGAACCTGATGATCTTGTTGTGCAGCAGCAAGTACCCGCCGGTGGCGATAAGGGAGTAGGCGACGTACTGGTCCGCTTCGTCGAGTGGGGGTAATTCGGCTACGGCAGCAGCGTTGCTGCTTGGCTGCACATATCGCAAAAACACGTTGGTGACTATTCGTAGAATCAAATGGTTTTTCTCGAGCCGGAATTTCTCCAGGATCTTGAAGTATGTTCTCCGGAGCACGTCTGCGGCCTGCGCTGGCAACAGCTCTGCATTGATATCCTCGGCGACCTCCAAGATGCACGACAAGAGAAGGTTCAAGATCATCGTCTCCAAGTTGGTGTGGATTTTTGCGAGGCTGTTGTAATGTGGGACGTAGCCGCTCTGGAGGATGAGCGTATCGAATTCGGAGATGGAGATGGGCGTGTTCTCCAAGAGCTTCTTGCTCGACGCGTAGATTTTGTTAAGCTGCTGCACGGTGAGGCAGTCGTGGTCGTCCTCGTTGTCACTGTGGAGTTGCTTGATGTCGGCGATGCTGTTCAACTCCTTGATGGGCACGTCTTTGAAGCTGAGTTTCATCTGGCGCAGCTGGTGCGTGTTCTGTCGTTCGAGGATAAGGTAGTTGTCAAAGTTGAGGAAGTTTACGTTGTTGTGGAGAAGCATGACGCAGTTGGAGTGGTTCTGCTGCCTGATCTTGTACGTGGCGGACGGGGTCGTGAGGTACGGGGTTGCCAGCTCGTCGATCGATTTGAACTGGTAGTTTTCGGACGCCTTGACGTCGTACTTGCGGAGCAGTCGGTCGTGCTCGGACGGCACCGCCGGCGTCGGCGTCGGCGTCGGCGTCGGCGTTGCTGGCTGTCCCTTCTTGGAGTCGAGTTCCTCGAGCAGGTCCTTTGTGAGCTGGACGAGGTGGTAAGACGTGTTGCCGATTTTGGATGAGGGGTTGAGTCTCGAGTAAAGATCCATTGTCGTGAGTGGCGGGAGAGTGGTAGATAGCTATATATTAAGATTAGGATGATATATGTGTGTATGTGGTGGAGATGGGTGAAGGGTGCGTAATGCTACAGGGAGTGCTAAATACAGTGTGACTCAAGTGCCGGGTCATACGCGTGGAGGAGGGCTGGATGGCTGGCTAGCAGTGTAGAGGTGTGCCATTTTTCATTTTCCTCCCGCTTGCGCACTCAAATCGTATTCTTTTTTTTTTCCTTCGGTGTCTAAAATTTCAGGTTCTCCGTCACTTTTCGCGTTGCTAGATAGCTAACTAGCAGGCTCAAGCTTTCCTGGACTTCTTGGACTTGGCAGAAGCGGAGGAAGCGGTGGCTGGAGCAGGTGCTGCTGGTGCTGGTGCGTCCTTGCTGGCGGCGACGGCCTTCTTGGTGTCCTTCTTCAAGTAGACAGAGATGTAGAAGGAGATGAACAGGAACAAGTAGGAGGTGATGATGACGTAACCGTAGAAGGCTGCCTCCTGGGTTCCGTAACAGTCGCCCAAGTGGGGGAGGATGCCGTCGAAGTAGACGTTGGCGTAGTAGGTGTAGGTGCAGGTGTAGATGAAGCAGATGTCGATCAAGAACTGGATGATCTGGAAGCGGGTGACCCACTGTTTCCACCAGACCTTGATGCCGCAGGAGGAGAGGAAGTAGTAGAAGTACATGAGGACGTGGACGGACAAGTTCAAGGAGATGACGACCCACTCGACGGAGGTGTGGCCGACGATCTGGGTGTAGCACAACAGGGCGGTGGCGCCGTGGTGGTAGGTGTGGAGGAAGAGCAACTTCTTTCTTCTGAGGACCAAGAAGGCGGTGTCGAACAACTCGAGGAACTTGGTCAAGTAGTTGAGGTAGTAGAGACACACCAACCTCTTGGTGAAGGCGTCGCTGGAGCACACGGAGTGGAGCAGGCCGTGGTAGTACCAGATGGGGAAGACCTGCTCGACCATCAAGAGGAGCAAGACGAGCGACACGGACGTGAGGAAGAGGTTGTGGAGCTGGAAGAGGCGGTTGAGCTTGATTGGGCGGATGTCGAACCTGTTCATCACGAACTGGCCGCCGAAGATGATGATGTAGTAGGCGAAGATGATGGAGATGGCGTGCGGGAAGTTAGCCAAGAAGGTGTGGAAGGGGACGAACTGGAAGTCGTCTGCTTCGTAGCCTGTCACGAGCTCGAACGCCTTGTTGAAGATGGGCCATAGTTGGAGGCCGAACGGGTGAGCCGGGGTGGGGTTGGACCAGACGATGTATTGAGGCAGGTCGAACATGGTGTGGGGGTGGGTAGGGCAGCGGGGGGCGGGAGCAACAAGAGGAAACAACACGCACGGAGACGGCACGTTCTAGACGAGGAAAAGAAGGGTGCTTTGTGTGTGTGGTAGGTGTGAGTGCCAGAGTGCTGAAATCCACCACGAAAAACTGCTGCAGATCTGCCACCGTGCAGCGGCCACACTGGCCAACGACACGCAGCGCCCGCGACAGCAAAACAACAACACGCCCAAGAAGAAGCGAGGCGAGCGGGGAAAACACGACGCGCGCCCTCGGCGGTGCACGGGTGCCGTCCGTCCGCCTCCCGCACACCTCCCCACGTGACCCCTTTGTCCGGCCCCCCGTATCTCCGCGGACACGCCTATTTCCGGCCCCAAAACCGTTGCCCCGCGCCTGCCCAGCTCGGCACCAGCGCCCGGCACTAGCTCCGCCCCTTTCGCCGACGCCCGGCTTCCGCTGCGTGCCGGCCCCGCCCGGCGTGAAAAAAATCACTCGGCTGTGTCCTGCGCCAGCCGGCCCGGCTGCCAGCCGCTGCGCCAGGGCCATCCGGCTGGAGCCCGCAGCCCAGCCTGGCGTTGCCGCCACTGGCCGGCTGCCACCCGCAGCCGTGCCTACGCATGCCATCTAACGGGAACGACGGAACGGCGCACGCGTCCGGCTCAGGCTCAGCCCCGGCCCCGGCCCCGGGGCTGCAATACTAGCGCGGAGCGTGGCGGAAAAAGCAGCATGCAGCCGACACAGCCGCGCGCAGACCAGCCGGCTGATCCGCCCACACAATCGCCGTCCACCGATGTTGTTGTCCTGCATGTGTGTGTATGTGTTGTTTGACATCAGATGAGTTGTTTTCCACCCGTTGGTGTGATATGCTGTGGTATCGTGTCGTCTGCCGGCCACGCCGTCGTGCCGCGGCAGCCGCAGCAGCCGCAGCCGCAGATAATGCAGCCGGATCCTCACGCCTGCAAACGCTCCCTCTTTCTCCGGAGGATGTATATATATATATCGGTGGCCTTCTTGGTGTCCGGCGTGGGGGCCGGGGTTCCCTGGCACAGCAGTGGTGGGTCGGTGCGGGCCCGGTGTTGGGCGTGCCCTTGGCTCCCGTAGCACATCGGTCTCCATCGCTCCCCCCACCCTCGTACATACATACGTATATATACATGCACAGCCACCTGCTCAGCGTGCCCTCTGCTCCACTATAGTCCCTCCGCCCGTGCCCCATCTTAGATGTCCCTGGCCGCAACCTCAGACTTGACCCACTTCCACCTCCACTCCCTGCAACTGCCCGGCGACAACAGCTCCACAGCGTCCGCCGCAGCAAAGCCCTCCGACAAACCCAAGTTCAACTCCCTCCACGCGTCCGCCAACATGGGCCCCAACGCCTCCGCCCCGGCAAACAGCACCAGCAGCACCCCGCAGCTGGGCATCAACCACCTCAGCATGGCCAACATGGCCAGCATGGCCAGCATGGCCAGCATGGGCCAGCTCAACATGAACGTCAACGTCAACCAGCAGTTGAGCCACCTCACCCAGCTCGGCCAGCTCGGCCAGCTCGGCCAGCTCAACATCAACCCGCTCAACTCAATCAACTTCCCCGTCAACAACATCGCCTCAAACTCCTCCTCCTCGCCCCAAAACCAGACCCAACCGCTCGCAAACGGAACCGCCTCCGCCTCCGCCAATGGCAGCAGCAACTCCTCGGTCTTGCCAACCATCCTTCCGCCTCCCCTAGTCATCGGCAAATCCGGCCAATCCCAAAACTCCAAAGTCTCCTCCGCCTCCTCCCCAAACTCCCCAATCCCCAAGAGCAGATCTCTGGATCACTCCCAACTGCACCAGATCAACAGGCTGAACTCAAATGACGAAATACCCCTATCCAACGCCGTCAACCTCAACATGAACCAAGGCCAGACCGGTATAAAAAAGTCGGCTTCGCCGCTAGAGTCAAACCAGGCGCAAAACAACTCAAACATGGTCATGCTCCCACCCTTGGCCACCCCGTACATGTACAACATGGCTAATGGCAACGCTGCCAACGGCGCAAATGGCAACTCTTCCGCAGCCAATGGTGGCATCAACTCCTCGGGCAACGCTGCTGGTGAGTCAATCATGGTAAACACCAATGGCAACAGCAACGGCAACATGTCAAACATCGGCAAGTCCCCGCAGCTAGCCTCAAACTCGAGTGCTTCAAACTTGCCTCCACTGTTCCGACTCTCGCATGATGCTTCCCTACCTCACCAACATTCAAACTTACAACATCAAAATCAACTGCAACAGCATCAGCAGCAACAGCAACAGCAACATCAGCAACATCAGCAACATCAGCAACATCAGCAACATCAGCATCAGCAACAACAACAGCAACAGCAGCTGCAACAACAGCAGCAACAACAGCAACAACAACAGCAACAGCAACAGCAACAACAACAGCAACAGCAACAACAACATTCCATGTCAACAGTCTTCAACACCTATAACGGTTTCAACTCTTTCAACAACTATCCATCCTACACCTCCTTGCAGCATAACTTTGACTCTCCTCTGCCATTCAATTCCATCTCAAACAACCATTATATCACTTCGCTCGATAGTAATGGCAACGCCAATGGCGCCAACCAAATAGCAAACGCCAATAACAACAATAGCCTCCACAGTATCCACCCCATTGGTCATGCAAACGGCAGCTCCGGCATGCACTCCATCAAGAGATCTTCTTCTGTCGCAGGATTAGACCATAACATCAACAACAGCACAAACTCGATCTCCTCGGCCAGCTCCTCGTCGTCGCTTCCGGCTGCAAAGCCGGCCCACCAGCCGAGAAAGAAAAGAGAATGCCCTATCTGCCACAACTTCTTCTCCAACTTGACCACCCACAAGACCATCCACAACAAAGACTCAAAGCCGTTCATCTGCTCCACCTGTAACAGGGCCTTCAAAAGACTCAACGACTTGATCAGACACGAGAAGTGCCATCTGTCTCAGCTGGGCGAGTGGGAGTTCCAGTGTCCTTATCATCCCGGCGCAGACCTCCTCAGGTCGAACCGCGGCGAAATCTGCCACCACACAGGCTTCTTCACCAGATGCGACACCTACAAGAACCACCTGAAGGCCATCCACTTCAGATACCCTCCAAACACCCTAAAGAGTGAACGGTTGAGGGTGAGCGGCCATTGCAGAGAGTGCGGGGGCTACTTCGACAACGTTCAAGAGTGGCTTTCGAAACACATAGAAACCAACCAATGCCCGAAGATGATAAACCCAAGTGAGCGGAAAAGAAGATAGAATCCTGCTCCCATGCTGCTGTTGCAAAGCTCCTGGTGTACGACGTTTCCCTTTTGCCATTTTACTTGTATTCTACAGTGTGTCTTGTCGAATGTGACTTTTGTTTTTTCTCCATTTTTCTTTATTTTGTTTTACTCTATTTCACCCCCCTTCTCATGTTCTCGTCCATATCCATACTCACATTCATAGTTGTTTTTCACATTTTTCTAAAGGGTGATGTATTTCTATAGACCTAGGCTCCTTCAACCAGAAAAACAGCGCACCACCGCTCCCACTCTTATCTTCCTCTCCATGTTATTCATGCCTCCTATTTACTTCTTGTACTTTTCTTCTCCATTCAGACATTTTTACTACACATTATGATTTTTTGTTTCTGCATTTCCCCATCCTCCTCCGTCCTATTTGATCTTTTATTTTATACGATATAAAATTCCTACTTATTCTAACTTATGCCCTCCGGTAGCCCACTGCTGCTCTATCTCACCACATGTCTGCAACTGCATCCGACCCCCTCCGCATGCTCCTGCTGCCTTCGACTGCCCCTGTATGGTGGGCCCATTCGAGGCCGTCTCGGGCCGGGCGGTGCTAGCGCCCATAATCCCCACAAGGCAGACCTCTTTGTAGTCACATGCTAGGTCTGCACGGTTTAAGCCGACGTGCAGTCCGTCTATTACTGACAGTTCCCACCACACTTATCACCCCCGATGGCTTCGGAAGGACAGGTTTCGGCAGATAGGATCTACGCCAACACAGTGGTCGGTGAGGAGCCAGACAAGTGCAATTTACAGGACGTCTGCGACTCTGTGGGCAAAGGCAGCACGTTGTCAAATAGATGGCAGACGTGTAAACGCCGAGCCGGAAAAGGTAGGGATGAACGGGGAAAATTAGTGGCTGCTGTGAAAAGTATTAACCCGAGTGGACATTTTGGGCAATTCGGCAACACACAAACAGAATAATTTGTAGGCTGGTCGCGTAGCCATTAGCAACCGATTCCGCACATAAAAATCGAGGAAGATAACCTGATTGCAGATCTTTGTGGATCTTGGTTCAGAATGCGACCGTTGGGAAGGCAGGTGGCAGGACTTTTAACCGTTGAAGAGAGCAGCGAAGGCCGACACTAGATATGATTGGAAAGCTTATTCTGGGCGTGGTGGCAATCGTGTGTGTGTCGTCCTACAAGTACATTTTTGGGGCTTACTCGATCCGGTTCTTCTGGATTGTTGTCAAGTACCTGTACTTGAAGAAACTCGAGGATTTGGACGACAAGGGACAGGCGAAGTCGCCGTTCGTCGAGCTTGTTCGCACAACCAAGTGTTGTCTGTTGGAGTGCGACTTCTTCGGCTACCACAAGAACAACGTCACGTACTTCACCGAGTTGGACCTCTGTCGTACCGAGTGCACCCTGAATGCGCTACACCGGTACTTCAAGCTCGCGGTGCTGAAGAAGGAGAGCCTGGCGTACGTGCCCTTGGCCAGCATCTGCAACCACTTCATGAAGGAGACCAAGCCGTTTGAAAACTACGAGATGCGGACCAAGGTCGTCGGCTGGGGCGACAAGTGGCTCTGGTTGATCACTGTGTTCACCGTCGACGAAAAGATCCGGGCGGTCGAGACCCGGGGCGGCGCCGACGCAGCCAGCAGGGGCGCCGGCTCGGCGTCGTACAACGTCCCTGAGAATGTTCCTCCGCTGTACCTCCACCAAAAGGAGGGCGACAAGGTGGGCAAGAGAATCTACTGTCTCTCGCTCGCCAAGCTTGTCTTCAAGGCGGGCCGCAAAACGTTGCAGCCATGGGATGTCGTCCAGCTGGCCGGTTCCACTGACCCCGACGTCTGCAAGAAAGCCTACCGCAACGAAGAACGTGTCGCCCAGAACACAAACAACGTCATGCAGTTGTTGAAGGTGTACGAGGAGGCCTGAGGTTTCGTTTTTCCCCCTTCTCTCCCACTTTCCTCCATTTTCCCATTTTTTCCTTTTTCTCTATATTTATTCCACCAAGTGCGAAATCTCTAGTTATGTACGGGGTAGTAGCTCCAAACCAAGTCTTTCTCAAGATGTCTGACCTTCGACGGACCTTTCTATAGCTTTTGTTGCTGCCGCTAGCAAGTGAACACGCAAACGAGCAAGCCCAGTATCATGTCGTACTCAAACCCTGCGTTTGCCGCCTTGGGTATCAAATCGTTCAAGTTGCCGTCCAGAAACTGGATGATCTTCTGGACGGTTGTGGGTACGTTGGGAGGAGGTATTGTCTACGACAAGTGGAAGCAACGCCAGCTCCGTGCCCAGTACATGGAGATGTATGCAAACAAATGCGCCAACTACCCTGTTGACGAGGTCCACAGAAAGCTCAGAATCTACGTTTCACCGCCACCCAACGACTACCTGGATGAAAGTATGAAATACTTCCGTCGTTTTGTGAAACCTATCATCAATGCGTCCGGCGTCGACTTCGAGTTAGTCACCATGGAGAGACAGGGTGACATCAGATACAAGGTTGCAGAGGAAATCCGAGCACTGCGTAGAGAGAAGGCTGGATTGGAGCCAAAGAAGAAGAAGGAGGAGGATGACACTGGGAAAGAAGTGAGTGCTTCAACTCCGGCAGCAGCTGCAAACATCAACCCTGTGTTCCAATCATACAAGGTGGAAAATCCTAAGAACGAAGAGGGAGAAATCAAGGCCGTAAGAGATTTGTACGAGCCAATGGACGTGTTGGGTGTGAAGAGAGTTTTCGGGGACTTCCATCAACGGGTGGAGAACGTCAAAAGTGAAGATGCACTTGTGACCAATGTCAGAGACGCCGGTGGTATCATCTGTATTGGGCGTGGTGCGTTCAAGGAATACATCAATGGCGTCCATGAAGGGTTGTTGGGACCACTTGAAGCGCCACCACCGCCGGCTCCTTCTGCAGTGGAAGCTGGGTCTGAGCCTGAAGCTACGGGCATCAGATTAGAAGACGATGTCAAGACCGATGAAGAGAAGGAGAAGGAGAGGTTACAGAAGGAGAAAGAGAAGGAAGACGATGAGAAGTACGCACCGGCGGCCTACATTTATGCAAAAGATTACAAGGAGAGTACCATTGCGCCGGAGTTGGGGTTGGACAAGGTTGATTTCAACGATGACGTCCAGTTTTCCCGTGTTCTACAGACTTTGAGAGATGAGAAGAGTGGGGTGCCGTACTTCTTTGTGCAACCTATTTTGGAGCTTAGAAATTACAACGTCTCTGGGTTCACCAGACAGCCCGAGAGAATGTGGAGATTCTACCACAAGAGAGAACAATTAATCGAATACAAGGACAAGGTTGTTGAGTTGATCGAGAGGAAATGGTGTGCGTTCACAAGAAGTGATCTCGACAACGGTATTGAGGAAGAGGGAGATTGGCCATCAAGTTGGCTCAAGGTCGCCAAGAAGAACAATAGTGAATGGATCAGAGAATTTGATGGCGATGATCGTGTGATGAAAGTGTTAGCGTCGTATAACTGCAAATGCGACAAGGATGCTGCTCCTGATGCTACTTCTCTTGTTGACGAGACGCAAAAATAGACTTGTATATATGGTTGTTTCAACCGGTTCTGTTTAAAGTAACTTTGAACACGTCATAGGTTAAGGAAAAGTCAATGATTTATGAGCTAAACACCAGTTATAAGAGATAATATACAATAGTTAGATAGTTGAGAAGAGAGAGAACAGGGGGTCTTGAACACTCACTGCGATCCAACTCATGCCTCAGTCAAGGCACGTACGACTGCCGGGCGGCGCATCATTCTTTTGGTCCATTTATAAACTTCGGGGAACTCTGCCTTTAGATCGATGCCTATTCTGTCGACGACGTAATTCCAGGGGACAAAGCAAAGATCCGCAATGGTGCAACGGTCTCCAACTAGCCAGACGGGCGAGTCGAAGTATCTGGACTGGCTCAGCGGGGTGAGGCCCGAGGAGTAGGATTCTGCGTTTTCGGAGTCGAGCTCCATGATTAGGGCTTCTCTGCGTTCGCTCAAGGCCATTTCCAGAACGCCGTAGACACGTCTCACCTCGTCGGTGTATCTGTCTATTGCGGAGGGCACGTTGATGGTATGGAAGTAGCGGAAATGGAGAGCCTGGCCGATCATCGGCGCATGGCCCGACGTCTGGAAGAAGAGCCACGACAGAATCTGGCTCTGCTCTATAAGGTTGTTGGACCAGATCTGCGGGCAGACGTTGTTGTCCTCCTTGCATTTCTTGTTGACCAAGTAGATGATAATCGAGCCCGACTCCCACAAGGAGACGTTGTTCAGGTTGGGCACGGTGTGGTCGATCAAGGCGGGTACGCGGCCGTTAGGGTTCAACTGGAGGAACTGCGGGAGCCTGTGGTCGTTCTTGTTGAAGTCCAGGTGGATGGTTCTGTAGTTGTAGTTCAACTCGGAGAGCACGATGGCGATTTTGAACCCGTTTGGCGCCGACCGGTGGGTTATTAGTGAGAAGCCATCTGTCGGGGTCGGGTTGCTGAAGAACTCCCGCAACTCTGAGGTTTCCGTCTCTGCCTGCTGCTGCTGCTGCTGCTGCTGCTTGTTGATGTCCGGGTTGGCAGAGAAGTTCCCCTCGTTGTCGATGTGGTGGTCCGACGCAGAGAGATGGATGTTTCGCAAGCCGGCAGACAAGTTCGATATGTTGTTGCTGTTGTTGCTGTTCATGCTGGAACACAGGCACCGTGTCTAGGGTGGGGGGCTGGCGCTAGGAAAAAGAGGACCGAAGGCAGGCCGCTGGCGTTTCGAAGTGTCTGCACAAGTGGCTCTGACTGTTTTCGTCTGGACAGGCTTATTCGGCTCACGCAAATCCAAGCAAGCGGAGGCACGCAGATACGCTGGATACAGAAACGGTCTTGGATCACAAACACCGACACCAGCTACACACACCAAGTACCCACACCAACACACACACACGCCTACTGAGATACTGTGGCAGGACGCCGCTGTCTGAGACAGGGTGTGACAGCTCCTCTATGCTGGCCAATTAATGGCGGGCCGACCTATGGCTGAAAAGGGTAAATTGAGGAAAATTAGTTTTTCCCTCCACTGTGTGCGGGAAGAAAAGGTGGGTCGCACCGAGGCCAAACAGAGCGGATGAAAATTGTGTCAAAAAAAAAATAGCAGGGTGGACGGCAGCCAGAGTCATGTGGCGCGGCAGCGGGGCTGCAATGGGGCAACACACGCCTGTGGCGCAGCAGGCGGCGCTTTGGTCACGTGAGTGTCACGTGTATTATGGTGCACGGGTGGTGCACAGGTGTATTTTTCACAAAAATGTCACGTGCTTTATGGTGCACGGGTGTCCCATTTGTGTCAGAAGATCACGTGGTTTGCTTTTTCGCTGGTGTACGGGTTCGCGGAGGCTGGATCGGAATTTTTCAGGAATTTTTTTTTTCTCTTCTTTTCCGGCTCTGCAGATTTTCAACAACAGCCGCCACAGAGGGAGCGAGGAGGCAGGGAGACGGGCAGGAGCCGAACAGGACGGAGCAGAGCACCTGTCTGCGCTGTTTGGGTGGGGAGTGTGGAGGTGTGCAGGCGGGTTTTGAAGGTGCAGACAGCACTTGCGTACTCCTGCGACCTGACCGCCGTCCTGTGATTACAAAGGAGTCCCGACCGAGCTCTTCAAGCGTTCCTCCGCCCCGCATCTGCGCATCTCCGTTGTTGTTGTTGTTGTTGCCGAAGACACGTACACGCAGGATGATCTCGCTACCTGCCGTGATCAGACAACTCTTGTCCGCCTTTCAGGCGTCCCGGGCCAGCAGAAACCAATTGCCGGCGCTGGAAACGTCGTTCAACCCGGTCCCCAACATCAGAAACTTGCCGAAAAACGTGCAGAACGCCGGCTGGGCCACGATCCTGCACTTCTCGCTCATCTTGACGGTGTTCACGTTCTCCATCTCCATCATGCAGGTGCCGCTGCTGGCAAAGCTGGTCGTCGTGCTGGTGCTTGTCTACATCAACTTTGCCCCGGTGTTCTCGCAGTTCTTCACCAACGGCCTCCCGATCTTGGCGTGGGTTTTCCTCTTTTTCAACTCCAAGTTCATCCCGCTCTCGATGAAGAGACCCATCTCCGTGAAGGTCTTGCCCATCTTGGAAACCGTCTTCTTTGGCGACAACTTGTCCGAGATTTTGGCGTCCAAAACAAACACGTTTTTCGACGTGTTCTCGTGGCTCCCCTACGGCCTGATCCACTTCGCCTTGCCCTTTGTTGTGGCCTTCTTGATCTTCGTCTTTGCGCCCCCACAGACCTTGCCTCAGTTCTGCTGGTCCTTTGGCTTCATGAACTTGTCCGGCGTCTTTGTGCAGAACATCGTCTTCTCCTGCGCCCCTCCCTGGTACAAGGTTCTCCACGGGCTTGAAAAGGCAAACTACTCCATGAAGGGCTCGCCTGGAGGATTGGGCCGAATCGACCTCTTGCTCGGCTTTGACATGTACACCTCGGGTTTCACAAACTCCCCGCTCATCTTCGGAGCCATGCCTTCCTTGCATTCGGGCTGCTCGACCATGGACGCCCTTTGGTTGACTTACCTACTACCAAAGGGAGCCCCAATCTGGATCTCCTACGTCATCTGGTTATGGTTCTCAACCATGTACTTGACCCACCACTACTTCATCGATGTCGTCGCAGGTTCCTGCTTGGCTGTTTTCTTTTTCTCCTGTGTTAAATGGAGAGGAAAGTTGCCGATCAACGACCGCTTCTGCAGATGGGACTACGACTCCCTCTCTTTCCACAACATCTGGAACGAGGATCCTCTAAAGCCTTCCGACTTCTTTGCAGATGTAGATGGCCTCAACGATCCAATGTCCTCTCCATCACCTTACGACTTGGAAAACCAAATCCCTTTGAACGACCTTTCCTCCTCCTCAATTTCGAACAATGTTATAAACAACATCACGTTTGAAGGTGGTACCAGCAAGGCTAACCTTGCCAACCCTAAACCAAATGGCATCAACAATTCAAAGAACAAGAAAAGCGATGTGGAGACAGATCCAAACCTGGATTCGGAGAAAAGAGATCTTTTCTATTCAGATGATGAGATAGCAGAAGCCTACGATATAGAAAAATCTGTCAACACGACAACGAAAACAGTCCCTAAAAGATTTAAAGAATCATTTGAGGTTACTTTATCAACAAACTCACAGCATAATCGTGACTCGGAAGACGTCAATCGTCAGATACAAGGCAGCACCTCCTCTTCTGGCACGAAATAATATTTTTGATGGCTGCCTGATTTTTACCCTTTTCTCGTTCACTAGATCATTCTTTCTTCCTGCATATCTTTACTACGTTATTCCCGATTTTGAAAAACAAACAATAACAATAATCAGTCCTAGAAACAGAAAAATCTTCCACTTCTCTTTTCTTTTTCTTTTTAATTCTATCTCAAAACCCCTAATGTTTAACTTACCCCTGTTCCTATTTCATAATTCTATTCCGAATCGTATATACATTCTTTTTTCTTTATAAATTCACAATGCACCTCTTACGAATGTCTCTCTTTATATATATACACACCCATAAATATGATTATATCTGAACTTGAACATCATCATATCTATTCCCAACTTTGGACTTCCCTCTTCCGCCTCGTCCTCCGTTCTTAACTCCACCTCTTCCTCTGCCTCCTCTATTGCCTCGGTTTCCTCGGTTTCCTCGGGAACTGTTACCATTATTGTTGCTGTTCGAATCTCTGCGCCCACCTCCAATCCTTGTATTGGTGTCTTCGGGGTGCTTGAGTGCTCTTTGGACTCTTTCGCTTTCTTCCTTCCACCATTTGGCAAATTCTTCTTCCTCTCTTATTTCTTCTAAGGACTTTGTTTTTGCAATATTTAGAGCAGCCGATGAATTCATAGAAGAAGAAGCGGACATACCTCCATTGAACCCGTCATAATGACCAGGATCATTTAAAAGCGTGGTGCTCGAATTGGAACCGATAACAGGAAAGACACTATCGTTAGCTACTTTTCCGTTGACTTTAACACTTCTCAACTCTTCTAATGATGGGAAATGAACGGTGTTCATTTTGTTGGATGCAAGTAAAGTAGCAGTATTCAGCTCTGCATGGACAATGCCAGAAGGAAGTTCAACTGCGACTGGGTCGTCACTACTTGCTACAACTCTTGGTGCATTCATTCCCCATACGCTCGAACTAGCCCAAGGAGCTTTACCACTCTTGGGGTCTTTCTCACCCTTGTTCCCATCAACCTTGGCAGCTTTTTCAGATTCTTCCCGTTCCCTTAGTTTGCGTTCTTTTTGTGAAATACGCAATGGTGCCGTTATCTTACTCTTTGGTCTCGTATCCAGCTTTGTGTTTGACTTTGATTTAGTTAAGATTTCATCAAGAGTGGTTGTTGAGCTTCCAACGCTGTTAATACCCATATCTGAGCCTGCACTCCCTGATTTATCTGCACTTGACGTCCCTGGTTTTAGGATTTTCCAAGGTTCATTTACGCTTTTGCTGGTAAGAATGTTTCCGCTACTCTCCCTTCTCATTGTATTAACATCAAACGGAGGTCTAGTCAAAGAACTTGAATAGGACCTACCACTGTTGGTCAGTGTTGGTATGGACGATGACTTTCTTCGGGTTTTTTGAACCACTATAAACCCCTCTGACGAATCGTTGAAGTCATCAGAAATGGCGCTCTCGTTGGACGAAGATCTTGAGGCTAAACCTGTGGCAATGTGAGGTAAGCTTCCCTCCTGTTTAAAGTCTGCTGCATCTACTGGAGAACTCAAAAAAGTTGAACTAGATCTGAGATTTTTGAAAATAGGTGTCTGAGATTTTCTTCTATTCATTGGAGTACGCAGTATTATCTGGTCTTCTGATATACCATGCTCATCCCAAAGGTATGGATGTAAATAATATTCATTGAACTGTTCGGTGTTTCGGATAAATGAAGCAGTATTGTGATACTCATTTTCATTAACAATCGAAAGTTTTTTCCTCCTCAAGCTCTGTTTTGAGCGTGAAGGACTTTTAGGCTTGAGCTTCTTCCTGTCTGGAATATAGATCTCCACTAATTCATGGATCTTGGCTTCAAGGGCACATGCACAGTCCTCTCCAATTACGTTTGCGTTTAGACGTTGGTCTTTATAGCACAATGTGAGATTGCTAAATATAAACCAACCACAGTTTGCAAACAATTGTTTGGACCCCGAGATAAACGCATGTTGCAAAAATATATCGTAATTATCAAAATTCATGCAGTCCTTAATAGCGAGTTCGCAGAGCTCTCGCAAGTTAGGTAATAATAACTCATTCGAGAAATACAATACCTCTAGCACTATATTGACAAAATCATCGGATGATTGCAATCCAGTTTCCTTCACCTCTTCTTTAGGAAGAAGTCTATTGGATTTTTTCTTGTTTGTGCATCTCTGAGATATGTTCTCCGAACAGCACGTGGCAAGTTCCTTTATGGTATTGTAAAATATCTCATCACTAGAATCACCACGAAGGTATTTCATTACCAAGCTCCAGGTGTATTTAGATACATGAGAAAAGTCGAGAACGTTCGACTGAGACCAGAATTCAGTGAAAAATTGCTTGAAATAATCACATCGGCATGACAATAAGTATCTGTTTGTGGTAACATCTCCATCTAATAATTTCACAGTAATGTCACCAGTACTATCATCAGTGAATGTCGCACGAATGGCCTTCACCAGATTTACAGTAGGGAATGAATAAAGTAATCTGTCCCATCCAGTCTTCAAAGATGCTGATGCATGGTCGCTGTTATTCCATATATCATATGCAACATCAGTATAAAGCATATGAAGAAATAGAGCGACATTTCTAACGTCCATATCTCCAATTATTGTGGCGCTAGACTCACCAAAGTCAAACTTTAGATCTTTTCGTTCAAGGGAGTAAGTTGAATGTTTGAATCCCAATCGATTGAACAAGAATTTCTTGTGCACAAACAGGTTCAGTTGTGTGTCACCCGCTGGATTTTTCACCGCAACCTCGTAATCATAGAAGTTGCTAAACTTAGTCGCAACATGAGGCATGGATTCATCAATAAAATCATGTATCCCCATACTTATATCAACAGAAGCTTTTGAGTCTAGAAAAGGGACATGTGAAATTTTCCTGTGCTTATAGGTCAGCGGATTGATATGCTTCTCGAATTTAATTCCAAGCTTGATATCTTCAATCTGTTTATCTGAAAAATCGTGGTCATAGTCTCCATAAGTATCCGTATCTCCATATTCACAGCTCGAGAAGAAATCGACATCACACCCTGCAGATTGCTTAGGCACATCGCTTTCATTGAATCCTAGATGTCCTTGTAAAGGTGACAACTTTGCAAAATCAACAATTATTTTCGAAGGCAAAATTTCATGTTTGAGCATCTTGTCCTCTTGACGAAGTAATATCGTCTTGAATTGATTATCATCGGTACTAAAACTTCCTATAATTGGAAAACCGTATCCAACAGCAACATTCTTGATTTTTGACACATCATTGATTCGGACCCATTTAGTTTTGGTACGCTTGAATGCTTCTCCGCTTTGGGTGCACAATACAGCACCTATTCCCGTCGTATTGTTAGTTTCCAATGCCCCTACAGAAACATCCGTAGCTCTCATTTCTGTTCTAGCAGGGTTCCATATCAACGTGAACTTGACAGATTCTTTGAAGGAGTCTTTCGAGGACGAGTACCTTGGGAATGTAAACACATAAACCTCCCCTGAATTCAAAAGTGTTAGAACAGAATAGGTTGAGTGCAAATTTCCAGCCGAGTTGTTTACGGCTTTTTCTCCACTAAAATGATCTGGCGACAAAGGGGCCAACATTTTGACAATCTTTCTCGGCATACTCAAAACTCTTGGTTTGAACTTATTCCAAGAATCCTTCAGGTCTTTGTTGAAGGGTAAAGAAATTTTCACGTGTAGTCCAGCAACGTAAACATGTATTAAGCTGGACTGGGTGATTACCAAAGTTGCCAGATCAAGCGCTACGACTTGGTGTATAGGATCGTCTTCGTATTTCCAAGGTGAATGGGCTGATGAAGCGACAGCAGATAATGCAGTCGATAAAAAGCCCTGATTTTTTTCAGCTGGCTTATTAGAAGTCTGTATCGAGTTTGTCAGTGGGCCAAATTGTCCAAGGTTCAAACCGTGTATATGGAGGGACAGCTTGGAGTAGACCACGGTATGATTATTTGAAGCAGCAACTCCTCTGAAGCTGAAAGCTGCATCTGCAGCACTCGAATCTAGGTTTGCAAATGAGCCCAAAGCGCCCAATGCACTAAAGTTGTTACCACTGGGCAAAGTGCCAGATGTCGGTGGAGATATAGAAGAGGATCTGTTCTTCACTGAGATGGAGATAGGTATCAAGGAGTGTAAATCTTGAGAGTAATGGTAATTGCTGGAAGAGCTTGATGCTGGGTACAAGTTCAGCCTCTTGACATTATTGCCGAAGGCAAATACTCTGTTAAGGGAGGTCAAGACAACAGTATGACCGGAAGTCAAGGCGACATCTGTAACCTTTTCTCCATTTTCGTATAGGTTGTCAAAAAACTTTATCCTGCAAAATGAGGAGTTGAATAAAGTCGGCTGAGGGTTTGAAATGTATAAGTAGCCTGCTGTTGTAATCAAAGCCGAGTGAGTAGAAGAAGACATGAACTTGGAGACTATGGAGGGTAGCAACGGATTTGGAGAGGGTGGCGGGAATAAGTTGTCGGTAAGACTGATCTCTGAGAACTCGCCGCTAGGAAGAGATAGTATAAGGGAAGACGATAATGATGAGTGGCTTGCAGCGGACGACGGGTCCATGCGTGGTCTCGACTTGTAATTACCCTCTGGGTCTATGGAGTACACCAAGCTACTGGAAGCGTCGAAGGTGGTTTTGAAGGTCTGCAGCAGATCCAGCGGGGTGAGGTTGTTCTTATCCTTGTGCTTAAGCAATTTCCCCAGCACCGGAGTGCTGAAGTTCAAGATGGTTTTCACAAAAGCGAAGTTAAACGAGTCGATGGCAAAGTGAAGCACATTCCAATGGTTCTCTACGTCTTCGGCAAGCAAGCAGTGGTGGTTGTTGGTCTTCGTGATCAACTTCAGCACCTTGACCAGGCTCGGCACGTCGTTCGAGATGGCCAGAAAGTGTAGCAACGACCGGCCCAATATGTCCCGTTTCTGCAAGTCGTCGAGCGAAAACGTGAGTTCATCGCCCATATGACCAGGATCCGAATCCTGGCTGACTGGTGAAGTATCCCCCTTTTTCAGCGTTGTCTGGTTATAGGAAGTGAATTTAAAACATGATTCAGGCTTCTCTTTTCCTGTGAATTCTAAATGTGCAAAAATGGCTGAGCAAAAGCGGTTCTAGGTAGAGGGCAGGGGGCGGCGAGTCTGTGCTAGTGGCAGGTGTGATCGGGGGACAAATCGTGCTAGACAGTGGTTCGAACGGTGCTTCTATGCAGGCGGAATCGGCTGCCAGAGCTCTCCAGTAGGTCTTTGAGGGCCAATTTCCACAGAGGGCACATGCCCGAGGCCACGGAGGAACGCCGGGGGTGCCCACTGGTCGCGAAGCTGAGTTTTTCACGGCCTCAGAGACGAGACGAGACAAGACTGCAGGCTTCGAGAGGTGGTGAAGATGCAGTAGAGAAGCAGAGAAGAGACGGCAGCAGTAGGGGCGAACGGAAGCAGAGACAGCGAGAGAAAGAGCCAGTATAGGTGATGTCGTTTTTCATAGACAACAACAGCGTGTCCCCGCAGGGCGTGTCGCAGCAGAGGCTCGAGCTCGCCGAGTTCCAATACGACGGGCTGAACGGCCTTCTGGCGACAATCCGCAAGACATGCTGCCAGAAGTGCATCCCGTTGGACTACGGGGAGGGCGACCTCACGAAGGGCGAGGCCGAGTGCACGAGCCGGTGTGTGGCGAAGTTCATGCAGGGCCACAAGGTTATCGGGAACTTTGTCGAGACGGGCCAGCGGCTCTCCGACAAAGACATGAAGCACTACGAACAGATCAAGAAGGACTATCTCAGTAGTCCGCCGGACGCCCCAGCCGGCAGGTGAGGCCGCCGGGCCGCCGCTCGGAACTTGTACATAGTATAGCACAGCATGTATAGCCCGCCGTGTCCAGACGGATGTATAGACACTGTATAGCCCGGGTCCCTCGACACAGCAATGGCCGTTGTCTGGGAAAATGAACGCGTTGGTGGATCCTCCACACACTATTTTCAAAAATTGATCGGTATCTTCAAACAGGACTGTTTGAATGGTCGGGTTTTCTCTTTTTTTTGCCCTTCCTCTCCTCTCTGGCTCTCTGGTGCCTCTTCTTTACTTTCTACTGTATCCTGTCTCTAGTGTCTACTACACGGTCCCTCTCAGTCCCCAGCTTTCACAGCATAGACCAGACCTGTCTGCAGACAACATGCCGTCCAGCACCGACACGACCAGCACCGAGGCTGTTCCCGGGACGACGAGCAACAGCAATGGCACCGCCACCGCCATCGACCCGACCGAAACACATGAGCAACGTTTGAAGCGATTTCTGCTCTCCACGGATCCGCAGACAGAGTACAAGAAGCACAATTCTCAGGACGCCGCCAAACGGTTCCAGTACCTCCTTTCGTTGTCGCCCCTGTTTCGGTTCTTCATCGACACCCGGGCGACAAACGACAAGGCCCTTCACCGCATGGTCCGGCAGATCGACCAGAAACACGCCACGGGAAAGCTGGGCAACGTCTCTTCTGCCGGACCAAACATCTCCTCTACCACCAACCGTAGGAAGCGGAAGTCGGAGAAGGAGGAAGACGCAGAACTTATCAACAACGAAGAAGACGAGATGGATGAGTCGGCGACTGGCTTTCTCTCCGAAAGCCCGAACTACGTCGACGGCACGTTGCGTGACTACCAGATCCAGGGTTTGAATTGGTTGATCTCGTTGTACGACAACAGGTTGTCTGGTATCTTGGCCGACGAAATGGGCTTGGGCAAGACCTTGCAGACAATCTCGTTCCTCGGGTACTTGCGCTACTACAAGAAGATTGACGGACCGTTTTTGGTTATTGTACCCAAATCCACCTTGGACAACTGGCGGAGAGAGTTCGCCAAATGGACTAAAGACGTCAACGTGGTCGTTCTACAGGGAGATAAAGAGAAGCGTGCAGACATTATCAATAACGTTCTCCTCCAGGCAAAGTTTGACATCTGCATCACAAGTTTTGAGATGGTCATCCGTGAGAAGGCCAAGTTATCCAAGTTCCGCTGGCAATACATGGTAATTGACGAAGCTCATCGAATCAAAAACGAGCAGTCCTCCCTCTCGCAAATCATCAGACTTTTCTACTCTAAAAATAGGTTGCTTATTACGGGAACTCCCTTGCAGAATAATTTGCACGAGCTTTGGGCGTTGCTCAACTTCTTGCTTCCTGATGTTTTCGGTGACAATGAGATCTTCAACGAGTGGTTTGAGAAAACAGAGAGCAAAAATGATGAAAACGGGGAAGAACAAGAAGACGAAGAAGGAAACGGAAAAGCAGATACGGATGGCGTAAAAGGAGGCGGGGATAAAGAAGCAGTTAATAAGCTTCGTAAAATCCTATCGCCTTTCCTTTTACGTCGTGTAAAAGCCGACGTTGAAAAGAGTTTGTTGCCCAAGCAGGAAATCAACGTCTATGTCGGAATGACTGCGATGCAAATCAAGTGGTACAGAAACCTTTTACAGAAGGATATCGAGGCAGTCAATGGGCAAGTGGGCAAACGTGAAGGGAAAACGAGACTTTTGAACATTGTGATGCAACTCAGAAAGTGTTGCAACCATCCGTATCTTTTCGAAGGTGCAGAACCTGGTCCGCCCTATACCAATGGTGAGCACTTGGTCCTCAACGCCGGTAAGATGGTTGTCCTAGATAAACTATTGAGAAAAATGAAGGAAGAAGGCTCAAGAGTTTTAATTTTCTCGCAGATGAGTAGATTACTAGATATTCTGGAAGACTACTGTTACTTGCGTGATTATCAATATTGCAGAATCGATGGTTCTACAGACCATGAAGACAGAGTTAGTGCAATAGATGATTACAACGCTCCAGATAGTGATAAATTCATATTCCTATTGACCACGCGTGCCGGTGGTTTGGGTATCAATTTGACAACTGCTGATGTTGTTGTTTTGTTCGACTCAGATTGGAATCCGCAGGCAGATTTGCAAGCAATGGACAGAGCACATCGTATAGGGCAAAAGAAACAAGTGAAGGTATTTAGATTCGTTACCGAGAATGCAATCGAGGAGAAAGTGCTTGAAAGAGCAGCGCAGAAACTCCGTTTGGATCAATTGGTGATCCAGCAGGGACGCAGCCGGTACAGTGACGAGAGAAAAGACAGCTCCAATAACAAGGACGACTTGCTTAACATGATTCAGCACGGTGCTCAGAAAGTACTAGATAATGACGAAGGCTCCATGGGGTTGAATGATGATATCGACGCCATCCTATCTCGTGGTGAAGAAAAGACCAAGGAGCTGAACGCCAAGTTTGAGAAGCTTGGGCTTGATGATTTGCAGAACTTCAATGGAGAACAGCCGTCGGCTTACGAGTGGAATGGTGAGAACTTCGCTGAAAAGAAATCGAAAGGTGTGGGTATCTTCCTTAACCCTTCGAAACGTGTCAGGAAGGAGCATCAGTATAGTGTAGATGGTTATTACAAGGACGTTATGAGCCAGATGAAAGCACCCAGCACGAAGCCTAGTGTACCAAGGCCTCCGAAACAGTTCCAATTGATGGATTTTCAATTCTTCGATCTCAAACTAAACGACTACTTTGAGAAAGAGATGCTAGCGTATAGGAAGCGGGTGAACTACAGAGTCGGTGAAGAGGACCTTGATTTTGAAAACAAAAAGTACGAAGGGTATGATCCCGAGGAGTTCAAGAAGTTGAATAAAAAGGAACAGAAAAGCGTGATCAAGGATATTGTCAGTAGCGAGCAGGCAAAGATCAACGAGAGCGAGCCATTCACCGAGGAGGACATGCAGGAGAAGCGGAGGTTGATTGAAGAAGGGTTCGGAGATTGGAACAAGAGAGAGTTTATGCAGTTCATCCACGGCTGCGCCAAGTACGGCTCAAGAAACTACAAGGAGATCAGCAACGACGTGAAGGGCAAGGACGAGGACGACGTGCGTCGGTATGGAGAGGTGTTTTGGAGACGGCACAAGGAGATCGAGGGCTGGGAGAGATACCTGAAGGAGATCGAGATCGGCGAGCGCAAGCTGGAGAAGAGCAAGATGCAGAGCGAGATCTTGAGAGGCAAGATCAAGGAGGTCAAGTACCCGATCGAGGAGCTCACGATCCAGTACCCGCCCAACAACTCCAAGCGCATGTACTCCCTTGTCGAGGATCGGTACCTGTTGATCAAGGCCGACGAGTACGGGCTCACGAACCAGCACTTGTACGACCTCATCAAGCAGGACATCATGAGCGAGGAACTCTTCCGCTACTGCTTCTACTTCAAGTCACGCACCACCAACGAGATTGCCCGCAGAATCGCCACCTTGCTTCTTGCTGTTTCCCGGGAGGTCGAGGGCCCGGACGCGTTCAAGCGCAAGAGGAAGCCCGGCGCCCGCCTCGACAGTGCTGCCGACAGCGCCATCTCGAGCCGCCAGCAGAGCGCCGACGTTGACGCTGACGTCGACGTCGACGACACCGGCACGCCCTTCGAGTCCAACGGCCACGCTGCCGACGACCACGCCAAGCGGCGCAAGATCGAGGAGCTCAGCACCGTCTGACCGCTTCAACGCCTCACCGCCTCCCCCCTGTGTATCGTATAGACACATCCGCAATGTACTTTTAGCCATTCCGTCTTCCTTCCCCGTCCAATAGCAGGCCCGACTCCTCTTCATCACCTGTTACCCGGCCTCTAACACTCCCGCGCGCAACCGCTTTGGGCCGATCGGCTCACCCTGCCTTTTTTCGCGGCTTACGCTGCTTACTTTGCGGTGATGCAATTTGCTGGCGAGAAGTGAGGGGAATTTCCCCTCTGCTTACAATTGCAGATTTTCTACGTCTGGATTTGCTGTTAGAGTGCCTCTGCGGTGTGCGCTCAGCAGCGGGCACCCCTTCTGAAGCTATTCTTTAAAGGCAGTGTTCAGGAAACAGAGCAGAGCCATCTGGGAATTGCAGCTTAGATTGTGCGGGACGTACGTCACTGATATTTGCTGGTAAGGACTCTTGAAAGTTGTTCACATTGGTCGTCAACTACAGATACTTGCGAATCGAACGTGTATTGGACACAAGAACAGAGTAGCACTCGAAGAAGAATCGCAGACAGCCAACGGCCACGATTTCAAACAAGAAACACACACACACACGTATACACGCCACACACACACCTCTATATATATCCAGTGCTGAAAGTAACGAACAGATACAGCAAGTGAAGCATAGCTTATAAGCACAATAACGACCCTCAAGATGTTAAGATCATTCAACAAGTTGGCAATCTCGAAGTCGATTGCCAAGCAGGCAACGAGAAGTTTCGCCAAGTCCTCGATCGCCAAGCAAGATGTCGAGCTCAAGATTGACGGAATCCCCGTGTCCATCGAAAAGGGCTCGTCGATCATCCAGGCTGCCGAGAAGGCGGGTGTTTACATCCCAAGATACTGTTACCACGACAGATTGAACGTCGCCGGTAACTGCAGAATGTGTCTTGTGGAGATCGAGAAGTCGCCAAAGATGGCTGCCGCATGCTCGATGCCTGCGGGTAACGGCATGTCTGTCCTCACCCAGTCCGATAAGGTCAAGAAGGTGAGAGAGGGTATAACGGAATTCTTGCTCTCCAACCACCCGTTGGACTGTCCTATTTGTGACCAGGGTGGTGAGTGTGACTTGCAAGAACAGACCCTGAAGTACGGTGCTGACCGTGGTAGATTCCACGAGGTGTCTGGTAAGAGAGCTGTCGAAAACAAGGCCGTCGGGCCTTTGGTGAAAACCTCCATGAACAGATGTATCCACTGTACCAGATGTGTCAGATTTTTGAACGACGTTGCCGGTGCCCCAGAGTTCGGTACCGCCGGTAGAGGTAACGATCTGCAGATCGGCACCTATGTCGAGAGAAACATCAACTCTGAGTTGTCCGGTAACATCATCGACCTCTGCCCGGTCGGTGCCTTGACCTCCAAGCCATATGCCTTCAAGGCCAGACCATGGGAGTTGAAGAGAACTGAGTCCATCGACGTCATGGATGCATTGGGCTCCGCTATCAGAGTTGACGCTAGAGGCATGGAAGTCATGAGAATCTTGCCTAGACTGAACGAAGAAGTCAACCAGGAGTGGATAAGTGATAGATCCAGATACGCATGTGACGCTTTGAAGGTCCAGAGATTGACCAAGCCTTTGATCAAACAGGGTAACAAGTTCATCGACGCCACCTGGGATGGCGCCCTCTCCTTGGTTGCCGACTCGATCAAGAAAATCAACCCTGCCAAGAACGAAGTTCAAGCAATCGCAGGTCCTTTGGTAGATGTCGAAGGTATGGTTGCTCTTAAGGACTTGGTCAACAGATTGGACTCTGAAAACTTGACCATCGATGCACCTGTCACCGACTTGCCATCATTTGACATCAGATCCAACTACCTCTTCAACGCCACAATCGAAGGTATCGATGAAGCCGACCAAATCTTGATTGTTGGCTCCAACCCAAGACATGAGGCTGCTGTCTTGAACGCAAGAATCAGAGAAAGATGGTTAGAATCCGATGACGTTGAAATCCATCACGTTGGTGAAAAATTCGAATCGACCTTCAACTTGAACCAATTAGGTGAAACCACAACAGACCTACAAACCGCACTCAAAGGTAAACTGGGAGAAAAACTTGCATCCGCCAAGCACCCATTGATAATTGTCGGTTCTGGTGTTTGGGAAAACGCCGATTCCGCAGCCGTGGAATCTGTCTTAAAGGATTTCGTCAGGGGTAAGGAAAACCTTATCAACCCAGAATGGAACGGTTTGAGTTTCCTACATCGCCAAGCTTCCAGAGCCGGCGCGCTTGATATCGGTTTCTACAATGCAGACCCTGCAGTGAAGGCTGTCGTTCCAAAGGTTATTGTGTTGTTCGGTTCCGATGAAATAGATCCAAAATCCATTCCAAATGACGCCTTTGTCGTTTACGTCGGTCACCACGGTGACCTTGGTGCTTCTCTTGCAGATGTCATCCTTCCAGGTACCGCATACACCGAAAAATCTGCCACATACGTCAACACCGAAGGTAGATCACAAATGACCACTGCTGCAACAGGTCCTGTTGGTTCAGCTAGAGAAGACTGGACTATTTTCAAAGCACTCAGTGAGTACTTGGGCGTCGGTTTACCATACGAAGATGACAGAGCCCTACGTTCAAGAATTGAAACCATTGCTCCACATCTTCTAAGAATTGAATCTGTTGAACCTGTTTCCCCAGCAGTTGCAAAGCTTGGTCTCGAATTTATTCCAAGTGCAAAGCCAACTGGTTCCAAGTTGGAAAACCCAATCAAAAACTTCTATTTCACTGACGTCATCTCCAGAAACTCAAAGACTATGGCACAATGTGTTGGTTCTTTCGGTCCAACTGTTGATAAAGTCAACGATGAAAATGCACATCAATACTTAGGTATGGCTTAAAGAAGGTAAGGAAGAAAAAATAACGATATCATTAATTCCCCTCCATTTTTTTCTCAACTCTTCAATTTGCTCAAGTGGTAGTCTTTCCAAAAGGGGCTATTACCTATTTATTTTATTTTTATTGTATTTTATTTTGTGTTATCTATTTGCGCAAAATCAAATTATATTATTATTCATTTCTGTTTTCATATAAATTTATATCAATGGCATTTATGAATGTTCATTAGAAGGTTTGATACTCATTTTCTGCCTTTCATATCTTCCCCAACACCTCCCCCCCTCCCATTCTCCTTTTGTTTGTTTGTGTTTGTCTATCACATACGTATATATATATTCTACAATTATTTATTTAACTATTTATTATTATATTTGTGTTTATTCAATGTAATTCGAACTTATACATACGAATCCTCCCCTCAAAACAACATCTATCGTTATTGCTGTTAATAATATTACCTCTATAAAATTAATACATAATTCAAATTTATTGGATCTAATTCATTCCAGCTCTTTCAAGACCGCTTGCTTTCCATGTTTTTCTATTTCGTCTAGCAACCATTGGGCCACTTTGTTGGCACCTTTTTTCTTGCTTGCTTCAATGCAGTCGCAAACGTTTTTCCCATTCACTTTCAATGTTGATTTGAACATGGGCAAGATGCTTTGAGAGGCCTGATCTGGCTCACACTTTATTTCGGCAGACACTTTTTGTTCAGATAGTAAATCCATTAGGTTCGCTTTGGCGGATGCATCGGGTGTTAAAATGTCAGCGTGTGGTATGAAATGGGGGATCTGCAGTAGACTAGAGGCACGTGCTTTCTTGATTACTTTTTGCTCGAGCTCGGGTGCCTTCACAACCGATTCTGTTCTTGGAGTCATCATCCTAATCAAATGATATTTCTCAATCAGCTCTTTATTTAGCAAAGCAGCCATTGCAGCACGAGCACTTGCATCTTTGGCATTTCTACCCTCACCTGTTCCCAGAAGCTCACCATCCATTGTGCAATTCACCACACAATGTGTTCCTGTGCTTTGATATGATCTAACCGGTGTGAATATTGGGTGTAATTTGGCAGATCCTATAAGTGCATAAAGGTTCCCCCTTGCCAACTTATCTATAGGCTCGGTAGAAGTGATAGTAATTGGGAATTTTTGTACTGGCTCTTGTTGCTGTGCTACCTTTGTTTCCTTCAATTCTACAGTCGTATCCTCAGCAATTGTAGGAGAAGAAGGCTTACCATTAAAATCGTTCCCAAGTAACTTCGATACTAAACCTGAGCTCAAATGGAGATATTTCAATTGATCGATAGATTCAAATTCATTTAGAATTGGCTCATAGACATCCACAAGCCAGGCCTTAATAAAATCATAGGCATTTCCGTCTCTTCCCTTGTCAATGAATATAGCACCAATGTATGCCTCAAACAAATCAGCTATTCTTTTGTTTGCTCCCACTCTAGAGTCAATATTCAAATCTGTCTTGATGACATGAAATTTCAAGAGTTCTTGTTGTCTTTCAGGAAACTTGTACGCTCTTGAAAGCACTTCAATGGTTTCATTTTTGACTAACGTAGCACGTAAAACTGTCAATTGTCCCTCATCAAAATCATGATATCTCGCTTCAGTTATATCAGAGACAATAGTTTCAAGGACTGCATCGCCTAAATATTCCAAACGTTCATTGTTCCACTGAACCTGATCATATTTGGAAGAGTGCATATCATTATTTGTGGCAGATTTATGAATAAATACCTTCGCCTCAAGTACTGAATCGTATAGAACTGGCAACTCAGGTAAAATTGAATTCTCGTTAAATCTCTTCTCTGTGCTGGTTCCCTTTTCGTGTGCCTTTCTATTCCTCTCTTTCAGTAGCAATTGGACGTCATCTGCGGAATTCAAGATGGTGGTTTCAGAGAAATTGATTATTTGGTCAAAAATTCTGAGCTTGTTAGCTTGATAAAGAGTTTTCAACTGAGCAGCCAGTTGGATCTTGTGAGATTTGGACAACAACAATATCTTAGCAGTAACGCCGCTATCTTGAGAAGAGCCATTGTTGGTGGATTTCACTAAATGTTGTACATATTGAGAAAGCTCATCTGCTGTTGGAGTGATTTCCATGATCTTGGCGAGGTTTTCTTGAACCAATGAGATCGAACGCTCGACAGAGATCAGGTCATGAATCGCAAAATTCTTGGTCAGTTTTACTTCCTTTTGTTCGTCCTTTTCAATCTCCTCTACTTCATCGGCTTTCTCATGTGTCTCCTTCTTTTCTTTCTTCTCCTTTTTCTCTTTTTTCTGCTTCTTGTCTTTCTTCTCCTTCTTATCTTTCTTATCTTTTTTCTCCTTCTTTTCTCTTTTCTCAGTCTTTAGTCTCTTGGATATCCTGCTTTCTGCCTCCTGAGGGCCAGAATCATCCTCCAAACGTGACCGCTTCCCCATGATGTGTACAAGTGGCACTATTACTTTTGCATTGACTATACAGGTTATAAAAACTACACAAATACCAAAGCCAAAGTGTTCTTCTCCTTCTACTTTTCATCAGCTGAAAAAAATTTCCATGTCGTACACAGCCTTGTTTTTCTTACTTAGTGGGGTACTCTATAAGAAGTGGTCTGGGAACCAAAGATGCTGTTCTTGTTGTTGCCTCCGTCGTTGCTCCCGCCTCTGGTACTCTGGAGCACGGTGAACAACCGCTTCGGTTTGCCATCGTTTGCAGCCTGAGAGTTCTGGCCGATAGAAGGTGCGCTTCTGGCAGGGCCTTCGCCAAAGGCGGTGAGAAGCACATCGCCTTTTGTACGGTCAAACCCGTTGTTAGCCTGTGTGTTACTATTTGATTCTTGAAAATCCTTTTCGTCTAGCTCATCGTCTCCGGAGGCATCCAGGTCGTTCACAAGCATCCCCCAATGCTCGGTAGTTATAGGTGGGCCGATGTTGAGTTCGTTCGGATTGTCAAAAGAGATTTTACCAGAAGTGCTGATCTTCATATACGGATAGCTCGGTGGTGGTCCTATCTCTTTCATTTTGTAGTACCACGGAGGGAGACGATTGATTAGTGTACCTTTTTCGTCAACCATACCTAATGCATGTTTCAACTTCGGACTAAGCACCCCGACTTTGAAGTGCGAGATCTTTTCCTTCAAAACCAAATCATCATTGTTTGTACTCTCAGTATACAATTCCCCGAACTTCAACAAAGGTGGCTTTTTTTGATACTTGAAAAATGCGTCATGTAGCTTATTGTAGTCAATGTCTAGTTGTCCAGATTTTGGCTGCACACGTTCACGCATTCGTTGCTTCAGTGTCGATTGCTCGTTTTCAGATTCTTCAACGGTATTTCTCATCTCCAATATTCCTGTATTTCGTATAAACTCTGGTAGCTCAAATGGAGGCCTTTCTATTCCTCTTTTCGAAGAGAGAAAACTTTTTTTCGACTGCCAATGTGAGGGTATCGATACAGAATTAGGTAGTGTCTTCAAGTAGATGTGTAACCGTGGATCTGGAGAGTTGGCATCCATCCACTCAATAAGTTCTGGATACTTGGACTCGCCTTTGAGCACAGCTAAAGGAAGCGAGTACAGTTTCTTAAACTTTCGCTTAGATAGATTATTACTGTCTTCAACAGAAGTTTCAACTTCATTATTTGTATCGCTTTTAACTACTTCTTTTTTCTCGTTTCCTTGCCTCTTTCCTTCATCATCACTATCCTCATCCTCTTCTTCAGCGTCACTTCCAATGAGCAAATGGTTTTCTGTTTTCACCTCATTGTCAGTCCTTTGCTTATCATCCTCCTCTTGCTCCGTATCGGGCAATTTCGAAAGATCGAATTTCTCAAATATATCCTTGTACGCCTCCTCTAGAAACACATTCTTCTCATCTGTATCAGCATCTTCAGCTGATGAAGCTGGAGCAGTTGTGTCCTCAACTCTGACTTGTCCTGGAAGTACTTTGGCAGAACTGATGCTCTTTGTGGCAGAAGTGAGGTCCTGCTGTTTCAGTAGCTTTGCACGCTCTCTCCTGAGTTGATTTTTGGACTTTCTTCTCTCCTGTGTAGTCACGGAGCTTCTCCCCATTTTGTGGATTGTTACTGGGACTATTAAAATCACTTTTTGCCCTTGACAAAGCAATAAAACAGAAAAATCATTGCTTCCCAAAGCTGAACCTCAGTCTAGCTTGAATTTGATATTGCACTTCGCTCCGATATCAAAAAATTTTACCCTACACATGACATACTTAAGCTTTATCTTCTGTCGTCTTTCGCCACTTTGGGCATAACTTTGGTATACAAGCCTCTCCATTTTTAGAAAATGGCTAATGCAGAGCCTCCAAGACCGGCCGGTCTATCTGTTGAAAAAAAGCCTTCCATTACCGAAGATCTACATCTTAAATCTGTTCCCAATTCATCCGAGAAAGATGACAACGCTTTAAAGTCCTCCTCCGGCACACAATCAAAGAAGTCACTCACAAAAATTAAGGAAGAAGATTCTGCTACATCAATTGACAATATTTCTGTGCCTGCTCCAACTCCCCTCAACAAGTCAGATGAGCAAACTCGGAATGGCATAGTCTCAAAATCTGAATCAGACGATCAGCCACGTAAAACTTTTGCGGAAGTCACACAAGAACTGAAGGCCCAATTGAATAAGACGGCAGAAGAGGTGGAGAAGTCGGACAATGAGTTTGAGAGGTTGATTGGTAACCTCGAGAAGAAAATTCAAGCGTTAAGAGTTCAACTGGACTCTTCCAAATAAAGACACGTTTTGGTGCCTGTTGCCATGTTGTGGAACGTGGCTTTCTAGCCAACATGTATAAATGTATACATAAAGAAATATTTGTTTAAGAACGTAAGTTTGACTTTGAATGGGGTTTTTCTTTGATCAAAGTTGGCAACATAACGAATTCTACCCAATTTAGGACTTTCAGAAGCACTAAAGCCGAGACGCGTACACATTTCAAAATGTTTATCTTTTTGGCCTGACATTTTTCTTCAGCATTAGACATCTTTAGACTAACTGTTAACCCAGAATATATATTCTGCATGGTGAACAACAAGTTCACAACATGCTAATGCTAGAGCTTTTGATATTCCCGAAAACCTCAGCAAAGGTGCCATTATCCACTGGCGTCGGTCTCACCAGGATTCACCACGCTATCCGAATAAACAACCTCGTGAAACATTCACGTATGTTGAACACAAAAAAACCGTTGACGAAACAAGAGGGTGATATCACGATTGAGCAGAAGGGAGAAAGAGACAGCTCAAGCAAGGACGTGAAAAACAAACGACCCAGAGGACGTCCACCCAAAGGAAAAAATGCCAAACAAGTCGTATCACCCAAGTTACATGGAAACTCAAACTTGCTTGATAAATTCACGGACGCAACATCTTATTTACAATATGCATCCTACAAACTACTGAAACCAACTTCTAGTGTATTTATGGGGAATCTATACGAGCTCGAGGTAAAAAATTGTCTGGAGCAAAGCTTCAAAATACGAAGCACACTACATCAGGGGGGGAGTAACGATAAAGGTATAGATATTAATGCTATCTGGGATCCAACTTCCGTTTTCCACAATGAAAATTCTGATGCCCCAATCGAAAAGAAGACAAAGTTTGAGATAGTCAACTCTAAGAAGGTGAAGCCAGTGTTGCAGAGGTCTAATCAAGTATTAAAACTTTTTGTTCAATGCAAATGCTTCGATACTTCAAAAATTGACCCCAAGTTGATACGTGAGATCAAAGGTTCATGTCAAGAATACTTCAAAAAGAACGGTAATTCTGCAATATTTATGGTTGCATCTACAAATGGGTTTACCAGGACCGGAAAGGAAGACTTTGATAAGGCTCCTATTCCTCTAATCTATTTTAAATTTTCGAAACCTAGACTAGTCAACCTGAAAAAACCTTATGATATTAGAAGCTGGGAAATGGGTAACCTTGGCGGTTTGTATTTGAATCCACTAGCAGCTGCATTATTCAAAGGGCTGGATTGGATCAAGTTTACAAATAAATTACTTTCCGAGTAAAAAAATACGGTCTTTAAAAACATCGCAAGGTTATAGATAAAAAGTTAAATAGACAAAATAAATGTAATAGACGATTCACTTACATCTAAAGCTCCTGATGTTGGCGTTAAACACAAGGTTGCGTGAAAGTTCACTGCAAACAAGCCAAGCCCGAATCTCTCTCATACATGTCATATCCCACTCGGCTGACAAATAGCACCTTTACTATTATTATAACTCGTATACATAACATTCGTACGCTAAACAAAAATACGCAGTCTGGGAAATCATGAAGCTTTAGGCTTTGGAATTTGGCAGGCAGCTTCAACCCCTGGAATTTTGGAGATATTATCAAGCCATTGAGACAATCTTGGATAGTTTTCGAGCTCTTGTAATCTCTTCAAATGGATCCAAGGAAACGATACGATATCTGCAAGACTCAAATGATCACCAACCAAATATCCAGTCTTGGTTCTTTCTAATCTCTCTTCGAGAACGCCAAGCAATCTCAAAGTTTCTTTGTGGTATCTTTCGATTGCAAATTCGTCCTTCTGTGGAGCATAGAAGCTGAACCAATGGTACTGCCCCTTCATTGGGCCCAACCCGGCCATTTGGAAGAACACCCATTCAAGCATCTCGTAATATTCGGTGCTTCCGTGAGGAAAAGAGTACTTAAAATCTTTGTCGAATTTGTCTGCCAAGAACATCATGATAGCAGCCGATTCGTTGATATGGATAGCTTCTCCATTTTCATCAACGTAGGTCAATGATGGAATTCTTCCGTTTGGATTGAACTTTAGGTACCAATCTTGCTTACATTCTCCGCTCATGATGTCAATTGGACGAACGTAGTAGTCTAGCTTGAGAAGCTCAAGCAAAATCGTGACCTTGAAACCATTCGGAGTTGCAGCAGTGTACAACTTGATGTAAGGAGCTTCAAGACCAGCAGCCCTAGGATCGTTTTCGGACAGGATGTAGTGAACCATTGTGTGTTGTGTGTTTGAGAATTGAGTGTTTTTGCGTTGTTTGATGACGACTGCAAAGGTACAGAGGAAGGCAAATTATTCCAACTAGCCTGGTCGGCAGTAGCGGTGGAAACAACCAATTTATAGCCCTCCCTGCTGCGAGGGAAAGGCGTTGTGTGAACCGCCCTCGGCTAATCGGCGCGGCAGAGCCATTCGAAGTTATTTCACAGCATGTTTGCGACATACAAGAGAATCATTTGCAAGACGGAAAAGGGAATGAAAGGACGGAAACGGGCGCTGTGATACTGCTGATAGGCAAGCTCGTATTCAGGATGAAGCTGTCGCTATCTGTCGAAGAGACTAACCGCTTGAGGACAAAAGTAGGGTTGAAACTGATTCCGGTAGATGAAAAGCCACAGTCTCAAGAAAATAATGATGCTGAAATTGTGCGAATAAGCGTCGAAGAAACAAATAGATTGAGAAATCAACTGGGATTAAGGCCAATACCAACAGGTAAAACCGAGGATGTAGAAGTGGAGAATTTTGCTAAACTTGAACGACAACGGCGAAAAGCGCAAGAAGTTGATAAGGTCAGAGCGGATCTGACTGAAAGGAAAAACGAATTGATGGTGAGGCAAAGGATGCAGAAGGGAGGCATTCTAAATCGAATAGACAAGGTAACACCGGCTGGGAAGTCCGCGGTTCTTGATTTTGATTCTTGGCTCGAGGAAGTCGGGAAAGAGATCAAAAATGAGAAAGTAAAGAAGTTGAGCTTCAAAAAGAAAGAAAAGCCTGTAAAGAAGAACCTTGACAAAGATGAGAAGGAGGGAATCGTCATTTCTCATGACAAGACCACATTTACAGAAAAAGCTGGAAGCGAGAACGGAGTAGTCTTGACGCTGAAGGATATCAATGTATTAGATGATCAAGAGGACTACGAAAGTTTTGAGAACGTGCAGCTGAAACGAGAAGAAATCTTGAAAAGGGCATTTAGTGAAAAGAAAGGAGCCGGAAAGCTAGTGTCGCTTGACGGCGACACTGATGGCAGTTCCAGTAGCTTTTCATTGGCAGACCTTGAGTCCGGGAAGGCAGAGGAGCCTGATTCGAAGAAGAGGAAGCTGGTATCGTTGACAATAGAGAGTAGTGATGATGAAAACAAGGAGCATCATTCAGGAATTTCATACGACGAAGATGGGGTTGAAGCGAAGAAGATCTCTAAATTCATGAAAAGAGATGTTTCTAAGTTCAAAAGGCCGAAGAAAAAGGCTGCCGTGGGCCAAGAGAGAACCCGAGTTTTCGAGACAGAACTTGTTGAAAAGAGCTTTGACCCTGTTCGCTTGGACAATGATGACGAGGACGAGGCGGAAAATGAGTTAGAGCAAGCTCTCAGTGCAACAAGGCGTAACATGCTGAAGAACAAAAGACTCTACACCGCGCCAGTAGAAGATGTCAAACAAGAGGAGAACAGGGAAGTGATTGATGAGGGCATCGAGTTTATAGACAACTTCAGGGCCCAAGAACCGCTAGAAAAAGAGGACGTGCCTAACTCGTACCAGAGGCTAGACGATTTCACGAAGGAGGATTCGCCGGTGGAAAACGCCGCCGGCTCAAGATACAAGGCAATTTTAGAGGCTGAGGCGGAAAAGAACTACCACACCTATGGCGTGTCAAATGTCTTGAACGCTTTGAAAAGCGGCAATAGAAGCTCACAGAGCAAGGAGAAAACAGGAGCTGTCGAGATAGTTTATACGGATGACAGCGGGAAGGTTTTGAACACAAAGGAAGCGTTCAAATACCTTTCGCACAAGTTCCATGGGTCTCAGAAGAGGTAGCATCAAAAATTCCAAGTGCCAAGCACTCAGCCGATGCAGTAATTTGTGTTTGTGCACACGGATAAATGGTGAAGACTTAGCACCTGGCGACGCAGGAGCAGAAATGTGGTTTGCGGTTCACTAAGACTGGTTCTTTTTATCTTTACACACAGTATTGTGACAATACAAAATGACAATAGTCTATCTATGACGGAATTATAAATCTGTACGTATTCCAAGATAATCTAATACTCACGATGGATGATGAGGCTCCTTACGAAAGTGCTCTCACCAGCAGAGTGGTTTTTAATGACATGAGAAATGATAAAGAGTTGCTGATCGCCCACATTTGGATTAATTGGACGTCGTTATAGGACCTCCTTTTGGTTGCAATCCCACTGATTCGGCTGTTCTCTTATTTCCAACAAACTTGTGGGAATTTACAAATGCTTACTAATAACCGGCTAACGCAGCGGGGCTGCTTTTACTGTGGCTTTGATCAACGGTAGTATAAATGACGCAATGCGGACTATATAGCCAATAGAGCATACTCTTAGAAAGCTTATTTGAAGAAGAGTAGTTGAGGCTCAATTGTATTATTTTGGTTACGTAATTACCTAATGAATATGTTTCTGAGTGCTTCTTGCTACAGTTTCTCATCCCATCTTAATACAAAACTTTAACTGATAACCGCATACAGCTTTATGTAATTTAGAACCACAGCAGTGTTTAAGTTTTGTTGTTATAAATGACATTGGCTTTTAAAACTTAATAACTGGGCGTGTGGCGTAGTTGGTAGCGCGCTCGCCTTGCAAGCGAGAGGTCATCGGTTCGACTCCGGTCTCGTCCATTAAAACAATTATTTTTTACCTTTTGCCCTTATAGTACTTACTGCTTTAAATTTGCACATGCTAATAACTCGGATTTTTTTTCCCTCATAATATGAGATTAATTATATGGTAGTATGATCGAAAACTGGATATCCAAGAGAGAAGAGGGTCGAGGGGACACGTTTACCAGGTATGTATGCTTCTTCTTATCTACCGGACGAATGTTTGAAAGAATTTTGTATTTATTTTTATGCTTGGTGGCATCAAGTTATATGTATATAAACGGATGAGATATATAGGAAAAAAGGGTATGAGGATCTCAGGGCGAAAGATCATAATCAGTGCTACATCCTTTATTCTAATAAGAGTGGCCCAAGCCGTGCTTTCGCTGGAGGATGATGCAAACACAAACTTGCTGCCAGTCAACTGACATCCCCTCCGACATAGGCAGAGAGGGGACCATGCCATTGTGGATGTAGCACGATGGATAGGAAAGACTTTGAAGAAGAAATAAAAGTAAAAACAAACCAAGAAAAAGCAGCAGGTTGATAAATAGAGGGCCATGATATGTGGAAGAAACCGGCGAAGGAAAGTGGGAGAGAAAAATAGGGAGTCAGGAAAAAGGCTCGATGGTCAGCTCATATAGTCGTCGTCGTCTTCGAGGTCCGAGTCACAGTCATAGTCGAAGTTGGAGGCACAGCAGCTGGAGGTACAGCATGCAGGGTTGTCATAATGGGAGCTGTGGGCGGGTATATTGCTGCCGTAGCCGTTTCTCATATATGTTTCAATTTCGTTCGAGGGAGAGGAGTCCATTGAAACTGAGCCGAGATAGAGCTTGTATCCGTCGATTCCACGGTCGGTCTGGTTCAGATCGAAGGACGAGTTTTTCTCGATGGTTCTCTGGACCACGTTACAGTCGTTCATGTAGGTTCTGATGTTTCCGATCGGAGTGAACTGGATGATTCCACCGTCCGGGTGGTTGAACTTGGGGTACTCCTCGAGGTTGATGTTTTGCAGTGTCAATTGATCCGCGGGAACCCCGCTTGAGAGTGCAGGCGTGCTGGAAAAGTGCTTTAGCTTCTTCACCCTGTCGTCAGACTCTGAGTTTCTTCTTTTGCACCGGCTGGCGCTGACAAGAGGCGAGTTCGACAGCTTCTGTCGGCTTCGTTGGTACGTCGAGGGTATTGGGGAGGAGTTGAAGTGCACGTGACTGCCATTGCTACCGTTGCCGTTGCCAGCCCCCGCAGCGTCAGCATGGTTGTTGTAATGCCCGAAAGAGGTGTTTGGCGACGAGTTTGACGCCAAAATGGTTGGCGAGTTGGAGGACGAGTCGTTCATGAAGGGATCTCCGATAGTCATTGTAGTATGTAGCGAGGGAGAAAGAACAGCAGAAACAAGAAGCCGGAACAGTAGCAGCGGCAAAAGCACAAGGAGAAAGGAGAAGCCCGGTCGGGAAGAAAAAGGAAGAAAAAAAAGACCTGAGTCAAACATGTAGTCTGAGGTTGACCGAGGAAGTCTAGAGCTACCGATACCCGGCGTATCGCCATGCACGCTATTTACGCAGGGCTACACTGCTAAGCGCTGCAGAAGACGTGAAAATTTTGAAAAACCACACTTTTTTTTTCTTCTCGCGCTCCGACGGTATGCGCTACCGAATCCGGAAGGAAACGCGAGACGGCCCAGAGGAAACGCTTACGTAAGCAGAAAGTCGATCGACTCAAAAGCACGTGACACTTTTTTTTCACATTTTTGCTTTTTTCTATTTATTTCTGGATTTTCCAGACTTTTTGCTATCGCATGCAACCTAAACTGTGGCGATGAAGGGGCAGCAGAAGGAGAGAAGGAAAAAGGAGAAGAAGAAGGAGAAAGAAGAGAAGAAAAGTGTTGTTTTTGCCCCCATTCACAGCACAATACACAGTGAACCCGTCAAATCGAACAGCACGCAACAGCATACTATAATGGACTTGTCGAAGCTCTCGTCCAACTTGCCGCTCTCGTCCTCTCCGACAGACGAGTCGATCAGCAACCTCAACAAGGAGCTTTCGGACGAGTTCAAGATCGGCGCACGGTCGATTGCGGCCTTATATCGTCTCTCGAACTCAAAGAATTCTTTGCTCATTGCACGGGGCTACCTGGATTGCCTGAACGAGATTTCCACCTATCTCGAGAACGGGAACATCTCCTCGTTGGCCGAGTTGTCCCATTTCATCACAGCTAAGAAACATGAGATGGCTCCGGAAACCGCAGCCAGCACGCCGCATGAGGAGATGCCGCCGAGGGACAACCTCGTGCAGAGCGGGATAGACACGTCCTTCAAGTTCACAGTCAACCAGCCGACAGACCACCACTTCCCGCATTCCCGTGCCCCGCTCTCGGTAGACAACCACAACCTCAGGTACTACTCGAAACCACACCAGCATCAGAAAAAACTCAAGAGCAAGGCGTCCGCCATTGCCAACGCCAATACCAATGCCGCCAACGCTGCTGCACCATCCAGCGACGAGGAGGAGTATGTCAACGCTTCACAGGACGACGAGGAGAGGGCAGGAGTAGCCTACTTCGTCTCCGGTAAGTCTCACACGAGCCCCAAGTCTTACCTTTCCTCAGGCATCGACGAACACGACGAACACGATTATGACTACCACAATGACAACACCTCATTCGAGGAGGCCACCGGATCCGCCAACACCCTGAAGAGGAAAACACTCGACAACGCCAGCCTGTACAAAAAGCAAAAGCTTGACTCCTGATCCTGCTATGGGACCACGAGCCCACACATCTAAGAGACCTTTTCTAACATTTTCCCACTCCAGCCCCACGGTTACATACATGTTATGTAATAATAATTTTTATTCTTCGTACACGTCAATAAACTCTAATTCTTAGCTATAGTCACCGCCAGGGTCTTCAACAACCTTGCCTGTGCCGCCATGTACTTCTTGCTGACATTCCCGCCACCTTCTTTCTTCAGCTTCTCGCTATACACAAGTCGGATCAGGTTCTTCCAGTCTTCCTCGCTGAAGCTGAGACCCTCGCTCTGGAGCTTCTCAATACTCATGATGAACCTCTCACCACCCATGCCAAGGGTGAAGTATTTGAGGGAGCCGTTCATCACCCCCCCACCAATCTCAAAGTCAGACTGGATGTCACTGTCGATGCTTTTGATAACCTGCTGTAGAACTCTTAAGTTGACAATCATCTTCATCCATCCACTCTTTCCCATCACTTCAATTCTACGACTTTCAAAAATGCTCAACTTGTCAATCCAGAAACCAAGACCTCCGAATATTCGGATCCGGATCTCATCCTTCGACTTGTCCATGATGTTTTTACTTATCCTAGTGAAGATTCGACTGATATTGTTAACCTTATCGCAAAACTTGTCAACCCCTAGATCAACACTCTCATCTCCTTGTTGCTCCCATTGCTTATTGACCATCATTTGTATCATACACCAAATGCATTCCACTCGGATCTCATACCTAATCAAGATTTCAACATCATTCATCAATCCTTTCAAAGTGTTGACAATTCCTTCAAACTCTTTTCCAGATTGGGTGTCAAGGGCAATGAATCCTTGAATATCAGCTTCAATTTCGTTGTTCAGATAAGTTCCATTGCTATCCTTATTGTTGTCATCACTACTGTTAATTTTGAAACTTTTATTGTTCTCATTATCGAGGTTAACCACAGTCAATGGAAACTCACTGTCATTAAATATACTTAATGACCATGTTTCTTTCAATTTTTGCACAAGGTCTATTCCTTGAAAGAGTTCTGGTGCTTTCCGCTTCATCTTTGGTAGCCATGCCAGGACGTTAGACAGTGACGCCAATAAATCAACTAGAGACTTCATGCGCTCCAATGTCAAAAAGTTGTTTGGGTTCATCGCTGGAATATAGGTGCCTCCAATCGATAAGGCATATGTTAGTTCCTTTGACTGCAAAGAATCTAGGTTCTGAAACTCTTCACTCGTTTGACTATTACTTAGCAAGTTTTTGACAATATCATTTGAAATCATTTTTAGCTTGGAGTCGTTAATCCATTTACTCAATAGCTTAGATTCGTTGGTTTTCAACAAAGTCTCTTGAATATCTTTAAACTTGTCACTAATCTTGTACAGTAGTTTAAATATTATGTGAACATAGGAAGGCCTGTGGTATAAAGTAGTGTCCAATAAAATTGTTACTTTATTGAAGAACTGCTCAAAAGAAAGTGAAGCATCTAGTAATTGATCGGTTTTCCACTTATGTTCACAAAGCTTATCAAATTGATATATTAATGAATTTTCAAGTTGGGAAACAAAAACTACGTCCATAAATTGGTTGAAAAACACAACTACTCCATTCATATTTGTTTTCTGCTGCTCGGTACTTGGATATATCGTCAGTAAATTGTTTGTGAAGCTGATAAATTCATCAATAATATAGGCCATGTTGAAGATATTTGGTGGGACCAAAATGTTCTTTTTACTCTCATTGACGTCATCGACACCTATGAAGATCGAGCTGTCCATTTTATTTTGGAAGGTGAACTCAGATGATATGATTCCCTGTCCTTGGCTAACAAAAATATTATTCAAAGAATCGATAAGATCTCCAGATAGAGAAGTTATCGATAATTTCGAAAATTGAAACATCGGTCCGTTCTCAATGCTTTCAAATTGTTTTGGAACCTTATCAAAGGGAGTGTTACCTGTCTTATTTTTGGACTTGAGGTCCAACTCTTCCAAATCATTTAAAAGATTTTCATCAATGACGTAGTTGAAAATTATCAAACTTATTTGCTTTTGAACTTCTCTCAAAATCTTGGAGATTTTGTACTTATACCCACTGATCTTGGCAATCTCGTAAATTACTATATGCCTCTGAATCAAAAACAAGACTCTGCTAAAAATACTTTCGAATACCTCTTTAATAATCACACCATTCAAACCTTGCAATAAGTTGAAACTTGCAAATGGATTTTTCTTGTCACTTAAACTAGAGGAGTTAAGTTCGATTTGAGCTGGAAATTTGTTTTTGACTTCATTTACAGACCTTTTAATAATCTGTTTGATTTCTCTATCGCAATTGTCAATCAAGCTTGATAAACACTCACTTTCTTTGTTCAATTTCTGAACAAACTTGAATCTCGCTAGCAGCTCGTCATACCGCCCATTTTGAATCTCGAGCTCCTCATCTTCACCAATAGATTTACCATTGAGTTTTTTGATAAAAGCTAGCAAGCCTTTATTCACAGATATTCTATTGGAGGTTGCTGCATTTTCCGCATTGATGTTCGATGAGTTCTTCAGGTAAATGTAGTTTCCAATTTCGTCAATTAATCCATCAAGCAACAAAGAAACAGACGAGTTTAACCTCAGCTGTAGGCTTTGTAGCCCATCAATGCTAGAAAGTCGATTGTCACTAAAAATTTCCTGAATTTCTTTCACTAAATTCACACTTTTCTCAAATTCTCGGTTCTCAACAGACTCTTGTAAATTGGTTAGTTTTTTCTGAACGTCATTTATTTCCTCCAGCATATTCAAGATCTGACCGTGCTCCATTCTTTTGGTATTCAATTCGCCTAATATATTGGCTTGCGAGTTTAGCATGGTATTCACAGAGTCCAAACATTCTCTTATGTTGGACAACCTATCCTGCGATTGATTCAACGTTTCAATGGAAATTCCGTATGATCCTATACTGTCATTGAAAGCCATGTAGTTTGCGTTCACCGCCCGCTGCAATTGCTGTGTGAATTGACGTCTTAGATCATTAAAGTCCTTGTAATTCAACAGCCCATTCTCGTCAATCAATGGTAGAGCGATATCTAGCGGGTTGCAATCCGTGTTTAGTAAATCTGGCCAATCCGATTCAAACAACGTTAAAGTTCCCTGCAGTTGTTGCAATGAAGCCGATGCCTTCTCTGTCATACTGGAAACGCTTGTGTATATATGATAATGCCCTTGCTCACATGCAATGTACATTCCCATAACGTATCCGACCCAATGAAAACAATGTCACCGAGTGCTGAATATACACGACAGCGAGCACCTTAGTTTCCGTCGCTGTGAAGCCTCAGAAGACACAGTGAGGGCTCTCCTGCCTCTTCGAAAGACCCATGTATAGGTCGTGTTTGGCCTACGTATACAATGCTCATATATTCAAAACAGCAGTACAGCTAATGTTACCCTCAGGGTTGAGTGCAGATCAACAATGTTCAACGTTGTTCACACTCTGTCGGTACTCCGCTGTAGTGAAGATATTGCGATAAGTTTTGTTTTTTATAGACGTATTTTCTGGGTTCCTCTAACCCAGTACTACTTGGCCAAATTTTCGAGTAGCTATTCTAAATCATTAATATGTTATCTAAGTGTTATCTAATGGCTGCATCCTTTTGTGAAAAATATCTCAGACGTGCATCTAGAAGTTTGAGTTACGATACATCACGTATAGCCAACCTACTCATCCCAGCAAGAAAACTGAAAGTTGAAACATTAAGACTATAAACTGATAGCGTATTCTACTTGTTCTATTTACAAAGGGGTTCCCTATCGTACTTTATTGGTCATCAAATGGATGCCTTTTCTCAGAAGGGTCGATTTTGAAAATATGGTCAGGATTGAAGATAGCCTTTTTATCAAGTGCAAATTTGATAGTTCTCATCAAATCAATTGTGTCAGTACCAAGCTCTTTTTCAAGAAGTTCTCTCTTTTCACTGACACCAATACCATGTTCTCCCGAAACTGTACCATCTAATTCAATTGCCATAGTAGACATCTCGTTGACAATTCTGTGTGCCTCTGCTACTTGCTCTGGCTCGAAAATTACCAAGACATGGACATTACCGTCACCTGCATGACCAGCTGCAGTGGCCAAAAGATTCGCCTTTTCCATCTTCTCCATGGTTTTAGTAATTAGCTCCGGCAATCTGGACATCGGAACGCAAACATCAGTTGGTAGAACCATAGCATTAGGTTTGAATTTCTTTGCCCATCCCAAGGAATTCCATAATAAAGTTTTACGGACCCTCCATATATCTTCCATCTCTTCCTTGTCTTTTGCAACTTGAATATTGAAAGCGTTGTTGCTTTTCCCAACGTTCTCAACTCTACTCAAAATACTGTTCAATGCACTATCATCAACTGCACTCAATTTCAAAAGCAATAAATGATCGGGCGACCACTTACGTTCTCCACCAGTACCCATCTCAGCCACAGCTGTCATTTGTCTGTTGTCCATAAACTCAACAGCATTACAGCTAATACCATTTTTAAAGAGCTCAGAAACAGCTCTGGAGGCATCACCGATTTCTTTAAAGTTCATCAAAGTAATTACCTCATTTTGGGGTTTGACATGTAGCTTCAATGTTGCTTCTACAATGATACCCAGAGTCCCTTCCGATCCGACAAACAAATTGGTGAGGTTGTAGCCATTCGAGCTTTTTCTTGGTCTTTGCCTGGTTTTGATGACCGTACCATCTGCCAAAACAACCTTTAAAGATAAAATGTTGTCCTTTGCGGCACCATATCGAACAGCATTTGTTCCTGAAGCATTTGTACCTAAAATGCCACCAATAAGAGCACCTGGTGCTGGATCTGGACCAAACATCAATCCGTAAGGCTCTAGTTCTTCATTGAGATAAGTCCATTCAACACCTGGCTGAACAACAACATCCAAATCGTCCTTGTGAATATCCAAGATTTTGTCCATTCTGGAAACATCAATAGAAATCCCTTTTCTAGTAGGAATATAATGTCCTTCTATCGAAGTACCTCCCGAGTAGGGAATAACTGGTATGCATGCATCGTAACAAACTTTGACTACCTTTGAAACCTCCTCGATGGTAGTAGGATAAACAACAGCGTAAGGCTCTTCTCCTGTTTTGGCTTGAATAAATTTAGAAGGATCTTGGGAATGTAGTTTCAACTCACTGTCCATCACTGTTATCTTTTCCTCACCGACAATTTTGGCAATTTTAGATAATGCATAACCAACTCTGTCTTTCGAAGCATAGACTAGTGGCTTTAAATCCTCTAACTTGGTAGTGGACCTCTTGGACTCCTTTTTGTCTGCTAAGGCAAACCCTAATGCAAAACCAATGGAAAGAAAAGCTGAAGAAACGGCAAAGATCTTGAAGATTGGCGTTTGAGTGCTCAAATATTTGGCATCATTTGAGTCCTGCTTTTCATCCCCCTGTTTCTGGCCAATACAACGCTTAAATCCGCCGCTCAACACTTTCAGCGTGGAAGGTGCACGACGACGAACAACAAACATGGCTTGCTGCGTCTATGATACACTACAATATAGAGTTAAAAAGCAGGCAATCGTGCCGGATGTCGAAGACGAATTGGAGCTGCCGGCTCCCTAAACATTAAAAATTCCGCAAACGGAAATTCTCGACTGCGGCTAGCAAATCGGAACGTTTGAGAGTCCAGAAATTGTCTTTTCGGGATAACATTTAGTACTATAATGTGTGTTCATGTTATCTTTCTTAAATCTGAATATACTCTGATTTGTAAGCGCATGAATAACGAGAGTTCAGATACTGAATGAGTGGACGAATTGCATCCTGAGTAGCTATTAACGTTAAAATTGATAATACATGCCCCGGTGGAGCTCTATCTTTCCATTTTATAAAAAGAGAAAGTTGTGAACATGTGTATCTCTAAGCCTCACAGGAAGAAGACCAGCTTAACAACTGTGTGGAATACATTTCACTACAGGATGCTACCCCTGGGGTGGGGTTGATGAAGTACTATTTCTATTAACCATCGAGATGGTGGATTTCAGTCTGGTGTTTGAAACGTTTGGGGTATGAGTCAGAACGGTGGAATCATAAGTGACACCCTCTTTCCTATTGAAGTCAACATTCCTTCCTGTGCCAGTATAAATCCTACCGGAATTATGAAGCATCGGAGGAAGTGTACCAATTGGGTGCATATAAGGAGACTGCATAGATGGAATTGGAGGTGGTGTTGGAGATTGAACGGACGAGAAATGAATTGGTGAAAGTTGGGGCCCTTGCTGCAGCTTTTGGATGGGTGAAATTGCGGGACTCTTCTGGAAAGATGGAAGCTGGTACGTAGTTGAGTTGTGTGTGTTAGGAGACATATAATCTGGTGAAAAATCTAGGGGACTGTTTGAAGCAAAATTAGAATTAAGAGAATTGTTCAGTTTGTTTGTAAAAAAATCCTTTTGCTCCACATTGACGTTGTATTTCATGTTCATGAAATCATTATTTCTAGGGTCTCTTGGTAAGAAGTGTCCACTATTTTCATCTAAAAAGTCCTTGGCTGAAGGGATTGACTCTACGTTTGACCCGGAGCTTTGTTCCTCGTTCAACGTTGAAAGAAGGTTGTAAATCGATCTATACTTGTCCATCTCAAACGTCGAATCAGGTTCCACCTCACAACCTCCAGCATTGAAGTCAGAGCTTGGCACAGCTTGATTTCTAGTTGCAACCGATTTGTAGATAAACTTTCTCAACTCGAGCAAAAAATTCATCATGTCACTGATTGGATCTGCCCACTCATCTTTTAAACGATATAACGCGTTCAACGATATATCCACCGTAAATTTCCGGACATCTCCTTCAAAATTCAGTAGATCATCATCAAATATAAAGCTACTAATTTGTTTCGGAATGTGGGTAAAGTTGTAAACTTTGGTCGGATAGTGGTAAATATCTCGCAAGATGAAATAGATGTATTGGAACGGATTAGCAGTCTTCGTAAACCACTTAAACTTATTCAATTCTGGTGACAATCCAACCCTTATACTTGTTTCATACAAGAGTAACATTGAAACTTCAACTCCAGCTCCATGATATGGCATGCGAATAGTTAATATTTGCTCAAAAAATTCTCTGTTTGAGTTTGCTCGACTTAAGTTGGTTAGACCAACATGCGGCCCGTTGAGAGGTTTGAGGATTACTCTGTTCTGGTGGGAATAGGGCCTTCTATCACAAACGATATGCAACAAATATGTACGATGTACAATGATGGCCGCGTTCGAAACCAACCATCTGAGAAGCACGTTAGAGTATTTGGGATTACCAGAGCAACTGAAGATTTCTTTGACCAACGCATTGATATCCTGGTACAAGGCCATCACAGTTCTGGTTATACTTTCCCATCGAAGTTGTTTTTCTTGATCACTTGAAAAGTCCGAGTTTAAATAGTGTGCAATGGTTTCCATAACCAAGCTACATTTGAACCTGCAAATGGTGAAGATCATGAAAGGGTTCAAGGGGCCATCAAATTTCTGAGTTTCTGAGTTGTAGTCTCTTTTGGATGGAAATCGCGTGGAGGAGTTAGTCATAATCATGTGCGGTGACATACCGGCGGTGATTGAAGTTGCGGTATCCAAGAATCTGATATAGTGCCAGACTATCCGTTTTATTTCAACGTCTTTGATGAGCTCTTTATTCGGATTCACGTCATGTAAAAATGGATCTCTATGCAAGCCCATAAACTCTGCCTGTCTTGCCAACGACGCGGTATATGTGAAGATCCCAATGTAATAGATGGATCCGCTTTGGTAGAGAATCAGAGATGCTTGAATGAAGGAAAGATTGGCGTTGGAGATAAGACCGAAGACTAGCTTGAACTTCTCGAATATGTTAAGAATGTTATTTTTCTGTTGTTTCAACTCTTCTTTCCTGTCGGGGCTTTTTTCATTTACTTCGAACGCTGTCTTGACGGCAAAGAGCATGGACAAAAACAAAATACCCGAGTCAATATCAAATTGAGGGTTTTCCTCGTCACTGAACTCGTTCCAGAATGTCTGATAATTTGCCACTGTCCTCTCCTTTTCAATTATGGGGATTAGGGGGTGGATGTAATCCCAGTACAAGTCGATTATTTCGTCAAACTCTTCTTTTCCTGGATATTCATCCGCCAATTCTCCCATCGAGAAGTGTAGCCCGAATCTTTGAAAACCGTCCCCCTCCGCTTTGTCCGAGCACAGCCTCTCAAAATCAAGCTCAGCAACCTCACTCATTTTAAACAATAGCATCCGATTCAAACTGGGTTCTAGGAAAGGGTAGAAAGCTCTCGAATAATACAGCGGCGTACTGCTTGCACTTGATTTGAAAGTCACCTTCGGTTTGGCTTTCACGCCCCGTTCCCCACCCAAACCTGAGGTCTCTTTATTCAAATTCTTTTTCCTGCCTTCTCCTGCTGAAGCATCACGCTGGTCCTTTTTCAGATGCTTGAACTGGTAGACACATTCGCTTCTGGTCCGAACACATGTGCTGCACGGGGAATTCCGATCACACTTGAGTTTGTGACTGTAGCAGTATTCGCATGTCCTGATCTGTCTGTTCCTTTTCAGCTTACCCATTTGGTTGCTGCTCATCTGTTGCTACAGATCGGCACGGCCTATGCTGTGGACCTGCACATCTTCCCTTACAACATGCTCTCTAAGATCTTTAAGATTGGGAGCTGAACTTTTAGCCGCCGCGTCACGTGCGCTCATGAATTCGGAGAAAATCCAACTTTTATTATCCAGAGTTATCGCTATCATTATTACCTTTGTTAAAATTGTGTTTTGCACATAATTATAGATTTGTCTACAAGGTTTATCATGCAGCCCCAGCAGTGCTTCCAAGCTTCCCAAAGCTGGTTTCTTGACCCCCGCAGCGCACAATTCTCTTTCCTTCAGAATCGTTATCGATCGGCACACTCTTATTTTCGATCCGCTGCTGTTTCCAGTATAGGCTCTCGCTGCCGCCCAACTTGCCTATTCTCATGGTGGCCAACAAGTTCTTAGCTGCGTTGGAGTGCTGGTAGACGGCACCACTGAAGGCGGTTGTGGCGTCCTTACCGTGAGACGCTCTGATTAGAGGCACTCCGCCGGGGTGGTCGAGCGCAAAGGGCGTCACGTCGTGGATGATGCCCGAGACGACGACTAAGTATCTGTCCTTCGAGCTGTGTGCCAGCTTCCTGAACTCGTCTGCCGTGAACACGGGGAGCTTTTCGATGGGGATGCCCCAATTCAACTGCGAGCGGATATCGTCCAACACCCTCTGCTGCTGCTGAATGTACGATTTATCGATGGTGCTCTGGTTTGCTATCTTGAGGTTGTTTACCTGTCCGAGAAGCTGCAAGAGCCGTATCGTCCACTTGGTGGGGTCGAAACTGTACCACTCGTACCCGTTTCTGTAATCCATGGGGAACTCGTGGTGAAAGTTTTGGTTCCCCTCGCCCATGGTTATGAGGCTCAACAAGTAGTTGTTTCTGTGCGACTTGGCGTTGTTGTAGGGTCTGGAGCCGATGGTGTGGCCTATGGAGTTGATGGAGAAGATCGAGTGCTGCACAAGCAACGTCTTCAAAAAGCCGCCGTAGAGCAGGCCTCCGATGTAGTCGTCCCACAAGTATCCGCAGAACAAGCTAGGCAGGATTAAGCCGACCAGGATGTAGAGCTTGAAGTAGTGCTGCATCTGCCATTGCACAATCTGCTTGTTGGGCAACTCGTCTAGCTTGCTCTCCTTGATTGCCCTGGCAGCCTTGGTGTGGTGGATGAGGATCATCCAGCCCATGTGGCTGAAGAAGAGGCCTCTTCTGATGTTGTGCGGGTCTGTGTCTGTGACGTCGCAGTTTCGGTGGTGTGCACGGTGGGACGAGCACCAGTTCTTCGCCGACGTGATTCCGCCGCCGGCGCAGATGATCGATAGGATCTGGACAAAAGACTCGTTGCAGAAGTTGAGCGAGTGATGCGACCAGTACCGGTGGTAGAGCATGTTGATCGAGATCACCGTGACGATGTAGCACCACACCATAAAGTAGAACGTGTTCTTCACAAGCGGCGGGTGGAGCGCCACCAGCAGCAGCACGCCAACCAACGGCAGGATGGCCACCACCGTGAGGTTCTTCCAGTGGATGTGGGCATACCAGTTCCGTAGGGTCCACGACCGCTCGGAGATATGTCGTCTGAGCAACGTCGACGGCTTATTGTGCGACGTCTGCACTCTCTGCCGGGACTTTCTCTTGATTTTCACAACGTGCACACGTTCAAGGGCCTCCTCCTCCTCCGCCAGCGGCGCCTGAGAAGAGACGCCTCCGAGAGTGGCGGCAGGGTCCTCGAGCTTGTACTTGAGGAGCTCATCTGCGGGGTAGACCGCCTCGGGCACCTGGTTATCGCCGGCGTCCATATCCGTCGGTGCTGCAGTGGCGTGTGAATGGGGTACCACAGTCTGTTCTTGCTGGGAACGTCGGGGCGTGTGGCAGACCCTTCAAGACGAGGTAAACCAGGCCAGGCAGGTCCTCCAGACAGGCCCAGGAGAAAACAGACGGCTCCGCCGTTCTGTTGGGCCGCGTCCGCGGGAGACACGGTCATGGGGCGGAAGGGGGATCCGGCGGTTGATACAGGTGTTTGATTGCGTATACAGATACGGATAGAGGAATAGTACACAGGACACGGGGGCTGCTGGCGCCGGTACCGCCGCCGCAGACGCCGTCTAGGCGGAGGCAGGGGTGGCGTTGACGTGCAAGCCCGGCTTCGGGGTGGTGACCGACTCGAGAAGCAACTTGACGACCTGGGTCTTCTTCTCCTCGGCGGTCTTCTTGATCTTGACCAACTCGGTCTGCACCTCGGTGTCGGCGTCGGCCTCGAGCTTCTGGTTCGAGCCGGCGAACTCGTCCTCAAACTTCTTCAACTCGGCCGCCTTCTTGGCCTTGTACGCCTCGATCTCGGCCTGGGCGTCGGTCTTGGCGGCCTTCAGCTTCTGGGCACGGTCTGCACGACGAACGGGGCGGGGTGGAGCGGGTGTGGTGTTAGTATCTGTTCAATGCGCATCAGAGAGCATTCGGCTCGTATACGTACACTGTCTGGCCTTGGACACAATCTCCTGTGCGTCCTTCTCGGTCTTGAGCAAGCTTTGGATTCCTGACTGGCGGAGCGGCGTCGCAGCGGCCCGTCCTGGCGGACAGCGGCCCAGCGGAGGCGGTTAGTATCTGGCTCGGTGGTGAGACTGTCGGACCGGCTGGTCCGGCCTGAGGCCTCTGGCTTCCGCCCGTGGCGTTTCTGCCCGTGGCAGCTGCAACGTACCATTATGCGATTGTGCGCTGGCTCTGTCCTTCTGTCCTTCTGCTGCCCCACCCCCCTGCTGCCGCCCTGCTGTCCAACTTCCACCTCTTTGCCACACCGTTCCAGCTGAGCATTATCTGTGTCTGCCTCGTCCCGGCTGCTCGCCACCTTGTCTCGTCTTTTTGCAGCCACCGCGCAGAGAGTTGCCCCGCGGTGCACGGGTGCCTATACCCCGGGGTCCCGGAGCAAGTCCCTCTGCTTGTAGAAAAGACCGACAATGACAAGAAGCCTGGAGAAGACATCGACATCGGCAGCATGGTCGGGAAGCGTGCGGGCGACGTGGAGCTGGCGAAGAGCCTTCTTGCCCAGCTGGCGCACGACGCTGAGCTCTGCGGGAAGAAGGACGTCTTCGATGGCGTCGAGGACGCCGAAAAGCCACGTGCGGAAGTTGTCGTTGACGTTGAGGCTGAGCCACTTGGCGAAGTAGACCAGGAGCTTGACGTGTTCGTCTTCCTCGATGAGCTGGGCTACGTGTGCCTTTTCGCAGCGGACGTCCCAGACGAGGCGCTTCCACTCGCGGGCGGACTGGGGTAGGTCGATGGCGTCGAGCTCGTGGAGACGCATGCGGTAGGCGTTGTACTCGTGCCTGCGGCGGTTGAAGTCGGCGAGATACTCGTGCAGCAGGGGGGTCGGGACGACGAGCTGCTCGGTGGGCGGGTGCTCGGAGGCCCGGTAGAAGACGCGGTCGTCGGGGTCGGTGCTGTCGGAGCAGGCAGGTCTGGCGACGGCGTCTGCCGCAGGGGTGGAGCACGCTTCCAGACGCACCTGGGCCAGGTACTCGTTCACGTCGGCAGGCTCCTTGCCAAGCTCGACGCCGGCGACGTCAATCACGACAGGGAAGGCGCTGCGCTGGCCAAACACCGGGTCCAGCGGGCCCTGCACGTACCCGCTGCTGGTGTCGTACGGGTTCTTCTCGTCGGGCTGCTGCCCCGTTTTCGCCCGCTTCGAGCCCGGCAACGGGGTAAGCAGTCCGCCTAGTCCTCTTTTCGGGGCCTGTGTCATTCTTGGCCGCCAAGGAGACTTGCTGCGGGGCCTTCCAGCGGTAAGACAGGCGTGTCCGTGTGGCACACAGCTGAAAAATAGCCGCAGCCCTATTCCGCAGCGAGGAACATGATTTTTTTTTTTCGGACGCTTCCTACTCCAGAACCCCCATTCTCTTGTGGCCTCGGAGAGCTGGAAAAGTAGGGAAACGCCGCTCGTGAACACCGCCAATGCCACTAAAACGACAGAGAGACCCTGACGATGAGGCAGCAGCGGAAAACAGCAAGCAGGTGAAAGTCCAGGACCCGGAACAGCCCGTCCAGGCCGTCCAGGACGTGTCCGACGATGCAAGCCAAACGAAGAGCATGCCGAGACACAAGTCGAAGGTGGACACATCTATAACGTGCAGCTTGCCCCCGCTGTGCTCCGAGGAGCCCCAGACGTTCAACACCTGGAAGCAGTACGAGTCGCACTATATATCGAGCCACACAAACACGTGCACCGAATGCAAGAGAAACTTCCCCTCCTCGAAACTCCTTGACTTGCACATCACTGAGAACCACGATCCCTTCACCAGAATAAAGCTGCAGAAGGGCGAACCGGTTTTTGGGTGCTTTGTGGAGGGATGCGACCGTGTTTTCAAGGACCACAAAAAGAGACGTCTCCACATGATCGACAAGCACGACTACCCAAAAGAGTTCATCTTCAGCATAGTTGACCGAGGCATAAGGAAAAACGACACCTCTTTGATCAAGAAAAACACCAAGTCCTTTGGGGTATGGAAACCCGCCTGAAATGATAGTTCGGCGTGTACCAGTCAAAGACACAAATAGATCGGTGTTAGGCCTACAGTGTTCTGGAGGGAATCGAAAATAAATGTCCGCTCCATAAAGATCTGGAAAGATTGACCCCATCACAAAGTTTACGAAGGGTGCATACACGGGTGTGCAGTCTTCATGATTATATTTCTCCCGTTAACTGTTCACCTTTACCAAACTTCGGACAGTCATGCAGGTCCTCCATGATCTGGAAATACTAATGCGGACTGGCTCCCGATTACACGGTTTGAGAGACAGAGTCTAATTCCATGACTGTGCAGACGACATAAATCAAGTATATGCTCCTAATGATATTACATACTCTCTATATAAAGTTATAAATACTGGTGCACGAATGAAGGTACTGGGCGTTCCCAAAAGTGAGTAATGTATGTTGCAGGATGAGTACAGCAATCCAACGAGTTTATTTGATAGACAAAAGCTTGACATCGAAAGTCAATTCGGAGTTGGCTGGAATACCAGGAAGCTTGCTGCTACCGTATGCCATAGGTGCAGGGATGACAATTCTTCTTTCACCACCCACGGCCATACCAGCAACACCGACATCCCATCCCTTAATCACCTCACCCTTACCAAGCCCGAAGTGGAATGGTCTACCAGATGTGTTCTTGTCAAAAACTTTACCGTTCTTTAATTTTCCAATGTATCTGACGCCAACCTTTTGACCCTTCTTACACACAGGTCCAGTACCAACAGTCTTGTCTTCAACGATAACACCGCCTGGTAACGTCTTAACAGCTGGCTTCTTCTTTTCTTCCTTCTTGGTGTCCTTCTTTTGCTCCTTTTGCTCCTTTTGTTCCTTTTGTTCCTTCTTATCCTTCTTAACAGCCTTTGGAGACTCCTTCTCTGCAGCTGGACCAGTTGGACCCTGCTCTAAATCTTTGTCGAACTTTACAGTCTTCTCCTTCTTGGCCTTCTTGTCCTTCTTAGACTTTTTGCTTTCTGGTTCTTCAGATTCTTCAATTTCTCTCTTCTTCGACTTCTTATCTTCTTCAACCAATTCCTCGATCTTACCTTCAATGTCCTCAACATTGTCCAACTCGTCAAGATCATATTCAATTTCATCGTCGATGATTTCATCCTCATCTGGAGTCAAGTCGTATTCGCCATCGTCATAATCTTCTTCATCATCACTACCGTATACGTAATCATCTTCTTCCTCGTCATTTGGATGTTCAACATAGTTACCAGTTAAGTGAACAGTGTAAGAACCAGTGACAACGAAGAATACTTCCTCATCTGGCAAGATGGTCAAGTCCAAGGTTTGTTGGAATTGGGTACTTGGAGAAAGAGTACAAATGACGTGTTCCTCAACACCTTCTTCGTCTAAATCTTCTTCGTCTTCTTCATCGTCTTCTTCGTCATCCTCATCGTCTTCTTCGTCTTCTTGTTTCTTCTTACCATCCTTAGTTTCACATCCATTACAATCATCATCTTCGCATTCTTCATCAGATTCTTCATCTTCGTCACTGGAATCATCATCGCTTCCATCCTCGAAGACAGCGGTCTTCTTCAAGATTCTGAGAGTGGATGGCTCCTTCTTTTCGTCAACAGCCTCTGGCTCTATTGAAGCCAAGGTGATTCTGACAGTGATTGGGAAATCATCTGATTGACATGGCTGTGGGGAAAATGGAGTCAATTCCAAGTTGTAAGATGCAAGTGGTAATAATCCGGACATTTTTTACCTATGTTTTCTAGTTATAATCTGCAATTGTGTTCACAAAGCTTGATTATTATTGTGCAGAAGGAAATCAATAGAAACCAAGGATAAACCAAAGTCAAAGTAGTGGTCTGAAGCAAGAACTTAATAGAGTTAAATAAAGATTATTTTTCTTGAGTATGATAGAAAATTTTTCAGATGCATTTGGAAAAAAATAGAAAAAAGGGAAAATTTCTTCTTTGGGAAAATTGACGTTATGTAAGCACACGTGATTCTATGGTAAAATTTGGTAGATAAGAGGCTAAAGTTAAGTGGAGCATTTTGGTTGAAACCTCGGAAATGACAGGACTAAAAGAGCAAAAGTGAAGGAACAATCATGAAACGAATGTCACAGCGTATCTAAAATTTTTAATTGTATTAATTTTTTTTTAATTATATATAGGGTAAAAAATCATAACCATTTATTTAGAAAACCATGGAGTGTGGTTTGTCGCCAGTCTTCAAGGAGAAAGAAGAAGCTAAGTATTGCTTCAATAATGGGGTCTTCTTGATTTCAGAGATCAAAGCCTTGTCGACAACCTTTTGGTCTTGGACTCTTTCGGACTTGATTTCCTTCTTTGCAGCGTTGTCACCGAAGAAGTCCTTTTCAGACTTGGACTTCTTGTTGGTCTTTTCTCTAGCAAAGTAAGCAACGTCAAACTTAGCCAAGTCTAACGAAGCAACGTCAACCTTGGTTTGGGTGGCAATGACGTATCTTGCGTTGACTCTTCTTAATGGAACACCGTTGACCTTGAATGGACCAGAAACCAATAAGGTGTTGTCTTCTAAGTGCTTTAAGTAGACAACTCTCTTACCTCTGAATCTACCAGCCAATAAGATCAAGACGGTACCTGGAACCAAGCTAGCTCTCAAGTGTTGTGGTCTAGCGGTCTTTCTGGTCTTCTTAGCGACTGCAGCTTCCTGTAAAAAAAGTAAATGAAGAGAGGATGGGAAAATTAATTGTTAGTATCATGTTTTCATTTATTTGCTTGAATCACTGCAGCGGTGTCGTCAGATTTCATCCAAGGAAGGGCGGGCTTGAGTCAGCGCCCAAAGAAAAGGTCAGTAGAACGGTTTCTGTTCTCCAGTGTTATGCCACTTCATTTTCCGGTATAGGTGAGAATTAAACAGGAATATGCAAATAAATGTTTGGGTTTGTGAATGTGTTTGCTGCATTGAGAATTGGAAAGCCGTGTTTCTTTGTTTTCCGCATGTTCTTGGCTTAATGTGCTCGATCAACTAATCTTTGGCACCAGATGCTCTTGACGTTTTATTGAAAATACTGTATTTTTCACACCCATGCTGAAGCGATGTGAAAACACTTGGCTTCCTCCTGTTTAAATGTGCTTTTTGATGTGCTATGCTATTGCTTATTTCCATTGCCCATGTGCATTCGGTTACACCTTTCAATTCCTTGGCATCCTCCTGAACTTTTCTTGTTAAATCTCACTGAAACCTCGGTTCTTTTTTACTTTCTTCGTCGACTCCACCCCGTATTTTAACAAGGTACTTACAGCAACCATTTTGTATACTTCGATGGTGTTGTTGATTTGGTAGCAGAGCTTCTAAGACCTCTTCCCCATACGTACAGCATGTAGGTGGCCCACCACTTTCTGTAAATGAAACGAAAAAATCACCGCCATCAACCGCTTCCTCGCCGTCGCCTGCGGTTCCACTGTGTGGTCCCCCGGAAAGGTGAGAGTGCGCGCATGCTTGAGGTGTGAGGGTGTACACGTTTTTGCAAGGCCCTGCAGAAACCCCGCGCACCGCACTTAAAACCATGGCAGAAAGCAAGTCACGCAAATGACGCGCTCAATTGACGCAACTTTTTTGCCAGCATGAGCCGTATCCCTATTAGGAAACTATTCCAAACATTGTCTGTCTTGGTAGTTTACACATTGATATACAAAGAGCCTAGTTAACACAAAAAATTATAGCAGGTAAAATGAAGAAGGAGGAAAAGAAAAAAAGAAAACAAAACGAGCCAATATGCTCCGTGCTGGTGCCCCGTAACCTCCCTAGTTATTCGTTTGTAAATTAAGCGGCGTCGGATCCATCCCTATGATGCCGTTGTTGCTTCCAACGGGGCCTGTAAAGGACTCTCCGTTGCCGAAAAACAAGTCACTCCAAAACTCGTCGTTGAAAGCCATATACTGGAACTCCCAGTTATTTTCGATACCTTCTATGCTGCCTACCCGTCCAGGTAAGTTGGTGGCTGCACCGTTTCCGAGGTCGCCCACAGCGATACCGGCCAGCTGGTCCAAACCAGTTGGCTGTTGCTCCATTGGCATGCTACCCAAGTTCCCCACATTCATGCTGGAGTTGAAGTTCATGTTGTTGTATGCAGGTGTAGACTGAAATTTCATGATTGAATTATCCGGTCTGCTTCCGTCTGGGATACCTGTCGAGTTCGATGCTATGTGTAAGACAGGAGTGGGAGGTGAAGGTGCAACAGAGTAGACTGCCGAACCTCTATGTTGTTGTGAATTCAAACCATACTTGTAGGATGCAATCGGTCCTGTGGTTTCGTCAGTTTGCGGCTGAAGCAACGATGATATGAGTGGCTTGAACGCAGCACTGTGCTTTGTACCATTTATGACGCTGTTATCTGGACTCATGGCTGGGTTGTGACTCACATCTCCACTGGCAGCACTACCAGGTTTGTCAATGGCATTTGTTGCACGACGCTTGCCCTGAGGATTTGCGTCGGAGTCAAACAGTGGATCAACGAATAGCGGTGTATGCTTCTTAATTTCCTTAGAGAGGCTTTTGTAAGAAATATACCACTGAGACAAACATGTGTGGACAAATAAACCCAAGACGTTCGCAACCTTCTTAAGTGCATGGTTCTTTGGAAACATTTTGCACGTTTTCTCTACTTTAGCAGTCAAGGTTCTGATAGTTGAAATACACTCTTCAGTGAATAAGCTTGCCTTTCCACTCTTTGGAATGGTCAAGCTCAAGTATCTAATTCTGAGCAACATACCTGATGTATAGAGAATTCTTGAGACGTGAAATAACGGATTGCTAGTCATGTCTTCTATGGATAGTTGATTGAAATGCTTCAAAGAAAGTAAACATGATTCACAGATTTGGCTCAAGGTTGAGAAAAAGACATTTTTGTATTCCGGAGTGACATATTCTTTTGAGTTGATCAATGTCTGCAAAGCAGGTTCATACAAGTATGCTTGAACAGAATACATATATGCCATGAGTGAACTATAGTCTGGGGAATTTTGCCTGAAATTGTCTGAAATCTTTTGTTTCAAACCATTCAACTGATTCAAGTACTCAACCAGTTGCAATTTATTTCTGGTGCTCGACAACTCTAAGACAGTAATTTGCTCCGATTGTTTATGTACTTCACAGTATATGGTCTCCATCAAGTGATTCATTCTAGCATACAGTGCAATCATTCTATAGGACCTGAGATCTGAGCCTTCCAAAAGTACACAACTATTGTCCAAATATTCTGTCCATTGAAAAAATATAACTCTTTTCAAAAAAAGAGAGGTTGACATGTAAGATATGTAAACGACCAAAATCAGGGCCTTTAGTTTTATAGTGTGAAGGTCACCAAGTACGGAAGTCTTCTTCACCAACCCATCATCTTTGTTGTAGAAGAAAAAAGGTCGTCCGCTAACCCCTAAATCATGCGCCATTGAAGCACAGAAGGAAGAAAACAGATGATATCTCCTTTGATGAAACAATTCTGGAGCTGTGTACCACAAGCTATATAGCATTGTGCTTTTTAGTAAATTGATGCTTTTGTTTCCAATGACTAGAGCATGAATAGCAATAGTTTTAGATATCAAACATTCAAGTTGCAACTGAGATTCCACTGAAATATCAGATGGCTCAGTATCCGCAATGGTACCGATATACACCATGATTATGAACATAAATGGCTCATGCTCTCTGAGAAACTCCACAGTTAGTGTGGAGGGCAAGTCAATGAAGGGGAATTTGGAATAAACTTTATTTAAGAAAAGATGCAGTAGTTTTTCACATTGCTGAAAGGTTAGAATGTTATTACCAACTATATCTAATGATGACATTTGACTTTCGCCTAATTGCACACGTCTTTCCGAGTTCGATATAAATTGACTACTGCTAGATGAACTTGGTAACATAGCCTCTAACTCATTGATTTCTTTGCCGTATAGTTTCAATCGATCGTGCATTGATATCTCTGAAACCATTTTTTCCTCTTCTTCATCGGTAAATCCCCTCAACAATTTGATCAATCGATCTTTCCGTTTCAGCTCCTCTCTTAGTTTCCCAATCTCGTCATCTTTGATTTTAAATTTCATCGAGTTGGTTAACGGGGCAGGCTTTTTCCTCTTATGGAGAGTATTATATTCACAAGATATGTTCCTCTTGAAACATCTTTTACATGTACTGAATTCAACCGAGGTATCCAGAGGAACACATTTGACCTTAAGAGAATGACAGCGTTTGCAAGCCAACATTCTACGCCTGGATCCCTCTGAATTTGGGCTCAAAGACCTCACATTTGAATTCTGTAAAGACCTTGATTCCGAACTTGACACCGAATGCTTATCAGAGATTATAGACTCATCCCCATACTCATTTTCACTTCCATCTCCATCCTCTGCATTGTTCTTTATTGAGGCATAGTTGCTGAAAGTATTAGTATCCTCACCTGCCCTCAGGCCATCTCGAGAGGAGACAGACCCTTCAGTGCCCTCATTGTCTTTTGTGTGAGATTGTATCGGTTTGGTTTCAAAGCCAGCCGCCTGACCTTTACTCAGAGGGTTCACAAATTCACTATCAGTTACAGCCTGACCTCTTTCGGTGTACCTTGATCCAAGAGTCTCTAGTAATGCACTAACACTGGATACAGACCTGCCCCCTTTGTCTGTCTCCGAACTCATGTCTCTCCCTTAATGGAATGCGTGCTTTGTTTTTCCTGGGACTACCAAGCTCCCCAGCCCTTCGTAATAAGCCAACATGTGTCCGTGTTTCCTGTATTGCTTTTTTAAATTACCAAACAGATGTTTATCTCCAAAGACGTCAGAAAGAAGCGAGAAACTGATTTTTGAGCCCGCACATAACGTATACATAACCATGAACTATGCTTCTAATTTCCGATTTTTGTTATCGATAACTTTACATTAACATTACATTACTCTACATAATAAAAAAACAGAAATACAAAAAGGATCAATAGTAACATTGTCTTTTAAACCCTGACCTTGACTATCCGCCCATGCGGTTTGATCTTCAAATAGCTATAGTTGCATCCGCTCGATTTATCGAATGGGTCCACCTGGACGCCTCGAAAAATGTTAACCCTGGAACACTGTAAAATATTTAGCTCCTTCAAACTCTTGATTTCTGTCAGCACAAAATCAACTCCCTCTCTGGTAACTCTGACACAACCCTTGATGGATAGGTACTTGAGATGGACCAATGACTTTAACTCTTTCAACGAATAGTCACTGACGGCGGCACCACAAAACGACAAGTCCAAATCAATCAACTTTGGACACCCGTAGCCTAGCAGTTTCAACGAATAATCTGTTAACATGCAACAAAACATGAGGTCCAATTTCTCCAAGCCTGGGCATGACATTGAGATTCTTTCTATCACTCTATCGCTCAAAAAGGTACAATCTCTCAAGACGAGTTTCTGTAGACGGAAGAATTTGTGATTGTTCATATCCAAAAATCCGTTGTCTGTAATTGTCGTGCACCTTGTTAAGTCTAGACTCATCAATTTATCTTCCGTATTATTGATAATATGGTTCATTGTCCTATCTGTCAAATACTTGCAATAGCCGAGGGACAAATTTTGCAAGTGATGACACCCCACACTATAGTCTTGCTTGTCCCCAATTATTTTCATTATAACATCATCTTTAACCTTCCTGCAATTGCTCAAGTCCAATTCTGTTAAATTTTTACATGTGATGCTCAAATCCATTATTGCCATTGCAGAAAGATTCCAATTGTTCTTCATTATCAATCCTTTCATATTCCCCCTTCCACCTACTTCGTTGACCATAAAACTAAATCCCTCGTCAGTGATATGGTAACAATTTGAGATATTGATATATTGTGGTCTTGAACCAACCAGTTTAGCTATTTGGATAATTGAGTTATCGTCGAGCTCTTTACAATATGGAGTCAAATCTAACTTACTGAAAAGTGAGCTGGACAAATAAATCAGTTGTTTCCATCGCATGCAAACTCTCGAGCATTTCATTAATGTTTTAAGGTCCAAGGTTTGAAACACCTTAAGGAAGATAGTGTCTGGTAATGGTCCAATGTTGAGTACAGAAGACCTCCGTCTTCCCATATTGATGCTAGAGAGCCGACGCCTAAAATCCAGGGGAGCATACTGGAAGTTTCTTTTCTGAAAATTGGAAAAGTTTTGAATCGACCCTCCAATAGGGTTGAGTGGAGGCATTGTCAATAAATCTGTTTTTTCTGTTTCACGACCATGCTTTGTCGCATTGAAAGAGAATGTATTGAAGGCTGGCGCTGGACTTCCATTGCTTTTGCTTTCTCTTTTTGGAACATTTGAATTGCCCGCAACAATAGGATCGACATCATTGGTTTTTTCCTCTGAAAAAGATTTTCGGTTGTTAAAACTGAATTTCTTGAAAATGTTTGACTCATCTGAAGTCTGAGGATGTTCAAACGATAGTAACGTTGAGTCCACGCTCTTTTTGAACTCCTCAAAAATGACAGGGTATTTCTCGCAAACTGAATCTAATGAAGAGGCTCTTATCATTAAAATTTCACAATCTGAAATTGTTCTAGTACTTGCTGACCTCGGTTTTAAGGCATTCCCGTTGAAAACCGATAGGAAGGAAAATGTGCCAAAACACATCGTCGAGGTGAGCCTGGCCAATGTTTTCCCGTCGTCAATAACTTCAACTTCACCGTATACAACAAAATAGATGTCCCTACTTAAGTCTCCTTTTTTGAAAATATACTCCATGGGTCTAAATCTTAAAACTTCGACATCCAATGCCAATTCATGTATGATATTTCTCGGTAGGGATGCAAACGGTTTTAAACTACAAAGAAACTCACGAGTTGAAAAGGAGTTATCAATATCATCGATAGAAGTGAATGTGGATCGTCTATTTTGTATTTCGTATGCTTCCGAAGTATTGCTCATTTTTGTAACTGCCGCATCTGGGGTGCTAATTATTATGGGAGGGATTGACGAACCCAAAGAGGTGATGTTCTGGCCTTCGACAAGATTGAGTAACGTGGAGACTGGAGGTAGAGAAGGCCCCGGTACTTGGTCATGGTCATTTGCGACCTGGGAAATGTTGATCAAATTATTGGTCGCATTTGGGTCATCTGCAGACAGTGTATCGTGTTGAGTGCTACTTCCGTGGCGAAACACAGATACTTTCCGACTTATTGCAGGCAGGGCCATTTTGGGCAAGCCCTTCTTCTTCTCTTGCATCAGCAAACGCTCCTGGGCTTCATCTCGTATAAGTTGCTCTATACGAGGATAGTCCAACAAGACCTTGATCAAAGAGTCTTTTGTTAAGACACCGAGCAAAACTTTGGTTCTTGCAACGACTGTGGCTGTCCTAGGGCAGTTGAACAGAATCCCGATCTCACCAAAAAAGGAGCCTGCAGCAAGTTCAGCGTATACAGACTCCCCGTCCATCGAAGTGACCCCAACAGTGCCCCGCAAGATCCAGTACATTGACTTTGCAGGCTCCCCATGCTTGACAATATACTCTTGGGGCCTGTACTGGACCAAACGCAAAACTTTTGACAAATGTATAAAAAAGTCATTCGGAGCATCGCTGAACAACGAGAAGTCCTTCAACCTACAGATGACCTCGTGCGGTATGGCGTTCTTTTCAATCAACTCGTCTTCGGTCAGAGACCTTTCACCGGGTTTCTCCGTCTCATCTGTGATGTCATTTTCGGACGGCTTTCGCCTTTTGAAATTTGCACTCTGGGGGTCCAGTTCGTCCGGCCAAAGCAGCTTGTTCCTCTTCATCGAGCCTGCTCCATCTGGCAACGTTATCCCCATCGTTGTTTTCTGCAATGTCCAGCTAGTTGGAGCTGGCAAAAAGCTATTCCGGGATGGCATTGCGTTTTATCCAGATACGTCTGTGCGTTGCCTATTTCCATCGGAACACTTTTTCTTTTGGGGAATCCGTGCGAGATAAAAAAAGCCGGCCGACAACCAGCTGAGCATATGAGGTCACACAACAGCGGAGGCCCTTATCGGGGACGAGGACGTCTCTGGATGGCAGACGTTTTATGACGGGGTCCACTAGCCAGGACATGACCATGCATGAGATACAGCAACAGCCGAAGGACAGGTTGATTCCACGGTACATCCAGTTTCAATTTCTCTCAAATCACATTGAAAATGAGCTGTCTAACACTTCTCCGGATATGCTGCCAGACGCCCTTCGATGGCGGAAAATATCATATCTAGCTAGCCTGGGGTATCTTGGAAGGTATCCGGGATACTTTTTTGACGGGAGTGTGAGGAACGAAGATTATTTGAACAAGGTGTTGAACATGAACATCATATCCCAAGAGGAGGATCTGTACAGTACAGGCGATTCACATTTTGCAGGAAACCATTCATTATTGAGCAGCAGCAAACTGGGCTCTATTGGCGGCGCCACGGAGATCAGCAACACCGATGGCAGCTACTACATGGAGGGCAACATAAATTGGAACTCCAGAAACAACCTCGACGACGATTGGGTGATGAACCATCCTCTCAACGTCAAGGACTTGTCGTTACCTACGAGGATAGATATGCCGAAAACAGAAACCAAGGTCAATCTATCTGACGACGAGAAAACTGTCGGCACAGAACTCATTGAAAACACAATGTTCAATCTCTATCCTCGAGGGAACAACAAGAGCAACTTTGTTACAATACCTTTGGACTCGTACGTGTCTCCGTTGTTGTGCATATACTACTACGAGATCACGGTCATCAAAGGCATTGAGGACGAATGCGACATTGTGATTGGCTATGTGAAAGATGAGATTAAAAACATAGCTTACACGTCTTCTTCAATGATTGATTTGCGGGGGACGGACGATCGTGCCGTAGGGTGGTATGGCAAGAACGGCATTTTCACGCTATGGAATGACAAAAGAATTGAGAAGTCGGCATGTCGTTTTGGCAAAGGCGATGTGGTCGGCATGGGATACAACCTATACAGAGATGTTTTTTTCATTACCAAAAATGGGCTTTTAGTGTCTGAGTTGCCGTCCCTCGGGAAGTTCTTAGACAAGAGCTTTGAAGGACGTAAAAACGTGCGAGGGTTTGTTCCCAGTGTGAGTTTAGGATCATGGTGCAAGGTGAGAATAAACTTGGGCGATGCGGAGGACAAACAAAAGGGATTCCGGTTTGATATAGAGTCATACGTGAAGAAAAACAAGTACAATTTCGTAGATAAGATCAAGCTTTCCAAGATTCCACCGTTCAGCCTTCCCAATAAAAAGGTGGTCAAAAATGACCTTGATTTAACACATTATGTCGATGAGTTGGTTATCGGATTCTTGAAGTACGGAGGATATTTGGATACAGTCAAGGAGATGCAAGAGGATTTGAAGGCCTTAAAAAGAAAAGAAGACCCAGAAGATGGATACATGGCGGGACTCGGCAAGGCCGACAATATGCTTTTGGAGTTGTGTCATTTGAAGAAGATGGTAAAAAAATACGTGATGGCAGACGAACTCCTCAAGGTGAGAAATCTGCTGGAGACAAAGTACCCGGGCTTCTTTACGACCTACAGGAAAATCAACTTCAGGTTGAAAATCTTGAAGCTGATTCGGATGCTCATTTCGGAGAAGACAGACATCTTGAAATGCGTGAAGTTTGCGTCACAACTCAAGAATCTTTTCAAGGAAGAAGATTGCCAGTACTACATCGATCAAGTTTCGGTCTTGTTTTCACACGAGAACCCGCGGAACTGTCCCGAGTTCCATCTGTACTACGACGACAACAAGACCAAGATCATCCATGCGATTATCATGGCAATTAACGAGCAGAACCGTCTTCCGTTCATCTCCTCTTTGGACTTAGTGATATTGCGAACCGACCAGAATTTGGAAGCGTATGTGGACAAAGTCCAGAACGGGGACAAAGGCCCCTTGCTCATCAACATGCTCGAGGACTACATCAAATTTTGATTAGATACAGGGGATCATTAAATGCTTGCAAATGCGTCTTTATACAGGCTCAGTAGATGGGCGTGCTATGCCACTCGCGTGTGTGTGTTTGTGTAAACTTACAAAGATTTCGTTCAGAGGTACTTCTGTAGCTGTTCGTTCATGTTCTCCGACAAGGTTACTATCCCGTCGATGTTGCAGAGCGTGTACATGTCGTTCTTCTCGTAGCTGCCTCTCTCCATGACACCCTCCGGGTCCACATGCACGAACCCCAAAGTGTTTGCGAGCTCCGGCCGCTGGTTCATGTAGTCCAATACAACCTTGTAGTCGCCGATCGCCATAAACGAGCCCGGATAGTTCATGGCATCAAAAATGTACGTCTGGTCGTCGTACACGTTCTCGAAGAACGCCTTGTGCAACACGGGAAAGAAATCCTTGTTTTCCTTGAAATTCCGTACAGAGAGAACAAGGTTCTCCAAGTTCTTATCCTCTGCACCGCTGGTCTGCACCGTGCCGATGGGGGTCTTGTTGTGGTCTGGAGAGAATGACACCGCCGTCAGCCCCGCGTTGAACTGGTGGAGATACAACTGGTCCTGTTTGGCGTACTTGATCGTGTTCACAAGGCTTCGGTTCACCGAGTACGCAGCTTTGGCAATGCGGTTCATCTTCCTTTAGCGTATTCTCGATTCGATTCTGCGTGGGCTCACACAGGCCCCTCTCCGAGCACACGGGCTAGGATTGTGTCCACCAACTGCTTCTCTTCAGCAGAGAGGCCTCCTCTTTCTCCGTCTTCCCCAACGGCCCCTGCACGACCTGCCCGGGCATTACGTAAGCGGGACAGGTCTTGTTCGAAATGCCGGAGCTCCAGGTCCATGTCTCTCGCCAAGTCTTGATGATGGCCGTTACCATGTTGTCTTGTGGTTAAGGCACCGAAAACGTCGTGATCGTCGTCGTGTAGCTCTATGTTTCGCCAGACGACGCATTGGATCGCGTTCTGGGCTTCGGCGAGAAGAGAGGCATCCGCCGTGTCCATGGCAAGGATCTGTCCGTCCCACTGCAAACTTTCCTTGTGTGTTTCACAGTGTTCGGCATCCAGGAGAGCATTGAGCTTGTCCAACGGACCGGAGATGAACTCTTCGTAGCCGTCGGAACCTGGGAAGAGAACAAATAGCAGCTGGATCTGCTCCCGCAACTCGCTCATCTCGTCCGAGGAGAGCTCCTCGATCCATTGCACGTAATTCTGCGGATCGTTCGTTTCTGGCTCATCAATGAACACGCCGACATCCGTCTTGTAGTACTTGGTTTGGAGTGGAAGGTCTTCGATGATGAGACCTCCCTGTTTGTCCCTTGGGGTGTCTCCACGCGTAATCTGTTCCTCGCCAATTTCGCCGACCTGGAAGAGCCTTCTCACAAAACCGATTTTGTCGTAGTTTTCGGGCCCAAACACCAGGATACGGTTCATAGTAGCAGACATGAATCTTGTTGATGTATCCTATACGCTTGTATAAAGACTCTCTGAGCTCATTATGCTACTGAGTGCACAAGAGAGCCAACACCTTCACCGTTGGGCTCGTGAAAACGGAATGTCGAAAGTCTCTGCCAAATTGAGCCGAGCACCCATACTCGCAGAGATGTATATCGTGTTTGTATGTACCGACTCATCAGCGTTCTTCATGGGAACATCGCTGCCATTGTCGTGAGAGGGAGAGAAGGAGAAACAGAGGGAGAGAAGCACAGACACGAGAGATTCAGATCATGCCTGTCAAGGATAACGAGGTGAAGACAAACGCCAACAACGACGACAAGTTGATTGAGTATGCATTGAGTTCGCAGGAATACATCGACCAGTTCATCCCCATCATCAAGTCAGAACTACTGAACAAGAACTCATTGGACGACTTGGTGGACAAGCTGGAGACCATAACTACTCAGAAGGATGCAGACCTACAAGAAATATCGTTCCACTCTATCGACGATATCACCAACTCCGTAAAAGCCATCAACAAGATAGTCAACACCTCGGATAATATCAGCAAACAGATATTGGTCATCAACAAAAACTTGAACAAAACGGGAAAATTGTTATTGGAAGAAAGGAAAAAAGTGTACAATCTCAAGCAGTCAAAACAGAGAATAGAAGAGACAAATAACAAGATCAATTCCTGTCTTGAAACGCTAAACCTCACTAGCAAGATTCTCAATTTGATCAAAAGTGAAGATTTCTACCGATCATTGATACTACTACAGTCATTATCCACCAACTATTTGAAAGAAGGGGAGGTTTTCGATTTTATAAACAAGTTTTTCGAAGCTCTTCCTTCCTTCAAATTGCTCATTATTGATGAAACGTTCAATCAGCTAAACCGGTGGTTGAATTTGAGCATCGAAAAGAACCTGTCTGAGGTTGGAGAATTACTTTTCGATAACTTTAACGCCATAAATGAGCAGTGGTTTGAACAGCAATCACAAAATTTACAATTGATAAACTACAAAGTGAACTCACCCGTAGAGCTTTCCTTTCGACCAAACAAGTATAAGTCCTTCAATCCGCTGATGAAAGTCAATGTTGATTTACAACCATTGCTCCATTCTATCCTGGTTTTTGACGAATTAGACCAGATTGATGAGCTGAAGGAGTATATCGCAAATGACATGGTCAGAAGAATAGATCACCTCTTCATACCAATCAAAGATTCCATTAACAAGTTCAATGTTTTCTCAAGTAACGAGTCGCTGCGGATCAATCTATTCTCAGTCTGTTCATTTTCTATTATTGACAAAATTGTGAATGAGAAGACGAGCTTTAAGCTTCGGTCTTTGAAAGAAGTCAACAGCACGTTCAATTTGATCCTGGGTAAGATCTTACCCGTATTATCAGATCACATTGATTATCATGACACTGATTTGGGTGACTTGATGGAATTGAATGATATTGTAGGATTATTCTATCAGATTCTAACCAATTACAGCTTCAGTTGTGAACCGATCTATAAACTTCTGCTGAAAATATTCAAGGTGTCAACCAAGCGATTGGTGGAGAATTTCAAGACTAGCTACCAACGTATTTCCCTCGATGACAACTCACAACCTTTGGTAATTGACTCTTTGAAAGAGTTCAACCAAGTCTCAAATGAAGTGTTCTATATTTTTCATGTTCAAAATCCAAAGTTTCCAATGAACGTTCCCTTTTCATCCATTTACTTGGATACATGTAAATTGCTAAAGGACTTTATTGATGAAATTTACACTTTTATTTCCAAATACTACAACAGTGAAAATAACATGATAATATCAACCATATCGAGATCTATTGATGAGATTTTGATTGACATTATTTTGAAAGATTTAGACGACAAGATTCATTCGACATATAAGGAGGTCGTTTCACAAAATTTGATTAACCTTGATTTCTACTCAAGTTCCATTTACGAGATAGAGAAGTACCTAAATTACTCCAATAATGAGAATATTATGAGATCGAGGAATTTCTCCAATTTGATCAAACTCAACTCTATTGAAGAGTTTAAGAAGACTAGACGTCTAGCGATTGAGAGTATGTTCAATATGATCGATGTCAAGGTGCATTCTTTGTTCGATATGGTTGATTTCAACTGGGATTCAGACGAACTAAGGAGTGATCCAAACACAAGTCTGATAGATTTGATAGAATTCTTACAAGACTCCTTCAAGTTGAACTTTTCTCACTTACCTGAATCCATCAAATCGCTCTTGCTTCTCAAAATTCTGGACAAAATCGCCAAGTTTTTGAATGATTCTGTTTTTGAGTCCGATGTTTTGACTGAAAGTTCCATCAAAAATTTCCAGTTGGATATTAACTATGTGGAATCTTCCATCGTCAAGTTTTACGACTCAAGTTTGAATGCCGACGACCCGACGTTGGAGCCGCTGAAAAACATGTTCACAAAATTGAAGCAAATAATAGAATTGTTGAATGAGGGGAATCTAGATAGTTACAAGCAAGATGAGATCAGATTGCGGAAGTACAATAAGGTCGATCCCGAGGAGGCTGTTTCATTAATGAACAAGCTTCCTACGCCGGAAGTGGAGGATGATGGGACGCTCATCAGTCCAGTAGACAATGATGTTGTGTCAAGCATGGACCCAAGTCAAGACGACATGAGATCAATATTTGGTTTGAAACGAACTGCAACCTTCCAGTTCAAAAAGTCTTGAAACGAGAAGTCACATGCAATGGAGAGTGACCCTGCCCAGCATATTACTAGTGTGAGATTACGATGTAGATTTATATACCTTGATGACAAGTTTTTTGCTTTTTTGTTCTATACAAAGACCTCTGCGCTTTTCAAGGGCTGTTCCCATCCCAGCCAATCGCTCGATTTGTTTGGAACTAAGCCCATTGAGTATAGTTTCCATAACCCGACTAGCAGGTTTCCACAGCACGATAGTATATAAATGAGTTTCATGATACTCACATCGTAAGAATCAATTTCAGACTCAATACTGGAATCAAGTTGTTTGAACTTCACGTTCACCACAAACATTTCTTTAAATGTATTGATAAAAAGCATGAAAAGCATCATGATGGGAATGACTTGGATATCGTTCGGTGACATGTACGACATACCAATGTTCATGATGATCGATTTTGAAGGAGACGTTGCCAGTTCCCACATTTTTTTTTTCTTGAACTCTTTGAGCTCATGATTCTGTATTTTGTTATGATTCACTGCAGCCTTTCCCTGCACTCCTTTCTTACTGACAGGAAGGTATTTCCCATCGTCCATATCGTTGAAGGCAGCATCCGTATATCCCTGTGGCTGTTTAAGCTTGAGGTTTTTATTTGCAAGGTGAACTTGCACTAGGTTATTTTCGTTTCGATATATGTCTAGCCAATCCCCCATAGTTGGAAAATATGTTGTGGTGGTAGCTGTATTGGAGAGTACCTTCTACAGAGCCGTAGAGCATTTAGATCCTGAACAATGATGTGAATGAAGGCCAAAAGGTTGGGATTGCTTGACGGATTATGTAATAACAAGACAGGAAATTTATTTTGCTGGTGTTTTTTTTGATCCTTTGACCTATCTGCCGACACTTTAATGGAAATCTCGGATGTCTGTAAAAAACAGAGACTGGTTAGAAGAGGCAGATAAGCAATATGAGCAAAAAATGCCAGATACCGAGATATGATTCGAAAAAACTGATCAAACACGCCCCTTTAAGGCCTTATGTGCATACGGAATTGGACACAACGGTGTACGTCAAGTCGAGTACGCCGTTCATGTCTGCGGTAAAACGGATTGAGAAGATGATGTCGAAGTTTGAGGAGATACCGAACAAAAAAGGCAACCTGATACGAAGGGGAAATGTCAGCCTGAAGTGCAAATTCATCACTGTGCGTGGGATGGGCAAGTCCATAGACAAGGTGGTCAACCTCGGACTCCATTTCAAATTCGAGGAGAAGTGCACGGTGGACATATTCACCAAGAGTGTAGGGGTGTTAGACGAGTTTGTTTGCAAGGAGACAGACAAGGAGGAGAAAGAAGATGTACCGGGGGAAGAGGAGGGAGAGGACGACAGTGTTCTACGAAAGCGGAATGTTGGAGCGATAGAGGTTAGGATATATATTTAGTAAACGGGGGTTCTTTTATAAGGTTCTGTGTAAGCTTGATATGGGCGGCGTCATATGCTGTTGAGCTTTTCTTGGTTTCGCAGATGCAGTTTCTGGACGCACATTTCGGACATGTTATCGAGTTCGGAGAGGATGCGTTTGATGTTTCTGTTTTTCTTTGCCTGGAGATCGAGGTCCGGATCATGCAGCTGGATGTTGTCTTTGATTTTCCCGATGTCCTTCAAGCATTGTTCGTACTGCCGCTGGAAGTACAATCTCTCGAGACCGTGCATGATGGTCTCTCTGTTGTGCTTTGACTGCTCTGTGACGGAGAAGTCCGTGCTGTCAATTTCGTGCTCAAACAGATCCTCCACGTACTGGGTGACAAAGGTGTGGTTCTGCACGAGCGGTCCCGTTGTCCAGAAAGCGTCTCTCTGGGAGAGATACTCCTTTTCGCTCTGGCCCTTCCGGACTCGCGTGAGGCCGCTGGACTTCTTGACAACGGATTCGCCATTGTTGTAGAGCATCTGCTCCGGCATCTGAATGTTGACTTTCGAGGGGGTGTTGACCTGTGTCATTGGCGAACGGCAGCTGTGACTACGGGAGAAGAAGCGCAGCAGCAGTGTCTTGCGGGTTCGTTGCTGTATGGTGAAAGCTGCTATATACGCCCCTGAGGAGGATGATTTGTAAAGGATGGCTGGTGAGTGGAGACGGCGCCCTTGAAAAGTTTTTGTGTTGCAGGGGGGTATAAAGCTAGAGGAAGAGAGGCAAGAGAGGAGATAAAGAGAAGAAAAGCACAAGTAGGGAAGAGGAAAAATGAAAATTGTCACCACCGGCCCTATTTTGTTTTTCCTCGCCGGCACGGTCATGACATGCACCAGACATGGCCGGGCATGACCGTTGGGCTTACTTCTTGAGGCCCTGGATGGTGGCCAAGCAGTGTCTGGTGTGTCTGTAGTTGCGGAATTCCATCAGGTAGATGCCCTGCCACGTGCCGAGGGCAAGGCGGCCGTTGGAGATGGGAATGGTGAGCGAGACGCCGACGACGGAGGACTTGGCGTGGCCGGACATGTCGTCCGGGCCCTCGTCGGTGTGGACAAAGACCTCTCCCTCGTCGTCGGGGACGATGTTGTTGAGAGCGGTGGTCATGTCTGTGCGCACGTCCGGATCGCAGTTCTCGTTGAGCGAGATGGCGGCGGACGTGTGCTGCAGGAAGAGGTTGACGGTGCCGACGGTGTACTCCTTGAGGGAGGGCATGTTGCGGACAACCTCGTCGGTGACGAGGTAGCAGCCGCGGGCACGGGGGGAGAAGGAAAACTTGTGCTGTTCCCAAGCGGTAGACATTGTTGGTTGGATGGGGAGGTGAGAAGGCCGGGAGGCCAGGCCAGAGCAAGAGCAGAGAAAGAAGGATAGGTTGCGGGAAGATGAGGAGAAAGATAGCCGAGGGGACGACGGCGAGCAGAGTCGGAAAAACACGCTCTTGGCGCTGGCAGCTTGTGGAGGTCCAGAAGGATGGTTCGTTGATCAATAAGAGTAGATAAGTATAAATAATAAATAAAAAGGGTCGTTAGGGCGGGGCGGAGACGGGGACGCCTATTTGGAGGTGTCGACGACGTATCTGCCCAAGATCTTGCCCTGTTCCATCAAGGAGTAGACCTCTGGGAGCTGGGACAAGCCGACGATCTTGATTGGAGACTTGACCTTGCCGTCGGAGAAGAACTCGAGGGCCTCTCTGGTGTCTGCTCTGTTACCGACGTAGGAGCCCTTGATCTGGAGGGACTTGACGACGTGCTGGAAGACCTCGGACTTGCAGACAGCGCCTGCTGGAAGACCGACGAGGACGACCTTACCGGTGGAACGGACGTATTCGCAGGACTGGGAGATGGCGGCCTCGGAGACGGAGACGTTGATGACACCGTGCGGGCCGAGACCGTTGGTGGCGGCCTTGATGTCGGCGATCATCTTGGCTGGGTCCTCTCTTGGGTACTTGGTGAAGTCGATGAAGACGTCACCGCCCATCTGCTCGAACAAGCCCTTCTTGGCGTCTCCGCCGTCGATGCCGAGCACTCTGAGACCCATGGCCTTGGCGTACTGGACGGCGAGGGAGCCCAAGCCGCCGGCGGCACCGGAGATGGCGACCCACTGGCCGGCTCTGAGGTCGGCGGTCTTCAAGGCCTTGTAGACGGTGACACCGGCACACAAGATGGGGGAGACCTCGGCGAGGTCGGTGCCCTTGGGCAGCTTGGCGGCCTGGATGGCGTCTGCGGTGGCGTACTGCTGGAAGGACCCGTCGTGCGTGTAGCCGGACAAGTCTGCCTGCTCGCAGTTGGACTCGTCGCCCTGTTCGCAGAACTCGCACGACATGCAGGAGCCGTTAAGCCACTTGATACCGGCGAGGTCGCCGACCTCGAAGTTGCGCACCGCCGAGCCCTTGGCGACGACGATACCGGCGCCCTCGTGGCCTCCGACGAGCGGGAGCTTGGCGGCGAGCGGCCAGTCGCCCTTCCAGGCGTGCAAGTCTGTGTGGCACACCCCGGAGTACTTGACGTTGATGAGGATCTCTGTTGGCTTGGGGGTTGGCACGGGGATCTCCTTGTACTCCAAAGGCCCGCCGTGGGTCTCGAAGATGACGCCCATCTGCTTTTCCGGGACGGCGAAGGTGGACTGGAGTCTGGTGGCTCTGGCGGCTCTGAGCGCCTGCTTTCTGAATGCGGAGGAGAACATCGGGGGGGCTAGGTGTGGGGGGTTAGGTGTGTGTGTAGGTGTGTGTGCCGCTGTGTGTGCTGAGTCGGGCACCCAATGCCTCTGGCGCCACTTGCACAGAAGACGACAAGGGCAAGAAAAGAGCACCACCACGGCGGCCACTGCCATCGACAACGGGCTGCCCCCCGCCCCTCCTGCTCTCCTTTTCCCGGCCTCTCGTCCATTCTGGCCCGGGCACGTCTTCGCAACACGGGGTGCGTCTCTGCCGCCCGCACCCCCTCGCCTTTCGCCGCCCCCTGCACACCCCCACCGGGCCCTTGCCGCCCGCCCATTGGCTGCCGCACCCCATCCGCCCCCGCCGGCGTTAGCGGCCCGCGCGCATTCCCCGCCCCGCCTCTCCCGCCGGACTCCGCCTGCGTAGCCTGCCGCAGCCTGCACAGGTGGCCTGAGCGCGGCCAGCGGCGCTGCGGCGCGTCGCTGCGCGCTGCGGCTCGTCGCCGCTCGTGTCTTGCTCGTGTCTATTTATTAAAACTGTACAGATTACACCGGTGCACGGGCGGAACGGCCAGGGGTGAACGGCAGGGGCGGCTCAGCCCCCGCGCGAGTTGCCCCGCGACAGCTCACTCGTCGCGGAGCACGTAGTTGCCCAGACGGTCCATGTGGAGGTTCCCCACGCCGGTGCTCAAGGCCTGGATGATCTTCTCGTTGTCGTCGTCGTGGCAGTCGTCGGGGCTGGCGTGGTCGCTGTGGTCGTCGCTGTGGTCGTCGCTGTCCCACGCAGGCTCGTCGCTGCCCCGGGCAAAGCTGCCCAAGCCCTGCAAGTCCACGTCCTCGGCGTCCAGCCGGCGCCGGTACCCGGACGCCTTGACCTGGACGTCGAGGTCGCCGCGACGGTTCACGTCGCGGTTGAAGACCGGGTAGCCGTAGCGGAAACCGTCGCCAAAGCCGTCGGTGTCAAGCATGGCAGGGTCGTCGCGCGCAGGAGTATATCCAAAGCGTCTCTTGAAGAAGCGGCGAATGCAGGCAACGTCCCGGGAGAAGTAGAACTCGGCGTCGGGGTGCTCGATGCTGATGCACTGCGGGAAGTCGATGACGACAAAGTCGCGGGGCGGCTTGGCGGGGGCGTCGGGGGCAGCAGAGTGGTCCCCGTGGCCGGGGCGCTCCACAACCATGATGTTGTACTCGTTGTAGTCGCAGTGGATGAGGCCCTCGCACGCCAGCCGCACAGCAAAGCGCATGAGGCCGCAGTACAGGCCGCGGTAGTCGTGGTGGTCGTACAGCTGCCTCATGGGAAACCCCTCGATGCGCTCCATCAACACCAGGTGGCGGGAGCAGTCGTAGGGCGTCGGCACGTCGAAGCCGGCGCCGTGCAGCGCCCGCATGAACTCGTACTCCTTCTGCGCAGCCAACTTCGACAGGTACATCCACGACCCGCCCTTGCCGATCTGCAGGTAGTCCCGCTTGTTGCGCACGCTGCGGAAACTCACCCGCCCGAGACGGTGGATCTTCAGCACCCGCTGCTCGCCCTGCTTCGTGCGGCAGCTGTAGATGTCCGACTCCTTGCCGACCCCGATCGTGTGCTCGAGCTCCTCGATGCCCCCGTGCACGTGCAGCGTCTTCAACGCCACGTAGTCAAACCCGTTGTACGTCAGCCGGTACCCGTCGTAGCTCGCGTTCCGCAGCCTCGAGATCAAGTTGATCTTCGCAAGGTCCGCTATCGCCTTGTTCGTGTTCCCGACCCCGCTCTTGAGATGCGCCAGCTGCCCGATCAGCTTCGTCGGAACAACCTCGTGGTTGTACGACCCCTTCTCCACCGCCTGCAACACCCGCCAGTCGTCCCCCGTCAGGTACCGCATGTACGTTGTGTCGAGCTTCATCTTTGTTTTCTTCCTGTTCTTCTCCCTGTCTTGCTCACCTTGTCTCTCTCTTCCCCTCCGCCTTCATCAACCCACAACCACCTCCATCCACCCTCCGACTTTTCTGATAAAATTTTTTTGACGTTTTCCAACCCGCAGGTCCCTCTATTCTTTTCCCTCGCTCTTCTTTTTCATGTCAGCGCTATCTATATCGGTTTGTCTATCTAGCCATTCTCTCTCCACCTATCTCTCCGCTCTATCCACTCGTAGCCTGGGGCCTTGCACCCGCCGTCAAGGCCGCCGCCGCCATCACTCAAGATGCTCCCACTCCTCCTCGTCCAGCTCGCAGTCGGAGCCCTCCGAGTCGACGTAGTCCGCGTCCGCCTCGTCGTCCACGTCCTCCACCCCGATCTCGCCCGAGAGGAAAAGCGTCTCCTTCGAACAGATGATGTCGAGCTCCACCTCGTCGCCGTCGTCACCGCTGCTCCGCTTCTTCTTCTTCTTCTTCTTCTCCGCGTCCTCGTCCGCAGGCATCTCGTCGTAGCTCCACAACCGCCCGAACTCTCCGCGATAGAGCGCCGTCGCATACACCGACGCAAGCACTCCGGGACAGAGGTACAGCAACGCCGGCTGGCCCACCTGGTAGATCTGCACAATCTTGAACGTCAACATGAGCCCTGCGGTGTAGCCCAGCAGCGCAGCGACAAAGTAGGGCTTGCCAAACCGCTGCAAGTGGTGGAACTCGCAATTCGCATGCTGTTCGTGGAAGCGGTACAAGTCGAACCTCAAACAGAGCGCCACAAACGCCCCCGGAAGCGCCAAGTCGCCTAACCCAAGCATCGACGTCAGGATCTTGCTCTCCTCCCTCGACACCACGTTCGGGACCACAAGCTTCGCCGGAATGTCGACCTTCGTCGCCACCGAGAGCATCACGTCCGTGCCAAACACAAAGTAGATGTCGTAGAGGAAAAACAGGGTCAAAAAAAGCGTGGCGATCCGAAAAGTGGGGATTTTCGTCCGGCTGATGCCCATCACGACAATCGAAAACCCGAGCACGTTGCTCAGGATCCAGTTCTTGCTCCCGTTGAAGAACACAAACAGAACGCAGAACGCACTGCCAAACGAGTACCCGAAAATACTCCCGGACGCAAAGTACAGGTTGAACAGCTGATCCTCCTTCTTCTTGTCGGACCGCACCTCCAGCAACCGCTCCTCCTTGATGATCTTTTCCCGCTCGGTCCCCTCGGGCAGCTCCACGAGCTCTCTTTCAAACCCAAGCGGGTGTATCTCCCGGTCGTTCGAAATCGTCAGCGTGTACCGCTTGTTCACCGTCATCGAGTCCCACCCCTTTGCGAAGCAGATGTTGCGAGCAATCGAGTTGTACAGATAGCTCAGCACAAAGCTCACGGACGAGAACGACATCACAATCACATACCTGTTCAAGAAGTCGGAGATCCGCACCCGGTCGTAGTGCTTCACCACGTAGTAAAGCGACACAAGCACCGCCCCGGCAAGGACCGGCAACGCCATCGCCATCGTCGGGCTCACCTGCTCGTCCGCCGGTGTCGGCTCGCAGTCCTTGTCTGTCTGGTCAAATAGCGGGTGGCCTTCTGTTGGAGGCAACGCATTCGCAGGCCGTTCGATAGATGCAAAGCTGCCTAGAATTATGGTCGTCAACGCCGTCGTCAGCAGGATCAGCTGCGATAGGGTCGACGACCCAATCGTCGCCCTCACAAGCTGGTTGTCGAACACTAGGTACGTTAGCTGGTTCGTCAAATGCTCCAGCTTTGTCAACGCCGGCACCACCACTTGCTCCGTGGCATTGATCGCAGCCTCAAGCGTCTTGTTCAGTGTTTCTTCGGCCATCGCAAGCGTTTTCTTTCTCTGTTTCTCTCAATGTGCCACACAACACTCTCTCCGTGTCCCGGCAGACCCCAACAGACCCTTCCGAAGCCAAGATCACCGTCTTAAGCACAAGCCGCCGATCGGCCAAAACGTCGATGATCCGACCTCGTCCCGTCTCGTCTTGGCTCGTCTCGCCAGGTTTCATTTTTCTCCTTCTTCGAGCAGATCCGCTCGCTGTTGGCTAGACGTGTTTCTGCTTTCGATGAACAAGATAGCTCTTTCACTGTTCCTGGGCCAGGACAAATTTCCCCTGGAGGACTCGTCTGCTAGCTCCGTATCAGCAATTGTCATCAACCAGGGTCATCATGGAGGCACTGAAGAACTACAAGTGTGGTGTGAGAACCACCAACTCCCCGGCAATCAAGAATGCTCCGCTACCAGCTGATGGTGCCGGCTCGAAGCACTTCAACAACTGGGTCTTATTAGCAATTATGTTGTTCATTCCGTTTCAGTTGACGAGAACCGTCGGCTTGGGCTTCAAGACGTTCCTCTTTTTTTTCCTTGTGTTGGCGATTCCGATCTTGATGGCATGGTGGACTCTATTGTCCACGTATTCTCCAAGATTGAACGAAAAGGCTAAGTTCCCAAACAAGGGTGTCGAGTACTACTTGGACTTCCACGATGAGGAGCTTGCAGCCAAGTACAAGGGCCTCAACAAAATCCCAATGGAAACCTTCCACGAGTTGTACTTTGCCAACAAGGTCTCCTTCAAGGGTGACGCTTTGGACGTGATGGAGTTCAGACACGACTGGGCCCAGTTCCGGTTCACCTTGGGCTTGTTCAAGTTCTTCTTGTTTGGTTTCGTTCCAGAGGTCATCATGCACACGAGATCCCAGGACGAAGAACAAGTCAGAGACCACTACGACAGAGGTGACGATTTCTACGAGTGGTTCTTGGGTCCAAGAATGATCTACACTTCCGGTATCATCCACAACATCAACGTTGAGGAACCTTTGGAACAGTTGCAAGACAACAAGCTTAAGGTTGTTTGTGAAAAGTTGGTGGTCAAGAAGGGTGATAACGTTTTGGACCTTGGCTGTGGTTGGGGTACTTTCGCTTCCTTCGCATCTTCTCAATACGGTGCACAGGTCACCGGTGTCACCTTGGGGAGAAACCAAACCGAATGGGGTAACAACATGCTGAAGAAATACGATGTTCCATCCACTCAGTCCAGAATCGTATGTTGTGATTACAGAGATGCACCACTTCCAGCCTCCGCCGTCGAGGGTGAAAAGGGCAAGTATGATAAGATCGTCTGTTTAGAAATGTCCGAACACGTTGGTGTTAGACACTTCTCCTCTTTCTTGAAGCAAGTCTACGATATGCTTGATGACGACGGGCTCTTCTTCCTGCAATACGCAGGTTTAAGAAAGTCTTGGCAATACGAGGACTTGATCTGGGGTTTGTTCATGAACAAGTACATTTTCCCAGGTGCTGATGCTTCCACTCCTTTGGATTTCGTTGTCGGTAGCTTAGAAGCAACAGGTTTCGAGACCGTCTCCATCGACAACATCGGTGTCCACTACTCTTCTACCTTATACAAGTGGTACCTGAACTGGATCTCAAACAAGGAGAAGGTTGTCAACAAATACGGTATCAAGTGGTATAGAATCTGGGAATTCTTTCTTTCTTATTCCACCATCATCTCCAGACAAGGTTCTGCAACCTGTTACCAGATTGTTTTGAGAAAGAACTTGAACTCTTACCACAGAATCGAATACGTTCCTCATCAAGAAGGGATCCAGGGTCCAGCTTCCAGATTCCTCGCTTGGTTTAGACCATAAGCATTGAAAAAGGAGAAGCGAAGGTTACGAAAAATCATTTTTTTCTTTTCTAGGCTATTTCACCTCTGTGTATGTTAACTGAACGCTCCCACTTTTGAAGCAATTTATGCTGCATTACTCTTAGTTTTGATAGCAGTGACCAATTCTAGATTGGCACGCATTATATTCAAAATTGATATTTATAAAAAAAAGTAAGTTTAGTGAGAGAGGGGGTGGATATAAAAAAGATAAAAAAAAACCGATGATAAAAGTAATAAAAATAATAAAGTGAAAAAGCCAATGTGTTATGAGAGGTATATTTAAGCCCATTCCCATTGGATGTCAATAACACCGAGATCTGGGTCAGCAAGAGCCTGGAAAGCGGAAGGACTCAAGTCGAGGTGAGTAGCGTCACAGGATTCGCAGGAGTCGACAACCTTGACCTTGATAGTCTTACCGTTGTACTTGATGTTGATTGAGTGACCACAGTATTCGGAGATGGAATCACTTGAGGCAACGCTGTCGTACATCTTTTGGGAGATAGCACAGACAAAGTCGCTGTCGGTGGAGGAGGTACCACAGTTGTCAGCACCGACACTGTAGAAGGTGGCAATACCGTTCTGGACTGCACTGGTGTCGAAGATAGAGCTACCAGTTGCAGAGGAGCTTGCAGAGGAGGAGGTCGTTGCGACCTTTTGAGCAATGGAAGGTGTAGCGGAGGCGGAAGCAGAAGCAACTGGGTCGTCGTTGTAGTCGCTGTCGTCGTCACCATCGTCGTCGCAGTCATCGGATGGAGAAGCGGAGGTGTAGCTGGTAGCGAACGAGGAAGCGGCTGGACCGTATGGAACAGTTGCAGTGACTGATTCGAAGACAGTGACGGTCTTGTAAACAGTGCGTTCTTCAGCAACCGGTGCTGCTTGGATAGCTGGAAGGAGAGCCATGGCTAAAAAGAGGGACTTAAGGCTGGTCATGTTCATGGCTGGAAGTGAATGAAAGGAATGAGTGACTAAGAGATTGGTATCAAAAGAGTGACTTGTTGTCGGTGGGGTTTAGTGAAGAACGAAAGGAGTATTATTATCTGATCCGGTCATTTTCCCTACACAGAAATACTCGAAGAAATGAGGGTACGGGTCTGCTTTTATAATCGTGTTCGCATGGATCGAGGGGGCTTCGTCGCAACACACCGCCTGGCACACGAAAAAGCCAACGATACCAGGCTGGCCGGATCAATACTCATTCCCGAGTGAACAGATCGGCCGTCAGGCAAATCAAAGCTTTGCTCCTCATTTTCTGCTCTCCACCCCTGAGAAAAAAAGAAATGATGTTGCAGAAAATCCGGGCGTTCCCAGAACCCACCGGGAACGGCGACATTTGCCTACATACACATATATCTCCATGCTGCACCAAAGGCACGGCAGGGTCCGTTAATCGCTTTTCCGTGCCGGTCTAGACACTCTGGTGTTTGCAAAAGGGAGTTTGCAAAAAACGTTGTGCCTGAAAGCTGGCCGTTATGCACTAAGACTTCCGAAAAGGGAAAGTCCTGCAAATTGATATTTTCTGCTTCCCCGGCACCGTGGTAGATGTGTCCTGGGCCACAGGTTGCAGCCCTTGTCCTTGTTTGTGCAGCCCATTGAGCGATTCTAGACGTCGGCTGCGTTGCCGGGGGGTGCTGACTGTGCTTTGGGTGATTCTCTTTGCTGGAAAGCCGCCGAAGACGCCTCGAGGAGCGATTTCGCCGAGGCTTCACTCTCCGTATTGTCTCCTGTTGCTTTGGGGGGAACTGAGGCATTGCTGCGGGCCAATCCAGGGCTTGCGATAGGCTTACCGGTCTCGCTGGCGGCGGCTGCCTGCCATTCATGCGTTGCCACCGACGCAGGTAATTAGTTCTGGACTGGGAAAACCAGGGACCCGTGTTCTAGATCGACATGGAGAAGAATGGGGATGGGTAGCACATGGCTCTTGGCCCTGCGCTTCGTTTCTCCTTGGTCTGCGCTCGCATCTCCCCGCACGATGACGTCCCTAAGGCCCGTGGCCCATTTGGCGGCAGACCGTCGGTCTCGATTGACTGTCCTTCGGTGCACATGCCCTGGCAGCATCTCTGCCCGTGCGTCAGCTGTTTGGAGGCCTCTCTACCAGACCCCGGCTACTTATCAGAACAAATCGCCTTTCCAAGCGGGTGTCAGTGTCCAGCTAACGCGTCGTCGTCCCGAGGACTACACATCGTTCGACAGAAGGGGTACTACGCCTTTTGCCACCACTACGACATAGGGTCGGGGTGCTTTCAGCAGAACTTGCCTATTTCCTTCTTGCCTCTTTTCTCCACTTCTTCGTCTCCACCTCTTCGTCTCCACCTCTTCGTCTCCACCTCTTCGTCTCCACCTCTTCATGTCATCATCTCTTCGTCGCCGTCTTCCTCTTCTTTCCCCAGAGCCGGAGCTCGCACGCGTCCCCCCACCACGGCTGCCCGAAAAGGGGAAAAACAATGCTCAGCGGTTGTGTCAGATTCCGCTTCTGAAACAGGCAGGGCGGATCCTGAAACGGGATGAGGCTCATCGCCCGGGGCCGGTATAAAAGGGACCTTTTCCGTTGATCTGGTGGCCACAGCTCTTCTTCTGGGGAGGCGAGGAACGGACTGCAGAGGCAGCAAGAAGAGCATGTCGCAAAGCTCCGTGTCGTCGGAAACACAGATCTCGGTGAACGAGTCCACCAAGACGTCGTTGAGCTTGGCTCAGGCGGTCTCGAGCCAGAAGCAGCAGCAGCAGCACAAGGAGGCGGTTGAAAAGGACAAGAAGCGGAAGAAGCTCGTGTGGGGGAAGAAGGACCGGTTGCAGTTGCAGCTGCACCTGAACCAGAAACTGGACTCCAGACAGCAGGGCGCCCAGGGGACCCTGATTGTCTCGAGCCCGGTGTTCTCGCCACTCCGTTTGAGGTCTCCGCTGGCTCAGCAGAACGTGAACCAGAGTCTGTGCCAGGGCCCGGGCCAGAACAAGAACAAGACCACCATCTCGCTCTCGGCGAAGTACGCGTACCATTTCTTTCCCTCGATCTCGGTCACCGATGCAGGGTCTCCCTTCACCATCACCGCAACCGCCGCCACGCCAGCCAAGAGAACCGCATTCGGCTCGAGCTACAACAAGATCACCCCGCTGAACTCGTCGAACCAGAGACACTCATCGAACGGAAAGAGCATGGGCTCGTATTCCAACTCGAATTCCAACTCGAACGCAAACTCAAACTCCAAGCAGAACTGTTACAAGAACGATTACTCTAACAACTACATCCATTCGGGAACGCTTCCTTTCAAATACATCAGAAACTCGAAACAGCAAGTGGAAGGATACCCTAAGCTACAGCGGCTCTACAAGTTGAAAGAGCAGCAAGTGGAGAAGTACTCGACGAGACCATATGGTGCCCGGGTCGATACAGAGAATTTGGCCAAGACATTGAACTCGTGGGTTTACGACTACGACCTCCAGTTCGACGTCATCATGATTGGCGCCTTGACGGAAAACCAGCTGATCTACCCGCTTCTCACGAAGCTTCCGATCGACAAGTTGTGCTCAAAACCTGGGTTCCTTTTCATCTGGGCGTCGACCAAGAAGATATCGGAACTCTCGACCTTGCTTAACGACTCTCGGACATGGGCAAAAAGGTTCAGGAGGTCTGAGGAGTTGGTGTTTATCCCTGTCGACAAGAACTCTGTCTACTACCCAAAAGAATGGTCAATTCCCGAGGAACAGATCTTAGAAGAAGTCCAATGGCACTGCTGGATGTGTATCACCGGAACAGTGCGTCGCTCAACCGATAAGGATATCATCCACTGCAACGTCAACACCGATCTCTCTATGGAAAACTCGTCGACGGGAAATTCGGCCGTGCCAGCACAGATATACAAGGTTGTGGAGAATTTCTCGTCGTCAACCAGAAGGTTGCACATCATCCCGACGTCCACGGGCTTGAAGAAACACGTCAAGGTGAGACCGGGCTGGGTCATCGTCTCACCGGACATAATTCTTGACAACTTCGAACCGGAGAGATATAAAAAGGACATTGAGGCAATTGGCTCGAAGATTCCTTACAATGATGAAATCGAGCAGCTCAGACCTAAAACCCCGGTGTGATCGGCTGATTGACCGCCCTTTTGATAGATTGTACTCTTTGCTTAGATTTTAAACTCTGTATAAACTCTAGAATTTGAAAACGATAAATAAATTCAACCCCCTGGGATCTAGCCCTTCAAGAAAATGTCAAAGATGACGTTGTCGGTTTCGTCGGAGTACTTATAGCCCAAGTCCCTCAAGAATTGCTGAAACCGTTTCTCCTCGGTCTCTGGGACCTGGATGCCGGTGAGGACCTTGCCGATGTCATCGCCTTGGTTCCTGTAGTGGAATAGCGTCAAGTTCCACTCGGCCTTCAGCAGGTCGAGAAACTTGTCCAATGCTCCCATACGCTCAGGGAACTCGAAGTGGATGAACCGCTCCGGAATCTTGCTCTTCCCGCCAACAAGATACCTGCCGTGGGACTTGGCAATCTCGTTGTCTGTGAGGTCGTAAGGAAAGAAACCCTCGTCTCTCATTGCGGCCATCACCTCTTTTAGCTCCTTCTCACGGTCCTGAACGGAAAAGGAGGTGTAAACCTCGGAGAACTCCGCGTCGGTAGTTGGGTCTGAGTTGTCCGTCCGGTAAGAGCACTCCGTGACGGTTCGTGGGTGTATAATCTTCTGGAGCCTCCGGAAGGCCCCTGGGACGTTGGCGATCTTCACTGCAAGAAAAACCTCCTTTCCTTCACCCAATACTGCCCGTTCAGAGACGAATCTCAAGCGATCAAAGTTCATGTTTGCCCCAGACAAGACCGGCACGTATGTCTTTGTTGAGTGGTCAATCTCCGGGTGGCTCTGGATGTAGCTTTTCATCCCGGTCACCGACAGCGCCCCAGAGGGCTCGACAACGGAGCGGGTGTCTTCAAACACGTCTTTGATGGCGGCGGCGATCTCGTCCGTGGAAACACGGATGATGCCGTCGAGACCGTACTCCTGGCAAATGCGGAACGTCTCCTCTCCGACAAGCTTAATGGCGGTTCCGTCTGCAAAGAGACCAACGGAGTCGAGGTTGACCCGTTCTCCCTTCTGCAAAGACTCGTACATGGAGGCGGCGTCGTACGTCTCGACGCCAATGACCTTCACCTGTGGGATCAACCTCTTGATGTAGGAGGCTATTCCAGAGATCAGGCCGCCGCCTCCGATGGCAACGAAGATCGCCGAAAGCTTGTTCGACCTCACCTGGCGCAGGAGCTCCAACGCCACGGAGCCCTGTCCGGCGATGATAAGCGGGTGGTCGTATGCGGAGACGTTTGTGTAGCCACACTCAGCGGCTATGCGTTCACATTCGGCCCGGGCAGCGTCAAAGTCCTCGCCGTAGAAGAGCACCTTGGCGCCCATTCGGGACACGCTCTGGAACTTGATGGCCGAGCTACCAAGGGGCATCACGATCGTGGCGTTGACCCCTAACTTCTTGGCCGAGTACGCCACGCCCTGGGCGTGATTGCCTGCGGAGCAGGCAATCACCCCCTTCGCCTTCAGCTCGGGCGACAGGTTTGAGATCATGTTGTAGGCGCCCCGCAACTTGAAGGAGAACACGGGCAACAGGTCCTCCCTCTTGAGGAACACCGTCGAGTTCGTCTTTTGCGAGAGCAACGGCGCAGGCGTCACAGGCGACTCGTTGATCACATCGTACACCCGGGACGTCAAAATCAACTTCACGTAGTCCGGCGTGCCGTCCGGAAGCAGGTCCGACGGCTTCAGTGCTGGATACTTTGCGACATAGTCGACTTTCGGCAGAGCACCCGACGACAGCAGTCTTCCGAGGCGTATCGGAGTAGCAATGCGGCGACGTGCGATAACAGGAAGGGACATTGCCGGCGGTGTTTTCCAGCTGGGGGGCTGCAATTGCCTCATCTACACCGTCCAATCCACCTTTACGGTACCTCTGTCATTTGCCACCTGGGATCTGGCTCCCCCTATATACCCGGGCCCCTCCCCCGTCCAGGAGGAACACCGAGACATGCCCCGTAGGAACGGTTTCGGAAGAGCGTTCCGAGTCAGAACAGGGCAGGAGAAGTCGGGAGAAGTCGTCTGGGCGCAAGGCCGCTCTGACTTGGGTCAGGGCAGGGCCTTGCTATGAAAGAGTACTGTAGGACGTTGCACAAACCTGGCACTGCTCCTACACTGGCTCTGGCGACTGGAGGCTGTTTGCGGCCGGACCCGTGGCCGGCGGATGTGAGAATCCCACCCCAACACACAGGATGCCGATAGAAGCCCCAACCACATCGGGAAGTTCCGCCGACAAGAAAAAGCCGGCTTCGTGGGCGTCCCGGTCTCCAGGATAGTGAGTGAGACACTCAAAGTCGTCTTTTATCTCTAGTATACAGATTATATTGAAAAATTATTATATACGTGTCATCACACACCGGTACGTGGGTACGTGGGTGTGCAGCGAAGTATGTATGTGTGCATGCGTGCGTGGCAGAGCATGACAGAGTGTAGCCCGCCACACAGCTTGCCTAAATCCTGAAAAAAAATTAACCCAAAGCCCTGTGCAGACTTTATCTTGTTTGTTTTTGTATGTACCAACCCAAATAATATACACTTCAACGCCACGTCAGCCTAATATACACCGTCGTTGTGGCTCTTTGAACATACTAGCTTATCTTCTTTTTTTGTCTTTTATTATTAGCATGTTTGAAATCTTGATAGTTTTTGTTTCTCGCTTGTCTCAGTTGACGAATGAACCAGCAAAGCGTCCTGCTTCCAACTCGTCGATCTTTCTTTCAATGTCGTCGTCCTCTTCGTCCTCTTCGACAAAGTCCACGATGGAGTACTTGATCAAGTCCCACTTGGTCCAGAACGCCACGCAGTCGCTGTGGAGATCGGAGTCCACCAAGTCCTCGAGATAGTACTTGGACTTGGTGAAGCGGTCCTTCAACTCCTGGAGACGCACGTTCTCCGGCACCTCGGAGACGCGCCGGTTGTTGTTGTTGTTGTTACTCTTCGTGGAGTTGCCGTTGAGCGTGTTGTTGATCATGCTGAAAGATCTGAACTTGTTGCCGCCCTGGTTGTGGAAGTCGCTGTCGTACTCAGTGACAGTGGTGGTTGCCGAGAACTCGGTCTTGTATCCCTCGTCGTCATCGGAGGAGTAGTTGTTGGAGCTGGGGGTGTTGGCGACAGCTGCGCCAGCACCGCCAGCAGATATGTTGCAGTCGGTGTCATTGTTTCTGGTGTTGGCAATACCTCTATTGCTTTTGCTGTCATCGTAGCCGTACGCCAAGTCCTCGTCGTAGGAGGTCGAGTCGCAGTAACGAGCCCAGGCTTCATCAATGGCACCCACCAAATACTCGAAGCAACGCGATCTGGCAATGAAATCGCAACGCGGGATGTTCCCGCTGTGCTTCAGAGCCTTGTTCGACAGGTTGAACGAGTGGAAGTTCTCGCTGCTGTTTGGAATCGAGCTCACGACGTCCGAGATGTTCACCGAGTACCTCTTGTTGTTCAAGAGCCCGTGCCCGGAGACATAGTTGACATTCAAGATGTCGTTGGTGGACGTCGCTCTCTTCCTGTTCAGGGAAAACGCACGGCCCTCGGAGAACGGACTCGACTTGCCGCTGCTGCAGAGGCCTTCCTCTTTTCTGTGAGCGGAGCTGCTGTCCCTTCTGCCGCTGGCACGCGCAGCGTGCTCGTTTTCGTGGCGGGCCTCGGCGATCTTCACGCTGTCCTTCTCGCCGCCGTTGCCGTTGTCGTAGTCCTCGTCGTCCTCGTCGTCGCTGTACTGCGAAACAGCCTTCGAGAGCCGCGAGTCGATCGGCGTGCCGCAGATCGAGTCTGCGAACCGGATGGACTTCACCTTCAACGCGTTCGACCGCTCTGCAGCCTGCTCGACGTCTGACTTGTCGTCGTCACCATCGCGGTCCTCGTCGTCGTTGTCGTCCGACGACGACGACGCGTCGACAGTGCCATCTCTGGTCAGCCTGCCGGCGTTTCTGTACGCGCAGAGCCTGTTCACCACAGAGTTGCTGTTCACCAGACACTGTCTCTTAGGAAGACCCGAGTCCTGGTGTGATGACGTAATACTTCTCTTGATAGAAATGGACATCTTGTGATGGAGGGGGGAAAAAATCTATCTGCGACAGACTAGTTTGTTGTGTTGGGTGCGCGAGGGCAAAAAAGATGAGAAAATGAGAAAATATTTTTTTTTGGCGCTAAGAACAAGACAACTAAGTAGTCCTTAACAAATATGTGTGAGGGAAAAAGTGAGAAAAAAAGTGAGGAGCAGGGAAAGGAGGGCAAAAACCTGTGAGCTTTTTGGGGGGAAAAGTGTACCAAAAGTCGTGGAAACTGGTGCGTTGTGCCGTAGTCAGAAACCAGGTATGTTGTAGAAGAGGAAAGCTTTGTATCTAAGGCTTTCTGGAGATGGTTGCCCTTGCTGAACTTGCCAAAAGGTGATAGGAAAACAAACAGAACAGGGCAACAACGCCCTTCCGCTGGCAAATGGGCTGAGGAGGAAAGAAAATCTCTATATAGCAGCGGGCAGCGGGCGACCCAGCAGGCGACTGGCCAGTGGCGAGCGCAGCCAGAGCAGCCAGCGCCGCGACGGCGCGGGAGGCGGGAAGAGGCCAGCTGGCATGCTGGGAACGGCAGCGCAGAGCGAAAGGGCGGCAAGGCCACCGCATAGAAGCGCAGAGAAAAAAAAGCGTCGTATACAAGGCGCCGTGCTGGGGTTTACTGCAGGAGCGCGCGGCGCGGGGCGTAAACTTCGGGCCGGGGGAGAAACATGGCTGGTGCACAGGTGCGCGGTCGCCGTCGCGTCTGGTGCACGGGTTCGAGATTTTTTTCTCGGAGAACGGCCCCGGCCTATTCTCGGTAAAGAGAAGCGCCGTTGATGTATGCTCTCACTGTCGGAATGACCTTGCCTTGCCAGCGGACTGGGTCCTGCTCACGGACAGCGGTGCGGATCGCAGACGAGCTGATGGCCCACTCGTGCTTCGCCTCGCAGAAGAACACCTTTCCCCTCCAGCTGGCAGGGAGGGCGGTCCTGTTGTTATCTTTGTCGTCGATTTCTCCGTTCTGGAGGTCCTGCATGTACTTCTTTTGGTCCGCGAGATCCATCCTGCTCGACTTGTCGTCCCGCAAAAGCACACACAGCTTCGAGTGGCGGAAAAACGGGTCCACCGCCTCGACAAGCGGCTCCCTGTAGTACCTGGGGTCGAAGAAGCGGATCAGGGTGTCGAACCCGAGCAGAAAGAAGTTGTCGACCCCGCTGGACCGGCCCGTCCAGTCGGCCACAAGACGGCTCTTGTCCACAAACAGACTGGCGTCGGTCAGCGCCACCCCGCACGACAACCCGAGTCCGGCGCACACGTGCTCCGCCATGAGTCCGACCATGTGCAACCGCTGGGCGTACTCGTCGACGCTGACGCTGTCCTTGTCGGCGTTCTTCACACTTAGCAGAAGAAGCACGGCGTTGGTGTTGATGGTGGTTATGCCGTCATGCGTGCTGAGACTGAGCACACCCTGCTTGATCATCGCCAGATGGCCCCTGTGCGGCGGGTTGAAGGACGAGTCCAACACAAGCACCCTGCGTGTGGTTGGCCCAACCACGTCTCTGTCGCCGTAGCACTTCACGAGCCGGAAGCTGTCGCCGCTCCGGACAAACGTCTTGACGACCTTCAGCGCCTCCATCTTGGAATTGCAAGTGCTGGAAGGAGAACAGCCACCGTCCCGGTGGCGAAGGAGGAAGGCTTGCAGGGAGGAGGCGGAAGAAGGAAAAAAAAAGGCCCTGGAGGGTTGCCCGAAGGACACTTCGGGCCCCCCAGAGGTACATGTCAAAAAAGGTCGCGGAGCTGCTGCACTGGACTAGTAGGTTCTTCTAAATCGGTCTTTTATTTGTATATATATAGGTACTGCATTCTCAGACAAAAAAGGGAAACACCACCACGCCGGGACGGTTCTAAGGGGTGATCTTGAAGACTCTGGACCAGTCGCTCTCGACGTCACCGTACTGGAGCTCCTGGATCCAGTTCAGGACCTGCTTGGTGAGCGGACCGGACTGCTCGCCCGGAAGCAAAGGCACGTGGATTGCCTCGCCCTTGTAGCCGATCTCCTTGATTGGGGAGACGACGGCAGCGGTACCGGAGCCAAAGGCCTCCACCAACTCGCCCTTGGCGGCCTTGGCGGCGATCTCGTCGATGGAGCAGTATCTCTCGCTGATGATCCACTCGTCCGGGTTCAATCTTTCTCTGGCCAAGGAGAGAATGGAGTCTCTCGTGATACCCTCCAAAATGGTGCCGTCCAATGGGGCGGTGACAAGCTCGTTCTTGCCCGTCTTGGAGTCCTTAAGCACGCAGAAGAAGTTCATTGTGCCGACCTCGGTGACGTACTTCTCCGGGCCGAACAACCAGAGGTTCTGCTGGTAGCCTCTCTTGGCGGCCTCTAGCTGGGGCTTGATGCATGGGGCGTAGTTGGCGCCCAACTTCTTGTCGCCGACACCGCCGGGCCACGCTCTCGTGGCGTAGTCGGTGGCCTCCAAGCGGACGGCCTGGAAGCCGGTCTTGTAGTAGGGCCCCACGGGGGAGCAGATGACGAAGAGAAGGGCCTCGTCCGGGGTGTGGACACCCAAGCCGGACGACGTGCCGATCAAGGTGGGTCTGATGTACATGGAGTAGCCCTTTTCGGCCGGGATGAAGCGGTTGTCGAGCTTCAACAACTCGCCAATCAACTTGATCACCTCCTCGGAGTCGAACGTGGGCAAGCAGATGCGGTCGGCCGACTTGTTCATTCTGGCCATGTTCATATCCGGTCTGAACATCCGGATGTCGCCCTTGTTGTCCTTGTACGCCTTCAAGCCCTCGAAGAGCTCGAACGCGTAGTGGAACACGCAGCACGAGGGGTCCAGTGCTAGCGGGCCGTAGGGCACGATCTCAGGGGCGCCCCACCCGCTCGTGGTGTTGAACGGGATCTTGAGCATGTGGTCTGTGAACGACTGGCCAAACACCAACTTCTCGTTTGCAATCTTTTCTTTTGGGGCGGTGGTGGTCACCACCGTGAGCCTTGCGGCGTCGATCGGAGCCAGGCTGGACGACATTCTGCTCTTTGGAAACGACAAGGATTTCGCAAGCGACTGTTTGAAAAATGAAGACAACATAGCGGTGCTACAGGGCAACGGCGTGCTGGACAGAAGCAGAAACGGGATGTGGGCAGCACAGGGCACGGGGTGTCTGGCCTATATATAGCAGCTGGGTGGGGCGAGTGGGGTCTTGAGGGCTAGGAGGAAAAACTCACACCTGTGCTATAGTGGCACTCTGCTCGACTCACTCCCACACAATAGCAGGGCCACTGTGACACACACTGGGGCCGGGCCGTTGGTGAGTAACACGCTGCCGCTGCCGCTGCCACTGCCGCTGTTGCTGCTGCTGCTGCTGCTGTTGCCTGCACACCGGCCCGATTAGTCACCGCTTCCCCAGAGCCCGGTCCCTCGTCTTGCTGCCCCCGCTCCACGGCAAGCGTCGGCCACAAGCGGGGGGGGCAAACTAGCCGAGCCGACGCGTCGCCGACGCGTCGGCGGCTCAGTCCGCTGCAGGTGCGGCGGACGGTGCGGCGCCTGCGCGGCTCTGGGCAAACTTGGCGTCGAGCCGCCGCAGACGCGCCGCATGGCCCTCGTCGGACTGCTGCGCCACAGGGCTGTTCATGTCCGGGTAGAGGCCGTGGTCGCCTCGGAAGGCCTCCTTGAACAAGCTGACCTTGTCGGGCTCGGAGCCAGGCGCAGGGTTGGTCTTGGACTTGGCGGACTTGGCGTCGGGCTTGGCACCGGCATTGGCCTTGGCCTTCTTGCCTCTGTTGCGCTCGAGAGCGCTGGCCTTCTCGAGGGCCGCAATCGTGTGCTGCGTCTGCTCAAACACCTTGCGCTGCAGCAGCTCGTCGCTAAGCTCGCGGCGTGAGCCCTGGCCAACCACGCTGCACTCCTTGATGTAGGCGCCGCCCTTGGCGCTGAACACGTTCGGCGAGTTGACAGCAAAGAGGTAGGACTGCATGCCCTGCTCGCACGACTTGAGAAACACCCAGAACAGCGGGTACAGCAGCAGGTAGGCAAGCAACCCCCACACGCTGCCCATGGACACAAAGCGCCTCAGGCCGGGGCTGCGCACCAGCCCCGGGTTGACCACGTTGACGCGCACGCCGCAGGGCTGCTTGTCCGGGCGGTCGTAGGTCTCGAGCCGTCTCTGCAGCTCCTTGGCAAACAGGTGCAACAGCAACTTGGACGTGCCAAACACCTTCCAGGGCCGGCTGGCCGGGTAGCTGCGCTCCTCCCAGAGCAAGTCCGTGGTCTGCAGCTCGCCCACGTTCTCGCTCATGCACGAGCTCACAAGCACACGCACATCGCGGTCCGGCGGCTGCACCCGCAACGCCGGCTCCAGCAACGTCAAGAGCTGGAAGTGGCCCAAGTAGTTCACCGCCATGTGGATCTCCACCCCGTCCACCGAGTTCGTCCGCAGCTTCTGCATCGGCAAGCTCTCCCCGGCAAGGCAGAGCACCCCGTCCAACCGCCGCGCAGGCGTGTTGTCGAGCCACCTGGTGGCAAACTTCCGCACAGAGTACAACGACGACAAGTCACACTCCTCCACGTAGATCAGCTCGTTCCCCGTCGCCGCCCGCAGGTCCTCCACGTACTCCGTGAGCCACGTCTTGGCGCTGTTGTCCGTGTCCTCCCCCATCTGCGACGACAACAGCACCAGCTGGGCGCCCCGACCCGCCAGCTCCCGCACAAGCGCAGCCCCGACCCCGCTCGTTCCGCCCGTCACAATGTACACCTTCCCGTGGAGCTTCCGCTCCCACGTGTTCGACGACCCGCCGAAGTACAGCTTCAACAAGATCCCCACAATCAGCGGAGGCGCATATCGCTTGATCTCCTCCCAGTACGGAATCCGCTCCGTTCCCTCTAAAAGCACCGTCCCCAAAAACTCAATAGGCATCTTGGCAGTTCGGCTTCTGTTTTCGTGTCTGTGTCTGTGTCTGTGCCTATGTCTGTGCCTATGTCTCTCTCCTCACCTCTTCCGCTTTTCCATCAAAGTAGCTGAGCATCCACGAAACGCCAACCGTCTGGAAAAGGGCGTTTCCTCTCTCGGCACCCTCACCTTCACGTCAAAGTCCTGCTCGCGCCTCCCCGCTTACCGGCTTCAGCATGGATGGGCCTCTGCCCTCCCCGAGTTGCCAAAAAAAATATTTTTTTTTCACTCCTGGAGAGATAGATAGAAGTGGTGGCTCTAGAACGGAGAGATCGGAGCAAGCAACCGGCCTCGACAACCAGCCAGCTAGACACTCGCATACAGACATGGACGAGCTCGTGTACTACAACGCCACGGGAAAACCAGAGGACAAGAAGAACCTGACGTCGTTCTCGTACCTGTCCTCCCTACACTCCACAAAGATATATCACCAGTACAGACAGTCGCCATCGTCGCCAAACGGGTCGGTGAACCTGTCGATTGGCCACGGGTCGCATCTTCTTGTTGCTCTTCCGGAAAAGCCGATTCTGCACGTCTACCTCCACGGCAAGGAGTCGCCAGAACAGATCATCCCGCTGCCTGAAATCCTCACGTGCCTGACATGCTACCGAGACAGCGAGGATCCGCAGAAGCCAACGCTCCTCCTCGGAGGATCCGTTTCGGGGAGACTGTACGTGTGGTCGATCAACTCGGGGCTCTTGCTGGCGGTGAAACAGCCCCACTACCAGCCGTTGACGCACATCGCCGCCTACTCCGGGTTCATCGCCACAGGCAGCAAGGACTCGCGGATCGTCGTCCACACGTTGAACACCATCTTCATGCACGCAACCGGCATCGACACCGACACGAACGACAAGCCGTTTGCTACTATCACCGACAACACGCTCCCAATCACGTCCCTCGTCTTCAACAGGGGGCTCAACAACGACGTCAAGCTCGTGTCGTCGTCGCTCGACTCCACCGTGCGTATGTACTCCTTGGCTGCAGCCTCGGGGGCAGAGCTGCTCACCACCATCGTCGCCACGGGCCCCGTCACCGCGCTGGCTGCAGACCCGGCCTTCCGGGCCCTGTACCTCGGCCTCGCCGACGGCCAGATACGAAGTGTGCCTCTCTTCAGAGTCAACCCAAGAACGAAGGTGGTCGAGGCCGTTGGCGGCATGGGCAGGGTTGTCACCCTCAAGCCGGACGTCGACAACCTCGAGACGTTCACCTGCCACCAGGACCAGCACAAGCCTGCCGCAGACGTCGCCGTCACGCAGCTGAAGGTGTCCTTCGACGGCACGCTGCTCGTGTCCGGAGACAGCAGAGGCTCGCTCTTTGTCATCGACATCACCACCAAGCAGGTGCGCAAGAAGCTCAAGGAGCTCGTCGGGGAAATCAGCACCCTCGAGCTCTGGACCGTCGACCTCGCCGACGCCCGCTTCGACAACACCGGCGTCGACAAGAACCTCAAGCGGACCATTCCCGTGCTCAAGAGATCCGTCGCCGAGTCAGCCGACCTCAGCGCCCTGAAGCTCTCCCTGAAGCTCACTGCAGAGCCCCAGCCTACAACCCCTTCTCCTTGGGACTTCGACAGCTGGATCGACCAGGTTCAGAGCGAAGAAAAGGCTTTTGCAAACCTCTCCGCCGTCGACTCCCACACCTTTGGCAACACCGGTTTCTCCCTCAACATCGACAAAAACACAATCCGGGACCTCAACAAAGAGCTCCAGGACAAGGACCGCACCTACGCCGAGCTCAAGGCCAAATACGATGAGCTCCTCTCCGAGTACACTGCCGCCGTTTCCAAGTAACACCTCTTTATCTCTGTCTATCTCTCCATGTCGTCACAAACGGCGCTTGCGCTAATCCGTCGGGAATTCTCTCTACAACAGTTCCCAATCGGGAAAAGCTACGGCCGCACTCGGTAAAAAATTTTCGGAAATTCTAGATAAGTTCACCGGTTTGCTCTGTCGGTTATGAGCCTCGTGGCTCTGCTCTGTACACAGCATTGGTTCTTCTTCTTGTGGTTGTGGTAGCCCGAAGGTGAAGGGAGTAAAGCAGCAGCGACAATGGGAGCTGGAGAGAAAGATGAGATTGAGTACTCAATGCCCAGCACTGCAAAGGGCGAGAGCGACCGGGAGTCCAAGATGAGCGAGGTGTCTTCGTATCTGGCTCAACCGTATACGGCAGAAGATGGAGCAAAGACGGAGGCGTTCTCGGTGCACGAGGAGAACTTGGAAAAGCAGCAGACAAACTACTCGGTGCTGTACACGGACAACGAGCAGCGGCCGCCGGTGTTCAAGTCGGCTCTGCACGAGTGCTTGTGTGTATTCTTGTGCACGTTTGGCCCGGCAGCGGCCAGTATGGCGTCGTCCAGCTACCAGACACTATTGCGGTCGACGAGCGAATACTTTGGGATCGACGGTGGCCAGTTGACATGGTCGGTCAGCAGCGTGATGTTGGCGAACGGGGCGTGCTTGCTCTTGATGGGCGGGGTGGCCGACGCGTTTGGACGGAAAAACGCCATGCTCATTGGGTTCTCCATGTACGCTCTCTTCTCGCTTATTGCCGGCTTCATGCACAACTTCGTTTTGCTGTGTCTCTTCCGAGGCCTGCAGGGGGCGTCTGTGGCGTGTGCCACGCCGGCGGCAGCCGGGTTTCTCGGGTCCACGTACAAAGACTCCAAGCGGAAGAACATGGCCATGAGCTGTTTCGGGATCGGTGCTCCCGTGGGAGGCGCCTGCGGGTTCTTCATTGCGGGTGTCTGCGTGGTGGCGATCGACTGGAGAGCGGTGCAGTTCTTCTTGACGATCCTGTTTGGCTGCTTGGTTATCCTCGTGTTCTTCTTCATTCCAAACGACAAGAAGATCGACTGGAAACACAGCGTGGAGGTGTTCAAGCACTTGGACTATGTCGGGGCACTGCTATCGTTGGCGTCCTTCACCTTGATCTGCTTCTCCTTGACCGAGGTCGACTCGGCAGAGAAGAGGTGGAGAACGCCCTACATCATCGCATTGTTGGTCGTCGGCTGCGCCTTGATCTTTGTGTTCGTCCTGTACGAGCTCTACATCCCTAGCCAACCCTTGATGCCAATGCAGCTTTTCAAAAGCAAGAACTTCTGTCTATGCATGATAATTTCCAGCTTTAGCTGGATGGTCTTCTTCGGCATGCTAAACTATAACGCGATGATCTACTTCGAGGCCATCCGCGGATATTCGATCATGGTCGTGGCATGTTGCTTCTTGACACAGCCGGTGTGCGGATGCCTAGTGAACATCTTCGCCGGTTTCACCATGCACCGGATTCCCGGCAGAATTCTTATGAGCGTTGGAACCCTCGGGTTCACGGGCTCCGCAATCATCTGGGCGACGATGTCCTTCCACCGCAACTACTTCGAGGGTCCCTTCTGGGCGTTCATCTTGACGGTCATCGGAGCAGACCTCATCTACAACATCTCCAACAGAGTGACCCTCTCTTCGCTCGAACGGAAGTTACAGAGCCGTGGTGCCGGCACGTTCAACACCATCATCCAGTTGAGCTCTGCAGCAGCCCTGGGCTTGAACAGTACCATCATCATGTCCAAATACCCGGCATACGGCACCCCGCAACAAAACGACGACCTCTATGCGCTCTTCCATGCTACGAAGTACTCCTACTACTTTGCAATTGCATTGGGCGGCAGCGCTTTCATTGTCAGCTTGTTTTTGAAAGTGGGAGTGATCGGTGGTTCCAAATGAGACCAGCGACCCTTTTCACTTCCGATGCTTATATTCAACTTCACTTCTTCCCCCCTATAGACTTATAAACTCACATTAATAGATTAATTGCGTATGAAAATAGGCCCCGTCTTCACTTTTTTTTGAGAGAAATCTTGATCCTTTTCCTGTCGCCTCTAGTGGGTGAGAGGTTCCTGTTGAATCCTCCCTCTCTGTTCATATACTGTCTGTACTCAGTTTTTTGTTTGAAGCTGATACCGAAGCAGTCGACCCCTTTGACGTGTTTGTTCTTGGTCGTATCGAAACTTTCAAATCCCATCAGCCGCATCATATCGGAATCCACAACCTCCACCTTCTCATCCTCCTCTCCCTCTGGCTCTCTTGCCCTTTTCCTTCCCCTCGAGGGTTCTTCAGAAGCATCTTGTCCGGCTGTCTGGTGCGACTCGAGATCAACGTCTGTCTTCGCCAAGTCGTCTGCCGGAACGTCAACGATTGTTATCTTCTCTTCTCGTATTTTCGACGTAGCTTGACTTTTCTTCCCCTGCGTCTCCTCCGACGACGTCGGTATGTTGCCAACCGCTTCGTTTGTATCCTCTGTGTCTGTCTTCCTTCCTACTCCCTTACCTTGACCTCGACCTCTGTTGCCGAAGCTGCCTCGTCCACCATTTGCCAGCGCAGTTCGCTGCCCTAGATTAAGTGCAATACGTCTAGCCATAACTATAATTGCGGTATGTTTAGCTTAGTGCCTCTTTTGCCTCGGTATCTCTCTCATACCTCTATCAACTCAAACAAAACTGGTAGTATCTTGTATCTTCCTAACATGAAAAGGAAACGAAATCGGGCGCGGTAACGTTTTTTCTTCCTTTTGCATAATATTTTTCAGGTGACGAAATTTTTTCTATACTCCAGTCCGTCAGGGTGGATGTTTGGAGGAGTTTACTGGCTGGAGCAGAGAGGTTCGACAAGCAAGCGTAAAAAGCAGGATGTCTGATACAGAAACAGCACAATCGGCCCAGAAGCTGAGCAAAAAGCAACTCAAAGCGCTTCGATTTAAGGCGAAGACGTCGAACAATGCCGCCGAAGAGTTGAAAACGGTTGAAGAAACCAAAGCGAAGGAGATCGAAAACGCAAAGAAGAGAAAAGTTGAGGAGGAAGAGGCTGCAGCAGCTGCCGCTGCTGCTCCGAAGAAGAAGAGGAAAACCAGAAGGGGTAAGAAGCACAGAGGAGAGAGGGAGGGAGACAATTCCGGGCCTCGGTTTATCTTGTTTGTTGGGAACTTACCATACAAAGTGACGGAGGAAGACATCAACACGCATTTCAAGAACTGCAAGCCGTCGTCGATCAGGCTGAGAACGGACAAGGGCTGTGCGTTTGTGGAGTACAAAAACGCCGACTTGAAGGAGAGCAAGCGACAGATGGACATTGCTCTCCGTCTGCACAAGAGCACGTTGGGCGGGCGGAAGATCAACGTCGAGCTCACGGCAGGCGGAGGCGGCAACTCGCAAGACCGCAAGGAGAAGATCAAGGTGAAGAACGAGAAGCTTGAGGACGAGCGGACGAAGAGGACGGTTGCTGAGCGGGAGAAGAAGCGGAAGGCGGACGCTGCGAAGGAGAAGGAGGCTGGCGGAGAGAGTGAGCCTGCTGGAGAGGACGGGGTGCACCCAGACAGAGCCAAGCTTTTGCAGCTCGAGTGATGGCCGGCTGCGGTGCCGCTGTTGCCAGCAAGCTAGTTATGTAGACACGCGTGCTGTCTTCGCCGGGGAGGCCAGTGGCGGGCACTGTTTAAGAAAATAATAATAGTCGAATTATACACGAGGAGAACTGGGCAACAGTAGGGAAAAGTGTCTGGAAAAAAGAGGGGCGGGGCGACTAACGAAAAGCTAACAGATCTAGAGTAGTAGTAGTGGTAGGGTGATAAGAGTACATGTGACAGGAGATTCTAATTGCGGCGCTTTCATGTCGTAGCACAGACCGTTGGGCCTGTCTAAAGAATGACACACTTCTTGGACTTTCTGACCTTCTTCGCTGGGATGTGGGTCTTTGGGGCCTGTCTGACGTTTTTGGAAGCGGTCTTGGCTTGCACCGGTCTGGCGCCTGCTCCAGTGGCCGCTGCCGCTGCGCCGGCACCGCCGGCGGCGGCTGCGGCGCCGTTGAGGCGCTGGTCGTGGGTGTCCTGCTCCTCGGGCTCCTCGGGCGAGATGACGGCCTTGATGGCGCAGTCAAACACCTCTCTGACACCGCGCTGGGAGGCGGCAGAGCACTCGAGGTAGCCGACAAGACCAAGCGTGGTGGCAAGACGGCCAGCCTCGGCCTCGCTGACGGGCTTGAGGCCCTGCTCGTCCAGCTCGTCCATCGCGTGCGGGTCCTCCCTGAGGTCCGACTTCGTCCCGACAAGAAGCACCTTCGTGTCCTTCGGGGTGTGGTGTCTGATCTCCGGCATCCACTTGTTCTTCACGTTCTGGAACGACGAAGGCTCCACCACAGAGAAGCAGATGAGGAAGATGTCTGTCTGCGGGTACGACAACGGTCTCAACCGGTCGTACTCCTCCTGGCCCGCGGTATCCCAGAGGTTGATCGTCACCTTCTCGTCCCCCACCATCACGTTCGCAGAGTAGTTGTCGAACACCGTAGGCACGTAGTCCTCCGGAAACTGGTTCGTGGTGTACGAGATCAGCAGGGACGTCTTACCGACGGCACCGTCCCCGACAACAACACACTTGATCGACTTCATGGTATCTCTGACGTCTCTGGTCTTGCTTGTGCTTCCTGCTGCTACCCCTGCTGCCAGCCCTTGCCCCTGCCTAAGGCCCCACGTCTTCTCTCCACCCGTCCGCCTCTTCTTGGCCTCCTGACTCCGTCCACCTGCCTCGTCCAGGGTGGCACCATCCGCCCGCTGCTGCTTTTTTGCGACCGCTGCCTGGCTCGGGGGATTTCCGCTTTCGTCTGGCGGCATGTTTTTCCCCGGGCGACGGGCCGAGGTGGTGAAGATGGCACACGGGACGGAGAAGACGGGAACGACAGGAAGAAAGGGAGGCTGGAGACGGGGGCGGGCTAGAGACACATCAGACGGATACAGATATGCTGAGGCTGGTGTACGACTATCCGACGGTGGAGAGCTCCGAGCCGCTCGAGACGTACGCACGCACGTCGCCTCACCGCTACTCGTCGATAGCGGCGGCAGACAAGTACCTGCTGCGGTATGCGTCCAACACTTGGACCGTGCGGTTCCCGCTGTGCGTGGTGCTGGCGCAGACGCAGACGGTCCGGCTTCCGGTGGTGTTTGACACGCGGGGCGGCGGGGGCGGGCCGTTGTCGGTGGAGATCCCTGGTCAGAGCCTCTCGGCGGTGGGCCTGGTGGCGGTGCAGGAGTGTTCTGAGACGGCGTCCGTGACGCTCGAGGCCGGCTGCGAGGTGTACTTCCTCGCAGAGTCGGTCCTCGTGCGGTTGCCGCAGACAGAGCGCCTCAGCACGCTCTACCCGCAGCTGCCCCGGGACGGGCTCGCCTTCTGCTTCTCCTACACAGACATCCTCGGCCACCGCATCCAGGACAACCTCACGAGGCTGGGCCTCTCGGTTCAGGGCTGCGAGATGACGCTGTCGCCGCTGCAGCGGTTCCCTCCGCAGCCGCTCGTGGCGGGCGTGTTCCAGCGCTACGCGGACCTGACGCCGCTGCAGGCGTTGCAGCTGGTGGACAGCGCCATTGTCGACGGCAGAGAGCTTGTCCGCAAGATGACGGAGTACACGCGGTCCGCCGGGTCTGCCGGCACGAGTGCCGGCACGGGCGCAGGCACGGAGGACGAGGTGCTGCTCTTCCAGAGCGGCCAGGGCGACGACGACGGCGGCGGCTACGCGGAGAGCTACACGGAGGACGACGCAGTCGGGATGCACGTCGAGATGGTCGGCGGGTTCAAGGCGGCGGGCGTGAAGCGGGCCCGGCGACGGTCCGACGAGGCCGTGGCTGCGGACAACGATGTGGCCGCCGCCGCCGCTGCTGCTGCTGCAAAACATAAAAGACTGTATTCGGCTGGCATCTAAAGAAGGAAAGAGGAGGAAGGAGAAAGAAAGAAGGTCCATCCTGTATACATAAGCACCGTAGCCGGTTTCTTTTCTAGTCACGTCATGTCATATCTCTGTATCGATGAAAACGCACTCGAACTCGTTAGCGAACCCGTTGAAGCTTGTGGCGGCAGCACTAGTGTACGCCCCGGCGTTGCGGAAGCCCACCCAGTCCCCGCAGTGCACGTCGTGGCTCAAGAGGCACCGCTTTTTAATGCAGTCTAGGCCGTCGCAGGTTGGGCCCCAGATCGAGTACTGCCGCGTGCCGCTTTCGGTGGAGACGGGTGTGTCCTCTCCGTAGACAAACCGGCCCGCAGACGTAATTACCACGGGCTCCACTTCCTGGTGGTCGTACAAGATGCAGTTCAAGTTGCCGTACAAGCCGTCGTTCAAGTATACCCGGATCTTGTCGTCTTTAGCTGCACTAGCACCATCGGCACTGGCTTCTCTCCGGGTTCCAATGACGTTTGTGGCCAACGTGAAGCAGCTGGCGCTCAAAAACCTGCCCAACTCGGAGATGACACTCATCTCGCCGCTAGCAAGCTCGTCTGAAAAGAGTCTGCCGATCTCGCGGCCGAGTACTCTTGCCGGCTCGACAAACCCGTCCTTGCTGAACCCGCCTCCGACGTCCAGCATGTCGCAGCGGGCGAACTGGCGTCCGTTGGCGTAGTCCCACACAGTTCTAGCGTCTTGGACGGCCTTGGACAAGGTCGAGGCGTCCTCGAAGCCGGACCCGGCGTGGAAGGCCACCCCGCGGACGTGCACTCCGAGCTCGACACACCGGTCGACTATCTTCGTAGAGTAGGGGACGTCGGCGCCAAACTTGACGCTCAACGGACACTGGGCGCTGGAGTCGTCCGTGGTGATTCTCACCAAGACGTCCATGCCGGCGGCGTAGCGGGCGATCTTCTCGACCTCCTCGAGCGAGTCGACCGTAGTCAGCCCGACGTTGTGCGAGTGGGCAAACCGCAAGTGGGAGATTGGTTTGATCGGGTTGGCGTAGATGAGTCTCTTCGTGTCGACGCTGGCGCCAAGCGCCTCGTGCGCCTCGAACACGGCCCGGATCTCGTTCTGCGACGCACAGTCGAACCCGACGCCAAGCTGCGCCAGGGCGCCAAGGAAGCCCCGGCTCGGGTTGCACTTGACAGCGTAGTATGGCTGGACGAAGGGGAGCAGGCTTCTCCACAGCCTCAGCTGGCGCCTGACCTCGCCCACGTCGCACACGTAGAACGGAGAACACTCGTCGTACGCTGGGTCCAGCAGAGCAATCCTCTCCAGCAGCGTGCTCTCCACAGACGCCTGTTCGCCGCCCTTCACAGGGAAGAGCACCGACTCGGCAGACTCCGACGGACTCAGCGGATACGTCTGAGGTAGGCCCGTACCCACACCCACGCCCATGTTTGTGCCCGGACCGGCACTAGCTCTGTGGATCACGCTTGACTGCGAGGCGGCTGTCATCTTGATCTTGGCGGTAAGCGATTTGAACATTCAGGCTCGAACCTTCTCTTGGTCTGCAAACACTGTCTTCTGCTCTTCACCGTGTCTTTCTCCACCTCTTGCTCCTTTTCATCACCTGCCACCCGTCACCCAGAAAAATTTTACGCTTGCATCCCCTGTCGCATTCTCTCCCTCTCCTTTCCCTATCCGCTGAGCCTGGCAGCGTTGACCCGCTGAGCCTGGTAGCGCTCGGCCACGCGGAACCGGCGTCGCCGACCCCGCTTCCGCTGCCGCCGCTCTATTACTAGGACCACCTCTTCCCACTGTGTTGCCTATCCGCACAGCTGCTACAACACACGCAGCAAGCAAACAAGACGAAACCAGAACAGCAGAGCCGTCAGCAGAGCCGCCAGCAGAGGTGGTGAAGATAGCAAAGTAGATTCATGTCGCCACAGTGGCAGTCAGGCCTCCAGCCAGGAGGCTCTGCACTCTATTTCGGCCGTCGTCCGCTTTCGGCACTGCGTGCCAATTGTAGTGGAACACCGCGGCAAAAAAATTAGGTGTGGAAAATAGAGTGTCTTGAAGAAATTTGATTAGGTAATTGTCCTCAAAGAGCCAACAGACTGTCTTGAAAGTGTAAGGATTGAAAGATATAGGGAGAAAAGAGTGTAGGGAGTAGCTCGTGACGTATGTAGTCAGAATGATTAAAGGAAACAGCATGTCTACAACAGACGTTGATGGATGAGGTGTCCTTTTTGCTTACCTAAGGAATATGAGTGTTATTTACTGTATAATTACTATGTATAAGCCCAAGCTACATAAGCTCCGTTATTCTAATTTTACATGAATGAAGGTGGGAAGGATAGATGGTTCCGGTGGTGGGAAACCTATGTCCTTTGCTGTTCTTTTCTTGGGTCTTAGGTATTCTCTATGTTTGCACAGATATGGAGAGAGAAATACAATGCATTCGTTACAAAGAAAATAGAGATGATGGTACACAGAGTAGAGACGGTAGAATTGAGAGGTCAGGAGAAAGGGGGATGCAGAAGCCGCCGCAGCTTCTGCTCGTGGATGTGGTGCTAGCGGGAAACCTCCATGGCGCTGTCGCAGTCGAGACACCTGTAGCTCATGCGCTTGCCGACAACGTGCCCCTGCGAGTCGTACATGTCCAGAAGCACCTCCCCCCGCTTCACCATGAGCGCCCACTCGCTCTTAGACGGGATCTTCAAACACGCCGGATTGAAGCATCTGGCCTTGGTCTTGCGGTAGCGGAGACCGCAGGAGTTGCAGAGCTGGCCCTCGTCGGGCGCCCACGACGGCCTCCAGCATGGAGACAGCGACGAGAAGCACGACATGCACTTCTTCGCCCGGGTCGGGTGTGTCTGGTGTGCAGAAGGGCTGTGGTTGTGCGAGTGGGTGGAAGAGTCGCTGTGCAGCTTGGCAACGGGCAGCTGGGCCTTCACGGGAGCCACGGAGAGGATGGTCGACTTGGAAAAATCGAGCGTCCTGTTGGTCCCATTGGCAGCATTGGTGGCGGGGCCGACAGAGCTAGGGTCGTAGGTAGGGAACAACAGGCTGTTCGTCTTGGCGACGTACGTCTGCGTCTTCTGGACAACGGGGCTGCTTTTGGGCGTAGTTTCGACCGACGCTGGTACTTCAGCAGTCTTGATACTTTCGCTCGATGAGCACCTTGTCCTCGACCTGGACGAGGATCGCGTCCTCAGTCCGTAACCTGTAGTCGTAGTCGCCGACACAGCATCTTCTTGTAGTTTGGCGGATTCGGATGCTACTCCTGACCGGGACGATCTTCTGCTCGTCGACCGGGACGATGGTCTCGACACCGGTCTCGAAGACGACGCCGAGGAGGATCTTCTGCGTCTTGCCGAAGTCTGTGTGAGAATATGAGTTGAAATTTGGGCACTCTTCGCAACCTTGGAGACAGAAGCTCTTCTAGTCTTGGTTACTTTGAGTGGCTGCGTTTTGAACTGGGTTTGGAACTGCTTCAGCGTTTTCCCTTGGCTGCGATCCTTACTCTTCCCATCGTCAGAAAGGTTCTTGAGCTCGTTATTCAAATCATCGTAAGCATTGGCCCCCTGACTCCTCAGCGGCTTCAGCGTAATTGGGGACTGCAGTTGTGGTGCGGGCATCATGTGTGTGCTCCCGGAAACCGCTGAGATTGTTGATGAACAGTAGGATGCGTGAGGCCTGTATGGGCCCCTGTATTGCGTTCGGTTCATGTTCGCCGCGTTTGCATAAAATGGCTGCGTTGGCTGGCCACCTAGGCTGCCATACTTCATGCGTTGGTAGTCTTGATTGAGGAGTTCATGGTCAACCACTGGAACAGGCAGGTTTTTCTTTATCTCTCTTCCATTGTAAAACTCCTTAGAGGCCGAATTGAACACAATTCCAGGAAACTTAGAGTTCTGGTACTGGTTGATTTCAAGGGTCGATAAACCACTTGGATGCACAGTGGATTTGTCAAATGGTGTGTATTTGAGAATCTCACTGATGGGCGGCAATTGTACGTGTGATGAATGCTTCAGTGGATAGTCGTTCTTTGGTCTAGAACTTTCATGGTTTCTCAGGCCTAACAGAAGTCTGGCTTCATATTCCGCCTTCTCTTCGCTGTTGTCAATTGGATTCGAGAAGGGATAATTCAATTGTCCGTATGCCGCTCTGGACATCTTAGTCGCAGAAGGAAATATCTTTGCATCAAATAAAGGAGGTGGATTGGCTGCAGTTTTGCTCATTCTATTTCTAGCCGCCTCTGTCAAAGTAGTGGAAAAAGCATTGTACTCTTTCAGAGCTTTGTTGTATTCGTGTCGAACCTTCTCGTTGCAGGCTTCTCTCCATGTTTTCAACCTCAAGTTTCCTTCGCTTCTTCCAATAGCACTACCAGAAATATTGAATGGATAACAAGTATCTGCATAAAAGTACGCGTACTCATTTCCTTGGCTTTTCCTGGATGGCACAACGGTAGGAGAGGCAATGTTTGCTGATGCTTGCTTTGGAGAGCCACTGGTGGAATGAGGTGGAGTGACATTTTCTGCAGTGTTGTAAAACGTAGATGCCCTGTATTCGGGGCTCCTTGGAGTAGTGTTTGAGTTTGCGCCATCAAAGTTTATGACAATATCCTGTCTGAAGGAGGGTGTCTTGGGAGTTTCATAGATGTCATGGCTATTCACTGGAGATGAGGGAACAGTTCTGGATCTTTTGTAAGATCTTGGTGGTGTGATTAGCGCATCATGGTTGTTGGAGTGTTCCGGAGTGATCAGCAAGTCCTCTTCAAACTTTCTTTTCCTATCCATATAGGGAGTGGAGACGTGCGATGGAGGCGAGTATGTTCTAGGCATGTCCAGATGATAAGTCTTGTTACCCTTCTTGTTGTTATGGCTGGCGTTGCTGAGGTAGTTGTTGTCGGACTGAGATCTTCCATGCACTAAAAATGGGTTGGGTTGCAGTTTCAAAGCTGACATGGGTGGCGTAGAATAATTCGAGGTGGACGGCTTGGTTAAATTGTGCACGACTGGTCTGTGAGGTGGATTCAGTGGTATTGAAATAAATGAGGGAAACAGACAGCAAGAGCCACTATACAGTGCTGATTTTTGTTTGTGTGTGAAAGTACGAAGTGGTTCGCTGGAACAGATCTGTGGTGGTTCGCAACGTCTGAAACGAGTGTAGCCGTGGGTGGGCTTCTTTCTAATGATTGTCTTTTTTGCTGTTCTTGCTCTGTGCTTGGAGGAGGTCAAGAAGAACCAGTAAACCCAGAACCAAACCTCAAGGCAGCAGAAAAGAGGCAGACTCAGAAAAGGAGGCAGCCAGGACAGAACAAAGAGACGCACTGCGACAGCAAAGAGCAGGGGCACTGGGGATCGATAGAAGATATCAGAGAACGAAGGCCCTGTGATCCATCTGCATCAGAAACAGGAAACAGGACGCAAAAAGTGGCTGGAAGCATATATCGAAAGCACAACAGAACAAGGAACAACAATAGAATCAGCCCAAAAAACCTTCCCTCACTTTCCTTTTTCAGCGCTAATAGCATGCATGACGGCTGGCGCTGCTGGGCAACGACACCCGCACTAGCGGCCGCCGTCATCCAGGACGGGCCTCGGGACATGGGTGCTATCTATTCTCTCTGATTCTCCCTACTGCCATCGAAACCCTTTTTGAGATTTAAACACACTGGACCAGCATAGAGTGTACTTCTGTGTGACCACATCCCCCCTCCAGCTGGAATCCCGTCAAACCTGATAGACGGATATCTTGGAAGCACCGACCCCGAGGCCCGCAGCGGCGCACTGTTGAGGCTGGTGGATTGCCTAATCGGGCCATAGTGTAAACAGACCGGGGGTCTGCACAGGAAAAAAGCCAATTACATGTCCTGATCAGTAAATTGGACACCTGCCTCTTCGAGGAAAAGGTCAACACTTGAGGACGTCACCCAAACACCGTATCGGATGGTGACAGCCGTTCTCGGACCCTTGTAAGAACTAGTTGATTGAAGCGCCCCCGTAGCCGTGCTCCGTTCCTATTGTTGCGAAGCGAGACGGTGCCTGGTTTGCGTGGGATCCTCGTATGAAGAAAGGATCTCTCGTGTGCTAGTGCTGATGCGTGGTTCTTGGTACCTGGCGGGAGATCCGGAACTCTACCCCAGAATGTTGTATATTTTGATAGCGCTGCTGGTGGTTTCATTACCGCTGTGTATCCCGGCACTTATGCTGTCTTGAGAATCTGCAGGACGTGATTGTAAATATCGTCAAACGAGCGGGTTAGTATGCGGAAAAAAAGCCAACTTGATGTGCAAACCAGCGGGTTTTGATGAGACAGGATGCCATGTTGGTAAGGAACTTTTTATAAACAATACAATTGTTTATTTTATATACATATCATAACTTACTTACAAACTAATACTTTCAAACATAGATACAAGGGATAAACCTTTTGAATTTATATACTCACCACACTGGTTGAGCTTCTGATTTACGTCAATTTAATGCCTTGCCTTTAAAAAGATCTTTTTTTATCTTGCAACGGCTTATTCCCATTTGATATCTTGCCTCTTATCTCTGATCTATTGTCTGTCTAGAAAGCTTGTCTAAACATACTCGGCGTTGCTTGTATCTGGATTCTTTGAATCCGTATCGGGTTCGGCATCTCATCTCAACACCCTCCAACCGCAGAAGCTTCCCGCCATTAATAGAGAGTAGTGCACAATTTGATAAAAATCGGTCTTTGTATAACGTAATCAAATACGTGATACATTCTGAGAAGCTCATTTGGAGCGTAGAAATAAAAAATTATAAATTATTTATCAGTATAGTATTAGAAATTAATTTCTAACGAAACAGTTTAAGCATACAAAACATACACTACAGTCATGTGTGACCACAAAATAAAGATTAAAGAAAATCCGAGATAGTTTAGTGGCTAGAATTTCCGCTTGTCACGCGGGGGACCGGGGTTCAATTCCCCGTCTCGGAGAGTTATTTTTGAGTGCTTTATTATGATGACTAACTATGGAAAAGTGTGAACAATCTCCTAGTTTCGACGTTGAGGAGAAACCAGTTGCCTTCCTTCTGATATTAAACACGATCTTTTAATTATTTTTAGAATAGATAAAAGTATACAATTGTTGAGGTTTTGACTTCTATCGGTTGAGTAGCATCTTATACGCCTCGATGTCGGCCAAGGTCTGGAGCTCCAAGGGCCAGTAATTTTCACCAATGATTTTGCCCCAATCTTCTTGTGTTTTTCCTTCTATGAGGCACAACCTCATGGCAGCCTCCCTTTGTCTTTTCTTCCTTGTATACTTTCCAATTATGGACTCCCTGATTCCACCAGTTTTCTTTGAAAAAATCAGTGCGTTTTTAAGTAGATTCTTGCAGTTATTTTGTAATACTGTACGGTTCTTAGCGGCCTCATCCACCTTCAACAACGACCTTTCCAAGAAAATATCTGCACGCTCGATGAAAACGGAGCAAGCTAAACTAATCTTCCCACTTAGTAAATCATTCTCCGAATTGCTGCTTTTGGCTAACTCATCAATCTGAGAACAAAGAATGGTGTTGATCCCACGATACTTATTGTCCAAGTTTGTCAAAATCAGCCATTTAGTTTCATCGGGAATAGAGATCTCAACCGTCTCAAACTTGTCTAAAAACGACCTCACTGAGGATGATTCCGTTAATTGCTTTTCGATCGTGCAGTTCAATTCTGGGTCAGAATTCCATATGCTAACCAAGGAATCATAGTCTAGTTGTCGTGACGAACGCTCATTCAACTTGGCAATCTTCAAAGTTATTATTATGTCTTTAGGGATTGGATCTTGAACGAGCTTATTTGACACAAAATCCACCCTCTCTAAATATTCAGCAGTCAAGTTATCCATGAAACTAATCAGTTCCATCGTATAAAGAGTCTCATAAACAGTTGAGAGCATTCTATAACTTTCAATGCAAACTGACGAGACTGCTTCCGGATTCACAGTTTCATCTTCAATGCTGTTTTCTAGAGAGTAGTTCATGTAACTGAGAACTTTCTCAAACATGTAGATGCATCTTTGGACTGCTTTTACAAGGTCATTATTTTCTGAGAGACCTTGAAGAATAGTAGGATCTGAACATAATGTCTCAATGTATTCAAAATAGCAGGACGCACTATTGAAATAAAAATCCCAGCCCATGGAGCTTTCATTTCCTGACTGAAGCAAGATATCTATACTTCCCTCGAAACTGCGACACAATGAAACTATGTCTTGGAAAAGTCCACCGGCTTTTGTATCGTTTAATGCATCTGCGCAGTTGGTTAGATCACTTGTCACGACCGCGTCATCTTTTGTGTACTTGTTGTATACTTCGTATTCTAATCTGGGTAGGTTATAGAGTGCATGCATCATTGTGGGATCAAGTTTCAGAGCCTGCTTGTAGTTTTCATGGGCACGATGGTAAAATCGTATTGCTTTTGATAAGTCTGAAGTAAACCACCTATCGCCAGACTCTTCATAGCTTACCCCTTCGTCATAAAAATCTTTTGCAGTTGTAGGTTCTGCCTCATTTGTCTCTTCTGCTACATCTGGTCTCCGAAGTAGAACAGATTTAGGTAATCTCATTTGTCTCTTTCCACCTATGATTCCAAATAATTGTTTTTGAACTGTTAGTTTTGGTTCGAACGGTTGCCGAAAATTTGACAAAAAAGACACAGGGTACTTACTCTTCATCTTATACTATGCCACTAGCTCTTTTACTCCACAAATGCCAATCTGAGGAGTATTTTCCTAGTATTCACAGTCTTCTCTTTACCTCGGAAAAGCCTAACGAACACTGAATGAGGAAATGGAAATTTTCCAAGTCATCTCCGGACATGGCACGACACGACACGCCAAAAAACGTTTTGTGCCGGCCTTCAACTTCGCCTTGTGTTGAATCTTTTATGTGCTTCTGGATCATAATCAAATTCAAGCTACAACTACACCTATTATGAGCCAGTCATCGATACCATTGATAACTGCCGAAGAAGTCAGTCTCGATGATTATCCATCGGAAGGAATCAACAAGCCTCAACGAATGTACCTTCTTGTTCTTGCATACGGTATGAATGCTTTCCAGCATCAGTTTTCTATGCTCTACGGGACCGATTTCACAAAGCCAGAATACCTACAGCATCCGAGGATATACTTTAATCACTGCGAATTGCGTAACGGTGGAGACTTGACCAAAGATATGGTAGTAACTCTAGACTGCCCTAAGCGTATCCTTGATAAGTTCACAGCGGAGCATGACTTACCAGTGGCAGACTTGAATCCCAATGAAAGTGTTTACGCAAAAAAGATTTTGGTTGAGGCAAGTGGCTTGATGAAAAGATACAGAAATACCATAGACTTTCAGCGAGGTATGATCAAGTCCTTGAGCAAGACAGATATTCTCACACGGGTTAGAGTATTGAAAGATCAGTACCTAATCAATTTTTTGAAACGTTTGCAAGATAATTGTCCAGTGTCATGGAAGAGGGATCTAGACAACATATACGGTTTAGGTGAACTTGTAGATGACGTTGGGGCTGTCACTTCACAATTTGACGACGACTATGGAACCCAGCAAATTGATACACAGGCAGGTTATCACACTCGAACAAATTTCCGTCTTCTTAACGAGCAGCCTATAAGACGTGATGATGATATCTCTAAGTACCCGGATGTAGTTCAACAGTTGTCCAAAGAGATCATCAAAAAGGAAGAGTCTGTAATCTTCTCTGACTCTAATGAAGTCTCTCCCACATCAAACCGGTCCACCAGTGTCTCCGTAGGAAATGTGCCTGCTCACAATAATAGCTTGACCATAAACCACTCTGTGGGAAGTAGCAATGCACTTGATGGAGTGATCCCTGAAACCCAAAATCTCAACTACGACGAGGAAATCAAGCTAGTATCTTCACCTGTTTCTCCAGAGCCTGATTCAAACAACTACAAAGAAGTAGCGGTTTGCGGTTTTTCGCCCAACGGTTTTGAGACACTGCTTGTTAAGAACATCTACACAGCCAAGTATGAGATACTCGATACGTTTGAACTGTATCTAAAACTCGAGGCAGACGATAAAATTATTTACACTTTGACTTTCAAAAATTCTGAGGACATATACAGACTTGTATTTCCAAACGCCCAAAATTCATCACAACTCACTTCCGATGATGAAGATTATGTCAGAGAGACAGTTGCCAACAGATTCGCCCCCAATTCCGTAATAAAGTTGCCGTTCGACATCTATCTGCAATATAGAAGAGGGGCCCATGAAGCCGTTGCTCCCTCCTTTGCAGAGTCCGCGCCAGGATATATTCTCTACAAATGAAGATGATAGTGAAGGAATTTATCCGATGTTGCAAATTGTACTGAAAGATCCAGATCATTTAGGGTTTCGTAGGCAACCAATAAGCACTCAGAGAGAACACATAAAATGCCACCTAAAAAAGCACCGAAGAAAAGTGCCAAAGCTCCAGCAATAACTTTTGAGCGTGCAATCGCCAGCAAAATGAGATTTGGTGCTCACGTCGGTATGGGGGGAGGAGTTTTCAATGCTGTTACAAACGCCATCAACATTGGATGCAATGCTTTTGCGTTATTCTTGAAATCTCCTAGACGCTGGGAATCTCCGGCGATATCGGCTGAGGATGCTGAAACGTTCAAAGAGTTATGCAAGAAACACAACTACAACCCACGGACAGATATTCTTCCACACGGATCATATTTTATCAACATGGCGAACCCAGATGAGGAAAAATGGCAAAAATCTTTTGATTGTTTGCTTGATGATTTAAAAAGATGCGAACAGCTTGATATCGGTCTTTACAACTTCCATCCGGGATCACATTTAGGTATAGCAGATACAGCATCACATGAAACGGCAGAAAATGCGGGTGTTCGTAGGCTTGCAGATGGTCTAAATCGTGCTATCAAAGAAACCAATTTTGTAAGAGTTGTGGTGGAGAACATGGCAGGACACGGTAACTACGTGTGCGGCAACCTTGATGACTTCCATACTCTTTTTAAGCTATTAAATGATCCAAAACGTGTGGGTGTTTGCATCGATACGTGCCACGCTTTTGCGGCCGGCTACAACCTAAACAACGAAGAAGAATGGAACGGTTTTTGGAAAGAGTTTGAGGAGAAAGTAGGGATTGAAAATCTAGCTGCACTGCATATGAATGATTCAATGGCGCCATTGGGTGCAAATAGAGATTTGCATCAGAAGCTGGGATGGGGATTTTTGGGTCTTGAATGCTTCAGATTGCTGGCTAATGACAAAAGGCTGGAGGGTATACCACTTATCTTAGAAACTCCGTTAGATGGAAATGACGAAGGCCATTACGGTGAGGAAATAAAATTGTTAGAATGGCTTGTAGGAAAGGAAAAAGACGATCCTGAATTTATTGCCAAAAGTGAAGAATTCCAAAAGTTAGGCTTCAAAAGTCGGGAGGAGCAAGCTGCCAAATTCGAGAAAAAAAAGACAGTGAAACGTAAAAACGAAGGAAAAGCAGACATATCGAATATGATGAAGGGGAGAGCTAAGAAAGCGAAGAAAGGCGATTGATTATATGTAAATCTAAGTTTTTCACATGGACCTGAAAACTAATGTACCTATTCACTAATAAACAATATGTAAAGAATAAACTATATAAAAATACTAACCAAGTGTTGAAAAAGAAGGAAATACATCCATTGTGTTATGGTACATATATCTGTTCTCACATCATAATTTCGAGAGTTTTTCACATTTTAGTGAGTGTGCTTGACGTTTGAAACTTAATTGTTTTGACTCTCAATTATGGCATCCTCTGCCTGCTCATTCAAGGGTTTAGCAATCGGCTGTTTGGCAACTGGTTTCTCACCAGAAGCTTTCATACGATTCGCAATCTTTTTTGCATTGTCGTGACCTGCATCAATAGCAGCGTCAACAGCAGCATCTGTGTCGATGCCCTCAACAACCCAATCATCAGCAACATCAACAGCAGCAGTATCGGCAATAGCAGCTTTATCCGCTGCAATAGCACCAGCACCAGCACCAGCACCAGCACCAGCACCAGCACCAGCAGCTGCATCTCCTAGAGCCACTTCATCGTGCAATGGACTATTCAGAGCTTGTTTCATTAATTTTGAGTCCGATTCGACCTTAGCCGCTTCAACTTGTTGGTTCAATGGTTTGGCAACTGGTTGCTTTCCGACCGGCTTTTCACCGGCTGCTTTCATACGCTCCGCAACGGCAACATTATCTGCAACAGCCGAATCAAGTTGTTTTTTTTCTACTTCCATTTCATGTTCTATGAATTCAGAGTTGAATCCTTTTTGGATTTCATCATCCAACCTCATTTCTCTCATAGCTTCGACCTTTTTAGTATTATCAGGGTCCAACTTCTCGACGTCGGCCTCAGAGCCATCCACCTGTTGCTTTTTTAATGCGCTATCAGCCTTCTCGGCTGCATTCTTTATGACTTCCTTCGATACTGTCGCCTTGTTTTGCTCAACTTTCGTTTCAGGATCAAGCGGACTCACACCCCTAACCCATTCAGATCCAAAAGAAGCTTTATCAAACTTGGGCAAAGGATGAGCTTCTGTGTTGAAAACCATATTCCTCAAATCCCACTTGTCCAAATTACCATTTGCCAGTTGACCTTTAGAAGTGCCTGTTTCATCGTCAAAAAGTAAGTACAAATACTTTAATGTTTCCGCCAGCCAAAACGATTCCATGTTATCGCTGAGAATTGGAGGATTGACTGTACAATCTTTGAGAGAAGTGTACCTAACGGCACCATCACCACTAGTGATTTTTGTGAACTTGACAAAGTTTTGGAAAATTTCCCAACCCCACTCACGATACTTGACGTCACCAGTAATTTTGTATAAGACATATAATGTCTCAACTGTTTCAGGTCTTTGGAGATTATGTCTATCGCTAGACTTAATATAGAAGTCGCCATCAAAACTGGATGTAACTTTATTTGGGGCAGATTTCGGATTTAGAGCGGGATCTAAATTGAATACCACAATTTCAGGGGAAAGACCAGTACCTGGAGTATCATGGTACATATGATAGCATGTTTTCCCGATCTCCTTACCCAGTGCTAGCTGCTCTTCATGGAATTCGTCCCAGAAACTCTTAGTTCGAGCTTCGGCCTCAGTGAGACCTTCAGTTGCACCAAGCGCAAATAAACCTCCAATGAAACAAACTAAATGATCCATCTTTGTGTCTAGCTCTCCATTAATACCGGTTGGCAATTCACCTAAAAAGACAAACTTGTTTGGATATGACTCCGCAACCAAGTGTTTCTTGATACCATTGAATGCATGCTTGTACATGTCTAGATAAATTTCCTCGTTCGTTTGAAGGTATTGCTTGAGAAGATACTCATAATAAGAGTCACCACGAGAGCCCAAACGGATCAAGTTCTTGTTGAACTTACCACTGTGCTGATTCACGTAGATAGGAGCTAGACCGTCATAGTCTGCATTGTAAACACCAGGCGAAGAGAATTGGTTAGCATCTAATATGGACATAACCTTTTCTGCAGCATCCCAGAAGTATGCTTCACCTGTTAAATTCGATAAGTACTTGAACTCAAGTTGCAAAGTTGCAATTTCGGCTGTGGATGCGCCCAACGCCGGGAAACCCTCCGCTCCCTGGGACTCCGAATGCAAGTTCACGTCCACAAGGGGGATTCCGGAAGGAGTGTTGAAAGCTGAAATAAGCTTGTTTCCCAACTCCACCGCCTTCTCCAGGTAGACAGTATCGTCACTCTTGGATAGGTAGTGGGCCGAAAGTAAGCCTCCGAGCATTCTGATTGTTGTCTCGAAAACACTGACGCTTGTGCTGACGTCGTAGGTCAACTCCTTGTCAACCCAGGATTTTGCATCTTCAAGTTCATCGTTACACCCCATGAGCATCAGCGTGTCCAAGGAATCAACAATGATCCATCCAAGAGGCTGCTTACCCATGTTCTTTCCGGATTGCTTGACCGGAGCATAAATATCTGATCCCCAGCCGTGTTTGACGTAGTCATGCCAACTCTCTAAGAACACGTCTTTGACTTTGAGTTTACGCTCATTCCACAATGCCGAGGAAGAGCTGCCACCAGACTTGCTTCTATCACTACCTGTGAAGAAAGATGTAATTAGTGGAGATATCAGCCAGCATACTGCCACGTACAACGCTGCAGCCATGATGAGCATCTTTTTGTATCTGTGATAGAAGTTGTGCGCTGACCGGAGGAATTTGGACTCTGTGTAGTTGTTGCTGACTGCCTTATCTTTGTAGGAATAAAATTGTGGAAGTCCATTACTATACTTCGATTTCGACTTAGATTTTGACTTCGGACGGAAAGAGGACATGTCTTTTCGATTGTATCCTCTCAGTGGCACAGAATCTCGGTCTCCTTACGGTTCTGAAAACTGCCTGTCTTTTTTCTACTACTGAGTGTCTAGCGATCGATGTCTTCTTCCTGAAGCCGAATGAATAGAGTACATAGACCAGTTCTGCCAGAGGCTCCGTTTGGAGGTACTCCCTGCTAGCAAATCGATTTTGGCGACGCGGCGCCGATGGGTTTGAAAAAACATCGAGGTGGGGGAGAAAAAGAAAGATTTAGAGCAGATTAGTAACCTGTCTGGAGCTGTTCTAGGACGCCCAAGGAAGATTTGGCAAGCAGACAGATTGCTTGAGAAGACGACCACAAGCTCGAGGCAAATATACCTGGCAGAGGAAAGCGGCTCACAGATTTTGAAAACAGGGAAGACCCCAGGCAAACAGTTTCCAGTTCTTTTCACATAAAAATGCCATCAACCGCTTTACCATCGCAGTCCATTGGTGCTCCGATTCCAAACAACACGGCTCACGCCGTCTCCGTGACCCTACCTACATGGGAAGCTACAGTCGGATACGAAGAGGGAGAACCGTGGGTGGTGAACAAGATGCATTCGGGATACCCCCGTTTTTTCATCCATAGTGACATCCAGCAGTTGTGCAAGCTGATTGAGTCATCGTACGCCAGAGATAACGAGAGATGCTTTATATTTCCAACTTACAACATCGCCAAACGTTGCAGAGCGTTTATAAAGGAAAAGGCGGCCACCATGAGCCCACCACTGCATCCGGCAGTGAGAATCCTCCAGCTCTCCACACCTGCACCGGCCAATACACAGGAAGAGTCATACAAGATCGAAGCCAACATAGCTATAGTTTTCTTTCCTTCAAACCTCTTCTCGCTTGTGAAGCAGTACTGGCAGCATACGGGGGAGGGGATTTCCTCCAGACTGGGAGAGTACTTCTTGTCGGAGATGAAAGACAAGCTAGCCGAAGAGATCAACAACAAGGGGCCATCAGCCAAGGACTCGATTTCGTCCCGCTCGCCAAGAACTTCGAGATCCTCGAGATCCTCGAGATCCTCAGTATCGGTTAATAACAGCAACATTAGCAACAAACAAGAAAGTGCAACTTTCATCGAGGAAAGATTTGGCCGTAATCTCGATTTGAGATATGCCAAGGAGGCAAAGAAGATTCTTCTTTCAAGACTTGCATCCGAATATGATCCATCATATGTCGACGCCAGCAACACGTATCTATATCCTTCCGGGATGTCTGCTATCTTCAACGCCCACCGGGCAGTTCTTGGCTGTGCCAGTGCAGAAGATGCCCAGAAACTAAAGTCTGTATGTTTTGGTTTCCCATATGTCGACACATTGAACATTTTGAGAAAATGGGGAGCCGGCGTTCATTTCTATGGATTTGGAGATGATGAGTCATTAGACGACCTCGAGTTCCGTTTGGAGTCCGGGGAGAAGATCCTTTCTTTATTCTGCGAGTTCCCGTCGAATCCATTGTTGAAGACCCCGGATATAATCCGTATCAAATACCTTAGTGAGAAGTTTGGTTTCTATATCGTTGTTGACGATACTGTGGCCAATTCCTCCAACGTCAACATCATTCCCTATTGTGATATAGTGGTTTCTTCGTTGACGAAGATCTTTTCAGGAGATTCCAACGTCATGGCCGGTTGTCTGGTACTCAACAAAAAGAGCAAATTTTACAGCCAGTTGAAGAAGTTCATGGACGAAGATTACGAAGACTTTTTCTGGGACCAAGATGCTATCTACTTGGAGCGTAACTCAAGAGATTTCCAAGGACGCTCGCAGATCATGAACAAAAACGCCGACGAAGTCTTGAAACTATTCCAATCATCGCCGTTGATTTCTCATATATATTATCCTTCTGTTACATCTCCAGAGAGCAAGAAGAACTACGATGCTGTGAAGCGTGAAAACGGAGGTTACGGTGCGCTTATTTCCATCGTTTTCAAGGACCAAACAGACGCCGTCTGCTTTTTTAACACCATCAAGCTCTCCAAGGGTCCTTCATTGGGCACTAACTTTACCCTTGTGTGTCCGTACGCTATCTTGGCACACTTTAAGGAGCTGGACGAGGTTGCCAAATGGGGCGTGGATCCTAATCTCGTCAGACTGAGTATCGGAATGGAGAAGTCCTCGGAGTTGATTGCTGCCTTGAAGGAGGCCTTAGATGCCGCCCAAGAGCAGCATCTTGTTTAAACATATAAGCCATGTCTAGAGTTGTATAAAGTACGTGTGCTAACTAACACAAACGCCTTTGCATAGCCTTATGTCCTCTTAAGTCATAGAATCTTCTTTACTATAAAAAGGTGAGTAAAATAAATAAATAGTTTAATAAATAAATAAGTCGACATGAAAAACCGTAACGCAGAAGAAATGCATGAGATCGGAAAACAACTGTAGCTTTATTTCATTGTCCAATACACGACAGTCCTGGTGTTCCACTCACTTATTTCAATTCAACTTCACCATTAGCGAATCTTGGGTTTCTTGGATCGTTAATGTATTCTTCGGTGTCGGCAAGAGCAGAAGCAGCCTTAGAGATTAAGACAGTGGTGATACCGACTAGTGATAGCAAAAGGCAGGAGGCAGAAGATGGCGCGTGGTGTGCGTGTTGATGTTCGAGTTAGTATTATTATTCAGCGTGGAGGAGAGGGAGGAGTATCAAGCCCGCAACGGGAACACAGTGGGAAGCGGGGGTGCAATCTGAGGACGGAGCAAAAAGGTAGCACACTACCAGGAAACAGCTCATGTTCCCTGAATCTGTGCTTCATCTTGTTTTGTTGTCCCTCAGTTAAAAGTTAACATTTACTTACAACCTGCGAAGAATGGCCAGTAGTACTTGACGAGTGGGAACTTGTATGCTTTGACACCCATGAATTGCATCTTGAAGGATTATCTGGTATTTGTGTGTGGTTGAACAGACTTTTTTCCACCTGGTACCTCTCAAGTACTTCGTTCCTGCCTCCACTTCCTATCGCTTGCCCTTGCCTTCTTCACCTCCAGCTCAGAGTGTCGCAGAGTCCTCCTCCACCTGCCACTTCCAACAGCGACAATAAAGCGCGCTCTCTTCGATTGGCCTGGACTGGCCACGGGCTGCGTAACCCAAAGCAAAAAATAAAATTAAGTGGTGCACGGGCGCAAAATAAAATGCACGTGACTTCATGAATATTGCAGTTTTTTCCTTTGTTCTTCTATGTTGATAGATATATATACGTACTGTTTATAAAAAGGTCCGAAAAGGTATAAACGTGGATTTGTCAGGGTGAAGACATTCAGGTCATTAGTAAATCATAAAATCATCAGGGTCATCAATCGGTTCCATTAAGATCTTGTCGATGTCGGTGGGGAGGTCGGCAGCGGGGTTGCCCATGGTCAGCGAGGCGGTATCAAACATCATCGCGTCGTCGTCGATCATCGCGTCGCCGCCGTTAAACGCGTTGAAGTCTACCAGGGAGCCTCTACCAAAGAACTCGGCACTGGTGCCAAAACTGTGCTGGGAGTTTTTGCTTTCGGACCGGACCATTCCAGAGCTGACCGGATCGGCAGCAGTCGTCTTGAGAGCGAAGGAGTTCGCAGCGCTCGTGCTTCTGTCCTTCTTGAGCAGAAGCGGGTTCACCAGCGGCGTCGGATCAAGCAGCAGCTCCGCGTCGATCATCTGCAGCAGGTCGTCGTCGTCGTCCTTGGCCGCCGCCGCCGCCGCCGCCGCAGCAGCAGCAGCAGCGGGTCCACTCGTAGCCTTGGCCATGTCGTTCCGCATGCCGGTCATGGTGGCGTCGTTGATGGTGCTTATGCCGCATATGTTCTCGTCCATCGGCAGCCCATTCAAGCCTCCTAGGATCGTGTTCAGATTCGCCTTCTCCTTCTTCGTGGTGCCTTTCTTGGTGCTTTCGGACTTCAATATGCTTGTCAACGTCTTCTTGTCGTCATCCTTTAATTTCTTCATGATCTCCTCCCGCTTCAAGATGTTCGTCAAAGTGCTTAAGCCGTTGATGTTCGACATATTGTTGAGTGTGTTGATGGAGGTATTGTTCATACCTCCAAGTCCGAGTAAGTTCACGCCACCCCGAGAGAGGGCTTGGGCGATTGTTGCTGCAATGGACAACGTCTGTGTCTCGAAGCAGACACACTTTTGTCCTATCTCACACACCCCGCAGGAGTGGTATTCCTTTCCTATAGTCGGCGGTTTCAGCTCCTTCACTTCGGCAATACTTTTAGCGGAAGTGTTTGATGTGCTGGATGTGGCTAAGGTCTGATTTAGTGACGACGAAGAGGGAGATACACTGCTTACTCTCTGTGTTATATGGCCATCGGCTATGCTCTTGCCTGATGCTTTGGCTTTTGGTTTCGGCTTAGAACTAGAGCTTGTCGACCCCTTCTCTGCACGCTTCTTAACCTTGGCCTTGGTCGAGGGACCAGAATTGGGGTCGGGCAGCTGCTGAACTAAAGTAGGCTGGATACCGCTCTCTGGTTTCATTTCGGGAAGTGGACTGGAAATTTTTTGCCGTTTGGATTCTAAATGGTATGAGAGGTTCATTGGATCAATAGTATTTGCTGTCATCATATCAGGTAGAACCTTGTTATCGTCTGCATCAGTTTCTTGTTTCTTGTCTTGAACCATTCCACAATCTCCATCACTATCCATAGCAACATCCGTGGTTTCTTGCTTCACTGCTGTAGAAGGCTCAGTCCGCACCATTGCATTATCTTTCGAGTACTTAGACACACCAATCTCGCTCTTTTTTGCGAGGGAATTAGAGACGTTAGTTTCCAGCGGTTCGATCTTGATGCATGTATTTGTGGAAGTAGAATTGTTGGGAGCTTTACTATTAGAGATTCCGGTTCCATTACTGTTCATTAGAATGCTCTCCTCTTTCTTTTTTACGAGCTTCAAATTCTGGATCTCCTTGTTGAGTTTCAGCAGAATCTTTTTCAAGTTGTCATTTTCACGAGTGACGTGCTGTAATTGAACTTCAAGCTCTCCTTCATTGTTTGTGTAAAGATTGATATTCGAGTGTATTTGGGCATTGATGGAAACTTTCCCTGTCGAAGGCTCCAAGTACACACTTCTTATGCCCGGGGCAACACATTTAGTACAACCAGTGCACTCTTTTCGTTTGCTGTCTGGTTTAATCGATCTTTTGCCATCGACCGGAACAACGTCATGCGTTGCTGCCAAACTCGCTTTCCCAGCATCGGCTATTGAAGAAGTTTTATTTTCAACCTTAACAGTAGGTAAACCTGTACTACTTAGGGGTTTTGATGGATATGAAATATTTACTGTCTTTTTCGAATTAATGTTTTTCGGTGACAATGCCAAATTTAGTGGTTTTTGTGAAGTGTTAGGAACGCTTTTCGAGTCTGTACTACTTGGTACAGGAATTCTCTGTATCGGTCTCTTTTCCTTTTTCTTAGAGACCTTCTTTGTTTTAGGACGAGGTGGTAGAATCCAGTTTCGAGAGGTGGTCAAAGTTATCGCACTGTCTGACGGTTTAATCTGATCCTTGGATGTATGTATGCTACTTGCTGTATTCAGCCTTGAAAATGTACTTGACTTTGAACGGCCCTTCGAAGGAAGTGATTGGGTTGGCTTCGGTTTAATTGCAATCGGGTGAAAGTATATACTAGTGTTTGGATGTGGCTGGGTTGGGGTGGATGGTCTAGCCACAGGTGTCGCAGCAGTAGCATTTTTGGCGATTGGAACAGAGGAAGTTCGCTGCATGGTTTGGTAAGGAGAAGCCACTTTTATTGCGGGTTGTACAGAGTTAGAGCGACTCATTTGTGATGCTGGGGTGCTGGGCTGCAGTTTGCAGTTTCCAACAGTGGTTGTCGTTCTAGACACCTGTGGCGTGACTTTACTTTTGATGGGGTTATGACTAGTGTAAGCAGTGCTGTTTTGTCTCGGTATATCCTTGTTATTTAATGTGCCACTTTTGCAAGCTATTTCTATTACTTTTTTTGGTTTGATGGCCTTGGGAGCTTTCCCGATAGGTGTATTTGTATTCAGCAAAATAGTTCCGTCAGGGGTATTGATGTGCTTGGGCATAATCACAGGCTGTGCCGGCGCTTTGTGTATTGTTTTCAGTGACTTTGCACTTTCAGAGCTAGTAGTTGCCACACTAGAGCTAGCATGCGTATCAGCCTCCTGGCCGGTTTTCTGATCAGTAGCCTTATGTACCTCATGAGGGTAAGGTTGTACAGTAGTCTTTGGCTCAATCGCTAGATTTTGAGGCACCTTCTTTAGAACGTCATTCGCCATCGACTGTGATTTTGAAGTGTCAAAAACACCCTGTTGCTCGTTTTGCGGTTTCGTAGATTGACAACTTGATTTTCTCTCAACCTGAGAATCTTCCATTGCTTTTCTCTAATCTCATAAATTCATAAATCGGTTTCTTCTTAAAAAAACTTTGCTGCGGCGTTTATAGGTCGAAATTCCGGGTGGTCCAAACTTTAAAACACCGATCTGGCCTCTATTTGGAGCATGGATTATCTTAGAGAGTGTGGAAATCTCCTGATGGGATTTAAAGAGAATGGTCTGAGTGTGGGGATGTCGGAAGAAAATAACAGGTCAATACCGAGTTTCTTTTCTTGCTGGCTGAATAATCCTCTCGATAGGGTTCCTTAATATAGTAACTGGTTTGCTGATGAAAATGGGGGTTGTGAATGTTTGTTTACACTTTTGGACGCTTGACCTGACCTTTGCAACGGTCATCGTGCATGATCGATCGTTCTATACACCGAGTCCTACCTATCTCGATTTAATTACTGAGAATGCCTCGGAAGCGAGGGAATAGGGGGTGACCGCAACAATAGATACGTCGCAACGCGACACAAACTATGTCGCACGTAAATAAATTGAATCAAAATCTGTGTTTGGATTTCTATGGAGATTTTTTTCTTTAATTTCTCATTTTTTAATAATTTCTTAGATTTCTCTTCCTTTTCGTGTTGTTTATTTTGTTTCGTGTCTTTCTAATCTTTTAAAAAAAAGTTTTGGATGGAAGGAAGGGTGTTTATGCTGGCGCTTTTTCGATTACCGAGTCACCAAGTATCCCCTTTAAGAAGTTTCAGTACTTTTTATACCCTAAAGCAGTCAAGTGCAAATCATTTTCCTTTTGTTAGATACCACACGTTTCGTACAGGTTGCTACATTCGAAAAATGAGCACTGGTAGCGGCAGCGACGCCTATTACAGCTCAGACGAAGAGCCGGCTACGAAGAAAGCCAAGCCAAGCAACTCGAGAGCAAAGCCGAAATCTAAAACCTCAGCTTCTGATCAGTACCAAAAGCTATCTCAATTGGAGCATATTTTGAAAAGACCTGATACGTATATCGGGTCCGTCGAAAAGCATTCAGCAGAGCAATGGATTTTTAATGATGCTACCAAGTGTATGGAGAAAAAAGTTGTTTCAATTGTTCCAGGTTTGTTCAAGATTTTTGACGAAATCTTGGTGAATGCTGCCGATAACAAGATAAGAGATCCGACTATGAAGAAAATCGATGTTGTGATAAATGCTGAAGAGAACATCATATCTGTCAAAAATGACGGTAAAGGTATTCCCATCGAGATTCACGATAAAGAAAGGATCTATATACCAGAATTAATTTTTGGTAATTTATTAACTTCCTCGAACTATGATGATGATCAAAAGAAAGTTACTGGTGGTAGAAATGGTTATGGTGCTAAATTGTGTAATATTTTTTCCAAGGAGTTTACTGTGCATACCGCCGATAAGTCAAATGGTAAGGAGTACAATCAAACTTGGAGAAATAATATGTCTGAAAAGGGAACTCCGAAAATCACAGCGTACAAAAAACAGTCCGAATTTACTGAAATCATTTTCAAACCTGATCTGGAAAAGTTTGGTATGACAGAGCTGGATGAGAATATATTAGGCGTCTTCAAAAGAAGAGTTTATGATGTGAGTGGGTCTGTTAGAGGTATAAAAGTAACTTTGAATGGTGAGCTTTTGAAGATAAACAACTTCAAGCAATATGTCGAACTCTACGTCAAAGCAATCGAGATGGCAAAAGAAGAAAACCCTCACGTCCCTGTACACATCAAGACTGAAGGTGAGGAGAACGCAGAATCAGCTAACGATTCTGAACAGAATGGCTCCGAGCCTCCGCCTTCGATGCCTGAAAAGTTACCAACAATTGTTCACGAGATCGTCAATGATAGGTGGGAAATTGCTTTTTGTATTTCGGACGGTAACTTTAATCAAGTCTCCTTTGTTAATTCCATTGCAACTACCGTTGGCGGTACACATGTTGACTATGTTGCCAACATGCTAGTGGGAAAAATTACAGATGAAATAAAAAAGAAAAATAAAAAGGCGATCATTAAGCCATTTCAAATAAAAAGTAAAATGTTTCTATTCATTAATTGTTTGATTGAAAATCCTGCCTTTACCTCCCAAACTAAAGAATACTTGACAACTCAGCCTTCTAAATTTGGAGGTAAGAGATTAGAGCTTCCCGACAAGTTCGTCAAGAAAGTTCTCTCTTGTGGTATTTTGGATGAAGTTCTAGACATTGCACAAGCAAATGCGGACAAAGCGCTCAAAAAGAACGACGGCTCAAGGAAAAGTAGAATTACAGGATATCCGAAGTTGGAAGATGCAAATAAGGCAGGGACCAAAGATGGATACAAATGTACACTAATTCTAACAGAAGGTGACTCTGCTAAATCGTTGGCTGTTGCTGGTTTAGCTGTTGTTGGTAGAGACTTTTATGGATGCTTTCCTTTAAGAGGTAAACTTTTGAACGTTCGAGAAGCAGGTACCGATCAAATCATGAAAAGTGGTGCTATCCAAGCCATCAAACAAATTATGGGTTTACAACATAAGAAACATTATGGTCCGGATGATATCAAGGGACTGAGATATGGTAGAATCATGATTATGGCCGATCAAGATCACGATGGTTCCCACATCAAAGGTCTTATTATAAACTTCTTGGAGACCTCATTTCCGGGATTATTGGAAATACCAAACTTTTTGATTGAATTTATTACTCCGATTGTCAAAATTACCATCATGAGTGGTCCGAATCGAAGAAAAACTATTCCGTTTTACTCCATGCCAGAATATGAACATTGGAGAGAAACGGAAGGTACTACTTGTTCATATAAACAAAAGTACTACAAGGGTTTGGGTACCTCTTCTGCACCAGAAATGAGAGAGTATTTTGGCCAATTAGACAAGCACTTGAAAAAATTTGACGCTTTGAAAGAGGAAGACGTCTCATCAATTGATCTAGCATTTTCTAAAAAGAAGGCCGATGACCGTAAGGAATGGTTAGGAGCTTTCCAGCCAGGAACTTATTTGGATCCAACTTTGACTGATATCCCAATTTCAGAATTTATCAACAAAGAACTTATCTTGTTCTCCATGGCGGATAATGTAAGATCCATTCCTTCCGTTATGGATGGTTTCAAACCTGTTCAAAGAAAAATTCTTTATGCTTGTTATAAGCGTAACTTGAAGGATGAAATCAAAGTTTCTCAATTGCAAGGTTACATTTCGGAGCATACTGGTTACCATCATGGTGAAGCGTCATTAATGCAATCCATTATTGGCTTGGCACAAGATTACGTTGGTTCCAACAACTTAAATCTCTTGATTCCCCATGGTGGTTTTGGTTCGAGAGCAGCAGGTGGTAAGGATGCAGCTGCAGCGAGATACATTTTCACTGAGTTATCCAAAATCACTAAGAAGATTTTCAATCCTTTAGATAACCCTCTACTCAAATATCTGCAAGATGATGAACAGACAGTTGAACCCGAATGGTATACTCCTGTATTACCAATGCTTTTGGTGAATGGTTGTGAAGGTATTGGATCTGGTTGGAGTACAAGTATTCCACCTTTTAACCCGATTGATATTATTGAAAACATTCGCCTGCTAATGAAAGGTGAAGAAATGAAAGAAATGCTACCATGGTTTAGAGGATGGGAGGGCACTATAACTAGAGAGCTCAATAAAGACAGATGGAGACTTGAAGGTAAAATTGAAGAGATAGACGATAATACTTTAGAGATCACTGAATTACCCGCCAGAATGTGGACTATTACAATGAAAGAGTTTTTATTGAATGGCTTAGCAGGATCAGATAAACAGAAGGCATGGATCAAAGATATGGAGGAAGATCATGGGGTTGGTGTTAAGTTTATAGTGAAATTGTCAGACGAAGAGATGGAGAAATCCAGAAGAACAGGACTCCTAGAACGATTTAAATTAATTTCAACTATAAGTAGCTCCAATATGGTTGCTTTTGATCCAAATTGCAAAATTAAGAGATATTCAAATGTGAATGAAATAATACAAGATTACTATTACATTCGTTTGGACTTTTATCAGAAAAGAAAAAATTATATGGTGAAAGAGTACTCAAATCAATTAGAAAAGATTAGTTCGCAGGCCAAGTTTGTGAAATTGATCATTGAAGGTGATTTGATTGTTGGTAATAAACAGAAAAAGGTTTTAGTTGAAGAGTTGAAAGGACTAGATTTTCCTGGTTTTGACAAAAACAATGAACCTGTCAATTTGAAACATTCTTCCTCTGTTAAGGTTGAGGAGAAGGACGGGAGTGATGAAGAGGAGGAAGAAGAAGAAACAGAGGATAGAGAATTGGATGCTGTGACCACGGGAGCAGTAGATGCAACAGGGACTGAGAGTACTGGGTTAGTAGTTGTTCATAAGAGGAACCTTTCGCTTTTGTACGATTATTTGCTTGGTATGCCTATTTGGTCTTTGACGAGAGAAAGATATGAAGCTTTGCTAAGATTACAAGGGGAAAAAGAAGAGTTACTCAACACATTGTTACAGAAATCACCTAAGGATTTGTGGAACGAAGATATTGAGGAGTTCTTGCTTGAGTGGGAAAAGTTTTTGAAAAAGGATGAAGAAAATAGATCTAATCTTGTTTCTAATGGTGGTGAAAAGAACGGAACAAAGAGAAAGCGCAAAGCACCAGTCAAAAGAAATACTACTACAACCAAGGCTAAGCCAAGGAAGACGCCTGTGAAGAAGGAAAAAAAGGAAGATAGTGTTGAACCGAAAGCAAAAAAGCCACGTGCTAACGGTAAGGCCACGATGACCAAAGTCAAGAAAGAGGAAATTGCAGATGCCCCAAAGGAAGAGACAAAAGATTTGAATGACTTTGATTCTATATTCAAGGAATTTACTGCTAGTTCTTCGGCATTCAAGGATGGCGATGATGGCATAAAGGAAACCACAGTACCACCAACAGCACCATCGACAACATCTGCAAAATCGTCTAGCAAGAAAACGACAGCAAAAAAAGCTACGAACGGCAGAAAGAAGACGTCACTTGTGAGTGATGATGATGAGGAAGGCTATTCTCAAAGTGTTGATTTGACCAGTGGTGGAGAAGATGAAGATGATTCTGTCAGTGGACCAGCAAGAAGGTCGACAAGAGCAAGAAGGTCAAAAACTCCGATCCAGAGTTATACGTTGGACAGCGAGGAAGAAGCCGTTAGCGTAAATGAATCTGATGATAATTATTCTGAGTTTGAATAAGCTGTGAGTATAAAACTTATATATCATACATATATGCCAATTAAAGTATAAAGATGTCAAAGAAAGGAAGGGCAGAAGGGAAGGAGGGGAAGAGAAGGAAAGAGAAGAAACGAGAAATGCAGATTGTAAGAAAATGAAAGGTAAGAAAAAAAAGCCAAAGGTAAGGAACGATGTAGAGTAGTTAAATGTCTTTGCCCAATGTCCTTTGTGCAAGGACGTAGAGATAGCCTTCGTCGACGATTTCGCCCTTTTTGTCTAGGTATGCCAGGTCGAATTGGCCCATTTCACTGTCGTAGTCGAGGTTGCAGCGTCCGGCGTCTTCGAAATCGAGAGCGAACTTGTTCATGAACTGTCCCCAGTTGTCGGCAATGACGTATTTTGTGTCATATTCCCTTCCGAAAATGATGACCTGGCCGGGAATGCCATCTGTGTCGGGTTCCAAATCGATTGCGATGTGGTTTCCCGTGTTGTCTGTAACGAGGGGTATCCAGTTCGGGTTTGCGTACTGTAACTTGACCTTCTTTGGAGGGTACGACTTCTGGTCAGGAAGCTTTTTGATGTAGTCGTTTTTGGAGTGGGTAGACATGTTTCTCACCAAGTCCGGGTAGTTCTGGAGGTCTTTTTCGGATATTCTGTCGATCTTCTTCACGATCTGGAAGTTTGGGTCGTTGTCAATCAATTTCTCCTCCTTCTCGTAGAGCGCCCGTTCCTGCTGCTTCTCCTCCTTTGCGAACGAGTCCTGTGCGGCATACCTGGCGTTGGACTCTTTGCGGGAGACCTTCCTCCAATAGTTGGTCATGGTGACGACCTCAGCCAAGCTCAGGAGCTGGAGGCCGTACATGATGCCTATTTTGCGGGTCGAGGACGGAGGGATCTCCTGGCCATCGTGAACCATGAAGTACTGCAATACCGGGAGAGGTAGTCTGACGCCGAGGTGCTTCTGTGCCACATGCAAGTCCTTAACGGTACAGGGGCTCGAGAGAGAGTTCAGAAAGTCCTCTGCGTCCGGGATGTCGTCGATGTTGTCGAGCTCGTCCTCGTATTCGAAGTCGTAGTTTTTTGGGTTGAGTGTGAAGTGGCTGTTGGACCCATCGGCGGCGCCCTTCATGTCAAGATTGATCACGTCCTCGATGATGTGCCAGGCGTCTAGCACCAATTGGGCCTGCTGCTTCTCGTCCGCCGAGTACCCGGATTCGTCGAGCTGATCAGAGTACCCGCTAGCAACGCCGCCGGTGTCCTTCGCCTCCTCTGCGTCACTGTCGTCCGACTCTGTCCCAAGCGATCTGACGGCCTTGGACGAGTGGTAGCCGGCGTAGCGGTCGTTCGAGGTGAGTGTGTACACTAGTTCGTTCCACTTCTTGCCCAAAAAGCCCATTGCGTGTTCTCTGCGTGTTCTCTGCGTGTGTCTTGACAGTGGTTCCTTCTACAGTCCCAATTCTGGCTCCTGTCTTCCAACAGCAGCGTGCGTGTCCCAGCGGCATGCTCCTCTTGGCTCTTCTTGAGCAGAACCAGCCGTCTCCTGAGCACAGCAGCGGGGTCCCACTCGGAGCGGCGGTTACGTCAGACGCCGCGATGTTTCATGATGGCGGCTGAAGGCGACCGTGGCAGGCGGATAGGAATAGAATAATAAATAAGAAGATGTAGATGTAGAATATGTGTATAGGGCTACTACAGATGGACGGCTGGAGGCCGTGGCGTGTCCTGCGGGCCGGGACGGGTCCGTCGAGAGACTCGGCTGCTCTGTGGAGACGGACGCCGGGCGCCGGCAGAGAGGTAGGGTGGCGGTGGATGCGTGTGGGGCTCGCTCATGCAAACAGCAAGGCCAAGGCGGAGACGGCGGTCAAGCCCAAGACGGCGTAGCCGGTCTTGTAGACGCCCTTGATGTTGGCCTCGTGGCCCGAGTCCCACACCATGTGTCTGACACCGTTCCACGCGTGGAAGGCGAAGGGGACGCCGGCGACGGCCTTGAAGGCCACCTTGGCGGCGACAGGGAGGCCCGCAAAGAAGGTCACCAGCGATGCCGTGTCGACCAGCCCGACCGCGTAGGAGCTGGTCACCACCAGGAAGCCGGCCGCCAAGCCGACCCCGGTGATTCTGTGGAGCGCAGACAGCACGGCCGTCAATTGCTTTTCGTAGATCTCCAAGTGAGGCGAAACCGGTCTGTTCTTTCTCTGGGCCACGAGGATCGACTCCTCCTCCACAGGCGTGGCTCTGACCGTGATGATGTTTCTCATGTGCAGGCTAGGTCTGATGATCCCGCCTCTGGCGGAGCTGGCCATGGAGGCCCGTGTGAGTCTGGTGAGGTTTGCTGCGCTGAACATGCTTGCTGTGTGCTTGTCGGTGGCTTCGTTCCCTGACTTCCTTTCGTGTCCCCTCTTCTGCCTTCTCAGTGGCAACAACCTCAGCAGAAACAGGCTCATATACCTCCATCCCCTCTCCATTGCCCCCACTGCTGGGAACGCCAGGCCGCGACTGCTCGCCCAATCACCCGCTACGGATTTCTAAGGACGGGTCCGGGGCCGGGCCTCGGCTGCAGACGTGTTTTATCCGAGTGAGAAGGTGAAGACGGGGTAGGGGACGGAAGGAAGGGAGGTACGGAGTAGGGGTACGGAGTAGGGGTACGGAATGCTGTTCAGAAGTGCATTTATGTTATGTATTGTTTATAGAACCATGAGGAAAGAGCTAGAAAAGAGGTTGTGTTTGTGTTCTTGAGGAGAGGGAGAAGGGAGAAGGAGGAAGGAAGGAGGAGGAGGAAGAGAGGCAGATCAACACCACATCTTGTAGAGCTTGTAGTAGAAGGGCTTGGACGCAATGTAGGCCCGCTCCTCCTCGATCTCCTGCATGAGCAAGTCCCAGTCCTCGACACGGCGGCCCGTGTCGAGGTCGACGTCCTTCGCTCTGACAAGGAAGGTCACCTTGAACTTCTTCCACACCAAGAAGATGAGGAAGAAGAAGACTAGCACGACCGCGTTCAAGTAGTTCTCGAAGAAGTTGTATGCGTCGGGCTTGTTCGTCGGGAACAAGGAGAACCAGAACTCCGCCATCAAGATCAACACGTTCAACAACACCCCCCACAGCGAGCCCCACACGCCCGAGAGCGCCACAAAGGACAACTCCTTGGTGCTTCTTCCCTGCACCTTGAGCGCTCTTCTGAACCGCACGTGCGTGAAGCAGATCGACATCCACGTGAACACCGACGACAAGCCGGAGATCGCCATCATCCACGCAAACGCCACCGCCTCCTTGTCCGAGGCCGCAAGGAAACAGAGCAACCCGAACGCAAGCGCAATCCCAACCCCGACAAGCGGACGACCCTTCCGGTCAATGTAGCCAAACCACCGAGGCCCGAACCCCTGGTCGGCCAACGACGCAATCGTTCTCGACGAGCCAAACACCGCCGAGTTTGCAACAGAGAGAACCGCAATCAAAATGACAACGTTCATCACCGATGGCAAGCCCTTAATCCCGGCATTTCTGATCGCAATGACAAAGGGCGACGCTGCGGCGTCCGCAGAAGAGTTACCCATCAACCGTGGGTCGTTGTAGGGCACCAAGAGACCGATCAAAACCAACGAGACCATGTAGAACAAGGTGATTCTCCAGAAAACCTGCTTTGTGGCAGACGGCAACGTCTTTCTTGGGTTGGCTGTTTCCGCAGACGTTAACCCCACCAACTCGGTACCCGAGAAGGAGAACGCAGCTGTAGTGAAAACACCACATAGGCCCTTGAATCCGTGGTGGAAGGCGCCCGGGTTGTACCAGTACCGACCCCCAATGTAGCCACCAACAGGTCCACCTCCACAGTTCAACACAATACCCAAAATGATGAACCCGAGAATGGCTGTCACCTTGATGGTCGAGAAGATAAACTCCGCCTCACCATAACCCTTGACACCAAACAAGTTGATAAAGACAATCAAGCAGTAGAAGATCGAAACCCAGGCCGCCGAGTTGATAGTGTCGTTCCAGTATCTGATGGTCAACGACGATGCAACCAACTCCAACGGCATGACAATGATCCACTGTAGCACGTAATTCCATGCCATGCAGAACCCCCAAATCGGAGAAATGAACCGAGTGTTCAAGGAAAGGAAAGACCCTGCCACAGGGTAGGCCACAGCAAGCTCACCCAATGCTTGCACAGTGCAGAAAATCATCGTACCAATGAGAAAGTAACAGATGACCAATGACGCCGGCCCACCAGTGTGCAAGGCGGTACCAGAACCAACAAACAAACCAGTACCAATGGCACTACCAATGGCAATCATCTGCACATGTCTGTTTTTCAAACTACGCTTTAACGGAGTTCTGGCGGCAATCACGTTCGCCCGTTCTGTTTCGGATAAGTTTGGATCGATGTCCCCCAAGTCGAGCTGTTTGAAACCGTCGATAAAGTCTCTCCAAAAGCCTACCTTCTCGCCGGTGGCACTGGCGGCGTAGGCGTCCTTCGATGCAACCGAGCCAGCATTGCTGATGGTCTCGTCCTCGTAAGTCACCATAGGGTTTGCCTTGCTTTCCGCGTAGGACACCGTCGGATTGATTTTGCTGTCCGGGTGTGTCGGGGTCACCCCCTCACCGAAATGTTCCATTTCGTAGTCATCAGCAGCAAACGCAGACATACTGTGATGTTACTATGTTGCCTCTGTCTTTTGTGCTGTCTGAAAGACCTGAGGTAAAAAAACTGAGAAAGAAAAAGAAAAGAGAGCAAGACAGCAAAGAAGAAAGAAAAAGGAAGAAGGACGAAAAGAGGAGGAGGGAAGAAAGGATACGAGCAACAAAGGCGCTCGTTACTGAGCTGGTGGAGATGACGAGATGACGAAACGAAACAGGACATGAAAAATAGTGAACCGGGATGTGACGAAACAGAAAACAATGGAAAAAAAAACCAGCGTCCCCTCTCTTTCCTACACTTCTCGTCGAGAGATGAGCTCTGCTGATAAGAACATCGAATGAGATCCTCTGTCCGGCCCGTTTCCCCGTCGCCGTAAAGCCTGTTAATGCCAGCAGCACCGGCGACGGTGCCAGGCTTCGCCGTTGTCTTCGCCAGGAACTTCCCGGTCCATCGCCTGTCACAGCCACAGCGCTCCGGCGCAGGACGTGCCCACGCTACTCGAAGCAGTAGCAGGCGCCTCGTTGAGGGGGGGCAAGCACAAGGCAATGGGTCCGAAATGCCCGGGAAAACTGGCATTAAACGTCCGACAGCCTCCACCGGCGCCAATGCCAGGCCTGTACCGGCCGCAGGCGCCTTGGCGGCTGCACTGACACATGTGTCACTATGTCTTTGACGTCAAAGGTGTCAAAAGTGACACTTTTTCCACCTGCCAAACGGCAGGCGCGGGGCGCGCGTAGGGCGTTTCGGGGGCATTGTGGGCAATGCCCTAAAGGCCTCGGCATTTCTGTGACGGCGAAAGGTGGCAGGAAATTCTACGTCATGCACCAGCGGGTATAGGGCATGAGGACGGTGGCGGTGCATGCAGAGCTTAAAATCGTTATTAGAGAGTTAATATAAAGAAGCATGGAAGTAGTAGGTTTATAGAAAGAAGAAAAACAAAAAAGAAAACAATAACTGGATAGGTGGAAGGATGGATAAGTAGATAGATAGATAGATATAGATATAGATAGATAGATAAATAGTAAGGAGTTGGAGAGGATGAGGTGTGGTTAAGAAAATGTAGATGCAGAAAGCTTATGGGAACAGGACGGGAAATTCAACAATATCAACAACAACAGTAATAACATTAGAACAGTAATAACAATAACAGCATAGCAAAAACGTATAGCATAACATGAGGGATGCCGGAACACCGCAGAAAGACATGGATAAAAGTGGGGAAAAAATAGTGATGAAATAAAACCATTGAAAGCAAACAAAAGTGAAAATGAAAATTATAACGATAATGGACAAAAACAATGAGAGTCAGAATGAGAATGGGAACGATTATGATAGTGAGAAATGAGAATGATAAAAATCAAAACATATTAGTGGTAATAAGGGCTTGATGGCTTCTTGCTCGTTGGTGCCGGGTGCTTGCAGAAGTGAAGATTGACGACTGAGCAGCAAACAGCAAAAGCAAAAGCAAGATCAGGTTAACACCAATATCATAACATTGTAGCAACATAGAAGAACTTGTAGGGTTCGGAGGTGGGTAAGAAAGGAGGGGGACCTCAAGAGTTGTAGAGGTTGGAACCAAGGTCCAACTGGTCGAGGTTCCCATCACGGGCCGCAAGCAACAACTTGTTCAGCTTCAGCTCATCGTTGGAGCTCATGCTGCTGTATGGGATTTGTTCGTTCTGGAAGTTGTACTGGTCCACGGAGTATCCATTCAGGTTCAACATCGTGTCGTTCACATTCACATACGAGTCGAACAGACCCAAACTGTCAGCCATGCTCTGGTTCTTTGACATGTTCAGCAACACGTTGATGTCGTTGTTGGACAGCTGGTCCAAATTCTGAGTCGACGACGACGATGAAGTCGACGAAGCGGGTGCAGGAATCTGTGCCAAGTGGCTCAGAGAGAGATGCTGTTGTTGTTGTGGCTGTTGCTGTTGCTGCTGTAGTTGAAGCTGTCTTGCAAACCAGCTTCTTTGAGCAGCTCTAGCACCCCAACTAACTCTGATTTTGCATCCTCCACCAATGTCGTAACCTTGCATCTCGTTGATGGCCATTTCTGCACTTGCCCTATGAAAAAATTGGACAAACCCACAGTTTTTGCCTGCAGGAATCTTCACGTAGCTGATGTTACCGTATTTGGAAAACAGATCAAACATCTGCTTCTCAGAGAAAGGAACATTGAGGCCACCAATGAAAACAGTAGTATTTGCAGGATCATTAAAATACTGGACAGAGGTGTTCTGCGGTAATGGCTGTAACAACGATCTATTGGAAAGGTTTTGGGGTGAATTTCCCGGTTGCTGTTGCTGTTGAGATTGAGATTGAGGTTGTGATTGAGATTGAGGTTGATGTTGTTGTGAATTAAATTTGTTAAGAATTTGCTGCTGTTGTTGTTGTTGTTGTTGTTGTTGTTGTTGTTGTTGTTGTTGTTGTTGTTGTTGTTGTTGTTGATGTTGTTGTTGTTGTTGATGTTGCTGATGCTGTTGATGCTGTTGTTGATGCAGTTGTTGTTGTTGCTGTGGTATACCAGCATTAATATTTGCAGGAATAGAGCTATTTGAAGACATCATAGTGGATGGCGACATGTTGGTGTTCAATGACGTGTTGGACACATTCGAATGAGAAGTTAAAGTTGTGCTCAGCAATGGGGAGAAAGTGTTATTATTGTTGCTTGACGTAACATTTCCATTGTTATTCCCACTGTTGGTATTTGGAAGCGAGGAGTTTGATTTCGAAGCAGTTGATACTCTGATCGCTCTCCCCAAAAGAACGCAACCTTGCATCTCGACCAGCGCTTTCTTCTGTTCATCTTCATTGAGGAACTTAACAAACCCATAGCCTTTGATGTTACCTGTTGTTTGGTCAACCATTATCTTCACACTGGTGCATGAGGGATACTTGGATTTAAAAGTTTGCAAAAGAATCTGTTCGTTGATGTTTTGAGGCAAATCACCGACAAAGATCGAGTACTCGACCGGGTTTGAGGATGCAGTCAATGGTAAAGTGCTGGTAGCGGCAGCGGCAACTGCAGCAGCTTGTATGTTAGCCGACGACCAGTTTAGTCTGAAGTAGTGCTGGTTATTGGTGCCTGGAATTGGTTTTCCATTGAATGTGTTCAAAACTTTGGAGGCATCTTCAAAGTTGTGGAATCTTATGAAACAGTATCCTGCATTGGCCAAGCCCAACTGAGAGCTTTGCTTATCTTTGATCAACTTGACGGAGTGAACAACGATACCCATGGAGCTCAACAAACTGGTCCAAATCTGTTTGATGGTCAACTCGTCCCATCTTTGGTCCAGCTCTCCCATCCATAACTGAGGAATTTGACCGTTAGTGTTTATAGAGGTCTGGGAGGAGGACGTGGAAGTAGGGGTGTTGACAGTGTTGCTGAGTGAGTTCATGGTGTTCATGGTATTCATGGTATTCAGAGAAGCCTGGTTTGAGTGGGCGTCGTAAGAAGGGTTGTTGCTGTACATGATGAGTTGGAATGCTTGTTAAATGTTGAAGATTGAAAAATGTAGTGTTTATGGCTGTTGTTGATTCTTATTAGTGAATGATCAGAGAGCATATAAATGGTGGCAATGGCAATGAAACTGTATTCGGTAGACTGAAAATAGGATGGATCAGTATGGATAAACTAAAAGTTGGAAGATAGTAACAATGGCAGTGGCAGTATAGTAATATAGTAATAGAATGATAAGAAATAAAAGCAGTGATATAGTCTATGCAATAAGATGTGGGAAGAATGGAAATACCCAAGAGATGTATTGGTTCTTAGTACTGGTGGTGACGCTGGTGGTGGAGATCTTTGCTCTGGGGCTTTGATTCTATAAACTGTCTCAGTAAGATCGAAATGAGGTGAAAAGAAATGAAGTAAAAAATAAAGTAGGATAAAAGGATGAAAAACAAAGGAGAAGTGTCGACCTTTTCAACCAGCAATAAAGCAAATGAAAAATAGCGTGGAGTGACGAATATAATAGAGTGGGGGAGATGGATTCAGCGGCGATTTTAGACGCTGTGTGAGATGACGGATATCAGTGTGGGAGGGGTGCTGATACTGCTAACGGATCGTTGATCGGTGAATCGGATGGGTCGAGCAAAAACGTGTGTGTGGACAGCTTATCCCGGCGGTGGTACAGTGTTGTCTTGTTCAGAAGTGTGTGTGTGCGTGGGTGTGAGTGTGTGTGTGTGCGTGTCTGACGTGTCTATGAGGGGGTGTCTGTCTGAGGGGGTGTCAGGCTCAGGCGTTCTGTGCATACATATACGTTCCTCCCGTGTATGTCTCTCTTGCTATATACAAAGAGATATATAGGTGTGTTGCCGATCTGTGTGCAAGACGCCAGACGATTCGCCCAAAACACGGGGAGCCAGCAGGAAAAGACCAACAAGAAGGCAAAAGCTCAGGCTCCCAGAACGGAGGCACACCGAGACTGACACGGACGCAAAAAAAAAATCCAGCACCAACTTGAAAAAAAAGAAAGAATACATGAAAAAAACGAAGACTCGTTCCTGGGGGGTCTCCCCGACCGATGCTGGTGATGCTGTCTCCTTGCCGCAGGCCCCTTTTGTGTATGCCCGCTGCGGCACGGGGCCGTCTTTCTCCCGTGTCCGGGTGCTGCCAGCCGGTACCCGGCATGGTGTCTGGCATGGTATACGGCCCCGGCAGTCCTGTTGGCCCGCCAGACCGCCCGTCGTCCCCCTGTCCTGCGCCCTCCAGCCCACTCTCCGGCCCTGCCCGTCGGCTGCCGGAGCCCCAATCCGGCAGCAACCCGACACGCCGCTTCCGCTTTTTCCCAGCGCGCCCGGCCCGGCTGCGGGTGTCGGCTCGGACGACTAGACGTCTCGGGCGGGGACGGACGTAGGGTGGACGTGGAGCTCGGCGGGACAGCAGCAGCGGGACGGGGGTTAGCGTGGGCACTAAGTGGTCGTGACGCATGGACGGGCTGCACGGCCGGCAGATACGGCGGGTCGTTTTATTATGCTTGGACAGCCGGCATTGTGGTAGCGGGGGGTCGCGTAGAGGCGGCAGTGCCGATCCTCGTTGGTGGCCATTAGTCATTAGTAATTGTGCCGGCTCACGCCCTCGGGGATCGCAGCAAAGCCTTGATCAGCTCTCTGCGCACGCCGTGGGTGAACATGTCGCTCTCGAAACACTCCCGGATGCTGAGGCGCTTGCGGCTGTCGACCTCGAGACAGCCCTTGACGAAGCGCTTGGACGTGTCAGAGACGGCGGTCCAGCGGGCGCTGGTGTCGACGTAGATGGCGCCGCGGCGGCTCTTGGAGATGGTCTGCTCGAGGTTGTCGCTGTAGAAGGGCGAGATTCCGGAGAGCAGGATGTGGCTGACGACGCCCAAGGACCAGCTATCGACCTTCTCGGTGTACCTGTTGGTGCGGGCTGCGGCGGCGGAAGCGCCGTCGCCGCCGTCGCCGTCGCAGCCCTTGTGGATGAAGAAGTCCTCCGCGTTGTTCCAGCACTCCTTCTTGCGCTTGGACAAGTTGATCTCGGGCGCTGCGTACTCGGCCGTGCCGACCATCGTGTTCATCCAGTAAGCCTCCCGGCCCCGGCGGCCTCGTGTCCGGCCGAGGCCGTGACCGCTGCCGCTGTCGTCGATGTTCACGTAGTCACTGCTCATAACCTGCGACTCGCCGAGCGGCAGATGCTGCTTAGCAATGCCAAAGTCGCCGATGGCCAAATGCGGGTACCGGATCGGGGCGCCCATGACGAGGATGTTGTCGAGCTTGAGGTCACGGTGGACAATCCCACGCCGGTGGAGGAAGTACAAGCCGTTGCAGATCTGGTAGAGCGCCACGACAGCCTCGCTCTCCGGGAGTGCCTTCAACACCTGACTGTCTTGGGAAAGATAGGAAAACAAGTCGCCTCCAACAGCTAGCTCTTGAAACAACTTCATTGCGCCTTGCTTCTCGTCGATGATGCTTTCTCGGATCCTGATGATATTCGGATGCTCGATCTTGCTCAAAATCTCATGTTCAATCTTGCTGCGCTCGTTCTCCTGGCTCACCATGATGGTTTTCACTGCGTAGTATCTGCCTTTCTCCTTCTTGTTGTAGGCAATCTGGACCTGTATTCAGAAAATTGAAAAAAAGGGAAAGTAATTCACGTTAGTAATATGATGGTGCAACGAGCCTCCAACTTATCAAAAAGAGCATACCTTTCCAAACGTGCCGAATCCTAATACTTCGGGGAGTACCACCCAGTTTTTGATCTCACAGTTTCTATCTATGCCGACCTCCGTAACTTGCCCTCCCGTTTGGTTCACTTTATACTGAAATCCAATGGTGTCGTACAACGTGACGAAGTCCGTATTGTGCAAAACACGGTAGTTCCCCTTACCAACAGGTACGTTGTTGACAAAGCAATTGTTGGTGGACACATCCTGGAAATAGCAAACAGGGGGCGTATCTGAATCAAACTGGATCATCCACACATAGCAATGGGTTGAAGAAATATGTGGGTCATCAATTTCCACTCTGAAAACTCGGTCGTCATTCTCGTCATGTGGTAATCTGCCAAATGCGATAATGCAGTTTTTCTTTAGGGGAATACTCACTTCTGAGTTCAAGAGCCATCCATTAACTTCTTCGCCATACATTGTCTCTATTTCTCCTTTTTGTTTTGTTCTTGCTACATAAAAACAGCTTTATAAGAAAAGATGTAGTACAAAAGAAATGCTTGGCGAAACTTCTGAGCCACCTTTTATTTCCATTTTTTATCGCTCAGCCAGATCAGTAATTATAGAAACAAAAAATTACAGTTCTATACATTCATGTTTATACATGTCATCAGCAAAAAAGATTCCATCTAGAGCCGGCTCTTTAGTATCCCGTCCATTGTCTGGATACAAATCGCCATAGTACCGGTACATGGGGGACATCTGCACCAATCTTAGCTCAGTTTCCTCTTGCTTTAAACACTCTTTCATCATCAGCGCCAACTGCTTCCAATGATGTGCACCAGCAGCAAATGTGTTCGAGATGCTGACTTCTTTTCCCCTGCTATAACATACAAAAATACCCATATTAGGTGCATATGGACCCTCCAAGCACCATTTTCTCAAAAGTCGTATCAAATCATTAAGTGTAGCTCCCAATTGAAGCCGTAAAGATATCCCCGCTCGGGAAATCACCTTTAAAAAAGTTAATCCATAATCTCTCGCATGATTGCTGTTTTTTCCTTGCTCAAAATGCAAACTGCTCAACCTCTCTGTAATATTTTCCTCCCTCTGCAGCATAGAGTAGTTGTTATCGTCATCTGTTGAGCATTCACCCTCATCCATTTGAATCGGTTCCTAGTGGGTTTCCTAGTCGTTCTTTGTTATATCAATGTAGCCTCCATGTGTTCCGCTGTTTTCTATCTCAGCCAAAACAGAGGACAAAAAAAGACGTGATCATTCCACGGTCAACGTCTGATAATGTTTATGTTTGCGACCGCTAGCTAACCTTCCCCGCAAAAAAATACAACACTTTGCCCAACCCATAGATAAGCAGCTGAATCCTCGAAGCGACAAAAAACAAAAAATACGTTGTTTTCTTTGTTTCCCATTCCGGAAAAAGTTTGCTTTCCTCCTCCAATCGGATCTTCATCACACAATAGAGTCATCTTTCGTTTCCACGTAGTACCACTTGGTTCCGACATTTAGATTGAACGGATTCTTGTCTATACTATCTTTGTTTTCCTCAGTTATCGCATACTCTTCGATGTTCTTGATTCTGCCAACGAACCACTCTTTTTCTTCTAACTTGGAAAGATCTTTCAGTATGCTGCTTTTTAGATAGTAGTTGGGAGATCCGATGTTGAATACTGCCCACGGTTGCTTTTTCGCGTCCTCGGTGTTGGCCCCTTCTGTGACCGGGACTAATGTTTTGAGAAAGAGTACTAAATCACCATTCTGAAAGTTACGTAAAACAAGCTGCTGAGATACTTTTTTAGTAAGGGACTTTATCTCGCCCTTAAGCTTGACTTTCTCCTTCTGTAACTTCCTGGCTAAAGACTCGACATCCTCGAAACGTTTATGCACCCGCCCTAAAATCAGATCATGCTCAATCAAGGTATGTTTGATAAACTCGTTATATTTTTCTTCCAGATCCGCTTCTGAATACACTTCGATTACGGATCTCAGCTTAACATCGTAGTTATTGAGTGATTCAAATATTCCTTCGATCTCTTTGATTTTTGAAGAGTGTAGCTTTTCGTTTGTATTTTCTACACTTTCACTTTCCCCGAACTCTACTTTATCGCTTTGATAAGAAAATCCTTTGAGTTCCTCAAGTTTTTCTTCCATTTGCGGAAGCCACTCTAATTTACTTCTCGAATCGTTAATCAGGTCTGATGCAACAACTTCCAAAAAAAGCATGTCGTCATCCACTTCATCAATGCTGGACTTTTTCGAAAATAAGTCTTTTTTCGTATACCTTAGTCCTTTAACCCTTTTGATTTCCATACCATTTTTTTCGTCCACTAATAACAAGCCCATAATCTCCAAAATTAAACAGAATGTTTCCATATCACCATATACGAGTTTACTGAGATCACGTAATTTGTTGAATGCAAAAGATAAAATTGACAAAACATTGTTTATTATACCATCGGTGTCTTTTACTTTGTCCATTACCCTATCATATTGATTTTTGATGTCAAGCAATTCCTCAATCCGTAGTTTAAGATCGTTTTTTTCCTTTTGATTTAGTTGGTTTTCGCTCATCAACTCGTTTTCTTTATGCGACATATTCTCCAATAAATCTTTATTCAGAATATTTAGTTCAGTAATGTCCGAATTTAGTTTATAATTTTTATTCTCAAGACCCTTGTTCTCCTCTAAAAGCTTCTCAATTCGCTGTTGCAGACCTTCAATATGTTTATCCTTCTCTTCGAGATTTCTAGCATTATCGTCAAGTTTGGCCTGATAGTTTTTGACCTGAAGGAAATTAACCTCCATTTCTCTCTTCATCCTCGTAATTTCTTCACCCACCTGGCTTGTTTTGAGCTCTTCAACTTCTTGATTCAATCTTTGATTTTCCCTTTCGAGCTGTTGGATTTTTTCAGTGTAGTGACTAGGGGGCAGTTTGATGGTTTTTCTACCTAGAACTCCAGATGAACTGGCAACAATTTTCTCTTCTGCAGAATTATCAACAACGTTGACAATAGGGGTATTAGAATTGGTTTGCGACCATCTATTGTTAAACTGCTGAAATCTTTTTTCATGTAACAAATTTTCAAGTTTTTGTATTCTTTCTTCATAAATTCTTACTAGTCCGGTATCCACGGGTGGTTTTTCTGCTTTTTGTGTTCCTATTTTCAGCTCTATGGTAACTCCACTTGACTCGAAACTTTTGATGAACTTTTTGAAAATTTTCATATAATGTTGATCTTCATAATCAAAACTACCTAGATCATCAATGTTACCAGATTTGTAAAGGACACTTTTTTCTTTATTAGTATTAAGTTTTATAGGTTCATCAAGTCCCATATCCTTCATATAAGTTTTTAGCTGATTCAACAAACTTGTCTTATATTCTGAGTTTTCAAGACACTTCAAATAATCCATTATATCCTTCATGGTCACAGACGTTAACAAACCCTCAAAATAGGAAATACTCGAGTTTTTCAGTAAGTCGTTGTAAACCGTAGTAGAGCTCGGAATAGTGTCAAGCTGATGACTTTTATTCGGAAACCCATTAAAGTTTTGAATTATTTTATTGAATGAGGCCAAATAATTGCTTGTATCTGAGCTTTGCCGCTTGATTGTGGGCGTACTGTTGATCTTACCCCCGTCATCAGAAGTCAGATGAAACTGGAAAAGATTTTCTAGAATAAATTTATTTTTATACTCATTGTCACTCAAAAAGATAGAGTCCGCCTTCTCTACTCCTATACCTTCAATAAACTCTTCGTGCCATTTGGTTCGATTGTTTCTTTCGATATAATTTAACATTTCAAATACTTCATTTGACTTTCTTGAAATCTTTTTCAATGAGAGACCATATTTGATATTTCCCAAAAGGGCTATAACCCAAATGCCAAACAGTAATGGTAGATCTACAACTAATGATAGTTGAAGTTCACTATTTTGCAGAAGCTCAATATTGGAGGCTAGTTCAGAGTTCAGTAATTTGGTCGCATCCCGTATTGACAACTGAATTTGAACAACTCCAAAAAGCATTGATCTTACAACTTTCTTTTGAAGCTCTTCTCGGACAGCAGAGTACTTGTGTTGAATCTCGTATAATTCATTTGCTAAACTAGTTATTTGCTTAACATAATTGTCTCGCTGGGATCTATACTGGCCAACTAGAGACATAATTTTTTTAATTGCATCTTGTGACAAATAAGTTGATAGTTGGCTGGATGTAGTTATCAATTCCTCGAAAGAAGGTAATCTGTCACTGTCACTAGTCATTTCATTCACATGACTTTCTAACTGTAGAAAAATGTCTTTTGATTTGATCATTGTTTCTCTCTCTGATATTTCCCACTCGGGTTTTAGATATAGTGCCTTATAAGACTCATACTCATTTATTATATTCTCCTTTTGCTTGATGATGTCGTTTTCAACTAAAGACCTGAGCTCTCCAAAAAATTTATTGATTTTTTTTGAAAGTATTTTGGACTTCTTTGAAGCACCAATAGTTTGGTCCAGATTGATAAGATCAGAGAGATTCAACGTTCTTTGCTGCTTGGTTGATTTATCTGTGTAAGAAAATGAAATTTTTTCTAGTAGCCCGAAACAACTTTCCCATTTATCCGACAAACTATTCACCTTGAGGTTATTAAATGTGTCCAACACAGCGTTAAACTCCTTTTCCAAGTTGACAAATAAGTTTGATACATACTGTATCAAAGAATTCAAAGCTCGTAAAATGTTTTCAACAATTTCATAGTCACGATAATAGACGTTGTTGAATAGAGCACTTTTCATATCAGACAGAAGAGCAGATGCCCAGCCTGAGTTCCTTTTAAGCAAATTCAACAGAAGCCTCAAGCTATCAAAGTCTAAATCAGAAGAGTTAATCCTAATTTCTTCGGAATCGTAAGTCAACGCCTCTATAGCCTTAATGAAACTGTCCATGTTTGCGTTCAAAATGGGTGGTTCACGAGGCTTAATCATGAATATCAGTTCATCATTAACAATAGTGGACAACAACTCGTTTATTATAGCATCTTTTCGGTCAGCTCTCACCAGCATTGGATTGAAGAATTTTCTATCGAAGGCAAAAACCTCATTTATTTGCTCATGAACAATCATGGAGAACTTTAGCTTTATCCCAAAAGGTGTCAATAGAAACAATCGCTCTATGTCAATCTTTAGAACCTGAGCAATGTAGACCTTGAAAGAGTCCATATTATTAAAGATATCGAATGGAGCAGTCACTTTCACACCTGTGAATGCATTGTAGATTGATAAGCTCGATTGAGGATTAGCATTTGTATCTGACCGATTAGGATCCAACAGCGTTGAGCCTTTCAAAAAGGTAGATACAATAGACGCTGAAAACAGTCGGTTATTGTTGTTGTATACTGAATTATTCATTCCTGGGGTCTGAAGAACAAAATTTGGCCAAAAGAAATAACAATATTAGAGTATCAGTCACTTATCGGACTTTGGTTTGACTGTGGCAAATAACGTTATTGCGGTCTTTTCCAAACGAATATCAGTTAGCAAAATGTGTTCCCACTCTAAAAACTGTATTGGGCAACCTTTGTGTCAAAGAGTTTCTTTTACAAGCTGCTGAGTGTATTACTCCCGCTTGTTTCTAATATAGACATGTTTGGAAGTGATTGCTCACAATCATCTCAAGATGATAGATAGATAACTAGCGATGTCTAAAGAATGAGCCACTTCCTCGCGGTGCACGGGAGTTCCGGGCTGGTCACATGAGCTATTGTATGGGTCTGCCATTTGTCTAAACTTCCAAGGAGGCAGAACAGGGGAAGGCTACAAGAAGGAAAATAACAAAGCAAAAGTTATAAGAAAAAGGACAAACCGAGCAACTATGGTGGAGTTGTCTGACATAGAGATACGAAGTGTCTGTTTAGACACGTCCGTGCGGAGTCGAGAGAAGGTTGATCAAGAGATTGCCGACGTTGAGGCGATAACGAACAAGCATTTGAGTGAGCCGTACTCAATATACGTTTATCGATTCTTCATCAATAACTGGCCCGATCTTTGCTTGCAAGCTTTTCATGACGGAAAGCTTGTCGGAAATATAATAAGCAAAGTTGAGCCTCACCGAAACGCACGTGTGAGAGGGTATATTGGAATGCTATCTGTGGAGAATGAATACAGGGGCCTCGGCATAGCCAAAAAACTTATATCGGAAAGCATCATGCTCATGATCAGCAAGTACAAATGCGACGAGATCACCTTGGAAACGGAGGTGATCAACAAGAAAGCCCTCAAGTTGTATGAAAATTTCGGCTTCATCAGGATCAAGCGATTGTTCAGGTACTACATGAACCGACACGATGCGTACCGACTTGTTCTTCCTGTTACGGAGAAATCTACGGTGTGCTCCTCGCAACTTCCGGAGCTTGAGAACGCGGTCGAAGCATTGTATTGATAACCCCTAGATTGTAAATAGACATTTTTTGTTAATGACAAAATTAAATGATAAAGATAAAAAAAGTAAAATACACAGGAACTGTAGAATGGGGTGAGAAAGCGAAACAACCAACAGGACTACTCTTCGTCCTCGAACTTAGGAGCCAAGTAGTATCTGAGGTACCCACTAGGAAGCTTGAACTCGAACAGGGCAGGTGCTTTGTCTGTCAACTTTATGGTAATGGTGGAGGAGAGGGTAGAGGCCTTGACAATGTCGTTCAAGTACTTTGCACCAAAGGTCAAGTTGACTGGCTGGTTCATGTCAATCTTGATGCTTTCGTCTGGGTTGTCCAAGTCTGTGTGTGGTTTGAAGATGACGCTACCGGACCCGATCTGGCCTTCTGCCTTGAACTTAACGGACTCCTTGGTGACAATGATTTGAAGAGACTCACTCATCGTCTTGAAGTCCCTGGCAATCTTGGAGAAGTCCGCAGAAGGCATTGTTATCGAACAGTCGTTGTCCATGTCGTCGATCGTCAACACGTCCGAGTCGATGTCCATCAACTTGAGAGAGAACTCGGAGATTCTGTCCTTCTTCTTGTCCTCGAAAACAATCAACAACGAGTCTGGATTGTCTTCCGCAATCAGCGTCAAGTAGTCTTCATTGTTACCCTGCTTCAAGATCTTGCCAAGCGACTCCAAGTCGAGACCCAACACCATGTCTCTGTCACATCTGAACTCCTGGAAACAGCCCGGGTCCATTTTCAACGCAATCAAAAGGACTCTCGAGTCGTCGATCGCTTGCACGGTGATACCGTCATTCTGCGAACAGTTGAAGTTACAAAGCTTCACCGAGTCTCTGATCGAGTCGATAATCTGTACGAGGCGACCGCACAATGCGGCGTTTCTCTCTGGTTAGTATCCTTCGTGGCAAAAAGAGTGCTTGGAGCAAAAAAGAGCTGATAAAAACCTACTTTTTTCAATAGAGACGCTTGGTCAAATTTTCCCTCTAACATCTTTAGCTGTGTATGTGTGTTTCTGTGTGTTTTTCTATATATTCACGGCTTTGCTACTCTTCAGGGCAAGAAAAGGTGCAAGGAGAAGCCGCCATATTTCAGGCTTGCAAGAACAGCTACGCGTCTGCTGCTCCCTCTGCGCTTCTCTGCTCGTCCGTTTCAACTCGTCCTGCTTTCGCGTCACAGCCGGCGGCGGGGCGATCGCCCGCCATGAGCGGCCGCTGGGGTTCTCTTTCGCTTCTGGTTGACAGCAGCGGTGAGCCGATAAGGAAGACCGATGGAAGACGTTCTGAACGAAGAACAGGTCTAGCCGTAACGGGCCCCACAGGAAGGCTTGACAACGCCGGGTTCCGCTAAGAACCGCAGCAGATCCAACCCAACAGTGCGCCGGTATGGACCTCGTCAAGAACGCTATCTGGGGACCGGACCCCAAGGAACAGTACCGGAAATGCCTGCAGTCACTGCGAAAGAATAAGAGGCAACTCGACAGACAAATCCAGGACTTGAACAACGTGGAGAAGAAGAGCAAGTCGCTCATAAAACAGGCGGCGAAAAAAAATGACATGAAATCTGCCCGGCTGTACGCCAAGGAGCTCCGCAACACGCAGAAGGTGAACGAGCGCATGCACGTTTCCAGAGCCACGCTGGACTCGATCGAGCTAAAGCTGAACGAGCAGCAGCAGTTGATCAAAATCAAAGGATCGCTCCAGAAGTCGACGGCGATTATGCAGGACATGAGCCAGCTTGTGCGCGTGCCCCAGATCAGCAAGACGGTGCAGGAGTTGTCTAAGGAGTTGACGAAAAGCGGCGTCATCGACGAGATGGTGTCGGACATGTTGGACTCTGCGGAATGGGAAGACGAAGAACTGGATGAAAACGAGGAGATCGACGACCTGCTCACTGACATATTGGGCGACAAGGAGACTGCCATCGTGCAAGAGCCTAGCACTCCCGCTGCAGTCCAACAGGAAGCACAGAAGACGGAGCTGGCGGCTGCGATCGAGGCCGACGACGATGACGATGAAGACCTCATACAAAACATGCGACAGAGGCTTAGTTCCTTACAAGGGTAGACCGGTTTTGTGTAATTTATGTTGTTATATTTTCTGGAGATGTAATAAAAACACTATATGTTGTTGAAATTTACAAAAGTGTGCTATGTAAATATGTGTGTACTATTTTTTCATTTGTTCAACGTAATTTGTAAGATTTTGAAAAGGTTGTGACTAGCCTTGGGTCGTAACTGATGCCAATTTGCTTTGGCTTAGATCAATATAACACCTGAAAAGACAGCCAAAATAAGTCCGAACAAGGAAGCCCAATAGCCTCCCTGGCTATGAGCAAGATTCTCTGAAGTTGTCATACGAGATGCATTGGTAACCTTGGTTCTGGTGTAGATGGATTCATCTGAACCTTTAGAACTTTTGGAACTCAAGGTATTATTGAAAGAACTGGTTGTGTGGAATTGCTTGAAAGAGGAGAACCTAGAAGAAGGGTGGGCAAAAGTAGATGTAACAGGAATAGTGGTGTTTTCAAAAGTCAAGTGTAAAGTGGTAGGCTCCTCAACATGCTCAGTTTCAGTAGTACTGAATGGATACGAGTTCCACGATTCAGGAGATGTCCATACAGAGGTTTTGTTGGTATAGTCTGCTAAAGTCTCAGTTGGTTTCTCTTCAACATTATGAGTCGATGTGATAATATCCGAAGTCCATGTATTCGTTAGAATTTCATGTTCTGTTGTTGATACTACATCTGACTCAGTATGAGGATTTTCCCATTGTTCGTGAGTAGTTACTGGTGTTGTAAAAGTAAAAGGCTCATGATCAGTAGAAGTTGCTGGTTGGCTGCTTTCATCATTACCGCCTTCAGTATAATGGCCATCAATCTCATCGTTGTGTGAATCTGTTGTTGGAGTTGGAACCCACTTTTCGTTATGAGTCGTGGTTGCATCAGCGGTTTGTGTTATAGTAACACCATGAACCGATGTAACTGTGGTTGTCGTGTAAATTGTCAAAATCAGAGTTGAGGTTTCAAGGTCTCTCTTCTCAATTTTTGGCTCCACGTCAATGCTACCAACACCAACAAAAAGGAAGTGATCAGTATCAAATAACTTGTTTGTTTTTCCGTCCGCATTACAGTCATCCTCATCTTCGAACCAGTGAAATAAACCAAAGTTACTTATATTCTCATTCCCACTACTGGTTCCCCCATCATCATCTTCGTCGTCCTCCTCTGCTTCTTCTTTACTCACGGATTTTTCAGTTCCTTGCTCATCGGCTGAACTTTTGTTGACTCCTATCATCATGAATTTTTTTGAACCGAAAGGGAAAAAGTCGTCGGCAGTTGGGCTATCATCATGTTTCAACCATCCGAAAGGAAAGCCTGCTGCAGAAATATTCTTCTCCTCTATTTTGACAACATTGGAAATATCCGATGATTGTACCACTGTGTTATCATTTTTGATAAACCGATAACCCAAGCCAAGTGCAGCAGAAGCAATATCTGCATCCTCCTCTGTCGAGGGAACAACATATATTTCCCCCGACGGCGATTCCCACTCACTGAATTTCACAAAGGTTGAACCAAACTCTCGGTTATTCAAAATGGATTTGAATATCCCATGGGCGGTCGCATGGGATAACTCATCTCTATTTGCAGAACCTAATTCATTTGGTTGTTTCGCAATAATCAACGAAAGTGCAGGAATTATAAATTCTGACAGAAACAAGTAGTTCAAAAACTTCATGGCTTATAGTTACCCTATTCTTTTGTGTTTTTTTTTCAACTGTGTACGTTTGTTTTTAAATGATTTTCAACTTTTACGAAGAAAATATGAAGTGTTTTTATATGTTAAGCAAAGAATCTCCGCTGATGAACAGAGTTTGATTGTACCAAATGAAACAAAGGAAGAACAAAAAGATTACAAAAAGAAGAACAAAAATAGAAAGAATAGAAGGGGAAGAAGAGGAATAAAAGAGTTATAAAGAGGTGATCCTTCTGTCCTCTCTCTTTAGGGGCAACATTTTCTTGGCCCCGTTTCCAAAGGGTACTTTCAAAATGGAATTACCCAATTAAGCAATTCTGATTCGAAATACTCATATTATCACGTGATCAAAGTCCCAATTTATTCTTTATTGTTTGTGCAGCCTTATAGTATGGTTGAGCAAGAGAAGAGTCTTTATCAATAGCAACGGGAAACCCTTCGTCAGCAGATGTACATATTTGTTTATTCAATGGAATAGATGCAAGGTGTTCTATTCCTAATTTTTCTGCTTCTTTTAATGCTCCTCCGTCACCGAATAAGTGCTCTTCGTGATTACAATTGGGACATACGAAAACAGACATATTTTCAATTAGTCCAAATATAGGGACATTTACCTTGTTGAACATAGCAATACCCTTTTTGACGTCTAGAAGTGCTAAGTCTTGGCTGGTTGAAACAATGACAGCACCGTTAATCTTCAACAATTGGCTCAATGTTAGTTGCACATCGCCGGTTCCGGGTGGCAAGTCAATTACCAACACATCTAGTTTATCCCATTTAACATCAAAAAGTAGCTGTTGTAATGCCTTTTGTAACAAAAGACCTCTCCATACAATGGGACTGTCTTCGCTAGGGATCAAGTACCCCATGGACATCGTCTGTATTCCGTAATTTTTAAGTGGCAGTAATTTAGAATCTTCGGACAATCTGGGTTCTCCCTTCAAATTCATTAGCTTCGGTATACTAGGACCAAAGATGTCAGCATCCAATAAGCCGACATTCAAGTCGCAGTTCCGAAGAGCAACAGCTAGATTTGCCGAAACGGTAGATTTTCCAACCCCTCCTTTTCCTGATGAAACCAGCAAAACTTTTGCAACATTGGGCAATGTGTGCTTCACGGGAAGCTTGGTATTTGGCGATTTAAAGTTTGGTAATCCCTGTATTAAGGCTAATGTATTGTTAGTAAAGTGTTGTTGAAAATTATTTTGGGAGTTAAAGTTGTCAGTCGGATGTGGGATCTACGTACAAGAGGATTTTGATGACTTTTCGATACAGCAACAGCTGAAAAGTACCTTTTAAAAATTGATGCTCTGCACATAACTATAGTCAATGCGTATTCCTTGCCGAGAATACCAGCCGAAGAGTGACTCGGGGAGAACTTTCTCGGAGAGCTGGCAAATAACATCTCAAATGCTCGGCACCCTCAGTACCTATTCTATTTTGCGCATTTTCATTATTACTGAGATAAATAGTGTCTTTTCATCATTCGACTTCAAGGAAGAAACGGGTTTTTCGTTTCAATTGCTAGTGTCAACGTGGTGGAGCTTGAATCCCAAATTGAATCAAGTTGAACGAAAACTCAATCATGCAACTTTTACTTAGAGGTCTGATTCCCAAGCCCGCTTCTCCCCGCTTGAAATTAAGACAATTCAGAAGATGTAATAGCAGTGTCGCTAGAACAGTAACCACCATATCTTTACCACAACTACTAGATGATGCAAGAGATTGTTTTGGAGAAAATCCAATTGTGTTAAGAAAAATTGACTCAATCAGAAACATTGCTCCTTCTCGTACGATAAAGGACTATACAATATTTGAGCCAAAGACTATCTCTCTGGGTATCGTGCAGTCCACTGATTTGAAGCCAGGGCTGTTTGTAGACTCTTTGGTTGTTGATCCGTTGTCTAACGATAACAAATACGATGAGTTGATAAAGCAGTTCCGCAAGTCACATCCAACATCTAATATAAAGATAATTTATGGTGCTAACAGTGAGGCGATCAAGGGAGGAGTTTTCACGTGCAAGTCTCCCATATTGAACCACGAGCTCCGTTTGATACAGGATGCTAAACCTGGTGATGGTTTGGGGAAAACTTTGAACCGTGATTTGTTTAATGACCTTTCGTTCATTGAAGTCAACGACAAGAGTTTTAGTCAACATGCTAAAATTGAAGGAGCTGATAGTTTAAATTTCAACACTACTCCACAAGATAACCAAATCACGCAGTCAGATTGTCACATTTGGGTCTATGTTACATCGCCTAACGAGAGCATTGAGAAGATCAATGATTCACCTTACTTCACTATAATAAATGAATCACAAGATTTGTCTGTAGGCGGCAGATTGATGGAAAATCATGATCCTAATACTTTTGGAATTGATCTCGACAAGTTAAATAAAGCCAACATACTAGTCTCCAAAAGCATAAAAAATGTCTCGAGATACTTGACTTTGTACCAACAATCCAACATTAATGAGCTACTATTCACGTTGAATAGGGAAACGTCTGGATACAAGCCGTTAGTTTTACTTTTGCGCAGTTTGCTTAGAGATTTACACATGCAAGAGTCTGACGATGTTAAAATTGCCAGGCAATTAAAAGAAGAGATAACCGTATGGGCGCAGAATTCACATTTTGAGTTGCAGAGCAAGGTGACCCCATTTCTTGAACATATTTTATTAAAAGAGCTTACTAAAATAAGCCAATTGATAATCAATTCAGGAGACCTCACTCTTGTCATATCTAACTTGTTGAATGGTACAAGAGCACCGCTTAAGACTGGTTTTTTTGGCAAAGAGATCGCATGCTATGGTTCATTGGAAGAAGCAACCGCCAAGTCACACTATTTGGAGGGAAGAATTGATGCCCTTTTCCCCGAGAACGAGGTGCAAAAACCAGAGGAATGCGTTGATGATTTTATGGTTCAATTGAAAGGAGATGTTGCCAATAAAAAGTTGCCAGAGTTACAATCTCGTATAAACAAATTTTTAACCCAAGAGATCATTGCAGCCCCATTTACGATATTCACGTTGTGCAATGTTGGATATTTATATGATCTCATAACACTGAACACTGCTTTTGCAGTGACAGCATTGAGCATTGCGCTTACAGCCAATACTTCACAGAAGAAAATAATATCGATTATTTCGGAATTTAAAGACTGGTATCTAGAGAAACTCAGATTGTACATTGACAACACCACTGTTTTCTTGGGGAAACGTCTTAATGACAATATTGCTTCATATGAAACTACACAGGCTAAGAAGAAGCAAATCATAAAGGAATTGCAGTCTGCAATATTAGAGATAGAGAATGCAGATAAGATGTTGAAAAATCGTAGTGCTGTAGTCGTAGAGAAGACAGGTGTGAAAAAAACGTCTGAAAGCTGTAATTATTTTACTTCTCCCTTATGTATAACCTGACTGGCTATTGCCAAATCTATAGACTAGAGTATATTCTTTTTTGCTTACTGATTTACTTGTTCATGCATTGTTGTCTCATAGCCCAGATAAAAGAGATCGGAGAGATGATCAGCGCGTTTGAGGTCTCCTTACTTTTTCTGAGAACTCTGCATGATTTGAAAAGAATGGCAACTTTGGTAGAGGTTTGTTAACAATCAAGACACAGAGAGTGGTGAAGTACAGGCATTGAGCAGAACACACACTTTGCTAAAATAGACATGTTTTTGTTCAAGGCTAAAGGTTTTGACCCAGACGATTTTGAGGCCGAACTCAAGAAGGTCACCAATAAAATTTCATACAATGAGAAACGACTCAAAAAACTCAAAGTACAAAAGAAACACTATCAGAAGATACTGTTACTGTATCTGACTGCAGGCTATGTTGCATACTTTAGTTATGTTTACTATATGGAGGGGAAAATAAAACAACCCAAAGTCATCACGACTTTGATCCTGAGCCCCCTTGCCATTGGACTGTTATATTACACGGTTTTGACCGTGTACAACTATCTGATCAACAACAAGGAGAGTTATATTGAGTTTTTGAAGGCTGAGCATAACGAAAAGCTTTCTACGTTGAAGGAAAAGACCAATTTTGACAAGACGAGAGATTTACTTGCCCGTTTTTCGGACGGCGAAGACTTAAAAGCGATGGAAAAGGAGGCTGATGATATCCGTCGAAAGAAGCTCGAATACATGCAAATGATACAGGATGGAGAGAAGGGGAAAATCTTGGAGGACCTTCAAAAGCAGCAGCATTCGAACAGCGGGTTCTATGATCACTTTCTAAACGCTCTTTTGGGTGAGAACGAACTGGGGCCTGACAAGAGATACGCCTTGATCTGCACCAACTGTCTGGCGCATAACGGGCTCGCACCACCAAAGAAGTTGCCCGAGGAGGTCAAGTACGTGTGTCCGAACTGCGGGTTTTTGAACGGCACGAAAGACGCAAAGAAAGGTGATCCAGTGGATCAAAACGGCACGCCGCCAGAGGTGAAAGCCGAAAAGGAGAGCTCGAAGGGGATTGAGTAATGTAGGATATGAACAAAGTAGTATTTATGCATACAGGAAGTTAAACATGACATATAAGGAATATAAACTGTCTTTACGTCGCTCCGCTAGAACTAGGAGAGAGACATGATGGCGTTGACGATGTCACCGTTGTGTTCCTTGAGTGCCTTGATGGCCTTGTTTCTGGAGGCGTTGGTTTGCTCCATGATGACAGAGATGTCGGACTCCTCAAGACCGGTGGCGTCGGCTGGCTCGCCGTCCTCGGCATCAGCCTCAGCAGGCTTGTCGTCAAGCGAAGCCTTCTTCAAGTCGTCTTGGATGGAGGCAGCCAAGTCGTCCTTAGGAGTGTTGACAGCGTCGTTGACCTCTTGGGCAGCCTGTTGGGCAGCCATAGCTTCCTGGTACCTCTTGTTGAGATCCTCGACCTTGGCCTCACCGAAAATGATGTAGGAGCCACCAAGGGTTCTGTAAACCTCTGGCTTGTCGATGGCCAAAATGGTGTTGTTCTTCTTTCTGAAGGTGACTCTCGAGATCTCCTTCAATGGCTTCAACCCGAGCTTCAAAAGAGCATCCTTGGCCTTCTTCTCAGCCTTTGGGACAATGGTGACTTCAGCACCTTGTGGGATTTCTTCAATGGACATTGTGTGTTACGTTTGTTATGTGTTTGGGTTGCAGATCTGCTGCTCCAGAGCTCCAGAACGGCACCTCTTCTTTTTCCAAAGCTCAGTGGAAACCGTACCTCCAGTGAAAAAAATGGACATCCCCGGCCACTCTGCTCGTCCTCGCCGTCGTCGTCGAGTCCCAAAACGGAAAACCATATGGTTACGCAGCCCGGCTTCCGCCGATCGACCTAGCATTTGCTTACGTCATTGATTATGTCATCTTTGTTTTTTGAACTTTTTTCTCCTTTTTCCATTTTTCGGCCCTTTTTCTCGCATTTTTTTTTGTTTTCTCCAGCCTCCCGATTCAGCCTCATCGGAACAGAAGCAATTGTATGGCCTGGCTCTAGCAACAACACAGGCCGAGCCTGACAGCAGTGAGAGACACGGTACTGTTGCTCACGGAGGCTCGGAAGGTAGTTGCTGGGGGCTGGAGATCATCAGCAGTAGTGTATCAGACAGTCCACATCGCACTGAAGGACGCTGGTGTGTTTCTTCGATAGCTGTTTCTTTCTTTTCGCCTGTTTCACCCGCTTCAGGACACGTGAGCAAAGCTCTGCAGAGACAGCACACATCATTCACTCAGCCTCGTTAACATGAAGACGGTGGAGGAAGACGTCAGAGGCCTCTTGAACAAGGCGTATGAACTGTCGTTCAAACGATGGTTCGACAAGTCGAACCGACAGCCGGACGCCGACGCGGTGCGGGAGATATACTACAACCAGAGCTTGCCCGAGCACATGATTGACCCAAAGACACACATGAATAAGATCCTGTACACGAGGAACAAGATCCGGACGACGAAGTACACGCCGCTGAACTTTATCCCGATGAACATTTTCTTCCAGTTCACCAACATCGCCAATTCGTACTTCTTGTTCATCATCATTCTTGGGTGTTTCCAGATTTTCGGAGTGCAGAGTCCTGGAATGCAGGCGGTGCCTTTGATTGTCATTGTCGTTCTCACAGCCTTCAAGGATGCGTTTGAAGACTACAGACGGGAGATTTCGGACTACGAGATGAACAGCTCCAAAGTGCACAAGTTGTTTGGGGTGGACAACCACAACGCCATGGAGGACCACGTCGGCGCCTGGCGTCGATTCAAAAAGGCCTGTACTCGAGCGTCACGAAAAGTGGTACGTCTCTTCAAAAGAAAGAGAAAGTCCTCACCAGGAGATTCGAACTCGACGTCCAACAACAGCGATCTTGAGAGCGCAGACTTGTACACAATCCGCTCGGCCCGGTCGGCGATGGACCACCATTCCACACGCAACTCACTCTCCTCGTCGAACTATCCGCTAAAGTTCAAAAGTACTCAATGGAAGCAGGTTCTTGTCGGCGACATTGTGCGAATACGCAAAAACGAAGAAATACCCTCCGATATCCTGCTTTTACAGTCCAGCACAAAGAACAGCATATGTTATGTTGAGACGAAAAACTTAGACGGTGAAACCAGCTTGCGAGTCAAACACGCCATGAGTTTCTCTTCGTCCAAGATAAAAAGAATCGCAGATTTGGGTAAGTTGGTGTTCTCGGTTTCCACAGAACAGCCAAACAAAAACCTATATTCGTTTCATGGTGTTGTCCACTATGAAGATCCAGAAGGTGTGGAAAAGACATCTTCCGAGGCAGCTTCAGTTGAAAACATTTTATTGAGAGGTTCGGTTTTGAGGAATACAAATTATGTCATTGGAATTGTCCTTGCTACCGGTAGCGAGACAAAGATCATGCTAAACTCCGGTGTCACTCCAACAAAGAAGTCAAAGATCTCGAAGAACTTGAACTACTTCGTTTTGATCAACTTCTTCCTGTTGTTCATCCTGTGTTTTGTCTCTGGTTTGATCAACGGCTTGTTTTACAGAAAGTCCAGCAATTCGAGGCAGTACTTTGAATACAAGCCGTATGCTCCGACCCCACAAGCAAATGGTACGTTGACGTTTTTTGTTGTCCTCATCATGTACCAAACGTTGGTCCCCATCTCTCTCTACATCACTATCGAGATTATCAAGACAGTCCACGCATTCTTTATTTACTCCGATGTTGGCATGTACTACGAAAAACTGGACCTTCCATGCATGCCTAAATCGTGGGGTATATCCGATGATTTAGGTCAGATCGAATACATTTTCAGTGATAAAACAGGAACACTAACCCAAAACGTCATGGAATTCAAAAAATGTGCAATTGCAGATAAATCTTACGGGTTGGCATACACATCTGCCCAAGAAGGTTATGACAAAAGATTGGGCAATGTGGATGTCACTGCTAAAGCAAAGTACATGAAAGAGCTAATAGCCAACTCTCGTTCCCAAATGATACCCCAGTTGAAATCTTCGAATCCTTTCTTCAAGGAGGAGAATTTAGCCTTTGTCTCTCCTGAATTCATGGATGAAATGAATGATAAACGCAACCACGATTTCCTACTTGCGTTGGCATTGTGTCATTCTGCTGTTATTGACTATGAAGATATGGACTCGGCAAATGATGAAACAATTATAAACTATAGTGCTGAATCGCCGGATGAAATTGCTCTCGTTTCCTTCGCAAGAGACATGGGTGTTGTTTTCTTAGGTAAAGAAGATGACTATTATCTCGTGTCCGACAACGGGAAACAACTGAAATACAAAGTTTTGTGTGTTATTCCCTTTTCATCTGCTAGGAAAAGAATGACGATTGTGCTTGAATCTCCAGATGGAAATATAAAAATGTACATGAAAGGTGCCGATAACGTAATTATGCAAAGAAGTGCTAGAGGAGAGTTTGACGAAGAAATCGGAAAGAACCTAGAAGAGTACTCCAATGAAGGCCTTCGTACGTTATGTATATCGACTAAGGATTTGAATCCGAATGAGTTTTATGACTGGTATGACCATTATGCCAAAGCAGGGAAATTACTGGATGAACAAAGAGAACTAGAATCTGAGAGACTTGCAGATCAGTTCGAGAATTCTGTTGTTCTCCTAGGTGCCACTGCTATCGATGATAAATTGCAAGACGGTGTACCGGAAACTATTGAAAGCTTGAGAAAGGCCGGTATAAAAATATGGGTTCTAACGGGAGATAAAGTTGAGACGGCGATCAGTATAGGCTATTCTTGTTCTATGCTTAACAATAACATGGATTTACTCAAAGTCCAAAGTGAAAGTGTTGAAGACTTAGAAAGAACAATCGATGCTTTACTCAAAGAGAAATTCGATATTGACCCTACAAAAGCTGTAAATCTGAAGCAAGCAAGGTCGGATCATTCAATCCCGGATGAGAGGCATGCTTTACTCATCGATGGTAAAACGCTAACAATTTTGTTCGATGAAAGTCCGAAAGATGTTCAACTCAAATTCTTGATGTTAGGCAAAAAATGCTGTTCTATTTTATGTTGTCGTGTGTCTCCTTCTCAAAAGGCAAGTGTGGTCAACTTGGTTAAGAAAAACTTGGATGTCATCACTTTGGCAATTGGAGATGGTGCAAATGATGTTTCCATGATTCAAGCTGCAAATGTTGGAGTTGGTATTGCTGGTGAAGAGGGGAGACAAGCTGCAATGTCCTCCGATTACGCTTTTGGCCAGTTTAGGTTTTTGCAGAGATTATTGCTTGTCCATGGTAAGTGGTCATTCCAAAGACTTTCGGAGATGATTCCTTGTTTCTTTTACAAAAATGTCATTTTCGTCATGCCTTTATTTTGGTACGGTATATTTACTGATTTTGACGGAACATACTTATATGAATATACGTTTTTGATGCTTTTCAACTTGTTCTTCACATCAATTCCTGTCATTACTCTTGCAACAATGGACCAGGATGTTCCAGATTATGTTTCACTTGTGATCCCTCAATTATATAGGGCAGGAATAAACTACAATGAAAGGGCAACCATTCTGAAGTTCCTCTTTTACATGGCTGATGGTCTCTATCAGTCAGCGATTTCATTTTTCTTTCCTTGGTTGCTTTTCCGGACAGGAAGCGTAGCCACACACAACGGATTGGGAATTGGGCAAATATTTTCAGTTGGTACTTTTTGCATCCATATTGCAATTATCTCCTGTAATCTATACATCATCTTGAAGCAAAGACGATGGGATTCAATTACTGTATCTTTGAACTTTCTATCTGATCTATTACTCTTCATTTGGGTCAGCGGATGGTCATCGTCTCATTTTTCGAACAACTTCTACAAAATTGGTTTGAGAAATTATGAATCTGCAAGCTTTTGGGCTTGTCTTTTTATTGGTGTTCTAGCATGCGTGATTCCTGGGTTTGCGTTGGATCTTTTCAGGATCAATTACTTCCCTAGTGATACTGATAAAGTAAGAGAGATGTTGAAAATCAATTTTTTTGAGCAACGTGATGCCGGACACGTTGAGAAACAACTAGAAATTGCAAAAAGAATTGGCAATAACTCTGCATCTGGTGCAGGAAATGACGCGGAAACCTCGAAGGAGGTTGAAACTCCGAATATGCAGCAAGGCACTTCCGAATCTAACGAATACGACAAGTCTTCAGATTTTTCTTTCCAAAGAGTGTGAATCAATATTGCGAGTGGGCTTTTGACATGTATACTATTAGTTTTGAATAATATAGATTACTATTTTTTGATATAATTTTCTATTTATGTCATAGTTAATTTGAGACGTAGATAAGTGAAATGTCTCAGACAAAGGAAAGAAACATATTGACAGCCAACTTCGATCACGGCTGTGCGGGTGATGATTTTTCGTTCTTGGGGAATCGATCGGGGATTTGAGCTTCCTCCTTTCTAGGGTTCTAAAGCACAGGTAACATGCAGTTAAACTCTCTCTGCTGGGAAGTATTCTTGGCAAACAACGCACATTGATGTCGGCGGTCTCACAGAGAAGAGTCCACGTGACTGCGATTACTGAAAATCGACCTGGTATTCTCCAAAAGGCTTACAGGACTATAAAGCACTTGATCTGGACAGTACTGTACGATCCGGATATCGTCGGTCCAGTGTGTGTGCTATTGTTTTTGCTGGAGGCCATGCTTCTTGAATTCATCATTATTAAGGTTCCGTACACGGAGATTGACTATAGCACATACATGCAACAGATCGGCCAGATAGAGCGAGGCCAATTTGACTACAGCAAAATCAAAGGTGATACGGGACCAATAGTGTATCCTGCGGGCTACGTTTTCATCTATTCATGGATGAAGGTGGTTACCGACGGGATGAATAACATCGGAAAAGGCCAAGAGTTGTTCAGACTCTTGTATTTGGTGTCGTTGGCCCTAACTTTTCTCATCTACATACAAGCGTCCGGAATCAAGAAAATAAGACCGTACCAGCTTTATCTTTTGGTCCTGTCCAAGAGGCTGCACTCGATCTATGTGCTAAGGCTGTTCAACGACTGCTTTGCAACGTTCTTCGTGCTCGGAACTATTTTTTTGTTGCAGGTTGCTGCAAAGCTCAAGAGCAAGTCGTATTTGGATAAGGACCCCGAGGTACGTTCGGAGATGGCACTCTACAGCAACCTCGTCAGTCTGCTTGCTGTGGACAGTTACTGTTTTGGCGTGAGTGTCAAGATGAACGCGTTGTTGTATCTTCCAGGGCTGGTCATCGTCCTCTATTTTCTAAACGATGAGAACCTGGTCAAGTTGTCTGGCATGATTCTTTTCGGTGTTGTCGTTGAGATCGGGATCAACTTCCAGTTCCTCACCCAGAGCGCAACCGTGCGCAGCAACTTTATCCACAACGCGTTCGACTTTGGCCGCCAGTTCATGTACAAATGGACGGTGAACTGGAGGTTTGTCGACAAGGAGACCTTCCAGAGCAAATCCTTCCACAACCTGCTTCTGGCGCTCCACGTATCTGTTCTTCTGCTATTTGTCTTTGCGAGATGGCTCCACAGGCGTGAGACAGGCAAGGCACCCACCGAACTCGTGCTCAGAGATGGCCTTCTCAGGTTCTACAAAAACACCATGGACCCCAAACACGCCATTCTCCACCCCGCCGGAGGCGCACGCTATGTCGCCCTCGTCATGATGACCAGCAACCTTGTCGGCGTCCTCTTTGCCCGCAGCTTGCACTACCAGTTCCTCTCCTGGTACTACTACAGCGTGCCGTTCCTTCTCGGCGAGGCCGGTTTCCCACTCGCCTTGAGCGTCCTCCTCGTCGCCGTGCACGAGTGGACCTGGAATGCCTACCCATCTACAGCAGCCAGCAGCATCTCCCTTGTCTGCGTTCTCTCCGTCCTGACCTTCCGTCTCCTCTTCGCCATCTCTCCGCCGCCACCAACCTCCGATAAGGCCAAGCACGAGTGAGCCACGAAAAAATCATGTTGTGGTCGATCGCCTGCCCGCCGCGAAAAACGGCAATACCTTTTGGGCGGCAGCGGCTGCAGCAGGGTGACGGAGGGGAGCTGGAGACGAAAGGAGAAGAAGAGGTTGTGACGATGCAGAAGATATCGGCAGTAGGGGCTCTGTGTGCCTCAAATTGTCATATGGTTACGCTTTGTGGAGTGTAGCCCTGCATCTGTGTATCTGTGTATCTCTGCACCCTGTCTTTGTGTGTCTGTGTCTGTATCTGTGTTTGTGTACCCATCCACGCACACTCGAATCCAGCCGGAATATTGTTTTACTGCCATTGTCAGCACGGTCGCTTGGTCAAACACAAGGTTACCGCTCGGAATAGTGCAGCTCGGCAGTGCCGAAGAGAAGGAATAGCAAGCAAACAGGTAGGCAAGGACCTGGTTAGCGTACAGAGGAATATACCGGTGAAACAACGGACAATTGCATCAGGCAGAGTTTCATGCTATAGAAAAAAAAGAACTACACCGACACAAAGGAGATACTTCGTTGCTGCATAGGCATCGGCAGGACAAACACGCACACACACGCTGTCGCACGCACACATTCACACATACACATAAACATACGCCCACGGCGATGGACATCAAAAACAACTTTTCTGCACAGGATGCAGAGCCTCTTGTTAAAGACTCCGCTGCCTCCAACTCAAAAGAACTACTCAATGCCTACATCTACGACTTCCTGTTGAAGTCGGGTTTCGACTCATCGGCCGCCGCCTTTTTCAAAGAGGCCAACGTGCCCATTGTGAAAAACAGTGAGAAACTGGTTGACAAGTTCTATTTGCTGAATAATGCAAGCTTGCCCAAGTCGAAAATGACCATGGACACTCCCCAGGGCTTTATTTACGAGTGGTGGCAGATCTTCTGGGACATATTCAATGCTCGTACAAACAGGGGCAGCTCGCAGAGTGCCTCCCAATACTATCATTTCATCAACCTGAAGCAGAAGCAGGAGGCAATGAATCAACCTGTGAATCCAAACCACACTCAAACTCAAAACCAGAACCAGACTCCTAATGTGAACCCAGCCGGCCAAGACCCAAACGGTTCAGCCCCTACAGATCTAGGAATGCAGAATTCTATGGGTGAAAACTTCAATGGCTGGAACCATAGAAGGCAACAGGAAATCTTTCGTTACCAGCAGCAACAACAACAGCAGCAGCAGCAACAGCAAAGGCTTCCGCCGAACATGCAACCCCCTACACAGCAAATGTCACCTGACCCTCAAGCTCACACGTTGAACTTACCTACAGATTCTCAACCGTCTTCAGCACAACAAGCCCAACCACCGCCTCTTCCTCCGCAGCAGCAGCAACAGCCTCAACTTCAGCATTCTCACGGTCCCCCGCAACATGTCAACAACGTGGTGAGAAACCAGATGGCCGGAAACAACGTTAACAGCGAAATGGTGATGAATCATGTGAATTCACCAACAAACTTTGCAAGACCCCAGCAATCCCAGCGCCCTCCTCAACAGCAACAACAGCCACAACTTCAGCATCAGCAACTTTCTCCTCATATTGGTCAAGCTCCCCAAACACCTCATTCTCCGCATAATTTACAAAACTCGCAAATGTATATGCGTCAACAGCCTCCACATCCATCACAGCAATTACAACAACAAGCTCAACAACAAGCTCAGCAACAGGGGTCCTTCCTGTCTCAACAAGGTGCTGTTCCTCCCAGGAGAGTGCTTCAAAATCAGCAAGGTCAGCAGATCCCACTTTCCAACTTACAACAGCAATCAGTTTTAAAAAATCAAGGACAAGTGGTTCCACCAAATTTACACTTCCAAATGGGAAATCAACTTCAGCAACAACAATTTCTAATGCAGCAGCAGCAGCAGCAGCAAAGGGGTTCCCCTTCATCTTTGAACCCTAAACAGTCACAGCAGCAGCAGCCAATGAAACAGGCACCTCAAAAGTTATCACCGAACAAAAGACAACGTCTGGATAGTGACATGGTGAGTCCTTCAAACGTTTCAGGGTTCTCTCAGCCTTCAGTACCGCCTTCTCAGTCCCAATCTCAACCGCAATCTCAGTCTCATTCTCAATCACAATCGCAACCTCCATCTCAATCTCACTCGCAGTCTCAAACTCCAGCACACATCTCCGACCTTCCTCAACCACAACAACCTTTTGTTGTTCATCCGAGTCAAGGAACAGCTATTCAGCAGCAACAGGGACAACAAGTACAGGGGCAATTTGCTGGCCCAAATGGACATCCTTCTGGTAGTGGCACCAAAAGGCAATTCCTCCCAGACGGTGTAAAAGAGTATGGCGAGGGATTACGAATGTTAGAAACAGACAATAGGAAAAAGCTTCAAGATAGAAACGTTAGCGACACGCTGCATTCCAACCATGTGCATCCTGGACACCCGAATATGATGACAAGTACATTTATTCCGTCCAATGGTAATGACCTCGTTGGTTCAAATGGAAATTCACATTCAAAAATAAATCCTAACTCTAATTCTACTACTAACGTGAACTTGAATGTAAGCTCAAACACCAACCCGAACAACTTGAAAGTTGAGCCGGGCTCTCAATTCGCCGAATTTTCAAATATGCTAGGACAATTGCAGCAAAACATATCGTTGTCTGGTAACAATGCCAATGGTACTAATATGGGTAACTCTCCTGCAAATCATGCCATGTCTCCCTCAATGAGGTCACCTGCTATTAGAAAAACAACAGCAACCGCTCCGAGTACTGCAGCTCCCTCACCCTTATCTGGTTCAGTTCCGATCAACCCTATTCCACCGGGAAATATTAACAATTCCAAAAAGAAAGTGAGAAGAGCTAGAAAGAATTCAACATCTGTACCAGCCACTCCAAAAACTCCAAATAACCCGGCAACCCCAACATCTACTAACGCAGCAGCAATCAACAAAAAGCGTGGAAGAAGAAAAGCACCTTCAACAGCTACTACTCCTGTGATAAAAGAAGACGCTCCACCACAATTGAAGAGCGTAACAGAGGCTGCTAGCACTACTCATAATGGAGGAGTTGGTGATGACAAAATTCTGGCAGATAACAAGAAGGTGAGGAAAACTAAGGCTATGAAGAAAACGTCCACTTCTGTAGAGAAAGCAGCGGAGAAAGATTCAAACTTGAACTCGCAAAAATCATACCCAGCCTCAAATCAACAGCATAGTGGAGTTCCCAATCAGCAGCAAACTTCGCAGGGAGCCGAGCTTCGTAATCCATCTACAAGTGGCTTCAACATTAACAACGACGCACAATTTTTGGGCGAATTTAATAGCTCTGAGCAGTTTTTTGATTTTGGACTTTATTCGACAGAAGATGCCTCGGAAATGTTACCTGATTTTTGGGGTGATCCTGTTGACAGGAATGAGCTATGACAATCACTTTAATTTATCGTTTACTCTCTTTTTTTCTCAAGATTACCTTTGTCTCCAATTGAAAGACATCTTTTCGTTTTTCGGTTTTTTACTTTTTTTGTCAAATTTCTTTTTATTGCTTTATTACTACCAATTCCTCTTATTTGATTGAGAGAACTTTTCTTGCCGCAATTTCGTACAAGATTTCACCTTGGTGCTTTTCTATCTTATTTAATTTTGTACACTTAATATTTATAGAACTTTCATTGTGCTCTATTTCATCAAGCTAGTGTTGCAGGATTCTACTAATCAAGAACACGCACAATCTAGAATACAAAAGAATAGATCTGCTAAACAAAAAATTCTTCACTTATTGGAAAATTTCTATCTATACATGTAAAACCTACCCTGCCCTACTACTTCCGTTTCGGCTTTGGCTTTACCTCATCTTCTTTACATACGTGAATTCTTACGGTATTGGTGTAATTGGGGGTATTACCTTCATAGCCTTTACTCCAATCGTAACTTAAAGCATATGCAAATAGCATACCCGTCCGATTGAAATTGACAACGGGTATGGTAGCTCCCAATTGAGGATAGCCCTTCAAACGATGTCTAGAATCTTTATCCCAAAAAGAAAAGGATCCATCCGATCCAGCAGTTGCAAACGTACCAAATTGTGGGTTGAACACTACAGAGTTCAAAGAGTAGATGTTGGTTTCTTTGGTTGTTGTCTTATTTACTCTTTGGCATTTGAAAGAAAATCCAGATTGTTTTTGTTGCATATCGTCAATGTATTGAATACCACATCTACCTTCTATAGACCCAATAGCAAAACCATCACCCTTGGGGTAGCATCCAATACACCTTGTCTGATACTTTAACGGTGATATTGAGGACTTGAAAATCTTATCAGGATTATCTAAGTTTATGATAACAACGTGTCTCTCGGCTGTACCTACAACCAGTAATTTCTGTGAAGCATCCATTGTATAAACTCTTTCAGGCATTTCAAGCGTGCATATGGGAGTCTGTTGTCTTGTATCCCAATACCTAAGCGTTTTGTCCCACGATCCACTTACAACACAAGGGGTGTTCTGAGGACCACAAGTGACATGCCTAACAACACGAATTGTATCATTGTGTACACCGATGGTTTGTGCCTGTTGTGAAGCTAGATCAAACAATTTTACCTGCTTGTCAGCACCACCACTGATCACTTTGGTACCATCCAACGTGAATCTTGTTGACATTATTGGTCCTTCATGTTCATAAAGTGCTCTTCCTTCAACCTGACCATTGTTTGTGATCTCAAAAATACGATTTTTTTTATCCCAGTTAGAAATGGCCATGAATTCTGCCTGTGGAGAAAAAGCTATATCACTGACACTATCATCACCAATGTTGTTCACCACTATATCATTTTGCAAATCTTGTAATGTTCCTGATGCGCTAGTTGTTGTATTTCCAAGAGTTGAGACATTGGCTCCGAATCCTCCCAATCTTGAACCAAAAGACATAGAGCCTTCTTCTATCTACACGTTGTTGAATTTGACCTTTAACAGAAGTGGCTTGTTTACCCAACCTGTATCTTCTAATGCATTCTTCTATTCTAACCAGCATTGAATCAATCATCATCTACAAAAAACAATCACTCTTACGCCCTTTCTATATCCGGGTAACATTTTTGGCGTGAGCGACGTTTACTCATACTAATGTTATCAAGTTGAAAAAGCAGATGTTTCGAGCATACACCTTGCATGTACACATACACATGTGTATACAAATTACTATCTACTTGTATATAACTATATATCAGAGACATCATAGTTTCAAAAGTCTTAATAACACCACAGTGTCATTGATTGATGCATCTTCTTCACCTATAACTTCCTTGTCTGATGATGTTACGTGCTCCATTGGAATCTTGGTACACTTCAATAAGATGTCAGCATGATCTTTGATGATCTTTTCGAGATCGCAGTCATCTTTCTTGACTTCGTATTGAACTTGAACTTCGTCTGTTTGCTCAAGACCAAACTTCTTTCTCAACCTTTGGATTCTGTTGATTAATTCTCTGGCAATACCTTCGGTTTCTAATTCTGGGTATAAGTTGATATCCAAAATGATCAAAACATCACTCTCGGATCTAGCTTCTTGACCACTTGCATTCATAGATTCTGGTAAACCTCTCAACACATTTAAATCTTCTAATCCAAGATTGATACCACTCACTGTAACCTTGCCGCTCTTCAAGAAGTCCTTGACCTCGTCGGAGGTTAATTTAGGTAAACCTTCCTTAACAATCTTAACATCCTTCTTTAACTTCTTGCCTAAAACTGGCCAGTCTGCAACAGCTCTGTATTCCACACCGTACTTCTCTTCATCAGCAGTGATGATGATTTCTCTGACATTCAATTCCTCAATGATGTACTTCTTCAATGATGTGACATCTTTCAAGTAATCATCATCAGAATTTAACACAACCAATTCTTTCAATGGTGTCTTCAATGAAATGGTCTTCTTCTCTCTGATGTTTCTACCCAAGTCAATGATTTTTTGCATTCTGCCAACGGCAACTTCAATTTTTTCATCGAAAAGCTCTTCGTTGACAGTTGGGTATGCTAAGAAGTGTACAGATTTATGGTTGACACCATATTTGTTCAAAGTCTCTTCAGAGAATAGAGGTCTCAATCTTTGGTAGATGGAATCCGACAAGAATGGAGTAAAAGGAGCCATTGCCCTAACCATAATAAACATAGTTTCAGTCAAGGTGTTCAATGCCTTCAAACAATCTGGAATGCCATTTTCACCTTTCAATCTTCTTCTGTTAAGTCTGATATACCAGTTTGTCAATTGGTCGATCAATCCTAACAATCTTGGAACAACAGTGTATAATCTATATTCAGTCATTTCTTCGTGAATGTATTTAATCAAAGATTGAAGAGAAGCCAAAATCCATCTATCCATGACATTCTCTGATCTAGAAGATGGATCAAACTTGAAGTCAATGTTTTCACTTTTTTTCAACAATGCAATTTGACCCTCCAAGAACTTGTAAGAGTTCCACCATGGTAAAAGAACCTTCGAGACAACTTCCTTGACACCCTCTTCTTTGAATTTCAAAGTCTCGGCTCTCAACACAGGAGAATTAATCAAGTACAATCTCAATGCATCAGCACCATATTTGGTAGTGATGAGATTTGGATCTGGATAATTCTTCAATCTCTTTGACATTTTCTTACCATCACCAGCTAAAATGATACCGGACACAATAACATTTTTGTACGGAACAGTTCCGAACAAATGAGTACCCAAAACAGATAAAGTGTAGAACCAGCCTCTGGTTTGGTCTAAACCTTCAGAAATAAAGTTAGCAGGGAACGCATCCTTGAATTGCTCCTTGTTTTCGAAAGGATAGTGCTTAGAAGCGTAAGGCATGGAACCTGACTCAAACCAACAATCGAAAACATCATCAATTCTTCTCAACTGACCTTTACCTTGCTTAGATGGAATGGTGATGTGATCGATCTTGTCTCTGTGAATGTCTGTAATGGTTTGATCTCCAGAAAGATCTCTCAATTCTTGAATGGAACCAACACATACAATTTCCTTCATATCTTCAGAGACCCAGAGAGGAATTGGGGTACCCCAGTATCTGTTTCTTGAAACATTCCAATCTCTGGCATTGGCAATCCAGTTTGAAAATCTCTTTTCCTTGATAACGTTTGGAACCCATCTGGTTTTATCCACGCTTTCGAGCATCTTAGGGATGATTTCTTTAACTCTAACAAACCAGGCTGGAACAGTTCTATATAGTAATGGAGTGTCAGATCTCCAACAAAATGGATAACTATGTCTGATTTGAGAAGCCAATAATAAATTGCCCTTGGCAGTCAAAAATTTGATAATTTCCTTGTCAGCATCTTTGACATATAGACCTTTGAAATCGGTGACTTCAGGGGTGAACTTACCTTCATCATCAACTGGATTTGGGGGTTGTAATTTCTCGCTGATAACACCAGCTGCAGTACATTCATCAAAATCCTGTTCACCAAAAGCTGGTGCCTGATGAACGATACCTGTACCTGAATCATCGGAAACGTATGAGGCACCGATAACTCTGAAACCAGAATCACTGAATTTATCTTGGAAGTAGTCGAATAATGGAGTATATTTCGTGCCAACCAATTCGGAACCCTTCACTTTGCCGGTAATCTTATACTTGGCATCCTTTGGCTTCTTGTACAAGTTCTTGATCAAGGATTCTAACATGATATAAGTAACCTGCTTTTCTTCATCAAAAATCTTGACGTACTCAAAGTCAGGATTGACACACAAAGCAATGTTGGAAGGTAAGGTCCAAGGGGTGGTAGTCCAAGCGACCAAGAAAGTCTTTGGGTCATCAGCCAACGCGAAACCAACAGTAACGGCAGGGTCATTGACATCTTTATAGTTCAAGCCTGCTTCGAAGTTGGACAAGGCGGTGGTGACACCGGTAGAATAAGGCATAACTCTCAAACCTGCATAAACAGAATCTTTCTTGTAAAGCTCCTTAAATGCCCACCAAACGGATTCCATGAAAGACGGATACAATGTCTTGTAATCGTTTTCGAAATCGATCCATCTACCCAATCTGGTGATTGCGTGTTTCCATTCGGATGCATATCTCATAACAATGGCTCTACATTCTTCATTATACTTGGCAATACCCATATCCATGACATCCTGTTTGGAAGTAATGCCCAATTTCTTGTCGATCTCATGCTCAACTGGTAAACCATGGGTATCCCAACCAAATCTTCTCTCGACCGAATAGCCATTCATGGACGCATATCTGGGAATGATATCCTTTATGGTGGATGCCAAGAAATGACCATAATGGGGGGTACCAGTGGCAAATGGTGGGCCATCGTAAAAGGTAAAAACTGGTTTATTTTCGTTCAATTTCAAAGAGGTATGGAAAGCGTCAATCTCATTCCACAAACTTAGGATCTTCTCTTCCTCTCCTGGGAAGGAGAAGTGTGCAGATTGTTCCTCGGCCATCTTCGTCTGCTGTAGTGATAAGATCACAATCTAATTCACAACAAAATGGCCAGACTTTCCTCCAACTGTTCTTGCAAATGGTCGTTGACTAGCTCCTTCTCCAGCTCGAAAACTTTTTTGCATACACCGTCCATCTCTGAAACCCCGCGAGAAAAGAAGTGCCCTCAGTCAGTTTCCTCTCACTGGAGGAAATGAGTCAACGAAGGCGAATACACGAGCTAACTTTAATTTCAAGTAGGCCAGGGTAAGTTGATAATCTGGTATTAGATTGAGCCTAATTGTAGAGTGTGGATTGACATACTGTAAACTGTATATAAGCCCGAAGGAGTTGATAAAAGTAACTTCAAGCCTCTGCAAAGAAAACCAAAAAGTTAAAAAAACTTGCGAAAGCCGGGAATCGAACCCGGGGCCTAACAATGGGAATGTTAGATTTTACCACTAAACTACTTACGCCAGTCAAAAGAACTAACCAATGAGCAAGTTCACGATGATGCTTTACTTATTAAAAGACAAGTAATACTTTGCTTATAGTGACGACTTGGCAGTAGCTAACTGTTGATTAAAACAGGACAGTCGAATATAAAATCAACAAGATTATAGCATCCAGCCATCCGTGCTCTTTTTACCGTAATGTCTTTGGATATCCTCATATCGAAAGAGGGACAGGGAATCCACAATTTTAAGCTTACGCTATAAATTTTATGCAGTCTTCCATAAGCTATTAACTAAGTAGAACTAGCTAGTTGAAATACAACTGCATTAACTTTTTTATCTTGTACTTATTTGCCTTGTAATGGAGCTAACATTGAGAGCCACTGTATGATGGGGCTATGGCTCAATGGTAGAGCTTTCGACTCCAAATCGAAAGGTTGCAGGTTCGATTCCTGTTGGCCTCAATCGTCAATTTTTTGAATTCTTTTTAGTAAAAAGGTAGTTTGATTTGTTAGTTATACTATTCTTATCTACTAGGTATATATTATAAAGGATTTAGTTTCATTACTTTCTCTTTTCTTTTTTCTTTCCCTTTTTTACTTTGGAAGGTGAAGCTGCATGACCTGTAGAATTGACTTGTTGGAAGAGTTTGTTTCTACTTGCAAATGATTCACTGCAAACCGAGCACTTCTCGGTCTCAGTTGGCACTGAAAGATTGTCCTGTGAATTGTCAGAAGCTTTGACCCCGGCTTTTTTGGACTTGTTTTTACCTTTCTTAGTTCTCACCTTAGATTTTGAGCCCCCCCAATCATCGGAATCATCCGACTCAATTCCCATTCCGTTCAATAGTTTTGAAAGTTCTTCATGTTTTTTGTCTGTTTTCCATTCCTGAGGGTCTGCTGTAGCTGGGTCAACGTGACTTTCTTCATCTATATCGTCATCAAGCTGGACATCAACTATACTCTTGGAACTCTGATCAGGGGTTTCAATATCTGCGACATCTTTACTCTTGTTGGCGTTAGCGTTGTCATCGTTCTGTTGGCTGATTTGTTGATCTATAATATATTGCAACTCTTCATTTGTGAGTTCATCCAGCTCAGTCAAAGATTCCAAAGCATCATCAAAATCCTCGAAATCTTCGTCGTCACTTTCATCATTATCCATCTCTTCGCCATTATCATTGATGTATCCATCATTGTCTATTCCCAACTCTATGCCTTCTTTTTTCATTTCCCATTTTAGCTGTTTCAGCAATTTTAAATGTTTTTTTGACCTTTCGTGATCCGCAAACTGCTTTTCACTTTTGAAGATTTTGTCACAAATAATGCATTCATAAATTTCTTCGTCGTGGTCTTCATCATCGGCTTCTTGTCCATTAATTTTTCTTTCTTCCTCATGGATCTTATCTAGTTGGGCTTCAATTTCAGCCAGGTCATCTGGATCAACTGTTTGCCACTCCTGTTCTTCAAAAAGTTGTCGCTGCCGTTGGCGCTCCTCTTTCTCAAGCTGTGCCTGCTTTTTCAACTCTTGTCTTTTCAATGCAAGCTGCTGCTTTTCATATTTTTTCCTTATCACGGGATCCATCCTCGGATCCATCTTTTTGATGTAGGATATATACTTTTTCACAACATCGTTATACGCCTTTCGTCCTTGGTCTCTTAACTTCTTATTCTCCTTTTCCATAATTCTTCGGGTTCTCCTATCGGGAGCAGTTGAATATCTGTATTCCTCGATCCAATTAAACGTTTTCACCGTCTGAAAATTACCCCACACTTTATAAAAAATCCTGGTCATTTCAAAATCAGTTTTAGAGTTACCCATACGTGGATACATCAATTCTTTCGGATCACACACGGTTGCAAACGAGGTGTCGTCTTTGAAATCTTGGAATCCAGGTAGTTTCTGCTGTTTACCAGCTGAAACTTCTTCGGATGCTATTTTATCCAACAACACAGAGACAATACTATAAAAACCATTTATGGAATCGTTGAAGTTTTGATATAGGGTGTTGCTAAAATATTTCTCGATGTCTTCTACTGTTGTGCCCGCGTAGTATGTGCTGTAGTTGTCTCCATCATCGTCGTACCCTGCAGCCGAATCTCGATCTCCGTCCTCCATCAAAATTTGAAACTTGTGGGAGTCGTACCACGATCTCTCCTGTGGATCGGATAGCGTCTCGTAAGCCACTCTTACATCATTGAAAAGCCGAGTGGTGTTTTCGACATCGTCTGGGTTCTTATCAGGATGCAATAACAGAGCCTTTTTCCTATAAGCCTTTTTTAGTTCGATGTGGGTGGCAGTTTGCTCTACACCAAGAAGCTCATAATAGCATGTCCTCATAAAATGGGGTAAATGTTTTCGGGAAACACCAAATAGCCCTTATAATCTGGGAGGCAGGCAGGACCGGACTGATTTCATGTATCGAAGACAAGTTCATCTGAAAAATAATTCATCACATCTGGAAAATAGATCTGCCCAAAAATATTCTTAAAAACTCTGTGCACCATCAATGGATACATAAGTCGGTCGACCAAATTTACTTTTTGGCGTTTTCCTCTGTTTTTTCATTTTTCTCGCCATCTCGCCGAGGACAACGCATACATGCCTGAGTGGTATACTCGTTGTTTTGATCTAGTGAGCCTGGAACTGGATTCGGCACAGGCACCTGTAGTTGCTGTAATTGAAAGGGCTTAGCTACGCACTTGCTTTCAAGCATATCAACTTGCATACTCTCAGAGCTAAAGAACTGTCCAGAATTGGAGTTTTAGAGTTACAGTGATAACCTACAATTGGAAACACCCGCACGCCCCAGAAACCAGCCATAAGTAAAACAAAATGGTCGTGTTAGCTGCTTCCGTCTGCACACACGGTGGTAAATTGATCATCTCCAGACAGTTCAGAGAATTGACCAAGGAGAGAGTGACTGCATTGCTCTCTAATTTTCCTGCACTCCTTTCAGACTCAACGCAATCACAACACACTGCCGTTGAAGATGAGTACGTGAGATACATGTATCAGCCACTAGAGGAATTCTACGTCGTTCTAATCACAAATAAACACTCAAACATTTTACAAGACATTGACACTTTACACCTTTTTGCCCAGTCCATAACATCGATTTTGAGAACCGTTGATGAAAAGGAGATCTATGAAAATTGCTTTGAGTTACTCAGCGCCTTTGATGAGATAATTTGCCTGGGTTATAAAGAGAACTTAACTTCCAGCCAAGTGATCAACTTCTTGGAAATGGACTCCCACGAAGAGAGAATCCAAGAGATCATTGAGAGAAACAAGGAATTAGAAGCTGCAGAAGCAAGCAAAAAGAAGGCTGTGGAGTTGCAATTCAAGGAAATGATGAAGAAGAGCAATATGCAAGGTATGGACCAATATTCACAGCCTGTCCAAACCTACAATCCTCCTCCAGTTGCAAACGACCGTGATGATTATACCACTTACGCTGAGGAGCAGCATTCCTCTCTTTCGTCACAAAATCAAATCAAAAGAGGTGGCATGCAATTGGGCAAGAAGTCTGCTACATTTGGTGACTCTCAACCGCTTTTAGTGAGCACGCCAGCTCCACAGAGAAGGGCGGTATCCCAATCACAACAACCCCAATATCAACAACAACAGCAACAATACCAACAACAACATCAGCAGCAGAGCTCCAAGCCCATTATCGACAACAATGGTATTTTACTCACTATAAACGAGAAGTACTCTGGTCAAATTACCAGAGAAGGTACCATAACTTCAGCCGAAATCAAAGGTGACTTACAAATAAGAATCAATGATCCCTCACTGGCACATGCACAAGTGAAGTTGACCCTTCAAAACGATAGCGATATCACCACTCAATATAAAACCCATCCGAACGTTGACAAGAAATTATTCAACTCCTCGTCAATCATTGGCCTCAAGGACCCAACAAAACCATTCCCCTCAAATGATCAAAACTTGGGTGTTTTGAGATGGAGATCGACCAGGAAGTCTTTTGACGAGGAGGGCTCTTCAGGCTTGTTACCAATAGTACTGACCACGTGGGTTAACAACAACAATGACGGTACTGTTGGCTTGACTTTTGAATATGAAGTCGATACTTCAAAGAATGTGGATGAAGTGTCTATCATTATACCGATTATAAACGCTTCCTTTGAATCAAGCGATAATGATAACGCAGCATTAGAATACACCGACAGTGGCGTGAATATCAAATTGACTGATCTGTTGAAATACGAGTCTGGATCCTTTGAAATATTGTGCAAAGACGTGGAGGATGAGGAAGCTTTGTTCCCAATGGAATTATCTTTTGATGAATTGAAAAAGATCGAAGCCTCAGGCTCGGAAGGTATCCAAGTTAGTGTAGACAGCGTTGTCAACTCGGAATCTCAAGATGCTCTACCTTTCGATATTTACATCAATTCTTCGAGTGAAAGTTACTATATCGTTTGAGTTCGAGTATAACTGGTAAGTCTTCAATTTGGCTGCATAAAATTTTTTAAATCATCTATTTATAATCAGATAGAATCTTAAATAATGTTATATTTATTAAAGTACCCACCGTCGAGCGGTGATTGAAAGAGTGATTGTAAGTCACGTGAGCATGAAAAGGAAAATTTCACTGTGGATGCGAATTTGATCTAATGCATCCCCCATCTCTCCCTCTTCCTCCAGATAAGGTTCACCACAGTTATTTAATTGCATCACAATTGATTCTCATCACTATCACACGCCATATCGAACTTAAATAACAATACAATGCTAAATACTTTGGGTTTGGCAAATAAAGTAAAACTGCATTTGACATATTCGGTGATATGGTCCAATATAACTACCGTAGTAGTCGATCAACCGACCAAGCATGCAGCACAAAATGAAAAATTAGAGCAATTTGGTAGTGGAGTAGCAACACCAACTTCCAAAACTTATGTATTGAAGGGTGAAAATCCAAAGTCCGGAGAGGTTGAGTACGTTCTAGCTATCAGCGGGAGGAAAAAATTAACACTCGAGAATTTGGACTTGTTATTCAAGGGTATTGAAGAAGCCGAACACAAACAGTTTGAGAGCATAGACAAAATCCTAATGGCCATAGTGGATTCAGATGGCTCGATTCTCTTTTACTATGTACATCGTGGTGTGAAGAACGTTAACAGTTAGGACAGGACGTCTAACAAGAAAATTTATAAATGGTTATATAATTTGGGAGACATAACTGCCAAGAGCAGTCGTTAAAGATATTTTATTACTTTCAGGCATACTTTCAGAGAGATTCAATTCACTGACCTCTTCGTTTAATTCAGGGTATTCACGCTTGAGCCAAATGGAGATAAAGTTTTCTGGCAGTTGACTTTCAATGTTGCGTCTGAGGTAAATAAGAAGAATGGTATGGATAATCTTGTCATCGAGAGTGGGCATAATTTCTTCGTGCTTTTGAATGATTTCTTTTAATTTTTTAATACATTGCATATTAGCAATAATACACTTTTTCTGACTTATTATATCAAGTTGCTTGTCGATTTCTAATTTCTGCATATCATTGATAACGGGCGTTTCACGCAAATTCTTTTCTTCTTTCCTTAACTGCTGTAGTTCGTCTTCCAAGTCAGGCGCCATGAAATTATACTTCGGATTCACCAGATCGTCATCGATTATACCTTCATTGAGGCACAACTCTTGGGCATGGTGACGAAAATCGAGTGGTGGTTTGTATTGGGTGGGCCAAGGCAGATATTCCTTGAACGAGCCACGAGTGAATCCTTCATAGTTCCTTTTCACTACAAAGTAGTTGTACAGAGTTATGGTGTTCAAATCTCGGGTAATCTCATCCATATAAGCCCTACGCAATATTTGAAGTGCAGGATTGTCTCTTTCAACCTTTTCATCTCCTGTTTGAGAACTGCATACAATGAAATTCCAAATTTCAGCAAAACCTTCGATCTGAAACGATTCAGGTCCTATGAGAATAGGAAGTCTCCCTGAGTGGGAGTTGAAAATGTTAGAGTTGGGAACTATTTCAAATGTTTCGTTCAGTGTCCGTTCGTTTATTAAGTAATTAAGTATGGTGGAGGACACATCGAATGGAGCTATTCCTTTACCATCTCCCCACGCAAATATCTTGTAATGTGACATTATTGACTTAAGATCCGTCTTGTACTCGATGAAACCAACCGAAGTTGGGGAAAATGGAGTTTCTAGGTATAGTGAGATCAACTAATTGGTTTAGTACATGAAAAAACTCATGACAGCTTAAAAGTCTTTTGGTGCGGACGGTGTGTCCTGCCCATTACATGTTTCTTCAAGTTACGCTTTTTTTAGGAAAAGTTGTGCATGGCTTGTCAAAATCCTATTTTAAACATTCAGTACCATACACAAAGATGTCGATCGAGAAAAGGAAGGCTGAAAGTGATAATGATGAAGGTCAACCAGACAACAAAAAAGTTCAAAAGGATGCCCTAGAGGAGAAACAAGAATCAATCGCCGAGACAGAGACACAGGGAACTGCAGGAGATACCCAAGACCAGGAGTCAGAAGCAGCAGAACAATTAACCGAAAGTTATGATGAATTTACTCATGAAGAATGGGTTCAGCTTCTCAAGAAAACGTTAGAAGGGGGAGAAGAGGAAAATATTACAAAACTCTTTGAACAATATCTAACGCAATATGTTAATGATGGAGAACAGTGGGTAGAATATATCAAATGGATGATGAAAGGCGATGACGTTGAGAAAATGGATAAGAAACGTATTGAAAGCTCTTTTTTCAAAGTTCTGACCAAAGTCTATAATGTCAAGTTATGGAGACTATATTTACATTATGTTGAACTAATCAATCCGATCACTCCAGATAACGGAGAAAAAGCTAGAAATATAGTTTTAAAAGCGTACAATTTTGCAATAGAAACAGTAGGGCATGATTTCTTCAGCAGTAATGAAATCTGGGGTGATTATTTGAAATACCTTTATGTTTGGCAGGCAGTCAATCCCAATGAAGCATCCACCCGAGAGGATTTGATTAGAAAAGCGTTGAAGAATATGATAAGTTACCCAAGTTTGAACTTGGAGGAAAACTGGAAGATTTTTACTAAATTTGAGACCGACCTCAACTTGAACAAGTCAAGAAAAGTCATTTCCGATTGTAAGAATGATTATTTGAAATTGAAAGGACTCAACAATGAGGTCATTGGTTTAACGAAATCAATAAAAAAAGTGGATGAAAGGAAACATAGTTTAAGACAAATCCGGAGATGGAACAGTTGGATCAATTGGGAGAAGGAAAATAAGTTAAAACTTACAGAAGAGGAAGCCAACAAGCGGATCAACTACGTGTACAATCTATCCATCCAGTACTGTTATCTAATGCCTGAAGCATGGTTCAACTTCTCCAATTATTTGGTGGTCGAACGCAATAATGCCAAACTGGGATTGGAGGTTTTGAAGGATGGTATTAAAGTGAATCCATATAGTCTCATTCTTAGATATCAGCTATCTAACCACTATGAAGGCGCCAACGATCTGGAGAAAATCAAGGAAACATGGCTTGATCTTATCAGGAGGGTCGAGAACAGTGCTAAGAAGGATGACAGACTCATCACGTACTGCTACTCCATATTAATGAGGGTAGTCAAGAGGATTTCCAACATTAAAGAAATTCGGATGATTTTTAAACTCGCGAGACAGTTCAAAGGTATCACCTGGAACATCTTCTATCAGTACGCCATGATTGAATATTACAACAATGAAATCAAAATTGCCAACAGGACTTTCGCACTAGGAATGCAGTATTTCAGCACCGAGATCTCTTTTGTGCAGAAGTATCTACAGTTTTTGATTGACATCAAGGACATGACCAACTTCAAGAAGACGATTGAGCTTTCCCTAGAATCGTTTAAAGAGAATCAGTCTGCCTCAAAGATCTTGTACCGAATGTATTTCCAGGTGGAGCAAGAGTTTGGGGACATCAATTCCATCAATAACTTGGTAAAGAGATACAGCCAGGCGTTTGGCAAAAACTCGCCGTTTGAGCTCATCAAGGATGGTCTGAAGAGCGAAGAAGACGGGTTTGACGGAATTAGAGAGCTAGATGAGTACAAGCAGGAGAATGCTAATGCGACCGGCAACGGCAGCAGCAACGGCAACGGCAACGGCCACAGCAGCGGCCACAGCAGCGGCTCGGCGGCGAAGGCCGACAAGGACGCCGAGCATGAAGACGGTGGACGTGGCGGACGAGGAGAAAAAGATGGGGAAGGTAACAAAGACAAAGACAGCGAAGACGACGACGTTCAGATCACCAGCGTTATCGACGGGTTGAAAGAAGACTCCTCGGAGAGCAAGAACCAGGCATCCGGGCCTGACGGCGGAGACATCACTGCTAAACTCTACAGCTTCCTCCAAGCGTTGCCGCAGGACGCAGCGTACCAGGAGCAGGTCAAAAACTTGAGCATTGGCCAGATCCTCGAATTCTTCCGCAGCGTCGACAACGCCAACTGACAGCCCTATATCTATTTACATATATACCTAGCAGGCAACAGCCCCACTACCCTTATAACATCTAACCCCTGCGAGTCCCGAAACGTTCCTGGAGCAAGTCCGAGTCGGCGGCCAGAAGGAGGGCGCGGAGTGCTGAAGCAGTGACTTCCCCGAGTGTGGGGCGTGCCCCCCTATATAGTGGGCCACTTGCGTGCTGGCCAATTGATGGTCCTGCTTTCTCTTTTACTGCTTTGTTAACACCCTGCTGCCGACACCTCGCTTGTTGCTGCTACCAAGACACAGAAACAAAAAGGTATGTGACAACAGACACCCAATGGCAAGCCTGTGCGTGTTGACCTGAAACTGGTGTGCCCGATCTTGCGGCGCCCCGTCAGGTTGGCGACGCCGCTGGGAGATTCGGAACGTTGCTGTGCTGAGCATGACTAGGCCCCCTCCCTTCCTCACGACGGTTTTTGATAGTTTTCCGCCGATCGACCCAAAAACGGGACCCGGGGGCCTTTTCTCATTGCGGGAGTGTCACCCGTGCACCGTCGCTGGAATCCGCTACACCGTTTCCCCGGTGGCCGGCTCCCGTGTTTGTCCGTGGCCGGGCCGTTTTCCGCTGGCGGCTGCCCCGTGTTTGTCCGCGGGCCCCGGCCTCTCCTACTGTCGACCTCGCTTAGCGGCACACTATATCCGATCCTGGCGGGCCACTTGCCGTCTGACTCTGAAATATGCAGGAATACTAACCAGCGATTCCCCCGCTTTGGGTCCTCCACGTCAAACCGGAGGTTGTTGCGTGTGCGTGTGTGGTGTGTGGTGGATGTGCCCCCGACGGGCTGACCCGGACAATCCACCCATTCCTATTGTTAGAGCATGGTGGTGTTTTCCCACCGACACACACCCTCCCACGTACACGATGCAGCCTTTGCGTTTGCTTTTTAACAGACCGTTGCCTCTTTTTTTTCCCCATCCTTCACAACCTTCTTAGATCCCTCTAATATGCTTGCTGCAAGATCATCATTGAGATTAAGAATGTCCGCTAGAGCATTCTCTACCTCCCCTATCGCTATGAGAACAGAAAAGGATGCGTTCGGTGATATCGAAGTTCCAGATGATAAGTACTGGGGTGCGCAAACCCAAAGATCGTACCAGAACTTCAAGATCGGTGGCACTAGAGAAAGAATGCCAGAACCAGTCATCAAGTCTTTCGGTATCCTGAAGAAGGCTGCCGCCAAGGTCAACACCGAGTTAGGTGCTCTCGACCCAAAGTTGTCCCAGGCTATACAACAGGCTGCCACTGAAGTTTACGAAGGTAAGTTGATGGAGCACTTCCCATTAGTTGTCTTCCAAACCGGGTCCGGTACCCAATCCAACATGAACGCCAACGAGGTCATCTCTAACAGAGCCATCGAAATCTTGGGCGGCACTCTCGGCTCCAAGACCCCTGTCCACCCTAATGACCATGTGAACATGTCCCAATCTTCCAACGATACCTTCCCTACTGTCATGCACATTGCTGCCGTCACCGAAATCTCATCCCACTTGTTGCCTGAATTGACGGCTTTAAGAGATGCTCTTCAAAAGAAGTCTGACGAATTCAAGGACATCATCAAGATCGGTAGAACCCACTTGCAAGATGCCACTCCTTTGACCTTGGGTCAAGAATTCTCCGGTTACGTCCAACAATGTACCAACGGTATCAAGAGGATCGAAATCGCTTTAGAACACTTGAGATTCTTGGCACAAGGTGGTACCGCTGTTGGTACCGGTTTGAACACCAGAATAGGTTTCCCAGAAAAAGTTGCTGAAGAAGTCACCAAGTTGACTGGCCTCCAATTCTACACCGCTCCAAACAAATTCGAAGCCTTAGCTGCTCACGACGCTGTCGTGGAAATGTCCGGAGCCTTGAACACAGTTGCCGCTTCTTTGTTCAAGATCGGCCAAGATATCAGATACTTAGGTTCCGGCCCAAGATGTGGTTACGGCGAATTGTCCTTGCCAGAAAACGAACCAGGTTCTTCCATCATGCCAGGTAAGGTCAACCCAACGCAAAACGAAGCTTTGACCATGGTCTGTACCCAAGTCTTTGGTAATAACGCTGCCATCACTTTTGCAGGTGCTTCCGGTCAATTCGAATTGAATGTCTTCAAGCCAGTTTTGATTTCCAACTTATTGTCCTCCATCAGACTTTTGGGTGACGCTTCAAACTCCTTCAGAATCCACTGTGTAGAAGGTATTGTTGCCAACAAGGACAAGATTGACAAGCTTTTGCATGAATCCTTGATGTTGGTCACCGCTTTGAACCCTCACATCGGTTATGACAAGGCCTCCAAGATCGCCAAGAACGCTCACCACAAGGGTTTGACCTTGAAGCAATCTGCATTGGAATTAGGTTATTTGACCGAAGAACAATTCAATGAATGGGTTAGACCAGAAAACATGATCGGTCCTAAATAATCATGTTTTCCCCACATTGTGTAGTCTATATGCCCTATTTATTTATTTATTTAATCATCGAGTAAAATACTTCCTTATACAGTCAAACCTCTATATATCTTGCTACATGTTTGTCAGGCATATTAATTCACCTCCGTTATCCCCACATAATCAATCTCAGCTGCCCCCAATCTCGCTTCCTCATCGGTGTCGAAAATCATGCTCGACTCCACTTGGCTCTTTTACTCACTGAGGGGCCAGAGATTTTGCCCTCATGATGTGGTAGTGGCTCTTCGTCTCCAGCACACATAGATTACCGACCTCTCTACACTTGCTTTCTACCTCAATAGCAAGCGGTAGAAACATACTATACTTATACCCAGGAACAAAAATACATTATGTTTGGGTATTCGAAGAGATTGGCTTGCAAAAAGACAACCTTGTCTAGGCCTAAGACATCTTTGTTCAAGTCCATTGCCAGCTCCACAAGACCAGCATCTGGATTATCCAAATATGAAACCTTACAATTCTTGAAAAGCACTCCCGAAGGCAACATTCAGTCACCCCAACAAGACCTGAAAATGTCCAACATTTGGAAACATTCCACCATACAGGATATACAAAATATCACTCCTCCTTCCCTTCATTCGAATGCTGATGTTTACAATATCCTTCAGTTTTCCAAGAAGTCCAAATCCACAGGAGATAATAAGGAAGATAGTGGCAAAAAGGATGAAAAGTCAGAAGAGAAAAAAGATTCTGATAAAATCAATGATGTGACTGACCCTGCAAAGGAGAAGAAGGATAAAAACAATGACGATCAGGTTTCTAAATCGGAAAACTCTTCCAAGTCTCCTTCTTCCTCATCACCTTCCGGCGCTGCAGCCTCCTCTTCTGCACCAGCTGGCAGTGGCGATGGGGGTTCAGGAAATGATGACGACGGATCATCTGTTTCTTTTGCCACTTTGAAACCGAAAAGTAATAAGACTTCGACAATGGTAGAATTGCCTGAAGTCTATCCACAGATAGTTGCATTACCTATTTCACGTCGTCCATTATTCCCTGGCTTTTATAAGGCTGTCATTATATCTGATGTCAACGTAATCAAGGCCATAAAAGAATCATTAGATAAAAAGTACCCTTTTATTGGTTGCTTTCTGTTCAAGGATGAAAACATGGAAAGTGATGTCATAGAATCCAAAGATCAGGTTTTTGAAACGGGCGTTTTGGCTCAAATCACATCAAATGTGTATACCAAAGATAAAGACACAGGTGTCGAAACATTAACCACTGTTTTATACCCTCATAAAAGAATCAGAATAGACGACTTGTTCCCACCTTCTAAAGAGGCTCTTGACTCAAGTGTGTCCAAAGCTACGATTTCGGATGTAGACTCAGAGGAAACTTTAGTTGATAGCAAAGCCAAGAAGCAAATTATCGAAGGGATAACTGGTGAGAAAGAAGGTGATGAGCCAGCTGAAACCAAAAATAAGGAGTTATTGGAACCTTCAGATTTGGTCAATCAAAAACAGAATGAGGTGGTTGAGCACGAAGAAGAAGAAGATAACCCGACTGCATTCTTGAAGAAGTATCCAATAACTTTGGCTAATGTGTCAAACGTTGAAGATGAGACATTCGAAAAAAGTGATCCTGTTATCACTTCTTTGACTGCTGCAATTTTGGACGTTCTTAAAGAGATGTCATTAGTTAACAAATCCTTTAGTGATCAACTTGCAACATTTAGTGCTTCACTTCATAGTGATATTTTCAACTGCCCTGAGAAGCTTGCAGATTTTGCAGCGGCTGTAACGGCAGGAAACCAAGCCGATTTACAGAAGATCCTTGAATGCACCAACATCTCTGAGAGACTAGAAATGGCATTAACTGTTCTTAAGAAAGAGTTGATGAACAAAGAGATGCAAAAGAAAATCGAAAAGGACATCGAGGAAAGAATGGCAAAGAGACACAGAGAGTACCATTTGAATGAACAGTTGAAGTGGATCAAAAAGGAACTTGGAATTGATGACGGTAGAGATAAGTTGATTGCAAAGTATAATGAAAGAGTGAAAAAATTGAACATGCCTGAAGAAGTTAAGAAGATTTACGACGAAGAAATCAATAAGTTACAGACATTGGAAACAGTTATGTCAGAATTTACGGTCACCAGAAATTATTTAGACTGGTTAACTCAAATCCCTTGGGGTAAACAGTCTGTTGACAACTACAATATCAAAAGAGCTAAAGGGGTATTAAATGAAGATCATTATGGTTTAAAGGATGTCAAGGATAGAATCATTGAATTCATTGCGGTTGGTAAACTACTGAACAAGATCAACGGTAAGATTGTTTGTTTCGTAGGTCCACCGGGTGTTGGTAAAACTTCCATTGGGAAATCTATTGCCAAATCTTTGAACAGGGAGTTTTATAGATTTTCTGTTGGTGGTTTGAGTGATGTGGCAGAGATTAAAGGTCATAGAAGAACTTACGTTGGTGCAATCCCAGGTAGGGTTGTCCAAGCTTTGAAGAAAACTCAGACTGAAAATCCTTTGATTTTAATCGATGAAATTGACAAGATATCTCATTCTCATAGTGTGAATGGTGGTGATCCGTCCGCCGCATTGTTAGAATTATTGGACCCAGAGCAAAACTCTACTTTCTTGGATAATTATATGGACTTACCTATTGATTTGTCAAAAGTCTTATTCGTTTGTACTGCAAACACTTTGAGCACCATTCCTGGTCCATTACTTGATCGTATGGAAGTGATCGAGATTTCAGGCTATATTGAAGACGAAAAAATCAAGATTGCAGAAAAATATCTAGCACCAGAAGCCAAAAAGAATGCAGGTTTAGAAAACGTCAATGTCGAATTAACTGAAGATGCTATCAAGGCATTGATCAAAAACTACTGCAGAGAAAGTGGTGTTAGAAATTTGAAAAAACAAATCGATAAAATTTATAGAAAGGCCGCCTTGAATGCGGTTGAAGCGTATGGTGATGAGGAAATTGACGAACTTCTTGCAGAGGAAAAAGAGTCAGTTTTACCTGATGGTCCAATCGCGGATGCTGCAACTGAAAAACTTGACAAAAATTCAAAGGATTCATCCAGCACAGAATCTAAATCTATCTTAGATAAGATCGAAGAGGAAACTTTGTCATCCGAAGAAGCAGTATCGTCCAAGGAGAATTCCAGCGAGAAAAAGAAGAAGGAAGCCGAGGTCCCACAAATTGTGATTCCCGATGATTACAACTCTGTAATCTCACCCGAAAACCTGAAAGATTACGTTGGTGCACCTGTATATACTGCTGACAGGTTATATGAAACCACAGTTCCAGGTGTCGTCATGGGGTTGGCATGGACATCAATGGGTGGTTCTGCTTTGTACATCGAGTCTGTTCTAGAGCATGCTATCACCAAGGATTCGAGTCCTAAACTCGAAAGAACTGGTCAATTGGGTGACGTTATGAAGGAATCTGTTAGAATTGCATATTCTTTCTCTAAGATGTTTTTGGCCAAGAACTTCCCAGAAAACAAGTTCTTTGACAAGGCACAGATTCACTTGCACTGTCCCGAAGGTGCGACGCCAAAGGATGGCCCATCAGCAGGTGTTACAATTACTTCATCCTTCCTCTCTCTAGCTTTGAACAGATCTTTGAGACCAGATGTTGCCATGACTGGTGAAATAACTCTTACGGGTAAGGTTCTAAGAATTGGTGGATTGAAGGAAAAGACAATTGCTGCCAAGAGAGCAGGTGTTAGTACAATTATCTTCCCTAAGGGTAACGAGGCCGATTGGAAAGAGCTGCCGGACAATGTCAAAGAAGGTATGACTCCTGTTCCAGCTGATTGGTATCAAGATGTCTTTGACGTCTTGTTCACTGACGTTACCAAGGAAGAGGGTAATACCGTGTGGAAGGCAGAATTTGACGAGATCAAGAAAGAAGAACAGAAGGATAAGGAAAGCAAATAATGCTTTTTACTTTACCCTTTTCTATCGCCTTCAGTATTACTAATATCCCGGTCTTTTTTGCTTTTGAAGCGAGGTTAGAAAAAGCATAATGATAATGATGTATCTTTCTATTTGTATATAGAACAATTTTATGATTTTATTTACCACCCGAGATTTCTCTCTCCTGTCTATAGCAACAATAAGTGAAAATTGTCAAACTACATGAAAAAGCATGAGCCAGAATAATTCCGTCAAAACATCTGTGGCTCTACCTTACTTCGAGCTCAACAATGAAAGGGGCCTTTTTAACGCTAGCTGCACAGTCTATAAAATTTTTGTCTCATGCTGTAAAACCTCAGGTCACGTGAATCTGAAGTATTTGCGGAATTCGAGTCAAAGCATCAGAATTGAAAGTTTGAGCACAGAGCTCTCTTGTAATGCATCTCTTGAAACGCTAAGGGTGCAAAACAGGATAGTCTCAACCAAAGGAAAGAATCAAATTTCATGACAGCAGTGGCAGAGATGACGATAAACAACAATACAAGTTCTGCTGAGGGTGCCGACTCATCGCAGACGATCGAAATTTACAAGCAGGCTTTGACATTTAATGTTATAGCCAAGTATGACCCACTGATTTCACAGCTCCTACACATATCCTCCTACTGTGTGATTTATCAGTATGATGAAGAGGCTGAAGATTGGGTGAAGAGCTCTTACATGGGACCTGTTAGTGTCTATGCACGTCGAAGTGTTTGGGATAAGAATGGAAAAGATGATAACATCACAAGAGTAAGGGTCGACAACGTCCTAGCTGCGAAACAGGGCGACTTATACCGGTTTGGTTTGATCGTGCTAAATCGTTCACAACCAGAAAATTTTAGTTTGGGTTTTTTGGGAGATAAATACTTATCTCAAGAAGATTTGGATGAGGATCGTGGGCTTTTGATTGAGAAGAGTGATCAACTCATCATTGTGAGAGATTTCAATGGGAAAGCTTTTGGATTGTGGATTTTTGATGAGAAAGACCGTGACTACCTATATCAACTATTAATGTATTGTACTGACCAGCTGGTATGAGAAATCCGCCAGTCGTTTTTATGTAATTTTACAGGATTTATAGTAAGCTTGATAATAAAACTGAAGCTAAAATTAAACAATGAGCTAGGATACAGGATAAACAGGGGTGTGTGATATTGTCATGTAAAAAGCAAGTGAAACATGATATGAGATTGAAAATTTGAGAAAGTTAACTAATTGGCCGGAGTAACAGGAGTGTTTGCCGCATTCTTTTTCTTTGCAGGAGCACGTTTCTTCTTCGGAGGTTCTGAGGCCGATGTCGCTGAAGTTCCATCAGGGATTCCTTCCGTAGCTGCCTGGGCTGCCGCCTGTGCTGCAAGTTGCTTTTTTGTAGGCTTTCTTGGTTTCTTCGGCTTATCATTCTTCTTCCGAGGAGTTGAATTCTTACCAGCGCTGGCTTTCCCAGCCTTTCCTTTGGAATTAGCAGCAGAGGTGGAGTTTCCGCCATTATCTTCGGATTTGACCTCCCCATCTGCCATAGTCGAATTATCAGCGTTTTTGCCTTGAAAAGAAAATGATTTTTGATTGTTTATATTGCCCATCACTGACCCAAAACTTGTATACCCAACAGGAGGACTTTGAATACTCGAAACACCTCTGAGATTATTCTCTTTCTTGATCAAGTTTTGATGTCTTAAGTTTTCAATAAATCTCAATCTCTCGAATCTAGGAACTTCCACAGATTGTTTGCTTGCCGATATATTACTATGAGGCGAAGACTTACCCATGATAAGCATTAGCTTTTCATACTTAGAGTTGGATTGAGAGCCGTCTTGATGTAATGGCTTGTAATCGTAATTTTCATAAGTAAGAGCTCTCTTTTTATGATTCAATTTGGACTTCACCAATTCCCTCATATCCTGCCTGTGTGTAAAAATCATCCTGTCCTCCTTTTCATCGTAATGTGGAAAAACCATCTCCGAAGTTGGCCACAACGATCTACCCTGCAGGTACGGGTTGTTAGTTGGCTGCAAATTGACACTTCTGGTTATAGCAGTCAATATCTCACTTTCATATGTCAAGACAAAAGAGTCTCCAAACATTTGCGTATCGGTAGTTAAACAGAAGTCTTCATACAATGCTGATTGCGTTAGCCGTAAGATTGTTCTATACTCTTTGAATCTTTTTGGAGCCTTCTTCTCATTTTTGCTCTCGGGTATCTCGGTACTGGTTGTACTAGCGTTAGCGTTTATTTTATCCGGTGATTGATTAGAGGAGTTCTCCAGGCTATCATTCGCAGCAGGAACACTAGGATTGATGTTCGGAACCATGGCACCAAGATCTTTGGATTCACTAGAGGGCACCGGGGTTGGCTCTTTAGGTGGCAAAAGAGAAGCATCATCAACTATTCGGTGGTCGTAAATCCTTAGAATAATGTTCCCATCATAAAGCTGTATGTTTCCATCTTTTATGATTTCCATCAGTGCATCAGGTATTTTTTTCTTTGCCACATACGTAAGGAAGTCCTTTATTGCAGGATCATTTTTTGGTATTAAGTTCTCGTTATGGCCAAATCTATAGTGCTCTTCATGAATGTGAAAGTCCAAGGAAGGAGGACTGTTTTCATACTTTTTCAAAAGCTCTTGATCCGACTCATAAAAGCGCTGTGTTTTAGCTTTCCTTCGCAGATATTGCAATTTCAATAGTTGTTTCTGTTGTACATTCAACTTGTCATACTGCTCTGCAGTCAAGTTAAAGTATTTTTGCTGCTGTCTTTGCTGCAATAACTTTTTTTGGTGCTCCTGTTGCTTGAGCTGTTCTAAGTGGGCTTGCGAGGGATTTACGCTACCGTTAACTTGATTCCCCTGGGGGATTCCAGCCTGTTGCTGAACCAAAGAAGCAGCATTGGACATCTGACTCATATATTGATTAACCGATTGATTAACAGGCTTGTTAACAGGCTCATTGACAGGTTGATTAACTGGTCGATTGACAGGTTGATTAATATGCTGATTCAACGGGAGATTAACAGGACTATTCACGGGTTGGTTAACAGAAAGATTAACAGCTGGATTGACAGGGGAATTGATGTTATTCAGAGGAGAAGCTGAAATTAAATTTGCTGCAAGAGGACTATTCACAGGCAGGCTCATACCGGTAGAAATCTGCATTGGCGTTTCTGTGCCACTTGTTCTTTGTGAGGTTGAATTGACAGGCAATGATTTTCCTCCAAGAGAAGCATGTGATAGGGAAGGAGAAAACTCCGGTGTACCTGTTCCGGGAAGTGATTTCCCGGGAACCGTCTTACCAGATACGGTTTTTCCTGGCAGAGACTTTCCTGGCAGAGACTTTCCGGGCAGAGACTTTCCTGGAAGAGACTTTCCTGGAAGAGATTTTCCGGGCAGAGACTTTCCGGGCAGGCTTTTACCAGGAACAGACTTCCCAGGAACCTTCTTTCCAGGAAGTGATTTCCCAGGGATGGACTTTCCACTGTAGGAGGAAGTCTGCTGCTGTTGCTGCTGTTGCTGTAGGGCCCTCTGGTGCAATTGCTTCTGACGTACAGCCTGTGCCTGCCTTAGCATCTGTTGGTGTCTTTGGAGAATCTGGACGTCAGTTCTAGTGAGCTCCCCACTCCTTAACAATTGCTGGAATCGCTGCTGCTTGGTCATACCTGGTCCCGGTTGTATCTTCCTCAAAAGAGACTGAACGTAGGCTGGATTCCAGCCACGGACTTCAGAACCTTGCTGACGCTGCTGTGGACTTGCTTGACCCATGTGCCCCATCTGGCTCGCATTATTCATCTGGTTCATTTGGCCCACATGTCCCCTTTGGCCCATCTGACCCAGCTGGTGCTGATTGTTTATCTGTCCTATTGCATTCAGGTTCATCTGAACCCCTGCTGGAGCCAGATGGTTGATCTGGTTCATTTGGTTCAGCTGGCTCATCTGGCCCATCTGGTTGCCCTGGCTTATTGAGTTCATCTGGCTCATCGGATTCATATTCAGCTGGTTTAATTGGCCCATATGATCCACAGGACTCGGCTGATTAGGCGATTGTGCCATACCCATTTGGTTCACTGGATCCATAAACGAACCCAACCCGTTCGTTTGGCCATTCTGGTCGAATCCAAGGTTGTTAGGCTCTCCACCGGTGCTCATACTACACTACCTGGGAAAAATCAACTGTTCACTGCGGTTTTAGGACTTCCAGCAGCCGGCAAAGCCTCCGCTAGACCTCTTGTTTCTACTACCTCTTTATAAGATTCATGTTGCACCAAGAAAAGTCCTGAAATTTCCCCTGAATTTGTTTTAGGTCGATCGACCCCAAAACACGCCGATCGACCTAAAACATAAGGCTCAAACTGCGACGCATGAAGTTTGCTCGACCGGCGAACGGCACACCTGGAGGGCGAAAATTATCTAGACACGCTCTGCCATCCGCATATGACTGGGTTTTTCTGCTTTACCCATGCCAGACAGATGCTCTGCTAAAAAGTGATTCCGGAGATGCTGTAAGTAGTCCTTGGTGGGTTTCATGTATTTGTTCACACCGCAGTCAAACATCGGTAATACAGTCTGTTCAAAGCTACCCAGATCTTGGAAAACGTTTTTCACGTGTCAGATCTCCACCCCCTGTTGAACTCCAACCCAAGTCCGCCCTGGTTGCCTTCTCCGTTTGATTTGTGTTGAAGATCAGCACACTACTATCCCGCACAGGAATCCACAGAGGCAGACATTTATGAGTACCCAAAGTTTAATAATTTTTCAGTTCATTTCTTCTTGATTCGGTATCGATCTTTTTTTTGCAGAAAACACAATAAAAAACTCAATTAGATAAAAAATCTTAAAATCAAGTTATACCATTTTGTTTTATTAACTAATTTCCTTCCCAGCACCTAAAGCTCTCTTTTTATTAGTTCAGTTCATTTTTTCTTTTAATCTAAACTACAGGTTATCGTTTCATTTCACACAGCTTCACCTATCTCATTTTATTACATTTCATTTGCTCAGTCAATATTAATATTCACTTCTAAACAGCTTGATTTGATATTTTCCACCCAGTCCATTAGAGTATACAAAATATTAAAAGACCCTTTCCTTCAGCAATAACTAATGTCGAACATAAACAGATTTCTAGCCCAGCAGCTACATTCTAATAACGGCTCAGCCCCAAACTTAAATATCACAGATGAGAATGGCTCAAATAATCACACCGGCCAAGGGCTCAACAGCTGGAACTCGGATATGAACTTCCAATCCCAAAACTTACCAAACCAGCAACCTGTATATAATATCCAAATGCAAAACTCTAGTTCTTTCGGCCAAATTCCAAATGAGCATCTCAACAACAACACCAATTTATATCAAAACCAGCTGCTTGGCGTCCACCACGACAACCAGTCGATGCATGCAAACCAATATAGTCTTCTACATTCCAACCTGGATTCTCCCCAGTTCAATGCTTCCATGTCAAATATCCCTCCAATGAATTCCGTTACACCAAATTCCATTCCACTGCTAAATCAACAATCTGCAAACTCTTTACTACAACAACCGGCTTCTTCTCATATACTGCCAAATTCGGTGTCCATGACCCCCCAGTTAAGCACCAACTCTCTGCTTGGTGTTAGTGATATTACATCCCAAGACCCAAATCTAAACGGTAACTCTGCCGCCACAAACAGCAGTGTAGGCATAGGAGCTGAAATATCATCTGTTCCATCGAGAACTGTTTATTTGGGCAATATTCCTAGTGGAATAACTCCATATGAGCTACTAAACCACGTTAGATCTGGTACAGTTGAGTCTTTGAAAATGATTTCATCAAAGAATTGTGCTTTCATTTCTTTTCTAGATGAGAAGTCAGCAACTTTGTTTCATTCAGATGCTATTTTGAAGAGATTGACGATTAATAATCATGATATCAAAATTGGTTGGGGAAAACCGACTCCGGTCCAGCCTATAGTTGCTTCTTGTGTCTCTAGATATAATGCGACCAGAAATGTCTATATCGGAAATTTACCCGAAAATACGTCAGAAAAAGAATTGGCCAACGATACCAAAGAGTATGGTGAGATCGACACAATAAAAATGATTCACGAGAAAAAAATTGCTTTTATTCATTTCACTTCTATTTTAGCTGCAATAAGATGTGTTCAATCTCTCCCCTTGATTGAAAAATACAAGGATCGTAGAATTTTTTACGGCAAGGACAGGTGTGCCTTCATCACGAAAACTCAGCAACATAACGCAGCTCAATATTTAGGTCTAAATCCAAATACTGAAAATTTCTTGAGCCAAGTGGATAGAGACTTAATTGCAAACGCATTAGTCCAGCAATCAAATGCTGCTGCAATGATTGCTACTACTACAGGTGGCACATCCAATTTGGGAAACAGAACTATTTATTTAGGTAATTTGCATCCCGATTCAACCATTGAAGAGATCTGCAATGTTGTTCGTGGTGGTATTCTCCAAAACGTCAGACTTATAAATGAACGACACGTGTGTTTTGTTACATTCATTGATCCAATTTCTGCTGCTCAATTTTATGCAATGTCTTCCTTACATGGCTTGATAATTCACAATCGAAAGATCAAAATCGGTTGGGGAAAACACTCCGGGCCTTTGCCAAATTCCATTAATTTGGCTGTTGGTAATGGTGCTTCAAGAAATATCTATATTGGAGGCTTGGATAAGATTCCAGAAATCCAATTCACAAAGGATAAATTGTACTACGATTTCAAGGAGTTCGGTGAAATTGAGCAGATTAACTTTTTCCAAGAAAGACATTGCTGTTTTGTCAATTTCACCAACATTTCCAATGCCATTAAAGCAATTGATGGTATTAGAAACAACCCTGATTACCAAAGGTGCAAAATTAACTTCGGTAAGGACAGATGTGGTAACACCCCGAGACAATTCCAGTTGAATGCTAACGGTAGTAATGGCAACGGCAATGGCAATGGCAATGGCGAAGTTGAGAACGATCTTGCGCCAAATGATTTCAATAATTTCTCTGCTACAGGTAATGATATCAACACTGTTGGTGGTGCTCTTAACGCCTCTGCTACAAGCGGTAATGGGCAGTTCAATTATTCATCTAACTCAGAAGGCGAAGGCGAAGAAGAGGAAGAAGACTACATTGACGAGGCAACTATCAGGTTCCAACCATTGGGAATCACTTTCGATGAACCATCAAACCCACCTCAGCTATAACTCAAAATCTTTTAGCTCCAGTTTTTTCTCTGCTATTTTGCTTGTTTTCTATTTTTCATTTTTCAATTTACTAGCTTCTCACTTCCCCACTTCAATACTTATCTTATTTCATTTCATTTTATTTTATCTTAGTCTGCTTCATATGTTGTCATTTTCTAACTTTTTCCAACTTTACTTTTTTAAATCTAATTTTCAATTTTTCATGTGGTTGTATTGTTTTGATCTCTTTCCCTTTCTCTTCTTTCATTCTACTTTCCTTTACTTTCATTACTTTTTCTCTTATTCTCCATCATTCTTCATATTGCAGAGTGCACATTCAAGTGCCGAATAGTTATTTTCTACACGTTTACCTAAATAAATATATCTAATATAACTCATGCATCCTTTCAGTTTTCAGTTTTGACATCGGCTTTGGCATTCCGATCGGAGCGCGTTGCCCCAGAAAGGGAATAGATGACGGCAATGAAAAATCATACATCGGATTGGAGGGTTATAGAGCTTCTCCAAATCCGATTTTGATATCAAACTTTCAGATAAGTGATGAAATCTGATAATTCAGAGTCACCGTTTTATTGTACCAAATTCTTGTGCAACTAGAGATATAACAGGAACCAAGGTTTTTATAAGGACATATGTGCTCTTAAAATCTTATCTGATTCGGAATTTGTCACTTCCCATATTCCCTTTCGCCTCCCTTGAAATATTTTTTCATCTTTCAGTCACAGCACAGGACTACAAAATTGAATGATGCAAAAGATTTTACAATTTGCAAGGAAATCTTCACAGTTTGTTGATTCCTTGGGGGTGGAATCAAAAGGTATTCACAGGTACCTGCCATCGGAGAGATACGATAAAAATTCATGGGGCCCCTACATATCGACATTGGGTCTTTGGATATCCGGATGCGGAGGCTTGACGTCGATGTCTTCATTCTTTCTTGGACCATTGATCTTTGGATTAGGATATAAAGATACGCTTATATGTGGGATACTAGGCACTCTTTTAGGGTGCTTGGTGGCAGCATACTGCTCCACAATGGGCCCACGGTCTGGACTTCGACAAATGTGCAGTGCAAGATATCTATTTGGTCCATGGATGGTCCGAGTGGTTAGCTTAATCACTATAATTGGATTTCTAGGATGGAGTGTTACCAACAGTGTTCTTGGTGGTGAAATATTGAAATGGTTGAGTGGTGGGCGCTTAAGTTTGAGTGTTGGTATTGTCATTGTCAGTGTAATGAGTTTAGTGGTTGCACTTTTTGGCATTGAATACGTTTTGAAGTTTGAAGGTGTCATTGGTATTTTTGTCTTGCTTGTTGTTTTCTTGCTCTATGTTATCAGTGGCAAACAGTATGTTAAGTATGAAAATTTGCAAACTTTAGGCGACAGTGGTTTAACCAAGGTGGGAAATAGAATTTCTTTTTTCACACTTGCTTATTCTGTGACTGCTACCTGGGGCGGTTGTGCTGCCGACTACTACATTATCTTTCCCGAAGATGTTCCACAGGTTAATCTATTCTTGCTAACTTTCTTTGGGATTTTTTTACCAACGGTGTTTGGTGCCGTTGTGGGAATGTTGATTGGTAACGCGGCAGTTGGAAACGAATTATGGAATGAGACATATGCTGAAAAGTCATTGGGTGGATTGCTTAACCTTGTTTTCGACAGATGGGGAAATTTTGGCAAGTTTTTGATAGTGGTTTTCTGGTTGTCATTAATCACAAACAATATCATCAACAATTATTCTAGTGCGTTATCAGTTCAGTTATTAGATGACTTAGCATACAGATACCTCAGTAGATGGTTTATTGTCATCATTATCTTTGTGATAACTCTATTATGCTCATTGGTTGGACGGGACCACTTTTCAGAGATTCTTTCTAACTTCTTACCAATGTTGGGATACTGGATCAGTATCTACTTCACGTTGTTAATCGAGGAAAATGTTATTTTCAGATCTACAAGTTTAGTATCTCTTTTTAGAAAAGAGATGTTTGAAGTGCCAGACAGCCCAAATATTACGGATATCGAGAACTGTGAAACCACATTGGATGATACCATAATAACGGAAAAAAATGATCAGTTTAGAACAGAAAACAACACCGCTTTATCATCCTCGTCATGCTCATTATCACCATCTAGTGTGGGACCATTATCGGAAAATGAAGCCTCCAACAAATGTCACAAGTTTCCTCCGTTTTCATCGGTGAACTCGAAACCGTACTACAACTTTGAAGCTTGGAATGACAAGTATGTGTTGACAAACGGGATTGCGGCCACCTTTGGATTCTGCTGCGGTGTTGCAGGAGCAATTGTGGGTATGAACCAAGTATACTTCAAGGGGCCTATTTCCAGGTATGTTGGTGAAGATGCGGCTGATCTCGGAACCTTCTTGGCCATGGCATTCACTGGTGTATCGTACCCTCTCGCTAGATGGCTAGAGTTAAGATATTTCAAGAAATAAGCGTGTACATCAGTGATCGCTTTTGTAACACTAACTCAAAGACACCTTTGCTACTAGTCTATGAATAATATTATTCAATTTACCCACCAACTGAGACACTATTTATTTACCTACTATATAGCCTTCCGGTATTGAAGCACTGTAACATTAATGCTCAGGATAGAACCACGATAAGATATAGTATTTGAAGAACCACGCAATTGATTCCCACAATGAGGCAAAACTGAACCCCCCATTAGGTTTTGGGATGTCGTTGTCGCCTTTTTTCGGACCAGTTGTTGCCAATTGAATATCGTGGGTAGTAGCCTCAAGTGGTGCGTCAGCCTCATGGTTGTTTTCTTCACCACTTGTAGGAGCAGTCTCGTCTTGGCCTTGTTCAGAGGCGTCAAAAAGCTCGTTTTCATGAAAAGACTTGTGGTCAAACACCTCTTCCTCTTCCTCTTGTTGCTCCAATTTGCCAGCAACACTATCAGCTTTGCTATCCTCTTGCTTTTGCTCTTGCTTTTGCTTTTGCTCTTGCTCCTCCTTCTGCTCCTTCCTGACGCTTCCCGGCTTGCTACCCGTGTGAGTCTTATTTTTCAAAATAACAAACGTGACATTGTTCTCGTTCCCGTCGGCATCCTTCTCAAGAGGTGCCGAAACATCGCAGATCCATTTGTTCTCGTCGACCACATACTTGTACATCACTTTGTGGTCCACCGGTAGGTCGACGTCCAAATCGAGACACCAGTCCTTTGACTCCGTGTCAAAGGCCAACGCAGCTGCATTCGGGTCCCAGTTGTTAAAAGTACCAGCAACGTTGACATTTGTGTGCGTCTCAAACGGATCCTTGAGTTTGAAGTTGATGTAATTAGGCTTTGTCATGTCAAATCGGGGAGTGGAGTACCTTTACTCAACACAGAACAATCCAACCGACTCTGCACCCGCTAGCTAGCAAAAAGAGAATGCCCAAAACGTGTAGCCAAGCCTGCTCCAGTTTGCCTCCTCTGCCACAGTCAGAAGTGCCAGATCAACGCCTCCAGTGGCAACAACAAACGAAACAACCTTTTCCCAAACACGACACGGCCAGGCAGGAACCCTTCTTCCGACATCAGCTTATCGCCCCTCCACACAGGGCTGAGCATTTTTCGCTCCTCCTTTGGGAAATTCTCTACTCCGAGAGGAAAATGAGGGGATGGGATGGCCAGGCAGGGCCCACAAGACCAGCTTTACCGGGTCATGAGTAGCACGCAATGTCTACTGATGGCCACTGCTGGGGACGGAGGAAACAAAGGAATCCAGGAAACCAAAGGGTATTTGGATTCTCGTTTGAGTTGTACAGAAATACAAATAGACAGCTATCTATGAGAGTTTTTGGTTGTGTTTTGGGGATCGGCTCAGGCACTGTACTCGATGGAATATCCTAGCTCCTCCGTGCACTTGGCTTTGGAGGCGGACATACAGGCATCTAGAATGACCTCGTCCCTTGCTTCGAGCTGGATGCCGAATTCCTTAGGCCAGTAGGTCTGTGCGGTTCTGTCGGCGGCGTAGTTGAGGTAGTCGAAGTCCGGTGTCTTGCTTGGGTCTCCGTGTACCTTGAATAAGAGACAGACACGGGTTAGGATCACATATAGGATACGGTTGGAGAGGTTGATGGCTGTGCATGCTCTAGATCCTGCACCAAAGGTGAAGTGGTATGGTGGCACATCGACAGACTTGTCCGTCATGAATCTCTCTGGGTCGAATTCGTGGACTGTAGGACCAAAGTGGTTTTCGTCGTGGTTGGCCGCCTGGGCGTTCAATATCACAGTGACACCTTCGGGAATGACCGTGTCGTTCCATTGGAAAGGCTTGGTGGTTTTCCGGGCAGGGATCAATGGAATAACGGCGTACATTCTCAAGAGCTCACGGATGAAGGAGACACCAAACTCACACTTTTCTTCGCAAAGGACGTTTTCGTATGCACTCTCAACACTGCCGTAAATCTCGACCAACTCGTCGTGAATTCTTTGTTGCCATTTGGCACCGTTTGGACTGACGAGCTGTAACAAGATCAAACTGGCAGTGGACCCGATTGTCTCAAAACCACCGGACACCAAACCGACACAGATACTCTTGATGTCATCGATATTGAGTCTAGCCTTGCCGTCGGTGTTGGCAAAGTCTCCAACAATACTCTTTCTGGTGTCCTTGTGGCTGATGGCCTCCTCGGTCAACTTGCCCAACCAGATGTTTCTCTTTTCGCTGGCCTCGACTGCCTGTCTCTTCCTTTCGTTTTCAGGCAAAAGTCTGACAAAAGGAACAAAGTCTTGAAGGTTGTTGTTGGTGGAACGGAACGACGAGATGAGTTTGACCATCTCAAGGATCTCGTTCAATAATGGAGTTTCGATTTTGTCAAATCTGGTGGCATAGCTCAACATTGCAGTGAAGTTCAAGGCCAATCTTTGTGTGTACTTGTAAGGGTAGATGTACTTACCTTGTGAGTCTCTGTAGAAGTCCCTGAGAAAGGAGAACCCTTCCAAGTCGATCAACCCAGCACGCTCTTTGATGGCAGGCGTGGTCATGTATCTCTGGACATTCAAACGTCTCTTCTTACACGTCTCATTCCATGGAGAGGTACCAATAGTTAAGCCCTGGGAAGTGGAGACTAGCTGGTGGAAGGTGTAAAACAACGGTCTGTCGATAAGAGCCGTTTGGTTCTTGATGAACCATTCGTTTGCAGCGTCATACGTGTTCACAAACACGACTCTTTGCGTGCCCATCAAACACTGGAAAACCGGAGCCCCCTTTTCCAAAGAAAGTTTCTGGAGATTGGTAGGATGGTCTTCACCTAGCGTTGTCAGTATACCGAAGAAAGGAGAGTTGGTTTTGACTTCTGGCAACCCGTCGATCTTGGGCTGGCTTGGCTTGATGGTGAAGTTGTATAGCCATACCGCCAGACAGAAACAGCCAAGAACCAGCACCACTCCGCCCAGTTGAAGTGTGGAGAGATTTCCGAAAACAGATGTCTGTAGCATGTTGACTATTCTACAGAACGATTGCTTGACAACACAGATCAGAAGGAAGCTGGGGGTCCAACGCCAGGAAAATTTTCATCTTTGTCCCACCTGACAGATGGGCTCTGGCTGTTATATATACGTCCTTCTCCGAACACACTACTCGTTCCACCTGTTACCAATGCTGATTCTCCGATTCATGGACCCCCTAATAGGGCTCACGGCGGAAGAACGTCCGTCTCTGCGAAGCATCTTCGAGAAGCGTCGGATAAGCCGACACATGAAAATTCGGCCTCAAGGCCGATAACTAGTACATCTCCGATCGGGTTGACGACAGTGAGTTCTCAACAAAGGCATCGGGTACAACTTTACTATAGAAATAGACGTAACTACTGTCCCTATTTCTTCAGATGGTCTGGCTTTTCTGTCCAAAAGACCTAGCAGCACGATTAGGAGAAGTAGAAGGAGTTACATGTAACACCGGATAGGAGTAGATAAAGGAGACGGATAGAGCGATCCCCAACCATCCGTGCACCCTGGAAAGTGGAAAATGGAAGACACTACCTCGGAGGTTGAAATGAAGGATGACAGAGACGGTGAACATGAAAGTGAGCAGGATGAAGATCGCAGTCTCGAGCTCGGCATCGATCTCGACCTCGATCTCGACCTGAACTTCAACTTTGGTTTCGATGGACAGGATCGGCCGGAAGGAGTGCAAGAGGGGAGTACACAGCAGATAAATTCCAGCCAGCAAGAAAGTAGCAGGAGGAAAGATACATTTCCGCCATCGTTATCTTCAGCGTCATCAACCTCGGCGAAGACTGATATAACCCAACTACTCCAGATGGATGAACTTTTCACAGCAGCCGATATCGAAGTGCTACAAAAGAGCAGCCACAGACGGTCGTCTACAAAATGCTTCCGCTGCAAGCAGAAAAGGATTCCCTGCTCTTACGAGTTTCCGAAGTGCACGAGTTGCAAACGTGATAATGTCGAGTGCTATGCTTGGGTGAGGGGCCTTCGCAAACCGGTTCCACGAAGCTTGCCGCTCTACCTTGAGGCCAGGGTTGCAGAGCTAGAGATTGAGCTGAAGAAACTGAAACAGCATCACGTTATTGACGATCTGGAAGAACGTTCATACTCGATAACAAAATATGCAGCCACTCCGTTTTTGGAAAGCTTCGAGATAGCGGAACACGACAACACTTTTGCGTCGTTCTCCTCCTTTTACTTCACATCAAGTAACTTGCCAGCCCCATTCGACACTATGATCGACAACAGCAAGCGAGGAAACATGAAAACGTTTATCGAAGAACATCCACCCGTCGATTTGAGCACCATACCCAGAAACGTCGTAGAGATAATGATGTCTAACTACATGGATATCCATCTTCCCCAGTGGCCGGTTATCTCTAAGTCCGAGTTGACGGTGATTTTGAATAAGGTGTTGGATAACCCAAATGTTGCATTCTCGTTTGAGAAAGCAGTTGTTTCAATAACGATGGCCATATCTGCTGCATTGATCACAAACAAAAGTGAGAAGCGTGCCCTTTCTTCATCGAGTGCTTTGTTTGCAACAACCATTTCTCAAATATTGGAAACCACTTGGGAATCGAAAATGAAGAAATTGCAAATTACTTTGTTGATAGTTCATTATGCATTTGCAAATCCGTACGTTGCGGACATCTGGAGAACTTTGAGAGATGCCTTACGTCTATGTGTGGACATGGGCCTGCATAAGGAAGTTGAGTCTGAAGTCATCACCGTTCTGGACGTCGACGATAGACGACGAATATTTCTTGTTTGCAGTGCAATGTTGAGACACTTGTCAGCGGTTTTAAGAATTAGGTTTCCGATTCCTCAACCCTTGATATCAGTGGAGTATCCTACCATTGTCGACGATTCCTTCATTACTGAAAAAGGTATAGACTATTCTGGACCGAAGACAAAAGCAGCAGCGCTACACTTTTATTCTCTTCGTCTTTGTGAATCTGAAATCTGTGATGTTTTATGGCACAACAAAGAAATACCTGGCACAATTGAAGAATGGATTAGTAACATGGATTCCAAAATTGAAAATTGGTATTTGAAGGCGGAGGAGTTTGCTAAAGTCAATCAGTTAAGGTTTAGGTTGATCACTAAAGCATCCTTGCAGATTCGAATGAGAAGAAGAACACCCAGAATACCTGAGCCTAGCCATCTTTCGATTATTAAATTAGTTGAAGCCCTATCTGTTCATGTGGATGAATATTTGAACGATTCCCAAAGAGGCCAAGTCTCTTACTTACTAATGGGAGTTTACTACGTAGAGGAAGCTGCAGTTAACTTACTAGATGTTATGTGGTTCCAGCATGATTGGATTTTTGAATCCTTTTCTCTTGAATATCTTGATGAAAAGTTGAAGGCTTGCATTCAATTACTTGAGAAATTTAACGAGCGCTGGCCGGATATTGGTGCCTCTAATATGACTGGATATTTGGATGACTTACGCCGAAAGGTTTTGGCAAAGCTGAACAAACCTGAAGATGTCAGCCCAGAAGATATAGCTGAAACCTCTTCACACATTGAACATTTGATATTTCCGCATAATGGGAAGGCATCTTCTAACCCATCCGCTTTCGATACAGCTGACTTATCTGGAACAATATTGGATGACATCAACTATGCCGACAACGAGTTTACTCTACTAAATCAGAAATTCTCAGAAAAATCAAATTGGGAAGATCATTTTAATGACAACAATTTCTGGAATCTGAAAGACTTATTCGCCCAAATGGGTGGAGGTATATAACTTTTTTCAGCTTTTTCAGCCTCTGTACCTATATATCTTGCAATTTATGTATTGCACAAGCCATATCTATAAAGCTTTTGATAGAGTTTGCACTATACCACTGGGACGATATCTGAGATACCAACCTCTGCCCTAAAATAATATTATCGACCACTGTACTCTTCTCAAGTAATCCAAAATAGTTTGAATAATATAATTTTTTAATTAAAATAAGGTTGAGCACTGCAGTTGAGATCTTAGACAAAGCAACCCAATACAAAGTAATTCCTGTACCCTTGATTCTTAAATCATAATCTCCTATTATTGCAATGGATGCGTTCAAAATGTTCATCACCACCGTCGAGAAGTAAGCTTCACAGCTGGTGCAGTTGTGTGATAGCAACGGCGAGGCTAATATCCAGATATTCGGGTCATTTTGTGTAGTTAACATAGGCGATTCAAACAACCTTACTATGTCACAGCCAGAAGAATTAGCATACAAGGTGTTGTAAAATTGGACTTTTTCAAATATTTGCAAAAAGTAACTTTGTAAAGAAAGATCCTTCAAATTTAATATCTGGTTTTTGGAAAGTGATATGGATGGCGAGTTGCCAAGACATAAAGACATCTCTGAGTCTAAAAAAACGAGAACTTTTAAAAATTGACTTCTTGGTATGGTACATGCGATTAATCCTGGAAGTGGCTTGGTATTATCTAGATTTTTCAATTGTAATCGCTCAGCAATGGCACATGCGGAAGAAAGTGTCTTCCACATAGATTTGCCCGTCTCTGGATCAAATGATTCATATAATGCGTAGAGTAGAAAAGCAAGTATTGAGTCACCATCCTCACGGCTTAGCTTAGTTTTCATTATTTCTAAAACTTTTTGTTGTAACATTACCTTTATAGGCACAAAATCTGTACGTTTTCTCATTATTTGTGCAGAAGAAATCAACAAAATAAGCAAGATAAAAAGTTGTTTTTTGTCCGGATAGTTTTTAACCATAAGATCAAAGTGGAAGAAGGATTCTGAGAGTAATGGATTGGAAGGGTATATATTTGTAAGATAGTTTGTAATTAACACTTTTGAATGGTCGCTGGTAATCATTCCATAGTCAAAGGTCATTTTCACCGGTGGGATTGACTTATGGTCTAGTATTGACACCCGGTCCAAGGAGGTGATCCTCAAATCTAACATCATGGAGCTCATATATATCATCGAAACCAACGAGCATGGTCCAAAATAGTGCAACTCTGAATTTGTTCCTTCTAGAAGAGTTCCGTTTTTGATAACTTCATAAAGCCTGTTTTTTTTGTCCACGGTATAGCCGTTCTGTGACGTTCTCTTGTTGATTTTCTTTCTGTATTTTTCAATTTCATTCCTCAACGCTATCACATTGTCGTTCAAGCTCTTAAGATACTCCCGCGGAACATTATTGTCCAGGCCTTCATCATAGTACTCACACTGAGTCCCCATACTTTCACAATGCTTACAGCTGGGTAAATTGAAGTCACATTTCTTCTTTCTCTTTTTGCAGATAATACATGATGGTAACATTGCTTAATTTTGCTTGTTAATCTTATTACTCCACTCCTTTTGTCTCGTCTTTTCGTTTTTTGTTTAAGCGTGTCCAAGGCCACTCTTGTATCCTTTTGTCTTCTATCTTCCTGTCAGCCGTTAGTGCTTTCGCTTATACCTGTGTTATCAGATGTACTACAACAAGAAAGATCTCTACAAAATACCCCGGACGCTCTTCCCGATATCTTCGACGAATTTAGCGCGTAAAGAGACATTAATTGATTATCCGTCTGACTTTAGATATAAGCAGAGTGGTTCCTATCAGTGATAAATTTCTTGACTTTTTTCTCTTTTTACGACGGAAAGATGAACTTTTCTATTCTGAGACTTGGAAGCCCTGTAAATAAGTAAAGTGAGCACAACAAATGAAAACGGAGATCAACTATTCGAAGGAAGCCCAAGGAGCAATCGACAGCTACAAAACACACATTAGAGCAGGCTTTTTTCCGTTGCCAGTGCCACTTGCTAAAGCCAAAAATGCGACTTTATGGGATATTGATGGTAATGAATACATTGACTTCTTGTCTTTTTTTGCTGTCGCAAATATGGGGCATTCTCATCCTAAAATAGTTGAGGCGTCATGCAAAGCAATTCAAGATTGTGCTTTGACCAATTCCTCGTTCATGAGTCCGAAATATGCTGAACTCGGAGATAAGATTGAGGAGATTTTGGGTTACAAGAGAATAGTCTGTATGTGTACAGGTGCCGACGCCACAGACACAGCAACAAAGCTAGCAAGAAAGTGGGGATACTTGAAGAAAGGCATCAAAGAAAATGAGGCTTTTGTTTTGACAACCTCTGCGTGCTATCACGGGTTGACCATTTCGACCCATTCATTTGCGACAACGAAGAATGAGAAGTTTGGTCCTTATGTGCCGCACGTTGGCTCTGTTTCTCCTTCAGGAGTAGTGGTTGAATATGGTGATATTGACTCCTTAGCTACTGCGCTTGAAAAAGACCATGCTACAATTGCTGCATTTATGGTTGAGCCAATCCAAGGATCTGCTGGTATTGTTACTCCACCAAAGGGCTATTTGAAACAAGCATACGATCTCTGCAAGAAATACAATGTTTTGTTTATTGCAGACGAAGTTCAAACAGGTCTAGGAAGAGCCGGATCTATTCTGAAGTCTTGGGATGATGGAATCAAACCTGATTTAGTATGCCTGGGTAAAGCTTTGGCAGGCGGGGTTGCTCCGCTATCTGCTGTTTGCGGTGTGGAGGAAGTGATGGATGTTTTGGAATATGGAGACATTGGATCAACCATGGCTGCAAACCCACCTGCTACCGCTGCTGCGGTTGCTGCTCTAGGAGTGTTAATCGATGAAAAGATCAGCGAGCAAGCTAAAGAGAAGGGTGCTCTTTTGAGAAAGTTACTTTTGGAAGAGAAACTTGAACAAGTCGCCTCAGTGAGTGGAGACGGCGTGTTGCTTGCTGCAGTTCTCAACCCAGCTTCCCTCAACAAGTCGTTTAATGGGGCACGGTTGGCTGCACTGTGTGCTGCCAATGGACTGATTGTCAATTCTGCTGCCGGCGGCAAGAGAATTAGAATATGTCCACCCGCAACAATCAGCGCAGAGGATGTGAAGAAAGGTGTGAAGATATTTGCCGAGTGCGTCAGAACTTTGGACAGCATTGAAGGCCCAATTCTTGGCGTTGCTTAGATTGTGCATATAATTGTATTTTTTAGATAGACTAGACATTCTAATAAGACAAACAGGTTTCATAGAACAGCACATTTGCTGTCTTTCTTATAAACCCTACCATCCTTCATCACGAAAGATGGCTTTCTGAGAGTCGAGAAGGAGTCAAAAGGACTTTCGTCCAGTGCGACGATGTCTGCTGCAGTCCCCTCACCGAGCCAGCCAAAGAGTCTTCCACATCTGTGCCCACCGCACGCGAGCCACCCGTTGTAGGTGAGGCATCTAAGTGTTTCGTCCACTGGAATCCCGGACTCGATGAAAAGCTCTGCTTCACGGATGTTTTCTCCGTGGTTGAAGGTACCAGTGTCCCCACCACAGGCCTGCTTGATTCCAAGCTTCCAGGCTCTGTAGGTTTTGTCGAGCATGAACTGGAAGTTTGAGCCGTACAACCGTTCGGCAATTGCTAGCGTGGGAACAATCATGCAGTCGTGCTTCTTGACCACCTGCAATGTCTCGTCGTCACACCAAAATGCATGCTCCAAGGTGGAGACACCTGCCTCGGCCGCCATTTTCACTGCTCTGTTTGTGGCACAGTGGGCTGCAACGGGGCAGTCTGCGTTCTTGGCCTCAGCCACAAGGACGTCCATCTCATGCTGTGTGTATAGAATCACGTCCGGGTTTGGCACGTCCGGTGGGAACTGGACCGACGAGAGGTACGGGTGAGGCTGTGCAGGAGGGAAACGCATGATACGCTTTCTGTAGTCTGCGTAGAACTTGACCACGTCACAGCCGACACCCAGACGGCGTCTCACCGCTCTTCTGATCTCGTCCTCCCCGTCGCACGCCTCACTCATGGCCGGCACACGGGTCCCGCCGATCGTGTTCTCCGTGTGCGTCTTGAATCCGTTCACAGAGGCCAGGACCTGCGTGGCGACAAAGAGACGGGGCCCGATCGCAAGCCCACGGTTGATGGCGTCTCTGACGTTTGCGTCCGCGTCGTCCATCCCCTCCGAGCCGAGGTCTCTGTACGTGGTGTAGCCGCACATGAGCGCTGTCTTGCAGTGGTTCGTAGCCCGGATGATCCGCTCGACGAAGCCCTCGTCCCGCACCTGTCTGGCGCTGTCCTTCTCATCGTACGAGTGCAAGAAGATGTGTGTGTGTGCGTCCACAAACCCGGGCATGACGAACTTGCCTCTCAGATCCACGTCGTTCTCTCCAACCTCGCAGTCTCCCGACGCTCTCTGCACCACCTCCACAATCAGCCCCACCGCCGGGTCAACCTTGAACGACACGTTCTCCAGACGCTGCATGCCCTTCGGGTCAAACGCTGTCGAGCAGTGGACGTAGAACGGCGCCGCCATGCTCTGTCTCAGCTTCTCGATTCTTTCATACTCGACCTTCGACTTCGGCGTAGGCGCAGCAGGTCCGCCCGAGCACGCCACGGAGCAGCATTCGCACGACATCTTTGTTTTCTCTACCGTCTTGCTGTGTCTACCACCCCACTCTGCAACCACCACACTCGTCGTCTTCTCCCTCCCCACCTGCCTGGCGTGCCAACCCGTCCGATATAAGGCCCTCGAGGCCCTTCCACGGCCGTTGTCTGTGTCCACCGCCTTATCGCCCCGCAGCCGCTGCTTTCCTTATCGCTGTCGCGTAACGGGACTCGAATTCCCCGATCCGGGGGCCGGGACGGCTGTGCGGCGATTAGGCGGATTGCTGTCTGGCGGTTGATAGATGGGTTGGGATGTTTGTGTAGAGGGTTAGACAAGGTTAAAGAGGGTTGTGGACAGTGTGATACAGTGTGCAGTCAGTCGGCGTCGGCGAAGGTGTGCCAGGGAGCGTTGATGAAGCGCTGCTTGTTCTGGAGGCCGATGGCGGAGATGGTGGCGACGTCGGCGGGCGTTAGGTCGACGAGAGAGAGGTTCTCGTCGAGCCGGCCCGGGGACTGGGAGCGGGGGATTACGGGCCAGCCGCTGGCGACGCCCCAGCTGAGAAGCAGCTGGGCGACGGTGGCGCCCTTGCTGTGGGCCAGGGCGACGAGCTGGGCGTTGCTGAGCAGGGGAGAGCCGATCGAGCCCAGCGGGCTGTAGGCCACGAGCTGGATGCCGTGGGCCCGGCAGTACGCGTGCAGCCGCTGCTGGTTGTTTGCCGGGTGCATCTCGACCTGGTTCACGTCGGGGACGACGCCGGTGGCGTCGCAGATGCGCTCGAGCTCCTCGACGGAGAAGTTGGCCACGCCGATCCGCCGCACCTTGTGCGGGGCCGCCTTGTGCACGGCCACCATCGCCTCCCACGTCTTCACGTAGTCCCAGTCCTGCTCGAAGTCGATGGTCCCGTCCGGCCGGCGGGGCGTCTTCGGGTCGTTGCCGTGGTGGTTCAGCGGCGACGGCCAGTGCATGAGCCACAGGTCCAGGTAGTCCACGCCGAGCGCCTGGAGCGTCACGTCCAGACACTCCCCGGCGGCCGTGTGCCACGTGTTGGCAAGCTTGTCCACGACAAACACCTCCTCCCGGGGCACCCCCGAGTCCCGCAGCGCTCTGCCAACCGTCTCCTGGTTGAAGTAGGCGTACGCTGCGTCCAGCATGCGGTAGCCGTGCTGCAACGCATACACAATGGCCTCGTGGCCCTTGTCACCCTCGAGCTGCCATGTTCCGAGCCCGACTGCCGGCATTTCGCCCCCGCTTTTCAGCCCAAAGCTCTGTGCCAACACCATTTTCTCTGTGGATCGTCTTCTTGGTCACCTCTCTGACCACTTTGCCCTCCAGGACCCCCAAAACCGCCTGATTTCCACCCGCCACCCGCAGAACAGCCAACGGTCCTGGCCTTATACCACTCGCCGCTCTGGCCAGCGCCGCTCCGAACGCGAACCTCTTCGGGAGGCCGTCGCTTATCGGTCGGGGCCTGCGAGGCCGCCGGGCTGCTATCGGAGTAGCTGGAGGATATATATAGGACGTGGCCGGACGTGTGCTGTGGAAGCGGAAGAGGGGAAGAGTGGTTTAGGCAGTGGAGAGGGAAGCCAGCACGCCAGCACGCTAGCACGCCAGCAAGCCAGCAAGCACGAACCAGACCGCACCCAGACCGCAACTATGGCTGCCGCATCAAACTACTTCCCCGTGGCCAACCCAACTCTGCCATTCTGGCACTCAGAGGAGGACTCGTTCAAGAACCTCAGATCGACGCCAGAGCTTCCTCAGGAGACAGACATCCTCATCATCGGCGGCGGGTACGCCGGCGCTGCCGTCGGGTACTGGACGTACAAGGAGGCAGGCAGCACGCCTCCTAAGGTGCTGATGCTCGAGGCGAGATTCATCGGCTCGGGCGCCACCGGGAGAAACGGAGGCCACCTGAAGCCCGACTACTACAGAGAGTACCTCAGCTTCGAGAAGCGGTTTGGTCAGAAGGACGCAGCGTCGATCGGAAACTTCGAGCACGACCACCTTGCTGCGTTGAAGGAGGCCATCGAGGACCTGAACATCGACTGCGACTTTGTGCTCACGAGAGCGTGCAACGTGCATCTCACGAAGGGCGCTGTCGCCGGGTGTTTGAAGGCCATGCAGGCCTTGCGCAAGAACCCCTACACCAAGGTGTTGAACGACATCCAGGTGCAGTTCGGCAGCAACGCCGAAATTACCTCGATCTGCGAGGACTCGCCGCTCTCTCTCACGTTTACCGCCGGCCACTTGTGGCCCTACAAGATGGTCAAGGGCTTCCTGCAGTACTGCATCGAGAAGGGCATGAACGTGCAGACTTACACGACCGTCACGAGCATCGAGAAGCAGAAGGACGGCTCCTACATCGTGCACACCAACCGGGGCAGTGTCAAGACCAAGAAGGTCGTCCTGGCCACCAACGCGTACACCGCTGGACTTGCGCCCGAGTTCGAGGACAGGATCATCCCCGTGAAGGGCACGTGCTCGCACATCAAGGTGCAGGATGGCGACAAGCCGGCGCCATACCTCTCCAACACTTACGGGATCTGCAGAGACTTCACCAACCACGAGTACCTCATCAACAGACCCGACGGCACGGTCATTGTCGGAGGTGCCAAGCCGTACTACTTGAAGGACAAGGACGCGTGGTACAAGAACGTCGACGACTCGACCCTCTTTGCCGGCGACGTCAAGGGCTGGTACGAGACCTTCATGCAGAACCACTTCTACACCTGGAAAGACGCCAAGACCGAGGTCGACTACCTCTGGACAGGCATCCTCGGCTACTCCGCCGACGCCTTGCCTTGGATCGGTGAGTCGCCCGACCAGTCCAACAAATACATCATCGGTGGCTTCCACGGCCACGGCATGCCTCGTATCTTCTTGAGCGCCAAGGCCATTGCGCAGATGATGCTCAACAACGTCCCTGTGCAGATGACCGACATTCCTGTTCCCTTCATGCTGACCGCCGAGCGCTTGAGAAACGCTAGGAACACCGTCCTCAAGGACACCGGTTTCTCCAAACTCTAGATAGCTACTCTTTAACTTCCGACTTTAATAATACTTTAATACAACAAACCCCCCCTCTCAACCCTCTACACCCCGATTTTCTGACCCGTGCCCTTCCCACCGCCAAAGCCTTAACTCCCTCGGCCCCCCCGAAACGTCTATGCCGCCTGTCTCGTTCCCCGACGCTCGCTGCCTTATCCGAGCTTATCGCAGTTCCGATCCGCCAACCGCTGGGATCGCGTACACGGCCGGCACGGTTGTGGGGGAGGACGGCGGGTGCTGGCTGGATAAAAGGGGCAGGAAGCGTCGCTCTAGGCGGTCGTTGGCTGGTGGATGAGAAGTACGGGCGTAAAGGAAGGCAGGAAGGGAGAGCAAGGAACCGCTAGCAGCCCAACAACCCCAATTAGCCAGCTCCACCAGCAAAAAGCAGAAAAGAAGAGAAAAAATGCCAGACATTGTTTTTGATATCATCGGGACCTGTATTGGCTACGACGTGATGCTCGACGCCATCTCCACAAGACTCGGGGACCGGTTGTTGGAGCACAACATCAACGTCGAGTTGTTTTTCAACGCGTGGGGGACGGCGTGTGAGAGAGACTTTTCGTACCTCTCGCAGATCGGACACTACCAGACCACGCGGAAGATCCTCAGAGCAACCTTCTACAGAACGCTCTACCACGCCGGTATCCAGGACCCGAAGGCGTTTGCCTCCGAGGACGATTTGGACTTCTTGAGCAGCGAGTGGTTGAAGCTTAAGGCCAGACCGGAGCTCCCAGCGCTCTGGAAGCTCTTGAGAGACAACGGCTTCACCGTGTGGTGTTTGACCGACGGTGACCAGGAGCGTGTGAAAGGCTACTTCCGCAACTCCAACTTGGAGATGCCGGACGAGAACGTGATCTCGTGCGACTCCCTTGGCGTCGGCAAGCCGACGCCAGCCGTCTACGAGTACATGCTCAACAAGCTTCCTAACCACGGCGCCGACTCCTGGTTCGCTGCCGCCCACCAGTGGGATTGCTGTGCTGCCAAGAGCGCCGGCTTCCGCACTGCATGGACCAACATCTACGAGAAGTACCCCGGCGAGGACATCTTTGGTCTTCCTGACATTGTTGCCGAGGGCTTGCTCGACCTCGGTGAGAAGATCGTCGCCGCTCAGAAGAACTCTAAATAGATCCCCAGCCAGTAGCACTATCTTATCTGAAGGCAAATGCATTGTTAGCATCTTCTAATCTAATATAATCTTCTAATCTAATCTTCTAATCTAATCTTCTAACCTGATCCTCTAACCTGATCCTCTAACCTGATCCTCTAATCTAACCGTCTAATCTAACCGTCTAATCTGCGACTTTGGGAACCTACGATTCGACCAACCTACCAATCAACCTACCGACTAATAGACGAACCAACCACCTACAAACCTTCCAACCTTAGAGTCGCCCTGGCGCATATGACCAATCGGGAAACTCCCTCCTATTTGCTTCCCCACACCGGCAACATATGATAGATAACTGTGCCATCGTCGGGTCGCCAAGACCGGCCGCTGCGAAGCCCACGCCAGATCCACGACATATCCTCCCCGGCCGACGCTCACCGTTCACACCGTCCTCCTATGGCTTTCCTAACTCTCGTGATAAGAGATAAGCCCGGCACATCTATACCCCTACTGTTGCTTTCACCCTTGTTCGGGAGCCCCCGAAACCATCCCCCGGCTCTGCGGCCATACAAAACAGCGTGCTTACGTCAGCGTTTTTCGGGGGACGCCGCCGTACGCGACGTCCCCGAGGGTTCTGTCGGAAAAGCCGTCCGCCGATAGCTATTCAGCATGACAGATACGGAGACGGAGAGGAGATGATGTGTCGGATAGGGACCAGAGCTAGCGGGCGTGTGCAACCGGGCCAGAGAGTAAGTGGATCTGCTGCTGGCGCCCTCTGCTGCAGCAGAGCACAAGTACAGAGAAGTATAAAGCGCTTGTTGTTTCCTCCAGTTGATAACGGCAAGGATCTGTGCTGTGCTTATCGTCTTTTCGACTCTGTTTCTTTCCATAAGCAAGCACACTCACACACACACAAAGAGCAAGATGGCATCGTTTCCTGAAGGAACCGCTTCCAAAAACCTTGCTACAGAAGAGATCTACACGATCGAGGATAGCGTCAGTGGCGACTTCCCAGACAATGTGTCCATCGGCGACAAGGAGAAGTTGACCGACGCTATGGCCGACGCCGCAGCAGGCGTCGACGTTGGTTACAAGAGACAGATCACAGGCCGTCAGGTGCTTATGATCACCTTTGGTGCCGGTATCGGAACTGGTTTCTGGGTCGGTATGGGTTCTGCGTTGAGAAACGGAGGTCCCTTTGGTATTGTTTTCGCTTACACGATTGAAGCTTATATTGTCTATGTTATGTTTATCCAGACTGGTGAGATGACCGCTTACCAGCCTATCCACGGTGGATTCATCAACCAAGATTTGCTCTATTTGGATGAAGCCATCAGTTTTGCACAGGGTATCAACTTCGCTTTCAACTGGATGATTGTTTTGGCCGCCGAGTTGACTGCAGGTATTAATATCATCAGATTCTGGGACAAGGAGCACGTCGTCTCCACGGCAGAATGGATTGTTGTCTTTGGTGTGATCTACGCTATCTTCAACGTCTGGCCCGTCAAGGCCTACGGTTACATCGAGTACGTGCAGTCGTTCATCAAGATCGTCTCCATGGCTGGTGTCACGCTTTTCATGTTGGTTGCTACCTGCGGTGGATTACCAAAGGGTGGTCCAATCGGTTACAAGTACTGGACACACCCAGGTTGGGACAGAAACGGTATTAAGGGTATCTGTATGGCTCTTGCACAAGCAGGTTTCTCCTTTGGTGGTGGTGAACATATTGCCATCGTTGCTGGTGAGGTCAAACAACCTCGTAAGTTCATTCCAAGATGTGTCAACCCTATTTTCTGGAGACTCGGTGTCTTCTTCATTGGTAACTCCTGGTTGATTACCATGAATGTCCCATACGACGACCCTCTTTTAAACAACGCCAGCGGCTCCTTGACCTCTCCTTACATCATTACCATGCTTAACGGTGGTGTCAAGGTTTTGCCACACATCTTGAATGCTCTTATTTTGCTTTCCGTCATTTCCTGTGGTAACTCCTCGGTCTATATTGGTTCCCGTTCCTTGGTTGCCTGTTCTGACTTGAACTTGATCCATCCTTTCTTCGGTAAGAAGGATAAGCAAGGTCGTCCATGGCCTGCCCTTGTCTGTGTCTTCATTGTTGGTCTTGGTTTGGCATTCTTGAACTGTTCCAGTACTGGTCAAGTTGTTTACGACTGGTTCAACTCCTTGTGCGCCTTGAACGGTTACTTCACATGGCTTGCAATTTACTTCGCTCATTACAGATTCCGTGCTGGTTTGAAGGCACAAGGTATTGACTTCAAGAAGTTCAAGCTTTACGACAGATTCTTCCCATGGACTACTTACTCTGCAACTTTCATCATCTTCTGTTTGTTTGTTGCTCAGTTCTACATTGGTCTTTTCCCTCTACACGATAAAGGTATGGATGCCAAGGATAGAGCTAAGAACTTCTTCTTGACCTACTTATGTGTTCCTCTATTCGGCCTTTGCTGGTTATATTATAAGCTTAGATGGAAGACTGTGCTTAAAAAGCCAGAGGACATGAACTTCTCCTACGGTAAGAAGTGGGATGAGATTGAGGAGCTTGAAGCAAGACAGAAGGCTGCTAAAGGAGGAAGTGATAAGAAGGACCGTATCGATGCGCTTGTCGAAAAGTACCTAGCTTGAAGGACGCAGTGCTCGTTATTTTTTACTATTTTTACTATTTTCATTAACAACTATTTAGGCTCTTATATAGTTTAAATTGTTTTGGCTTTTACATCTTGACCGAAAATGGTTTCTAACAAAATTTGCGCTCGACTTCTATGACTTCAACGAACTCTAGCCAGCTTGAGACATTAGGTTTTTTCGAAACTGTTTTCTTTCTCCGTTTTTTTTTACCTAAGTATACAATTAGAAAACTTAATACAGAAATACTTAGAAGCCACGGACCTCCTTTGGTTTGTAAGGTTGTTCCAAAAACTTAATTTGTTCTTCAGAAAGAGTGATGTCCAAGGCCCCAACTGCTTCTTCGACTCTAGCAACGCTGGAGAGACCGAGGATAGGACACCCGCCCTTACTAATGACCCAAGCGGTTGCAACCTGTGACATCTTGCAGTTGATCTCCTTTGCCACTGCTTCGACTCTGTTGATGACCTCCTCGTCGGCGGCAGACAAGTCTTTGAGGATATGTACCATTGCCATATCGGACTTCATCCGTTCTGATTCCTTCATCTCGTCTAGAGGCCTCGACAAGACACCCCTCGCGATTGGCGACCAGTGAACTAGCCCAACTCCGGTCTCCTTGCAGAATGGGATCATTTCCCTTTCTTCTTCTCTGTAAAGTAGGTTATAGAAGTTCTGCATGGAGATGAACTTGTGCCAGCCTTTTGATTCAGCGACAAACTGCAACTGGGCAAACTGGGTCGCTCTCATGGAGGAAGCACCGATGTATCTCACCAAGCCTTGGTTGATCACATCGTTTAATGCCCTCATGGTTTCCTCTTTTGGGGTGCTTGGGTCGTATCTGTGGATTTGGAGAACATCGATGTAGGTGCCTAACCGCTCAGTGGAGGCTGTCACTGCGTCAAAAATGTGTTTCCGGGACAACCCGCTAGAATTGATGAATTTCATGTTGTTTGGGTCCTTGTTAGCAAGACCATCAACGGTGAAGCCTGGAGTGTCAGCGTCGACTGGATAGAAGCATTTAGAGAGAATGACCACCGTGTAGCGGGGGATGTTGTATTTCTTAAGGAATTTCCCGACAAGCTGCTCTGAGACACCGTTCGAGTACATGTCTGCGGTATCATAGGTGCGCAAGCCAAGATCGTAACAGCGCTTGAGGATCTCCATAACCTTGTCCTCATCCTCAAGGACCCAGTTGCCGTACTCTGCCCTGGCTCCAAAACTCATGCATCCGACTATGATCTGGGAGATTTTAACTCCGGATTCGCCGAGGTTGACAAACTTCATTGTATTCTGCTGTGACGTGTGTTGCAAGTTGAAATCAACCTATGCTTTTGCTTGTACCTGTGTGCTTGTGCTTGAACCTCTTTTAGAACAAACCCGTCTTCTGTTGTCGAAGACCTTCATCGATTAGGCTGTTTTATATCTGCGTGTCCCGCCGTCTCCCAACGGTCGCCGTCTGGCAACAACCCCGGCCGCTCTGCGCGAAAGATCCGCCGAGGACGTCGCAGATAAGAGCACCGCCTGTTATCTGGGTGTTCCGGCGTCGAGACGATCAGGGTGTATAAGAAGGACGAGGAGGCCACCAGGTAATGGTCATAGCAGCCGGCGACATCGACGTAATACTGAATAAGATGATGGCCAGGTGAAAAGAAGCACAGACAGCATTTACAGCACAACCAACATAATGTCAGCGTTCACCATCGAAAACATCTACGAGATTGCCGGGAGACAGGCCATCGTCACCGGTGGCGGGTCGGGGATCGGGCAGATGATCTGCCAGGGCTTTGCCGCCAACAACGTTGACGTCGCTGTTGTGGACCTCTTCCAGGACCGTCTCGACGAGACGGTGCGTCTGTGCGAAGAGGCGAAGAAGGAAACGGGCTCGACAGCAAAGATCACGACGCTGTGCTACGACATCGGTAACGAAAAGTCGAACGCTGCGCTTGTCGCCGACATCAACAGCCACTACGAAAACGTGGACATTCTTGTGAACTGCGCCGGGATTCGGAGACAGAACCAGACGACGTTCACGCCGGGGGAGCCGCTCGAGAAGCTTGCGGAGGCCACAAACTCCATTGGCTGGAAGGACTTCCGGGACACGTTTGATGTGAACGTGTTTGGCATGTACTTCCTCACGGCCGGGCTTGTGCAGAAGCTCGGCGAGGCCGCCGCCAAGGGCGACGGCAGAGGCTGTGTTCTCTGCTTCTCGTCCCCGTGCTCCGTGCACAACAACCAGTTTGTGCCAACGTATCAGCTCTCAAAGGTGTCCATTGACCACATGGTCCGCATCATGGCTGCCGAGTTTGCCGACAAGTACATCCGCGTGAACGCCATCTCTCCCGGGCTCTATGCCAGCCGCATGACCCCTATGTCGCCCGACGACGCCTCCTCGAACATGAAGTACGTGCATCTTGTTCCTGCCCGCAGAGCGGGCACTGCCGAGGAGATGGTTGCATGTGTCGTGTTCCTTTGCTCCAAGGGCGGAGCCTACATGGACGGCCGGAACCTGCGTATGGAGGGTGGCAGATTGCTCACTCTCAAGGGCCACATCTACAGCGACGAGTAGCCGTGTATAGTGTACCGTGTATCCTTTACTGTGTAGCCCAGTGCTATTACATTCTATAACTGCAATCTGCTGCTTGATCTTGTCTTGCTCTGCGATCTTCCCTTCTTCCAAGCTTCTTCAACTTCTGAGCCCTCCGCCCTTCTAGGCTCCCCCCACCGTGGCGGGCCGGTCCCCCACCGCGATAAGCCGTTTTGGGAATTTTTTGCCCTTTTTTTCCCTCGTTGCCCCGTCTGCCCCACTTTGCCCTTTTCGGCCGCCGTGGCCGTTTGCACTGTGTTTTTCCGGCTGGCGGAGACGATGACTCTAAGCTGCAGTGGAGGGCAGAGGTATAAGAGGCAGGAGCGTTCCGGAGTGGTGGAGAGGCGGCTCAGAGGTTGCAAGTCGGAAGGTGTAGATTGGCACAGGGTCAGCAATTGCTCAGCAGTAAGGCAGCAGCAACACCAGCCAGCATCAGCGCCAGCACCAGCAATGACAGGCACTCCGCTCGGAGAGCTCATTTACATTGCGGTCAAGCCGATCTTCAAGATCTATCTGATCATCGGGGTCGGGTTCTATCTTGCCCGAAAAAACATCCTCACGGTGGACACCTCCAAGAACATCAGCACGATCGCCATCCAGGTGCTCATTCCGTGCTTGACATTCCAGAAGATCGTGACCAACATCAACAACACGCTGATCCACGAGATCGCCACGATCGTGGTGATCGGGTACTTCATGATGTTCTCGCAGGCCGTGGTGGTGTTTGCGGTCGGCGTGGCGGTCGGGTGCCCCCGCAACTGGTGGGGCGGGTTGATTCTCTGCGGACTGCTCCCGAACATCTCCGACCTCCCCATCGCGTACTTGCAGACGATGGAGACCGCGGACATCTTCCCCGACGTGGACCTCGGCGTGTCCTTCGTGATGATCTACATGGGCTTGCAGCTCCTCTTGCAGTTCACGCTCGGCTCGTACAAGCTCATCGAGCACGACTTCCAGGTCGACCTGCGCATGGAGCAGGAGCGGGAGAAGCACGGCGGCGACCTTGAACAGGGCAGCTCCGGGAGCGACAACAGGTCCTCGTCCGAGGAGGTGGCCGAGAGTGACAAGTCCAGAGAAGCCACAGCAGCAAGCTCGGCCGCCGCTACTGCCGCACACGACAGCAGCAGTGCCAGTGTGGCACGATACAGACCCCCCGTTGAGGACGCGTCCGGAGACGAGGACCACGAGGACCTCGGCGAATCCATCGCGTCCGACGAGACGACAGACCGGTTTGCAGTGCCCCTGGAGTCGTCGCCACATGCACCGGCCAAGCCGGCCAGGACGCACGAGCTCTCGAAGCTCTCGAGCAGGGTCTCGCTACCGGGGAACATCCTTCAGAACTCGCACGCTGGCCAGGCGCCGGAGGGAATCCAGGACATCATCCGCGTGTACTCGAAGTACGACCAGTTGGTGGAGGAGCAAAGTCTAGAGCGGCAGGAAGAGGGTATCGAAGGAGATGCGGATGAGGACGACCCGGCCAAGACCGGGAACGCTTTGCAGAGAATGGCCCACTCCGTGCGCTCTGTCGAGTGGAAGAAGTTCTGCTTTTCGATGCTGGCCGTGTGGAAGGACTCGCTCCGACAGCCAGCCTCCGTAACCCTTGTGATATCCGTCGCCGTCTCGATGATCCCCTGGGTCCAGGCGCTCTTTGTCGAGTCGAAGCAGACGACGCTCCCGGCCGCCCCGGACAAGCAACCCCCGCTCTCCTTCATCATGGACTTTGCCAGCTACATTGGAGCCGCACAGGTCCCCTTCGGCTTGTTGCTGCTTGGCGGCACCATCGGCCGCTTGCGCATCAACGACTTCCCGAAACGTCTCTGGCGGATCCCCATCGCCGTCACCTTCCTCCGGCTCTTCATCTTCCCCATTATCGGCTGTGCCTTCAACTCCAAGATCTACGCCGACGGCCTCTTCTACAACAATGATATCCTCTACTTCCTTTCCAACATCGACTTCTGCTTGCCTCCCGCAACCTCCTTGCTCTACATCACCGCCTTCTACACCCCCTCCGACGGGAAGAACCACATCCAGATGGACATCCTCGCCTTGATCTACATCTTCCATTACACCTTCCTCGTCATCTGCCTCCCCTTCACCGCCACATACACTATGAAGGTCGCCCTGCACTACTAAGGCCGGCTCTCATCTCCAGCCCCACCGTCTACACTCCCCCATCTTTGCTAAGTATATACCCCCGGATTCTTTTATACCACGTACAGTAACACAAACCCACCCCCGTTGGAAGTGGCACCATCCCCAAACGGCTTCGCAGGCCTTCGAAACACAAGTCCCCGCCGGACTGTCAGGCACGGGCCCTGGCCCGAGCCCGTCTCTCTCTCCTTCATCTCTCTCGTCTCCCCTTTCGAAAGTCCCCCGCAGGGGTGTTTCCTCCATTTGTCCTACAGCAGCCACTGCTCTTCTCTTCTCTTCTCTACCATCTCCACCACAACCACCTCCACAATGAACTTCACAACCAAAAACATCCTTTGTACGGGGAAGACAGGAACAGGGCTGTGCACTAGGGCACTCCGTCTCCGCTGTGGCATCTCTTCGCCATGGTCTTTACGGCTGTCTTGGGCAGCCAGAACGTACGCCACGCAGCCCGGTGCCGGGTGGCCCGAGCAGCAGCCGGGCGCCAGCATCTCCAGCACAGACCTTGTCAAGTACGGCGTCCCGAGCGTGCTCTTGCTAGGCACGATCCTGCTCGTCTCGAGGAAGGACGCTCCGGCAGGCCAGACTGCGCCGGCGGAACCAGCACCCCCTGCGACAGCTGCTGCCGCCGCACAGACGGCAGCCAAGGAGAGCTTTATTCAGGTCGGCCAGTACACGTTCCACCAGCGAGAGGTCGAGGAGGCGTTCATTGCGGATCCAGACCGGTTTATCGACGACGTGCTGCATCTGTCGGCAGACTTGGCGCCCCTCTCCGCCACCGCCGACTCTGCCGCCGGCAGCAGCGCCCGCTACAGAGCACTATGTCTCTTCGCACGGAACATCCTCCTCGTCGACTCCGCTTGCTCGTCCGACGTGCTCCGGATAGCCCGAATCCATTTCGAGAAGGTCGTACGGGCCGAGCGGGAGACCGTTGCCTACAGACTTGCCCTCTCCGGCCGTGCTGTGCGTCGCAGCGTCGCCGGCCTTTTTAAAGCGCTGGGCAGCTACATTAGCAGCCACTGCTCCGCATTGGCTGGCATCGTTGGAGACCAATGGCTTCTGCTCTGGCACAGAGTCACCGTGCTCTTCTAGTCTTGTAGCCATGTAGCCATGTATCAACATTTGCAGTGAATCTGACACCAAGGCGCGACAGACAAGGGAAGGAGCTGGACGGCTTGGCTGACCCCGCTGATCAATACAAACGGATCGCATTTTGTCGGCGCACAGCAGCAAAGCTGCCGGTTGCGATTGGGGTCCAGCTGCTCCAACACACTCCATTGCACGGCGGCAGTCATCCCACGTCGTTTCACCCTGCTTGGTTTCCGAGGAGCAGTCCTGAAAACAGCTCTCCCTCGTCCGCTATGGCCGCCGCAGAAGCAAATAGCAGCATGGAGAACATGACAGCCATCTCGGAGGCTTCGTCGCATTTCCCGGACAACGTTCGACAGCTGACTCCCATCGAAGACCTCCACTCGCTCCGCTACCACGACAAGGAGTACCTTGACACGGTTATCAGCAAGGCGAACCGTGGCGACACGTTCTTTCCGGAGACTGTCGACATCGACCGAAGCCTCGCCAACAGCACTCCATCGCCAAAGAAGCTGGAGCGCAAGTTCGACTACAACGCGTCGACACCACTGAAAGGCGGCCTGTCAGAGGCACAGATGCAGCCGCAGCCTCAACTGCAAGCAAACAGACCTTCCCAGTTCAGCTTCCCGCAGAAGCCCCGCAACATCTTCAACCTCAGTCCAGAGTTCGTCTCCCTCCAGCCCGGCTTGAAGGGCTCCACCAACATTGACGGTTCCATCAACCCGGTAAAGGGCGCCTTCAACCTCTTTGACAAAAGCGCCTCCTTCGCCTCGGGCAACAACTCCTCCCTCGGATCCCGCTCCTTCAGACGGCCCCGCAAAAGGGTCAGAGGCGCCAACGTGAGCGACATCTCGTTTGACCTCACCAACAACTCCAGCAGGTTGTCGTTTCCCAGAGAGAGGAGAAGCAACAACGAGTCCAGTTTTGTTTCACACTCACACTCCAAATTTATGCAGGGACACACCCTATCCACCGCAATGACTCAACAACGCGGCTCCATGTCAAGGTACGACTACATCCATTCGCTGATTTCCGACCCACAATGCGTCTCTAATCTGACACTACTTATTCAAATCCTGCTGAACACACTCATGGTACTTGTGTTTCTTGGCTTCAGTCTGGTGGCCTTCTTTGCAATCAAGCGAGACGTCGACCACAAGATCTCATCTTACGTGAACGATGCAATTCACAAAATCAACTCTTGCAAACGGGAGTATTTTCGAAATAACTGTGCTCCGGAAATGCGTGTGCCCGCTCTAGAGTACAAGTGTAATGAGTGGGATACCTGCATGGGCAAGGATCCACAATCCGTCATCACGTCCATGGCTTACTTCGAAGTGATGGCAGACTGCATGAACGCTTTTTTCCACAACATCTCCATCAAGTCCTTACTCGGAATAGGGTGCTTGATGTTGTTTTGCATAATAGTGCCAAATATCTTGTTTTCAAAATTTCGCTCAACCACCATCCACCAAAATTACTACAACGGCAATAACAGCCACATTGAAAATGATACTAATGATATGTTGAATATCCAGACATCATCTCCCATGAAACCCTCTGGTGTGGGCGATCAACAACAGAGAGTTTTACGATCAGCCGGTAATAGCACGTTCTTTAGCCCAGTTACAGACAAAGTGAAAAAACCAGCCTCAGCGAGCGACCACCACAACGATAACAACAATGTCTCCGGATCGGTGAGGTTCAACCCTAATGTCAGCTATAGTATGTACGACTACGAAGACGATAGCAATGACAGGGGCAATTTTGACGTCGTCCCTAATCAACGTGTAGGCGACGAAGAGGACAATAGCAATGGTGACGAGGACCAAGACAACGGCAACAACAACGACAACGAAGACGACGAAGATGAAAATCTACTTGCCAATCAACGAATACTTTTAGAAGATTGATTGAGCGAACCCTATACCAGCCAAATGTATAATACCATGTATATTTACCTAGGTAACTTTCTTTCTTATTCAAGACAAGTAGAAAGTGGTTACATTTTTATTGTACAATGAGTTAAATGACTATAAATTACAATTATATGGAAAAAAATGCCTCTGCCAAAATCAAGCAGTGACCTTCTTACCCATCAACTGGCTCAAAAGTTCCTGGCTGTTCGATTTGGTATCGTTTCCACCGACTGAGCTACTGAACAAACCTGGAGGTGGCTGGATTGGAGTGCCAGCCGAACTTGTGCCTGCACTCGAGGAACCGTTCAATGAGTTCTGTTGCTGCAATTTCAATTGTTGCTGTTGCTGAAGAAGTCTCTGCTGAAGGAACGCTTGAGTCGAGCTGACATTGCTATTCTGGTTTTGTGAAAGTAATGCTTGTTTGAGCTGTGCTTGTGTATACTGGTTTTGCAGTTGTGCATTCATTTGCGAAGGAGTCATGGCAACATTCAGCTTGGCCTGCTCTGGAGAGCTTGATGCAACTGTTTGTGCAAGTCTAGCAGCTTGTGCGGCTTGTGCAGCCTGTGCAGCCTGTGCAGCCTGTGCCTGTGATGCTTGCAGTGCCTGAACATATGCTTTATAGTTATAGTTCCTGGTGTAAGGAGAAAAGAGTAACGACTCTGTCAGATGCGCAATGTGTGCTTTGTCTTCCTTATCGTTGAAATAACCGAATGACTGATTTTTAGATGAAGATAAAGAGTCGAAAGAGTCAGGGGTATGAAAGAATTTGATGCCTGAAGAAACTACTGTGAATTCTGAAGATTTGAACTTAGGATCAATGGAGTACTCAATTTCAGAATTATTGATATCTTTAAATGTGTCACATACAGATTTGAAAGAAAAGGCTGCGCTGTCAAGAACAACAGGGTGTTGTTGATCCTTATCCCTCTTGTCCTTCTTCTTGTTTGACGTACCTTGTGTGAGTTGATCCTGGATATATTGTTGATCCTGTTGTTGTTGTTGTTGCTTCTGGAGCAATTGTGATTTTTGTAATAATTGCTGTAATTGTTGTTGTTGTTGTTGCTGTTGCTGGGAAACCTGTTGCTGCAAGTCAAACTGAGAATTGGTTTGCTTGTTTTGCTGGATAACATCGCTCAACGTTGGGAATGAAGATAAAACAGAGTCACTAGAAGGTTGGTTGAAAGTATTCTGAGTCTTGGTCTTTGCCCAAGAGACTGTAGCCGGTAATGCTGGGCCTTCTTGCTCGCTGAAATGATTGGAAGCAGACGAAGCAAACAAGTTGGAGGTCGAGTTTGAGCTTGAGATCGAGCCTGATGCAGACTGGAGCTGGGCGGGTGCTATTTGAGGCGAGTTGTGGGCAGAATCTTGCAAATCATCAAGGGTGTTACCCAAACCATGAGTCGAGTACTTGTCCGATTGCAGCTTGTTGTTGACCGCTCTGGATGATAAGTCCTGTCTCGAGTAGGAGTCGGCTTCCTCACCAGGTTCATGTAAGAACATGCAATTTGGATTTGGACAGTGTTGTCCTCTCAAGTAGGACGAGCAATACTTGGTTGTGCCGTGTGCTGCCCTCAACAGCTTCCCATCACTGATGGAGCCATCGACAGCAGCAATACATTTAGTTGCGTCTTCCTTTCTGGCAAAGGTAACGTAGACCCCGTAGCCCGGGCTTGAACTTAGATGGTGGGGGTTGTTTGGATTCGGTGCCCTCTTATTGATGACAATCTTATTGATCTTACCATACTGACCAAAATACTTTTCCGATTTCAACACCGGGATCAAATCGTCGTACGAGCAAGGCGGGTTCAATCCAACAACATAAACCAAATTTTTTTGGATTACCCTCATGCCCGCCAAATGGTGTCTCTTGGCTTGCTCTGCATCTTTCTTCTCCTTTTCTATTATCTTTTTCTCCTTCTTTCTCTTCTCAATCTTGGCCTTCTGCAACTTCCACTCCTCAGCCGTGATGTTTCGGTATTCTATGTTCTTGTCTTCATATGGTCTACGACAGGCTGGACACTTCCCGTTCAACTCCGGGTTCGTTCTTATATTGTTGTAGCAGAACTGACATATCTGATATCCACAAGGGCATGGCTTGAAGTTCTTATCCGTGATGTCCATCTCCTCGACGCAAAGTGGACAAAAATCATCTTCATCTTCAGATAAGAAGGAATCGCTGTTGTTTTCAAAGGACATTGTCTATTGTAAATCGGTGGTCAATGTATATGTTTGTGCTGTTCCTGAGAATTGTTTCTGATACTCTAGATTGTGCTGCCCATCCAAGAAGAAACGCCAAAACGACTTCTGTTAAGATCCACCCCAGGGCGTTATTGAAGGTTCACATTGATTTCATGCAGGGCCAACTTTCCTTCCCATTTTTTTTTCTCGTGACTAATGACACGTCACAAAAGCATGACAGTGCAACAAAATCTTTGTCACCTCACGACAAATTTTGTGTAGCGCAATTATTTTGATCACGTGCGGAATTTTATTTTATTTTATTTTTTTTCAGGTTTTTCTTTGACGCGTATAGCGTTTGGAGTGCTTGATCTTCCTGAAAACGAGTTTCGTCTCCATTTCGGATAGTCGAAATTTGATCAGAAGGAAAGCTGCCTAGTCCCAGTGCCTAAGGCTGTAGAGTAATCCAGTTTGTTGAAAATTACACACACTTTATTATGGCTACAGTACTATCAGGCGCAAGCGATGCTGAGAGTATGCACTATTTGTTGCAGAACTTGATGAGTTCAGACAATAACGTTAGAATCAGATCGGAGCTCACATTTAAACATATGATGGAATCGAACCCGGATGCTTTCCTTTTCTCTCTTATCCAAATTGCGCTAAATGACTCTTTGGAATTGGCCGTGAGACAAGCTTCCTTACTTCATTTGAAAAGAGCTGTGCCGTTGTACTGGTCTCCGGCTTTTGATAATTTCAGAGGCCCAAACACAATCAACCAAGAAGTGAAGCAAACACTACGAGAATCGTTGCTGAAATTGATTGGAGATCCAGACTCTAAGATAAGGAGCAGTTCGGGTTATGCGATTGTGCAGATAGCAGCAGTTGATTATCCCGATGAATGGCCAACTTTAATGGACCGTTTATACACCTCCACTACGAATCCACAATATTCGGTATATGAGATAATCGGCTCTTTGTACGTCATGCAAGAGATCTTTGACGATGTCGTCACTGATGAACAGTTCTTTGAGCAGGGGATTGCTGTTCAAGTGCTGAAAACTTGTGAAATGCTACTCGAAGGTGTCAACTACAATCTGGAAATTAAGGTGGAAACGTTGCGTTTACTACAGGTTGTTTGCAACTCTTTGGTCGATGTGGATCTCGAAATTCCATCCAGAGAAAGCTTCTGCCATGCAGTGGTTCCTCAAATCTACCAACTTCTTTTGAATATATCGAGAACCGTTTCAGAGAGCGGCCAGTATGTCAACCAACTTATGGCATGGGATTTCAAACACCAACTCTATACTGTCCTCAATTTTCTCGTTAATGCCTATGCAGAGCTGTTGGATAGATTTATTAGCGATTCACTCGATTTGGCGCTACTTGACTTATCCCTCGAAAGTAAAGTATACACCCAACTGCTAACAGTCGAGCCAATGCAATCTATTTTTGAATCAATTTTTGTAGACTTGAGCCAGTTTAATGCTTCACAAAGAGAACGTAGAGAACCTTTCCAGGTTTTGACCATGACTGTTGCCAAAAAGGTAGAACTTGTCCAAGCATTGATTGAAATCCATGGGCTAGGCAGCATAGAAAAAATCTCCAAATTATGTGATTTGCTTATACCACTATCTACCCTACCATTTTCAAAAATAGACGAATACAACGCTGACTTTAATCAATTTGTCACAGATGAGTCTGGTTTAGACGGTCAAATTACAGTGAGAGACTCTATTAGAGAATTGCTCAGTGATATGAATGCAAAAGATAATTCAATTTTCATACATATACTTGTTCAAAAGTTTGGTCACATTCAAGATTTTAGCATGGACCAGCTAGGAGTAGAGGCTGTTATTTTCCTGCTTGCATGCTGTTTTGACAACGACGATACTATTGTTTCTCAACCACCATTTGATGTGAACCATTTCCTTAACAATGTGGTTGAGCTAGCCACAAATGAACGATTAATAAATGAAGAATTTCAATTCTTAGTGGCACGACTAATTCTCATGATACCGAAGTTCATTTTCAAGTATGCCTCAATTTGTAAAGCTTTGGGTATTCCTTCATTCGAAAAGATTTCCTCCATAATAACAGAATTGGGAGGAGCAGACGATTATCTGATCATAAAGTCTGCAATATTGGTTTCACTTCAGTATTACAACTATTTTATTAGGGCCAAAGAATTTAGTACAGACATACAGCATAAGTTGCTTGAATTGGTTGACCAATTGAAAGAAGATTCTGAGGAGGATACCAATATGATGCTTTTGGAAGTAATGACTATCATTATTTGTATCGATAACAAGTCGTTGTCGCAAAATGCAGACTCAATTCATTTGATACTCAGTATTGGCTTTAAAAACGATTCCAATTTTGCTTTGAATACCTCGTTGTTTGAGTGCATTGAGGATTTGATTAGTGATATACCAAGAGAAACGTATTGGAACTTGGTATCATCTGTCTTTCCCTCACTTCTTGAAAAGATCTCGGAGTTCGATGGTGAATATAATTCACAGATTGACTTGTCACTACAGGTTATCAGTGTCTTCATTAAAGGACAAACCGGTCAGGAGTTTTCACCGCAAGTATTTCAGTCAACATTTGCAGTAGTGACAAAATTCATACTTGCTTGCGATGAGGATGCTCTTTTACAATCAGGTTCTGAATGCTTGATTGAACTTGTTAAAAACTCTGTCTCGTTATGCTCGGCATATGTTGACAATGAGACGCATGAAACAGGTATTGAAATCCTCCTGAAGAGCGTATCCAAGCTACTTTCCCCATCCATGTCTGATAGAGCCATTGCTAAACTAGGAGACTTGGTGACAGTCTTGTTGAATCAGTTTAGTGATTCCATTGACGAGTACTTGGAGGACATCCTTAAAGCCTTAACAGTAAGGCTAGTGAAGGCCAAAGAAGTTCCAACGATCGAGAACATGATTCTGATTTTCAACATGTTAACTATTTCACAACCCCAAGCAACGATCAACTTTTTGAACAGTTTCACGGTTGGGGACGAACCAGCGCTATCAAAAATCTTACCTATCTGGTTTCAAGCTTACGAGATTATGCGTGGTTATAACTCGATATTATCTAACGTTCGTGCTTTCATGGAGATTTTCAAGTTGAATTATCCAGCTGTTAAGCACCTCATTGTCGATGGCGATGCACTACAGCTACAAGTTCCCGAAGGCATTATAATAACAAGATCTATGGCGAAAAAGGTGCCAGTAAAATACGAGAAAATTCCAGCAGATGCTAAGATTATCAAACTTCTTCTTGATGAGCTAAAAAATGAAATAACTTCAGGCAAAAACATAGAAATCTCTTTAAAACAAGGACATGGTCATGATAACTATCACGAAAGTGAAACCGGTGACGACCACGATCCTCATCACAATCATTTTGAAGATGCAGAGAAAGAAGATGACTGGGAAGACATGGAAGGGCGGGGAGAGGCTACTTTTGATCAGCTGAAGTCCTATGTTGACGATGATGGCACTACCAAGAGAGGAAGCGATGCGACAGACAACGATATGCGACAACTCTTGATAGAATTTTTCAAAGAGTGCACATCCAAGAACATTGCCGATTTTGAAAGCATTTATAATAGCTGTTTGTCAGAAACACAGAAGAACTTTTTGTCGGAAAGTATTGCCTTTGCTTAGACTCTTGGTTGAGCTATTATCATACATCAATAGTTACAAGTACAAATACATAAATGTAAATTAGACAGAAAAAAACACTTATATATCAAATTCGAGATCAATGTTTATGTCTTTGATTAAAGCGTCAATACCTTCTCTTCTGAATACACTATTCTTAATTTTATTCTTATCATTTTCTTCCGCAGCTTTTTCTTCACTTTTCTGAGTATTTTCGTCCTCTGTGTAGGCAGATTTGTAAAAGACTTTAGGGTTCGTTCTCAATCTACTAAATGGATCACTGAAATCATTATTCTGCAGTTGTTTCCGTTTTGTTTCTACTAACTTCTTTTCTGCCTTTCTGATGAATTCTTGGTTAGACTTTTGGTTTCTGATATTGATCTGCTCTAATTTGGAAGTATTCTGTGTTCCCTTGAAAAAATTTTCCAACTGGCTAATCTCACTTTGAAGCGTATCTGCTCTCTGTTGATTGGCTTGTTCCAAAGCGACCTGAAGCTCCTCTCTCAATCTCCCCAACTTTCTGACTCTTGCTGCAGTATTCATTTCGTAGACTGATAACTCTTCCTTCCTTGCCATCATTCTGTTAATGTCCTCATCCGTCAATCTTTTGTTGGACATATTTTTCAACTCGTTGAATTTGTCTTCGACGTATCCCACGCTTGGCAGAGATTGCTTTTTCGATGTTGAAACTCTTTTCTTATAGCTATCAAAGTCTTCCTCTGTGAAAGGGGAATTAGACAAGCAGGACAGCTCCACCACAGTTGCCGAATCACCCTGTGATACTTTTAGATAGGTGTTGCAAGGCTTGCCAAACAATTTGTATGGTTTACCACCTCTTCTCACTTCCTCAACCAAAGCCATCCTATACTGTGGCCTACCAGTGGCCTTCGAGGGACCGATGTTGACTCTAACGAGAGTTCCAGGAATACAAGCGTCGAACTCTTCACGGTATAAGAATTTTTCAAGTACAGACCTTGTAGCCCTGATCTTGTTGTTGATGTCGTCTAAAGTAGCATCCTGGTACTGAGACTGGTTGAACTCTGCTTTCGCCCTCAAAGAGCCCTTTCTAGAGGCGCTGTATCCGTCAGAGTAGTAATCTTCCTCTTCATCTTCATCACCGTACCCAGCAAGCTCCTTAAGATCTGCGTCGTCATCCTCGTCGTCGTCATCCTCGTCGTCGACATCCATATAGTCTCCGTCGCCTCTTCTCTTCCTGTCTTCTTTCACGGACTTCTTTTCCCTCTGTCTTTTCAACTCAGAGAGCTTGCTGGTTCTCAGTTTCTTAGAAGTAGAACCCTTCTCAATAGTTTGAGACTCAGCCTTGCTCTGTCTCGCCCGCAAAGCCAAGAATCTTCTTTCTCTGAATGTTTCCTTCTCCTGTATACGGTCGTAGAGAATCCCTTCTCTAGAGACTTCATCCATCTGCATCAATCTCATCTTGTCCTCCTCGTCCTTGTATTTTCCCTCAAGAGGGTACGGGTCTTCTTCTGGGTTCAGCTCTTCGTCGTCATCTTCGTTCTCGGAATCTTCTTCGATAGTTCTCTTTGCAGTCTTGCGTCTTCCTGCCGCCACCTTTGGCTCGTAATCGCTTTCCTCGTCGGATCCAATTCCAGCTAACTCTAAAAGATCGTCGTCACTGTCGCTCATCCTGACTGCCTTAGAATATACGCTTTGTGCTATTTGAACCAGAATCTTCTTCCCTCAAGTCTTTCCTTCACTTCTTCTGCTTCATCTTCTTTCTCCTCAACTTCTCTTCCGTCATCCTCGTCTTCTTCACCATCCGCGCCGTCCCTGGAATAGCTGCCCAATCGGGCGATTCACAGCAAGTCTCTTTTGTCTCGCACATGTCCGTCGCTACCCTAATTAGGATATGTCTTTTCTTCCTCCCCTCAGGATCTATGTTGCTCTTGAAGAGGGAAGATGCGGAGGCGGTTTTAGGCTTCAAAAGGAGAAGCAACTACGCTTGTTTCAAAAGAGTCGATCTTAGTGAAGAACACCGATGCTGTCGACGGCGTCGAATACCAAGAAGAACACGGCGGGTCCGGCGGGTCCACCCGTCTCCACCGCAAAAAGATCACCTTCTATCTTGGTCACGGATGTTCGAAAAAACCAGATAAGGGCTCCATTTGCAGGGCACAAGCTGGAACAACTGAAGAAAAAGAAAGAGAAGTCAAGCGAGCGGGTGTCAAACCTGGTGCAGAGCATGAGGAGGTCGTCGAACTCGAAGTACTCTAACATTTCTGTGTCGAATTTGACATCCAACATCGGTGATATTCCCTCTTCGAGACAAAGAGAGGCACCTAGGCTCGTTCCATCGAAATTGTTTGATTCGAACAATTTCTATCAAAGAATTCCACAGTATGTGAAGAACTTACCAAGCAGAACGTCGAAAATCACGCAGAAGTTGGTTTTGATTCCCGAAAACGGATCTGTGAGCTCGGAGGATTCTAGGGAAAAGTCGACTACAGAGAACATATTCCAAGAGGTGTGCAATAGAACTAAAGCAGAGAAGCTCACAAAAGAACAAAGAGAACACGAATATCCGCGTGTCACCGCGTACTTGATTGCAGAAGGTTTCAACTTGAAGCTGACCTCCAAGTTTTTAGCCAAGTACCACATGGTCCTGCCCCGTCTTTATGATGAAGTATTGTACATACCATACTCTCTACCTCTACTTCCTGGTGAGAATGGGTATAGAGTCCAGTCGAATAACTCTTTGAAGATGCAACGAGGTATCAAATTGATGGAGCATTTTATTAACAAATCTGAAGAAAGAGATCATCATTATGAGTTTTATTCCGGTGCCGATAATGAGAATAACATAACTAGTGTCGAAAGCGGTAATACAATAACAAATTCACCTAACACAAACAGCGACTTCGATCCATCCGAACCCCAATATTTTGTCAGTTCTAGTCCAACAGAAAGTGTCATTGAGCGTGAAATACGAGATAGTATAGACGAAGACCGCTCGAATTCGACGGAATCTACACAATCTTCGGATACTTCCATGCGAGCAGAATTGAACACCAAACATCAGCAAAGCACTGACGAAAGGAAGCTGTTTTCCAGTACTCCAAATCTAAATTCAGAACAAAATAAAGAATCTTTAGGTACGTCAGCTAATGGAACGAATAAAGAAAATGTAGATGAGAGTCTAAGGCGATATTCCACCGCTAAGTCAAAACATCCACATCTTCCAGATTTAAGCAAGCACGCAGAAATGTTTATTCTTGACTACGGGGTGGTTGTCTTCTGGAACTTTAGTGAGATACACGAAAAAAACATTCTTGCAGATTTGGTATTTGCCAAGATACAACCGGGTGAATTCGACTTAGACGACGATGACGATGATGATGACGACGAAAGTGACGATGAGAACGACGAATATGACGATGACTATATTGCAGTTGCTGCAAGGGAAGCCCATAATATTCGAAGACAGGGAGGCTTGGATGGGGACAATAATGATGATAACGAGGATGGCGATGATAAAAATGAAGAAGAAGAAGAAGAAGAAGAAGAAGAGGAGGAGGAGTTGTCTTTGATAGTCAAACCTGTTCCCGAGCATGACATCGAAACAGAGGAGTTTCATTTTGAGTACAACAGAGATGTTCCAACCCCCCGCATCTATAATGATATGATCACGTTGAAGTCGGGAGATCATTTGATCAAACTTACAATGTCTCATGCTATCGCACAATCAACAAAACTATCACTCTTTGAAGATAAAATGTCCACTATTTTGAATTCTATCTCAAAACTTCCAAAAGCCTTGGCAATGACAGGTAGACTGCAGAACTATACGACCAAACGGTTGTTGACCAAAACGGGACGATTGTTCCAGTTACGAAGTGAGGTCAACCTATTGTCCAATGTCCTTGATACGCCTGAATATTTTTGGTCTATTGAGCCAGGGTTACATCCATTATATACAGCCGTGCGTGACTATTTGGAAATCGAACAAAGGGTGGAGGTCATAAATGATCGATGTAAGGTGTTCCTTGATTTTTTCGACATCTTATCTGATTCTTTGGCTGAACGTAAAATGACCAAAATCACCAAGATGTTGATTGTTGCAATAGGTATAAGTGTCATTGTCTCTATGGTGGAGATATTTGTTCGGTACTTAATCATCACGAAATTCACAGGTGTATAATTTATAGATTTGATTATTATAAATATATCATTATAGAAAGAAATTACACATTGGGAAAAAAACCAAGATTTGCCTCAACCAACATTTATTTCTTTTGCTTACCGTCAGGAACAGTGAAGAAAATGTACTTCCCGTCCTTGTTGGAGTCTAAGATGTAGTAGCCTTTTCTTTCGAATTGGATGATATCACCAACCTTCATCGACTCAACATTAACGTCAGCAATAGCTTTGGTAGTGAATTTAGTATCTGGAGTGAGAAAATTTTCAAAATTGTCACCTTCGTCCAACTTGTCTTTGGTGATCAAGTGGTCGAAATCGACTAAGTCAACTGGGACGTTCTTTTCAGAAGCCAACCAAGTCAATTTCTTCTCGGTCTTCCTGAAGTCACCATCCAAGTTCAACTTAGCATCGATGGAGGTGACCTTCCCTTCAGCGTCCTTGTGAACCTTGGTACAGATAACATTACCCCAATCCATGAAGGTGACTTCTTCACCATCCTTAATCGCAGCAGCATCAATTTGTTCAATCAGAGCCTTGGAAGAGTAGTAGACATTTTTTTCACCAACAGCAGGGTTTTTCTTGTGCTTTGGTTTCTTTTCAGCATGTAACTCAGGACCATCAACAATGTTGACAGTAACCAAGTCCTTTGATTCTAAAGCAGTATGTCTAGGAGCAATTGGATCAATGATCTTCTTGTTGGCAGCCCAAATGATACTCCAGTCCAAGTTGATGATATTCTTTGAAGGCCCTTGAGAAATAATGAAATTCTTCAAACCTTCAACTGTCATACCTCTTCTTCTGATACCTCTAACGGTAGGGAATCTTGGGTCATCCCAGTTGGAAACGTATCCCTTGTCAACAAACCATTGTAACTTTCTCTTTGATAACAAGGTTCTGACAAAGTTAACTCTGGCGAAATCCCAAATGTGAACCTTTCTCAGGCCTAATGCATTCAACATCCATTCGTACTGTGCATTTCTGTCTCTGTATTCAATGGTTCTCAAAGCATGGGTGACGCCTTCCAAGGCATCGACAATTGGAACACAGAAGTCATAGGTTGGGTAGATTTTCCAAGCACTACCAGTTCTATGGTGGGGAGTCAAGTTACATCTGTAAATGACAGGGTCTCTCAAGGTCTTGTTCAATGCAGTGTAGTCAATTTTGGCTCTCAAACAGTTCTTCAGGCCTTCTTCAGTACCGTTTTTCATGTCTTCAGTGAAAATCTTCAAGTTTTCTTCGACTGTTCTGTCTCTTCTTTCGGATTTTAGACCGTCCATTCTTTCTGCTCTCATCTTTTCCAATGGAGTATCGTCACAGTAGGCCTTACCTTCCTTGATCATCTTGATAGCTAGGTCATACATTTCTTGGAAGTAGTCAGAAGAGTAGGTGATTCTGTCACCCTTGATACCCAACAATCTCAAATCTTCGATGATGGAGTCTTGAAACTCGGTCTTTTCCTTTGAAGGGTTAGTGTCATCGAATCTGATGATTAACTTACCGTGGTATGCGTTGGCAAAGTATTGGTTCAAAACAGCAGCCTTAGCATGTCCAATGTGCAAGTATCCAGATGGCTCAGGTGGGAATCTAGTGACAACCTCACCGTCTTTAGCGTCGATAAGATCAATTTCAAAGTTGGCCTTGTGAATCTCTTTCTTACCGTTCTTTGACAATTTCTTCATTTCAGCGAGAGAAGTAGAAAGTAATGTTGGCATTTCGCCGAATCTCTTGTCGGATTCTAAGAACTGGTACCATCTTGTGACGTTGATGTAAACTGAGTTTTTAAGAACCGAACCCATGACTGGGTTGGCTCTTAAAGCACCCCAGATTGCAATATCAGCAGCAGTGATCTTGTATCCAATAATGAACGATCTAAGGTTCAAGTGAGATTCAAGTTTTTCCAAATCAACAGATAACTTCTTGAAATCCTTGACAAGTAACTTTTCATGAGAGAACTTGATCCATTCTTCAGACTCTTTCTTTGCTAAAATGACAGTTGGAAATTCGGTTCCAAAATAATTCAAAATTTCGATAGAGTCAGTAGAAACTGTTTCGTCGCCCTTCAAAAGCTGGGCAGATGTAGCAACATCTTTTGAAACAGTTTTGCCGTCCACAAAGTTGAGTTTTATGTCACCATCAGAAGAGGTGTTGATAAATGCAGCTGCAGTCAAAAGCGCATAATCAACTGCTGGTGCCTTACCAGCAATGTTCAATACGTAACTCATTGCTGTTATTGTATGATGAAAGCCTAAGTCAAAGAGAATGAGCACTGGTGGAACGAAGCTGAGAACGTTAGGAAGATTCATCCAGAAGTACTGCGTTTTTTCCAACCGTCTCCTTCCCTCTGCCTCAGATGCCCAGCACTGAAAAAAAAATCGTGATTCATGGTGCCTTCTTAGCGGCTAATTTAAAAAGCCGCTAAATCACCAGTTTCGTCAAAAAAAAGTTGAGTTACGTAAACTACAACAATCATTGGGACGTGGTGATATTATCAATAAAAAAGTCATTTTGATGAGCAACAAGCGTAAGTTCAAGCTATTAGCCATAAGTAAGAGCAGAAGTTGAAATTGTGATACTTTTAAGGTATAAAAAGCGACTTTTTTTTCAAAAAAGAAAAGCTCATTTTTTTGGAAGCTAGCTAACACATAAGAAAATTCAACAGTTTTAGCTTGGTCAATTGGTGAAAAGAACAACGAAAGTTAAAAATCGGGGAAATATATAGGTCAGACTCCAGTGTATGTACCTATTAGAAGAATGTTTGATTCTTTTCTATAACAGGGAGGCAAAAGATAACCCAATACCCACCTTCAAAACTCCATTATTCATCGGTATGATATGACCGACGCGCCGATTTTTCCCTACTGCTTTTTTTTTCTGCAATTTTCATGTTTCTTTGATGTTCAAGAAGATTTCGAAAAGTTATGACCTATATTAAGAAAGAAGCGTGTCATTTCGTGCTTTTTGGATAACATTCTCAACAAGAAATGGAGTCAAAATATTCAATCAGAAAATTCTCAGAAAACTCTACGGTGAAAAGGCCGAAGGAGTTAGGCTGTTTTTCGAGAAATATTGAAAATGATATCACGATAGATGATTCCCAGCTTAGTTACTATTACCTTTCAGACGCCGATTTGAACACTCCTGATGGAATAGACTTGAGTGGAGGCTTTTCCTCTTTTAAGGCAAATCCAAAACTAGACTACGGTGACTTTACTGGTCTTCTTAGGTGCATAATGAACTACGAAATTGAGCACAACAAAAAAGTATCAGCTAAATTGATTACCTGGAGAGGATTATTGAAAACATTAATGCTTCTACCATACGAAAACCGAGACAGACTCGTTTACAACATAGTTGTCTTTGATCGTCAGCTTTTCATGCAATCTGACATTGAATTTAGAAGAGAGGCCGAGAGTGTGACTCCAAATGATATCCAAAGGAAATTTATGTATTCCGGCTACAAGTTTGAAAAAATTGCGACTCTTCCCAAGCCTTGGGCTAAATGCACAAGAAAGGAGATTGAAAAGAGAAATAAGTTAGAAGTAAACAATATTGAGCAATATGGTATAGTGGTGAAGACAACCATTGGATCGACTCCTCTGCTCCTCGGTGCGGAGGTAGATTGTGTCTGGGATTTCAAACCAAACGACGGATCTTCACCATTAGCTCATTATGTTGAGTTAAAAACCACTGGACCACTGAATGACCCAGGCAAGGTATTCAACTTCGAAAACAAACTGTTGAAAACATGGGCGCAATGTTTCTTGGTGGGTATACCAAGAATAATTTATGCGTTCAGAGACGCATCGCTGAAGATTAGGAGCATTGAAGAGTTCAAAACCGAGGATATACCTCTGATGATCAAGAATAATCCTATATCGGTACAAAGACAGCAGCAGAATCCTAATGTAAGAATTGTTAACAAATCGATGCAATCCATCAAGTTTTTGAGTGGTATTCTCAGCTGGTTGGAGGAAAGCATACCTATTGACGATGAAACCAAGACCTATAGGTTAGAGTTTGACCCAAGCAAGAATAGTATGTTTGTGAATTTGCTCGAGAATGATGAAGAAACCACCAAAAAGTTACAGTCTCCATACGATGGTGAGAATGGTGGAATGCTAACAGAAGAATTCAAGTTATGGAGAGAAAAATTAAATGTCTCAAGTAAATAATAGCTTTGCTCATAGTATAGTGTACTTTATTTAATTTGTTAAATATAACATATTTTTCAGGTCTATCCAGAATAGGCGGTACATGATAGTGATTACACAAATTAGATAAAAAATGGAAGGAAGTATAAAAAGCTATGACGGTAAGAAAATAAAAGATTAGCGGACATTTCATCCAATGCGCTATGATCTTATAAAATTAGACCAAAGCAGCAGCAAGACCTGCTACGGCAAAGAAAGAGCCCGCTGGTACATATTTCGCAGCAGCAGCGGCGGTGAAAATGGAGGTGGAGCTTACTTCATGGTGACCTGAGCTAGTCGTAAAACTACTCAAAGTGGAAGACGTGGTGACTGGAGTAGTGGTTGGTGCACTGGAGGAAGGTGGAGCACTGGAGGAGGAGGTAGAGGATGAAGATGAAGATGAAGATGAAGAAGCTTGTTTCTGGAGAGTCAACGGAAGACAGCCAGATGGAGCATCCTCCGGGTAATACATGACTTCGTAGGAGCTGACAGAGTATTGATATGGGTCGTTGGTGTTTTTACAACCAAAGAAATGCTTGGAAGAACCGTTGACCAACAAGAAGTCGTTGTTGTCGAAGGTGATTTCGGAGTCTGGCCCTTCGACACTAACAGCCACATAGCCACTGGAGACTCTGAAGAACTGCAGCACGCCCGTGTCAAGGATGATTTGCTTTTCGGTTTCGTTGTAGGACAAAGTGGCGCCCTGGCCTTCGGCCCCTAGGAAGCCGTAGTTGATGCCTGCCCCTTCGTGGATGAAACCGACACCCTTGTTGCTGATTTCCGTATTGTTGGAGTTGGACTTGGCGATCAAATAGATGTCTTCTGCGGAAGCGGCGACTGCTGAAGCAGCAAGAGCAAGGAGATTTTTGAAGTTCATTGCGGGTTCTGTGTTCGTTTTTTTTGTGTTGCAGAACAGATTATGGAATCTACGACTAAAAAATACTAAACTGAAGACTGAGCTACTAGATGGAAGAAACAGCCGAGATAAACGTCCCTTTTATAATGCAGAGACATACTGTGGAGTCTCAATAATTGCAGCTGCCTTGCAGAAGAAATTTCACTGTACCATGGTTGCACTCCGAGTTGTTGAGAAGGCCGATGTTTACAGTGCCCATGCTTTTGTGCAGACATCTATTTTTAAACCTATTTTGAAAAATTCGTAGTGACTGTGAAAGCCCTTCGGTGCGGGGAGATCGACCATGCAAACGAAGCCGATCCCCTCAGACTCGAGTGCCTTACTTGCACCAGGCACGGAGTATTCCGGTTCCTAGGTCCTAATGTTGCAATGCTGCAGTCCAGCCTGGGAGTGACGCATAATGCGGGGCAACAAAAGCGGCTGTTACAGTTTCTAAAAATATTGTTAAACGGCTGACAGGCACATTAGATGCAGACGTTATTCGCAAGCTGTTTTCCTTTTCGCCTATGGCGTCATCGTGCAGATCCGAGTGTACGCCGCAGTGCGGGCAACAGAAAGCTCCGCTATGACATCAGCGGGGTAAAAAAAAAGAGTGACTTCCGAGGGTCTTACCGGATTGGGTAAATCAGCTGTTTTTAGCTCCGAGGGTGCAGCAAGCGAGACCAGAGGATAGGAAAAACTCGGCTGACATGCGGGTGAAAGCTGAACATCATCAGCATTCGTGCCGTGACGCTTGACCTTAGCGCTGTGCGTGTTGCCTCCCAATTAGACGAATGAAGTTAAGCGATGTTGATGACAGGTGAAATTAGGTGATAAATAAAAAATACATATTAATTAGGTAGAAGATTATTAGATGAAGGACAAATATGTGTTAACAAATGATTCTAGTGGCCGGCTAGGATCTGGCCGAGAAAGCAATATAGAACCAGAAAGTTGCAGCGAGCGGATTATTTATACAGCCACCAGATCTTTTTCTCCTCGAAGACCTGTCTGCCCCCGTGGTTGGCAGCTGCTGCTGCTGCCCCCACCACCGTTCTTATTTCTTCGTCATTCCTGGTTCTGCCGCACAGGTAAACACCGGCGGCTTTTTTTAGTAACAGAGCGCATGTAGCCGGTAACCGTTACTTGCAGTCCGTCAGCAGATGCGGGCCCGGAAGCGAGGAAGGAGAGAAAAAAACCCCAGGACGATCCGAAAAGGGCTTCTGGCGGTCAGGGCCTCGGTGATAAATAGGGTCAGGGCTGAAGCAGGCCGGTGGAGAGACATGGGGCTCCGGATGCAGGAGAATCGGGTCTCGTTATGGCATTCTGAAAGCCGGTGATGTGCGGTTGCTGCTAATGTTGACATAGCATACAGGTACACAGAGGGATAAAAATAGCTACACAGAATGGTTGCCGAGCATGACATGGCATAGCATGGCATGGTGGACGGCGGGAGGGGAGCCGAAGCGTACCTAATGCTTCTTGACAACACCGCTGGCATTAGCCTTGCTGAGAATGTATTTCTTGTAGTCGTCGATCGTGCCGTCAAAACGGTAAACGCGGCCGTCCTCGCTGACCCAGATCTCCTTGCACACCTGTTTGATCATCGTCACGTCATGCGACACCATCAACACACCTCCCTGGAAGCGCTGGAGCGCTCCGGAGAGCGCATCCAACCCGGATGTGTCCAAGTGATTCGAAGGTTCGTCCATGATGAGGACGTGCGGGTTTGTCAAGCACAAAGCGGCAAAGGCCACTCTCGATTTCTGACCACCGGAGAGGAGTTGCATCCTCTGCAACGCCAATGGCCCCGTGATACCAAACGAGCCTAGATGTCGTCTGTACTCCTCGTCGGTCTTACCCGGGTATTTCTCGCTCATCCACTCCACCGCGTTCTTGGTCAAGTCCATCCCGTCGACGTGATGCTGCGCAAAGTAGCCGATACGCAACCTCGAGTTCTTCGACACAGATCCGTCCAACGGAGAGTTCGTGCCCATCAACACCTTCAACAAGGTAGTCTTACCACATCCGTTGGCACCCACAAGCGCCACCCTCGAGTTCATCTGGATGTCAAGGTCGACGTGGTTCAACAACATATTCTTCGGATCGTACCCAAAACTGACGTCCAACAATTGCAAGATCGGTGGCGACAACTTCTCAGGGTCTGGAAATCTGAATGTTATCTGCTTGTCCTCCTCTGGGGCCTCAAGCACGGGCAACTTTTCCAACTTTTTGATTCTCGATTGCGCCTCCGAGGACTTCGCAGCATTGTACCTGAACTTATCAATGAACGTCTGCAAATGCTCTCTGTAGGCCTTTTGGTTATCGTATTCTCTCTTTTGGTTCTTAATTCTCTCCTCTCTCGTAGCATAGAAAGAGTCAAAATTGGCACCTCTGTAGTAGTCCAATCTTTCGGAATGCTGGTGGATGATGTCTGTCGCAACTTCATTCAAAAATGCACGGTCGTGAGAAACAACCAAGACAGTGGCTGGGTACGTCTGGAGATAGTCACCCAAGTAGGCACTCGATGGAACATCCAACATATTGGTGGGTTCATCCAACAATAAGAGATCTGGCTTACAGAACAAGGCTCTGGCTAACGATAATCTCATCCTCCAACCACCGGAGAACGACTTAGTGGCTCTCTGTTGGGCTTCTTGGCTGAAACCCAACCCATATAGGATAGAGGAGGCTCTGGCCTCCGCCTTATCACTCTCAATCTCACCCAATTTCTCATGAACTTCCTCCAATTTATCGGTAAGGTCAACCTGCTCATTCTCCAATTTCTTCATTTCCAAGGATTCCTCATCGAACTCTTCTTTTAACTTCTCAATCTCGTCGACTCTTTCCCCAATTCTTTCTTGTTCAGTCAATAACTGCTTTCTCCAAACGTCGGCATCCAAGACAGACTGAAGTGCAATGGTATCATCTCCTCTAAGTTCTTGCTCAACGTGTAAAATGGTGATGTGCTTAGGAATATCCAACTCTCTTCTTGATAGTGCCCTTAAAAGGGTAGATTTACCAATACCGTTTTGACCAACTAAACCGTATCTTCTACCAAAGGCCAATGTCAATGACGCATTACTCAAAATTCTTTGACCCTCACCGACATATAAATCAAATGTATCGATCTTGATATCCTTTGATTTTCCTGCACCTGCACCAAACTCAATAGGATTCACCTTTAAGAAGAAAGAATCATAGTCGTCCTTTTGTTGATCATTGATAAGCTTAGAAGCTTCATACTGCACAAATCTATTATTTCTCTTTGCAACCTTTTTGGCAATCTTTGCTTCAGCCTTCTGCAACTTCTTCTTGTCAACTCTACTCTCAATGGATCTACCGGTATGCTCTATATCAGTAGATTGCAATAGTGCTAGCGAGGAATCTAGCTCTCTTTGCTTACTATTTATCAAACTGATGTCTAAAAGTCTCTTGGAGGTATCACCTGTAATTTCCAATTTTGACATATTGTCCTTCAATTGTTTTTCAATATTTTGCTGCAACTTTTCCCCAAGTTGTCTTACCTTGTTAGAATCCCCACCTGCACTAACAAGCAGTTCTTCAATAAACGAGACTTCCTTTGTAATGTCTAGTTGACGAGCCAAAACTGCATCCTCGGTGGAATGCAAAATATGTTGCATATATCCCACAGCATAATCAGCAACAACGCTATCTATAGAGCCTGCAGCTTGTCTCACCTGTAAACCTAAATTAGACATTGTCACTTTTGCTTATTGTCTCTTTCTTGCTCCAATGATATTGATAACTGAGGCCGATTTTGAGCTCCATCCCCACTTGTTGAATAAACCATTATGGATTTTTCAAAGCTGAGAAGAAAAATCATTCGCCTGTAACTCGAATTGCACGCGCAAATTTTTTTCGTCACATCAAATATTACTATACATTACTTACAAACTTTTAGAAATAAACGTCTAGTTTAAAATCATTTCAATAAAAGCTGGACCCTTCTTTTTCCTGTATAATCATCAAGAATGGAATGAATAGAAACATCCACTCTGTCGAAAACAGAGACACTTCTGCGCTTTCCTGATTTGTCGGAGAATTTCAATGTGTAGTTATCTTCGTCAAATTCGGCAGAGTTCACATCTCCAAGAACTTCCAACTTAATCAAACTCTCTACACCGTATTGAGGAACCAACACAACAACACCATTCGAAAAGACTTTGATAATGTAACCTTCCTGATCACTTTGATTGTTTTTCATCACTTGACCAACATAATATTCTATACTTGCTCTACCGGCAAATTGTGCGTTTCTGTGACGTTTGTTGATATTTTTTACAACCAAATCCATCTTAGTCTTGTCCATATGGATTTCATGCAATGGCTCGTAATCAATCGCAGCTGCTAGCTGACGATGTGCAACAACATCACAGTATCTACGAATGGGCGACGTGAAATGTGTGTAAATGTCCACGGCCAAACCATAATGCCTAAAGTCAGCATAGCTGAAATTTCCCGAAGCAAAATATTCAGCTGCCATCATGCATCTCGTAGCCATAATTCTAATCAAGGTATTGAAATATGGATCTTTAGGATCAACACATCTGTCTAATGAGTCTGCTAAAGACTTGCTGCTTTCGGTGGAAATCGATAGTCCCTTTTTGATCCGAAGCATATCATTCAATAACTCAAAGTTAGTAGCCGGTGGTTCACCATGACGACGTAGCATCGCAACTTGGGGGAAGGCATCATATATTTTTCTTGCAACGGAAATATTAGCACACAACATAAATTCCTCAACTAATGAGTTGGTGTCAAGCAACTTTTTGATTTCCACCTCATTCGGATCAGAAGTTTCACTATCAGTATGCACCTTAACTTCAGGCGAGGCCAAGTTCAATGCTCCAGCGTCCAATCTCTTCTGCTTCAACTTTTTGGAAAGCTTTAACAAAATTCTCATTCCGAGTGTTAATTCGTCTTGCTGAGACTTATCATCAATACGTATTTGGGCTTGTTCATAAGCAAATGCTTCTCTAGACTTAATGATTGACTTCGTGAAACTAACATTCAAAATGTTAGCGTCTTCGTCCATTTCCCACAAGACAGAAAACGCAAATCTATCAACGTATGGCTTTAATGAACATAAATCGGTACCCAACAACATTGGCAACATATCAATTCTCTTATCAACAAGATAAACAGAAGTACCTCTGGATGCACCTTCCTGATCTAGAGGTGTACCCGCTTTAACAAAATGAGTAACATCTGCAATATGGACACCAACTTCATAGTTACCATTAGGTAATTTTCTTGCATGTAAGGCATCGTCAATATCGACACATCCTGGAGGATCAATCGAGCAAATAAGTCTATCCCTCAAGTCCTTTCTTTTCTCCAATAGTGGGTCACCGTTACTAATGTAATCAGCAACATTCCAATCGTGTCCTTCCTTTGGCAAGCATGCTAAAACGTTTTTAGAGAACGGTCTGTATTCAACATCATGCTCCAATAGTAAGGCCTCTTGCTCCGCATCTTTATCTTCAATCTCACCTAATGTTCTGACAAAATGCCCACTTGGAAATTTAGAGTTTGAATTCCAGCTGTCAATAGCAACGACAATTCTTTTGCCCATCAACTCCTTCGCCCTCCGTGTTCTAATTCTAATCTTAGGCAAAGATCTGTCCATTAATATCACAAAACAGTTTTTAGCCGAGTTGCTTACAACCTCATTTTTGTTGACAGCGTTTGGTGAAAGCTGTCCGACGTAAAGCCTCCAACTTCTCTTCACTATTCCGACAACTCTACCAGTTGGTGATATCTTTTCGTCTTCGTTTTCTGTTGTCTGTGCCTTGATAGCTTCCTGAGTTAACAACTTTCTTTCCTTATCACTGATTATAACCTCATTGTCATCGTCGTCCCCTAATCCATCTTTGTCGATAGTTTCTTCGTCAATGATTTGAGTTGAAGGTTTTTTCCACTTGCTTTTAGGCAGAAGTTCAATCACAACGTTATCACCGTTGAAAGCTCTGTTCAAGTTCTCTCTACCTAAAATCAAAAGCGGTTTAGGAATAGCTGATGTCATAACACTACCTTCCAAAAAGTTGTATGATGAGATACTGATGTTACCCTGGTATAAACTTCCATTTTTGATACCACCCATTAGTCTAGCCGAGGAATAGTATTCTGGGTATTTGATTTCGTTTATTTGCTTTTCAAAATTCTCGGTGGATGGTAACAAATCGTTCAATTCCTCGGAATCTGGCAGTAGTTTAATATATTCGTGGATTGTGTAGGACATAACACCGTCTTTGACAGCCAGTTCCTTATTGGCCTTATCACCAGTAATGAGTAAAACTGATATTCCAGCATCTGAAAGATGGTTGTTGTAATACTTGGCTGTTTGCCTGATCAATCTGTCGTTATAATCATTGATAATTTCACCTTGCTTTCTTGGCACGTATGTTTCGACCTTAAATTCATTGTGGAACACAACAAACCTTTTCTCTTCGTTTTTTGTCAACGTTCTTAGTCTCATGTATATAGGATAGCTCTGATTACGAACCTCATTCAAAACTGTTTGTGGGACAATGACATCATAAAACACCTTATCGTTTTCTAAAATGTCAATAGCATTGAGTACAATGTTCGTGTCAACCACAACATAGTGCTTCCCTATTTTACCTTTCGTCAACGCTAGAGGGGATTCCGACAAAATCGGATGTGGAACTTCACCCGAGGGACCAGGTTTGTAGCACTCAATACACTTATCACAAGCTTTGGAAAAACATGGAATATCGTCTCTGATATAATGCTCTCTGACAATTTTTGTTGCATTTCCATTTCTAGATCTGACAAAAACTTTTTGCGTCACAGTCAAGCCTGAGGCAAGTCTCTTTCTCTTGACTGATGCAGACATCTTTCAAAATACTTAGTTGTATGAAGCAAGTTGTATGTCTTTGCTTACTTTTGCCTTGTCTCTGCAACATGAATCTGTACTTACAGCTTTTGTCTACAGATAGATATTTTTCTTCTAGGGATGAAAAAAAAAACTCCAGGCGCAATCAAGACGGTGCACGGAAGAACTTGGAAGCTGGGCCGATCGGCCCAAAAACGTAAAGAATAGCTTAATTTGGCTTGATCTATAGGATTATACACACACCGGAGTGCTTGAAAGACGTCTATGCCCTCTTGGAAAGAGCATCCTGCTTCTTCCAGTTAGAGATCCAGTTTGCTGAGTCCACTTTGGGAACAAAATATAGTCTAAGGATGTTGTCGAAAAGTGGCACCCGGGGGCTTGGAGACATGAGCACTTGGTTGATAGGACTCTTCTTTGGGATTTTCACCAATCCACCTTCTTTCGTTTCCATATAGGCCTCGAGCCTCTTTGGCTTGAAGTTCTCATGCTTGCCGTCGCGGAAGTAGTCCTCGGGTCTGTCCATGATTAGTTCCATCAACTCCATTGGGGTTGTGAGCTCACTCACCTCCGATACCACGTCGAACTCATCAACCGTTGGGTATATTATGATGGCCGGGATGATCAACTGTGTCTCAATATCATGAGCGTCTTCCAAATGCATACTGGCATCTCCAATCTTATCTGTGCCGTATGAGGATTGTATTGAAGTTATGCCTCTCGCCTTGAGCGCACGCTCCAGATCAAGTTTAACATTCAACTTTTCTTCTTCTCGTTTTCTTTTCTTTTCCTTCAAATCCTCGATGTAGGCTATCTTCTCTTCGCATTTGTGCAGAAACGTGTTTACTGCAAGGTTTTGGTCGTCGATCGAGACAGCAAAACTCAACACCTGCACCGCCTCATCATAGTGCTCTATCGCAAAATAGGCTTTTGCGGCCCTGAAAAGAGCTTTCACATTCTTTGGCTGTCTCGTAAGACACTCTTTGCAATCGTTAATGCATCTTCTGTAGTTTTTCAGTTCAAGATTACAAGCTGCTCTGTTCAAGTACAACGCAGCCTCAATGTATTTGACGTCACAACAGACATTGAGACCCTTGGTATAAAATTCAACTGCATCCTGATACCTTTTGGCCTTGTAACAATCGTTACCTTGTTTTTTGAAGTTCTCAGCAATCTCATCTGGCTCCCCTTCATATGCTAACGCCTTGAGTGCTTCAACCTCGGGTCTTTCTTCGCCATTTTCACCACATTCTAAGTCGTTCATGAAAAAAGGGAGCTTGTTGAGCTCAGCCATAATTTCCTCGGTTGACTTGGAAGAGACTTCGGCAACTTGAGGAGGTAATTCTGGATCTCCATTGTTAGTGGTCTTTTGTTCCGTCTTCTTTTCTTCAAAGGTATCTAGCTTCTGTTTTTTCTCCCACTCATCGACGAGTGCATCAACCGCTGCATCATTTCCAAGCTCTGTGATTTCCACCATTGTCGTTGAAGAGTTTCTTCAAGGCTTTACCTGGTAACACTTCACTCATCTCTGTCTTTCATAATCTACGATGCAGCTGAAAAATTAGGAAGAACTGTTTCACTCCGAAGGTCGTGATAAAATTTTTTTAAAACATAATTACGTAAACATGGGATCTGAATGGAGGAAATGACATCCGAGAGTTATTACAAGCCCGGTAAAGGCCTTAGAATTCCAAGTGTCTATATCTGTAACATATGCTCAGTACAAGTCAGATCAGCATCTAAATGTGCCGTTACTCTTCATTCCATTTGTAGAACTTCTTGTAGTTTTCATATAAGGTTTTGAAAACTACACGGCCTTGGCTATCCAAGGACTTATTGATGTAGTTTAGCTCATTCAAAGTGAGCAAATCAAGCATCATATAAGAGGAAGTATCCAAATATGGCTTCACCTCAACACCAACTTTATACTGCAAGTAATATTTGATATAGGCGAGGATTAATACCGGAATATGCTTTCTCAAACCTGCTTTTGTCTGGGCCAACGCATTGCTGACTTCTGCATCCTTGGCAGCATCATTGATGCGTTTCACATGAAGATTGCTCACATTCGGCTCACAGAGATTACTGGTTAATCTCTCAAAAGCAAGTCCTCCTCTTGAGGTGATTTTGCTAGAGGTGGCAAACAAACTTCTCATTAGCGATGTCAGAACCGAAACAATTAAGTGATGTCGGTTAGATAACCTTCTTCTTTGATATAAGACAATGGAAGAAATCAGGTGACATAGGTCGCAATAAGTGTCTTGTACCAGCTCAGTAGATAGTGTTTTTGACGCTTCAATTTTATCTGAAATAGATGAAACGAAAGCCATGGTCATTTCCATTGCATATTGGGTAAACAACCAAATCTTCGTTGAGATTACCGTCTTTAAGCTTTTCAAGAAACAAGCATTAGTCAGAGAAGCCATCCGAGTAGTTCTCGTGAATATTTGTGATATGGTTTGGATAAATAGTACATGCGTTAGTCTGAGCTTCGATTCATCATCCGATTTTTTGACGTTGGATAATAATATCGCACAAAGTTCAGCATATTTTTCAAAATCTTCATCAGATGCAGATTTCATAGATTCGCAAATACTTAACCATGATTCAATGAAAACAGATTCTCTTTCTGCCAACCTCGATACAAAAAGCTCCATATACTTAATATTTGCATCATCACTTAAAACAACGTATAAAGCAAAAATGTACTCCGGTTTGTATACTTTGTCTATGGAGCAAACAAGTCCAAATAGAAGAGACTTAAACGACTTGTCATCAGGGTATTTCAGACCTAAAGATGAAATGATATCTTTCACATTACTTGGGAATATGGAAGCGTTGTCACTCTTGTGGTTGATAGTCACTAAGAAGTTGATCATGCTAGAGAGAGTATCGGTAGTGAGATCAGAAGTTTTCGAAAGAATATCCATAATTTTTCCAATTAATTTAGAAGCTAGAGCCACTCTTTTCTCTTCAAAACTTGAGCCTATTGACTCTGTAATTAATATAGATGCAAGGGACAAGTACTGTAGTTTTTGAACACACTTTTTCTTATTCAACAAGTCAATTTGTTTTGTAAGGGTTGCAAAAGCGTCATCAAGATAACCAGCGGATTCGACAGGCTGCTTCAAATGATTTGATAATATAATTCTGATCAGTTGGTTAAGATCCGGGTCACAATAGGTTGCTAATTGGAGTAATGAATCAAATTCAGCCTCAAGTTTTGACTTGAATGTTGGCAAGGCAATCAAATTTAGCATTATTTGTTTGGCATTTGGAACTTCATTGTCATTTAATTTTTCAAACAAATTATCCAGAATCTGTATTTTTTGCTTTTTGCTTAAGGCATACGCCGATATATACTGATAAAATTTCAGATATGAAGTAGAAGTTATGAAAGTTTCAACAAATTCTACCATGATGTTTGGCTGAGAATCAAGCAGTTGTATTTGCAGTACTTCAATTATCTCCTGATCTGTGCTATGTTTCATGAATTTCTGTATAAGTTCTTTAATTTCGTCCTTGCTCAATAAAACTTCAAGGAGCCTGAACCATCTGCAAAATATTTTCTTTCTGAAAGCTTTTGTAGATTGCTTCTTAAAGTATGAAATAAGCTTTTGCAAAAATTTTGGTCTTGCTTGGGAAACATCTTGCTCAAGTATTCTTAGTGTTGCATAGAAGTAATCATCGTTTCTAGAATGCGGCTGAGCCAACAAAGCCTCAACTTCATCCTCAAATTCTTCTCTATCAAATAGACTTAATATAAAAAATTTCAACTTCCAACTTGAGTCACTATCCGTTTTGAGCAATCTGGAAAACTGGGGCTTCAATTGGTACATATTTTGGATCAAAGTTTTACTGAGAGCATTTTGAATGGAACCAGATACTGCTTTCATCATCCCTTTACATACCGAGAGAAGGAAGATAGGAATGAGATTAGGGTTTTGGGTGTATGATTCTACCTCAGATTCAAATAGTTTCGAGAGTTGGGTGTACGATAAGGTTGATATTGTTAAAGAAGCATAGTCAATCATTTCATCGGAGTCAAAAATGTTGGCAGGATAAGCCTGTACAAGTTCTGACCATCTTTTGATGAATATTTCAACTTCCCTACTTTTCACATACGAGTCAAAGAATTCCTTGAACAACATCAGAGACTGAGGATTTCCTGTAGAACATAGCTTGCATATTTCTTCACTGTACTTAAAAGTGACATCTGAATTTCTTTTAATGCAATGAATGATTAGGTCAAATGATATGTCTTTACCGCGGTGTAGCTCTTTCTCAACCATCGAAGAGAGAAAATCTGTGGAAAGTGTTTTGTTCATATCCGTAACATGCTTTAACAACTGTGTAGAATATAAGGGATAAAAACTCATTAAAATTTGCACTATACTCTCTAGTTCTTGAGCACCAACTTTTGGTATTACCAACTGGAGTAGAAAAATGACTTCATCGCTATTCAACTTATTGTTGGACTCAACAGTGGCAAATTGGCTAATGAACGTCACTGTTGCTTTTTTATCATCCTCAGAAAAAATATTCTTACAAAGCATATACTTAAGGTCTGACTTAACTTGCGAGTCAGTTGTGTGTCTTTGGAGCGCAATTAGTGTATTTGCCAGACATGTTCGTGCAAATTCTGATTTGTGTTTTGTGTCGTATGATATAGAGTTGGTATTATTCAGTTTGAAGATGAAAAAGACAAGATGAAGTAATCTTTGAATCGTTTCAGAGGTATACAAATTCGAGTTTTCCAACAGTAGTAGTAAATATCTGATCAGAGTTAAATTCTGATCGTCAGAAAGATGTATTTTCAAACTGTGAACCAAATGGGTTAATGATAAAATGAGATCATCAATGAGAGGCGCATCTTTATAAAGATTATTGCTGTATAACTCCTTCAAAAGTTTGGTAAAGATGTCTCCAAATTTCAGCTTAGTTAAAACTTTAGACCTAATGTTTGTTAGTCTAGGATCATTCTTGCCGATCTTCCATATGTGGTTCAAGAGTTTCCATGTTTGGTCCGAATATAAAAACTTCTGCGATAACTTGTTTGACTGTGAGATTCTGTCTACGAGTAATTCCAACACAAATCTTTCTTTTTGTGGTAGATATATCGAGGAGTTGATAGAATCACTGAATAATTCTTGAGTAACAAATGTATATATATCAGATACTTCGGTATCTTTATTTCTCAAAAAACGGGTTATAGACTCCGTGCTTTGAAATTTGTTAACATCCACCATGACTTTATTAAAGCTATTTGTTTGATGAAACACTGGATGTTGTTCTTAAATCTAGAAGTCCTGCCTGTTGATCTTCCGTGAAAAATTGAGAGATGATTTTTTTTTAAAACAAAAAAAAAAAATAGTTTTCATCGAAGCGATTTAGGATTTTCCTACATGTTTCGATTGTTTTGAAAATAACATCGTCAAATTAGAAAGTTGAATTGCAGGGTTACTGAGTGACATTTTTAGTAAAGCAAAGCGTAACTGAGACTTAGTATGGAAGACCAAGGTAACCAGAAACCGTTCAGCTTTAGCTTTGGGAAAGATGATGGCAAGCCAACGCCGTCATTTTCATTCAACGCCCAAAATCAGTCCAACAGCAACAAACCATCCCTCTTTTCTTTTGGCTCAGCTCCAGAGAAAAATGATAGTAAAAAGCCTAATGGCTTTGGCTTTAATTCTTCCAATTTCAGCATCCCTGTGAAATCCATGGCAGCAAACCCTCCCACAGAAAGATTGAATTTCTCGTCAGAAACTGCGGTTCCAAATAACACCTTACCCTCCATACCGCCAGCATCCAAATTACGTAGTATGACTAGCAACAGTGAAAAACAACCAAAGAGCTTTCAGGGGTTTGATTTTGGAGCAAAAAAGCAAGAACCAACTACACAGGAAGTCAACCCAGCCAATTCTACTGAGGGAAACTTAATAAGCAACGAGACCATTAAGAATGACACCACGGACGAAAATCACAAACAACAAAAAGAGAAAGAGAATGATTTTTTGAAAAGCTACCAAGTACCTTCAGCTGAATCTTTCATTCATGAGGATGATGACCTGGTCGATAATGATGACGACAAAGCTGAGGAGTTTTATGATATGGATATTGATGAAAAGACCAATCTGCCGATCAGAAGGTTGAATTATGAGGAGGATGCAAAATCTCGTTTAAGTAAAGGTGAACATTTAAAATTTGCTGTATCATCCAAGACTGAACAAGGTATGTTGTTTGTTACTGAAGCTGAAGATAAAGTAGCAGCAAAGAGCAGCAGCCAAAGCAATTTTAAAAAGGAGAAGACAAAGCTCTTTCCTTTTGAGCTGATACCTCAATTGGACCAGTCCTCAGAATATAGAACATTTTTGAATAACCTTTACAAAGAATTTGAGCCATTGCTAAAGGATAGAAAATACAAACATTATTTAGAGCCTGAAAATGATGAGTATATGCAGATAGGAGTAGTGTCAACGATAAAACATAACAGAGAAGAACGTCAGATATTTTTGAGAAAGCTCATGTCGTTTACCCTAAACTACTTACAGACTCTAATCAAGGAGAAGATGACGAGCGATTTTGGCAGCTTCAGTGATCAATGGGTAGTCAACTACGAGGAGATTATCAATGTATTGTACCTACTAAATGCACTTCATTTTGGAAGCGAAGATGAGACTATTGTATTATTTCAGCAGTGGATTGAGAGGATTGAAATCCAGCCTGACGACGAACTTCTAGCGTCGGTTTTCCAGGATTCTGATAAACCATACCAGAACATGGCGTTCTGGTCTACCTATGTGAAGAAGTTGCTGCTGAGGTGTTCTTTTTCCCAATTGGTGAATGACTTGAATGCTTCCCAATACGAGGAGCTTAAGGACAGCGACAACGAGCTTTTCTTGCTAGTGGAAGACTTCATCAGTCTCATCGAATCGTATGACCCTGTTTTGTTCTCATCAGATGTCTCTGCGTTTTTGAGATGGAAGAAGGTAGCGGTTGAACTAAGAGAGGCAGCCAACAACGTCTATGCAAAGAACGTGATGATCCACAGCGAGCTTCTGGAGCTCCTCAGCATCCTAGCGGGCTCTTCCCACACGATTGACGACAGTTCCAGCTCGTGGTACGAGTGTTTTGTGGGTCACTTCGTCTACCAGATGCCGAGCAAAAAGCTGATTCCGGAATACATTGAAAACGCTCTGGAGATTGATACTTACGAGAAACCGTTAGGAGGAATCGAGTCTTGGGATTCTATCTGCGTGGAGTTGTTCAGGGGCAAGTACTTGACTGTCATTGCCTCTCTCGAGGCATTGGACAAGTCTATTGGGACTTTTGTTGCCGTCCTTATGGAGGCGTCCGGGTTGTTGGAGCGGTACTCGAAGGACATTCCGGGTGACAACGTGATCGACAAGAGGATCGCTAGCAAGGGCATCAGCAGCAACATTGACAGAATGGTGGAGGACCTTGCTCTCACGTACCTCAATAGCCAGGAACTGTTTGCCATCGGTGTGGGCATCCTTGTGAGCGTCGGAAGCAACAAGAGCCGAGAGATTCTTTCGGAGATGCTTCCAACGTACGAGATCAAGGACTCGGACGACCTCGAATGGGTGCTCTCGGTCTGCTCAAAGCTGAAGCTCACGCAGACGCTGCGCACCATCCAGCAGATGCAGGGAGAGCGGTTCTACGAGAAAAGGCTTATCCCAAATGCTCTTAGCTGCTTTGCCGAGTCCAGTCTGCCCGAGAAGGTTGTCTCCACCGTGTGGCGACTCTTCGAGGATGCTCTCGTCAACGGCGGCCTCGATGCCGGTCTTGCTTCCCAGTTGTTCGACAGCGACCTCAGCAAAAACAACACTATTCTCAGACAGAGCTTGTCGCCGCTATACACCTTATACCAGCTGCTCCGCCAGGACAGACCTGACGATCACGGTAAGTGGTTCCGCCGTCTGCATGCCCTCCTCGAATTTGCCTACCTCCCGGGCTTCTACAAGTGCGGCCTGCTCCTGCTGGTCTTCGACAACCTCAACAAGGGCGTCTTTGACATGGCCAACCTTGTCGCCCTCATCGAGAGCATCAACCGCTACGAAATGGACCTCCGTCGGGACACCGACCTGCTGTCTAAGTCGGCGTCCTTCTACTCCCTGCTTGTACACAGCCGGCCTGCCCCGGCAGAGACGGCCTACCCGGCAACACTCTCCGAGCTGCTTTTTAGCGTCCGCCGAGGTATCGCCATGGATGTCAGCTTCACCTTCCTTGACGATACCATTTACTGAGGGCTCGACCGTCGCCGTGATAAGGCCCGGATCTTTCTTCCGGCTAACGCCTTGTATTCCCGGCTGGAAAAGACCTCAGATAAGAGACCGGCTCGAAACGCTCGCCGACGAGAAAAGCGCCGGGTCTTGTCGCTGTATATAGGGCGGACGACTTGCTGTTGGGTGGAGAAGAAGATAGAGATGAGGAGGACGACCCTGCCATGTGTATCTGTGTAGCTTTGTACAGCATTCGTGCATCGTGAAATTACAAAATGTCTGATTACGACAACGTCATCAAGTTAAGACAGACGAACCAACTCAAGAGCTTGTACACGTACGTGACTGTGCCCGCAGGCGGGGCCGGACTAAGTTCTCTTAGCGGTCTGTGCTTCCCCCTGCAACTGTCTGGCATGTTTCCAGATAATGCAACCGGCTGATACTAACACTCCTTGTGTGCTTCATGCACCGCTTCTTCTCTTCTGCAGAATCATCCGTGACCGGACAACCAGCCGAGGTGACTTTGTCTTCTATTCTGACAGAATCATCCGTCTCCTCGTGGAGGAGGGCTTGAACCAGTTGCCTGTCGACCCGGTGAAGATCGAAACGCCACTCGGCGTGACGTATGACGGACACAAGTTCCAGGGCAAAATCTGCGGTGTGTCCATCATCAGGGCAGGCGAGTCGATGGAGCAGGGCTTGAGAGACTGCTGTAGATCGGTACGTCTAGGGAAGATCTTGATCCAGAGGGACGAGGAGACTGCCACCCCGAAGCTTTTCTATGTGAAGCTGCCGGACGACATCAGCGAGAGATACGTGTTGCTGTTGGATCCGCTTCTTGCGACAGGCGGGTCGGCGTCGATGGCCATCGACGTCTTGGCCGAACGGGGCGTCAAGCCGGAGAGAATTCTCTTTCTTAACGTCCTTGCCAGCCCAGAGGGTATCCAGGTCTTCAAGGAAAAGTACCCGGCCGTGAAGATCATCACCGGCATGATTGACGAAGGTTTGGACGACAAGAAGTACGTCGTCCCCGGCATCGGCGACTTCGGCGACCGTTACTACTGTATCTAGGCCCACCCGCTTCCACTTTGTCGACGCAGGCGTGCACACTGTTATATACGTTAGCACTACAATACAAACCGTAGCTCAAAACATCGACACCATCGACGTATTAAGTACAACAACCGTCTTCCCGTGTCCTAACAACACGCTCAGCGCGTGCTGAAAATGGCTGTAGTGGCGACATGAATTCCATGTTTACCTCTTTTTCCGAGCTACAGCAGTCAAAAAACGACGTACACACAAGGACAATAGCGCAGGCGTAAACCCATGGCTGCCATGGAAGAACTATACAACCAGCCCATTGTGCTAGACAACGGCTCCGGGACTATCCGCTGCGGCTTTTCCTCGGACGAACTCCCAAGGGTGAGCTACTCGAACATCCTGGGCAGACCAAAGTACCACAAAATCGACTACCTGCCGAGTGACATCAATCCCGACGACACATTCGTTGGGAATCAGGCACAGCTGCGGCGGGGGCTGCTGAAGCTGACGTACCCGATCGAGCACGGAACCATCAACGACTGGAACACGCTCGAGCTCATCTGGCAGCAGTTGCTTCTCCACGACTTGATGGAGAGCAACACGCTTGCGAGCCAGGGGAACGAGGTCTCCCTGAAGGAGCACACGATGTTGATCACCGAACACCCCTTTTCTCAGCGTCGACAAAGAGAGAAAATGTGTGAGATACTCTTTGAGAGCTTTGGGCTAGGCGCCGTCAACGTGGCGATCCCAGCGGTGCTCTCGCTCTACTCAACAGGCCGGACGACAGGTGTGGCAGTCGATGTCGGGGACGGTGTCTGCTGTGTGGCCCCAGTGTTTGACGGCTTTGCACTTCCGGGAAGCATGAGCCGGATCAACATCGCCGGACGTGACATCACTCGGCAGCTGCAAATCGAAATAATGAAAGACGGCTACTGTCTGAATTCCTCTTCGGAGTTTGAAATTGTACGAAATATGAAGGAGCGAATAGGCTTTGTCAACGCCTCTGCCACACCTGTGAAGCTAAACTCCTACAATGCTGACGACCAAGTGGAAAAGTTCCAGCTTCCCGACGGTAAGTTCCTGCGGGTCCAGAAAGACTCGCTCTCTCGGCCATCTGAGCTGTTGTTTCAACCACAGTCCTTTGGACCGGAGGAACAGAGCATCCAGGATGCCTTATATAAGTCCATCATGGGCGCAGACGTGGATATAAGGGGGAAATTTTTTGAAACCATCGTTCTCAGCGGTGGTTGCACGATGCTAAGAAATTTTGGATCGAGACTATTACATGAGCTTCGAGGGATAGACCAGGAAGTTAAGTTGAAGATATATGCATCTCCAGAGAGAAAGAACAACACTTTCGTTGGAGGCTCGATTCTATCCAGTTTGAGCACATTCAATAACATTGTTGTTTCAAAGAGACAATTCATGGAGGACCCAGCTTTGGTGCACGACCTGTATTTTTGAAAGGCGGGAAATACTTTTCTAACGAAAAAAGACACTTTGCTAATAGCGATATATTAGATTTTCTGTAATTATAAATGTATGGAAAGATTATATTAAAGCTACAAAAGGAGATGGTGAAAAAAGATATGTAAAACACCCAAAAAGTGAAAAAAAAGATGTGAAATTATTATACTCTTGATCGTAAACCCAAATGTATCAAATATCGGAGTAATTGGCCAATAGTGCTATTTGATCCCTGCATGTGTCTGAGCATTGAGGCTCAGAAAAGAAGTGAAATAAAAGGTAAAGTAAAGAACAAAAATCAAAAAAGGGTTACATTTGTTTATCGGAGACCCTCAAAGAAGTCAGCTATCAGTTTCGTCGTCGTTGGAATGAATTGTACAGATATCTATGCCAAAAATTTCGTTCGTGGAATATCCATTCGTGATATTTGAATTAGCCTTGTTGATTAATCTTCGCTTGCTCGATGAGAGTGGTGAACCATATACGTTACTCGGTAAGGAGAAGTGCGTTGGTTGTACTTGTTGTTTACTAAAGTTGAAAACAGATGAGTTATCCTTATTAAAAAAACCTGGTGAGCTGTAAAAGTCATCGAGGTAAGAAGGCGACGCCCACAATTTTCGGGCAACCGACGAATTGCTGTTTGGCAGCGGCGTGCTGGTCAATTTCAGCGGAGTTTTGAATTTAGCGGGTATCAGCGAGTTTGTTGGTGGCTGATTCTGTAACTCTGTAAACAACTTGTTTTGTACCTGAGAGGAGTGGGGCTGTGACGGAAGTGGTTGCGAGTGCAGTTGCGGTTGTGATTGAGGTATAAGCGGTTGTAAGGTTTGTAGCTGCTTCGTGATCGACGGTAGTTGTATATTCTGGTTGGACTTATTTGGCGTTATTGGGACCAAGATCGGGCCTGAATCCACGGGTCTGATTGGTGAAAGTTCAAAGTTCGAGCGGCAGCTAAATGATGAGGTGAAGTCCAAGCTTGTAGAGTCAAGGGTGATGCCTATGTCGGGAGACATATCGTAGTGCATATTTATAGGTGAAGCGTTGAGTGAGGGGTTGAACGACGAGTAGTGGACATTCAGTTCGGGAATCGATCCAAGATTGTTACTTGGGTTTCTGCTATGGCCTCGGGATTGGGCATAGCTCAATGCCTTGTTGTGAGTATAGTTGATATTGCTGTTGGGTATTTGGCCCAACGCCTGACCCTGTATCTCACCCTGTGCCTGACCATGGCCCTGCTCAAGCCCGTGTCCATATCCATGTCGAAGCTCGCTGAACTTCGGAGTTTCCGTGTTATTGAAGTTGTGATGAGCGTGGGTGGTAACTTTCCTGTCATCCCTTTCGGCTGATTTTGGGGTCGTGGGAGGATCTTGAGCAGTTGCATTTGCCGGTTTCGTTGCTGCTGTTGCCGCCGCCGAGGTAGTTGCGCCGCTTCTCTTGGACTCCTTAATATTGCAATATATATGCTCGTATCCAGAGACAATCTGCCAGAAATGTCCCTTCTTCTCCTTTGATTTCTCAGTCTTTTCAAACGCTTTGTTGAGCGAGAGGTTGTGTCTGATTGAGTTCTGCCATCCGACTTCACCCTTCTTGTAGTACTTGAAGTTGTCGGAGATCCACTGGTAGATCTCTGCCAAAGTAAGTCTCCTTTCCGGAGATCTTAACAGTGCCATACCGATCAAAGACGCGTAAGAATATGGAGGTTTTGCGCTTGACTCAAATATAATTTCTGGCATTTCATGTGGTTGGGGCAACACAAAATCTTCGGGGGTTTTGGAGATTCTTGACTTCTTGTTGCTCGAGTTCCCGTTGTTGGAACCGTTGTTGGACCTCTTCTTGGTAAATTTGGGAGCTTCGAGTGGCTCATCCGACCTTCCGGGCACGTTCTCCTTGTCGCTAGTATTTTCCAGTATCGGACTGTCGCTGATGACCCTGATGTTCACATCAGCAGCGTGAAAAATGTTGCTGTTCTGGGAAGACACATGCTCGTATAGGTTTGGAGAGGAGAACTCTGGGGACAGAAGGCCGTGTTGTTCAATGTTGAGGCTCCCATTCCCGTGGTGATGATGGTCAAGTCCACTAACGAGACTACGGTGATTTGCGTTGGTATGGTATGCATCTGCAAAATCGCTTCCGGAGGAAAGCATGGAGATGTTGGCCATGTCTGGGTTCTCCTCATCGCTCTTGGCTGTCCGTACTGCCTTTGACGACATGTATCTTGTGCTGGAGGGAGGGTAGCCACCATCTGCTCCTCTGTTAATTGCGGTGAGGCCGGATATACGTCTGGTGGAATGGGGAGGGGTTTTCAGCTGCGACTTCTTGGAGGGACTGGCCAGACTCGCAGCAGGCAGAAGGCCATAATCCCTCTCCTTCTGTGAGTGTTCAAAGTAGTCTGCCGAGGCGGCCGAGAGCGGCACAGAGTGCTGGTCGATGTTGTGAATCATCGAGGAAGGCGTTCGGAATGTGTTCGGGAGTCTTTTTCTCTGTGATCAACCTGTTTTCCCTAGCGAACCATATATATATATATCTATATGTAGATCGTGACAAGTGTGTAGTAGACGGATAAAGCTCCTAAGCGCTTGGTGTTTGTGCGTGGGACTTCTTTTGCGGCCGGAGAGAGTGGTGGAAATTTTGGTGACGATAGCAGGAGTGGTTCGGGACGTTCAGAGTAGTAGAGGTGTTGCTGCTGCACTAGGCTTTGTCTTGCGGTGGCTTCAGACGGAACAAACGGATTCAGCTGGCATCTACAGAAACCTGCGCCAGACCACGGAAGAGGATTGCAGAAAGAAGAGTGGATGGATAGGAAAGTGTACGACACAGAGACGTGCATGCAGAGAAGCACTCTCGCCAGGAGCATGTCTAGTTTGCTATCGCCATGGGCTGCTGCGATAACCCTGTTTCAGCCATTGTCTGCTGCTCCTGCTGACGCGTCGTGCGCAGAGGACCGAAAAGGGTCGGAACGGGTCGAAAAGGCACTTCCGGAAGCGATAGCAAGTCTCCAAAAGGGGGAAGGGAGGGGCAAACCAGACGCGCTCTGCCAGAGCGCGTGTCTGCCAGAGCAAAATACGGGCAATTACAAACATGCCGGCTGAATACTGTGCTTACGTCAGCGAAAGCCTTTTGTTTGCTCTCCGAGGCGGCTCATCTTGTGCAAAGCTTCTTCTTCTTTTGCCCTCCTTGAACATTGCCTCCTTTTCTGAGTCTTTTCTGACACCATTACTGGTGTTCTTCTTGTTGGTGAATGGATCATATGTTGAAGATGCCCATTCTAGGCGCATCCTGTTTTTCCGCTAGGGCAGTTACTTCCTGGTGGACGATTCAGGGTTCCGGAGACGATCGGCTTCTTCGGACTAGCACACAGACCCACTTGCTGGTCACGTGCCCTATGATATCGGTTATATATAGTAGCAGGCAGGAAAGGTGAGGCAGAGATAGGAGAGGCGGTAGGCACATCGGGTGTGTCAAAAGAGACCGAAGGCTTGGTCCGAGCCTGTCCGGCCTCCTTTGCGGGTGCTTTCGCCTTGCAGGCTTGTTCTCTGTTGCTGAAACATCCCATAGCAGGCTATTTTTGCGCAGCATCCGGTCTCTTGATGCTCGTGGGTGACATCTGGCGAGCTGCACCATGCCAACTATACTCTCACACGAGCCGCTTAAGGCCAGAAATAGCAGCAGCACCAGCAACGGCCTGGACACTGCTGTCGGTAGTAGTACGCGGAGACCCTCGAACCCAAAGTACATGAAGTGGACGTCCAGAATACTAAACAGAAAGTCGCTCTCCGAGTCATCGCCGGCGTCGTTGTCTTCGCCGCCAGACCATTCCAGAAAGAACTCGGGTGAAGGCCGTGGGAGCCGGAAAATGAAGAACCCAGAAAACTTGAAGATTGATTCCGGCGTTGCCAACTCTGCCATGGGCTCATCATCGAAACAGTCCACTCCGTGCAGGTCCTCCGCAGGGTCCGCTGTTTTCAACCACTGCAGATGCTGTGGTACGATATTGACTTATCCAGCCCACGTGAGTCGCATAAAGTGTCTCACCTGCAAAACCTACTTCTCCCTTGATGCCTCCTCGCTGAAGTGCGACGACACCTCTTTGCTGGCCTCTCCGTCAGTCCATTCCCCATACCCACAAGCCCCCGACGCCTCCATCCCGTTAGCCTCGCTTGCCTCGTTGAAAGACGCTATCAGACTGGACGAAGCACACATCAGAGCCCTCCATTTGAACGCCTCGGACGCCAACTCAGTCCACAAGCTCTTTGTCAACGTCGATGCATTGATTGGGAACTCCTTCAGTAACATGGAGAACTTGAACAGATGCTTTGTTTTGGATCCCCGAAAGTCGATCAGTCACCATTCTCCAAACTTGAATTACGTGGAAATAAAAAAGTTCTACTCTCTCCTGATGAAGCTACCAACAAAGAGACCTGTTTTCAAGCTTCTCTCTCACTCTTTATATCTTTTAAAGTACCCACCAATGGACATGGACTATACCCAACTCAACTGGCTTCTTATCATACTGGAAATACCCCTTTTGTACGAGTCATTGATTGGCAGAAACTCACTTTCTGTGCATTTCAGCGATATCTGCTATGATTTAACGAAAAGAGTGATTGGCTTGCTAACTTCTGTGGACAAGTCTGCAATGAAAGCATTGATTCACTGGTGGTCGAGGTTGTCGGCAAGCGAGTTCACCCACAAGGTGGACTTTTTCAATTTATACATCACATTCCATATCAATAGACTCTACACACATGTGCTATACGATAAACTTGGTAAAAACCTACAATTGTCAGAGACGGAGGATGATGTTAATTTTAAAAATAAGTTAGATTTACAGATTTTGCAGCACTTGAATGATAACAACAACGATAGCTTGCTGAATGCCATGGGTGTTTTCCCCAGCAACGATGCAAAGGCCGAAAATAGTATGAAAATAACCATCAACTTTTATTCGGAGTGCTGGCACCTTAGGACCGCATGTCACCTCATGTCATGTTTATTCCAATCAAATAGAAAGCACAGCAGGATCGACGATTCATGCTTTTACAATAACTTGGTGGACTATATAAATGTTCGACAGGATTATGATATTTGGCAATTCAACAACTCATTCATGGAGCATGAGAAAAATATAGGTTTGAATCCGGAATCCCTTACTGGAGATTATTTATTGATGGAGAAATACAAAGCATACCTGGGGATCACTGTTCTCAACGGAGTTTACAAAAGGTCGCAATTTACCTTTTGCTTATATCCATTTCTAATTTCATTAGGATCCAAAATATCCATCCTCAAGCATGATGCTAAACGTGTGATGGGCCAAAAGGCTGAACAGGCCTTTCTATCATCAGTAATTGAGCACAAAAGTAGTGATATTTTCTTCAAGATTAGTGTGAGGAGAAACAATATAACAAACGACTCGTTGCGTCAAATCCAGCAGCATCCGAATGATGTCCGGAAACTTCTTAAAGTGGAATTCATAGATGAGCCTGGTATAGATGCTGGAGGTTTGAAGAAGGAATGGTTTTTGTTGTTGACTAAAGAACTTTTCGATGCAGATAGAGGGTTAATCACTTACAACAACGAATCAGGAATGGCTTATTTTGCAGTATCGAATGATGGGGCGTATAACAATGAGTTGTTCTACCTTTTGGGTGTCGTCGTTGGCATGGCCATTTACAACTCCATTATTTTGGATATTCGATTCCCCAAAGTGCTATACAACAAATTGTTAGGACACCACACAACTTTGGAAGACTTGTATGAGTTGGAGCCTTCTCTTGCGAAAAACTTGAGAATGCTAACGAAAATGAAAAATGTGGAACAGTTGGATTTGAACTTTGAAGTTTCAGTGACTGACATTTATGGTAATATCCAAAAGCATGAGCTTGTTCCTAACGGAGGCTCTATAGCTGTTGTCGACTCGAATAAGGTGGACTACATCACCAAGTACAGTCGCTTTTTATTAGACCAGGTAGTAGAAGAACAGTTCACCCAGTTTTCCATCGGTTTCAGGCATGTCATGGGTACTAATGCTCTTTCACTATTTACTCCCTCAGAGATACAGAAGTTAGCTACGGGAGATGACAATATGGGCGAGCAAACAAAGTTTGATATTGAGTTGTTGAAGAGCGTTTCTAAATTCAACAATTGTTCGAATGATGATATCATTGTCATTTGGTTTTGGGAATATTTTCACGGGCTATGTCTTGCCAAACAGCGCAGTTTAATGAGGTTTGTAACAGGCTCTGATCGAATTCCAGCTACAGGACTGGCGACGCTAAATTTTAAGGTCACCAAATTGATCGAGGACGACGGAGGTTTTAGTCAACGATTACCTATTTCGCATACCTGTTTCAACGAAATCTGCTTGTGGGAGTACCACTCTTTCGACACCTTGAGGCGGAAGTTGGACATGGCAATTGGCGAGAGTGAAGGGTTTACATTACAGTGATTTATAGAGTTGTTTTCTTTGGCATCTTTTTTTCTTTGCCACTTTTACTTGCATACAAGGATAGCGATTATTCATGAGCTCATCATAATTGTTTTGTCCTTCATAGAACTATACATAGGTTTATAACAGTTTATAATAGTTGATTGTTTTACTCCAAGCTGGCATACTTCTTCAAGTGCTCTGGGATAGTGTCGTACAAATTCTTTTCCTTTAGGAACTTCTTAGAGAAGATTTTGTTTGTGTACTTGTGGGCGGAGTCTGCAAGGATGGTAACGATGTTGGAGCCCTTAGGTGCCAATTCGGCAGCCTTGACTGCACCGATGACGTTCAAGGCAGCAGTACCTCCGACGAAGATTCCTTCTTCGTCGATCAAACGGTACAACATGACGATAGTTTCCGAGTCTGGGATCAAGAAGGCATCGTCTGCGAGTGCGATGTCCTGGGCAACGTTGTTAGTGACACGGCCCTGGCCAATACCTTCGGTGAAGGAGCCGCCTTCTTTTTCCAAGCTCTTACCCTTTGTCTTGACGTACGAGTATAGGCAAGATCCCGGAGGTTCAGTGATGTACGACTTGACGCTCGGGTTGACTGTTTTCAGGTATCTGGTGACACCGGACCAAGTGCCTCCCGAGCCGGAGGAGCAAGTGAAGGCGTCGACCTTGCCGTTCAACTGGGACCAGATCTCCGGGCCGGTGGACTCGATGTGGGCCTGTCTGTTGTCGAGGTTGTCGAACTGGTTGGTCCAGTACGCGTTGTCCAGGCTCTCTGCATGTCTTCTGGCCTGGTGGTTGAAGTTCTCCGGGTTGTCAAACGGGACGACGGGCACCGGGTGGACCTCTGCGCCAAGCAAACGCAACGTCTCCATCTTGGAGGGACTCTGGGTGTTTGGCATGTAGATGACGCACTTGTAGCCCTTGGCCCGGCAGATGTGTGCGAGCCCGATACCGGTGTTACCCGCCGTGCCCTCGACGATGGTGCCGCCCGTCTTGATGAGGCCTCTCTTTTCGGCCATTTCGATGAAGAAGAGGGCAGCCCGGTCCTTCACGGACCCGCCGGGGTTCATCCACTCGGCCTTGCCGTAGATGTTTCTCTCGGTGAGCTCCGAGAGTCTTTTGAGCTTGATCAGCGGGGTGTTTCCCACGGCAGAAAGGATCCCATTGTCGGTGACGGTAGCTGCGGTGTTTAGCTTGTAAGACATGATGCTGTTCTTGGCAGAGGTGTGCAGAAAGCGTTTGGCGGTTAGCGAGTACATCTGGCCGGGTCTGGACGTCGTGGTAGGAGGGGTTGGGCTAGGGGTCACGGAATTTGTCCACTCTGCTGTCGTAACTCTCTGACGGAAACGGACTACGGTCAGACTCCACAGTTCAGCACTTCCCCAACGGCGTCTGCGCCCGTTGGCGCCCCAGGGCCCGTGTTTCCAGCCGTCATCATCACCGTGAAGCTGGCCAGACGGTGGAGAGAGACGGAGAGGGCAGTAGGAGGACCAAGAAAGAGAGAGCTTGGCCGAAAACGGCAATTCTGCGGAATAGCGCGGTGCCACGTGACTCCATGAAAATGGTCTATTGCCGTTTTAGGCAATTTGGTGTTCTGTCTTGAGGAACAGTCAAGGGGAGTGGTGCAAGAGAGGCCCCGAACTGGCACAGCGGTGCCGTCGGACGATACAGAGAGAATAAGTTAGATTAGATAAATGCAGATAGAGACGAGACGACGGACGCAGCAAGTGGAGTGGGGCTATGGGAGGAGTCTGAGCATCTCGTCCTTGTTTGTCGGGCTGGTGTGGCACTCAACGTTGAGCGGGTGGTCGTGGTCGTGGGCGTGCTGGATGACAAAGTCCTCGTCGACCTCGACGATGGACGCGTAGCCGGAGAGGCGGTCGGCCTTGAAGGGCCCGTACTGGGAGACGTCAGCGTCGTAGTAGAGGTAGTAGTGCTGGAAAAAAAAGATGAAGTCTGCGATGAAGACCTGGATGGCGAGGAAGAGCTTGGGCTTGTTATCGAAGATGGCCCAGAGGTCGTCGACAAGCCAGGCGTCGAGCAGGAGCTGGACGAAGGAGAGGAAGGCGCCGCCGAAGTCGAGCCAGATCATGAGGATGGGCCAGCCGTGGGTGGACTTGCGGTGGTAGTTGTAGAGGATCTGCGGGATGTTCTTGCACACGCTCATGCCGATCTTGACGAGCCCGAGCGACGTAAAGAGGTGCATCCAGTTGAAGCACCCGGCGACGGGCTCGAGCCCCTGCGTGCGGTAGATGTACGCGGAGGCGCCCACGACGTACGCCGCCACGCCGGCGAGGATCACCTTCGCCGTGCTGCTGAGCCGCTGGTTGTCGTTGCGCCGGAACCCCCAGCAGTACGCCTGCGAGAGTACCAGCGAGTTCGTGAAGAGGTTGTGCAGCCCGAACACCAAGTCGTTGAGCCGGATCAACGGCCACTCGCCGTTCTCCTCGTAGAACTCCCGCTTCACCACCGGCGAGCCCCACATCATCCCCGTGTACAACGTGTAAAGAATGAACCCCATCATGTTGAAGTACATGTAGTCGATCGAGATGCCCTGCACCGACCGCAGCTGCGCATTGCTGATCACCGTCGGGTAGTTGGCCACCCCCCATCCGACAACGTACACCCATCCGATCACGTACGACGTCTGCTGCAGCGTCATGCTTGTTTCTGTGTCTTGTCCTTGCCTGGTTCTTGCCTGGTTCTTGTCTGGTTCTTGCCTGGTCCTTGCCCTGCCCTTGCCCTACCGTCTCCCCCTCTCCTCCTCCGAACAGCCTGATAGAGCCGGCCCCCTGCCTTTTCTACCTTCGCCTTATCGCCCAGAGCGGCCGAAAGCGGCAGCTGGCCGACGGGTGCGGGTGTAGCGTCGGAAAGCGGTTCCGCAGGGTGGTACTGGACGGGTTAGACAGATACACAAGGATAAGTAGAGAGGGAGGTTACTGCAGGCCGATGATGGAGAGCTCGAGAGTCCAGACACGGCGGATGTGGACCTTGATGCGGGTGTGGCGCATGGGGTTGCCGTCGGAGTCATGGAGACCGAGGTCGCCGATGTCGACGGTGACGATGTTGTCGGTCCACCAGCACTTGCGGGCGGGCTTGCGCCAGAAGAGAAGGAGCTTGGTGTTGTTCGGGTTGGCCTTCTGCCTGACCTTGGAGCCGGCCCGGGAGATGGAGTGGGCCAAGGTGCTGAGGCGGGACTTGCGCTTGTCCTTGTTGCGGCCGCGGTCGGCGTCCTTCTCGCTGAGAAGCGAGGCGTTGGAGGAGGTCGGGGCGAGCTGGGGGGAGTCGGAGGGGGTGCCCGAGGCGGAGGTGGCGGCGGTGCCCGTGGTGCCGTTGTTGAGACGTGCCAGCGTCAAGGAGAAGATCACGGTTTTGCCCGGCTCGAGCGAGCGGTGGCCCCACTCGCCGTCGTGGGCGAAGCCGGAGCTGCAGAGCATGTCCATCAAGTGCTGCTCGGCCGGACGCAGCTGCTTGCCGGCGACGAACCCAAGGCCCTCGAAGATCTTCTGGTGCTCGAGGAGCTTGTGCCCGACCACGTACTTGATGTGGCGCATCTGCTCGACGCCGAGGTTCTTCACGGGCGGGATGCAGTAGTAGTCGAGGTCCTCCCGCAAGACGATGATCGAGGGTCTGTCGTTGAGGATGTTCGGGTCGTTGATGTCGTAGTACTGCTGCTGCTGCAGCTGGCTCAGCACGTGCAGGTCCCTCACCGCCGTGTCGAATATTCGGCAGATGTACTGGAAGCACTCGGGCGCAAAGTTCACGTACACAATGTCGTCCTCCGTCAAGTTCGTGATCACGTTCCCGTCCATCCCGACAAAGATCCCGTTCGGGAACAAGCAGAGGAGGATCGACTCGGGCAACGCCATCAAGTCGTCCCGCGTGATCGTGAACATGTGGCCCCGCATGTTCATCTTGATCTCCGTGTTGTAGTCGTCCATAATCTCGTCCTGCGCATGCGTGAACCCGTTTTCGCCCGGGTTCACCTGCGTCACAATATCCTGGTGTGACATGCTTGCGTCTGGCGGTTCTGACTGCTCTTGTCTGGTATCAACGCCCTCCAGCACCTTCTCTGCACTCCTCTTCCTCTCCTCTTGTCTCCTCTGCCCTGCTGCTTCATCCCCAGTGCCTTTTCTACTGCTCAGCCCGCACGCAAAAAATGCGACAGCGAGAAAAGGGCGACGGGCCACTGACTAACTGACGGCCCGACGGCCACAGCGGAGCAGGTCGGCACACGGGCACAAGCAGAGGCAGATCAAGACTAGCAGCAGAGTACCAGGCATGCCCAGCTGTTCGCCAGACACGTGTGTGTGCAAGAAGACCGGAGGCACGGAGGTGGCGGCGGCAGCGGCGGCGCCAGGCACCAGCTTTGCCCCTGGCGACGACTCCGACTCCGACGTATGGGGGTCTTCGTCACCAGATCCGTCCTTGGAGGCCACAGAAGAGGTCTCCCGTGACGTGGCAGCTCTGAAACGCCGCCACGAAAACAGAGGCTACTTAGACGGCCTCACCAAAGGTGGCGAGCTCGGCCTGCAGACAGGCTTCGACGCAGGGTACCCGCTGGGCGCCCAGCTCGGCGGCCTTGTCGGACAGCTCGTCGCAGAGACCGTCTGGAGAGCTTCAAACGGCCAGATCAGCGTCCAGACCAGAGATGCCGCCCTGGCGGAGCTCCGCATCGACAAGGTGTTGAGCTCGGAACACTTCGATTCGGAGTTGCACATCGCCGACCCGGCGCTGCACCCCACCATCCTCAAATGGAGCTGTTTCTACGACAGCTTGCTTGTAGGCTTATAATCTGCTCTATAGCGTTACCTCTATATATATACGACCGTTAACATCTCACCAGAACGCACACCAGCCGATGTAGTGCTGGCAGAGGTTCTCCACGCTTGTGGCCTGCTGGATGAGCTTGTCCACCTGCGTCGGCACGTCTAAGCCCTTGAACCGCTTAAAGTCGTTACCGGTCAACTTGTCGTTGATCCGCTTCAACACACACGCCGCACGGGCGTCCCTCACGCCGGCCTTGTATCGCATCGCCATCACCGCCGCCTCCTCCTCGGTGATCTGCCCGTTCCGCAAAAGCTCGACGTAGTTCCCCTCCTGCAACTTGATCGGGAGCCCGGCCTGCTCAATCACCCGCTGGATCGGGAAGTCAAACCCCCAGTTGATCAACGGGTCGTACGCAAACGCTTCCAAAATAGCCATCAACGAATCCTTGTTGTCACGGAGCACTTTCATTACGTTCTCGCTCGTAATCCGGAACGAACCCTCGATCCCACTCACCTCCATCGCATAGCTGAGCATACGGGTAAGTCTGAAAGGTACCTTCTCGGGATACTTGTCACGCATGATGGCAGCCTCAAAACAGTCACCGAAATCAATGTGCACGACTTTCCCGGTGATCCGGTCCATCATCAAGTTCGACGGGTGTCTGTCTCCTAGCCCTAAGATGTACCCGACCATCGACATGACGGCCAAAGACCTCGTGTAGGTGGTACGTCTGTCCAACCACGACTCGGATGATTTCGACTTGAACCACAAAACCTTGTACAGATCCTGTCCTCGTGTTATGTCTAGCGCATACGTGAAAACCTCCACTTTCTCCAACAACGTCAAATTATCGTAATCAGGCGACATCTGTAACATCACCCGATGCTCCACGTCCAAATAGATTTTTCTCGGGTCTCTATATTCCTTGATCAACACATGAAATGTGTCCGAATTCGGAACCCATCCTAACAATCCGGAGGATGGCGAAAGAGGTATGGCGGCATATTTCTGTATATCAACGTGTCTCTTGAAACATTCAGGATCATTTGCCAAAAGTGTGTTCACCAAGCCAAATAACTGCATAACCAAACTATCTTGCCTGATATCCTCATGCGCCTTAAGCACAAAAGTGTACGTCTTACCATCACTACCGTGGATGTGAAGCTTACGTGGCCTTTGTTTTGAAGTAATCACAATGAAAATAGGATCAAACTTCATAATTCGAATAACCTCCTTGCCGGCTTCATATGTACCAGGAATAGCCAACTCTAAATCATGAGCATTCAAAAGTTTAGGTGACACATGTTGCAAGTCCAAATTTTGCAATAAAGGTAGCTGCTTGGATATCCTCCTGAAAATAGTATAGTAAAGATCCCAAGCTTGTGTGATGTATGTAACATCTTTGGTACGCTTGAACTGGTGTAACCAGCCATGGGCATCACTCAAATCTTTACCGAACGCATTTGTAAATGAAATTTCACGTATGGTTTGCGGTCCCTTTTGAATCAGTTCATTCAAAGGATCCAAAATCGAAAACATCTTTTCAACGTCATGCTCATTGAAGTAGGCTCGAGATGCATCTTCTAGAGCTTCATACCACATCTCATGCCATAAAACAGAAACTCTAATTAACTCGTTACTCACCATATCGGCTTGGTCAACTAAGATCGAGGAATGGGCCCTCATTTTATCAATAATTGTTAATGCTGCCTTCTGTCTTGATACACTCTCGGACTTTATGGCAACAGTCAAAGGATAAACCAACGCTTGAGGGTGTGCACGGCCTAGGTCTGATAAAAGACCCAACAAAGAGTGGCTCACAACAGGATCTGGTTGATGAATATGTGAAATTAGCTGTGGAATGACATCTAACCATGTGTCCACCTTAACCATCTGGAGACCTTCTTGCATTGCAGTAGCAACCTCTTCAACCCCACCGAAGTCAAGCCATAGAGTTAGCAACCTAAGAGTATCCTGAAGAGGATTGGAAAAAGATAACGCAATCGAATGAAAAAAACCTTTCACAGCTGGGACAACGTATCTCAAAATCATATTCATATTAATATTATGATGCTGAACATCCATCTTGTTGTCACCTCCGTTGTTTTCTGAAATCCCATTGCCACTAGCATTGCTATTGCCATTAACTATGTAGTTTTGACGATGCTTTGATTGTGGTGATATGACCTCAAAATTAGCTAAAGCCCAGTTATGCCATGCCTTGTACCATTTAGGATCGAAATGAGTGGCCAACAAAAATGAACCCAAAATACTTGGCGCTTCCTTCTCTATCCATGTATCATCCATTGCTATTTTCCATTCACCCTGTTTCAAGTAACATCTTGCTAACAACTTGGTAAACTTTTCAATATCGTCAGTGATGCCAGGAATATTGGTTGGTAAGGGTTGAGTGATTGCTTCATTTTCATTAAGGCCAAGATCACGTGAAAGTTTCGAGGTAAAGTCCACTAAATGGTTCAATGCTTCGGCCTTTTGGCCTCTGGACCACATATACTTCAACTGTGCGTAAACAACATGTGGTGATGCCTTGTTCCCAGGCTTACCAGCAGAGCCTTCATCTAATAATGAGTTCAATGACTTTTCAGCTAATCTCAATCTTCCACTTTTACGACATAAGTTGGCAAATTTGATCCAGATTTCCATATCTTGCTTTGGCTTGACTACCAATGCCCGAGCCTTCAACATTCTTTGCCAGATATCAACATTCTTTTGGCAACCCAATAATCTCTTGTTCCAGGTGTCAATGATATGGATACGCTTGTCACTTCCTTGAGGCAAGCATTTATATTTGATGATTTCTTCCAACTCTGCTAACATTTGAACACGGACAACGACACCATATGCACGGTTATAAGATTCACTCACTAATGCAGTTACCTCTGTCGCAAGCAAATCACGAGCCTTGTTGATCTGCAACGAAGCTTCATCAAAATTGTTGTTGTGTAATGATAAAATTGCATTGAAGAAAGCCTTGTCCGGAGAATCTTTCTTCATGACAGCAATATATGTATCCATTCGTTCCCACTGTCTTAATCCCCAAGCGGCGGCAGCAGCAAGTGGTGCAATAGAACGTTTAATATCAGCGCTACTAGTATCCCACTTTTCTCTTGCTAACATACTTAACGTCTCCCATTCACCAAGTGCATGTAAACAACGCATTTTACCCATTGTAATCTCCGTTGAATTAGGTTCCTCTTTTTCTCTTTCATTATATGCATGCAATGCGTCATCCCACCGTTGCAACTTTTCATACCAAGTTTCCTTCAACTGTAACCCATGATGCTCCTGAGCATACTTCAAAATACCAATGGCGGCGTCAGATTGCTGAAGTTGATTATTGATACTAATTAAAGACTCAATAGTTGGAATTGATGGCTCTTGGATAAACTCAAGTTCCTTGTAATGTAGAGCTTTGGCGTATGCGTGACTTCTTTGGGCATATTGACCCAATGTTTGTATCCTAATTGGTAGGGATTTTTCATCATGCTCCAGAAATTCAGTCAAATTTAACAAGGCTTGATGAATCTCGGGAGAACTGTTTACAGATGAAAGAGCAATGCATAGTGCTTGCGCAAGCTCTCCCTGGTACTGAATGTGTAACTCATTCCAACAACTTGCAAAAGCACAGTTGAAAAGATCCTTGGCTAGTTGTGGATAAACAGATGCCAATGTACTACATGCACGGAGTGCTTGAGATGGCGACTCTTTCAATAAGGCAATGCTCAACTTTCTCATCCATTCTTGCCAGTCTTCTCTTGTCCTTTTCGAGCTGCAATCCCATACTAAGCGTAGCGTTTGGGGATTCACAGACAATTTCTTTTGAGGTTGTTCGGCTTGGATATTATCAGATGTTGTAGTTTCTAAGTCCGGATAAAGAACAACACCTGAGGGTAACTGTCTTCCTTTATTTAACCTGTCCACAAACTGGTCATACAATGGAAATTGTAACTTGCTTTTGATCAAGACAGATGAAACAACCGGAATGAAAACTTTGAAATCAGAGCCCATTTGTAATAGCAATGAACAGATTGTAGTCATCGCAACTGTACGCAAACCTGTTCCACCATATGTACTCAATAGCCTCAATAACGGTTGTATAATTTCTGATGCGTAGTCATTGAGTGGGATAGTACGAGAAAGTCTGCCAACACACTCGATTGCAGCCTTTCTCACATTCACTGAAGCATACTCAAATAATTTGATCAAAGATGGAATTATCATGTATATATAAGGCTCTGAGTTGCTTCCAAATATCACGAAAGCTTTCAAAACTCTTAATGTAGACATGTTTCCGGGAGATAAATCTTTTTCTAACACATTTAAGAATATGTTAATCAAATCTAACATGTACAACTTGAATTCATCCTCCAAAGCTTTAGAGACTCTTTCAATGACACAAATCACTTTTGATTGTAATTTGACATTAGGGAAGAATTCTTGAATCAATTTGAATATTTGGGGTAAATAAGAGCGAATGTTTAGTTTGACAATATCAATCAAATCACATATTTGCTGGAAGTACGTGTTTAACATCGATATGGGACAGTTGTGCATCACTATCTCAAAAGCTGGAATGACTTGATCCAAAAATGGAACACATTTCATTCCTAGGCCACTGAAAATGTTCATGATAGTTTGGGTAACGGCTAAGTGTTGAGCAGCTAAAGAGTTATCTTTCAAAATTTTGATCAATGTTCTGATAACCACTGTAGGGAAGTAATCATCATTAGTTGGAGACTTGCCCTTCATTAAAAGTTCCATATCTATAGGAGGTGCATTTTGTCTCGCAACAGTTTCAGCGTCATGTCCCTTTCTTTCGACTTCCCTATGCTTGTAAGGATCTAGTGCACCCAAAATACCTAGTAGTCTAATTGTATCTCTTCTGACTATGGTTGAAGACTCAGATCTAAGAATGTTGACCAACAATCCCAAAAGCTGAGGGTAATCCAATAATGGTTGTATGACATAACCCGCTGAACCTGCAATCTGACCCAAAGTTTTGAGTGAGGCATCTCTTTTAATTCCAGAATTTTGTTCCTGAAAAGAATCAATCAATATTGGCATGATTTGAGGCACAAATGGCATAATATCTTCACAGCTTACATCTGCTAGACAGCCTATGGTAGTGATTGCAGATGCTGAAACAACTGGTGAAATGTCTGCCGCTTGAGGAAGCAAAGCGTTCATTATTTGCTTAGTATAGGACTTAGTGAGGTCGTCAGTGGAGGAAATCAAAATTCCTAAAAGCACATTTGATTCCTCTTTTATCCTCGTAGTATGACTACCATATTCTAAGTTGGTGATAAGTTGTATCAAAATTTTCCTCAAAGGTGGAACGATGAATGCTGGATTAAAGAAAGTAAGACGTCCAACTACTCTGTAGCTTTGCTTTCGGATCTCAAAATCCTCATCATTGAGAGTCATGAATAGTAGCTTAACGTTTTCGGCTTGGGAAAGGTGGGGATCAAATTTATCGTCCAAGCTTTTGATAACTTCCAGTCTTATTTCGGCCACTGGGTCAGTTATGCATGTAGTGAGTAATTTTTCAAGAACAAAGTCGACACTTTTCAGCGAATGTGCACTTCTTTCATAGCAAATACTACTTCTTCTATAGAGCTCTGCGCATGTAACGGAAGCTTGTAATCTTATTTCTGGGTTTTGATGTGAGATGTAGTGGGTTATCGCATACTGAACGAACTCGGTCAAATCATAATTTTTGAATGCAAAACACCTCAAGGTCTTTAAACCCTGCAATATTATTGTCACATCAGGATCCTCAAAGTATTTGGAGGCAGGAATGTCTGCTAAATGGGGTAACTTCTTGATTGTATTCAGGTTGAACGCATCACCCTCTTTTAATAACATGTCGTACCTGTAGTTATATGCTAGATCCGGGTCAAACAATCTTTCAAAGTCTGGCGATCCAGGGTGACGAAACTCGTAACCCGATAAACAACAACTGACATTATTGATCAATCTGTCATTAATTATAGGCTCTAGTGAAGGTAAATGTTTGCTGAAAATCTTGAGAACACTCAAAACATTATCATTTATGGGAGATTTTAGTAGCAATCTGAGAATTTGATAAGCATTGATGAACTTTGTCATTGGAGGCCCTAAAGCCAGTACTAATTTGGCGAGGCAATAGCAACAAGCCGGTGACAATTCCCGCTGAACTTTAATAGAGCTCTGGGATAGCCCATCCCGGACACTCTCCAGAACAATACCATTAAGATAGTTCACCATGTTATTCTTGGCTTCAGTTGCTATATCACCAATACTCAGAAGAATCATAACCTTATCTTTGCCAACTTTGAGCTGGGAAATATAGTACAATAAGACACGATGCATGTATCTATCGACAAATTTTATCTTATCGTATCTAGCCATTTGTGGAATAATGGTAGTAACTTCCCGACGTACATCTACCGATTTATAGTCTTTTACTCTCATAATAGTTTCATAGATTTCATCTATTTTCGATCCTAGAACGGAAGTGCCTTGGTTAACTAGTTCTCGAAAACATAATAGAGAGCCGTGTATGAATTCTGGTGGACTATTCAAAATCTGTGAATTTTGGGCAGCTGATACGCCGGAGCTATTGTTCATACTACTGCTGGTGGCATTTCCTGCACCATTTATTCCGTTAGCATTGTTTGCGTTGTTGTTGTTGCTGTTGTTGTTTACGTTGTTGTTATTGCTATTGCTGCTGTGTCCATGGCCATGAGCATTGTTACTTGAACCATTTTTCCCATCTGATCCAACAGCTTCAAATCCAGCGGCTTTGAAGACACTGAAAGCCTCACTGTAGAGTTTTGAAAACCAGTAATTGCGCAAATCGTTGTCTCTTTCATATACTATATCCAAGCAGTGGCGCAAACACACAGCGGAGTCTTCTCTGATACTTGATTTCGAGTCTCTCAGCCCAATCCATATGTTGTTGAATATCTGTTTTACGTACTGGTATAGCAAAGCTGGAGAGTTTTCTGCCAAGGAAGAAATAATCAAAATGGCTGCGTGTCGTTTACCCTCTATTTTCTCTGTGATCAACCATTCTAAAGATCTTTTCACTTCGAATTCGACGAAGTCTGCTGTTGTTGAAACTCCGGGAATGGCGAGTTTCCCAATTGTTGCTGTGGCTGCCCTCATAACATTGATATCGTTTGAGGATAGTAACCTCCTTAGGTAATTGGCATAACGGGTGATCATGTTTGAGTTCTCGTCCGCTGAAGCGGAATTCGATGATGTATTACCCGCTAGGTTGTTAGAAGATGCCAATTGAGAAAGCTGGGACTCTTCTGAGGAACGAGAGAGAAGCTCGATCAACGAGTTGATGGCGTCTATGCCGCCCAATTGTTCGTTTGTTTTGGAAGAGTTTGTGAGGTCGAAGATCTTCTTGTTAATGTAGTTGTTGTAGACTGTCATCTGTTCTGTAGACGTGGAATCTCTTGAGATGGAGATGAAGTGGACACGCAAATTCTTGGCAGCCTTCAGACGGCGGATCTCATCGTTCGACTTCAATTCCTGGAAAATCTGGTCCAAGGTGAAGTTCTGCATCTCAACGGACGTACCTGTTGGCAACCCAATAGCGTTGAGCTGTTGGGATTGCGACATGTTTATTTTGGTCAAGGTAGTCGTGTGTATCTATATATGCTTGTTTGTATGTGTGTGTTTCTGTGGTATTTTAAAGAACCTAGGTCTGGCTGCACGGGTTTGCGTTAATACCTCAGTTACATGAGGATGAGATTTGCTGATAGTGCATGCAAATCCAGCATCGAGTCGCCCAGCTGGGGACGCACCGCGATTTGGCACTTCGGGGTGCTGCATTACTCGGGAAGAAAGGCCGGTGGAAGAGGAGGACATGACGGAAGGACAGGGAGGGAGATGAGAAAACTGGTTCGTTATGAGTGTATTAGACAGATAGATATATATTCATAGACTTGATGCTGTTACTTAGTTCATAAAATTCATTCGACAGAAAAAAGAATCGGGGAGAGGAGCAGAGAAAAAGTATGTCAACAAGGGACAGAATCAGGCCGAGACCCTCTTCAACAACTCGTCGTAAAGGGTGACACAGTCGGCAGCAAACTTTCTGATACCTTCGGCCAACTTCTCGGTGCCCATTGCGTCGTCGTTCAAGAGGAATCTGAACTCCGGCTCGTTGTCAATGTAGGAGACCTTCTCGATGTCCAAGGACTTGGCCTTAGCGGCGTCCAAGACCTGAGGCAAGGAGTCCTTGGAGTTGGCGAGCTCCTCCAACAACTTAGGAGAGATGGTCAAGTAGTCACAGCCGGCCAGGGCGGCGATCTCGCCGGTGTTTCTGAAGGAGGCACCCATAACGATGGTGTCGTAGCCGTACTTCTTGTAGTAGTTGAAGATCTGTCTGACAGACAAGACACCCGGGTCGGTCTCGGAGGTGTAGGACTCGCCGGTCTTGGCCTTGTACCAGTCCAAGATTCTGCCCACGAAGGGCGAAATCAAGGTGACCTTGGCCTCCGCACAGGCAACGGCCTGCACAAAGGTGAACAAGAGCGTCAAGTTGCAGTGGATGCCGTGCTTCTCCTCCAATTCCTTGGCGGCCTGGATACCTTCCCAGGTGGAGGCGATCTTGATCAAGACTCTGTCCTTGGAGATGCCCTGCGACTTGTAGAGCTCGATGATCTCCAACGCCTTCTTGATGGTGGCCTCGGTGTTGAACGAGAGTCTGGCGTCGACCTCCGTGGACACTCTGCCCGGAACGATCTTCAAGATCTCCTTACCGAACTCCACCAACAATCTGTCGAGCGCAAGCGAGGCCTGTTCCTCCGGCTTGCTAGACTTGGACTTGGCGTAGTCGATGGCAACGTCGATCAATTTGGCGTACTGCGCCTGCTTCGTGGCAGCCAAGATCAACGAAGGGTTGGTGGTGGCGTCCTGAGGCGTGAATCTGGCAATGGACTCGAAGTCACCGGTGTCGGCAACGACCACGGTGCCTGCGGCCTTCAACTGTTCTAATTGGGATGACATTATGTGTGTGTGTGTGTGTGTGTGTGAGTTAGTGTGTAAGCGTGATTTTGTGTCTTAATAGACCTGTGTGTGTCTTTACAAGTACAGTCTATCGTTCTTTTGGTTGTGCTGCCGCTGCGGGGGGCTATTGTTTCTCTTATGCAAGAGGAACAGCATCAGCTGGCACATCACAGCCGACTCCCGTCTGGACGGCTCTTCCCCGGCTCTGGCCCGCCCGCTGTAGGGCGGGAGCCCCCCGGAAAGGCGAAATCCTCGCCTCGGGGCCCTGTGGGCGGTTCCTGGCCTTTCCCCGGCCGTCTGTCCGGTCTCGCCGGCACCACAGACGTCCGGAGAGCGAGGGAAAAAAGACGTCTTTTAGGCCGATCGACGCAAAACGTCCAATTTTACGCCGATCGACGCGTCGATCGGCGCGTCGATCGGCTTAAAAAGGTTTTCCAATTTAAAATTTGTTACGACGAAGAAAAGTGTCGCGTTGCGACATATTGAAATGTTGTCCGTCCGAAAGGGGACAAGAGCGAGGAGCTGGTGGTTCTCCCTCAGTATTGTTGAGGAGAGCAGGAGAGGTACGGTGAAGGAGGGAGAGAACCAGAAAAGAAGCTGCTGGCTGGCGGCTTGAAGCAGACGCAGGAAGCTGAGCACGGGCGCAATTGGCACAGCAGGTAGCACAGACCGGCCACAGACAGCTCCACAAACACACACACAAACACACACACGTCCACACACACACAATGTCCAGCATAAACACGCCTGCTGTGGTGATGGATAACGGTACCGGGTTCACCAAGTTGGGGTTCGCCGGTAACGACTCGCCCTCCTGGGTGTTCCCGACAGCCATTGCCACGCGGAACCTCTCCACGGGAGGCTCGAAACCCATGGCGCCTTCGAAGCCGTCCTTCTTGTCGTCCGGGTCTGGTGCAGGGGCCGGCGGAGCCGGGTCGATTGGCGGAGGCGCCGGGGCCGGGTCGAAGTCAAACTCGATCCACGGCAACAGAGACATGGCGGATTTGGACTTCTACATCGGCGACTACGCGCTCGAGGCCGCCAAGGGTCCCTCGTACTCGTTGAGCTACCCGATCAGACACGGGCAGATCGAGAACTGGGATCAGATGGAGCGGTTCTGGGAAACGTCGATCTTCAAGTACTTGAAGTGCGAGCCGGAGGACCACTACTTCCTCTTGACCGAGCCTCCGCTCAACCCGCCCGAAAACAGAGAAAACACCGCCGAAATCATGTTTGAGAGCTTCAACTGCGCAGGCCTCTACATCGCCGTCCAGGCCGTGTTGGCTTTGGCCGCCTCCTGGACGAGCAGCAAGGTCGTCGACAGATCGTTGACCGGTACGGTCATCGACTCCGGTGACGGTGTCACCCACGTCATACCGGTCGCCGAAGGGTATGTCATTGGCAGCGCCATCAAAAACATCCCGATTGCCGGTAGAGATATCACAAGCTTCATCCAGACAATGCTCAGAGAGCGTGGCGAGGCAGACTCGTCTTTACGCACAGCAGAACAGATCAAACAGAAGTTCTGCTACGTGTGTCCCGACATCGTCAAGGAGTTCAGGAAATACGACAACGACCCAGAGATGTTTGCCAAGTACGTCCTGGACACGGTGTCCCACAAGAAAATTGAGGTCGACGTCGGTTACGAGAGGTTTTTGGCACCAGAGATCTTCTTTAACCCGGAAATCTGTTCCAGTGACTTCCTCACCCCATTGCCTGTCATTGTCGACCAGGTCATCCAGGCCTCTCCAATTGATGTGCGTAAAAACCTTTACAAAAACATCGTCCTAAGTGGAGGCTCAACAATGTTCAAGGACTTTGGCAGACGTTTGCAGAGAGACTTGAAGACAATGGTGAACGAAAGAGTCGAGGCAAGCGAGAGATTAAGTGGCGCCAAGTCAAGCGGTGTCCAAGTGCAAGTCATATCACATAAGAGACAGAGAAATGCCGTTTGGTTCGGTGGCTCTTTGATGGCCCAGACCTCCGAATTCAAGAGTTACTGTCACACAAAGAGAGACTATGACGAATATGGTCCTAACATTGTCAGAAACTTCTCCCTATTCAGTGTCCCATGATCAAGCAACAACCAGACTCTAGAAAAAATATTCGGTACTCTTTATACTCGACATGTATAAAATCTGTATTATGCCACTGTTTATCGTACAATCCGTATTACGACGTTTTTAGAAAACAAAAGAAAAAGACAACGCCATTGTACACAAATACGTGTTTCTTTTTCCCTCGTTACTCTTTGTTTGTATCGTATATTTGTATTCATCTTACAAACCCAAAACTATAGATGTAATCTATAGAAGTTATTCAACCTCCAAGGAAGAAAAAATAAGAGGATAGTTATGGCTAACTAGTTTTCAGGAACCTTTCTGCTTTCTACCTTCCTCTCTTGGCCCTGCTCCCTCCACATCAGGAAAGGAACAGCATTGGACGCAAAGATTTTTGGAATTGGGCTGGAGGCAATCATCCCTGTCAATGCAGCCAACGCTGGTCTTTGTTCGTACTTGGTGGCAACCCATTGTTGCTGTTCCATTTCGTCAGATCTTGACCATGGCTTAACGGTGTTTTTAGATTCGGACATCTCTATTTACGAATTAACGGAATGAGCGGTATTTTACTAGAGTGATATTTCCAAGCAAAGGTGGAGTACTATTCTACTATCAATTACAAGCAGAAATACTAGTATCAAAGACTAGAAGAAGGGGGGAGAGAGAGAGTAAAAGGAGTAGAAGGAAAGAAAAGAGCAAAAGAAGGCCTTAGAAAGGGCAACGACGAGGCGAAGGGGATTGGGGCAGTGGGGAAACAGGTAATAGAAATTTTCATCCTAAACGTATATCCATGGCGTATACTACTCATTTCTATGTATACATGTATGTATATAAATATAATAGTGTATCATAACATCAATCATAACTTTTCGGTAAGTTCAGGAACGATGGTGAACAGATCTCCAACCAGACCTACGTCGGCGATTTTGAAAATTGGGGATTCTTCGTCCTTATTGATGGCAACAATGACCTTGGAATCCTTCATACCGGCCAAGTGCTGGATCGCCCCGCTGATACCGATAGCAATATAGAGATCTGGTGCAATAATCTTACCGGTTTGCCCCACCTGTAAAGAGTTGTCACAGTATCCGTCATCGACGGCAGCACGTGATGCACCGATAGCAGCACCAAGCTTGGTTGCAAGTGGGTTTAACAAGCTGTCAAAATGCTCCTTGTCCTTCAAAGCACGTCCACCACTGACGACGATTTTGGCAGATGATAAATCCGGTTTATCACTTTTCATTAGTTGTTCACTGACCCAAGTAGTCTTACAATCGGCATCGATCGGTGCTATTTCTTCAATAGGAGCAGCGGAAGCAGACTTTTCCTCAGTGGCAGGGAATGCAGAGCCACGAACAGAAGTCATTACTATCTTATCAGCTGTCTTCACCGTTAGTATGGCATTACCTGCGTAGGTTGGTCTTACAAACGTATTTGGATCAATAACCTTGATGACATCGGAAATTGGTTGGACGTCAAGAACAGCAGCAGCTCTTGGAATGACACCTTTACCCATTGCACTTGCTGCAACAACAAAAGATGAGACGTCTTTAACCTTGTCATTTTCACCCTTTATTAACGAAACAACTAATGGTGCAACTTGCTCTGGTAGATAGTGTTCGTAACGTTCATCGGATTGCACTAAAACTTTTTCAATCCCTTCAAGCTCAGCAACGCTTGGAGCTGCACTTGCAGCATCTGGACCAAGCAGTAACGCAGTAATTGGCTTTTTGATTTCCTTGGCTGCTGTGAGTGCAGACAACGAGCTTGGTGTGACTTTAGAGCCCGAAGTCTCCAAGAGTGCCAACGTGTGTGAGTATCTCTGTACAGCACGTAAAAGCCCGTGGCTCATTGATCTTCTGGAAATGCCAAACATAGTGGGTGCTTATTCTGTGTATACTTTTGTTGTTTTTCGCTTACAACCGAAAAGAAGCTCTTTGACCAAAGGATCTTTCTAGTTACCTTTTCCGAGACGATACACTCTGTTCCTGTCAGAGTCATCACAATCGTGATTTTTCAAATCTGTCTCTTCCTTTCTTTTCCTCGCTATCACGACTAAATTAATCATAGCCGCCTCGGTAAAAGTATGGGGAGAGCATGTGCACGGATGTTCCGCAATGTTACCAGTTCCCTTCCAATCATCGATATTTTCCATTGTAGAGGAAAATGTATCAATACGTTAACATTTATACATTGACGAATCATCATACATATTTATACACATAGGTACACAGACGAATACGCACGCTAATTATTCCACAATAACCGTCCTTTTCTGTAATCTTACATAACTCTTCTTCTTTTGAACATATCGCCGAATTCCGCATCGTTCACCCCGGATATGTCCATCTCCGCGGCATTCAGTGCATCTGAAGCAGAAGCAGTGACGTTAGGCGGTTGGTTTCCCAGACTCATTCCAGCCTGGTGACCGGCAGGAGTGACTCCCGTGACAGCCTCCACAGCGGCTGCTGCCGAAAGGGAATCCCCGACGTCGCCAGGCATTCCTGCATCTGGAGTTAGACCAGGAGACTCCAGCAACGTTGGCGTTAGCAAGTCGTCATGGACATTGGGGATGTTGGCGACATTTAGCTCCATCTCCTGAACCATTTGACCAGCGGACATGGAAGATGCGGAGTTAAGAAGACTGTTACCGTACTTCTTTACAAGCCGAGCCTGTGTAATTCTCCTTTCGTTGAGGGGCGGCAAGTTGGATGACACGAGTTGATCCCCCAGTGGAACCAGCTTGTTTCCACCTTCACTGTTGTTGCTGCTTGGGTTGCCGTTGCTGATGCTGTTATTGGTGGCGTCGGAATTATAATTCTGATTGGTGTTGCTGACATTTCCATTGTTTTCGATGTTAGCAATGTTGTTGGTATTTGCCGTATTAGCAGGAGTGGTATTATTGTTGTTGCTGTTGTTGTTGCTGCTACTGTTGACTGTATCATTGTCAAAAGGTTGTACAGACTTTAAAGCAGGATTTCTTGTCATGCCACCGGAGGGTGTATTTGACGATTCTGGGTTGCTCTGACCGCTGTTGGTTTGGGAAGCTAGCACCAGGGTTTGACCATCAACCGTAGTTTGAGGCAGTTGGGTGGACGATTGCTGTGCTGATAGCTGGACATGTGGTGTCGGTGCTTGGGATGTCAGTGAGGGCATACTCGGATGCTGGTGAATGGGAGGCTGCGGCTGTGTCAATTGCGCTTGGCGGCTGGAAATATCATCATCGGGACTTTTGTTGGTGAAGTTCAACTTCCGGTCCATCTTGTGCTTCTCTAGAATCATGTAAAGGTCGTCCTTGGTAAAAGGCTTTGCTAGGATGTCGGTCATGCCATGATTCAAGTACGTGACGAGATCATTTCTCTGGTAGTTACCGGTCATTGCAATGATCGGGGTATCTTTATCGAAAGACCTGATGACAGAAGTGGCCGAGGCACCATCCAAATTGGGCATGACAATGTCCATTAGGACTAGATCAAACTTCACCTGTTCGACAGCAGAGATGGCACTCAATCCATCCGTGACCACCACTACTGTGCATCCGTATTTCATGAGGAACTTCCTACATAGCTGGATGCAGACGTCATCATCCTCGACAAGCAAGACATGCAATGCCGAGCCTTGCGGCCTGTTCAGTAGTCTGGCCTGCGGGTTCAACGCTGAATTGGTTGGAGTGGGTTTCAGTTCAGGCTCGGCGACCTCCTCCTCTTGCTTGATTTCCACGTCCATCATTTTCCCTCCTGCGAGGCTGTTTTGGCTGCTTCTTCTGTTTGATCCAGTATGCGAATCGCTCAGCTGGTTGTTTTGAGTAGGTGGTGGGGCATTATTAATGGCGGAAGCACTGTGGTTGTTGAAATTGCCCATGTTGTTCAGATGGGGGCCAGTGTTTGTTGCTATTTGGCCGTTGACGGGCGGATGGGCGGCCGGGTGCGGGTTGGCGGCCGAGCTGCTGTTGTGGGTATTGAGAGAGGAGAGTGTGTCGGAGGTGTCGGCTAGGTAGTCCAAGTGCGGGAGCTCTATGGCCGGAAGCTGGACCCCGAGCTGCACCAAGCCCTTGGACAAGATCTGGATGGATCTGGAGAAGGACATGTCAATGTCCTTGGAGGTGAGGAGGTTGGATACCAGGGTGTTGTACTTCTGGTTCAGCTTGTTCAAGGAGACGCTCATGTTGTTGATGCTGGAGTTCAAGGAGACGTTTTCCTTCTCGAGAAAGCTGACGCGGTCCTCCAGCTTGCGGTAGGACGTGATGGGGACGCAGTTGGCGGCAGCGACGGTGTCAGTCTGCTCCTTCTTCGCCGGGACCTTGCGCTTGATGTTTTCCAAGGAGCTCTTGTCGAAGCGGTTGAAGTCCGGGTGCTTGAACTCCCACACGTTTTCCAACTGATATCGCTGTCTGATTTCCTGCGACAGCTTCACCTTGTGGAAGTCGTACTTGTTCAACTGCCTGACAAAGCTGGAGAAGTTGCTGTGCTTGAAGTAGCAGGGGAGCACCTCCTTGGTGAACTCGTTGGTGTCGCTGATCATGAACGAGTCGCCCGAGTCTGTCCAGCGCACGATGCTGCTGAACCGGTTCTCCTCCAACATCTGGAAGAGCTTCTTCACGAAGTCGGTGCTCTGGCCCTGCTGCACGGCAGCGGTCACTGCCGACGACAGCGACCCGCCTGCGTCCGTCGGGGCGGCGGCCTGCTGCGTCTGCAGGTCGACCAGCTCCTGGTCGTCCTGCGTGGCGGCGGCGGCGCCGCCGCCTGGGTGGGTGGGCATCAGCATGGAGGCCATGGGGTTCCCGGAGAGGTCCATCTCAGAGTTAGCGTTTGTCTGTGCCATGGTGTCTCACACTGGTGGCATTGGGGTCTGGAAGGCTGGCGGGGAACGTTGGTGCGGAACAGGCTCTACCTATATACGTCTCGCGTGTGTGTGTGTGTGTGTGTGTGGCAGGCGACGGCGTTGCCGGTGGTCAAACACGAAGCAGGGAGAAGCAGCACGGTGCGGTGTCTCGTGTGTGGAGCCTTGCCTGCTGGGTCTGCACTGTCTGTCCGCCAACGGGCCGCCTGCCGCCCGCCCCGGCCAGGAACAATGACGAACCTTAACACCTGTGCCTGAAACTGCTCCCCGTCTACCTGCCTCTGCCTCCTGCGCCCCGACCACCAGCGTGCGATGCAGCGCCGCCTGCGTCTGCGCCTGCGCCTGCCGCGCAAACACCGTGCCCGCCGTCGCCGACCCACCAGGGATCTGCGCTGACGTGGGCGGTGCGTGGCGCGGGCGCAGCGCTGCGCCGCAGGCGGCATAAAACGTGGCGCGGAAGCGACGCGTCGGTGCGGGCCGCAGCGCAGGGGGTGCCGGATGCAGTAGGTTACCAGGGGTACGCACTATATGGGGTTATACACGGAGAAAAACAAGGCCAAAGGCGGGCAGGGCGGTCATCGGCGGGTGCGCGGGGCGCGTGGGCCAGCGGTCTTGGCAGACTTGCCCATCTTGACCTGAAACTCCACCAGGCCCTGCATCATGTTGGAGTAGACCTTGGGCTTGTAGCACTCGGGCTCCTTCTTGTTGAAGGTGGTGATCAGGTTCTTGAAGGCCGCGTCCTTGGAAGACTTGCTGTGTTTGGTGGCGGGGGTGGCGGGCTTCTTGGTGTCGGGGCGGGGGTCGCGGTCGTCGTGCGTGGACGGGTTGGAGATGGTGGAGATGGTGGAGTTTGTGGAGGTGCTGGAGTGCACGGAGTGCACGGAGTTCCTAGACGCGTGGCTTGGATTTTTGAGCCGCGGGGGAGCGGCAGCGACGGCGACGGCAGCGAAGGAGGTGGCAGCGGAGGAGGAGTGGGTGTGGGGGTGGGGCTTGTGGGCGTGGGGCTTGTGGGCGTGGGGCTTGTGGCTGCGGTAGCTGATGGGCTCCTCGATGAAGTTGTTGGTGAACTTGGTGGTGTTGATGTAGTGCCGCCTGTCGGGGTTGAGCGACACGGACTGGGCTCTCTCGCGCTCGCGCTTCGCGTCGGGGCTGGTCCTCCACACGGATAGTTTGGGGGCGTGGGGCGAGGAGGTGGAGAGCTGCTCGAACTTGATGGCGGTCTTGGTGACCGGGGTGAGCGGGCTGGCGCCAGGGGCAGCAAAGTCCAGCTCCGTGGACGAGGAGATGGACTGAGCGCGGGTGAGGTTGAGGTAGTTGTTGGCCGCGTTCGGGGTGAGGAGGTTTGGAGGCGTGAACATGATGTTGGAGGAGCCAGCAATGGGGGACGGGGTCGACGTGTAGACCGCACAGGTCGGACTGGCGGTGCTGGAGTCGGTCTTGGTGCTCAGGGTGCTGCCGAACGAGCCCATCTGCAGCGGCAGTGGGGGCGGCGGTGGCAACGAGGACTGGTACGTGAGGTTCGGGTGCGAGGTCGAGCTGGCGAGTCTGTTGGAAGACGTGTAGTTTGTCAACTGGTGCTGGCTGTCCTTGTCGTTGGACGCAGTGGTGTCCATGGACACAATGGTCTCCAAGGTCTCGGACGACCCCGGGAGCTGCGAGTACTGGTCAAAGGTGCCGGAGCCGCGGGACGACTTGGACGTGCACGAGCCGTTCGACACGTTGGTGCGCACAGACGCAGACGTGGCAGACGAGTATATGGAGGACGAGGACGGCTTGACCTTGGCAGACTTCAGCCTCGACACGCGCAGCGGCGACTCGAGGAACGAGGGCGACGACGCCAGTGTCATGGTGTCGATGTCGAAGATGGAGTTCATCGAGGGCGACTTCGTGTACGGCGTCGGCGGGTCCGGGTGGGTGTTTCTCGACTTGGCGGCAGCCTGCGCCTTCAAGTTCGGATGCGACCTTGCGTTCGAGAGCCTCGTCCTGCCGTTGCCGCCCACGCTGCCGCCGCTGCCCGGCTTGCTGCGGGTCTTGGTCTGTGTGGGCCGGGCCACCGCCCTCGAGGAGAGGTTCTCAAACGTGTTTCCAACAGCCCTGGCGGCGGCTCTTGCGCTCTCGTGCCTCTGGAGGCTGGCCAGGTTTTTGCTCGAAGACGAGTTTGTCGCCAACACGGCCGCGGTTTGTGCCATCCCGGTGAACAGCTCTGTTTTCGACGGCGATCTCGCCAGTCGTTTCGTGGTGGGCGACTGCGACACGTTCGACGGAAGTCTTTTCACCGACGGCTTCTTGACAAGCTGGTGGTTATGATGCAGACCAGTGCCGTTGCTGTTGCTGTTGCTGTTGTGCGGGTTGTGGAAAGTGTTGTTATTGTTGTTGTTGTTGATGCTGCCAGTGTTTGTCCTGGCGCTTCCGGGTTTGCCAGCTCTGTCCGGTAGAAGCAGAGTTGGCGGAGCGAAGGCTTGGGTGTGATGCTCAAAAAAACGCTCGGTATTCGGGGTGTTGGGAGAGTTCATGTCGTCGATCAAGACGTTTTTGTTGATGAGGCTATCGATTTCCGTCATCAATTGCTCGTCGATGATGTTCGACGCCTCCGGAGAGCCCGGGGAGCTTTTCGTGGAGTGTTGGAAAGGGACGTCATCTGTGGTGAACGAGATGTGATTGTTCATGTGAGTGTATATGTTTTTGTACCAGTTGGTCGTGAGGGGAGCGTTAGCGTTGTCTGGCGAGTCGTCCTGGTTGGTGATATCACTTGCGTAATCATTGCGCTGCGGATGGTCAGTCAAGTACTGGGCGAGTTCGTCCAATTCTTTCGACTCTGCGATTTCGTCCAGAACACTTTTATCTGCGTTGGCATTCATGTTCACCGCCTGGGGCACACCGTTGTTCAACCTGGTTGGCTCGATGGACGACGCCGACTGCGGGCTGTAGTAGAAAGCGTCGTAGTTCTGAAACGCTTCTGGTTCTGTTAGGGTGCGGTTGAAGTTCTGGTTGTGGCTGTGGCTGGGCTGCTGGTCCTCGGTGTAGCTTTTCAGGGTCGTGTTCTCGTCCGTGAACGAAAGCAGCGTGTGCGGGTCTGCATTGAGGATGTCGGTGATATCCAGCAGGTCTGTGTAGTCGGAGGTATCCATGTCTTGCAAGAGGCAACGGTGTCGGGAGGACTGGTCTGATTAACGAAAGTGGTGTTGCAGTGCAAGGACGGGGCCTGTGGTAAAGTGGAATGGTAATTGGGGCACAGCAGAAGGAAACGGGGAGAAGCAGCTGTGCAGGATGGTGCAATGTGGCTTCTTGTGCACACTTCTATTTTTCTCCAGTGTGATAGTGTGTCTTCATGCACGGTACGGGACAAGACGGAGTTCCGGCGTTGGAGGTGACTTTTTATGCCCGGGTACACACCACACCACACTCACTCTCACTTGCGAGGGAAAAAACTAGGCGGGTGGGGGGTAGAGAGTGGGGGGGCAATCACGGAGGGGTTGCAGCGGTAGCGGGTCTCCCTGGAAACAGGCCGGTATATCTATCTGGCTGGCCGGCGGTAGCTGGTGCTGGAGAGCTGATGGAAACTGGCGATCCCAGGTGCAGCAGGCCAGAACCTGTGGGACAATCGCTATTATTAACGCCCGAACAGAAAGTTCGCAACGTGAGAGTGGAATATAGCCGGGCACGAGGGTTTGCGAGCGGACGGCGGCGGCAGATGCTGTTCTGCGTGTAGCGGATACGGCGTGTGACTCTGTCTTTCTCGGCTGGCGGCGGCGCTGGCGGTGACGGTGCTGGTTCTTCCCGTGCAGCCTGCGTCGGATATCTGGCGGTGCCTTTTTTTTTTATCTTTCCACCCTTCTCTAGGTGAAAAACTGTGTCGCAAGTATCCAAGATACGCCTTTTCTTGTCGCCACGGTTGTCTGTGCTTTCCTCGAACCCAGTAGCGGCGTGTTCTCTCCTCCTACCTGTCGTGCACACTCTTCTGCCGCCGCACTTCCCGAAGCCGCCACCCGCCCCGGCAATGGTCCCCCCCCCACGACGCCCACTGCCGTAGTGCCGTCGTGCTGGCTGGGTCCCTGGTGCCTATCGTGCGGTGCGCTGCGCTGCTGGCGCCCGAGGCGATAAGTGGCCGTGGCGGGGATGAAGGCCCGGGCGGTGCGGGGCCCGGAGGCTGGGCGCATGCGTGGCGGGTATGTTACGTAAGCAGAAGGTGGGCGTTTTGGAGCCGGCGAGGGAGAAGGCGAGGGGGCAGGAGGGGAGGTGGTGACGACAAGAGGGACGGAGGGGGGCAAGAAGAGGAGAAGGCAAAGGCACTGGCAGATGGGGTAGCAGGGTGCAGGGCTCGTGGGTAAGAACAGACAGTATCTAAACCACAACGATGTTTGCTTCCCGTTTCTCTATGCTTTCGAAGAGCATGCGTGTCGGCCGCAGCGGTGGACCAGCAGTGGGTTTTGCCCTGCGTGCTCAGCAGCTGCGGTTGCTGTCGGACGAGACGAAAAAGGCGATCGACGAGGCGGTACACTCGGCGCCTGTGGTGCTCTTCATGAAGGGCACGCCGGAGGCGCCTGCGTGCGGGTTCTCGAGGGCAACGATCCAGCTGTTGGGCCAGCAAGGCGTGGACCCGGCGAAGTTTGCGGCGTACAACGTGTTGGAGGACCCGGAGTTGAGACAGGGCATCAAGGAGTACTCGGAGTGGCCGACGATTCCGCAGCTCTACGTGAACGACGAGTTTGTCGGGGGCTGCGACATCATCACGAACATGAGCCAGACGGGCGAGCTGGCCGAGCTGTTGGACGCGGCGCACGCCTTGATTCCGCTTGAGCACGACAAGTAGACCCAAGTGGGGCCCTGAGGGCCTTCTGTATATAAGGACGGGCCGCAGTGCCGCCCCGTCCTCCCCCTTCCCGTCGTTTATACAACCCACTCCATTCTTAACATTTTACTCTAACGCTGTCGTTCTTCGCCTTAAGCTCCGGGAGAGAGCTCCCGCAGCTCCATTAGAAGAACAGACCCGGCGGCAGGCCGGCGGACAACTCCCGCTGGCCCCGCCCCCAGGGCTGGTGCTCGATGTGCGTCCCCCACTGATGAGAAACAGGAACTGGCTCTCCTGCATCCTAATGAAAGGGGACAACCGCGTGCAGAAAGTAGGTTCGGCCTTCACGTACTTCTATAAAGGCGGGCAGTATACAGAAGGGCAGTCTTCTCCCAGGGCTTAGAGCTCCTCGATCTTCCGGGCGCCTGGGGCCCCGGTTGACTTGTCGAACGCCTTCTGGAAGTCGTCCATGAGCCGCATGGTGCTGCCAAGGAAGTTCGAACTGAACGACTGGCTCATCTCCTTCCAGTTCACCCGCTTGAAGCTCGGCGACTTCACCGCCCTGCTGCATGCGTGCTGGAACAGCCACTCCCCCAGCTGGAGGTACCGCTTCACAAACGAAATGGCGTTCTCCGTGTGCGCCACGCTGTGGGGCGAAAGCTCGTAGCCCGTCACAAGCTTGATCCCGGCAAGCACCATCGACGCAAGCACAAGGTCAACTCCGACATGGAATAAGTATCCTGGCGAAAGAAACTGCACAACAAAAGTATCCCCGGCGGCTCGTGCCGTGGGTTTGACGTGCTTCATGTCAGTATTCCGTTCCTCGCTCTTCGCTTCTCTTTCTCCCTCAACATCGACTCGGTACATACCCCCATTGTTTCTTCTGTCAGCTTTACTCGGGGAAGCCTGTTCTGTTGCTCCGTTCATCTCCCATTCCTCCCGTCGTGACACCACCCTCTCTATCTTATCTTCCCACTATCCTCTGTCCCTGTCTCCCTCACTCTGTTTCCCTCTGCTTCGCTCGCGAGAATCGCAAATCCACAACTGAGCGCACAGCCTGGAAAACAGAATGGCTTGTCTGTTGTCTTCATGATCCTTCGGCCGTCGTTCCTGTCTGGAGCTCCGCATGAACGACTCTAGGGACCACGTAAGCGACTCTACCACTGAGAACATGGCATCCTCTGCAGCATCGACCAGCTCTTCGGCAGGCGCATTGGCGCTGTCTTCGTCCATCACCTCGCTCCCGTCGATCTCAACACCCCTAAATGACACGGTGATGGGAACACTACATCCGGTAAAGTTGTTCTCCCTCTCCTCTTCATCCAGTTTGCCGACCGCAGCCTCTCCACAAGTTCCTTACACAAGCGTATCGCACAATCCGCAAGGGTCTTTCTTTATCACCACCTCGCCAAACGGATCCCTCCAACTTTTCGACTCGCTCCGTGCACGGTCCTTCAAGACCACCTACTCAAAGAAATATGGGTGTTCAAACGCCATCTTCACCCTACGAACAGCAACACACTCAGTGCCAACTTCGTGTGTAATTGCCTCAACCATACCAGCGAGCTCGGACGACGCAGCAAACAACGCTCTCCGATTTTTAGACCTCAACACAAACTCCTTCATCAGATACTTCCAGGCACACACTAAGCAGGTCACCTCCACAGTGTCTTCACCTTCCTCTGCGTTCGGTCTCGATGCATTCTACTCCGCATCTGCAGACGGTACAGTTAGAGCATGGGACTCAAGATCAGATAAATGCTACGCGTGTTTGGCGAACATGGGCGACAGCCCTATAATCGCATTAGACAGATCTGGTACTATTCTTGCTATATGGCATCAGAATAAGTCAACAGTGTATCTGGTTCCCCTAGAGTCTTTCCCCATCGGCATCATTGGCAAAATCGAAGTGGCGAACTGCCCTTCGGAAAGAATAGAGAAAATTGTTTGGGCAGATAAAGGCTTGCTCATTCTAGATCCGCCAGGTCATGATAAAATTGTCATCGATACCATTAAACTTGGCGTTGCAGGAACATTGTCTGGGGTAACCCCATTTGCTATCTCTTCTCAAAGCGATGACGCTGCCAGGAGTGGAAGCGTGGATGTAACACCAGATGGGTGTTGGTGCCTTTCTGGAAGTGGAGACGGCTCGACTTTAGCATGGAACTTAAGTGCGTTTTTTGGCACTGGCGGAAGAATACCACCGGTTCATCCGATAAGGATAGCCAACGACGAATTGATAAGCAAGCAAATTGTCCCAAGAATATTGACCATCAATCCAAAGCTTGGAAGTGTTGTTACAGGTGACACCGAGATCGTCATCAGTATTTTCAACAAGGACGAATAGGTTATACAGTATAGTAGATTCATATGTACATTAATTTAATAGCTGCTATTAGATATCCAGATATCTGATGTCGGCTTTTTCAGAACACCATTCTGTCCAGTCTTTGAGCATTTTGATTCCACTCTGCTCTAACGTTTCCATATCACCAACTATTGCAAGCTGTTTCTTGCAACGTGTGATAGAAACATTCAACCTTCTAAAGTCAGACAAAAATCCAACATCGGCAGACTCCCAATTGCTATTCTTCGAGTCACCAAAGTCCCCGAAATTCGATCGAACAAGGGATAAAATAATAATTTCCTTTTCTCTCCCTTGGAAACCATCAACAGTGCTAATTTCGATCCCAGGAAACACAGATATCTCATCTTGCAAGGTATCTTGTTGGCTTGTATTGTCATCCTCATCCAAACCTAAACTTCCAGTCCATACAAGCGATCTCAATCTCGCAACCTGAGCACTATACGGAGCAATGACACCAATTTCCTCTTCTTTGACGCCCAAACTAATCAACGCAGCAATATGTCGTTGGACAGCGTAGCATTCTCCAATATTATACTTGGAACCTCCAACACCCAATAGTTTTCCTGAGATATCGGAAGATTCTTCGACAGACTCCGGGCAGGATCCACCTTGCGTATCAAACCATATTACTTGCTCCACTAGGTCGCTCTGCTCCTCTAAATCTTCTTCAATATCAAGATTTTCAATTGTTTCCTCGAGAGCAGAAGAGTCGTATACGTCGTCTCTCTTGTTTTTTTTCTTCCGATCTTTAACCTTACCATGCTTACCTGAATGAGCACTGGATTGTTCTTTTGCAAACTCAAGTCTATGCTTTTTTATCAAGTCAATGACTCTGCAATCCTTTACTGAGTCGGCAGCCCTCAATTTTCCCTTATACCATTCATTGCTAGGGAACTCCATACATTTCTCACACATGCGGTACTGTATATCTAAGAACTTGATGAATGGAATTTCTTGTTCAATTCCTCCGTAAGTTCGAACAACACGGTCAAACAAAGATTGAGAAAGAGTATCAAAAGCACGTTTGTTGGTGGTGTCATCTTTCCTAACGTGGATAGTAGGAGGAAGCTGCTTATTGTCACCTGCAAGAACCAACTTGTCCGGACAATGGTTAATAATAGGTATCCAGCATGCAGGCTCCAAAGCTTGAGATACTTCATCGATTATGACAGTATGAAAGAATCCTTTGCCAAACCCTTTGAGGTTGGTTGTTGTCTTGTCAAAGTTATATAGATTTCCAACAATTTCCCACGAGCCAGAACCATGTAGAGTGGCCACAACCACTTTGGCCCCAATAAGAACGTCACGAACACATTTTTTGCTTCTGAACCTAAACTCTTTATTGAGATCCTTGATTTCTCTCCACAACTCTTTCCTATCAACATAATGTTTACTTGTCCTTGGTTTCCGTACTTCTTTCTCGAGTTTAGATAAATCATTTGTTAGATCATCTAATTCTTCTCCACCTACCTGTGAGGCAAGGAAATCAAGTGAATGTTTTCTTGTCGATGCTAATATACGTGCAGGATGACCTATTCTCACCAATTTGCTATCATCATTCTGAAAATAGTTTGACAATCTTTCAATTATCGTATCAGCGGCAATATTTGATGGTGCAGTAATCAATATTCTCTTGTCAGGGAACAGCTCAAGGTGTTGTATTATGTACTCGACCAAGGTAGAAGTTTTTCCCGTCCCGGGAGGACCATGAACTATAGTCAACGGTGACACAAGGCCAAATTTTATTGCATTTTGCTGTGAGTCATTGAGGTTTTTGTTTTTGAAGGTTACAACTTTGTCGATATTTGAGAGCTCGGTGGAGGATGGGAGAAAATACTCTTTGGTACCCAATAAATATTGAACAATTGGAGGGGCATATTCCTGAGTTGAAGAAATAGATTCCAATGAAAATTCGGATAGCTTTCTAAGGGTGGATTCCATTCTTCTGTATGTTGATTCGTTACTGACTTTGACTATCCAAACACGTTTACCAGAGGATTGCAACTCCCACGCACGATCAGCGTTCGAGTCATCCTTTCCAGCAGCATCTTGTCCTGCATTGGTCAGTGCAACACATATCTTCGCATTTGATGATGAAGTTATCACGCCTTCCAGTGGTTTTTGCTCCGTTTCAAGGTTTTCGGTGTCCTCGTTCTTCGATGAATTCTGTAGCTTTTTCACGATGGAAGCCTGGTTCCCACTTGGGTTCGTATCAATTCTAACAATGTCTCCTGTTCTGAAATCACCATTCGATAGCTGGTGGCCACTTTGCTTGGACGAGTTCTTGAGATTTTTTGAGCCAGATCTAACAGATTTGGTAGACTTGGCCGACCTTCCTGCTTTAGTTAGCTTGTTCGGTTTATCCGACTTAGAGTCTGACGGGCCAGATATTGCACCGTCTAGTGCTAACTCCAGTATGAGTTTTCCCCCTATGCTCTTCCTGATGTTTTCAATCACAAGATTGAGAATTGCCAATCCATTCCGTGCCAATACTTTCGGAGGCGTTGTTGAAAGTAACTGGTGGGTAGTTTCATAGTCCTCCCTTTTCTCCACAGCGAGAGCAGACAGAAACCTGTCGGATAATAATTGATTCGGGGATGACATACTAGCAGACGTGAGTTTCAAGGGGAAAGATGCAGGTCAGGAAAACATTCGTGTAAGGAGGGAGGAAAAAAACGTGCATCATTCATGCAGATGGCTCCCACGTCAGGCCCCAAGAAAACAGACTACACTGAAAGCCCATGTTGCATGTGAAATGCAGAAAAGATACAAAACTAACTGCCCTACTTCTGAGCTACTTCTGAGCTACTACGGCTGTCGTCACCTCTTTGCATCTAACAATTTTATCGTGAATATAACATAACTGGCTGCATTTAACAAATAAATAGGAATAAATAAATAAATGAAGATCGTAGGCGTAACTAAACTCTGCACTTGAATCTTACATGATAACCAAGTCACCGAACTTCTCCTTGTAGCCAGGAACTTCAAATCTACCCTTGGAAACCATGTCGGAGACCTTGTCCTCGACATCTGGTCTAGCCTTGACGACATCATCGACAGTCAATTGTTCGAATGGTCTTGCGGATTCAATGTTGTCAAGGGTCTTTTCTAAGTTGGCTAATTCAGCCAAGACTAAGGATTCGGTTTTCTTTGCGTTTTCGATAGCCTTGACTTCAAAAGCCTTGATGACGTTCAATTGCTTAGATAAGTCGATGGTGGACGCGGTGAAGGAGGACACATCAGACTTGATCTTGGAAACGATTTCCGTGTTCTTTAACTTGGAGTAGTTGTCAAATGCAACCTCGGTTGGTTGGCTCTTCAACACGTACAAAGCGGACTTGGCTTCGTCGTTTCTCTTCTTGAAGGCGGTAAGGGAGGAAGCGGTTTGGCCAGTAAGACCTAACTGTGGAATGATCTTTGACCAGTCGATTTTGGTGGCAGCGGACTTTGCGACAGACATGATAATTGTGTAGATGAGACCCGAAGAAGTGTTCTGCTGCGTGGTAGACCGTGATGGCGTCGTGTCTACTTCCCTCTCTGCCCTGATACCCTTGTATCTTCAATACCAACGACGCTCCTCCCGGCCTCACCAACCCGCTACCCTCGCCCTCACTGTAGCGCAACCGCCCAATGAGAACACACAACACATATGCTGTGTACACGTAGCATGTGCACACGTCGCCAGGAAAAGACAAAAAATTTGTTTTCAATTACGTAAGCAAGGTCGATCGGGCTATCTCAGGTGTTTTGTCACTGGGTCTCAGGCGGCTTCACTACGGGGCCTGGACGGGTCTCAAAGCTAGAGCTACCTGTAATGGGTGGACCTATGATTTTCGATCTAAGTCTGATATGTTGTTGTGGGACATCGCAAATGTGCGTCTGTGTCTTGCTGAACTGCCGCTGTTCAAGCGGCAGCTTTCTGAGCTCCGAGTTGTTTTGCTCACGTGACCAGACCATTTACGAGCTCCTCTTTTCTTCTGCCGCACTATTTTTCATTTTTTTCATTTTTTCTATTTTTCTATTTTTTCTATTTTTTCCGCTTCTTCCTTCTCCGCAAAAGCTGTGAGAGCACACAGCGTATCTGTTGACTCTTTGGCACAAACTGTGGCTTCTCTTGCACGGAGCAGTACAGCACGAAGCCGTGGGAGACACATCAGGAGCCCTGCGTGTTTGTCAATTGACTTCCGAAAGCAAAAAATCTTAGCCACTGCGGTACCGGAATACCGTTTGCAAGTGAGCAGAAATGGCATGGTCGTCTGCCTCGATGAGTAAGTCCCACTCGACGTCGTCTACCCCAACGTCGAACTTGAGTCCGCCGACTCACAACGCGGAGCTTAGCTCGTTCAACTATCACCACGAGTTCTCGGTGTCCAACTCGAACCTGACGAAGGACCACTCGTCGCAGTTCAAGAAGTCACTTCTGCACAAATGGAACTACAAGCACTCGATACTATGCATGGTGGCATCCCCGAGAAGGAAGTTGCTCTTCTGCGGCACGCAGGAGTCGTCGATCCTGGTGCTTGACCTGGTGACTTTCCAGAAAAAGTTTGAAATCCCAACCCACGTCGGCTCGGTCTTGTGTCTGCATTTAAGTGACTGCGAAAATATACTATTCAGCGGTGGGTCGGACTCGTTAGTGAAGGTATGGAAGATCAAAGATACACAGTCCCGCCACAACAGCAGATCTTCGTACAGCGAGAGCCAGCCGACAGAGTCCACATACGACTCTTTCATCCAGCTGATCCCAACCCATACCATATATTCTTTACTCGACATCGGTGATATCTTCTCGATAACGTGGATCGACGCGATCCAGTCGGTTTTCATCGGTGCACAGAACGCATCCATGTCGTTTGTCCATCTAGACACAGAAATCAACGGATCGGCAGACGAGCATTTGCAGTTCATGCCGAGTAACAGGTTCGATAAATTCTTTGATTCTGAGAAAACAAAGAAATCTTTCTCAAAGTCTTCGTCCCCGTTGTCATTCACAGAAACAGTTCCACCAGAAACCGGCAGTGCTCAGCCATCCTATACCGCCCTTCACCAGCACGTCAAGGTCATCCAGATTCCAACTGAAAATATAACAAGCTATGCACACAATGGTTACCTATATGCACTTGATTTCATCACCATTGAAAACCCACTAACCTCTACATTTGCAAACAACATTGCCGAAAATTACCAGCACGTGATTGTCTCTGCCGGTGGTGATGGAGAAATCAAGCTTTGGGGGTACTCCAATGAAAACAATGGAAACTTGGTTTTTCTACGCTCATTGTCACATCCCAAAATCGACTCGATTTTCTCCCTTGCAGTCTCACAATCCTCTCTCACAGTATACGCAGGATCGTCGAATGGTAATGTCTGTATCTGGGATCTGGCCACTTTCCAATTGTTGAAAAATTTCCAAATCGATCCAAATGATGTCTACACCCTTGCAGTATCTCCATCCACCAACGGAAACTATCCTCAGTGGTTGTTGATGGGCACTGAATTTGGAATCACAAAGATGATTTTATCCAAATCGACCGTCCAGGTGGATATGGAGTTGGAAAATAACGACACGGGCACTTGTGTGCGTGTCACCAAAAATGACCCTTGCCTAACGTTGCTCACTTTTGCGGTGAATAATGAATCATACCTCGTTAGTGCAGGATCGGATAAAACCATATCTTTGTGGTCTCTGCATAGCATGAGCAATACTTGCATTACATGTAGTGATAGCTTATCTCTGGATAACAAACTACTTACAAGTGGAGACAGCTCGGTATCTGGAGAGAAATATGAAAATCTATCAACATACTTGACTAACGAAAAATTTCTGCAAATTTTAGGGGAATTGATAACATTCAGAACTGTCTCGAAGCAACCTGATACCTACAAAGAAGAATGCCGGAAATGTGCTAATTTCTTGACACTTTTATTCAAATCGTTTGGGGCATCGAAGACACAAATGTTCCCAGTCCCGAATGGTAATTCCATAGTCCACGCAATTTTTAAGGCTAATTCTAAAAAGGTGGAAAACCCAGGTGAGACACCTAGAATCCTATGGTACGGGCATTATGATGTTATACCTGCTTCAAATTCTACATGGAAAACTCCACCTTTTACCATGACTCCAAATAATGGATACATTTACGGAAGAGGTGTGACTGACAATAAAGGCCCACTGTTGGTCGCAATATTTGCGATTGCAGAGTTGCATTCAAGGGGAGAGCTAGAATCAGATTTCATTTTCGTCATTGAGGGCGAAGAAGAAGCTGGAAGTTGGGGTTTCCAAAACTCCGTTTTAGAAAACCAGTACGAGATAAGTGATGGTGGTAAACCTATTGACTGGATTTTGTTAAGCAATAGTTACTGGTTGGATGATAAGACTCCAGCACTCAACTATGGTCTTAGAGGAAGAATTGAAATTGAGTTGGTCGTTTGGAGTGATAAACCTGACAGACACAGTGGTGTCGATGGTGGTGTTGTCATCGAACCTAGTATGGATCTAGTCAAGTTACTGGGTAAATTGGTTTATCGAGATCAGATTATGATTCCTGGATTTGAAGAGATCTATAAAAGGAACAAGAATGAAGGAGTCGAAGGTCTCAAAGAAAACTTGCAATATTTAGAAGACTGGGAAATTCCACTTTACCAAGAGATCGCACAAAGGGTCACAGATTTGGACATCAACGAGTTGATCAGAAAATGGAGATTGCCAAGTTTATCATTGCATAAGATTGAGATGTCAGGGCCTGACAACGGATCGGTTATATCACAAAAGGCAGAAGCCAAATTGAGCATTCGTATTATACCAGGACAAGAGTTAGAGAACGTGAAGGAATCATTTATAGAATATGTCAATGAATGTTTTAAAAGATTGGAGAGCACAAACCATGTCGAGGTGAAGATCATGCATGAAGCTGAACCATGGCTAGGAGATGTTCACAATTTAGCATACCAAACGCTCAGTACCTGTTTGGATGAAGAATGGGGGGTTCCACCCATATTTGTTCGTGAAGGAGGTAGTATCCCTTCCATCCGATTTTTGGAAAAGGTATTTGCTTGCTCTGCAGCCCATATACCAACTGGCCAATCCAGTGACAATGCCCATCTCAACAATGAAAGGGTGCGGATTGTCAACTTGTTGAAATCCAAGGAGATCATCAAAAAGGCTGCCAACCGCCTACCTAGGGCGCAAAAATAGTTAGGTTCCAGTTGTATAGATTGCGTGTAGATAGATAGACAGCCAGGAGGAAGGATAAATAGATAGATAGAAATGGAACAGCATAGATTAATAGAAGAGGAAAGCGAAGCAGTGATGAGGCTCAATTTTCCAGCGAAAGGAGAGAGCAAATCTAAATCATACATTAGGTATTTATATTATATAGAATTAAACAAGAATCAACTAACCAAAGAAATTAAATGCAGATAAGACAGTGTGGAAAGCCCTTTCAAAATGAAAAGCATTTGTAGATGTGAGATTGTTTAGCAACAGAGGAGGATAGTAGGGAAGGAAATCAATGATCCATTAGAAACAAGCGTATAAGGAGTAAGATATCGTTGAAAGCAAACAGGCAACAGAAGGAAAAAAATTGGGAACTAAACCTCGAGTACTCTTTCTTGGATATTGATTTGAAAAGCTAAATCAGTTATATTTTTATTAATAGAAGATATAAGTTGTACCTAAGATATTTAAATACATGAGTAAAGTAAAGCCTTTATACTTTTTCCTTCATTTTTTTTCGTTTTGTTTAAACTTTTTATGATGTTGTATTAACCTTTATTTTGATGCTTGTAAAGAAGTGACTTATTGATTGGTTTCTAAACTGTTTCTTCCCCTTATGCGGATGGAATCATGAAAACAAGAACAAGACAAGATGAAGAGTTACGCACACTGAAGTAAAAGCAGAGTAATCAAATATTTATAATCTAATCAGAGTGGAAATTGACTTACTTTCTTCTGAATGCACAACCGTCAGACAACTTGCACTTACCACCGGTTGGGGTGCACAAAACGTTGGTACAGGAGTCACAGGTGACAGCTGTTTGGGAGTGTGAGAAGACGGTGGTGATTTGCAAACAACCTGGGCACTTGACATCCATGAAGAAAGATCTTGGGCCTTGGACTAAGGTCTTTAATTTGTGTTTTTGAGCTTCAGAAGCTGGGTTTGGGTGTAACAAGTCTTCAACTAAAACCATGTTGTGTGATATGTATACTCTTGTAAGCTGCTCTGCAAAAAGATGTCTGGTAAAAGAGGATAGACAAAAAGGGACACTTAACTACAGAAAAGAAAAAGCCTGAAACATATGAATACAGCGTTGGCAGATTGCACCAACGCAAACCACCGTGAAAAGACTGGCCAACCACCACCACCGCCTTCCCAGCCAGCGTAGCAGGCGCTTCCAGGGTGCTCTCCCCCCTAACCCTCACACGCCCGCACACCACAAAAAGCTGAAAAAAAAATTGCTGCAAAGCGGAGAGAGCGACAGGAGGGGAAAATGCCTGTGGCACGCCGGTATTAAGGGCTGTGACTGTGAAAAATGCGTTCCAGGAATAGAAGAGCGAGAGAACAAATAAGCAGGGTGCGCGAGCCCTCATCTTGCGCACGTGCTTTTAGCCAAGGGCTAGGTTGCAGCAAAAAAATTGCGGAGTACGTAAGCATGATGAGGCTCAGCGGGGTTGTTTTCGGAGTTCCCGATTGGGGGCAGAGAAAAACGAGGCGAAACGAGCAGTTGGCCTGGAGCTGCTTATCTTACGGGTGCATAGAGGAGAGGAGAGAGAAAGCCGGATAGGAGCAGTCTGGGGGTTTTTTTGCCCCATTGCTCGACAGTTGACGCCGACCACAACATCGAAGGCGTAAGTCGGTGGCAGGAGTTTCTTTTGCCTTTCCGGTCTATACCACACGCAGGATGGATCCAAAGGTAGCGTTCTCTTCTGTTGATGCGGTAGGTTCCCGGCGGGGAAAGAAATTCGCCAGTACGGTGCCATCCTTAAATCTCTCCACCATACATGTGATACTTCTCAGTGTCATTTTCACACTGCTGCAGAACATCTCGCTCTCCAGACTGCCTGGGGCGTCATCTGCGGTGTTTGTGGTAGCGATGTGCTTGGTCTCGGTTCTGGGCTACTACGTAATCCACCATCTCCCACTCACAACAAGCATGTGTAGGATGAAAGTGCGGTTGGCATTGACGACACTCCAGGTGTTGACGAAAGACCTGAAGTTCGATCTCTGGGTGACAGTGATTGCTGTGCTTCTCGTGGCGTGGGTGTTGAGCATCTGGAAGACCGGCGTAAGCTTTTTGATCTGGTGTTTCGTGATCTGGGCGTACAATCTTGATGAGACGAAGGTCAATAGCATGAGCAATAATAGTGCCGGCGCCGGTGGTGGTAACGGCAGTAATTTCATCAGCGCCTTTGCCAGTTTCAGCAACCTCAGCACAGGCACCAGTAATGCGTCTGGTAGGTTCAGCAGTTTTGAAGATTTCGGGCCTGCCTCTGGTTTGGGCACCACTGCAAACTCGGACCTCAACTCCTCGTACAAAGGCACGCCTGACTACGACAAATGCTATTCCGCATCGATAGGCTACATCAACTCTTTAGAAAAAAAGGTTATTTTCCTAGAGAAAAAAATCAGCTCCTTGGAGAACGACAAACTCGAGCAAAACATCATCATTTACACTTTCAACCACAACTTGAACGAAAAATTAAACAACTTAGAGAAAAAAGTTCAAGAGAGAGATCAGACAAGCCAGCAGGACTTGAACCAAATATATAGCATGCTTCTTGCCTTGAAGAAGCGTAAAAGGATCCGCTTGAACATCCTCAAACTGTACATCAAGCAGATCCTTCTCTGGTTACTCCCCCACCCAGTCGTGGTTGTGTTGAGACGGACAAGAAGGATAGTCAACATGATTTTCCAAAGATTGCGCGGGTTCTTTGCCAACTAGGAATTTTTCTCTGTCTTTGAAGGTGGGCGTAACAACGGCTGGCTCTGTGTTATTTTTTCCTCCTATTTTTCTCACGTTCATGTTCTATGCAGTCCTTTTGTCGGACATGAAGACACTTGAAATGTACTGGTGGACACGTACATGGGTCAAACTTTGTAACCCATGGCGAACAAAAGCAGGCCCAAGAAAACACGTGGGGTTTTCTACAAAAAGTATGTCTACGGTGCTGCCGCACGCCCCACTGAAGGCGGGGATGATGATCTCGGAGACAACTGGGAGAATGAAGAAGATTGGAGTATAGAAAGCATTGACAACAAGAAAAAGCTTGTGAAGTCAAAGAACAAAGCTGTTTCTATTTCAAGCCGATCTCGTCAAGGTGCGATTGCAAAAGAAGATGATGCCGATGCATGTGAAAGCATGCCCAAAATGGAGGAAGAGAAATTGAAATTGCCACTCGAGCTGATAACAAAAATATTGGAATATACCCCGAATCCGTTCTGCACAAATCACCTGTTACTATGCCGGGGCATATACTGGTCTTTTTTGTGGAAGGTCTACAGCCAGCCCGAGCTTGTGTCTAACAATTTGTTGACTTTTTTAGACGTTATCAGTGGTGATAACGCAGGCTTCATTAGATATCCAGACGAATCGAACAATTTTGTTCCCAAAAACTTGAAACTTCTGATGAAGAGAAAGTTCCAAAACATGGTGAAGTGTCTCGATTTATCAAGAGTCGTACAATCGGGTAAAAACTCCTACATGAGTAAACTACTTCGACGGACTAGTAGCTCTCTAGAAATTTTCATTTCTTCCCAGTCAAGTTTTGGGGCCGCTCCACTAGTTAGCATAAAAAGTTGTTTCAGGTTAAAAGTGTTAGATTTAAGGCTAGTTTCTGAAAGTGTCAATCTAGCAGAGCTGTTCAAAAGTATCCAATGTTTGCCTGAGCTAGAACAATTATGTTTTCCTCGAAGCTCCGTGACCTGTGACGAGTTTGATTTCCAATGGCCTCAAAAATTGTGGTATTTGAGATTACAGGGAGGTATTACAGACTTTTTTGCAGCTAACGTGCGTTTCCCCGAGACCATCACTTGTTTGGAATTTGCACATTGTTCTCACCTAACCAGGACGGGTTTGGACGATATTCTATCTCATATTGGTATCAACTTAACAAGGTTATCAATCACATATCCAATGCCAAAAATAGGAGACGATGGAGCGGACCGTTCGTTCTGGTTCTGTCCAAATCTGAAAAGCTTCTTTGTCGATATCGCCTATATTTCTTGGGAGCTTTTTAGTGAAGAATTGTTAGTCATTTTGAAGGAATACGACCGACCTTTGAGGAGCATGACGATTGAGAGCACCGGTTACATGGGCATGTGTGAAAAGCTCTCTCCTAACGACATCACCATCGCGGTTGATGAGGAACGGTTGCCCTGTTTCGAGAGGCTTGGGTTGAGTGCGATGCTTGGTTGGGATTTTAAGAGCGATGATATGAACGACATGATCAGCGAGTTGGATCATCATAATATTGAGGTTTTCAAGGTCTGAGTTATAAAAGTGTTTGTAGTCTAGTGATACATATATACATCTTTATTCGAAAATTGTATATCCACCCGTTCAAAGAGACTTGTTCATGAACTTCTTCTTCCCGAACGCCAACCAGAACTTGCTAGGCCTTGCAGAGTCAGCGGTATATAGCCTCTGGATCAATCTTGAGGCCAATTCCTGTCTGAATTGGGTCAAGTACTGTCTCAAAAACACAGCGTCGTTTTTGTTCGAAGGGGGCAGGTATAGAGCGTTGAGTGGAAAGCCAATATCGCCCGGAATGGCAAAGTCTTCCAAGGACAAGTTGGTGAGCACCTTCACGGCCTCGTTTTGCGAGCTGCTTGGGTTTAAGGCGTCGAGACACTGCGACACAAATAGTATCCCGTAGATGAGGGTCCTGTCGGAGGCACCTTTGATCTCAAAGTTCTTGAAGAAGGTGTTAGCTCTGAACAAGTCTAGCACCTCGTCGATGATATCGTAAGGGTCCATGCATGGAAGGGAGGGACCCTTAAACCGCGTCTTAATTGGCAGAACAGCAATGTTCCCCACTATTCTGGCGTTGGTGTCTTCTTCAGCAAGGAAGGTCGAATGGTAGGCCTATGGAATGGGCACCGCGTTAGCGGGCAAAAGCAGGGGAGATGGCGTGGCGGCCACGGCGGATGTTAGTATTCTCGTTGTTGCTTCCGGAGGAAAATGGTGACAGGGTGGCATCCATCTGGTGACGATTTCGGCCTCGTAAAGATGGCAAACATACAGGCATAATGTTTCTATTGTGAATCGGGCTTCCGTGCTAACAATTGCGGTATGTAAGAGACCCCGGGTACTGTCAGACGACCGTGGCTCTGCCTCCCTTCCTCTAAGGTGTATTGTCCGTCTTCATATCGGCCTTTCTCCCTCTGAGCCCGAGAGGAACGGAGGCGGCGACACCATGGTGCACGGGCGCACGGAGACCCCTCGCTGTTTGGGATAATCTTCGCTGAGCTGAGCTCGTGGAGAGGACGAGGGAGGAGGAGGAGGGAGGACGGTGACATCCGAGCAGGGAAAGACAGTTCTGAGAGAGAAAGGTCTGGGGAGAGAGGGCTGGAGGAGCCGTGGCGGAGATTCAGAAGATTCCCAGAAGGATTCCGAATAGATTAAAACCCTGTGTTTCGGAGTATCAATCTTCAGGAGAGCAGGACTGGTGTGTTTCGTCTGGGAGAGAGCCTCTGGGACGTCACGACGCTTCTGTTCTATTAATATCGTCCACCTTTGATTCCCCAGGCTACTGGTAGGACATCGCCCCATTGCGCAGTGCATAGATCGACCTTCGTTGTCCCTTTGTGCGTTTTCTTCCTTCCTTTCACCCACCAAGTTTCTGAACCCCGATCCCTGGACGCCGGGCATTGGACAGTTCACGTTCGCCAGTTCACACTAGCACTTCCACCTGCACGTCTACCGCACGGCTGGTACAAGCATCCGTTCCTTCAGAACCGCCCACAGCACACGCTGCGACCTGTACTGGTTATCAGACAGCCGCTGTTGTGCTCCGATCTCCAAATCACAGCTTGATTGCTCCATCCGAGACCTTTATCGTCTTAAATTCGAGCAGCTCGGTCAAACCAGAAGTTCAGCAAACGAAACTGAAAACATTGAATACACTGAATACACAGCCAAGAATCGACAATGACACACATCCCGAAATCGAGAGGGAAGCAACCAGATTCGTTGCGAACTCAGTTCTCGTCGCTGCAGAGAGAGCAGCCGCTATCTGACATCCCTTCGTTGCCGGCGCCGAAACTAACATCTCCGACCAGAGCGGAACATCTGCAGCAGCACCTGCAGTTGCCGACAACCCCACTGTCGACAAACTTTCCTTTGTCCTCGACTTCCGTCACGCCTTCGCCGACCCGAGCAAAGGCGTCTTCACATTTACAGTCGAGAACCACTCCTTCCACCACCCCTGAGAGAAAGAACGGTCGAATTCCCGACATGAATCAGGCCCAACCTCAGCACCAATATCAGAATCAGCACCCTTACCAATATGGCCAATCCGGACCTAAAAACGTGCGATCTGCATCAAATGAGAACAATGGACATTACTATCGTCAACAACAGCATCAGCAACAGCCCCAGCTGATGTACCAACAAAGTGCTATGGGACCCAGTCAGCGCTCTGCTTCACAACCTGCTTTCACTTCAATGCAGCAGCACCAACACCAGTATCAAAACAGTCATTTTTCCAATCAGCAATCCCAATTCCATCCACCTCAACAGCACCAGCTACATCAGCAACAATACTCGAACTACTCTCCAGGAATACCACTTCAGCAACAGCAACAGCAACAGCAACAGCCGCAACAATACCATAACTATCACAGTTCATCTGCTGCACCTATACCACTGCCGCACAAGAGATATAACTTAAACAGACCTCCTGCTCCTGCCGCTCCACCAATTAATACTCAGCTCAGCGAGGTGTCATTTCAAAGAGCCGCCTATCAGCAAGGAAACCTCAAAACTCCTGACTCAAATGGTGAGTTTCCCTTAGCAGTAAGAACGTCTTCTAACTCCTCCTCATCGACTAATATTCCTCCTGCACCTCGTGCACTCAATGAGTCTCTACAACAAAATTCATCAATTTATAAAGCTCAGCAATTACTTCCTGCTAAATTTGTTGGAGCGAAAGAGAGGACTGGATCTGAAATGTTAACCAAGACAGATACACATTCGAGTGTAGAAAGTGCAAAAAGATCGCCTTCGTTACCTTATTTGAAAGATTTTCAATCGTCGTCACTACAACAGCAGCAACAGCAGACATCACCCCCCCCAAGCTCTTCTAGAAAAAGTCCGATTGTTAGACAATCGATCAATTTTCTGAAGAATGCCAGAAACTTTTCTTCTTCCTCCGTCAACCAACCTGAATCTCCCGGAAATTCGGGTCATAGCTCGGCAAGGGAAATGGAGAAATATCATACGCCTCTGAAGCAAATAACTAGCAGCGGGAGAGTTATACCGCAAAAAATAGAATACATTACCCAAGATTTGCCAAAAAAATCAAGGTCTTTGAGCACTCTGACCAAAAGGGTAGCATCAAATACGTCACTTAGAGGTACTGCTGAAAAGAGTAGATTTGTTTCTTCCAGTTCATTAACTAGCACACTTGCTGCGTCTCCTTCGATGAAAAAGAAATATATTTATCCTGCTATAGTATCCGAAGTTGCTGCTGCTTTTTTGCATGAAATCAAGTTATCTGGACATTTCAAGTATGGAATAGAGTATAGAAACTCTTTTTCTGGAGCTGAAGCAATTGATGTTATTTGTAGGATTACTAAGATTCGTGATAGAAATCTAGCTATAATTCTGGGTCGGGCTTTAGATTCTCAAAGGCTTTTCCATGATGTGACCTACGAACATAAATTGAGAGATAATAAAAATGAGATTTATTTAATAAGTGATGAGTATCTCTATAATCAGTCAGATGATTTCAGAAGACAAAACTCCGTTTCAAGCAACCTCAATAATACGGAAGAGTACAATATGAATTCTTCGGCCTCTAATTTAGCATACACTAATGAAAGATCACCTGATATCAGCTCTATTTCTGGTGTCTTTACCTTGTTGACTGAGTGCTACTCTCCAACGTGTACCAGAGACAAAATTTGCTACAGTGTTTCGTGCCCAAGAAGGTTCGAGCAGAAGATGAGGGCAGAAATGCAAAGTAGTAGTTTAATTAGATCTGATTCACACGTTTCGTTTACTCAAGATGACCAAAAGCAATACTGGCAATTGACTGTTCCCAAGAGTTTAATGGATGGCTTAGATAAAGGAGAAATCAAAAGGCAAGAGTGCATTTTTGAAACAATAAATTCAGAAAAAGCATTCATAAAAGATTTGGAGTATATCAGAGAATTCTGGATGCGACCTCTGGCTGAAACTAAGATCATCAAAGATAAAGAAAGAGATCAGTTCATTAGAAATGTATTTCACAATATCAACGAGATTTGGGAAGTAAATCACAAATTTGCTGAAGCTTTGGTCAGACGACAACAGAAATCACCAATAGTTGATTCAATTGCTGATATTTTCCTCGATTATATACCCCAATTTACACCGTTTATTACATACGGTGCTGGACAAGTCATTGGTAAGTATGAGTTTGATAGGCAAAGGAGACACAATCCTTTGTTGAGAAGATTTATAGAGGATACTGCTAAAAGGGAAGAATCTAAGAGGTTGGATTTATCTTCATTTTTGTCTAAGCCCACCACTAGACCTGCTAGGTATCCATTGTTGTTAAAAAGTATTAGAGATCATACCAATCCAGAATCACCTGATCATAAAAAGTTAGGTACGGCAATCGAACTTTTGGAGAAAATGTTAACAAAAATCAATTTTGAAACGGGTAAGCAATCCGATAAGATGAATTTATTCCAGATCAGACAAAAATTGCTATTCAAGCGAGGTGAGTTGGTTGATCTGAAGTTAAGTGCAGATAATAGGAAGGTCATTTATCAATGTGTTTTGAAGAAGAAAGGATATCAAGAGAAGGAGAAACAGGGTGAAATCCACGTTTTTCTATTTGACCATTGTTTACTTTTCATCAAACTGGGTTACACAAATAAACGAGAAATCTATGAAGTTTATCAAAGGCCTATACCGTTGCCTCTCTTGTTCTTTTCTACCACCGAAAACCCACCAAGCATCAGGTCTATCAGATCCGCTGCCATGAAAACTGGTTCTGCACCTTCTCAACTAGGCCTGAATTCAAATTCAGGACTAGTGCCCTTGAATTCCACTGTTTTGAAATCACCAATATCGTTCAGATATATTGGTATTCATGGTTATGAGTTGACGTTGTATGGTACTCCTGCAACGCAAAAGATCTTAGCAAGCAAAATTGGAGCTCAAACAAAAAAGATCCTGGCAGATAATGATGTATATACCCTGACTCCGTTGTGTTCCAACTTTTTCGATTCGCAGAATAGAATCAATTGTGTGGTGCCATTTGATGGTGGTAGAAAGCTATTATATGGTACTGACTCTGGTGTTTATACTGGTGACCGATTAGCTGCCAATACATCTAGAACTAAAGTCATTGCTAAGGTCAATATCATCCAAGCAGAAATCATTCAAGAGTATCAAATTTTGGTGGCGCTATGTGATAGAAAGCTGTTATACTGGCCCACCAGTGTGTTGAACGGTGGTGATCCGATGAAAAATGCAAAACTAGCTAAAGAACTAATGAATCACGTGTCTTTCTTCAAAATAGGCGTATGTGATGGTAGAATGTTGTTGTGCGCTGCCAAGTCAACCTCCAACATTGTGCGTATTTTCGAACCTGTTGATCCGGCCCAGCAGAAGAAACAGAAAAAGAAGTTTCTCAACGATAAGGAGGACATCCATTTCACCTCTGAGCCTGTGTCGATCAACTTCTTAAAGACAAAGTTGTGTGTCGGATGCTCAAACGGCTTCCAAATTGTGTCTTTGGTTAACAATACCATGGAGACACTATTGGATCCGGCAGATACATCATTGGAGTTTGCTACCAGCAGGGAAGGCCTCAAGCCGTTGGAGATTGACAGAATCAACAGCGACTTTTTACTTTCCTACTCGAACTTTTCATTTTTCATCAACCACAACGGATGGCGTGTCCGCCCTAAATGGATGATTGAATGGGAAGGCGTTCCGCACTCCTTTGCTCTTTGGTACCCGTACCTCTTAGCGTTTGACTCCAACTTCATCGAGATAAGAAGCGTGCAGAACGCAGACTTGTTGAGGGTCATTGTTGGTGAGAACATACGTTTCTTGCATGCTTCGTCCCAAGAGATTCTGTATGCATACGAAGACGACAAGGGTTACGACGTTGTTGCTTCATTGGACTTCTGGGACAAAAGCATGAAGAACAGTCGCAGCCGCAGCAATACGGTAAACGAAATGGGAAGACGTGTATCATCTGCCATATAATTCAAAATTAAGGACTATCAAGAATTATATATAATGTTTACTTTATTTATGTAGCCAAGTGTAACAACAAAATAAAAGTGGTTTGTGAGATACAAGAATGGATTACGTCAACTGATGTAATGGCCACCAATGACTATATTTAGCGCTAAAAGCATGTTGTGAACAATTAACTTTGAATAAGTTATTGTTCCGTTTAGTCGCTAATTTTCTTCATTGATGGTGGTAGAAGATGAAGAAGATAAGAAGATAAGATAAAAGAAAAAAACTACATATGTAAAGACTTATTAAAACAGTTACCAATAGGATTAACATGCTTACATAATCTGGTGCCCCTCGAAATCATTCATTATTAGTTAAGTGTCACGTGATGGGGCCTGCGTCTTCTCACCCTTACTTTTGACCCCCCCAATCGAGAACTGCGAGAAGCGACAAGAGCGTATCGATTAGAAGACATGGATGAAGTTAGTAAAGAATGCCAAATGACAGATAGATCTTTCGGGTGCAGTGCATGTTCTCCGACATTTCAAATCAGAAAGAAGAGTTATCAAAGGCGAATTTTTACTAATTCGTTGGGATGGCTGCTGAATTACGACACGGGTTTCTAAATGACCCGTACTTTCTAGACAACCTACAATCACACTACTATTCACATTTCGACTTAAAAAGAAACACAACGTCTGCCAATCCCTCTCCACAAGATGACACATACAAAATTGCCGATTGGAAGTCTTCAGGAAACAAGAAAAAGACCACAATGGCGGCACTTGTGATGTGCCTGAACTTGGGCATTCCTCCGCCGGACATCATGCGTCCCCAAGAATATCCGTATCTGGAAGCGTTTGTTAACCCATCTACCTATCCCGATACAAAGCTAGCATTGCAGGCGATAGGAAAGCACTTGCAGAGTAATTATGAATCCATCTCCTCGAGAGCAAAGTACAAGCAATCGTTGGACCCCTCGGTAGAAGACCTCAAACGACTCTGTACCTCTTTACGCAGGAACGCCAAGGACGAAAGGATTCTATTCCACTACAATGGGCACGGCGTCCCACAGCCGACGCATTCCGGTGAAATCTGGGTTTTCAACAGGGGATATACCCAGTATATTCCGGTGAGTTTGTATGATCTCCAGAATTGGCTAGGTGCCCCATACATTATGGTGGTTGATACCAACGCCGCAGGTCATGTTATTGAAAACAACAAGAGGTTCATCCAGAAAAGAATTGACGACGAAGCAAACCACCATACCGATATGGCGTCACCATCTCCCGTCAGTGCATATATAGAAAGCATCCAGTTGGGTGCATGTCAAAGTAACGAAATTTTACCACTGAATCCAGATTTGCCAGCAGACTTATTTACGTGCTGTTTGACACGCCCGATAGAAATGAGTATCAAATGGTTCATTTTATTTTCTCCGCTCAGAGAAAAAGGCTATTATGATATTTTGAAAAATAAAAATGGAGTGATTGAAATACCTGGCAAGCTAACGGATAGGCGGACACCTTTGGGTGAATTGAATTGGATTTTTATTGCTGTCACAGACACTATTGCGTGGACATCTCTATCCAGGCCACTATTCAAGAAGTTATTCAGACAGGATTTGGTGATTGCTGCATTATTCAGAAATTTTCTTTTAGCAAAAAAACTAATGCCTGAAGCCGGATGCCACCCGATATCAGACCCTCCATTACCTGACGTTAGCGATCATCCAATGTGGGACTCTTGGGAATTTGCCATTGACCAGATTCTAGGTCAAATGCTTGAGAAAAAAGAATCAGAACCCGCTGTTGTTGATATGACAGACATTCCGCAACTACAAATTGTATCATCTACAAGTGAAACGGAACTTAATGGATCAAGCAAGAAGGCAAAAAGTTCTTCTCTCTCTTCGAACCAAATGCAAAGTGGGTGGAATTACCAACATTGCTCCTTTTTCCAGCAGCATTTAACGGCATTTGAAGTATGGCTCCAATACGGCTCTGCCATCAAGGAACCGCCACAACAATTACCCATAGTTTTACAAGTTTTATTATCTCAGGCTCATAGGTTAAGAGCGTTACATTTGTTATCAAATTTCCTTGATTTAGGACCTTGGGCAGTCTATCTAGCTTTGAGTGTTGGAATGTTCCCATATATTCAAAAGTTATTGCAAAGCCCTTCCCCAGATTTAAAGCCTATATTAATTTTCATTTGGACAAGAATTATGTCTGTAGATTATCAAAATGCCCAGCAAGAGTTAATAAAGGATAGAGGGTATAATTATTTTACCCAAATGTTGACCTTCCAACCTCGACCTTCTCAACCACACATTCAAGGCAATCCCTTGGTCATAGAAAGCCCTGCAGTCAATAACAACGTTACATTTGCGGACCAAAAGGCCATGAGCGCATTTGTCTTGGCCATGTTTGTGAGAGACCACAAACAAGGACAGAAACTAGCCTTTTCCATTGATGTGGTAAAAATCTGTATTAGTTATATTGAGACTTCAGAGAGTCCGTTATTGAGGCAATGGAGTGCGTTGCTCATAAGTGGAATGGTGAAGGAACATCTTGAAGCCGTGGTTATAATTATGAGAAGTGGAGCATTTGCAAAGTTGTTGACTCTGGCCAATGACCCCATCCCTGAAATTAGGGCTTCCATAGTGGATGCATTGAGTAATTTCATATTGCTTTCTAACGAAGGTGATGAACTGGACAACAGCTATGGATTGAGAGAAGAGCTTAACCAACAAGATTTGAAAATGGCTGGCGAAATATTAAACTTATGCAATGATGGCTCGGCATTGATCAGAAGAGAAGTTGTCTGCTTTTTCAGCAGATTTATTGTTAAATATATTGAATTCTTTCTAGTAAGTGCTTTTAGTCAATTAGAGGAAGAAATTACTCTAGTTGACAAGCCTTCCATTATTGATGAGGTTAGAAGAAAATCACCAGCTTATGGATCAATTTTCTCCACTGTGTGGAAAGCATTGTTGATTGCAAGTGAAGACCCTCATGATGAAGTGAAAAACTATGCACAGCAAGTTATAGATTACATTATGCTCAAATTGAATGAATCACAATTAGGTGATGTAGTTGCAAGCATGGAAGACTATCTATTACAAAACCGAAGCAGTGTTGAGAGCAGGGCCGATTCCATAGATAGTAGTCTATTGGTCAAGCTGAATGAAAATCCAAAATACAAAAACATGCAGCCTAACACCATCAAGCAGCTCAATCAAAACAACGGGAAATCCGCTAGAAGGGTGCAATCCCTTAATGTTGATTCAAGGATCAGTGCAGAACTTGAAAACCAGAAAAAGCGTCCTGGCTCAAGTGCTTCCTCGACATATGGATTTTCGATGTCTGACAAGGTTGCTACATTCAAATCTTGGTTACATTCTTTTGGGCTTTATGATGAAACTCGAAGCGAGATATCCAGTGCTAATCGATTAAGTAACCTTCTAACTCAACAGCCATTGGCCATGGAATTTGGGACCAATGTTAGACCAACCACACCCCGGTTCAAGCCAAGGCCAAGAAATAACGGGTATCCTATTTTACCGTTCACTAGTGGGTTTTTGGACTATAGTTCTGAATACTTTCAGGAATCACAGCTAGGCCCAAAGGAAGCTGACGAGCCGGGTAGCGAGGAATACATGAGAAGAATATGGAGAAGGAACAGAAATGAGGCTATTATCGCCACTACGCAGCCGCAGAAGGAGATGGCTACAACTGGAAATTGGAAAAATGTTGTCTCGAGATTAAACAATACAACACAGCCGAAGATTCTACAATTCACACAATTTGAAAAATGGGTTGCTGCAACAGATGAAAGGGATAATATCACCACATTTGACTGGAGTAAAGGGACAGAATTGAGTAAAATATCCAATGGCAATCCTTTTGGCACCAAAATTACTGATTTGAGGTTCCTAAACGAAGATCACGTTCCTTTGCTCATGACCGGATCCAGTGATGGTGTTGTCAAGATCTACAAAAATTTCCACGAAGCTGAAAAGTGTCAGTTACTCACAGCATGGAGGGCTTTGACGGATATAATGCTAACGCCAAGATCAGTTGGATTAGTCACTGAGTGGCAGCAAAGTAGAGGTACATTGCTGGTCACAGGTGATGTGAAAGTGATTAAGCTGTGGGATGCACCCAGAGAAAAGTGTGTCTTAGATATACCTGTGAGATCAACGTCACAAATCTTAACTATGACCTCAGACCAAGTCAGTGGAAACATCGTTATTGCCGGGTTCCAAGACGGATCCATGCGTGTTTACGATCGCCGGATGGACGCCAAAGATTCCATGGTCAAAGTTTACAAGCCAAAAAGTGTTCTTGAAAGATCACCTATTCGTAATGTGCATATGCAACGTGGAGGAATGCGGGAGTTGGTTAGCGGAAGCTCCAATGGATTGGTGCAAATTTGGGATATCAGGAAGGATGATCCGATTGTAAGATTTAGGGCATTTGAGAAAACCATGACCACAGCCTTCATCCATGAACATGCACCTATCATTGCTTGTGCAAGCAAAGAAGTCGACATTTATAGCACAGTGGGTAAACGGGTTGCCAGGATTGTCAATGGAGGATTTATTAACACGTTGAATGGCACTGTTCGTAGCAACAGCTATATCAACTCCTTGGCTTTACATCCTCATAGAATGATGCTGGCTACGAATCACAACCAAAGTGCAGAAATAGCAGTGTACGAATGTCGAGAGAACAATGGCCCGAACGAGGAGTTTTACTCTAGGGAGGAGTTAATCGGTGATTACAGTTAAACTGGGATGTATAGTTGTGTATGTATATAGCCGTTGAAAAGATTTCTATAATCACCCAGGAAATTTGGGCATTACAGGATTTATCAGCATCCGTCTACACTAAGATGTGTCCGCTCGGACAAGATTTGAACTCGGGGTTAGCGGGGATTGATCAAAAAGCCAAGTTTATAACTCTCGAAAGCTTCCTGGACCTGTTATTGACTCAATAATGTCACGTATCCCTAGAATGGTTCCGTATTACCATGGTAGAAACGATGAACATTCTTATACTGATGACTAGGTCACAATAACAACAGCAGAGAGATTTTGCCCCACAGTCCCCCGGAGCTCGGCAAGGCCTGCCGCCTTGCTTCACCTCCGGAAATGGAGTTTATAGCGAACGGTTGAAGTTTTTGCATTTCGGTATTCTCAAACCGGAGGAAGTTCCAACTTTAGGGAAGGGGCTCAAGAACGGAGGGGCACAAGAGGACTCAGCCAGAAGAGGAGGCGATACAAAAGTACAATAGACATTACTGATTTTGGGATTTGTTTGCGGCAGTGGCAAAGTGAAGAAAAGGTTGAAACGGTTTATAAAGCGTATACCGTCACGATTAGTATACAGATCACCTCCCTATCTCGTTAAATCAAGCAGGTTTCCTTCACACAAATATACCAAATAGAGAGAATACACAGTTATAAATCAGCATGGGACTGACTTCAGAAATAGCTGGAGCAATTGAAGAAAATGGGCAGATGTTTGAAAATGGAGCCGAGCTTGAGGGTGGGGCACTGCCCACAAGGCCACCGATGTCAGTGGATTTGACGTTATCACAGAGAATGCTGAGCGCTTGCACTGGTTCCCTTTTAACATCGCTGGTTGTGACCCCATTTGACGTTGTGAGAATCAGACTACAGCAACAAGAACTGCTTTATCCAATTCAAACGCAGGATGCTACGTGTTGCAGGAAGGTATTCTGGGAGCTCTCTACGACTGAAATGGTTGGCTCGTTGAAGGGTAATTTTTGCCAGCCAAATTCCTGTCTCAACGAAGGTGCCAAACTTGATGGAGCATTCCAGGGCCTACGAAAAATAGCTGCACAAGAAGGCATCTCGACGCTATACCGAGGCTTGGGTCTCACTTTAGTTATGGCGATACCCTCCAACGTGGTGTATTTTTCAGGCTACGAATTTCTCAGAGATTCTTCGCCAGTCAAGGATACCTATCCCATGATCAACCCTTTACTATGTGGTTCGATTGCACGTGTTCTAGCTGCAACATCGGTGGCACCCCTGGAGCTGATAAAAACAAGGATACAAGCTGTTCCAACAGGAAACAACAAAACATCGGCGTCTATTTTCAGAATGGTTATCAGAAATTCTCTGCAAGAGATCAAGCACAGTGGGATCTCCACAGTTTTCAAAGGATTGGGCCTCACATTATGGAGAGATGTTCCTTTTAGTGGCATTTACTGGTCGACTTATGAATACATTACCCATGCCTTGAAAACAAGAACAATTATGGACGATTCAAATCATCATATAGGCACAGACACAGCACTGTTTTTGAGGTCTTTTATTGGAGGTTCTTTGGCCGGTGTAACTGCAGCAATATTCACCAACCCATTTGATGTGGGTAAAACCAGAATGCAAGTCTCCTTTGAAGATGATCAGGGTCCAAACTCCCTCGTCAATAGAAAAAAACATAAAAAGTCAATATTTAAATTTATTGAGCAGATATACAAAACTGAAGGATTTTCGGCGTTGTATGTCGGTCTTGTTCCACGTTGTATGAAAATTGCCCCTGCTTGTGCTATAATGATTTCAAGTTATGAAATGACCAAAAAATTCTTCAAAGATAAATCGAGCTAGATTAACAGATCTAGCTTGTCTTCGCCTGATATCAGCGAAGAAGATTGTGTACACTTTTTTGAGTGTACGTATAAAATTTACTAAGCATGGATAATATTCCCTTCTTTCTCACTCTTTTTTACATTACACATATTTTTCTTGAACTTCTTTGTACATAAAATGTAATTTGTAAATAAAGTTATGAATTTTCTTATCATCAGTATTATACATTAATCGTACAAAAGCTCTTATGCAAAAAATTTGGATCTTAATATTCTGTTATATAAAAAAACAAAGAGCATATACAGCAATCATTTGTTTCGGCTTACCTTAAAGAATCTGAAATGGTTGATAGCATAATTCAATCTATGAATTCCACATCTCACTCGAGCTGTCGTTGATTATCGATCCCACAAACTTTGCTCTCTGATCTGGCGGTTGCATTTTTCCGTTCACAAATGTGGCATAATTTTCGGTCGAATCAAAATTTTGAGAATCGTTTGGTATTTCCCTTTGTGCAAGAGGCTGGGTTTCGTTGCCATGAAATTCAGAGTTATTTTTTTTTATTTCATGTTTATGCAGTGTTTTTTTATAAAACGGGCTCTGATAATGGGGAATTTTAGATTCATGCGCAACTTCGTAGTCATAAGGACTATTGAAGAAAATGTTGCGACGCAGGTCTTCTTCTTCGGATTCATACTCGGATAGTTCATCGCTCACGCCAGAAATGTTATTTTGTCCATTTATCTCAAAATTCTTATTTTTTTTTTCAGGCTTTAAGTTCAAGTTATTAAAATTACTGTGGCTAGCTAGATCATGATTTGGCCGCTGAATATACATTGTGCCATATAAATTATTGAAGTTATCGCTTTTTGTCGCATTAATATTTATCTCCGACAAATTTTGATGATAATCAAATACAGGATTTTTGGTCGTAAGCTGCTTCTCATATGACTCTAAATCTAGTGCTGTTGAGCTCACCAATTCATTAATTGACTCATCTCCTCTTTTTATTGCTAGACAATAACCAAATAGTGCGGGTTTCAAACACTTCTTTATGTTATTTTCACAGATATATTGAGAACTGGCGACAGTTGCATAGGAATGGGCAACTTTATCATCATATTTGCCCAAAGTGATAGCATCCATATTTTTTCGTTTAAATTCATCACGTTCCTTTTTGCACTTCATATATTTGTTAAGCTCGGTATTTCTCAATGTTTCTGTACCAGATATAGTCGACAACGCTGTAGAAGCGAGTTCTAACTGCTCAGCAACAGATCTGTTAAATTTATGATGAACTTTCAGAAACTTTTCAACTTCAGAAGCAAAATCGGAAACCTCCTCTGACTCAAAAGTATTAATCCATTCGGCAAATGCCTTTTCAGTATCAAAGAGCTTTTTATTTAGTTGCCTCATATACTTTAAAAGCTTTTGTATTTCAATTTTGACGTTAATAGCGCTGGCTTGCTGTGTGCTTACGGCCCCAATTTTCTCAAGTTGGGGTCTAAATTTCATAAACATTGCTGGAGAATTATCCAGATTTTTCTCAAGAGATTTAAGTGCATGATTCATGCTGCTAAAATCTGGTAAATTTTGGCTTTCCTGTCCTGTCGTTGAGTTACTTATCGGGCTAGGATTCAAAGAGTTACTACATGGCGCTTCAAGTTCAAAAGCTTGTATATAGTGGGTATTTGGTGACATTTTACTTTGTTAGATATGTGACTCTTCTCTCAACATATTATGGCTGAGATAGTTCTCAAGGATAAAGAACTGAACACTTCATTTACAACAACTTCACCGAAAAGGAAACAAAAAAGCCCTAGAACATGTTGCCCCTCTGGAAAAATTACCATTTTGGGATTATTATTGCGTATTTCCACATCTCGACTGCGTAACGAGATAATCGCTGGGAGTCAGAAAAGTTTCAGGGTGTCAGTAGGTTATTCTTGTCCTATTCTGAAGTACTATTGAGTGCAAAACACAAAACATAGTGAATTTTTCCTGGCCCCTGACATTTAGAAGAATGGTGCATTCTTACTTTGAGCAGCAATGCAGCTTCAAAGTTGATTATGCCCCGGCTGTAATCAAAAAATGGAGATCCACAAGAACAAAACTTCAGGTGACCTTGATTGATCAGGAGTCTCCCATAGTTAATGGTTATTTTGCTGTTGCAACAGAGATCCTGAATGATAGTGGCTGCCCTCATACTCTAGAGCACTTATTGTTTATGGGATCCAAGAAATACCCTTATAAAGGATTGTTAGATATCCTTGGAAATTTAGCATGTAGTTCGACTAATGCTTGGACAGCCACAGATCAAACGGTTTATACTCTCACAACCGCTGGCTGGGAAGGATTTAGAATGCTTTTACCTGTTTATTTGGATCATCTTTTCAATCCGACACTTACCGACTCAGCCTGCTATACAGAGGTTTACCACGTCGATGGAGAAGGTAAGGAGAAAGGTGTTGTTTACTCGGAAATGCAGGGTATCGAAAATCAGTCATGGTTCATCCAGAATTTAGAAAACCAGAGGTTGCTGTACAAAAATTCAGGCTACAAGTCAGAAACTGGTGGTTTAACCAAAAATTTGCGTACTCTCGAAGCAGACACCATTAGAAAATATCACGCCGATAACTATAGGCCGGACAACTTATGCATCATTGTTACTGGTTCTGTTGAAGAAAAAGAGCTGCTGGAACTCATGGCAGATTTTGATTCACAACTCCCCTCTGCTCCTGAAATCCCAAGTAAGAGACCATTTGTCGATACTCCTCAAGATGGGCCTCTTGGTGAAACTATCATCAAGCAAGTTGCATTTCCCGACAAGGATGAAAGTTCTGGTGATGTCATTTTCTCGTGGATAGGACCAGATTCTAGAAATACTGTTTTGGATCAAGCCATTGAAGTATTGTTACGCTACTTAACATCGTCTTCGGTAGCACTACTTAATCAAAGATTCGTTGAAAATGACGATCCCTGGGCTTCTGATACAGGGTATTCTACTGAGAGCTATATACGTACTGCGATGACAATCAATTTCGATAGTGTTTCATTTGACAGATTATCTTCCTTGCCAGAAAAAGTACTAGTTTTGTTAAAAGAACATTGTGATGAAGATAAATTAGATTTGGTGAGATTGAGAGACATGGTTGAACAAGTCAAATGGAAGTTTGTACATAGATGTGAAAAAAGTCCAGAGCCTTTCTCCGATATTGCTATTTACGAATTTGAGTATGGTGAAGACATTCAAAAAGACTTAGTTACTTATTGTAAGACTTTAGATGAATTTGATGAACTTATGAAGTGGGATATTTCCAAATGGGTGGACATCTTCAAAAAGTATTTCGTTGAAAATCATGCTGCAATTGTTATAGCTGCACCTTCTGCAGAATTATATGAGAAGAACAAAGAAGACAATGAAAAAATGCTAGAAGACAGAAAAAAAGCCTTAGGTCCTCAAGGTTTAAAGGATCTTGAACAAAAATTGCAGAAAGCGCAAGAAGACAACAACAAAGAGATTCCAAAAGAAATACTTGCTCGTTTTGACGCTCCAGATCCTTCAAATGTAAAATTCATCTTGACCGAATCGATCGGATCAGGCTCAAACAAAGACGTTACAAACAAAGCTTCTGAATCTGTTTCAAAAGTTGAGAATGACACTCCAAAGGACTTTCCTATGTACATTCACTTTGAGAACTATGAATCTAACTTTATTTCTATTGATCTCCTATTTTCCTCTTTTGAGATTCCAGAAAAAAGTTTACCTTTGTTAAGCGTTTTTGAAGAGTTAGCAAAATTGGCTATTGTTGCTGACGATGGTACATTGGTTCCGTACGAAGATGTTGTCAAGCAACTCAAAAGAGATACCATTGAGTGTCATTTTGGTAATTCTTTCAACGGTAGATTCAAGGAATTCATGTCTTTATCCATGGTTGTCAAAAGCCAAGATTATCAAAAAGCAATTGATTGGTATTTAAAGTTACTACTTAAAACAAAGTTTACGAAAGAAAGGGTAGTAGTCATACTAAATAGATTGTTGAAACAACTGCCTGATTTGAAAAGATCAGCCGGCTACATGCTAAACTACTTATACAATAAACACTACTATACTGATAGGTCTTACCTGAAATCGGTCGAAGTGATTAGAAATGAAGACTATTTGAGAAATCTGTTAAATCGTATTGAAGAAGAAGAATTCGAAAATATTGAGAAGGAACTAAACGAGATTAGGGAAAGTTTGTTCAAATTGTCAAACATTAGAGTTCTTGTTTTTGGTGATATAAATAAGCTTGATAAGCCTGTTTCTGCTTGGAGTAAATTTGTTCAGGCATTTTGTCCTAGTGGTAAGTTAACTGATATTCCATATCAAGAAAAAGTTTTCTCCAGAATCGGTCATTCCAAATCAGAAAATTGTTACATTATATCAACTCCTGGTATTGACACAAACCTTATGAGATTGATTACTAAAACAACGACGTTTGATTTCACTTCAGACGATGCTTTTAAGATTCTCCTTGCTGCGGAGTATTTGCAAGCCGTTGAAGGACCATTCTGGAGAGGTATCAGAGGTGCTGGATTGGCTTATGGTGCCAATTGCTATGATAATCCTGCTCTAGGAGAACTATGCTACACTATATATAGAGGAGTGGATCTACAAAACTGTTACACAGTGGCCAAAACGATTGTTGAAGGATATGCTAGCGGCCAAACCCCAATTGATGACAGTCTTCGGAAAGGAGCAATCAGTGCTTTTGTCAACAAATTGGCGGACTCCCAGTCGAATTATTTTGATACCGCAAGTTGTCAGTTCTACGATGATGTATTAGTTAAGCGGGGACCAAACTACAACAAGAAGTTGTTGGAGAAGCTTTCTAGTATTACAAACGAGCAGTTAATTGAAGTTTTCAACAAATATTTTGTCAATCTATTCAATCCCGAAAAAAGCATATGTTTCATAAGTTGTAATACAGCAAAGGCTGCTGAGATCGGGAAGTTCTTCACAGATCAAAAATACAATGTAGATGTTGAGAATGTTTACGTTGAGGAAGCAAGCGATGATTCATGCGATGAGGGAAGCGAATCTGATGATGGAAGTCAAGGAAGCTCTGATTCTGACTCTGAATCTGATTCCGATTCTGAATCTGAATCTGATTCCGATTCTGAATCTGAACTTGTTTAGAAGGTTATTCGTTGGATATGCAAATGTGTATGCGCTTAACTGTCATATAACTAATAAGTATTGGAAAGATTTTGCCATGAAGACATTATATAAGTATAAAGAAATGAATCGTGATATAAATTATAGGTTTTAGGCCATTGCCTTGCAAAACATTGCGTTTATGCAGCAGAGAGGGGCTCTATTTTTTCTTCTCTGAGATTATTTGGTCGACATTAAGACCAGTGTACTCTGCAATCGTACTTTTGGTCTTCTCGAAAAAACTCGAAATCTCCTTCACGCCTGCTTCAGAAGATTCAGAAGTCTTCTTCACCAAGTCTTCAGCTTTGTTAATCAGGTCGGTCTGCGTTGTATAGACGTCGGGCAAATTGTCTCTTTCGGCTTTGTCTAGGTATCCAAAGACGTTGCCAAAAGTGTAAGGGAAGAAAAGCTTGAAAGATAGAAGACCGCATGCAAGAGGTGAGACAAGCTTCAAAAAAATGTTTCTCTTTCTTGCAAGCACTGAACCAAAAAGTCCGCCGGTAAGAACATATAAAGCATTTGGAAAGAGCTCTTCTCTCTTGTTGTGCAACGAGCTTAACGTTGACGTCACTTTTCTTTCGGTGTCAAAATATTCCTCTGATTTCTCAATGTATATTTGTTTGGAAAGGTCAAAGTACTTGAGAAGCTCCTCTCTAGCAACTTTCAGTTTGGACTCTAGAAAAGACTCTGCAGTTAGCTCTTCTTGGACTAGTTTCGGAACCTGTGGCTCACTTGGGGTGCCGACTGCCGCAGCGACCTGGGTTTCTTCATTGTAAAATGATCTTTTTGGCCCCTCACACTTGACATTTTGGCAGGAATTGGCCATGTACATTAATGTTGTAGAGGAAATGGCAAAACCTGTCTGGGTATATCAACATTTCGTGGAAAACTAGTTAGTACTCAAGCTCAGAAAGTAAATCCTAACTTGCTGAAACACTTGATCTAGGCAGTTCAACTTACTTTGAAAGAGTTCGACAGCATCGTGATTTGAACTGTTGTGGTAGTTGCTACTATTACTGCTGCTCTTTGCTAGCTGCACTGCAATTGCGCCAAGTTTGGGCAAGAGGGTGTACCCCCATGCCTCTTCGTTCGGCTCGTCATAGTGATACATTGGTCTAGGGAGAGGGGACAGCCCGCACGTGTTCTCTGCCAATCGACGCGACGGTGGGCTTGACGGGCTGGCTGTTTTTTGACAGGATAGGAATAAAGGTGGATAGGACACTCCGGACATGAAAATCTTCTGGAACAGAAAAACAGAAGGAAATTCCCATTGGCAACGACAAGTTGAACAAAAGACTTTCTAGGCAACAATGGGATTTTTGAAAGGTTTGAAGAGAACGGTTTTTGACCAGAGCTCAATTGTACCAAGTGCCCCTGCGGCACCGCAAGGTAAACCACCTTCGGAAAGATCTATATATCAATCGAGAGAGAACTTCGGGGTTAATTTTGGATCACTATTCGTATTAGAGAAGTACATTTTTGATGAGATGTATATTGATGGTACTACCGTTGAGTTGGATGCAATTGCCAAATACGTGGAAAAAAATGGTGTCGACAACGCCCGGAGCAAGATGGAGGCGCATTGGACCAGCTACTGCAGTGACGATGACTGGGCGTGGTTGAGAGATAGAGGTATCCAGTCAATCAGAATTCCTCTAGGCTACTGGACTGTTGCCGATGGTGGATTTACTAAAGGCACCAGCTTTGAAAAGGTCCGTCAAGTGTATTCAAATGCGTGGAAAATCTTCAAACAGTACTATGTCGAAAAAGCGAAACAGTATCAAATATCTATTCTGGTAGACTTACATGCTTTGCCAAAAGGGGCAAATACAGGGGATCACAGTGGCGAGTGTTTCAAGTCTGCAGGCTTTTGGTCCGACAGTTCTTGCATTAACCGGGCTGTTGATGTCGTGACCTTTATCGCAAAAGACTTGAAGAACTATGATAACATATCAGGTATTCAGATCGTCAATGAATCCGTGTTTGATAACAACCCAGTCGGACAAGAAAAATACTACGTTAAGGCAACCAACGCCATCAGGAATGAGAATGCTGACATCCCTATTGTAATCAGTGATGGCTGGTGGGCAGACCAATGGGTAAAGTTTTTACAAAAGTCATCAAACGGAGACATAGGAAGCCTCGGGGTAGTCATTGATGATCATGTTTATCGGTGCTTCAGTGACGACGATAAAAAAAAGAACGTGGACCAACTAATCAACGACCTGGATTCTTCCGTTCTCGCCGGCTTATCAGCTGAAGCAGACTTTATAATCGGTGAATACTCTTGCGTGCTAGATTCACAAACTTGGGACAACTCACAAGGTGCAAACAGAGATGACAAAGTCAGAGAGTTTGGAAATAAAGAAATCCAGACATTCAAAAACAGGGCCAAAGCAGGGTCTTATTTCTGGACTTATAAGTTTCAGCACGGTGATGGTGGGGAATGGGGGTTGATTCCCATGATGAATAAAGGATGCATTCCTCCAAGGAATAGAGCCGTTACCCTACCTTCTCAGGAAATTTTTGAAAAAGCGTTTAACGAGAATTTTCAAGGGCACATGGATTATTGGCAATCTCAGAACCCGAATGAAAAATACGAAGGTTGGCGGTATAAAGAGGGTTTTGTCACTGGTTGGAATGATGCTCTGGAATTTGCCAAGTTTGGTAATTCTCGTATAGGAAGAGTGGTGGCCTGGAAATCTGCACGTAGAGCAGAGCACATTAAAGCAAGGGGGAAAAGTAACTTTTTATGGCAATGGGAAGCTGGCTTTCAAGAAGCTTTGGACAGATTTAGCTCCTGCTGTTGAGAAAGCTTTTTGGTAGCCAATTTTAATCACATGTATGATACTTGAGCAACAGCACTTATCGAGTTTACCATTTTTTACACCTCTGTTGGGTTGAGTTTTTTACTGAATGTAAGTCTATTAGGAATTTATTTGGAAAATTGATCTCATGTGTAATTTTTTGAAATACACTGAACACTTCAACCATGTTTAACAAAATGTTACTAAATTTAGAAAACAATTACGTAGTCATTATTAATCCAAATAGTATCACGTGAGAATATGCTGATATAATTTGGTGCGAAACAAAACCTTCAACATTTGTGGGTTTGGCCGAGTGGTCTAAGGCGTCACGTTTAGGCCGTGATATCGTAAGATGCAAGAGTTCGAACCTCTTAGCCCACAAATATTTTTGATACTTTAGGATCATTTTTTTTCGACTTTATCAACCTAAATTATATGTATTACATTGTGCACGCTACTCACTTTAGTAGTGGAGAAACATTTTTTATACATGTTACATAGAGATGCAAGTTCGAACATTTTTTGGAATGGACTAATGGATTCGCTGTGTTGAAAAAAATTTGGTGTCATAAAAATTTACTAATCTTCAGCATTGAAGATAGGAAACTTTGATCTAACTTCATTGATGAACGCCTTCCATGTAGATCTCTGATTACCACCCAAAACAAGCTTGTTATTTTCAATCAACAAATCTGTCTTTTTTAGGAATCGTATTATCATTTTTATCAAGTTGTTTTGTTTCTCGATGTCTTGTTTGACCGCGTTATCTGCGATCTTTTTACTCAAAGCTTTACGATTCCGAGTAATGAAACCTTCGAAAATGTCAACATCGCCTATGTCTTGACCAAAAATGTAAGGCTCTCTCTCAAAAAGTTTGAGCGTTGTAAGCAAACAGACAGATGCGATAGATTGATCATCCTTTATACCGCATTCAAAAAATTTGTTGAAGTACAATGCCCATTTTACATTGCACAAAAACACCAAACTCTTATTATCTTCTAATGTTTTGAAAAGATAGTAGATAGACTCAAATATTTGTTTACGGTAATTTAATCCGTCGTCAATTTTGTGTTTGTATGGCCCTATAAATTGAGTGCGAATATATTCTTTGTTAGCCTTTATTTCACTTTCCATAATATTCGGTATCATCTTAGTCATTAATGAGATCGCGATATTGGCCTTTTTGCTCATAAATAGATTGAGGTTGGATATTCCAGCTTCTTTAAACATTAGACTATTGCTGAAAATATAGTTACTGGTTGTTTGCTCAGCATATCTGACCAATAATTGAAGACTAGTTTCCTCTAAAAATGTCTCGTTAGTAAATGTAAATTTAGGTGTACTTCCAATTGTGATGGCTAGGTTGCTTATAGAAGGCTGGGACTCAGCCAGAATAGAAAGTATGCTTTCAAGTAGGCCATATTCAACAATTAAATTACTTAGACAACTTGCAACATTCTCGTAACCTGTATTCTCTTCCACTTTAATAGTTAAGCCCTTTTCTATTTCAACAATAATCTGAAGAATTTCTCCTGCTTCTTCATTAGTCACGTGTATATTATTTAATATCAATGCTAAACATTTGGATGAAGGTGTCAAAAACGTCGTCTGTCTCAGATAATTCAAAAATTCACGTAGATATTTCGCTGAGTGTTTGGAGACAATCGTAGACACAGTTTTGACCGACATGTTGACTATATTTTGTTTTTGAGATGAGAATAGCATTAAAAATGGTTCTAAACCAATATTTAAATCAATCGACTTAGACACTTGGTTGAGGAAGATGAGAGAGAAATATAGATCTCTCCCATTTTTGAGATTTTCAAGAATGTTTCCAATTGATATATCGTTCTGAGATACAACCGTCAAAACTGCCAACATTTTGGAAATTTTGAAATCTGTAGTTTTACCAAATTGTTGAATCAATTGGGTTAAATTTTCTTCTGAATTTTGCTTCAAAAGCTGGCTCATTAAAGCTGGCAAAACATCATCAACCTTATCGTACGCACATAAATCAACGACAATAGATACTGTAAGTTTTAGATCATTGGCGACGTTGACTCTTTTCAGGACCTGAGCCATAATTATTCCAATATCAACACAATTTGAAGAACTTGACATCTTCTCAGAGTGTAGTTTGCCTAGATAGTAAAGAATTCTTTGGCCATCTTCAAGATCTAACAATTGTGCCTGAGAAAACTCTTTGATGACTTTTAATGACGCATTATTGAATTCTGACATGCTCAAATATTCGAGTGCATAATCCAAGATCGTCTTTACCCAGCCAGAAGTAACCGCATCTAAAATTTTACTTGCTTTAACTACTTTGGCAATTGCATTCAAAGTATTGTAGGCTAAAACCTCAGTTGAGATAGTTTGCGTGAACATTTCTAAAATTTGATGTTTTTTATCAGTTTCCATAGAAATTTTACAACTCAAAGAAACAATAGCACTCAGCGACTGCAACCTAATCTCAGTGGACAACGTTTTATTGCTTATTTTTTCCAATAGCTGACCGGTGAATGAGTTTACCAGCTGTGCCATTATTTCCTGTCTCGAAGGACATTCTGATAAATGTTTATCGAAAATTTCATTAACGAGATTTAAGCCATCGATAACTAGTCTATGATTTGTATCATTCGAGAGGCAAAATTTCAGGTATTCAATCAAGCAAGGCAAACCATTTCCAAAGCTCTCAAGTGAATCGTATTTTAGTAGTGCTGAAAAAAAACAAAATGCCTCAGGAGTGCCCACCAAACTGGTCCATACCTTATTTAAGGAGACAACGTACAGTTGAATATACTTTGGATCTAGCCCACCTAATGCAATCGTTAACTTCGCCAACAGTTTTAGCGTTAAATCCATTCTTTCAATTGCAACAGTTTGATTTTTCTCGGTGAACTCTGCGACGTAATCACAAACTTGATTGCTCTGTCCAAGCAATACAGTGTACGGGTCTTCATCTGTTTGCATACTTACGTCACTGAATCTTCTGCCAGTTGTAGTTTCAGCCATCGTTTTTGAGGATAATAGACTGTAGTATACACCTTCACTACTTGAAGATTCAAATATGTATGCCAAAGTTTCAACAAGTGCGGTAAGTACTACTTTATTTGTCTCCTTTGTTAACCTATTCAACAAAGAGTTGAAGTTATATTTGAAAATAAGCGGTAACTTAATAGGAAAGTTCTGTATGATGGAAGTTAAAAGTGAAAATGATTCTACCCTCAACTTCCACGAAAAATCATCGTTATCATCATCGTCATCATCTTGCTGATAATCACTATAATCGTCATCAGTGTATTCACTCTCAGCTTCGTCATCATTCAATGATTCATCGTCCTCCTCGAAATTGGCTTCCCCAGCTTTGTAGGGATTGTAGGAAACGAAAAGCTGACATATTGACAATGCATCCACAACCAATGTATCAACGCTCTCCCCTTTGCAGAAGGTAAATACTTTTACCAAGACTTTCATGGATTCTAGCCTGAGCATATCAAATTTCTGTTGAGCTTCATAATCATCGTCGATTTTTTGAATCTCGTTGATTTGTAGACATTGAACAAGAAAATCCCAAATTTGTGTAATATGATTCGACATCAAACCTGGATTTCCAGACACAGCTGCAGCAAATATAGACAAAAACGTTATTTTTCCTTCTATTGAGTTCTTTGAGCGTTCATACATCTCAGCAAGGTTATCTATAAATGCAGAAATGGTCAAGTCATCATCGATGTTTTTAACCAAGACATTGCATGCCAAAATCGACTTTTTTGCAATTATAGTATCTGCATTAAAAGCTGCATCATTGAGAAATGATAGCGTATCAGAAATTTGCTTCTTGGTCATGGAATTGCCAATATAGGTGGCTATATCGTTCAGAATTTCGATATAATCGATCTCAGTAAAAAATCGCCGCTTATTTTCCAGTAGTTCGGGAAGAAGTATACCTACAACAGATGTATAAAGCTCCTCATTGGGTGGCAGGTTTTTCAATATGTTGTGCAATGCCATTGTATAAATAGTTGAGGTGATAGATATTTTTTTTGGCTTTTTCTTCGATAACTCTCTGATCAACGGCAAAATATCCTGACCTAATATGAAAGAAACCGATTCAAAGCATTTGAGTGATTGTGTTCTCACTTCTGAAAATTCATCGTCTAAGCATTTCAATAGAATCTCCGAGTATGCAAGTATTTGGTTGCAACTTACATTGACAGACGAATTAGTCATCTCCTTTTCAAGATCGTTTAATGCCATAAAACGAAGATCCGGATCGGTGTCTTTTGTCATGATCAAAAGATCCGGTATGTATTTTCTGTGTGTACTCATAATAACACTTATTGCAGGTGTCTTTCAATTGAGTTGTATATTAAAGTTTTTAACCAACGAACTTGAAATATCAACTGCAGAAGGTGAATATAAATAGATTCTTTAACGAGCCCATTCATGGACCAAGAAAATTACATCGGAGCTTCAAACGGCGCTCCTCGTGCCTCTAACGTAAAAAGGAAGCATTTTTTAGTATACACATTAGCTTATCACTACATAAGTTAAACAAAAATGATTGACAATTCGAAATAAGCTTTGGATGTAAAGTATCTTTGATTTGCAAACCTAATTGTTACTATTGTGTAGTAAGGCTAAGTAGCAAGAACTTGATGTTCCAGGGCAGCCATTATCCTAAGGTGATTACATCAGCAATTTGGAAAGGCTTCTTAGTGGAGCTAGTTGATTTGAAAGAAACCTTTTTTTGAGGTCTTAAAAACACTATCGTTGTGATTGGAATTATAAATTTTGGAGTTGCTAAAAGAAATATACGTGGGCATAAAAAAGACGTTCATGGGCGCTCAGGCGAATAAAGAATAGTATCATAAAGGTGGAGTCTTCCAAAAAGATAAGATAAAATGTATAAAGAAATTGACAATGTGTAGAAGAAAGAAAGATGAAAAAAGCCATAAATCGAGGGAAATGAAAGGGAAACAAAAAAATTGTATCATTAATGTATGTTCAAAAGGTTTTGAAAAAAGGTAGAGAACAAAGAGTTGAAGCACTCTTATATATTGTTTTGAAGGAGTGATTCAAACAATTGTTCGTCATACTGGTCAATCGGGTAACTGTTACTGAGCTGCTGCTGTCTATTACTGTTTGAGGCGTCATTTTTATTTGCATTGTTGTTGCCTAGCATAAACATTGAACTTGTTAGGGGGACTGTTCCAATCAAAGACATATCAAGGTTAGGGTCCAATTGGCCCATGTTTTCAATGTAGTCCTCGTGGGAGTTAAAGTTATCAAGGTTTTGATTGGCATTGAAGTTTGTATCATCGTTGAGGTTGATCTCGGTAGAGTTGTCGTTGGCCTGGGGTTGGTTATGTGTGGAGGGTCCCGACATCGATGCTCGTTTGGTTGCAATAGATTGAGAATCAGTGTATGTCTTAGTCTGATAGATATCATCCATCAGAGTTGTATTTGTTTTGGCGTTTGAGAGTTGAGGCCCGGTAAAAGCATGTATTGAATCTGAAGATTCCGCAGTCAACAACTTAGGACGCTCGGCAATAGATACCGGAGATCCTGTAGATGAGGCTATGGTATGAGCCGAAGAAACAGATAGAAAGGAGCTTGAACGACGTGGCTGAGGGGATGGATAAGGCTGAAAATGCGATTGATGGGAATGGCCATGGGAACCACCATGGTGATGATGTTGGTAATGGCCGTGTCCACTGGATTGGAGTGAATGTGTAGAATGGAAGGACTGATGGGAATTGGTGGAATGAGAAGATGATCCAGTGGAATCACGATATAGTGGGGCCTGGTATTGTTGAGTGTTATTTGACAGACTTACTGCTTGGTTGAAAGCGGCCTGTTGAAGTAGGTTTTGCTGTGAATGCTGATTCTGCGATAAGCTATTCATAGAGGACGACGGCCTCATGTTGAAGTTATGCAAGTTCGTTTGAGAAAGTTTTGCACCATTATGATGGGTAGTGTTATTACCGTCAACTAATGCGGAAGAGTCATTATCGATATTGACATTGTTATGGTTGTAGTTTGAAGTATTTCTATTGAAATACATGGAACCGTCATCATCATGAACACTGGATGCAACACTCTGAGCACTCTGAGAATAACTGGGTCCAATTAATGGGAAAAGAGGAAATAACGAGTCTGGTTCATTGTCATGAGAATCACGAACTGAAGCATTGGATGCGTTGTGGGAGTTTTGATAGATCTTATGGGTGGGTACGTTATCTTCGAATATGTCTAGCAAGCCATTACCTGGAGTTGGTAAGACGTTATTGTATAAGGCAGACATTTTGTTATTTGCATGAGCAAAACTGCTGCCGTTATTATTCACATCAATATGGTTTGAATTCAAGTTCGAACTTCCGTTGTTTAAAGCATTAAAATTATTGGTATTGAAGTTGACATGATTAGGACTCATAATATGATTATTATTATTATTGTTAGAATTATTATTAATGTTATTATTATTATTAATGACAGAATTAGCATTTGGATTATTACTAGAAAAATTAGCCATGTTCAGGTCGACATTTGATATTTGACCTGGACTTATACTATTGTTAGGACTGGAGATTGGAGGATCAATAGGTGAAGAATCAGAGAGGTTGGTCAGAAAGTTATTGAAATGTACATTCATTTTATTCAAGGGTTTGATATATTCTTCGACTGGAATCGATATCTCGCCCAAGCCTCTTTGTTGCTGTAAATGTAACTGGTGTTGCTGGTGTTGTTGCTGCTTCGCATGTGTAGCTTGAGAATGTGGCTGCTGGTGGTGGTGCTGCTGAGGCTTTATCGATGAAGAAGATCTGAAATTTTGTAGCGGATCTAAACCAATCTGTCGCTTGATATACTTACTACTGTATCCAGTATTATTATGGTTGTTGTTATTGCTAGCGCTGTAATTATTTGAATGATTGATCGAGCTTTCCGATAATAGCGATGCTAAGCTCTCAGAGTTCCCCATCGGAGGGGACGACATATCCCAGGATTGAAGGAGACTGTTCAAACTGTCCCTATCATTTGAAAAGGGTTGTTGAGAAGAACCGTTTGTAGAGTCTTCATTTGAATACAATGTCTGGTTGTTTTGGTCCTTGTCTAGAGGTTGAGAAGATATATCGTCCGGCAAATTCGACAGATTTTTGAGGTCCATGTTGATTTCTAGAGGCTGGTTCATTCCCGAGGAGGCCGGAGACAACAAAGAGGCCGGGGTCGCTGTTCTAGCGCTCGGAGAGATCTCATCGTCCAAGATAGGCTTTATTTCCCTGTCGGCCGACTTCTTGCTCGACTTCCGCTTTGCCGATGTTGAGAGTGCAGCTGCAGCTGCAGGGTCTTCCTTGTCCTTCTTTTTCGAGGACTTTTTCGATTTGGAGCAGCAGGAACACTCGCCTGTGACGTGGCAGGGGCAGCTGGGGTCATGCTGGACCTTGGAGTTGATCCTTTTCGAGCAGTTGCAGTTGACGTGGGAGTTTCGGACTCTTCGCTGCTCCTTGCAGTGTGGGCACTGGGTCGAAGGTCGGCCCTTGGGCTTGATCATCATTAGGGGCTGGTCGGTGTGGGTGCAGGTGGTGACTCTGTGGCCTCTTATGCAGCGCTCACACGCGTATTTGACGCCGTTGATTAGAACCATAGTGGGTTTGAAGTGAAAAAAAAGTAGGGAAGGGGAGCAGGAGCTGAAGGTGACACGCGTAGTTTAGTGTGGGAGATATGAGTAGAATAGAGAGATAGGGGTATCCATACAGACGTGTGTATGTGTACGACGGGGTGCCACGCAGGGTGCAAGGTATTTGCAGCAGGCTGGATGGTCGAAGCTCGTGTGTGTGTCTTCTGAAGTTCAGCTTTGTGTAGGCTAGTTGCGGGCCAGATAGATGATGTCAAACTCGGTGATTTTTCTATATCTGGCAAGCAAACATAATAACGACGCAGGGTGGGGTCCGAGGTGCAACGCAGGGGAGGAGGGGGGTTCCGCCGGACGTGGGTATGAGTGTGCAGGTGAAGCCGGGAAGCTTGTCAGAACTGTGATGGTGTGCTGGTGCTGCCGCAACGATTTTTTCGATCGTCTGTGTAACAACGGGAGAGGAGGGGGAAACACCGACCGAGAAAACGGGGAGAGAGGGGGTGTGTGCCAGAGCCAGATCCTGAACTAGCACAAACGGGCCAAGGGTACGGCAGAAGGCCAGCACGAGGGGAGCAGGGTCTGTCTGTGTCGACCCGGACCCCAGCCAGAGGGACGCTCCACCACTGCGCAGCACCCAGTGGCGCCAGCCGGCCGCTCCGACAGCCCTGCTCGCCTGCCGGGCGCTGCTTACATCGCCCCTGCCCCAGAGCGTCGGAGCCGCAAAAATGGAGCAAACGGGGCAACTCAAGGAAGTTGCCGAAAGCGGCGGGGTTGAAGCGGCGGGTGGGAGTGCGCCCAAACGGGCGAAAGCCGCGGAAGGAAAACGGTGAGCCTCAACGGGAAGGAAAAAGGGCCAGTTGCAGGTGCACGGGTGCGGTGGCATATAGCCCGTGCACGGGTGTGGAGTGCTGAACGCCCGTGCACCAGGGGACGGCGGGCAGGACGGCGGGCGGAACGCCGATAACGGCTTATCTCCACAGTTCCCGCCTCGCCCTGGCCCTAAGCGACCCCGAGCTATTGTTCCAGGCAGCCCTCGGGGCACTGCGAAGGCCGGCCGAAGGCAGACAGTCTTCTGCACCGGGAGGTGGTTGTGTAGATGAAAAGTTGCTCGTTGGGTTGTGCTGCTACTGGTGGCGGGTGGCGGTCGTGTGTCTCTCGTGCAAGCCAGCCAGCTAGCCCCTGCTCCCCGAGCCACCGAGGCATTGCCCTGCCACAGTCCACACATCAGCACCGACACACGCAATGACGCTTCCGGACCCGAACGCCAACCCCTACATCTGGGCGACGCTGATCACTAACTCGGGGTACCTCCCCGGGGTGTTGACGTTGAACTACTCGCTCCAGAAACTGGGCTCCAGCTACCCGCTGATTGCGCTCTACACCGACAAGTTGGACCCGGCGTCCCTCCAGGCCCTCCACGACGCCGACATACCGACGCTGCAGATCGAGAACTTATCTCCGGCCGCCACGCCAAACCTTGTTCACGACAAGCGTTTCCTGGACACCTGGTCCAAGTTGTTCTTCTTCAAGCTCACGCAGTTCAAGCGCATCATCCAGTTGGACTCCGACATGCTCGTTCTGCAGAACATGGACGAGCTCATGACGCTGCCCCTCGGCAGCAGCTCCTTTGCGTCCACGCACGCCTGCGTCTGCAACCCGCTCAAGAAGGCCCACTACCCCGCCTCGTGGACAAGTGAGAACTGCGTCTTTTCCAGCTTCAGCGACGCCAGCGGCATCCACGGCCCGAGCTGCAAACTCGGACTCTCCAAGTGCAATTCCGGACTCTTGATCGTCGAGCCCTCCATAGACTCCTTCACCTCCATCCTCTCCGCCTTGGAGGACGGCGACGCCACCGAGTCTTACATGTTCCCCGACCAGGACCTTTTGGCCGATGTCTTCCACAAAAACTGGCTCTCCATCTCCCCCAACTACAACTGCTTGAAAACATACAAAAACTGCCATCCACACCTCTGGGACCTTACCAAAATAAAGAACATCCACTACATACTATCGCCGAAACCCTGGGACGTCGACAGGTCGTACAACGACGAGTCCGGAACTTTTCAATTGTGGTGGGACGAGAACGACGAACGCTTGGGCTTGGCAGAACCATGCTGACCGAGCCGTCTCAGACTGCCTTGATCTCATCATACTGTCGGTTTCAATCGGTAGCTCTGAAATTCTTTTCTCTTCCTTTTTCCCCCCCTCCTCGCTTGTTTCCGGGCTTTCTATCATCATGTCTACAATATATGTCTCTACTCCACCATATTTCTGTGTCTTTCTTTAACTGTTTTCTTTAACTTTTCTATGTCCCAATTCCTTACGTTCCATTTCGTTGCATCTATTCTATTATGCTTATATATAGATATTATATGTATTTGCAATACATGGGGTAATCATACAGAACCTCCATTGCTAGGACTTTTCTTGTCTTCTTCTTGAATAACACCATCTACTGGGAACACATCTCCGGCATGTTTTCCTGGTGATGCATGTAGTGTGCTAGCTCTGGATCTCACCTTCTCTACTACCCCGTTGTCCAGGGATAACTCAATCCCTCCGTCATGATTCTTTATCATGCTTGTAGCGTCCACGCTCGTCGAACGTCTAGAAGGCCTTTCAGCTTCTTTGTAATTACTGCTCAATTTCTTCATCACTGGAGTTTTCCTATCATTCCCTAGCTTAGAAAGAAGATCACTTACATCGACCCCATCGGCCAGATCAATTTCATCATAAAGATCACCTTCATCGACTTGTCCGTAATTTTTATCCTCTCCGTCAAGCAAGTTTTCGTTGGCTAGGGATATCTTCGCATCTGTACTTTGTGAACGCCCATTCATAGAAATTCTTCTTTTGGAGTCAACGAAGTTTAGTGAATCATTTACATCCTCTTCATCAACATGTGATAATGATTTCTTGTGTTGGAAGTGCTGCTGCTGAGGAATGATACTTGTCTTGGATCCATTACCCAACATTCCAGTCAGTGATATAGAGGACGCCCTGCTCATGGATGTTCGTCCAGTGGGAATTCCTGTAAAAATCTTTTCTCCAAATGAAGATCCGTGTGACGTGGAAGGAAATGTGAACGTGTCGGTATGTGATCTGTTTGAATAAGATGATGGAGAGAGCTGGTTATTATGTGACATGGGTAAGTAGCTCATTTGATATTCATTAGCCAAAGAAGAAGGGTTGAACTTATAGTAGAAAAACTGGTAGGTGATGACAAAATTCAAACTCATCTGGAAAAAAGCAGCAATTATGAAAATCAAGCCTACATTATCGGTACCATAGAAAAGATAACTAATTTTTGTGAAATCTCCACCAAGCCATGACAAAAGCAAGATCACCTTGAAATTTTCGACATGTTTCAACCTTTGAAACAATAATATCTGTGGTAACGGTAATGAGGATTCAATCATAAAGGACATTGATCCAAAGGTTATACCTAAATATTCATTCCCATTAAAGGCAATTTGAACTAGCGATAAAAATGTGACAAACCCAATAAGAAATTTCCAAAATGAAATAGGTTGTCTCCATTGCCAATAATGAAACGGTCTTATATAATGATAGTCAAACAACCGGATCAAGTCTTTGACCAATTGTAGAACACATACGAAAAGAATTTCAGTGTTGACTTTCAAACACCTTATTATTATAGCAAAGACCTCTAAAATCATAGGGGATATTTCAAAAGTTTCGTAGTTATCATTATATTCCTCGAATGTGTCTTCAATGGCTTCTCTATTTAATAAAATAAATCGGTCATATAATTTGTCCCAATTCCCATGGTAGGTTTCGAAATGAATAGCATCCTCACTTCTATACTTCAATGCCACTCTGAGTAATATCACCTGAATGAATACCATCACAAAGCATTGTCTCAAAAGTGTGACTTCGAATGGGTCGTTGATATAATAGAACATTCGTAATATTGAAGCAACAAGCATAGTGCCACATATGTCAATAGAAAACCCCTGCGAGGACTTTTTCCTTCGGATGCTCAAAACAGTCGACCCATAGGAAAGCAAGGGAGTGAATGAAAATATCATGTTCACTGCCGTTGACACATAGGGTAGGAATTCAGGTGAGATCACTATATATGCCATGCTTGCCCTTTTTCCTTCTCTCTAACAGTCTATAAATCTATGAGTTGAGTTATAAAGGATAGTATATCACAGTAACGAGCTATCCCTTGTCTAGCCTAGCTCTGAAGTCCAAACATATGAATTTGAGAATAAGGAGCCCTATGGAATCGAATCAGATCAACACCTGGAAATGCATCGGTGTATCGTGAAAATGTTCGGCTGGTGAGAAATGAATAAACAACTTTCGCTCTCGATGTAAGGTGATAGAGCCGAAATAGCATAGCATTACGACATTGGTTGGTAATAGTAACAAAGAGGACCTAGATGCTAAATTCTAATTTTTGAGTTCTACGTTTTCAGTTGCTTAGATTTATCGGTGTCGAAGGTGTTACTTCCTTTCGCAGCGCCGCCATCAAATCATAGTAGCTTCACCCCCGCTGTGAAGGACAAAAACATCATTTCTTTCCTAACTTGTCTTCCACGAACGGGATGTATCATGTAGCTTTACTAGCAGACGAATACGATTGGTAGCAGAATAATTCCACCAACATTGTCGTATTTACTGGATCCAATCAATCATCATTGTCGTGAACGATCAACCGCACAAAATCATGTTCGCTCGTCGAAGAGAAGCCTTGAAAATTAGTGTGGTTTAAGAAAACCGTGTGTTGATAATCTCTTGTGCCCTCATCAAAAGCAGCAGCAGCTTCAGAAAAAAATGAATCAGCCACTTGGGGAACAGGAGCTATGAATACACTGAAGTCTTTGGCATCAGCACAAAAATTGACCAAGGCTGATATCATTCCTCTTTTTTCTAAGTTAGGTTATCCGTTGCCAATGACTACGCGTAAGAATGATCTTCTTGAATCTTTAGAAATCAACCAAGAGGAAAACTATGCTGAATCTAAGAGAAGCTTGACTGCAAATGGAAGAATGATAATTGCATTGGATATGGGATTGAAAAATATGTCAATGGCAAGGCTTTGTCTAAATAAGCGACAAAAGCTGCCCACACTGTACCAGTGGTTCAAAATGGATCTCGATCCGTTAGAATGCGCATTCAATCCGATCAATTATTCCAATATAGCATTAGATTTCCTACATGACCAAATCATCAGTGATGTTACCGTCAGGGGGAGCAACCAACATATATCGGTACTTCTGGAGCGGCAGCGGTTTAGAACAGCTGGATCATCGGCGGTTTTGGAGTCAACATTAAAAACGAACACATTAGAAGCCATGTTATGTATGGGTGTCGCTACTCATAACAGAGCCACCAAAAATACTGATATACAAATAAATACTATATCAAGTCCTCCGGGGGCCATGGTAAAGTACTGGCAGCGATATTTTCCGCCAGAAGAGAAGTTCAGTGAGAAGCAGAGCAAGCAATTCAGAATGGACTTAGTATTGAATTTCCTGTTATCAGTTTTGAAACCTTTAAAACTATGCCCAAAGAAGGTAAAAGAGCATGCGCTAATAAGTTCTTTGCCTAACCCTGAGAAAGCCAAACCGAAGTTTTCTCTCTCTGAACAACTCGTGCATGGCCTTGTCACTATACTAAAAACTTCAGAGGGAGAAAGAAGATGGAACGCCGCTTGGAGCTTCAAGTCTCAAAGCAGAAGACTTTGGGAGGTTGCCCGAATAATCAATGAAGCCAATGATGACGATTATAGAGTCAGTGATGACGGGTGGGGAGTGAAAAAAGGAGATGATCTAGCAGATTCTCTTCTCCACGGAATTGCCCACCTTGAGTACCAACAGAATCGGGAAGTCTTTCACAATTTAGTTCAAGAAGGTGGAGACATACGATCCTTTTTACTAGCATAATATGCAATGACTTTTTTGTAGAATTTAACACTGTAAATTAGATATGAATTATACGCAACATGATAAATAATGGTATAAAAGCTTTGAAATTTTTTTAAAAATTATAGAGAAATGAATTATAGAAGAAATATATTACCACACCAAACAAGAAAAAACATTAAATCGTACATCTTAAACTTAATTGAGTTGATGTCCAATTGGACCAAGCTAACATCGTGACATTCAAAATTGATAAGTTGAACGACATTATCTATTTAATTTTGCTTGAGAGCAACGAAAGGCTTGCCCTGTTCCCTCAAACCTTGAGCGTATTTGACTAGAACATTGAATCTACTCTTTTTGATTTCACCGGTCTTCTTTCTGAGTTCCATCATTTGCTCGTCCCAGAAGTTAGCAACAAATCCCTCGTTCTCGGTGCCTTTGATGAGTTCATACATGTCGTTACAGTATTGGGCATCCTTCAAATTACCCATGATGTGGAAAGTGGATCCATTGCCACGGGTTGCCACCTCGCGCTCATAATCGGCGTACATGTCTTCGGTTGATGGCAATTGCAGTCTACCAGATAAAATTCTGGCAACGTATTGGCCTTGAGCTTCGGCGAATGGGAAAGGAATGATAGATTTTGGCAATCCTGCGAGGATGAGAGAAGGATCTGGGATGTAGAAAAGCTGTTTGTATAAGTAACGTAAGTGAGAGCCGTCCGTTATTAATGACTTAGGACCACTGATGTATGATTTGAGGAATGGAACCTCATAAAGATAACCAGTACAGAATAAAATCTTATCAATGCCTGAAATGACTTTGCCCGACTGAGTTGTCACAGATCTGTTGTTTTCAAAATCATATTTGATAACACGGTCGACCTGTTCGGTTGAGTCTTCGATGACGCCTTTGAACATTGGCTCACCAACACAAGACATCACGATGCCCTTGGCAACAGTCAGCAATTGCGTTGAGATATCGATACCGGATGCAGAGTTGCCAATGATCAGCACTTTTTGGTCCTTGAACTTTTCGACATCGTTGTAATATTTGGCGTGAGATACAGATGTTGGGTCCTTATTGAACCAGTTTAAAAGCCCCTCTGCCTTTGGCACGAAAGGGGTGTCAAAGTGTCCGTGGGCCAGAATGACTTTATCGTAGTTTTGCGTTTCACCTGATTCTGCCGTCTTCAATTCCCATTTGTTGTTGTCTGTGTTTTTCAACAGGGATTGCACCTTGGTGTTGAACTTGAAGTTGACGAAATCTGGTATAGTCTTTTGGTAGTCGAGTAAGTAATTGAGCACCTCGGATCTGTTGGGGAAAGTGTTGGAGTTTGCTGGGAGAGGGTAGTCTTTGTATCTCATCATGTCCTTCACAATGTTTGTCTCCGTATGTTTGTACATTGGAGACAAGTGTGGGTCGTTGTCGGTGACTTTCAATGCATTTTTGTTAGCCTTTGATTCGGAAAGCGCAAAAGTCACCTTTGACTTATCACCAGTGTGATTCCATAATCCACCGGCTTGAGGACGTCTTTCGTACACATCGATTGAGCCGAAAATGTTCTTTGCGTTAGGCTCTGCTGCAATGGCCTTTGCAAAGCCTAGACCCAATGGTCCAGCACCGATGATCGCAACCTTAGGAACACCACTCATGTATACGGTTTGTCAAAGAGGGATTATGTAAGCGGCTTTTTTTTCCACTGAAGCTTATCACCGTCAGAGAGCAAAACCAGAGAAGGAAGGGAAGAGAAGCACAGGCGTAAAATCAAAAACCCTGCAAGAAGAGGAAGAGGACTAGGAGAAGGAGTGCAAAGAAAGGCGATATGTTATATATATGGATGCCAATGAACAAAGGCCAGAAACCCAATTACTAACACGAAGCTATCCCCCTACGGAGACTGAAAATTTTTTGACACCTTGTGCAGTAGCAGCATTCGGTACAGGCTGAAAAATCTTCTCCTCCCGCTATATATGGACCGGGGTTCTCTCCGCACAGAAATCATAAGATCATCTGAAAAACATCGACAAGACCCGCCCTGACCTGCATATCTGGAAGGCTGACTCGGGCAACTAAACCCGATAAAGCAGCTTTGTAGCTTCCTGTAACGCTTCCCAGTGCCCTTCTTGCCTAATTCATACATCTGAAAAACACTCCAAGTCACGTGCAATTGCGCCAGCACCACATTTGCCGTTGTTAAAAATGTCGAGTGTCTTGTCACGTGAGGTTGCGCGGAGCCTATTTTTTTTCTTCAACGCGACATACTTGGATGTCGCGGGTGCGGAGGGGCAAGGGAATGTGGTGAAACATGAATCAGAGAGCCTTTGCAACTGCTTGAAGGCGTTGAAAAGCAAGGTAAAAAGCAGTTTAAGATTAGGATTAGAGAAAAGTTCAGTATTATGTCTGATACAGAGAAGCCGCGTTCTTTGAAGAGAGTGAAACATGTGATTCTCATCTTGTCCGGGAAGGGAGGAGTCGGAAAGTCGTCGGTGACAACCCAGATAGCGTTGACGTTGGCCAGCGCCAACCTGAAAGTCGGTGTGCTCGACATCGATCTCACCGGACCGTCGTTGCCGCGCATGTTTGGAATCGAGGAGAGCAAGATCCACCAGTCGGAGCAGGGCTGGATCCCAGTCTACAGCCCGGCATTCACGAACCAGCAGGAGCTGAATTTGAAGCTCATGTCGTTGGGGTTCTTGTTGAACAACCGAGGCGACTCGATTGTCTGGCGTGGGCCGAAGAAGACGGGGATGATTCGCCAGTTCTTGCGTGACGTCGTGTGGGGCGAGCTCGACTACCTTCTAATAGACACGCCGCCAGGTACCTCCGACGAGCACATTGCGATAGCGGAGGAGTTGAACAAGTGCCCCGAGCTTATTGATGGCGCAGTCATCGTCACGACGCCGCAGCTTGTGTCTGTCAACGACGTGCGGAAGGAAATCAACTTCTGCGAGAAAGCGAACTTCCGGGTGCTTGGAGTAGTGGAAAACATGTCTGGGTTTGTGTGCCCGTACTGCGCGGAGTGCACGAACATCTTCAGCAAAGGTGGTGGCGAGAAGTTGGCATTGGACTTGAGCTTGCCCTTCTTGGGAGCCATACCCATTGACCCTGCGTTTGTAGATCTGATAGAGCGCCAGGGGGTCATCAAAAGCGAAAAGGGCGAGACGTTGGTCGAGTTATACCAACACTCCAACATGTATCCGTTGTTCAAGACTGTTGTGGAACAGATCTTACATTGAAGCTGCATGCCATTGCCATCGTTATCGCCATCTTATTCTCAAAATCGCACAGCAACTTATACGCAACATTATGTAGGTCTACAGAAAAAAAAATTCCGTCATCATTAAACTAGTTGTACAACTTTTTCAACTCGTCAACAAGCGAACCGACGTGGTTCTCAGTCGTAGACCTTATGGTCGAAGCGGAGTCGGTGGAGCGCATGGTCACCAGTTCATCGCTGACCTTACATGTTGCCGTTTTCTTTGACACCAAAGCTACGGGATTGAAGACTTTTTCTCGCTCGATGTCGGCCAACTTATGGGATTGCACCTTCTGTATCTCTTCAAGTTCATTTTCGATGTCCAAATACTGGTTCAGCTTTTTCTGGGAGATCTCAGAATGGGCCAAAGAGTTTGATCTGTGCATTGTTTTCGATGGGTCAAGTTTATTGCCTGTTTGTGGCTGTGTTTGTTTTGTTGCAGGCGCAGACTCGTTTTCTTGAGGGTTTTTCTTGTCGTCAGTCTTGATTTCCGGGGAATTTTGCTGCTGAGCCTTTTCTTTCATGGCATAATTGTACAGCTTGGCATAGTGCTTTTTATTTGGGCTTTTCTCGTCGAACAACCGCTCACGTCGTGAAAAGTTCTTCTCAAGCGTTTTTAACCTGGTTAATAAAGAATTGATTCTTTTCTTTTGAACAACCGTCTCATCAAGAAGTTCCACAAAGCCGCTATCTATCTTGTTGTACTGTTGTAGGCGATTATCTATGTTTTTATTTGCCGATATTCTGAACATTGACTTACTGAGGCCAATTTTCATTCCTTTACTTTTCTTCTTCTTTGAATCTATTGTTCCGTCATCCGCTTCCAGGGGCTGAGGATTTCCGACGTTCTCTACTCTGATGTTGTGCACTACATCATACACATCATTAACACGCTGCAACTTCTGTAGGAGCTCATTTTCGACATTGGCTAACGATGATAGTTGCTCGGTGATATCGTTAGTGTATGCCGCAACAGTCGTGTTGATACTGTCGTTGACGTTTTGAAGGTCTTGCGAGCCTGTTGGCAACCGGGAGAGGATGTGTGATAACGAGAACTGATGTTCTGCAGGCAATTCAGTTTTCGGAGTCTTTCGTACCATTGCCTTCCCCTTGACTCTAGTGCCTTTGATCTTTTGTTCCTGTGTTTGTTGTTTCCCTCAACCTTCTCTCTAGATTTCTTTAATTTCTTCCCCGGGCCTCAGGGACTGGGCTTTGTAGAGCAAAGTGTACCTAATTGAGGTTTGTAGATAGATGATTATTTTTCAGGGAAGAATATTGCGTCTGCAGTAGATGTACTTCGGTTTATTGCCCCATTCGATTTACAGGGTGAACCTTCTTATCTCATTACAGCGAGGAAATTTAAGATTCGTAGTGCACTTCTCGCAGCGGCTCAAATTTGGCAGTTGCCGGTTAAACGTGCATGCATGAAAGAGCTTGTTGTGGAGGACAATTGTAGAGCTTGAACTTAGCCGAGCAGCGGGTTTTAGGTATAGACTGGCCCTTGAGTATGGGTGGGAGAAGTTCATTTTTGAGTAGAGTTCCTGCTTTTATCGGTTTCACCGTTTCCGGATGTTGTGCCAATGTTTACACGTTTGAAAAGCTTATCCAGCAAAACTCGGAAATCACGACCTTCATCACTTTTAGCCAGTATCTATTTATATTTATCTGTGCATCTCTCTATCTGAGGTATACTTCGTTTTGGACGAAAAAGAAAGAGGCAGAGGAGCTCGCAGCAAGAAAAGGGAAAAGCGCCAATCCAAGCTCCGGACTCAGTTATGAATTTGTTGTTCCGGTCCTATCCCAGGTGCTCACAGGGTACTTGGGGAACCTTGTGTTCCAGTTTGATCTATCCATGCCTTCACACATCATATTCCGGTCCTCTGGAACTGCGATGACCCTACTCCTGGGGTGGGCGTTTTGGGGCAAACGCTACGGAATTGAAAAGATCGTCGGCTCCAGTCTCATTGCCGTTGGGACGATTATCTTCACGCTCGACGTGAAAAGCGTGTCCGACGGGGAGACGGCTGCCGATGCCGGAGCTGGCGGGTCAACACGTGTGATAGGGATTGTGATCTTGCTGGCTACAACGGTGATCAGTTCTTTGACCTCGCTGTTCAAGGAGCAGTGGTACCAGCACGGCAGCAAGAAGCTGGAGTGGAGGGAGGTGCTATACTACAACTACCTCTACGGCACGGTTATCTACGTGCTGCTGATTCCTCAGGTGGTGAGTGAGTTCCACAAGCTGCAGCTGCAGCTGGCGGCGGGTGCCGGTGCACCCGAAACCCCAGGCACCAGTTTCACGCTGGTGACGTTTGTGCTGAATTGGATCACACAATTGTGTTGTATTCTCGGAGTTAACGTGCTTATATTTCGCATCAGCGCCTTGAGCTTGACTATTGTGCTGCTTGTGCGCCGGTTCCTCTCGTTGATGCTCAGCATCTATGTTTTCGAAAACCCGGTGAGTCTGCTGGGCCACGTCGGCGTGCTGTGTGTGTTTGCTGGCGCAACAATCTACTCTTTTGGCAGCAAAATTCGGCAAACGACCCGGGGAGGAGAAACGAGGGACGTCGGAGAGAAAAAAGACAAGAAACGGCGCTAGGCCGCATTACGTAACGCTCTTTTCTGTAGAATGAATTCAGCGCACAGCGGACGAGCATAATACAGCAGTGTAGAGAAGAAGGCAAGAGAGAGAGAGAGAGAGAAGGAGAGAGAGCAACAAGCAGACCCGAAACAAGACCGACACCACACCCCAAGCACCGCCGATGTCGTACTCTGGGAAAAGTCTAGCGAGAGCGCTGGGCGTGCACGGTTCTGTCGTGAGAAGAAACGGGGCCCGCCACGTGCAGCTGAGAAACACCGCTGCCGCCGCAAGACTCTTCTACAGCACGGGCGCCAAGACGGAGTCCAAACACAAGCCCGCCGCCGACGCCGCCGACGACGCCGCCGCCGAGGACGACGAGTACTACGTCGACGTCAGCGACCTCGACAAGAGATGGCCGTCGCTGGCGTTCGAGGCCCAGCAGGACATCATCAGCTACCTCAACGTCAAGCAGGAGTTCGACTGGCGCTACCTCTCGCCGCCGGAAAAGCGCGCCATCCACTACATCGCCTACGGGCCCTGGGGCGCCCGGGACACCAAGGTCATGACCGGCGCCGAGTTTGTGTTCAAGCTCATGACCAACATGCTGCTCTTCAGCGTGCTTGGCTTCTCGATGCTCAACTACGCCGTCGACCAGGAGAAGATCGCCGACCTAGAGCACTCCGAACAGCCTCCGCAGCAGTAAGCCCTCCTCCTCTGCACAAACACATCTATAACTCTCTAGCATACCTGTCTATACTCCAACCGAACAGCCCCGACTTGCCCCATCTCTTACGTAATCACCCGGCACGTGACCGCACTTTTTTCCTTCTTTCTTCTTTTCTGCGCCTCGCTGCGCCTGGACAGCCCGGGATTCCAGACCGGCGCGCTATTAATAGAGCGCGTGTCGCGGAGCACCGCGCAGGCTAGCAGCACACTGTCCGCTGCACAGTACGGGCTGGAGGCGCACAGTACAGCAGCGTACAGTACAGTACAACGTATGAGGCGTGTCGTGTCGTGTCAGCGTGTCGCTAGTTATGTATTGTCGCTTTCTGCTATTTTCGCATTTTTTTTTTTCTGGCCAGCGCTGTCGGCGCGGGACGGCGCCCCTGGCTCAGACAGACGGTTGGGATGGTACTCTGCAACGCCTGCCTGTGTCTGCGGTTGGACCTGGCCTTCTTTCTGGTTGTTGTTGTTGTTGTGGCGGATGCAGACGGCGGCAGCAGTGGTGAGGTGTGGTCAGTTCTGGTGGTAAAGGCCTGCTGCTTCGCCAGACACCTTTCTCCTACCGACGTCCGCTGCACATCCTCCAACTGCGCCCACGCCTCGTAGCTGCACCTGAAACAGACAGACACACAGGCCGCCAGAAAGACAGAAAGACAGAAAGACAGACCCCAGGCCTGCTCTCCACGTTCTATCATCGCTGCAAAGCACGACACTCCACACTCCACACACCCCAGACACAGCAAACAAACACGTGGGTGTAACCGGCTTGTCCCATACAGCACTCGCCCCGACCACAGGCAGACCACCACCCCGCACGCCACTCGTTTACACACAAGGTGGAATCAGCTACAGCCACCGACACACACTCACTGCACCGTTGTTGTTTCTGCACCCGTCACACACACACAGACACACAGGCTCCCCCCTCCAATAGCATACCACAGCAGCCATGCCACCAAGAAACTTGACCTCCGCGTCGCCCCACATCGGCTCCAACACAAACACAAACTCCTCCTCCAGCGATGAAAACCTCAACATGGAGGACCCGTTCAACCAGGATGCCAACGAGTACGAGTCCCAGAGCTACGACGAGTCGTCGTCGTTCAACAACTCCAACACAAACTTGAACGCCGGCGCCAAGAACGGAGGCTCGTCCACCCCAGAGATAAAACAGCACCTGCTGAACTATAACTCCTCCTTCCACAACTCGTCCACCTCCTCGTTGGTGAACCCCTTCTCCTCAACCAACAAGTTGAACTCTCTCTACAACGACAACTCCAAAACCACAGAATACGACCGCTACCCAAAGCGGCTGTCTGGCTCGAGAGTCAGCTCCATCCACTCCTCCAACTCTAAAACTCCTTCCTACGTCAACAAAAGCAACATGGACACCGACTCCTTCTCCAACTCCAGCGACAGATCCTCCAACCCGTTCTTGGTCGACACCGACTTCTCGCCCTTCGGCGGCTATCCTGCCTCTTCTTTCCCTCTAATGATCGACGAAAAGGAGGATGACGACTATCTACACAACCCAGACCCAATACAGGATGCCGAGTATGAGAAGCACCGTATATGGTACGATTTCAAGTCCATGGACAAGAGATACTCCTTAGCCCTCCTAGGCTTGCTCTTTTTCTTGTTTGGTGGTGCTGCATTGTTTGTTGTTTTGCCTGCAGTCACTTACACAAACGTCGCCGGCCACCACGATAAACTCAGTGCTAATAGAAACTCAACTGTAGGATCCGGTGCAGTTATTCTCTCGGATTATGTCTACCCTCAACTATCTGCCATCAGAACCGATATGGTCGACCCAGACACCCCAACACAATTCCACACAAGAAAGGCAAAAGATGGATCCCTGTGGAAGTTGGCATTCTCAGACGAGTTTGCCGCTGAGGGCCGGACCTTCTACGACGGTGATGACCAGTTCTGGTACGCTCCTGATTTCCATTATGATGCTACTAAGGATTTGGAATGGTATGATCCGGACGCTGTTACAACGAAAAATGGTACTGCCCACTTAAGAATGGATGTCTTCAAGAATCATAATCTGTATTACAGATCCGGTATGTTGCATACATGGAACAGAATGTGTTTCACTCAAGGTATCATGGAAATCTCCGCCAAAATGCCAAACTATGGTAACGTCACCGGTTTGTGGCCAGGTATGTGGTCCATGGGCAACTTGGGACGTCCTGGTTACATGGCAACAACTGACGGTGTCTGGCCTTACTCATATGATTCCTGCGATGCAGGTATAACGCCTAACCAGTCATCTCCAGATGGGATCAACTTTTTACCGGGTCAAAGGTTGAGCTCTTGTACTTGTGAAGGTGATGAACATCCAAACAGAGGTACTGGAAGAGGTGCTCCTGAAATCGATATTATTGAAGGTGAAGTTGACACCAACATCAGGGTCGGTGTTGCCTCCCAATCCATGCAGATTGCTCCAATGGATATCTGGTACATGCCGGACTACAATTGGATTGCTATTCACAATAACTCGATCACTACGATGAACACATACGCAGGAGGTCCATTCCAACAGGCTGTTTCTGCAACCACAACTATGAACACCACTTGGTACGAATTGGGTAACTCTACGAGCTATTTTCAAAAGTATGCTTTTGAGTATTTGAATGATAATGACGATGGATATCTGAGATGGTTTATTGGTGATGATCCAACTTTTACAGTCTATGCCAATGCCTTGGCTCCAAATGGTAACATCGGATGGCGTAGAATCTCCAAGGAACCAATGTCTGTTGTTGTCAACTTGGGTATCTCCCAGAACTGGGCTTATATCGATTTCCCTTCTATTAAATTCCCAGCAACATTTGAAATTGACTATGTCAGAATTTATCAACCAAATGATAGTATCAGTATTACGTGTGATCCTGAAGATTATCCAACCGTCGATTACATCGACGCACATCCAAAAGCATACAATATTTGGAATTATACCTTATGGAACCAGACGGGTTACTCTACGCCGAGAAATAACTTGACCGGTTGCACTTAGGCAATTAGCCAACATTCAAGTCAATTTATATCAAATTCCCAAAAAGTTAATTGACTTTGGATAATGTCATTCGAGACATGTTTCTTGATCATATATTAATCCCTTCTTCTTTCATCATCGGTTCTCATTTGGTTTCAGGTATTTCTTTTCTCATGCTCATTCTCATGCTCACTCTTTGCAAAACAGATAACTTCTACATTTTTCAAGTTTCATTTCATTTCATTTTCATTTTTACTCTCATCTTCCTAGTTCCCCATCATTATCCGTTTTCTAACTCATTGTGTATTCCTTCTTTTGTATAATTAATTGCTGTTTGTAAACAACAATTTAGTTACACATCTGCATAAAAACGGCATTTTGCCTAAAAAGCAAATTAGTGGGGTTAGTTTACTATACACACTTTGCATCAAATGCCCTGTTCAAGTTTTACCAAACTTGAACTGTCTATAAAGAAGCAGTCAAAACTATCGAGAATTTTCTTCTGTTTTACAACTTCTATTGCCTCTCGCAATGCCATTCCGGGCTTTTGTACTTTTTCTAGTCCTTTCAAAACTTTACTCTCACGAACATCCTCTGACAGTTTGGCAAACTCGACCCATTTGTTATAGAGAGTCTGCCGCACATTAAGTGGCACCTGTTTGCACAACTCCGGGTATGTGTCATTGCTATCGTCCTTCGCCTTCCTCATGCGCTGTCTGTTGTAATCTGTGTAGAATTTAGGGATCTTAGCGGCCTTGTACGTTTTCAAGCTCACCGCAAACTGTGACTCCGGAGTGTCTGCCTTGAAGATGTCAATTTTCTCGGATAAGATTTCCTGTTCTCCGAATTCCAAAGAGCCATGTACTCGGCAATATTCATCCCAAAGAGACCTACGTGCCCTGGAGCTTAAATTATGGCAACCACGTACCACATAATTTGGGTTCTCTATGATATCGTTGATTTCAAGATCATAGGAAGAATATGCATCTACTCGCAGCTCTTCCAAAGTTTGCACAAACCCAACCGCTGCTTTGACAGGAACGTCTTCTTTGTTTCCTCGTGCTCGTTCAATTTCAACTATGTTCACCAGGTTGCTGTACCGCTCTAAGTATTCAAAAGTTTGAGGATCATCAATCTCTGATAACAAGGCTGATGGGTCACTTGAATCAACCTGAAGAGTTTTTATATCATTCTCTTCCTCACTCACCAAATCGTCTAAATCAGAAAGCCCCAATGCGAACTCATTCTCATCTCCGTCACTATCGTTGTCATTGTCATCATCACCGTTGATGTCTGTATCAACATCGCGTTGATCATCTTCAGCGAGCTCTTCATTCTCCACTTCTCTCATTTCTTCAACCCGAGAATCACTCCGCTTTCGATGTTCAATTACTTCTGCTGGTATGCCAAGCATCTGGCGAACCTTTTCAGACACAACTTTGCTGACTCGAACACCACGGATCATTCCAAGTAAACAAATGACCAAATCTTTGATCTCTGACAACTTCTCATACGCAACCATCAAACTTTTATCATCTCCATTCAACCGAGGCATTTGCCAAAAAGATTGACCTCCAAGTTGATCCACATAAAATCTTTCTGCTCTTGTGGTTATGACCATGTTCCAACGCTCAGATAGCTTTATCATGTAAAGAACAGCCCCGTATAAATCATGATTGTCCCTTTTCACCCGCTTCGTACGCGATACATTCCCAGTATCTGTCATTTAGTACGGTCACTCTATTGCTGCCATTGATTATGGTTCTACCGTCTTGTCACCTTTCTCATCTGGTGCCTCAAACTTCAGATTTCAGCCAAACTTTCACTATCGATTTCTTACCCGCACCTCAAGTGCTATTGATAACTTGGAACTATTTACATGTTTCATACGTTCTATACAAACCTGCTACTTTATAAAGGTATAACGGCCAATCGCAATCAAGATTAATCAGTCCATTCGATGCAGCCCTCATCAACAGAGCTTGGATGTGATTTTCTATTCAAGACCAACTTGACCTTGTTGGTAACGCCTGCTTTTTCGTTGTATTTGGTTCTGAAGTAATTTACAGTCTCCGCAAAGGTCACAGGTGGTAGGTTTGAAGAGTTTTTAGAACCTTTCACATAGCTTTCGATTTCGTATTGCGAAGGTAAACCCATGTGGTGGGGAGATTTGGAGAAATTGGCGACACTTTCTCCCAACTCAGAAAAGTTGCTAATTTTCAAGTTGTTCAAAGTTTCAATCAAGTTTTCTAAAGATTCTTTGCTTTCCGACCCACCAGAAGATTGAGGGTTGTAAACATCCAATGAGACCAAATCATCAACAATAGAAGATGGGACGTCCTTGAGAGTTGGGTAATACTGGGAAGGTATTATCTCGACCTTCTTTTCAATCAACTTGTTCTTTATAAAATCATTGAAGTCGTTATTACGATAGTTGGTCATCAACTTAGCTGCCAATCTTAGTTCTCTTGTTAAAGACTCTTGGATGGTTGCATTTCTGTTTCTTGACAACATGTTCCAGTTAAGGTTGAGAGAAATAGGAGATTTTGAGCTTAATTTCTTCACAGTCTCAAGTGCAAATTCGGAACCATCCTCTTTCAACGAGTTAATAATATCTTCGACGAACTTGTTAGTTTTTGGATTAAAACACTTTTCGATAGTGTTCAACTGCTCTGGAGTGTACTTGAATTTGTGTGTTCTTGGGATCTCCTCCACGAACTCTTCAATTGCAGAGTTGACAATGGCAAACAACTGCGAGCTATTATTGTGGTTGAAAACCTTTGAGTTTCTTCTGTCTAAAGATAGGTCTGGCAACTCGATTTCAGAAAGTCTGCTGATCAATTCTGGAAATCTACAGGATGGCACATAATGTGTTCCAAAACCCATCAACAATGTGTCATAGCCAGTTAGTTCGTCACCAGTCAAGGAGAGGTAGTAACCAAGGTTTGCATCGAGCTTTGGTAACCAGTAGGAAGTACCGACATCGCTGAAAAAGCCGATCGAAGATTCTGGCATGGCAAATCTGGTTGAATCGGTGACCACCCGAAATGAACCATGGACGGACAATCCTACACCGCCACCCATAACGATACCGTTGACTAAGGAAACGACAGGCTTACCGTATATCGATAGCAAGTAGTTCAAGTTGTACTCGTTCTGAAAAAACTCGATAGATTTTGGAGACTCATCGGCCATGTTGTTCTTTGCGCATTGGATAACGTCACCGCCAGAGCAGAAGGCCTTTTCAGAGCTTGATTTGATTAGCACTAAACTTGCAGACTTGGACTTGGAGTACTCCACAAGTCTTGGAATGATTTCGGTGCACATCTCGGTGTTGAGCGCATTGAGTTTCTTTGGTCTGTTCAACGTCACCGTTCTCACGTTTCCGAGAACGTTGAAATCCACAAGGTTCTCCTTGGAGGCGGCAGTGGCCATGGTTCTGAATGCACAAGTTGCAGCAGATCTCGAGCTTTTCACTGAGAGCTTGGAGTAGGAGAGCATTTTAGAAATTGTATCCGGAAATGTAACTTACGTTTGTACAAAGGTTTTTGCAGGCTTTCTCACTGATGAAAAGGCAGATACGATTTGATGTAATGAATTCTGACCGTTTCCTAGTGTGTTTGGGCGTGTGTCAGGTGTGTAAATATCGGGTGGAGAACTGAAAAATTGGAACTCTGATGTCCAGCCGTAGGAAAACTCTCTGTTTTGCTGGATTTTCAAACCAAAAAACCGCTACGGGGAATTGTTGAACCTGATCTGTGAAGTCTGGGCCGCTGAACGTCTTCTCTGGCACCGCTGTCGGCCCGTCAACTCGACCTCTTTTGCCCAACTTCAACTCCAGATCCGTCTTTTCACTGCTGTCCACCTCCGCTTCGAAACAGACTCCCCACAGCGGGCTCCCGTCGGCCGGGTAAGTGCTACACGCGTGGGCGCTTACGTCAGCCGAGGACCGATTTCTACAAAGTGGCATGCTTTCTCCAAGTTAACGTATCTTCCCCGATGCTAATACCTTCTTGGTGCCTTGGCGTAGTAGTATGCGTGACAGAAAGCTTTCCAGTTCAACAGCCGTTTTCGTTTCTTTCCATTACTACTGCTCTTATGTCTGCTGCTGAAGTTAAGCATAGAGTGTCACCGTTGACGCCCGACATACAACCAGAGACGTCTGAGTCTGATCTACAGGACACAATGTCGCAGTACCACGAATTCTTCTGGACCAACGAAAAGGACCCACACATTACTCGGAGAAAACAGATACTGAAAAAGCACCCGCAAGTCACGAAGTTAACGGGACACGAGCCGCTGACCAAGTGGATTTCTCTAGGCGTCGTGTTGCTGCAGTTCACAATCGCATATTTGCTGCGCAACACTCACCCGTTGTCCTGGTCGTTCTTGCTCACGGCGTACTGGATCGGAGGCTTTGCCAGCCAGAATTGCTTTCTCTGTATCCACGAGCTCTCGCACAATTTGGGGTTTAAGAAACCAATTCATAACAGACTCTTCTCCATCATCTCGAACCTACCCATCGGAATACCTTACTCCGCGTCATTCCAGCCTTATCACCAATTGCACCACAAATTCCTCGGCGATGAAGTCTACGACACCGATTTGCCTACTTACGTGGAGGCCATGCTGCTTTCTAACGTCTTGGGTAAAGCATTCTTTGCCACGTTTCAGATCTTTTTCTACGCGTTTAGGCCCATGTTCATCACCTCGATCGAATTTACAACCATCCATTTGCTAAACGTCGTTGTCCAATTTTTTGCCGACTATTTGATCGTAACGCACTGGGGCTGGTATTCTCTCTTTTATTTCCTGCTTTCTTCCTTTTTCGCAGGCTCGCTACACCCAACTGCTGGTCACTTTGTTGCCGAACATTATGTCTTCAATCCACCGAAGCTGTTTACACCTTTTGAAACCAGACCTCCGGCTGAGACGTACTCCTACTACGGGCCTTTGAACTTCTTTACTTGGAATGTCGGCTATCACACCGAGCACCATGATTTTCCATTCATTGCATGGTCGAAGTTGCCTATTTTGAGAAAAACGGCTCCTGAGTTTTACGATGATTTGCCTCAGCACAAGAGCTGGTGCTGGGTGATTGTAGATTTCATCGTTAACTACGATGTCACCATGTATAACAGGGTGAAGAGACATACCGCAGGCCCTGTAGCCAGGAAAACTGTCGACTACAACGATAACTCTAAGTAAACTTTCCAGTGCCCCCCACCTTGAGCCCTTGTTATATAACTTGATCTTTTTACGCATACACCTATATATCCAACCCCCCAAAATACTGCATTCATTTATATATATATATGTATACATCGTTGTACTCCGATGTAGAAGTTTCACCTTATTAGACAAAAAGTCCGTTGAGCCGCAGAGAAAGATACACGAAATTCGAGGTGTTGACCAGAGCGTAAGCCGTTTTCATGTTTCCTGGATTTATAGATCCGGCAAAGATAAACTTCACAAATTAAACAATTTTTCAACAAAAAACAGACCCATGACATCAGAGCAGTCACTAAAATCTTTTCTAGAAGCTCTCAATGGCCAGGCGCCAGAACAACGGAAACACACTCTGTTGCTTGTCCGCCCCTCAAATGAGGAGTACATTCAGACCCTGAAATCCTTATACGACTATCTGCAGTATAAACCAACTGGCAATTTAGAAGAGTGTGAACTGGAGCAAGGCGTCTTGAATTACACGTACATCAAACCAGACGTTGAAGAAGAACCCGTCGAAGGATACGTCGAAGTCTACACAATCTATGACCCTTCTTTAAAGAGCTTCTCACTCACCAGAAAACTCATATCCATTTTAGAGAAAGATGCCAGTGCAATTGATGTGATAGTGTACATTGACGCCTTGAAAACTGAGTTAACTCCCATAATCAACTCCTCGATTGAAGATGACTCAATCATGGATGAAGAAATCAAAAAAAATCAAATCATCCCTCATCTACATCTTTTACTTGATCCCTTCTTCAACCTGAAAAACACCAAGCACCAGTGGAAATCTTGCAACATTTTGGCTTCTAATACTTCGAACTGGATTTACAAGGCGGCAACAATTTCAGTAGTAGATTTTGTGCAGCAAATGCTACGCTCTTTGCTGCAACAATACTACACTGATCAGGCAAGATCAAGAAGAGGAATCCTAGTTTATTTTCCATTTAAAGTAGCAGATAGCAACGATAAGTCCAAAATTGTTTGGCATCACTTACTACTGCAGGAAAAGGCTCCAGAATCAGTACAACCCTTTATGAGTAACTCTCCTGTATCCGAAACTATCAAATACAACGATGTTTTTATCGATTCGAAAAATGATAACTTCCGAAATATAACTCTACTGGATGACACCTTTGAATGGACAAAATGTATGGATTGGTGGAGCCGTCGGGCAGATGATACGATCCTGTGATCAGGCCAAATCATTTAGATTGCAACGATGTAAAACATGCCAGCCTGGTTGACTGTGACTCTTGGTCCGCAGTTACGTAATTACGTTTTTTCCCCTTCTTCCCCGAAAAAATATTCCTGCTGCCCTTTCCGTTGAAGACGTGTTTGATCGAAGAAGAAGTGAACAAGGCACACAGATTTCGAGATTCAAGCACAGTGTTTTCGGATCGAAAACAAGCTGGGATTTGTGTTTTGCTTGTCTTTGCATTTCTCAAAATAACTACGCTATTAAGCGGTTTCAAGTTGCATTTTTAGGTTATATTGCTAGATCACTTTGGCTTCGAGAAAAAGAAAGCCGGGAGTGAACCGAGACCTACAATGAGCCAGAATTTGATAGAGAAACAAGTTGGAAGTGCCAACGGTAGTCATGATGGCGATGATGATAATAATGTGCATCGTCACGTGGCTAGACTGAGTATTTCCGTCGGGGATGAGTCTTTCGATGAACGCCAGAAATTTTTATTTTCACTGAGAAACCAACATAAACAAGAATCAAACGAGACACTTGACAACACAAAAGAAACAGAAATAGAAGCAGAAGAAGGGACGGATAAGCTTAGTGTGAAGACGAACAGCAGGACCGAAAGAACCAAGAAGAGAAAAGAGTTGAAGAAACTCAAGAGGAGAGAAAAAAAACTCTTGGACGACTTGAGCTCGAATTCAAGCTCCGCTGAATCACTTCATGAATCTGCGATTGCTGAGTCAAACGAAAAAGTAACAGTACCTGCGAAAAATGTAAGGGGATCCAAAAGAAGAAGATCGTCAGTGGCTCAGACTGTGATCGTGCGGAAGAAAAAGTTCTTGGAGTCAAAACCCCAGCTATTCATCTTTGGTGACAGAGAGAAAAAAGCCTCAATATCATCTATACGAGATTTGCTTTTGTATTCCCTGACAGATATGGATGTCAAACCAAGATGGTGCAAACTAGAGAATCGAAAATCCGTTGACAAATTTGTGATTGTATTTTTGCGTGGCTTGACAAACGAGGAATTTGGGATGCCAGTGCTGAAAGATGAAACCGATCCTTTGCTAATCTCCAAATATCAGCTTAAGCCAGAGCTAGACAATTTTCCTCAAATTTTCAAAGAAGTGGTGCCGATGGTTTCGCCGGGCTCAAACAAATGTATATATTCAACCTACTCGTCCTTGGTCTCCTACTCTTTGTCAAAAAAGCAAAAGCTTGCTATTCAGAAAGAAAACGAAAACCGGAAAATAGTTTTGCCAGACCTCTACCTAAAGTTAGAGGAGCTAACTTTCAACAACTATCCTATACACCATGATGTTGAAGGTGCAACTAAAGAGTTAATTGATATGACAAGAGACTTCAAAAGTACTAAGAATTTTGAGCACGAAGGTTCAAAGACTTTTGCATTAGATTGTGAGATGTGCCGTTCGGAACACAACAGGATATTGGCAAGAGTTTCATTAACTGATTTCGAAAATAATGTCTTGGTTGATGAATTGATTATACCTACAGAACCTATTGTGGACTACTTAACACAGTGGTCGGGTATAACTGAAGAGAAAATAGCAGAAGCAGAAACAACAGTGGAAGAAATTCAAGATCGCATACTCTCTATTGTTTCTTCCAGTGATACACTAATAGGTCACTCCTTAGAATCTGATTTGAACATCCTCAAAATTAAGCATCCAAAGATCGTGGATACTTCCCTTTGTTATGATCATCCCCGTGGACCTCCAGCAAAAGCATCTTTGAAAATGTTAATGTCATCTCATCTCGATACGTCCATCCAAAAGGGGTTTACCGGTCATGATTCCGTGGAAGACTGTATAAGTTGCATGGAGCTAGTCAAGTTGAAGCTTGCCAAGGGATATTTGTATGGCAAATCATACAACATGGAGTCCTTGTTCAAACGTATCTCCCAAAACTACAAACTGGTCAAAACTGCAGCAGGTGTGAAGATTCCTAAGAGCTCAGTTGTCATTGGGTACTCTGCTGTTAAAAATTTTGGGCACCATGAAACACAAGTCCAATGCAGATCTGATGACGAAGTTGTCGATGAATTCATTGATAAACAGCCTAGCCATGATCTCGTCATAATGAAAATGAGAGAACTAGAATTTTTTAAGAAATTTTCCGCTAATAATACGGTGGAAGATTTAGAGTTACCTGCTACAGAAGAAGAAATGCTCAGAAAAGTTAATGATAGATTGAAAAGAATTTACGACAATTTGTCGCCGAATTCGATGTTAGTCGTGTGCTCTGAAAATGGAGACACGAGAGAAATGTTACGATTGCAAGAGTTGTGCAAGACATTTAAGTACAAGGTGGAAAAGGGCGAGAACAATGAAAGTGTGCACGTAAAGGACGACAGCTGGACAGAGGATAATTCCGAGAAGTTGGCTATAGCTACTGAAGTTGCCAAAGATAGCTTGTTCTTATGTACGTTGAAAGCGGAAGACTCTGATATTACCAGAAGCTCAACACCTGAATCTCCCCTTACAAATGAGAACTCTTTTGCAGAATGATTGAACGAAACTATACGGATGGGGTGTAGCTACCCTTAGTGAGGAGGTAAAGCCTCTGAATATGGAAGTGTAAGCTTCAAAGGGAGTTTGTGTATTGTATATACTTAATATATGGTAGAATACGCGTAATACTTTAGCGGTGCGGGAATTCGAGATCTGCCTAAAGCGGTGTTGACATGAATGTGACTTTTCGGGAAGGCATGTTTGGGGCTCTTGCATTTATAGGTATTAACGAGCTCATCAACGCTCAAACATTGCCGGAGGTTAATGGTGGTGGTTGCTTCCGTTCATCATAGTGAAGTAGACACAAAAATGAGGCGATCCTATGATAAAATTAGAAGAGATTCGAGCAGGACGCAGAGGCAAACAATCAAAGAGTCCATGATAGAAGAAGACAACGTGTTTCTGGTGCCGAAAAAGGGGTCTTCAAAAGACAAGGAGAAGGACAAGGAGAACGAAAAAGGAATGTCAAAGACACAGGGAAAGAAGTTGCTGCCAAAGGACATGCACTCAAACGAATCGATTCTGGAACAGGCTCATAATGAGAAAAACAAAAAGGTACTCAAGAAAAGAAAAGCGGAAGAGGTGGCTACCACTGAATCCGATATCACGACAACAGCTAAAAGAAGTAGGACAGGAACAGGAAATGGAACGGATGTGGGAGTGAGCACGATCTCAAAAGTTTCAGATGATCAGGAAATGTCAGAACCTGAGACTAAATATGCATTAACGCCCAGTGAAAACCAAGAGCTATACTCCTTTACCAGCAAATTTCCCGGTTTGGAAGAATCATACAAAATTCTGCAAAAGATCGGTGAAGGCACTTTTTCCAGCGTGTATTTAGCTAAACCAGTGGCGAGAAATTCACTTCACAAAGGAATCAATTCAACTGTAGCATTAAAACGGATATATGTCACGTCGTCACCACAGAGAATATACAACGAATTGAAGTTGTTATACACGTTACGTGGACATAAAAATGTTGCTCCGTTATTAGATGTATTGCGTCATGAAGATCAGGTGGTTGCTGTTTTACCGTACTATGAGCATTCAGACTTTCGTGATTTTTATCGGGACTTACCACTTTTTGGAATTAAATCATATATGTTTGACTTGCTGAAGGCTCTTGACTTTATCCATTCCAAAGATATTATACACAGAGATATTAAGCCAACTAATTTCTTGTATGACCCATTCTCTAGAAGAGGGGTCTTAGTTGATTTTGGTTTAGCGGAAATCGATATGGAGCCAATTACAAACAAATGTCCATGCTCTTTTGGCGGATATACATCTAATATGGTACGTCAGTTAAACGTTGATTATGCTGGCCAGTTTCCAAAAAACGGCTACTTGAAAGATGACCAAAGACCTGGCCGTCGTGCCAACCGAGCAGGAACAAGGGGATTCCGTGCTCCGGAAGTCCTGTTTAAGTGCAACAATCAATCTAAAAAGATCGATATATGGTCAGCAGGTATCATGTTATTAACGTTACTATCACGCCGATTTCCCTTTTTCAATTCCACAGATGATGTAGAAGCTATAATGGAAATCACCAATATCTTTGGGATAACTGAGATGAAGGAGTGCGCACTATTTCATGGACTAGAGTTTGACTGCAATATCCCCAAAATCAAGGATAAGATAAGTTTGGAAGCCTTAATAGCGAATGCAGTGATGATGGATTGTAAAGAAGGTGACACCTTTGGGGAAGACTCTCCGGCATGGGAGTTACTTGCCGCCATTGACAAGAAAGGGGTGATTCAAGATAACGAGATTGGCAGAGAATACGCACAAGCAATTACCGTGCTGAAGAAAAGCATGGTGTTGAACCCTTACGAGCGTTTGGATGCAAAGGATCTTTTGAAACTGCCATTTTTTGATGAGTTTAAAGATATCCCACATCAATCTGGATCCGAATAGGTTTGCTAGAAATGATAAATTATTATGCATGCATGTATAAATTATAAAGAAAAAAGTTTAAAAATCCAAAAGTAAAGAATACCGATACAAGTTATTTGAGAACAAAAAGAAAAAGAAATGTACATTCACCATTGAAAAACGTACTTAATCATTCAGTCTTCTTTGGAGTAGCTGTATTCCGAAGAACAGTGTTTGTCTGAGCTTCTTTTTCAGCAATTTTGTCGTTCACTTCTTTGAACTTCAGGTCGACTAGAGCCTGAAGTTCTGGACCAGGATGCAATGGTCCAGACTGTCTGTAGGTTTTCAAGAAAGCAAAGGCTTTTTCGTAGGACATCGTTGACAACTTGGTGTTGAGAAATGCACGTTCTCTGAGAAGCATTTCACGGGAGAGCACAAAGCGAGGGGAAGCATCTTCTGGCTTTGTAGCAAGAGGATGAGCCAAGCTGTCATAACCCTCACCTTGTTCCAATGTTAAGAAACATTCTTTGATATAGGATAGCTTGCCACTCTTGTAGATGTTCATAATGCCGCCGAACTCGGCAATCATGAGTTTCCTTAGTGCGTCTTGGTAGCCCTGCTTAGTGGCTCTTTTGACGCCGGTCCACCCGAGTCTGATGAGGTCTTCTCTTTCAAGAGCGAGAGTAGGCTTTGACCAGGAGTAAGGGTTGAACAAACCAGCCCAGAGGATGAAGTAGAACATGGCGACTTTGAAGATGTGGAAGGCGAAGTAGATGCATTGGCCAACGACGGTGACAGGCTCGTGAATATCGTTGTAGAATTTCTCAGCCTGGGCCGGCTTGTCTAGCAAGTTTTTCAAAAGAAATACAATAGCGTCGGTGACGTAGTTGGTTAGACAGATGCCTGGGGTTGGGGAGATGAAGTCCGGGAGGTCAGTGTAGAGCCATGCGAGGAAGACGGCAAGGACGGAGTAGTGGAGAAGAGTCCGCTTTTTGAACACGGGGACGACCAATTGTCCCGGGAGACACCTGCTCTTGACAGGCTCGTCGAGGTTGGTGATCCTGGTGAGGTACTTGCTTTTGTCAGCCTCGTACTCGTAGAGCACACCGCCCGTTCTCGTGAGGAGCCCCGGGTAGTGGGATACGGAGAAGCCGACGGGGAGTCTGTCGTAGAAGATGGACGGGGAGAACACCACCGGGATCGAAGAGAAGATGCCGAAGAGGTCTCTAAAGGTGGTTTTGTCCGAGACCTGGAAACAGAAGTCGTCTTCTGCGGACTGCTTCATGCGGATGTAGATGTCGAAGGTGTCATCTTCGAGGACGAGTCTTGGTTCTAGGGTGTCCGTCATGTTAAGGGAGGGAACGGGGGCAGCTGACAGGGCGATTTGGCTGGGGCTGTCTGTCGGTCTATCCCTCTATCTACAAGCAGAAGAGGAGGCCCGTTTGCGCCAGGAAGACGGCCTGAAGAGACACGTCGCCTTCGGGGCCCTCGTGCATCGACCCCGTGCTCCCCCGCCGTGTCCGGTGCAGACACCGCGGCGGCAGGCAGGGAGAGCGGCTGGAGCGGCTGGAGCGGGGTACAGCGGCGCAGCGAGCGGTTTATCCGAGGAGAAATTCCGTGTTCAGTATAGCTCGATATAGATCAGGTGTTACACATATGTACAGAATTAGGCTTGGACAACAGACAAGATGTCCGAGTCACCGGCGTCCAAGATGGACAAGACACCGACTCTGAACAACTTACCACAGGCAGTGCCCAACTCGTTGTTGCCGCCTTGGAAGTAGTAGACAGAAGTCTTGGACAACATGGCGTAGTACTCCAACTCGGACTTTCTCAAGACAGGGGTGTTGGCGGCGATGATGATCATCTTAGCCTTGTTCTGTCTGATCGACTTGATGGTCGACTTGTAGCCAAGGGTGTACTTACCGGACTTGATGGCCAAGGCCAACTTGGCGTTCATAAGGTCGGAATTCTTCTTGCTCTTTGGGGCCTGAACAACACCAGAGGATGCACAAAGCGCAGCGGCGCTTCACACTACACAGTTAGTATACGGCTCTCGTATAGCGCCCAGCGCAAACGACACCCCCCACAGCACGCCCGCGGGACGCAATGGCGTAATGAAGACGCCTCACGTCCACGCAGCTCTGTTGCCGGCGGCGAAAACAAAAGATATACTGACCATCTCTGTGTATTAATATATTTCACTCCGGTCTCGGGATGCCAAAAGAGCCCCTCAAAGATGCCCCTGCACACACTTTCTCCTACCCTTCCTGCCAGCTGCCTGGCGCCGCTGCTGCTTTTATACTCCTCGCGGCCTGCTTTGGCTGAAAACTTTTCACCGCGGCCGCCGGAGACGCGCCGCGGGTCTATAGCAAGAGTAAACAGACGTGAGGTGCGCGGGGTGTGAGTTGAAAAAGCGTGACTGCGGGTAAATACCCCGCGCACCGCAGGCAGACACCGGATTGGTGTTTTTTTGCGGCGGGGCGAGTGGGAAAGTGAGAGAGACAGGGTAGTAGGGGGGAGAGAGAGGGTGGCAGGCGAGGGTGAGGGAGACAGTGGTGCAGATATTATCGGCAGAGGATAGAAGGAGGCTCTGTTCTTTAGTTGTGGACAAGGTTGGAAACAGACAGGAGATCGAGAACAGCCAAACAGCGTTAACAACACATCCAGCAATGAAGGTCGAAGTTGACTCCTTTTCAGGTTCCAAGATCTACCCAGGCAGAGGTACCCTCTTCATCAGAGGCGACTCGAAGATTTTCAGATTCCAGTCATCCAAGTCTTACTCCTTGTTCAAGCAAAGAAAGAACCCTAGAAGAATCGCTTGGACTGTGCTCTACAGAAAGCACCACAAGAAGGGCATCACCGAGGAGGTCTCCAAGAAGAGATCCAGAAAGGCTGTCAAGCACCAAAGAGCCATTGTCGGTGCTTCGCTGGACTTGATCAAGGAGAGAAGATCCTTGAAGCCAGAACAAAGAAAGGCCAAGAGAACCGAGGCCATCGAGGCCGCCAAGGAGAAGAAGAAGGCCGACAAGGAGAAGAGAAAGGCTGAGAAGGCCAAGCTCGTTGCCTCCGGCGCCAAGATCTCCAAGCAACAAGCCAAGGGTGCTTTCCAAAAGGTCCACGCCACCTCCCGTTAAGCAGGTTCGGTTGAAGGCGAAGTTAAGTCAAAGCGGTGTCGTGCTCCTCGACGCTGCCTCCGCACGTTGTGAACACTACCCACCCTTTTTTTAATTTAGTTTAATACAATCAAACATAATATAAAATATAAAAAAGGTCTTCCTGCAGTCACGTGGCCTGCAAAGACACCTACAGCAAAGCGGACTTTCTGGGGGCTGTCACTTCTGTAGAACCACCCCGAACCGGCTCGGGTTGGTCTCGTAGCTCCGGTCCAGCCTCGTGCTCGACACGTTCTTCGTCTCCGGCACTAGGTAGTGCACAAAGAAGATGCTCAGAAACGTGAAGAGCGCAAACACGCCTCCGAGCGCAAACCCGATCTTGCTTGTCAAGGTGGGGATCACCAAGGCTATGGTGAAGCTGAAGATCCACGAGCTGGACCCGCACACGGACATGGCCTTGACCTTGATTCTGGGCGGATACAGCTCGGAGATGACGACGGCGGCGATTGGGCCCCACGTCATGCTGAAGACGGCGATGAAGAGACACGAGAGCACGATGAGGAGAATCGTCACGTGGAAGTTCACCTCGCAGAAGGTGCCCACGGCGGTGAATGCCGCCATCAACAGCGTCAAGCTCACTGACCCGAAGATGAGCAAAACTTTGCGGTCGAAGAGGGAGATCACGTAGACAGACAAGCCGGAGAAAATCAAGTTGACCACCCCGAAAATGACTGGCACGAGGTATGGGGTCTTCAACTCGACGTTCTCGAAGATCGTGATGCCGTAGAAGAAGAAGTAGTTGATGCCGGTGAACTGCTGGAACGCAAGCAAGACGACGCCGGTGAGTGTTCTCTGGAAGTACTTTGGCCGACCCTTGAGGATCGACGTCGAGTTCTTGCTGTCAAGATGGTGGATGTTGTTCATCTGGAAGTTGTAGTCGAAGAGCTTGGCGGTGGCGTTGATGATGCACTCGTCGTCGAACGGGAGGCTGCGCAACTTGCCCAAGGACTTCTTGACCTTGCTGATTGGCTTCGAACGTTTCACCAACCAGTCGGGCGACTCCGGGACGAGCCAGATGGCGACCCCGCCGATCGCCGAGAGAAGGATTCCCTGGAGCAACGGGTACTGGTACTGCGAGATGTCGTCCGGGTAGTACCTTGTGGCGGAGAACAAGATGCTCAAGGCCCCGATGACGATGCCGACCGTTGTGAAGAGCTGGTTCAAGCTCGTGAACAAGCCCCGCTCCCGGATAGGCGTGATCTCGCTGATGTACATGGGGCAGGTGATGGTGGTGAGCCCGATGCACACGCCGTTGAACACCCGTGCCACAAGAATCACCTCCCACGACGGAGCAAGTAAGATCACCGTGTTTCCGAGCGCATACAGCAACATGGACACAAAGATTGTGCACCGCATGCCGATGACCGGGATCAGCTTCGCCGCAACCCCTCCGCTGACAAACCCGCCCAGACACGACACACTCACTAACGCTCCCTTCACAATGGGGCTGAACGTTGCCGGCCCCGTCTGCACACTGTCTCCGAACCGGGCACTCAACGCAGGAAGGTCCACCAGTCCGCCAATCGTGCCGATGTCGTACCCAAACACAAGCCCACCCAGCGCTATCAAGATCGAGTAGCAGGTGATGGGCAAGTAAGACGACACGTAGTCCTCCTCCTCGTTGAAATTCGCCAGCTCCTGGCCTTCCGTGTCACCTTTACAGTGCTCACTGCTGCTCTTGTCTACGCATACGGCCTCATTGGAGCCTTCGGCATCTCTCTCGAGCCCGTATTTTTCGTTTACTTGTTGCTCCGAATCCTGCTCCGCAGCCTGCTCCCGTCTCTGTGTCCGCAGGAGCCCGTCTAACGGTTCCGGAGGTATCTGTACAAGACTCTCCATCGATTACTGCTCTTTTTGTCAACACCTGCCACCTGTCCTGAGTCCACCACCGCCTCCCCTCTGCTCCTCCACCGTGCCCTGGCCTACAACGTCCTCTTCATATGGGGCAACCGTCCCCAGCAGCTGGTGATCCCTCCTCTCTCCCCCGTCGCTCTCGCCCGACCAGCCGAGCGCCGAGCCTACGGGCCCGCAGCAGACGCTGCGTTCTCTGGCCACCTCTCTGCCGGCCACATAACTTTTCCCACGCTAATGCAATTTCACATCCACGTCGTCACCGGACCTGCCTACAGTTGCTCCATACACAACTCTTGTGTCCGGCACGCCCGTCTGGGGTGGCTGGGCTGCATCTGCTGGCGCCAACCAAGGACGTCTTTTTTTTAGCGGGTCCTTTTTCCCTTTTGGCGCGTCCGCCGCAGATGGGGTCGGCGGCGGCGACGAGCCCCGCGGGGCTCTGCTAAGTCTCACATGGGCTGTGAGCACCCGTAGATAGCTGTTACACACACACAGTTATCTATGTGTTAATCACCAGCCCGCAGAGGCTTACGACAAGGGACGATCAAAAGGCCTGGCCCAAACCCACACCCACGCCCAAGGCGTTTCGTAGCTGGGCCAGGGCCCAGCAGAGGGGTTTTTCTCAGAATGGCGCGGGTGCTCGAGGAAAAAAAGAAGATGCACGTACAATTAAATCCCAAAGAGGGAATTCGAGGTGGTGATAAACCCAGCCATCGGAGTGGACATCTGAACAGGCCTTTGTCTGCATACTGCACGCTCGCTTAGCCTCCGCATAAGGAAGGCCAGAATAGCAAGCAAGGTGCAAGCGCCGTGAAATCCAGCAAGATATCCATTTATTTCCGTAGGCTACTAGTGGGGACGTCAAGATTTGACAGAGTCATTATGAGGCGGCAGGCGCTTTCCCAGCCTAATGCATCTGGAAGTTAAGCTTTCGTTGGAATCTACAAAATGGTCTAAGTTCCTCTTTTTTTCCTGCTTCCCCTGTTTCACTTTTATGCTTGCCTGTTGGTCTCTTTTTACTTTTCCTCTAACCGTTACTTTCTTTTCTGGTTTTGTTCGCCAAGTCACTCACTCTCTTCACTCACTGCATGGAATACTAGAAAGCGAATAACAAAAAAGACAAGCTAGCTCAACACTCATTTTCTCGTTTGTTCGTTAAACGCAATCCAACTTCTCACTTTCTTTAATCCCAGACAAGAATTCCAACTATTTTCACTCTTTTAAAATAGAACCCAACTCTTTACTCTCTTTTTTACAGCTAATTTCCTTTCATTCCGAAACAACGAAGCAAAACACTTTTTCACAATGAACTACCAACTCTTTTTGACCTTTCTAACCATGTTGGACTTCATCCTTGCTGCTCCAATCCCACTCCCTATTGCCGAGCCTATTGCTCCTGCTGCAGCAAGCGATGTGACTGCACAAGTCTTCATCAACGACATGCAGGTGAATCCTGCTCAAATCACCGCAGTTCACGATCTTGAAAAGAAAGACGTGATTATCACCGATGATTACACGGCAACGACCACAACCACAGGAGACTGCTCCACCACCGTCAACGGTAACGGTCCGGCCCCTCCAGCTGTTGTCACTGTCGCACAAACCGTTGTTGTCGACGGCAATGGGGCAACAGTTCAAGGTAATACTCCAGCTCCAGCTCCAACACCAACTACTGCTGCTGCCGCCACGACTTCTACTTCAGAGTCTGTTTATGTCACTACCTGGCCAAACGGTGAGGTATTTTACTCCAAGTTGCCACAAACCATGGTGAGCCCAGTCAACGTTGCTCCTAATACATCAACAAACAATGCGCCTACTGCAGCAGCAAACAATGCTCCTCAAACGACCAACAATGCTCCAACTACTAGTAGCACGGTGTCAAGCTCAGAGACTGAAGCTAACAACGCACAGAATACTGGAAACAGCCCTGCTCCTAACGTCCCAACAACGTCCTCGGATGCACCTGCAACCACTTCTGCTACTTCGTCATCATCTGAAGCCCCTCAACAAAACATCACCACTTCTGTTTCCACTTCCTCAACAGATGCACAAGTCGGTGCCCAACCAACTGCCGCATCCTCTTCTTCGACATCGACCTCGTCGTCTACCTCTGCTCCAAGTCCTTCATCATCTGGCTGCTTGACAAAAGTACCCCATGCTATCGTATACTCACCTTACGACAACAACCGTTCATGCAAAGATTTTTCTACAGTCTTGAGCGATCTCCAATTGATCCACTCCAAGGGTATCAATGAATTGAGAGTGTATGGTAATGACTGTAACTATTTGTCAACCATTTTGAAGGCGGCAAAGCAGACCGGATTCAAGGTCAACCAAGGCTTCTGGATTAGCGATGCTGGTGTAAACTCCATCGACACCGCGGTCGACGACTTCATCTCCTATGTCACCTCAGGCTCCGGTGGTTTTGGCTGGGAACTTTTCTCATACCTCACCATTGGTAACGAAGCTGTCAACAGTGGTTACTGTTCTGCTTCCGATTTGATCTCCAAAATTTCTGAGGTCAAGGGCAAATTACAAAATGCTGGCTACTCCGGGAAGGTGACCACCTCTGAACCTCCTGTCTCCTTTGAAAAGAATCCTTCCTTATGTACAAGCTCAGGAATTGACTTCGTTGGCATTAACCCACACTCATATTTTGACGCCAATGCCTCAGCGGATGAAGCCGGTTCATTTGTGTCAGGCCAAATTCAAATTGTTCAAGGAGCTTGTGGAAACATGGATATAGTTGTCACTGAAACTGGGTATCCAAACCAGGGTGATACAAATGGTAGAAACGTCCCAAGCCCTGAAAACCAATTAATCGCAGTCCAGTCCATTTTAGACAATGTCAGCGTGGATGTCACTATTTTAACAACTTTCGAAGATCTATGGAAACTTCCTGGTCCTTACAATATTGAGCAACATTTCGGAATAATACAAATTCTTCCATAAGCACTGTGCTTGTTGCATTTTTTTTTGACCAGCTTTTCATACATCTTTTTCTTATTCTTTCGTCCACATGCATGACCATTGTCATTAGAAGCAAACTCATAAAAGTCTTTGCAGTGAAGACTTTATGATACTGCTCAGATGAGGTTCTATGATTTTTAGCACTTGATTTTTTACAATGATTCAAGCTCAAGTTCATTCACATACTTTGTACAGTTCATTTTCGTTCATTTTTCCCATCATATTTTATGTTCTATAATTGTATACTAAAATTCCAAAATTTGAAAAACCTTATTCATCAGAAGCCCAAGCTACGCTCCCCAAAACTATTAGATAATGATACAGCATGTTGTCTATGTAATGATAGATCTATAAGTAGAAAAGATAAACATGTTTACTCAGAACTGAACAATCTTGTTAGGGAAAAACTCATCAATCAACTCTAGGTAGTAAGGCTTCAGCTCCTCGATATCATAGCGCACGTCCGTTTTCGAGTACAAGTCGTACGGGTTGAAGGCTTGCACGCATTCCAACATTTCCTTATCTTTCTCGTTCATCAAGTACTTGTAGGCGCCCTCGGAATGCCACGGGTAGAATGAATGGTATCTGATCATGGCCAACCCTTCCGGCGGAAGCGTCGTTTGCTCCTTAGCCAAATGGTACATGTACTCGTCGTGCCCCCAGCTCAACATGACGTTGTCGAGCCCGCAATGCGGGGAGTAGAGGCCATACTTCGTCCCATAGAGCGGGTTTTTCGTATCCACGTTCTCTTTGAAATAGTCGTAGTAGATGATCTTTTTCGAGAACTTGCACCCAACAGGGAACGTGTCGCCAACGACATCCCATTGGCCCTGGGAGTCAAAAAAGTAGAGCAACTTGCCCAAGTCGTGGATGAGGCCCACCAACTGGAACCACCTCGGCTTGTTATCCTTTCGGATTGCCTCCGCAGTCTGGAGTGCGTGGTCAATCTGGGACAGCTCGGTGTCGGGGTCCGACTCGTCGAGGAGCTTGTTCAACTTCGTGAGGGCCTCCCATATCGTCATGCGGTCCCTCACCTTTGTTTTGAAGTTGATCCGGGCCTGGATGTTGTAGGCCACCGTCTGCTTCTCGTGCTGCTCCTTGTAAAACAGCTTCACCCTGTCAAACGCAAGCTCGTACTGTCGGTACTGCCTGCTGCTGGACAAGGCCAGCACCGTCGACTTGCTGCGGTCTTTCCAATGAGCAACCTCTTTGTTCTCCTCCTCCGGAGTCTCCACAGCACGTGCGTCTTCCTCACCACCCTGCTTGGCCGGACTCCCGCTACTCACTTCGGACTCGACCTTTTCGCCTTCGCCGTCCTGCTCCAGCTGCCGTATTCTGCGCTTGAGCAGATTCAACTCCTGGATATCATCGTCTATTTTTTCCAACAGCTTGGCCTTATCGAGGTTCTGGTACTTGCTTGTGTCCAGAATTTTCGACACACGAGCCGCAGAGCTGCTCACTAGTTCGTCCGTGCCCATTTCTGTATCTCCTGAGTGTCTAAATCAGACCTCCACAGCCGACACTGCCTCCGAAACCCGTCCAGAAAGGGTGCCGGACTACCTGTTTTTATCTGTCGTCCGATTATCATGTCCTTGTCCGTTCGACTGTTAATTGCCGAAAAAAAGAAAAAAATGCAAAAAATGCAGAAAAATGCGAAATTGTCCCAAAAGGGTAACAAAGTGAAAAATGACAAAAATTCCCTGTCGTATTCACCCGCGCCGCAAAAATGGCAGGCGCACGTGATATACCACACAAATTCTCGTGACCAGAGAAGCCAGAAGGTGTGCTTGCATGTGATAATGTCTTGTCCCCTGCCTTTGTCGCGATATCGTAAACTGACAGAAGGAGCGTCTCTGGACGACAGGACATTTTTTTCTTTTTTGATTATTCCGTATTTTTTTTGGCTATGTTAGTGCCCTTGGAAGACGGCAAGCAAGTGAAGACAAGGAAGATTGGATCGATTGTGTGCGGTGTTGAACAGGACATCCTTTGAAAACAGCGCGGACTACAGCATCAGCACAGCAGCAACAGTAAATGGGCATTGACAACAAAGAACGCTTAGAGAAGGGATCGGCGGAATCGCCTGTGGCGAGATCCGGCTCGGCAGACGCAGAGAAAGACAGGAGTAGTGATCTAAAGCCTGAAACGTCCCGACAATCCGAATGCGAACTCAAGCTCGACACAGGTGCACAAGCGGAGTCGGCGACGAGCCAGACCAGCCAGGAAGGGGCTGTAAACGAGAGAGAGAAGAAGAAACAGACCTTCATTCTCCGTACCATATGGACGTTGATCATGACAGTGCTCTTGTTTGCGACGTTGACGGCAGGACAATTCTGGACCATTGTGGTGGTGCTGCTCATCCAGATTGCGGTGTTTAGAGAGTGTATCAACATCACCACGCACAGAGCGAAGCTGGAGGACTTGAAGTACACACAGCCCTTGAACTGGTGGTTCTTGGTCACCACGATCTTCTACCTCGACGGAAGAAATCTGATCAAGTACTTCTTGACGAACTTCGTTGTGTCGGACTACACCAGCGTCATTGCGATCAAGCTCGTGATGCACCACAAGTTCCTCAGCTACTGCATGTACGTCACCGGCTTTGTCGGGTTTGTGGCCTCGTTGCGCAAGGGGTCGCTCAAGTTCCAGTTTGCGCAGTTGTGCGTCACCCACATGACACTTTTGTTGGTGATTCTCCAGGGCCACTGCATCGTCAGCAACATTCTGCACGGCATGTTCTGGTTCATAGTGCCTGCAGGCTTGGTGGTGGTCAACGACATCTTCGCCTACTTGTGTGGTATCACCTTTGGAAAGACGCAGTTGATCTCCATCTCGCCGAAGAAAACCGTTGAAGGGTTTGTTGGAGCATGGATCTGCACAACCTTCTCCTCCTTCCTTTTCACATACATCTTTTCCAACGTGAACTATTTCATCTGTCCCGTTTTTGACAACATCTACACAACCTTCTTTTCCGTCGTGGAGTGCGACCCTAACCCGGTCTTCATCCCTCAGATCTACACTTTGCCAAGCTTTTTGGTTGAGATCCTCCATAGGGAGTACATACAGGTGAAGCCGGTCTATTTCCACACAATGATTGTTTCTATGTTTGCTTCTTTGATTGCTCCCTTCGGTGGCTTCTTTGCCTCCGGCTTAAAGAGAGCTTTTAAGATCAAAGACTTTGGTCACACCATCCCAGGCCATGGTGGAATCACAGACAGAATGGACTGTCAATTCCTAATGGGCTCTTTCTCCTACTTGTACTACGAGACTTTCATCTCCACCCACAACGTCAACGTTGGTAATATGCTACAATCAATCATCGTCAACTTGGAGCCACAAGATATCATTATTTTGATCCAGAGCTTGGTTACATATTTATACAAAATCGGAACCATCGATGAAGCAACCTTCCAAAAAATTACCTCTTCTCTTGCATAGACCCCTCTTCCGATCTCGTCCCACCCCCAATCTTCATGCCGTTTACTATGAAGTCGTATATATATTTGTATTCTTCTAGTAACATTGTATAAATCTAGAACGATCCCTCTCCTCTTTTTTCTTTCCTTCTAGTCTTAATTTGAACACTGCGTTCGTGTTTGTTGTGTATAAATACATTCTTTACTTGTTTAATAACTAATTATGCTGATATCTTGGTCACAAAAAAAAATCGATTTTTTCCGCGTACTATCTGATAAACAATCGGCCAAGAAGGCTCTGTAAGAACTGACACTTTCCAATTGAAGATTATGCTTTGGATCTGACAGTCAATTTTTTCGATTGAGCAGAAATCACAATGACAACAGCAGACTATTATTCAGAAGATGTCCCCGTCTTTGAAAATGAGCCCGAAGTGCTAGAATCTTTTCCTACAGCTGATAACAACATATATTCCCAAAATAAAATCAGCGAACGACAATTTGATCCCGGGCTCGTGATTGAAGAAGATACCCAGGTTAGACTGAAATCTTTGAGCAAAGATTTTGAAACAAAAGTAAAAGAGCAGCTTCTTTACAACTTCACGAATAATACTGCGGCCAAGAGTTTTCGAAAAAAAGTAAACAATCAGTCTTCAGATGCCCGAAAGAATAATAGAATATTGAAATTTACGATGTTGGAAAACGAATTACGATCCCTTATGGTTGAGATAGACAATGATACAGAAAGTGTGGATTTGAATTTAAAAAAAAAGGTAGATGGACTTGTAAATGACATAGATCATTTTAAACTGGGGAGACCAAACACATTTTTGGGTTACTGGGAGGAAAAACTTAACGAAACTAGAGCTAGGGAAAACATCGACATCAAAGACTGGAAAGAAGGTAATGAAAAGGAACAAAAGGAAAATAAAATTGGCAATCCTAAAAAAATAACAAAAGATTCGGACTCAATTGTTCTAGAACTGGAATCGAGAATATCAAGACTTGAGGATAGCGTAGGATACGAGTCATCTCAGAGTATGACACCAACAATACAAGACACAATAGAAGACTTGTACACGAGAGTGAACTTAATTTTAGATGGTGGAGAGAATTTAAATTTGGTGGAAACTGAGGTGCTCAAGCTTATTGACAATTGTGAAACTTATATAAAAGACTCAAAAAGAGTCAAAGACAAATCCGAAATTGTTCCTTTGACAGACCGAAAGCTATGCCTTCTATACGATAAGGTTAAAACGTTACCTGATTTTGCGTCTTTGTTGGGAAAAATAGTGGACCGGTTTAGCTCCTTGAATGATCTTATTGTAGGAACCGCAAATAGTGTGAGTTTTTTGCAAGGATTAGAAAAAGAGCTTTCCACAATGGAGAGTCGGTTGGATGTTTGGGATGAAAAGATAGATCTTTTCAGCTCTCAGTTGGCAGAAGATAAGAGGCTATTCGATGAAAGAACAAAAAATATAGCTGAGTAAAAGATCAGGAATTGAAAATTAGAAAAACATTATATACCACACTATACCCGAATTCATTTCGTGAAGATGGAAACAACGTCTTGGTCGTGCACCTTGTGATTCAATCCACACTTTTGTGGAGCATTGCCAAACTTGGATGAAGAACCCCATACCAATGCGTATTTGAACTGAAACTTGAAGTCCCGGTGAATAGAGTTACATACATCTTCAATTGAGGAGTCGTGTCTCACGACCATCGGCTCTCTAAAGTCAGGTGCAGTTCCCCTTCTCTTTGTGTATAATCTTAATAGGTCTAATCTGTACCACACTTCTTCAACAACATCTTGGATTCCTAAATCTAGTTCGCAAGACATCACAACTGTATTTGGCTCTCTCGCAATCCGGTCAACCTCCTCAAGGGAAACTGAATCCACTTTGTTGTACACATAAAGGCATGGTGTATAAACAACGTGCTGTTCATTTATAACGTCTATCAAATCATCAACCGTTATGTTCTCATCCCTAACCATAACATCGGCATTGTGGACTTTATAATCTTTGAGAATTGATGTCACCAGTTTTTCATCAATGTATTTAGGAGGTGTCAAACAATTTAATTTAATTCCTCCGGTCTTCTTTATCTTGATACTCATATTAGGTCTCTCTTTATTTAGACGAATACCAATAGCTTCTAGCTCTCTTTCCAGGTGTTCACGTTGTTGATGCGACTTTGTGGCATCTAGAATAATTATAATCAGATCAGCAGTCTTTGCTGTTGCAACAACTTGTCTACCTCTACCTCTACCTTCACTTGCACCTCTTATAATACCAGGTAAATCCACAACTTGAATCTCTGCGCCCTCATATTCCAAAACCCCCGGAACTGATGTGAGAGTCGTGAACTCATATGCGGCAGCCTCGGATTTTGTCTTTGTAACCTTCGATAAGAAAGATGATTTACCCACTGAAGGATAACCAATCAAACAAACACGAGCATCACCACTTTTTTGCACTTCAAATCCCTGCCCCTTGCCTCCGCCGCTTCCTCCTTCTGGTTCAAGTAACATTCTTCTATACTTTGCAAGCTTACCTTTCAAAAGACCCAAATGATATTCTGTGGCCTTGTTTTTTTGGGTCCGTGCCATCTCATCCTGTATTTCTTTAATCTTTCCTACAATGTCCACCATTTTGCTTGTCTATGTAGTATCTGTGTGCAATGTAGTTTGACTATATTTTACTTTCTGTTATTCTCTATTTTCGAATGGAAATGTTTAGCAAATCTCTTTTCTTGATATCGAAAAAGAGACAAATATTTTTCAGCCAACGGGGAAGCTCGCTACATTTTCTAAGCATACATGAGAGAAAACTTGATGCACTCTTTATATGGAACTGGTGTTACATAATTATATACTTATAACCTCTCAAATCTTAAGGCTTTCCATCTTTTTGTTCAAAGACGCCACTTTATTAGGAGTCTTGTTCATCTGGTTTTCATCGGCTAGGTACAGGCGCAACCTCTCATCTTTCACTTCTAAAAGTGGCATTTGATCATTTGCTTGTAAAGTGCATAGCCTTATCAAGTATTCTAATAATGACAAAGGAGAGCTGTTCCCTATTTTATTATTAGGCTTGGCCTTATCAGTTGCCTTTGCTTCTATTTCCTGTTTGGCCTCAGTAAAGCTTTTTTCTTCGTCATGCTCGTCCTCCTCTTCATCGTCATCATCACTATCTGATTCAGTTGTGCCCATTTCGTAATCACCCACAGCGATCCATTCGACTCCTCCATCATCGTGCGGCTTCTCCTCAGCACCATTAAGAGTTTCACTATCCAACTCTTCGGATGTTGTTTTCATAGTCTTAAGAACCAACACCGGGGAAGATCTGTCCTCTAGCTTTAAAAGTCTCCCAGACGCACTAAAAAAAAGCTTGCTGATTTGACGTATGTCATACGATTTTCTTTCTGGTTTTTCATCTTCTTCGTGGTATCTTTCATCATCAAAATCTTCCAGTATTTTCAGTTTGTAACAGTATTCAACCTCATTATTTGGAACTCTTACAACTTGAAACTTACACCGAGCGTACTTCTCTCTCCATGTAATTTGATGCTCCCCGTTAGAAGCTGCCGTGTGATTATAATATATGTTGTAGAATGTCAAGGAAAATTCCGGACCAACGTTAATTTCTTGTCCGGACTTGTGTTTGACAAACTCTTCATTAGACTGATTTACCAAAACTGTCGAATTTAGTAGCCGTCCGGGAGAAACATAATCTTGAAAATTATTTACGGTGGATGTACCGTATGTAGTCAGCACTAAATTTAAGATAGGAATTATGTTATCAATTTTTTCAACCAAATCGTCAATTGTTTTTTCTATGATTTTAAGAAGTTCAGAACTAATTTTTTTTTTTTTCAAATCGGCAGTCAAGATTTCTATATCCTTGGAAAAGTTATCAATATCTTCCTTCAAATAATCGGCTAATTTTAGCACATAACTCAAATTAGAGTTACCTTTTGCAGCCATTAACCTCAAAACTTCTATTGAATAAGTAACAGTTTCCACTTTGCTTTCTAACTGGTTTCTTTTCCTATCTAATTTCTTCTTCTGTTGCTCCGGAACATGATCCATTAAAGTGGAGACTGATTTGATCACGTATGTTGATGCAACCTGCACCCCCGATCTTACTGCAAAGGTAACAAGGGTACTTCCCGCCTTCGATAGTAGCTGGTCCATTCTTATTAAGTCGGTGGTGTCTGTGTTAGATACTATCTCGAGCTCAGACTCTATGAAGTAAAGTGGTTTTGATGTGATCTAATTGAACTTTAAGCTCGGACCTTTTTCCGCGGCACTCAGATGGGTAGAAATAATTCCGGAGTAGTTGATACGGGCCCTCAACTAGTTGATTATAATTTCGAGCTTCGTACTGTTTGATACTTTGCTATATACAGTAAAAAAGGAAATATTATACATGGGACAAGGGAAAAATATTAGCTTCCTATAAGCTTTCAGAATCTATTTCTGAGTGGTTTCTTTTTTGACTTAGCTTCGAGGTACTTTTTTTTCCTTTCCACTTGGCATTGATATCGTCAGCAGTTTCTAGACGAGTTCTACTCCCATATTTTGTATAGCTGTTCATTGCCTGGCCTATCCCGTCACCCAAGTTGACATGAATCTTACCTGATCTTCCGTCGGCATCTTTTTCCTCCGTGAACTTCCTCATGAAATCAACAATAGTTGACTTGACTTTGTAGTCATTCCAAAGGCCATCAACCGCCTTGTTAACGTTGAATGAACGTTTTGGGCCGCTACTCCAATGAACAAGAGCTTCGTCAAAGCCGCAATCATAAAGCACTAATGGAATATCGTGAGCCATCTTATATACTGGTCTAGAAGGATAGATCTCGACATTCAAAAGTTCACGTACAATAATTGGATCCTCGAATCTTTGAGCAACTGTTAATAGCACCGCAATCATACATCTAACTTGGTGCCATAAAAATGCAGTTCCTTTCAAATTGAAAACATAAAGATTTTCATTACCTGGAAGCTGGTCTATCTGAGAACATAGAATAGTTCGCTTGAAATTGTGAATCTGTTTTGAAGCATCAATCTTGCAAAAGTTCCTAAAGTCATTTTCACCCAAAAAGTAGCCAGCAGCTTGGTTCATGGCTTCGATATCCAGTCCTTGACCGTTGAAGATATACTTGTAATGTCTATAAGTACAACTAAACCTGGCATCAAAATCTGGTGGAGGTCTCAAGCAAATGCTGTGTATTCTAATGTCCTCTGGAAGTGATTGGTTTATTGTTTTGATATAATCGATTTCTTTGGTATCGTTGGCATTGTCCTTGAGCTCTTCTTCAGATAGCTTGGATCTAACCTTTAAGGATATTACTTGGTTCATCGCACTTACTCCCTTATCTGTTCTTCCACATCGGCTGAACTCGCATTGCCCTTGATCCAGGGATCCAATTAGTTTTACTTTGTATAATGCCTCCATTATTTTAGCTTCTATAGTTGGTAGGTTGGTCTCTTCACCTTGTAATGCAAGACCCTGATAATCCCATCCAAGATAAGCAAACTTGAGAGCTATTTTTCGGGTTGAATATTTGGAGAAGTCAAAATGTTTTTGCTTCTTGTGCTTTTTTGGTAACACATTGTCCGAAGTTTGATTGTCTACGACTTTGAAAGAGTTCTGCAATGGCGGAATTGGTCGTCCTTCAAGTTCAAGAACTCTTTTGAGTAATTGTTTTTTGGACCAGTTTGTGTAATCTAGTTGGCCACCTTCTCCTCCATTCTGAAAAGACATATTTCTCACTGATATAAATTTCCACAACTTTTCAGGTCGCACAATCCTTCGCCAACGTTGCATTTCCCTTTGGCGTGCACTGCAGTTTTATTCGTTTGATGAAGAGTATTAATACTGTTCAGATATACATCGGAGATGAAATTTTTTATGTCGGTGCACAGAAGGATTCCAAAAAAGGAAATAAGTTGTTCATGAAAAAAAAAAGTTATTAGCTTCTGAAAAATATTGATTGATTGGTTTTCCTTAAATTAAACTAGTTAACCACATAACAATTGTTCTCTGAGTGCATAAAACAAGAAATGCAGCCAGAAAAAACTTCAGTGGCATGGGACTCACTTTCGTATGAGATTCAGCCATGGCTTCGTGACGCAATGGTATCTCTTGGATTCAATACAATGACACCAGTTCAAGCATCTACTATTCCACTCCTCTCGCAGCATAAGGATGTTGTAGTGGAAGCTGTCACTGGATCAGGAAAAACACTTGCTTTTGTAATTCCAGTTTTAGAAAAAGTCGCCAAGTCCTTGGCTGATGGAGAGTTCAAAAAGGGGTTTTTTGGAGCAGTGATCATATCACCAACAAGGGAGCTTGCAAACCAGATAGATACAGTTATTCAGTCCATTCTTAACCTACAACCAGAAGAACAAAGCCAAATTAAATCACAGTTATTGGTGGGATCTATTCAATCTTTGAGAGAAGATTTGAGCTCGTTTATAGCAAACAAACCTCAAATTCTAATTGGTACCCCTGGTCGAGTATTAGATTTTCTTTCAAACAACGCAGTAAGAACTAGCAAGTGTGAAATATTGATCTTAGATGAGGCAGATAAATTGTTAGATATTGGTTTTCTCAATGATACCCAATCAATTGTTAGATTATTACCAACGCAAAGAAGGACTGGATTATTCTCAGCCACTATATCTGGAGCAGGTAATGATATCTTTAAGACAGGAATGACAAACCCAGTTAAAGTCACGGTAAAATCTGCATCTATTAAGACTAATACGGCACCAGAAAGTCTTAATCTGGTTTATATGGTTGTGGATCCTGAAATCAAACTGAAATTGTTGATGGAAATGATTAAGAAATATAGATATAAGAAGGTGATTGTTTATTTTCCAACAAACTTTGCAGTCACTTACTTTTATTCTTTATTTACTGAATTGATTTCTAGGTCGGATGATATATCAGAAGGTGAACTTGAGATATATTCTCTTCATGGAAAACTTGAGGCCAAACCGAGAATCAAAGCTTTGAGTAAATTTACAGAATCATTGGCTTCAAAAGCAGTTCTTTTTACTACAGATGTTTCCGCCAGAGGTTTAGATATACCTGACGTTGATTTAGTGATCCAGCTTGATCTCCCAACGGATCCAGATGTGTTTTTGCATAGATGTGGAAGGACAGGACGGGCAAATAAGATTGGAACTGCAATTACAATGTTCAACGAAGGTAGAGAGGAGGAATACGTCAACTTTTTGAGTGTCAAAAACATCAGTCTAAAACTGATAGATACCCCAAAGTTGAAGCCCGAGGAAACCAAATTTTATGATGATGAAATGAGAAACTGGATGTTGAAAGACCGACTCCTTTATGATAACGCTATCCGATGTTACGTTGGCTTTGTGAGATACTACTCTAAACACGTTGCATCTTCCATTTTCAGACTTTCAGAGCTTGATTATCTCAAACTGGCTAAACTTCATGGTCTCAAGAGGTTTCCTAAAATGCCTGAAAATAAATACATAACTAATTTTCCAGAGGATGGCTGGTTTGATAGATCCATTGATTTTGACAAATATGCCTATAAAGACGAAGCAAAAGAGGCTGCAAGGCTTGCTGAGCTGAAAACTGAGAAAAGAAAACAGGAAAGGAAGGAAAAATCGCTAAAGAAGCAAGAGTTAAAAGAAAAAAACGTTTCTTGGAGTAAGAAAGTTGATTTGAAAGAAACTAAGCAAGAGAGGCGAGAAAGAGTGATGAAGAGAAGAGAAGCTGTGGAAGCCGAAATGAAAAGACAAAGAAAAGAAGGCGACGATGAGGATGAGGAAGTCGAAGTCGACTGGAAAGACATGGTTCGTGCCAACAAGAAGCAGAAGAATATCAAGCCAGAAAGTAGAGGATTTTTCGACGATTTGTAATTTATAGCTCAATCTACTTTATCACCTTATAAGGATGCTACATATATTGTTATTAGTGTAAGACTTCTTCTAATGTAATATTTCTATTCACATCAAGAGCATGTTTCCAGAACTTTGAGAGATGGCGAGTACCGGAATCACAAGCAATTATCACAATTTTGGAGCCTTTCTTTGCAGTTTTGGCAATTTTGACAGCCGCCACAGCGTTTATGCTACTACTTGATCCAACAAACAAGCCGTCATTTGAGCTTAAAAATCTTGCCATCCGAACTGCCTGTTCATCTGTTACACGAACAGCATCGTCAATACAATGCTCCCCCTGCAAAAAATTGTGGGTGACTCTATTCAGCCCTATACCTTCTATAATTGTGTCCACCTGATGCCTTCTTCTCGTTCCTTCTTTTTCCACACTATCGTACATTACCCCATATTTGACACGATTGTACATTCCAGATCCTTGAGGATCAGCAAGTACTACTCTTATCTTGTTAGAAACTGTTCGGAAAAACCTCGAACAACCTGCAATTGTACCACCTGTTCCCGATCCGGTGACAAAATAATCGATGTCGTGGCTCATCTGCTCCCAAATTTCTGGGCCAGTTGCGGCATAGTGTGCTCTCCAATTGTTATCGTTCTCAAATTGATCGGCAAAAACTCCATTGGATGCTGTAGTTTTATCATTTTTGAGCTGCAGTGCTCCTTTTCTAGCCGCATTGACATATTGGTTTGGGTCAACAATGGAGGCTGGCTTGACTTTCTCTATTTCGGCGCCATAGCTCTCCAACAATTGAAGTTTTTCGTTGGAGGTATCATCTGGAAGACATATGTGAGCTGTGTACCCCAACGCGTTACAGAGCATAGCGAAAGATATTCCAGTAGACCCCGAAGTTCCTTCGAACAATACATCACCTCTTCCCGGTACTAGCTCTCCTATCCTTTCAAAATGTCTGATCACAGACAAGGCAACTCTGTCCTTGGCAGATCCACCCGGATTCGCCATTTCCAGCTTGGCATAGATTTCACAGCCTGTATGCTCAGAAAGGGAAGCTATGCGTACCATTGGTGTGTTCCCTATTAGATCCGCAACATTTTTCTTCTTCTTGGGGGTATTATTTTCCGGATAGGAACTGACTATTGTATAAGTGACATAGGAGCTGCCGACTATCAGTGCTAGTGCATATAATACGGATCTAGCAGACATGTTTGGCCTATATATATCGTTGATTCCGCCCAAGCAACTTAAAATAGTGACTCCAAGTATATAGTGTGAAGAATAAGTTGAATTTTCATGTCCGAGTAAGTGAGACTAAACGAGAGCCGATACGAGCGAGTAGGAATCTTTTGGAGATTTTTCAGAATTTAGCTGTGCACTGTGACCACCAATACGTGGAAAGGTTTTTGGTCGTCTCCACGGAAAATTTGTGTTTTAAGGTCGTAGAAGTTGATTACAATGGATCGTGTGGAGCAGGTGCTTGAAGCGTTCATGAAAAATGATGCTGTGGTGTTGTTCAGGGCGTTTACTAACCAATATATTCTAAGTCCGCTTTCGAAGACCGAATTTACGTCACATTTGATCGAAAGCAGCTCGTCTAGATGCGTTACGGCGTTGCTGATATACGGCGGTTTATTACTTGGACTCTATGAAATCGTGCTACATACAGGTGTGGCGTTGAATCTATGGAGAAACCCAGCCGACGAGGTATTCAAGGAGATCCCGGTGCACTGTGCGCACGTGTATGTATCAATCAACCTATTGAAGGAGACAGACGACGAAAAGAAAGAGAAGGAGGGAGAAGAAGCGGAGAAGCCTCGTTACCTCCTTAAGTACCCTATTGTGTACCACTTTGAGTTCAGTCCTGACGAATATGCACATGAGGAATACGGCACGGATCTAAAGTTCATCAGAGGAAAGGTGCATGAGTGGTTTTTGACGTCGGAGGTCTACCACCACCACAAAAGAGAGATCCAGGACGTCCAAGCCAAGGACTTCGATTTCCATGATAAGAAGGGGAAGCTGCTGCAAGGCGAGGAGCAATATCTCTGTCACTTGGGGGTGGACACTGGTGACACTATATATTGTGTTATACGCTACTAGTTCAGAATTCTAACTTGACCGCTTTGGTTCATCGCTTGATTTGTAGTCGTCATGACGGTGGTGGTGACGGTGGTGGTGATGGCTATGTCTGTGCTTGCCTTTTCTTTCCGTTTCTCTCTTCTTGTATTTGTCGATCTTCCGCTGCTTTTCCATGAGTTCTTTGCGCTTCAGCTGCTGCAACTTTATTGCGTACAGAGGATCAGTCTTTGAGAGTTGTTCAGGTTCCGATTTATCAGGTCTGGCAGTGGTGACGCCCGTTGTCAGCACTTTGTCGATTTTAGAGGTAGTGGTTTTGGCGCTGTCGTTTTTTATGGTCCCTTCCTGTATGCGAGTCCGACCCAAAAGAACGTCCTCGTTAGCAGTTGACAAGGAGTCTGCACCGGAAGCAGCTGGTGAATGGTAAATCCAGTCTGTTTTTGTGTCTTTTTTTGCGGGCTTGGTCTTGTCGACGAGAGAAAGGAGTTCATCCTTTTCCTTGGTCTCCTGGAGCTTTGCCTGGTATTGCTGGTTTCGTTTATACTCTTCGTAGATCTGGTGCTCTTTCTCCCAGACTTTTTCTCTGTTTTTGAGGAGTTTTGGATTCCATGACTTTTTCAAATTAAGGTCAGATGGCATCGGGGCTGAGTGTGTAAGGTGGGTGGGCAGAGAAGGGTCCAGGAACCAAAAAGGTGTAATACAAGGGAAGCTGTCAGGCGACTGGAAATAATTAATTTACGCTTTTGGTTTATCTTTTCTCCTTTTTTTCATGCGGCAAGATGAGAAGGACGCCAGACGTGTCGAGGATATGAGTAGGGTAAAGGGAATAATACTTTATAAAAGCGGTGTGCCGAAACACACCATCGCATACGTAGAAGTATATAACCGGCCCGGGGCCTTGGCGGAGAAAAAGACCATCAGAAACCGTGGATCTTGATGTTCTTCTTCTTCAAGCCGAGGGTCTGGACCATGAACTCCATGATCTTCAAACGCTGGTCACCCTGCAACTGGATGACCTCTCCGAGCTCGTCGTCCTTGACGATGTTTCCGTTACACGCAAACTCCTTCTTGATGACCTTGAGGATCTTCTTGGAGTCGTATTCCGCTGGAAGACCCTGGACTGTGGTTAAGGTCTTTCTACCATTTCTCTGTTGGATACGGATGTGAATGTAGTTGGTTAATTCAGTTTCATCATCGCCGGTGTCGGCAAAGGGATCTGTCGAAAATGTGCTGCAGTGGGTGCAGGCGCAAGAATGTTAGTAACGGGTCGTTGGAAAGAAGGGCATTTACCATGTACCTGAGAAGAAAAAAAAAGAGAAAAAATGCTGGCAGGGGCCTAACGTACCAAAGGACTTGAGGTTCTCGATATTACTCATATAATTTGGACAGTACGCAGAACAGACGGTGGTGGATGGGTTAGTAGATGACTTGTAGAGTGTCTCCAGGCAGAAGAAGCCCCTCCCCTTGGTGGCCACAGATGGATCTTTCTCTTGTGCCATGTCGTCTTTTCCGTCTTCCCGCCTCACCGTTTTCGAGAGGCGCCGCCGTCGCGTCGCCAACGGGCTCGCGGGCTCGTTTCTCGTTTCGCCGCTGCGAGGGGAAGAGTGGGAGGAGGCCGGGGGGGTGGAATGTTGTCGAAGAAGCCAGCACTAGATGAGCAGCAGGAGGGTGTAGAAAGAGGTGGATGGGGTCAAAGGAAGGGGTTTAGGAAGCCATTGACGGTGCTGAGCAAAGCAGGGGAACAAGCGAGATGTTCGGAAGCATGCGACGGACAGAGGACATCCAGACGAGCATCAAAAAGGCATGCACGCCCGAAGACACTGCACCGAAGCGGAAGCACGTTAGAGCTTGTATCGTGTACACGTGGGAGCGGAAGAGCTCCAAGGAGTTCTGGGAGAGCATGAAGGTGCTACCTCTGAAGGAAAACGACGTGGCGTTGTTCAAGGCGTTGACACTCATCCACAAGGTGTTGCAAGAGGGCCACCCGTCGTGCTTAATTGGCGGGTTCAAAAACATGGACTGGATTGCAAGCTTGGGGCACACACAGAGCCCGGACAGACGGTACCAGATCTTGATCCCGGAATACGTGGACTATCTCTTGCAGAAGTTACGGTTTCACCACAACCACCGTGGCTTCAATGGGACGTTTGAGTACGAAGAGTACACGTCATTGCGGTCAGTGTCCGACCCGAACGAGGGGTTCGACGCAGTTTACGATCTGCAGCTCTTGCAGGAAGCGTTGGATCACCTTGGGAGAGACACGTTGGCACCAGCGAAGAAGAACATCTCCGAGGCAATTACAAGTGCGTTGGTGCCGATTGTTTCTGAGACGTATGGTATCTATAAGTTCTTAATTTCAATGCTAAGAGGGCTATACCGAAGCTCTGATTCTGTTGAGGCGTTAGAACCCTTGAGGGCCAAATTTGATGAGCAACACGATAGGTTGTATGACTTCTATGCGCAGTGCACGGCGGTTAGGTATCTATCGACGTTGATAACAATTCCAAAGTTGCCATTTGATGCACCTACGTTGGCAGACGAGCAGAAGAGCGTTTCACCTTTGATAGAGCAAGGAATTGTCCAAACACCGGCTGATTATGCCAATGTGCAAAAAGCGGTTTCATCACAGCCAACAGGGGCGGTTGCGAATGCGCATATGGCAGGACAACAGGCATACGAAGCGCAGCAGCAGCAATTAGAGCAACAGCGGCAGCAGCAGCTGCAACAACAACAGCAGGAGCTGGAACAACAAAGACTGTATTGGGAGGAGCAACAGAAAAGAAATTCGGAAGCGCAGCAGCTAGCGCAACAGCAACTGCTGCTTGATCAAGCGCAGAGGCAGGCTCAGGGCCGAGTTGCAGAATTGGAGAGAGACATTTTGGCGTTGAAAGGCCAGTACGATAGTGACCAGTTGATGCTTAGGAGCTACGACGAAAAGCTCCAGGTATTGGAAACTGAGCTGCGAACAACTTCGGAGACCGCTGGGGAACAGCTGGCTGCTAAGGAACAGCAGTTGACTTTTCTGCAAGAACAAATCGACTACTGGAAAAACAAGTACGAGTCCCTTGCAAAACTCTACTCGCAACTGCGAGCAGAGCATTTAGACCTACTTGCAAAGTCGAAGAAGATCCAGCAGAAGGCGGCGTCTGCTCAAGAGGCGGTGGAGAGACGGGAAAGGATGGAGAGGGAAATGAAGGCAAAAAACGTTGAGCTGGCCGACTTGATCAAGGAAAGAGACAGAGCGAAGCTGGAGCTGGAAAGGGTGAAGACGGGCTCGAAGGGGCAGTTTGAGAGCTTGCAGCTAGCAAAGGACGAGTTGGAGCAAAAGCTGGCGACACTCGAGCGGGCGCAGTCTGCGAACTTGACTGCTGTGTTCAACCAGCACAAGAACGAGGTCGAGCAGTTGCAGCAGAAGCTGGCGCGTTCGTCTCTGGCGGACGGGTCGTCCGGCAAGGAGCTAGAGGTGCTGAGGGAGAAGCTGCAGGAGAAGGACATGGAGCTCGAGATGATGCAGCAGACGATGGACGAGACGATCAAGGGGCTCGTTGCGCAGCAGAAGGAGGCGGGTGGCGAGGGCGGGCATGGGGGGTTGCGGAAGGTGTCGGAGTTGATCGACGCGGTGTTGAAGTCGGGGATCGACCGGATCCAGGACGGGGTTTTCGAGCTGGATTCTGCGATGCAGGCCGGGAACGTGAACTCGTCGCCGGAGTACCTGTCCTCGGTGATCGAAAAGACGTCGGGGTTGGCGACGGAGTTTGCGTCGAGCTTCAACTCGTTCTTGGTGGACGGGGCGGAGGGGGACGCTGGAGCGGTGATTGGGGGCGTGACAAACTTCACGACGTCGATTGGGGACGTGTTGCTTGGGACGAAGGGTCTCGCGCGGTTGGCGAAGGTGGACGAGCTGCAGGAGGACCTGATCGACACGGCGAGAGACGTTGCGGAGATCTCGGAGGTGTACTTGGAGTCGTTGTTCGAGCGGAACCTGGGCGGGCTGGGGCTGGAGGAGAAGACGGAGGCGGTGATCAACGGGAACATCGATGTGCAGGAGATGCTACAGACGCTGACCTCGCTGGTGGAGTCGCTGAGGACGCCGTCGTCGAGGGTGGATTTGGAGAAGGTGAGCGGGGAGTTGAGCGAGGTTGTGGATAAGGAGATGGCGCATGCGTCGAGGGTGATCGATGAGGCATCGTCGCATCTGATTTCGTTGTTGGAGCATCCGTCGATGTCGTCGGTGGACGTGGAGGTGAGCAAATCGATTCTGGCGGCAGCGTCTGCGATCATTACGGCGATCAAGTACTTGATCGAGGCGTCGATAGAGGCGCAGCAGGAGATCGTGAACAACGGGCGGGGCTCGAGCTCGAGAACGTCGTTCTATAAGAAGAACAACAAATGGACGGAGGGCCTCATCTCGGCGGCGAAATCGATTGCGTCGACGACGAACACACTGATCGGGATTGCGGATGGCGTGCTACAGAACAAACATAGCGATGAGGAATTGATTGTTGCGTCGAGAGAAGTTGCTGCATCGACGGCGCAGTTGGTTTCTGCTGCGAGAGTGAAGTCTCAATTCATGTCGAAGACGCAGGATAAGTTGGAAGAAGCTTCGAAGAAGGTGAATTTGGCTTGTAAACAATTGGTGATCCAAGTCAACCAGCTGATTTCCAGCAAGAACGAATTGGATGAAGTGGATTACAGTAAGCTTTCTATCCATGAGACGAAAACAGCTGAAATGGAACAACAAGTTGAAATTCTAAAACTTGAAAACGCGTTGAATTCGGCTAGAAAAAGATTGGGTGAAATTAGAAAATTCAGTTACAGAGATGACGAATAGTTTATGGGATATAGAAGTTCTATAGATTATATACGTCTTCAACGATAAGATGTGATATTTTTGTGCATTGCGTAAGAGATTCTTCTGGAGGCGTTTGAACTTTGATGGCAGATTTATAAGTGTCAAACCATTTTACAAAAGATAATTTGGTATCTGACGCTTTGTATTCTTCGGAGTAGCCATGCCAAGTATGTTGTATTGATTTATCACTTTTCCAAAAGGTTGCTAATTCCTTAGAAAGATTTTCTTGATCTTTGTATGTTTTTCCAAATTTAGAATAATATATTCGAAAAGCAGTAAAACCGTTAACTATAGTCTTTCTTTCAAGCTCCTTCTTTTTTCTGACGTTCGTCACGGAATTTTTATTTAGTAAATTATTTGTGGCATACTTGTCAAGAAATTTCTTTAAACTCGAAGGCATGTGGTAAGTTGGGGTCGGTTTACCAATGAAGATTTCGGTCTTTTTGGAAATTTTGCCTGTACCATTAGTAGGCCGTTGCTTGTTGACTCTCATACGTTTACATTCAACTTTTTTTTTTCTCTCACTTCTTGTCATTTATGTTATATAATACAATAATACATCTCATGCTTTTACATAAAACAAACAGATCGGTGGCACAAGAGCTTTCAAGACACCGTCAGCTATTTATTGCAAATGGATAGAGCTTGGTGGGCGAAATCTGAAACAAGGTGCGCGGCAATAAAAGAACTAGGTGTGCGGGCTATTAGTACTCAAAATTTGGAAAACTCTAGGGGAAATATAGTCCTCTTTCTTCTTTCTTCTTTTGTTAGAAGCCCAGTTCTTAATTTGGCTTTCTCGAAGATGAGTTTTAGACATTAGGTACGATATATCATCCTTACTTAGGTAGGGACTATCGATGTTGTCGGCATACCTATATACGTTATGTGTTAGTAATCAGTAACAATCGAAAAAGAAGGGAGCGAACACAACCTACCACTCATTTAGAATTACTACAGTTTCTTTTGGTAATCTCTTCCCGTGATTCGGCTCTGATTGAGTACTAAGTGTGTGGGGTATAATTTTGTCCTCAAAATCAATACGAGTACGTGTTTTAAGATTGTATCTTAAATTGAGAATCTTACTTATTGATTCTGAAATCTGATTAATCATAGAGAGTATCAAGCTACTTTGTTCATCAATAGAGTTTTCCTCTAAAATCTCTTTTATTTTCTATTATTGGATGAATGTTAGTACTAGAACTAGGTGTGCGGGGTATTAAAAAATGACGTGAAACATACGATCATATCATTGATGAGCCCATCGGCATAAAACTCTCGGTCAACAGGTGTCTGTGAGAGTGTCTTTAAAATATCCTTCAGATGTATATAAATATCCGTCAATCTGCTTAAAGGTTAGTACACTTTCCTTGTAATGAAGAAGTAATCAACAACTAGTACGTACTCCTCTTGGTGCATTGGCATTTGTATTCCGAGATGAAATCGCAAAAGAAACAAAATAGAAAGAAGTTGATAAGAACTAGCCGAGTAGTAAATCTCAAATTCAAAATATCTCGCGTTGATGCAACTTGAAACATTCCGCAGGGGAATTTTATATATCAGTTATCTGTAATTTATAAACCTTAGTGGGGGGGGGCTAGGTGCGTGGGTTATTGGCTAGGTGCGTGGGTTATTGGCTAGGTGCGTGGGTTAGGAGTTATAGAACTGGGTGTGCGGGGTATAATAGATTGACCATTCTTTTTTGATGAATGGTTAAGCAGTGCTAGCCCATCTGATAGGAGTATATAGCCCCGTGTAGAATATATACCTCAACTATCCACTACTCATCCGACTTCGCCATCTCTTTTCTTTTTTACTACCCATTTTCCCCTTTGCCCTACTTCCTTCTATTTTTAAAGCCCTGGTTTGAACCTCTACTCTGCAAACAAACGCATTTTTGTAATTTTACGCTGATCCAATTCATATGAAAAGAGCATCCCTTCGGAATGCTCTTTTCAAGCTTTATTTCTATTACAACTTCATTTTCTAAATCTAAAAAAGATCAAAGATATAAAAGAAAATGAATACCACTTATTTTTTAATTTTTTCCACAAAATGTGACGAGTAAAATTCGTTATTTCACAATCCTTTTTTGTATAATTCCATCACTTCTTCTCCGTAACATACTTATAATGATTACGTAGATTCCATATATACAATTTGTGGATCATCAATCATTACAGAACTTTTACAATGAATACAAACAAAAACAACTTTTTATCACTTTTTCCAAAAATCGTTTCTATTGTCTTGAAAAAAATATCTTGCTCCCTCGACCGATAGAAATTTGATTCTTATCCTCTGACAATAAAAAATTATAATTATCATCTGCAGGAACATTTTCTTTTCATTGTTTTCGTCCTTCATCTGTCTTCTTTATCAACAAGATTCTCTATCAATACAGATAATGTCTGAACTTCTACTCTTCAACTAACTAGGGGTAGGGGTAATTAACAAAAAAGTAAAACGTAATTAAAAGCCTTTACTCCTACCTAAAATGTATCTAACAACCTTTACAAATTAAAAACATCACACCGTAACACTACCTCCAATACACCTTAACTGAAAATTAAGAGCCTAACCAGATGCATCACTAACCCCAATACATATTTTGGGAATAAGTTCAGTAAACTTTTTAAATTAAATGTTTACACTCAACGATCCACCAATTCCTGCATACCCAACCTAACCAGCTAAACCTAACATACGTTCTTCAGTTGATTCAAAACCTACCATTTTATACTCTACATTATTCAAATACAACTCCACAAACACAAAACCTTTAATTGAAAATCAGCCCCATAAACAAAACTAAATGATACGAACTTTCTTCTTCTTAAAGACAACATCGCATTCAAAATATTAAACCAGTTAAAATAAACCTAAACATTAATATTTTAAGCAAACCATCAACAGGTCCTTAACCAAACCCCGACAAAACCATAACATTTCAATCTTGAAAAACAAGTAAAATACAAAATACAAAATTCTATATCCTACTATAAATATTTATCTAACTCTACAACAAAACCAGTGACATGACTTTCATAAAATTAAACATCAACCTTTCACTTCTCACCTCTAGAAAACTACGCAAAACCAAATAAAAACCTCAAAACTACTACAATTGTATTATGCCTAAAACCTATACTAACGTGTAACAAAATCTTGATTACACGGAACATTAACATTATCAAAAATTCATAAACGCTTCCAACATAGACAAACTCCCTATTTAAACTAATTGTAAATTATTTTTTTACATAAGTATTTAACAATATACTACTTTCCATCCACAAACCTAAAAAACATACCACACAATAACTAACAGTTTAACCGTTAACTTACCAAGAAGAAGATTCAAGACACCAAATAAACGTCTAACCAAAAAACATTAACATATTAAATATTTCATAAAAAGAAAAGCGCAAGACTCTTCATCGCTCCCTTCCCCAAAAAGGAAATCTCTTCTTTTAAGTGGTTACCGATAAACCAACTTCAAGCAACCAACCGTAAACAAATCACCCGACACGAACTCAACCTCACAACCTAGCACATAAAGCAATGAGTGTGCTCAGCTCACTTCTAAATATCTTTGCACTAATTATTCAACTCCCATTACTGCTCTTCCACAAACTTGGTATTGAACAATACCTGTCAACTTTCCATCCAATTTTCAACAAGCCCGACAACATTTCAACTTCTTCGAGCTTCAGTTTCTACTCAAATAGTAACCCCTCATCCACTTCTGTTATAAATGACGAAACAGATCCCCTAGAAAAGCTTCAACAAAAAATAATAACCGCAATAGATATTGTTGACATCGTACATGCCCATGGTTACAAAGTACATGAACACATTGTACAAACCAAAGATGGTTACCTCCTTTCCATTCATAGAATCCTTCCACCATCGGGAGATATACCTCAAAGTTCCAAAATAGTTTACATGCATCACGGTTTGCTAACCAACAGTGAGCTATTTCTACTTGGAGAAAACACTAATAGATGTTTACCGTTTCTATTGGTTAACTTAGGATATGACGTTTGGTTAGGAAATAATAGAGGAAATAAATATTCTAGAAAGCACCTTATACTCTCTTCAACTGATGAAAAGTTTTGGGATTATTCTTTAGACGAGTTTGCAATGTTTGACATTCCAAACACAATAGACTACATCCTACAAATAACAAAACAACAAAACCTGACCTACATAGGCTTCAGTCAAGGTTCAGCACAATGTTTGGCAGCACTTTCACTTAATCATGATCTTAACGAAAAAATAAACCTTTTCATAGGCCTTTCCCCAGCTATGATACCGCATGGATTGAATAACCCAATCTGTTCATTCCTAGTCAGTTCAGCCCCTGCCCTAATGTATAGAATTTTTGGAAAAAGGGCTATTCTACCTTCAGTTGTTTTCTGGCAAAAATTAATGGGTCCAAAATTCTATCAAGAGGTTGTTGATAAATCTTTAGTTTTCTTGTTCAATTGGAAATCTGGAAATATTCACCCTTCTCAGAAAAAGGTAGGATATCCACATATGTTTTCACCGTCTTCAGTGAAATCTGTTGTACACTGGTTTCAAATAATTGACAGCAAAAGATTTCAAATGTTTGACGAAGGTGGTGCTTCAGGCTCAAAATTGGTTTACCTGAGTGGTGCAAGTACAAAAACTAACAGAGTAGCGTCATTTCCAACCCAAACAATAACAACACCGTGCTACTTAATCTACGGAGAATCTGACATGCTAATAGATATAGAAAAAACTGTACAAAATTTAAGCTGCGATGTAGAAACTCTTGGCTTGAAAGGTTATGAACACATGGATACTCTTTGGTCAACCAATGTTGAAGAGGCTGTATTCAACAAAATCATAAACAAATTAAAACAGATAGATACCAAAACAGCATAAAAGAATCTTTTATTTTTCAAAAGAATACCTCCTATCAGTATTGCATGTAACACATATTTTTCAAAAAAAACCAATTACCCGTGTTTCTAAAATTCTGCATATTCCTGCTATTTTTTAAAAACTCTTTACTATTACTTCTTAAACTGAGAAAGAAATAGTTTGTTTTCCTTTATATAAAACTATTGTAAACTAACTTTAATCTATACAAACCCTATTTAGTTCTTCGCATTACAAATAACCTTATAAGCTTGGTTTAGGAAATATAATTCTTTTTGAAATTGAAATTTATAATATATTTGTCAACAGGAACCTCAAAGTTACTGTAATATTGATCCACAATAGAAGAAAGCTTACTAAATGTTGATATGTAAAGCTGACACAAAGCAAACATGCAGTTGTTATAAAGCTCTTTCTCTATTTGTTCTCCAATCGCAATGCTAAACTCACTTTCTCTATTATCGCCAATAAAGTAGCAACGCCCTTTGAGCACAGACTTCAAGCCCTTTGCAAGACTCGAAATTTCTTCTTTAAAGCTATCGCCTTTGAATGCAACCATCAAGCTTTTTATATTCTCTACCGAATATGTTGAAAACGTTGAAGGGTTTCCATTATTGCTCAACAAATTTTCAAGGTCTTCAACTAGGCGTATTATATTCCCAATTTTAAACCTTCTACCAAAACACTCTGAAAAAGTACGTAACTCTCTATCCCTTAGATCATCAATTGACCTACTAAGATCTTTAGGAAACTCAAGTAAGCTTTTGCTTTCCTCAAACATCCATTTATAGTTAATCCACAATGTTAGATGTTTTTCAAATGACGCATCTGCATCTATATCGTGCTCTTCGCTGTTCGAATCTTGTAAAATTACTTCAAACTTCATAGATTCAACACCTTTGTTCAACGCTGACATTATTATATCCCATATCATATAATAATTACCATAAACTTTCTGATCTGTCCCAAAAACAACCAAGTTAACCAAATCAAGAGAATCCACAATAGCGTGAATTCTACCGAAAAATACTGGATAAGCCTTGACAAAGTTCATAACCTGACACCTTACCTTCGATGACAGTATCTCTTGTGATTGCTGATCAATTTCTTTAACCCATATAGAATTAACCTTAGTTTCAAGTTTGGTAAAATTACCATACAAATATTCATGACTAGTAGGAGCTAGAGATTGTGAAGAGCTCTTTAGCAAACATAATATTCCCGGTGTTAGAAGAATATTACCTTTTGATACCGACAAGAGTATTTTTAACAATGATCCGAAAGTTGAGTCAAACAACTGTCTCATTATGTCAAATATGTAATCACCAATTTCCCTATCAGACTCAATTGTTCCATTCAAAAAATCAGACGTTGCAACAAATTCCTGACACCTTTTCTCGAGGGGTAATTTCACAACATTCTCAAACGACATATCAGGAGAAGAGCTCAGTGCAAACAGCTTTTTCATCATCTCTTGTTCAGCACCCATGACTCTTGTTGCTTGTGAAAAATAAATATTGATGAGTTTAATAATCTCATTATCCCCTGACAATTTTTTTTCATTGTTCGATTGATTCATAACAAACATGTTTCCACCACGGCTAGACCCAAAGTCTTTTTTGCTCTTTGAGCTTATGTACATTTTGTCAATGAGATTTGCAGGGTCTGAACTGAATGAAAACTGCTGAACATCCAACAAACTCACATTTTGCTCCAACTTTTTCATCAAAACACTAGCTAAATTTTCAAAGAAAGGTTTCATGGCTGCCACGTAACTATCAATAATATCATAATAGTCGCTGATTGAAACAGACTTGACAAAAGCTATCAAACCTTCAACTGTAAGTAGATAGGTCATTTTATCAAAAAATATTGTATTCAAGAAGTTATCAAAATTATCGGGACTCACATTTTCCAGCTTTGAAGATAGACTCAAAGACACTGATTCAAATATCCTTCCGGCTTGTTTTTTAAACCTAGCAACAAAAGTATCTCTAACATTTTCATAACTTCTCTTTTTCTCCTGTAAAGCTTTCATTTTAGATATTCCATGGTCGACATTCAGTTTTTCTTGACTCCCACTTACCTTCAAAAGAGCATAATATAGCTCATTTAATATTTTTTCTAACTCCGAATTCTGATATCCTAATGTGATCTTTGTTCCTAAGAGCATTTGTAATTTACTATCTGAGATTTCAACGGAATGCACAATCTCATTGAGCTCATTCATCAACAGCTTCTCGTTCGTTGCTTCAACCTGAAGCCCTTGACCCTGTTCTTCAATAAAATCCACGTCTTCCTTGAATGTTGACAACTGTACTCCAAACAAAGCTAAAATAGGGTCAATATGATCACAATTTTGGAATGCAGTGAATATAGACTGTTTCAATGCAGAAGATACGCCTGTCACTTTTATCAGCGTTTCAATTTTATCATATTGCAACTTATCCAGCTCTTTCAATAACTTCTTTTGTAACGAGGCTGAGTCGTCCTCAATAGGATCATAGCCTATCTCTTCTAAAATCTCTAACAAATCATTGTTATCCGGAGTAGAATCTGAAACTCGAGAAAAAGCTCTTGATCTAGCGTGGTGCCTATTTCCTTCACCAAAAGACTTATCAATCTCATTTTCCATCGACTCCAAATGATTTACCGGAGTCAAGAGCTTGTTCAACTCTGAGTCAATAGACAAATTTGACACATTTTCATGATTTGTTACTCCCGAAATTTCATCCAAAGTTGTAGTGATGACAGGAGCTCCCAGTTTCCCAATTGGCTGTGTAGCAACTGCAGATCTAGCTCTCGGCTTCGAAAGGTTGAGTGGGGCAGTTTGCGCTTCTTCTTCCCCGTTACTCGTGTAGCCATCAATGTAATTATCAATTCCAAGACTGATATCACTCTCTACAGATGCATTAATATTTTGAAATCTGTGTTCGTCACCAATTTCAAAGCTCATTTGGCTCGGTTCATTTGAAAGCATACCAGAAGGAGGCCCCCTTTTAACTATCTCACTTAAACCGTTATTTTGCAACCTTTGCTGATTCTCATAACCCGTTTTCTTCACCTTTGTTGCAGCTTCCGCAAGTTGCACTTGATTTGTTCTCTCTTTTTCTCTTCTCTCTTCCTCTAGGTTCTGTGCTTTTTGCTGTTTCATTCTTAAAACCTCTTCCTGTCTCCGAATTTCTTGTTGTTTAGCTCTCTCTACCTCCTCTTGCTGTCTACTCCTTTCCTGCTCTTCTGCTAGTCTGTCCTTCTCGACTTGTTCCTTTCTAGCCCTTTCAAGTTCTTCCTCTTGTTGAGCTTTCTCTGATTCTTCTCTTTTTCTCCTCTCCAATTCCTTCTGCTTGCGTCTTTCCAGTTCTTGCTGTCTCCGTTTCTCAAGCTCTTGTTTCCTTTTTTGTTCTATTACAAGTTGTTTCTGGTGTTCCTGTTCTTCTGCTTGTCTTCTTGCCTCAATTAAACGCTTTTCTTCTTGCTGCTTTCTCGCTAGTTGTTCCTTCTGCTTCTGTTCTTCATACATTTTTCTTTCCTGCTCTAGTTTATACCTGTTGTCAAGATCGGGACTTCTAGAAGATGCAGACAAGGGTAAGGTAGTGGCACTGGCGCCTCTTACAGCAGCTGCCATAGACGAGTTAGCAGAGTTTGTATTGCCTAGGTTTTTTTTCAATGAGGTCAAGTCTTGAGAATTGGATTTACTAGGTGATCTTTGAGAGTTGGCAAATGTGCTGGGCGAATTTCCCTTGGGTGAGAGAACTGGTGTTCTACTTAATATCTGGGGCTTTGGAGTTTTATTCTGAGATGGAACGCTACTGGATCCCCCATGATAAGAATCGTACAAATTCTCCAAGTGGAAATAATCAACAGAACAATTGATCAATTGTGGTAAATTTCCCTGAGTGTACCTAATATAATTGTCAACTAAAGTACTACACCACACTCTTCTCTCCTTTGGTGTGTGGACTTCCCAGTAATATTTCTTCCCCATCTGACATACAAAGCCGGTTGGAACTTGATCGTCAAGTTCGAGAGAAATCAATTCATCAAAATCCCATGACCTTCCAATCTGAATCATTCCAGAGGATGATTCCTTGGCTTTATGCAGTCTCATTCTCCCTGAGGTTTTAACGGAAAGAAGCAAAAATCGGTTCTTCTTGTTTGATTGTGGACTGTTTGCAGGAGGTCTTGAACTTTGAGATTTTGCATCTTCAATAATTCTCACATGGGCGAGATAGTTTTCCACCTTGCTATTGGTTGAATCAACTTCCAAGAACAACGAATCGTGAATTTTCTTCATGTCTATCTCATATTGTTTGGCAAGATCCATTGAGTTCATTGGGCGATGCCCGGGCTGGAACGAACCCATTGTGCGTTGGGTGTTTGTCGCTGGAGACATGGAATGCGACATTTTTGTGCTTCACTGCCACTCAATTGATAACCTTTGGTTAGCTAGAACTCGAAATGACTTTTTACAAACAAGCACTTTTCTTCAACGCTAACGACATTAGCATATACAAACAAATCGGTCCAGCTCACTGCGGAACAGCTCGCCGAGAGCCGGTAAACACAAAACATTAGAAAGAGCGAATAATTTTATTATTTCATACAAGCTTAGTATTCAACCCAACTACTGATCTATTTACCCCTGTCTGTCACGATGGGGGATGCGGCTAGGAGGAGCATCCTAGGCGACGACCTCTGATTCCTCTGACACCTCCGCTTTGATGTCAATTTGGTCGTCTGGGATTAGAAGAGATTCTTCCTCTTTTAACTTAGCCTCGGCTTTCGCTGCTTCGAGTTTCTTGAGAGAGAGTTGCACACGCTCGTTAGCGTCTGTGATTCTGTACCTTCCGAACTCCTCGTCCAACACCTGAAGCTCTAAACCTGAGTGTAGAATCTGCTCAAAGTCCTTGTGTTTGATTTCCCATTCGATCTTGTCTCCACAGAGCCAGGTTATCGCTTGGTCACAATATCCTAACAGTTCGACGTCAAACTCACAGTGATTTATTGGATCTCGGTTTATCAAGATCTGAGGTACCTCGTTGGGGACCCTGTTGACTATCTCGCTCACTGGTGCAACTTTCAAGGAGGTTCCGATGCAAATCAACAAGTCGCATTTCCTGACGTCTTCTTTAATTGTATTGTGATATCTGTCAGGCAAGTTCTCGCCAAAAAATGTGATATCTGGTTTCATGACCCCAAAAGATTCGATGTCGTTGTACCTCGAAGAAAATCCGCCTTCGTCTTCTAGTTTTTCAAACTTTCTTTGCATGTTTTTCCTTTCATTTTCACAAAATGGACAATAAGCTATCTTCTTGGATCTTAGGTTTGGATACAGAGTCTCACCAGGTATTTTGTACTTACAGGTGACACAACTTGCAGTTGCAAAGGAGCCATGGCATTGTACCAGCTTTTCTGGGGTAACTCCAGCGTTGGCCTCGAGGTTATCGATGTTTTGGGTATAGTTTCTTAATAGTTTCCCCTTGTCCTGCAACAATTTGATGAAACCATGTAGAGGCGTAAATGAATGTTCCGGTGGTAGGATCATGTATGCTATTGAGTAGAATACAGAAGGATCTCTTCTGAACAGTTCAAGACTGAAGACATCCTGGGGATCGTCTAGTCCCAAGTTCTTCATCTTCGAATAAAAACCTTGCGACGACCTGAAGTCGGGTATTCCTAAAGACGTGGAGATGCCGGCGCCCGTTAAAACAAGCACGTTTTCTGCTTTGTTTAGGGCATCGCACACGTTCTGGATAGTGTAAAAGTCTTGTAGACGGGTTCTCGACTTCAGCACTCGGTTGATGGCTTCTCGAAGGAAAAAAATAGCCGAGTGCAGTGGGTTTGATGACGATGCATATATTCTGTTCAGCCTTTTTGGCTCGAAGCCCAGGAGCCTGGTGAGCGTGATGATGTCTTCAGGAGTGGGGCCAGACGGGAGGAACAGGTCTAGAAAGGCAACGTGACCTTCGCTTTTGAGATACTTCCGTACCTGAGAGCACGTCTTTTTCGTCACCTTGATCTGTCCAAGCGGCGGGAGCTCGATGTCTGGATCGTACAAGTCGAACCCGAGCTCATCTTCGGCAGAGGTGGACTCTTCGAACTGAAACTCGCTGATATCGCTCTCGTTCCCCTCGGACTCATAGTCCGAGGAATCATTTTCGTACTCCTGGTCTGCCGGAACACTTTCTTTGCCGCCGCCGCTGCTGCCGCTCTTGCCGTTCTCCTCCTCATCGTCCTCTGAACCAGACGCCGAACTCGAGCTGTCAATCACTTCTAGCTTCACTCTTTCACCCTCGGCGTTCTCGAACTCCAGTACTGCATTCTCATCCACATCACTTGGAAAGACCGTGTTTGTGGCGTCGCCCACGGAGATGCCTTCCTCCGGGTTTAGTGATGTATGTTGCCGTTTGGCGCCCTGTCGTTCCGCACTGGACCTCTTCTCTGACGTCGGTGTTGCACTTCCACTGGAACTGCTCTCTACGACGTTTCTCTCGGAGCTTGAGCCGGGACTCTCGAGCTCTCTTTTCAGCGCCCGTCCATTCTCGGGATCTTCCATTTTCTCCTGCAGCACGGCCTCCATCGCTGTGACGTTGCTTGCTTGCTGTCTCTTAATACACTTCTCCACGAGCAACGACATGAACTACCAAGCCATCTACGTGCCTCTAGATAGATGCCCAACGCAGGCAAAACCCGGAACCTGGGCCGATCGACTTGAACATTAATTACGTAATCATTTGGTACGCACTTCCGTTCTATTTTTTCACTCGTCGACAGGTGAAAAAAGGACGAAGAGAGACTACAGAAAGCCCAGAACAGCATAGGACGGAACGCTGGATGCAAGCAAAGGGGTTGGTCCGGGATACTCAACGAACGTTACGACTGCCAGTCACAGCACGATGCCAGCAAAACACAGACCCGCCGTGCCACCTCTTCCAAGACTCAGGGTGAAGAACCAGGTCGCCAAGCAGCAGGCGAACCCATGCTTGGTGATAATGTCGCAAATGTTGAACTGCTGGGCATCCAACGGGGAGGGGAACGTGGCGTGCAAGAACCTCGAGCAGGAATTGAAGGGCTGCATGGCCAAGGGGGTTAAGGTACCTCCGCCTGCAAAGCCAACGCTCAACTACCACGCCGCCAGACTTTTGCCAAAGATCCACAAGCAGGAGAAGAAATGAGTGGGGGGCTTTGCGCTGCCTCTGTTTTTCTTTCCAACTACACTTGCCGCTGTGTGTCTTCCAGATGCGTATCCAGGCCCGGCAAACTTCTCCCGAACGCACACACTCAGAAGCAAGCAAATACTCTATTCTGACATAGGCATGGAAAACCCGTACAGAGCGAAACACATACCTTCGCTGCGGACATCATGAAGCGGTTGGATATGGGTATCAAACAACCATGCCTGTAATGCACACCTCATACTGTCTCCATTTTTTACCTCTTCCCGCTCGCAGGTATGGCTATTTCCCCCGTGCTGGCGTGTACATGCTTTTTCTCTCTAATTCTTCTTCCTTGTATATAACAAACACCCCAAGTATATCCACTTACGAACAGATAAATAAATACGCTTTGCGAGAGACATTGATCGTCATTTCCTAAAGATTGTCCCTCTTCATTTCCGGCATTTCTTTCAACAGCGGGAGCAACAAAACGACAGAAGCGCCGTTTGGCGCGCTGCTGGGAAACAACGGATCCTATGGAGTACGTGAAGGAGAAAGGCGGAGGGAAGGAGAATTTGAATACGATAGATGTATGGGATTATATTAAAAGTTGTCTAACCAAATTTATTTATATAGATTTTATGGAAGTTGTATTAAATTAGTGATAGTAGGAGTTGTTAGGTATCAATAACACACAGAAAACAAGAAAAAAAACGATTAAAAATTAAAAGGAAATTAAATTAATTAATGATTAAGAAATAAAAGCATGAAATCATAAAGTCATAATTTTGGCAGAGATGTGTAAGATATACACTATAGTGGTGTGAAATATTATTAATGATATATGATTGATTTTCTTCTGAGGGGTTTTTTATTCTTATCTTATATCTTTTTTTTATTTTTTTTCTTTTAACAAACGGAATGAAGGTGTGCAGTATTCAATGATAAGAGGGTGAAAGAAATTTAGCGACTGGTTCACATTTAGATGACGGCAATCTTGTCTTCGTCATCTGGTTCCTTGTGGCCAGCTGGCATTCTCAACCATGATGGTTCGTTGATTGGCAAGTATGAAGAAGCAGTGGTTTGCATACCATCGTAGAAGGCGTAGAAAGCACAGATGGAGGTAATGAAGCAGAAGATACCGGAGACGACTCTGACGGCAGAGTGGTTACCGGATTCGGCAATGGTCAACAACAACATGAAGAACCACTTGCAGAAGGTCAAGGCAAATAATGGGATGGTGGACTTGAAGGTGGACAAGAACAAGAGGAAGTCGAAAACGACCCAGCCGGAGAGGAACAAGACGATGGCGGAGGTGTAGTTTGCGGTGGTTGGGTAGGACGAGATGACACCAAACAAGTCGGAGGCGGCAGCACCGTAGGACATGATGAAACCACCGTAGCAGAGCAAGAGGGTGGAGCCGAATAAGTTGTCGTCGACAATGGCCCAGATACCCATGATGATTTGAATCAAACCGTTACCGAAGAAGAACATACCGGTCAAGATGGCTGGGGATTCGACCTTTCTTGCGTGACAGAGGACCAAACCCAAGACAAAGAGGGAGACGGCGATGAAAGCCAAACCAACGGAGCAGGACGAAGGGTATGGTCTCCATTCGTTGGATCTCTTGTACCAGGAGTTTCTCAAAAGACCGGTTCTTGGTGGCAAGACGGTGTACACGTATTTCTTTTCAAAGACTTGCTCGGACATTGCGGTGTGGCGTTCTTTTTGTGACTGTGAGTAGAGGATAAACTATCTCTTGATAGGGGAAGAGAAGGGAAGGCAGAGGAGAGGAAAGGAGAAGCACCACACAAGCAGGGCCAGGGGAGACAGACAGTAGGAAGGCGACCGAATCTGTTTTTATAGCCAAACGGAACGGGGGGGAAAGTGGGAGCATGGCATGGGGGCGACCATGGCCGTGGCCGTGGCATGTGTCTGCCGTCAGGCACTAGCACGGAGCGGAGCACTGTTTCTGTGCAGAGCCAAGGCCGTGACCGAAAGGAGAAAAAGAACGCAACATGCCGAGCCGGTATGGAACAAAGAGGAAGCGACAGCAGAATTGGGCACAATCGGGCACAAATGGTGATGATTGCTGCTCCAGAGTCCGGATGCAATATGGTGTCAGAATCCGGCAAATCGTCAACACAGGGCGCTTTACAGTTAAGTAATTGGGCAAACGGCGCCAGCCGCCGCCGCCGCCGCCGCTGATCTGGCTTTACCGGGCTGTCTGCTGCGCTTGCGTGCCACGTCTGTTTCCATCTGTCCTTGCCATTGCATCCATGTCTACGTGCTGCTGGCTCTCTACGTGCTGGTCGTCCCGTCCGTCCCGTCGTTACCAAACCAGTGCCAGCAACAGCGCCGGCGGTGGTGGGAGACGGTTCTCTTGTGGAGGGCATCGTGCGCTAACCGAGCCATTATCCCAGCCGAACAATGCGTTGCCCTTTTTCCTTCCGACAGGAGGCCGGAAACAACGGAAACCCTGGCGGCGTGGCAGCCCGCACACACGCGCTGTGCGCCGCCAGCCGTCATCCAACGGGTCTGTCTGACGGCGCCCCTTGCCGGCTGCCGTTTGCGGACATATAATGGCGTGCAGCGCGACACAGCGCAGCGAGACAGCAAAATATGTCTCAGCAGCGCAGCGGGGCGCCCGGCTTGGATACGGAAACGGCTTGCTGCGGGGAGCAGCGGCAGCTGACGTGGGTGGTCTCGGAGATGGGAAACTGGCGTGCTGCGAGAATTAGGTGCTCAGCGCAGCGCGCACTAGCACCAGAAGCCGTTCCGGGCCTTCCGGTTTCCGCTCGCACATCGGCTGTTTCCCGTTTCCGCCGCCCGGTGCCCGGCGCACGGCTCGTTCGGAGTGCAGACGGCGCCGGAAAGAAGGAAAAAGAAAAAAAGGGAAAACGCAAACACACACACGCGGGACGCCACGGCTCAGCTGTTTCGGCGGGTGGGAGGGCTAGACAGCAGGGCGTGCCACGAGACCGCGGTGGTTGTGGTGGTGGTAGTTGTGGTGGTGGTGGGGCCCGTGGTGTTCGTCTACATGCCGCCGCCGTCCAAAGGGGTCTGTACTTGAGCGAGCAGTGCCGGGGGGTAGTGTCACAACACGTGAACAGCAGGGCGTGCAGACTGGTGCACGGCCGGGCCGGCAGGTCTGGCACTCCACCTAAATCCGAGAATCACCTGTTTTCCCAGCTGCGCGCCTGTTCAGCCCTGCGCAGGTTGGCTCTACGGCTGTGCGCGGCTCCGGGTTAAAAACTCTACAGGCTTTCTGCAGTGGAGACATGAAGCGAAAAGCGGAAAGTGAAAAGCGAAAGACGAGAAACAAAAAATAAAAAATAAACCTCTTTGACCTTTTTCCACCCCGTGCCGCGAAGGGCGATTACGTAAGCATGTGGATTCTGCGTCGATCGGCCGGGAGGGCCTTTTTGAGCCCTTCCTCGGGGCCATTGCAAAAAAGATCCATGTTTGAAAATTCTGGCATTTTTCAGTAACCACAGGCCCCTGGCAACGTGCTATGCCATTCTCCCCTGCCCCCCCACACGCCAGACACACCAGACACGATGCTACGTAGGTCAGCTGCCAGATGCTACTCCACGAAGTTGGGCAAGACGTTCGGCGAGTTCCAGACAGAGTCTGCTGGCGCCGATAAAGACGGAAGCCTGATAACGAAGATCAAGGAAAATAACGTCTACAAGAACTTCTTCCAGAGCTTCGAGAAGATGAAAAAGGACTCGGAGAACAAGGCGAGAATCACCTCCTTTGAGGAGCAGAAATCCTTCAAACAGGTGTTCGACTACTTGTCCAAGGAGTCGAACAAGATCGGGGTCGTCAAGTCGCTAGAAACGTTTGTCAACTTCCAGTCTCCGTTGCAGCAGCAGCAGCAGCAGCAAAGCGCAGAGGACCCTAATGTTTCCAGCAAGCTCTCCTTTTTTAGCACGGCTTCCGGGCCGATCAACCTAGAAACGCAGTACAAAAACAAGGCAGAGGCAAGGAAGAAGTTCATCGAGGCGCTCTCCCCCACGCTCAAGTACATCAACACAGACATACAGAAGAGCAGCCAGATGTTCGACTATGTGAAAATCAACATAATCGAGGCGTTCTTGCAAAACTTGAATGCAAAGAGCGGCAAGGCCAAGACAGGCAGCTCCACAGGGCTCGGCCGCAAGGGAAACAAGATGCGCTGTTCGATCGAGGAGATCAAGCAGCAGAGCACCAGCACCCCACAGCACCCGGTCGTGGACATCCAAACCCTACCCATCTTGCTCAAGTTCTGCCTCAACTCGCTAACCTTCGACTTCAACTCGATTTCAACCTCGCTGCTACTCATAGACTACATAAAGAACCACGAGTCCATAGAGTTGTACGGCTTTGGCCTCAACATCGACTGCTACAACGCTATCCTCATCCAGGTGTGGTCCAAAACAGAGAACCTGAACATGGTGGGCAGCCTCATCGACGAGTTGAAGATCAACGCCATACAGCCCGACCTCTACACTTTCAAGATCCTGGCAAAAATATACCTCCACTGCATGCGTGTCAACGACGGATTGGGCAGCGAGCCTTACATCATCTGGAATGACAGTTCAAACGTGCACAAGATTAGAGACTATCTCCAGGATTTCAGGCTACTCTGAAACTCTTGAGTCTCCACCCAACGAATCTCCCTTTCCTGTTTTCTATAGATCTGTCCATACCGTGTAAAAATAGTCAGAGAAACCATTATGGATTCTCTCACCTTCCGCTATCGAATATGAAAAATTCATGTGAATTTTCCAAACGCGTAAAGATGAAGATTGCGACTTTCGAGTGTTACACCTACAAAGCATTTATCAGTAACATAGAAGATCTCAGGGACGGCACATACCAAGTACGAAAGAGTCGTTGAAGAAAAAAGGAACAACACCCGATGATAATAACACAGAACCAGTTTTATCGGGAGTTCGAGAGAATTTGCAAAATGTCCCTTACACACTCAACATGTAGATTGGCCATATTTGTCTCCTGTTTCAACATCGATGCAATATGTTCTTCCAAAATGTTAAGTGAATACTTGAAAAAGCAATTCATAGTTTTTCAGTTAATCCCCGTTGTCGGATATATCGACATGAAGGAAAAATTCATGAAACTAGACTCAGATATCATGAACGTCATACTTATTGGATGTGGTGCCACAGCAGATCTTGAAAGCTTTCTTGAGATAGATTTCACCGAGTATCTGAGCTCTGATATGAGTGCAGAAGAGGCGCAACGACTAGTATCCTTGGGAAGACTGAACGAGGTCAAATTGACAAGGAAAATCTATGTTGTTGACGGTCATAGGCCCTGGAATCTCGACAACCTATACGGTTCTCCGATGATTTGTTGTTTGGACGATAACTCAGCTGCAGAACTCAATACAGAAAAGGAAGCTTTCTATTATCTCATCAACATTCCCGCAGGTGCCAGTGCTGACGAAGCGGAAAGTCAGGAAAGTCAGGAAGAAGTTGAAGATTTGGCTGGTGATGATGATGAGGAGGAGGAGGAGGAGGAACTTGATCTGGAGGATTCATTGGACAGAAAAAGAAATAGAAACGAACACAAAGAATCTAATAGAAAGAAAAGAAAGCGACTTATTGATGAGCACCAGGAAACTTTAGAGTCCTACTACCAACAGGGATCGACCATCTCGGTCCCCTCTTCGCATCAGATTTACGATTTACTATCAACTCTTGGTGAAATCAGTATTGACTTTCTTTGGTTTGCAGTCATTGGATCTCGATCACTACGAGATGTATACCATAGAGTTTATGACATGGTGTATCCGGGACTGAAAAACGAAATGCAAAGATTGCAGTCGGAGAATGACTCCTTTTCGATGAGAAATGACCAAGCAAGTAGAAGCAACGGATTAAATGGATCCGCATCGTCCTCCTCTTTGTTGGATTTCAATGTATCGAAACGAGCTGACAATACCGGATTGCAAAGCTGCAAAGAGTACACCCTATTTCTTTTACACCATTGGACTTTGTATGATGCATTTTTTTACTCTGACTATGTCAACTCCAAATGCCATTTATACTCAAATGATGGACGAAGATTACTCAAGACGATGTTTGCCAGAATGGGTATCTCATTGATCCAGGCGAACCAGAATTGGCACTATTTGGACTTGGATTTAAAGAAGAAATTGGACGGTTTGATTTTGCGGGAGGTTGGCAAGTTCAACCTCACAGAGGTCATCATCGATGGGTTTAGAAGAAATTACGGGTTCCATGGATCGATATCGTCGGGTGATTATGTCGAAGCTGTTCAGGCGCTGTTAGAACATGCAATGCCACAGCCATATGAAAATGGAAAATCGAAGCCTATTTTGAACAACGGAAGGAGAAGAAAAAACGAAGGTAAGGAGAGAAGAAAAGCTGGAGAGGACGGAGACGATGGTTATGACGAAAACGGTGAGGACGATGATGATGACGCTGGCGAAGGAGAGAATGAAGGAGGAAAAAAGCACGACTCGGGTACGAAAAATGAACAATTCATAGCAGGCTTCTGGCGTGCATACGATGCCCTGAACAATTACGAGTCAGTAATTCGAGGAATGGAGATTGCAAAATTCCAGCAACAATTTATATTCGAGAAGGGAAGTGAGATCATTCAGAAGGGAATGGTGAAGACACAGAGCAAGTTCAAGGTTGTCATCTTGAACGAATCTTTCACAACAAACTCTAGTATCACGAGGTCAAACTTCAACGACTCGACTTTCAACAAGAGCGCATCGTCGTTGAAAGACGACAGAGTGGTTGATATCAAGACGTTTGGTAACGGAGCATCCATGTTCCAGAATCCGTTGATACTAACCAAGTTGGGGAACTGGATTCTCAACGTGCAGGCGGATCTCGACGAAGGGTTGCTACCGTTACTGATAGGAGCGTACAACAGCGAAACAAGCACGTATCTGATCTGCGGATTGCCGTCACGTACTAGCTTTGATGATGAAGATGAAGAAGACGAAGACAGCGACGAGAGCGATGCTGTTGATACTGAAGACAGCGACGGAGACGAGAGAAGGCAGTCTGCAAAGAGAGGCAAGACTAAGCACAGTAAGCGACGCAAACAAAGCAAGAACAACAAGGTCAAGCAGCAAAAGGTGATTCTCAACGCCTTTTCTGTTCTTTTCGAAAAAGTCACACAGGAAATCAGTATACAGGCACGCATGGACAGTTTCCAGAGCGCCATAATTGAGCTTCGGAAGGAAGATTTGACGAAGTTTCTCGACGGCTTGACAAGATATTCTCAGTATATGCTGTGATTTTTGTGTTTGTATTGTTTTAGTGTATATTTGGACTGTATCGAGTAATCCATGACATTTGTGTGCGAGGTGCTGTATGTGCAAAGATGCCGGCTACATGTTTCCGAGGTGTAGTAAAGCAAGGAAGTTGTGCTACAGCCGTGTTTGAAAACAGTCGTTTACGATCGGGGGGTATTATAACATGGTTGAGGAGGAAGGGAGAGTTACATTTTATTACGGATTTTCTTCGAGTGTAAACGCTCCAAATGTTTCTTCACAATACGAATCGGGACGATTGCGTCCTCTAAAGAATCGTGCTCCCTCCCCTGAATGTTTTCACTGAGAAAAGACCAAGCCAACTTTTTCAACGGGTCTTTTCTCCTTACGTCAACCTGGTTCTCGCTGAAAAGGATTGCTGTGTCTACTATTTTCGGGTAGATCAGGCGGAGGACGTTGAGGTCGTTCTCGAGTCCGTGGCCAACAATGATTGTGTCTTCATCTGTGAGCTGGGCCAACTTGACCATGGCCTCGTCGAAGGTGAGGGCGTTCTGCGGGATCTCAAAGACACCAGAGACGTGCGAGTTCAAATCGATAATGAGATCGCCGTCCGGGTGGACAATGGCGTCTACAAGCTTCTTCTCTGTCTTGAAGTCGACGATACTGAGCTTCATCATTTCAAAGCCTTTGTCTGTGTAGCACATCTCGCAGTCGATCCCGACAGCCTTGATCTTCTCCCTGCGCAACAGCTGCGCCCTTGAGTCGTCCTTGATGTTTAGGGCTTTCCGGAGGGAGTTGATCTTTTGGAAGGGCTTCGAGAGGTGAAGATCGATTGCCGCGTTGTACTTGTACGCGTGGTGGGACGACTTCTTGCAGCCGTTGGACTGACCCTTGATCTCGCTGCAGCACAGGTGCGCCCGGTTGGTATAGTCTGTGCCGTAAACCTTCTTACCCATGTTCAGGTTGTTGTACGTGGTCGTTTGGAGCTTCCCCGGGTGGAAACTGCACGACACCTCCTTCGCTATCTCGGCGACATTGAACCGCACGCCGCAGCGGCTGCAGTCGACCGTGCGGGGGAGCGTATACTCTGCGGAGGGGGCCACCGGCACTTCAACAACGTAGCCGTGTCGCTTCAACCTTTGCAGCGGCACGCACAGCTCAGGAAGCTCCTGCAGGTAGTCTAGCGGAGGCGTCGGCGTCACTGCCGGCGCAGAGCTCGGAGTAGCAGAGCCAGAGTCCGGAGCACCGCCAGACACCGCCGGTACCGCATCTGAGCTGGCAGCAGGTCGCTGCTTCCCGTCCTCCGTTCCGTACTTCTTCAAGCTGAACATGAGCTGCTTCAGCGAGTGCAGATATTCCATCTTGCTCTTGGTCGTCTTCGCTATCGCCAGCTCCCGCTGCACAGCCTTCGCCACCAACTCCGGGCCCCTCACACCGTCGGAATACTTCCGGTTGCACGTATTGTACTGTTCGTGGAGCAGCTTAAGGTAGTGCTGACGCTCATCCTGACGTACCGGAGCGTACGGGAGTACCGGCACCGGAAGCAACTTTGGCACGCCTGTCCTCGCAGGTCCAGCTCCGTGTCCGTGTCCGTGTCCGTGGCGTCTTTCTTCGTTTCTGCGTGTGTCCACCATCAATCACCTCTTGTTCTCTGTCGAAAGCCCTGCTTTGCTAACATCAGCTCCAACATCTGCCTTCTCTTGCCCTCCGTGACACCCCTCTCCTTTCGTTGCCCTCTTTGCTTTCCGCTTCCAGACGTTTCCTCGTTTCGTTCGCGCCGCCCTCTGAGCCCGCTGAGCCGCGGAAACCCTCGCCGGGGCCTTCCGGTGGAGTGATCCCACGCTGGCCGACAGCAATGGCCTGTCATGGCGGACGGCTGTTTCAAAACGCGTGGAAACGGAGCTGGTCCCACTTTCGGAGATGGACAGACAGGAGACACCGTCACTTCACCTGAAGCGTGGTGCGTTTCACACAAGACGATCCCTCAGATCATATTATCCACGCGTGCCCGATCGGGGCACTGTGTGTGTCCTATTCTGACCTGTTTGATGGGTGACTGTGAGTGTGACTTTGGCCCGCCGACAGTCGGACGTGTAGGTGTCCATGTCGTGGCGGGGACCTTCCTGCAGACGGGGTCATCCGTCGACGCATGCAGGCAACGCAGGGTTTGTCTGCTTGCCGCTGTGTCGCCGGTGGCTGGCGTATAAATACACACCCTTGTGTCTCCCTTGTGTATCCGCTATTGGTGCCTGGCGTATCGAGAGAGATGAGTAGTGTTGTCTCCCCGGATTCTTTTCTGTATCCATAAACACACAACCAACCAACACTACCAAAGAATACTAGTCAATAATGTCTGACGACCACTCTACCAACACCGCCGTTCCAGAAAACGGTGTTCCACAAAAAGAAGAGTCTCCAGTCGTTCCAGAGCAAAATGTCAACACCGCTTACCCATCCTTGTACGAGGGACGTCCATACAACTATGACGGACAGGTCCATCCACCAAGAACCGGTCTGTTGAGAACCAGCTGGTACAAGAGAACCGGCGACCACAGACCTTTCCCAACCTCCGTTGCTGCAGGTCTCGCCTGTGTTGCTACCACCTTGTTCGGCCTCGGCTTGATCATCGCAGGTGCCAGACACACTCCTTCCAGTGCTGCCTTGACCGGCTCCTTGTTCTTCTCCTCCGGTTTGGTCCAAGTCATCACCGGTATCTGGGCCATCGTCGACAACAACTTGTTCGGTTCCGTCTTCCTTCTCTGTTACGGTGCCTTCTTCATGTCCTTGGGCAGCATCTTGGCCCCAATCTTCGATATCGCCACTGCATATGCCGATGGTGGTTTGACCGATGCCCTTGGCATATTCCTTGCTTCATGGTGCGTCTTCACTTTCTTCTTGTGGACTGCCACTTGGAAATCTACCGTTCCTTTGTTCGTTTTGATGTTCTGCCTCTGGATGTTCTTCCTTCTTTACACCATTGCTGTCTTTGGTAACCACAAGGGTTGTCAAACTGCTGCCGGTGTCTTCTGCTTCTTGACTTCGGCTTGTGCCTACTATGCTCTCTACGATGCCCTATCCGAACCATACAACTCCTACGGTTCATTGCCAGAAGCAAAGATCTTAAGAATGCCTGGTTCTTGGAATGTTCCAGATGACGAAAAGAGAATTGAATACGTTTGATCACTCACTCCTCATAAACTGCAAAACTTACAGTATACATACATACAAACATGATGTGATATCTCATAATCTTCCTTTCTTTCACCCTAATACTTTAATTATTACTTTAATATCTTTTTATTTCCTTCCAACTTATCCCACTACGACTTATTAATGAACCTCTTCTTTTAAGAGTTTAATGTATAAACCCTTTAAATTATTAATACTTAATGTTCGGCATCTATCTCGCAGAGAAAAAAGCAATAAAATAATTATTCTTTCATGATGGAGAAAGAGCCAGGTCTAAACATCGCGCACTTCTCGAATTATCTCAGCCATGCGTGTAGACAACTGCTTGCCAGTGATTTAGATCCTACAGATAATCGTATTCTGTTTCCATTCAGTGAGGCAAAAAGCCCAGGCACACACTAAACCATGTCACAGTCAGATGAAGATCTGCCCACAAGATGGGAGATTGAGCTTGAATTCGTACAGTCTCTCGCAAACACTCAATACCTTACATATCTTGCACAATTGGGCTACTTCAAAGATGAATCATTCCTCAATTACCTAAATTATCTCAATTATTGGAAGCAGCCCTCTTTTGCGAAATTTCTCGTCTACCCAGACTGTTTACACATTCTCACGCTACTACAGAACGAACAGTTCAGAAACGAAATATTAAATCCCAACTTCACAAACGTCCTGTACAACGATATGGCGGAATATTGGAAGGAGCCCTTATTCAGAGACGAAAAGGAACGTGAGCGTGAAAGGGAAGAAAAAGAGAGAAGATCAAAACTTCCCACGGCTTCGCCGTCCTCTCCCTCCTCTCCTTCTCTTGTCAACACAGCAATTCCATCGGCTTCTCCCGACTCTAAATCATCTGTTCCTCCGCCTGCTATCACACCAGCTTCTGTTGCGGCAATACCCGCAACAACGACGACTCAACTTCCAAATCCCTAGCTGTGGATCTCATCCCCACCGCATTTCAGTAACTTTATAGAGTTTTTCTTTTCATAAACATTACATATATTTGTAAATAAATATATGATAAAATAATACACATTTCCTATAACACATTGAAGAAAAAAAAAATACGCACATCTGCATAAATAGATTAGCATGGAAAAAGAAGCAAATGTGCGCCATATACTAGCAGATTGAAACCACCATATGAACAAAATGAACATAAACACAAACTCCCACATGAACAACCAACGTTCACTCTTTTTTTCCAAGAATTTTGAAAAAAACCATATTCAAACCAACTTTTTCTAGCTGCTGCTACTCACCAACTTGTCAAGCTTATTCTCTTTTTCAACCTTATCAACAACACCAGTTCCTGCCTCAACTTTCACCTTAACAGATGGAGAGCTGGACAGGTCAGTCATATTTTTGTTGCTAGTCTTTGGAGTAGCCTTTTTACTGACTTTGGTCTTTTTCCCTTCAGTGTCCTTCTTTCCCTTCTTCTCCTTCGTTCCCTTTGTTTTAGTTGCTTTCTCATCTTTGAATTTATCTTGACTATCGCCACTCTCCATTGAATCGTTATCCTTCCCTTTCTCGTTATCTTTCTTCTTGCCATCATTTTTAGCATCCCCATTAGAGCTTGGTTTGCCAGTTGAATTTTGGCTCTGACTTCGATTTTGTGAATTTTGTTCTTGTTGCTGTAATTGTTGTTGATGTAAGATTTGTTGTAGCTGTAGTCTTTCACGTTCTTTCTGTTCACGCTGGAACTGTTCTCTCTGTTGTTGTTGCTGTTGTAACTTTTGCTGGTGATGTATGATTTGCTTCTGCCTGATTTGGTGCATATTATCATAAGCTTTGCTCAATAACATACAGCCAAACCTGATAGCCTGGGTTTGTTTTCCAATTTGGTTCAGCTTTGAGGGATCAAGTGGGTTCATCTTTGGAAGATCAGCATCAAACATAAACCGTGACTTTAATCTTTTTCTCGAATCAGCACCACAATCATATGCGGAAATCCTTTTCGTCCCTCTCGGTGGCTCTTTGATTGACTCCAGCTTCTCCTCTGCAGCATCATCCTCCTTATCAACATCCATTTTTTCATTATCATCAAAAAGCTTTTCCTCCAGTTCTTCATTTTCTTCATCCTCGTCCTCTGGCATATTTAGATATTCTTCGAATAAATCATCATCTGTAATACGTTTCCTATCCATCCATATTCTTCCACCTCTTCCTGGACGTTTTCGAATCTTGAATAATACTTCAGAAACGTTAAATCTATTCTTGTCATTAAATTGCTTTTCAATCTCCTCTCTGGTTTCGCCAAATTCATTACTAGTTGGGTTTTCTCCTACAAGATCATAAAATTCTGGTAAATAGCTATGTCGATCATTCTTGACAACTTGACCGGTGAATAGATTGACTTTGACAATTTCAGAATCGTTATTGCTATAATGTCGATTGTTGTTAAAAATATGACTAAAGTTAATCTCTCTCGAATTCTCAACTTCAAACATCGAAGAAATGATAGAACTATAAGGTAAATGAGATCTTTGCTCAATTTCATCTTCTCCACTATTTGACATATCGAAATAAGGATTATATGGATCATCAGTAAAATTAATCCAGCCTTCATCTTGTAGTCTTCTCTTTATCAATTTGTCAGAAACTGCCTTCTTGATACCTTCTAACTTATCTTTCAAAACAGTGTTGACGGTAGTCAGCTCAATATCTGGAATTTTAGAAGGAGGTAGTTTGACATAAGGTTGAATGACAACTTGGGGGGTTTTAGTTGATTGGTTCAATGGATGGCCATGGCCATTGCTGTTGCTATTATTGCTGAAATTATTTCCGTTGACACCATTGAGGTTTTTAGTGGAATTCCTTTTGTTTGTAGCGCCATCGGCTTTGAGCTGTTTCTTAAGACTTCCTCTTCCAGACGAGCCATCTTTATTTTTAATTTTATCTTTGATGTTATCTGTCTCCGATTTGACCGGAGTAGGGGGTGGAGGTACGTATCCCAAAGGTATACGTTTTTTCTTCGGTTTGTCTATTAATAAGTCATCATCAAGTTTGATATTTTCATCCCTTTTGATCTTCTTGAGCTCATTTCGCAGACTGAAAGTTTCTGACTCGACTTGCAACAATTCCGACTTTTTCACTTCTTTTTCGGCAACCGAGAAGAATAAACTTTTTGCTCTCCGTAAATCTTTATACAAAAGCTTCAGTCTTTCTATGCTTTGTACATCTGTTCGCCTTGTCTTTCTTGCTTGACGGAATTCTCTTCTTCTAAAACAAGTGTACGGGTTATTATCATCTTTCTGTGAAGGATCTTCAAATTTCAAAGTTGGGAAGACCGGCTTACCTCCTCTTTCAATTCGTCTGTTTTTCCAATGATCATATATCTGTTCGCCAAATAAATCGAACAACACGGGTAATGGTCTAGGTTCTTTACCACTTGAAGGTTCCGCGTCGTACAATGTCTTGAAAGTCTTGACATGCAACTTATTGGCCAATGTTTGATGTAGATCCGAGGACAGGGATTTAGGGTCGAAAGCATATTCTTTAATTTCTTTGAAGCTCAAAATTTGTTGAGGATCCATCGTTAAAAAGGGTTGTCGCTCATCAACTGTCATATCAAGTTTATTTGCTATTAGCTCAAATTCATCCTCTGTGCATGGTTCTTCTTTAGGGAATTTTTCATTCAACTCCTGTAAAAACTCATCATCAACTTCGTCCATATTATAAGGGCATCCAGTTGTATCCTCCACCGTTGCAGAGAACTTGATATAAGAATCAGGTTCATTGAAAGACTGGTGGTAATAATGGGACGCATCCTTCCATACTTTCGAAGCATCTGGAGTGGGAATATAAACTTGTTCGACATTTGCACCTTTGAATTTGGCAGCAGAAGCATTGATAACTTGTTGTAAATGATGTTCTTCTTCTTCGCCTTTCTCAACACCTGTTTCGAAATGTTGCAGTTCACGTTGTTGATCTTCAATATCAAAATCAGGAATATCCTTTTGCTTCAGAACAAGTAGTGTTTGTTTTACTGAAATCTTCCTTTGTCTGAAACGTGCACCTGGAGTCGAGGTGGATCCCATTATGCACTGTAATGTTTATCTGTGTGAGATTTCCCAGAAACTGTATAGAAACGCGTGTAAAGTAAAAGAACTATCAAAGAGTAGATGAAAAAATTAGTCTTCTGTTTTTTTTAAGGATTCTTTTTGTAAGTTTGATACTTATTCCGTTCTCGAAGGGAGTTTTTGAAAGTTTGCTCCACCAAGAGACGTCTATGCTAACGTACCTTTTATCCTGTATTAATGAAAAGTCTTCAGGCTGTGTTGAATCTGGATAAGAGATAACAACTATACCTAATTGGGAATCTATTTCGATTTCTTTCCTGGTGTAGTGATGTTAGACAGAAAGCCCAGATGTTACGTAATCTCTCAGAGATTTTTCTCGCAGCAATCTGAAATTTCCGGCACTCACTGTACTGTAAAATGGGGGGGAAGAAAAAGCACAAATGAACGGGTATAAAAGGGGGGCAGCAATTAATAACAAGTGAATGTCACCAATCAAAACCTTTTATTCAGTGATGGATGAGGAGGACAAGTAAGTGCAAAAATATACCGCTCTGTGGATGTGCAGGAACTAAGCTGTGCGCCTGCTGTGTGTTTATTATGCAAAAAAATATACTAGTCTGCTGTGCTGCTGCGTCGACAATTTAATTTCTCAGCATTGGCTTTGAACTTCGAGTTGGGGCAAAGAGTGCTCAAAAAATACCCAGAATTCTCAGGGAAAATCGAGGAATAGTCTATGAGTTCTAGCAGCTTATACACACTTGGGGATGTAGTTGTTGACCTGGTAAAAAATCTGTGCAAGTAAGGGTCTGATATAGAACCCTCCGGACCGGGTGAGTCGCAAGTGGCAAATGAGGGACAACCGGAAAATATAATGGCAGCGTCGTATATTTCGCTGGGAGGGGAAAAGTGGCGAAGCTCGCCACGTAGGGGGAAAAAAGTCAAAATTCGACGAAAGTCGCCGTCGTCGCCGCAAAAAAAAGCCGATCGGCGCAAAAATGCTAGAGCCTTCAAATGGGGACAGGGCTCAAAACCAGCACCGGAGCTAGAGAGTGATTGTCTATATTCAGATTGTGGGGTTTGATTTATATACATGTCTACGTACGTGCATTGGCCATCTGAAGGTTAGGCCTCTTTGTATTTCAGTTGGCCCCTTTGACTTCAATACCGTATATGTTCAAAGTCTTTGTGGGGACTTCGCTGGGAGACTCGACAACGGGATCGGAGCCGGTCTGTGTCTTAGGAAATGCAACGACATCACGAATGTTGGAAGAGCCGACAAGCATTGAGCACATACGATCGAATCCGATGGCTAAACCAGCATGCGGTGGACACCCGCTGTCCAAAGCATGGATTAGATGGCCAAAAAGCTGCATGTGGTTTTTGATGCAAAGGATTTCTGAAAATATGTATTTCTGTAGTTCTGCGTCGTGGACCCTTCTTGAGCCTCCTCCTACTTCGACGCCGTTTATGACAAGATCATAATGGTCTCCCTTGACTCTCAATGGCTCGGTTGCAAGGTACTCGTAGTCGTCCAACTTGGCCATTGTAAATGGATGATGCGTTGACTCGTATTTCGTGCGATCATAAGCAGGGTACCCATTCTTGGACTCCAGTTCTATGGGGCTGAACAACGGGAAATCAACTAGCCATGAAACAACAAAAATGTCTTCAAGCTTTTGGGGAGTAGAGCCTTCAGAAATCTCCCTTCTCCAGTGGGTTGGGAAGTACTGAATAGCAAGCTGACGAAATCTCCCCAACGGAGTTGGGTTTTCGTACGTTAGGCAAGCACGGTCTCCAATCGCAACAATATCGCCAACATCGAGGCCCAAATAAGTATTCAACTCGGAAGGTGACGTACCATCTTTGAGTTTGACGGGTATTTTGGAAATCCAAGAACCCAATTCCTCAGCATTCTTTATTTTGAAGATGTAGGGCTTTCTGTCCTTATATTCAGCAACATCAAACAATTGTTTTGGCAATTTCTTAGCAGCATTCAAGCCACCTTTCAAAACACAACCCTCAAGGACACCAAAAGAATCTTCTTTCAACACAGAAGCAAAAAATTGACTCACTTCCTTGATAGTTATAGTTGATCTCAAGTCAGGTTTATCGATTCCAAATTTACTCAACGCAGTCTCATAGTCCAATTTAGGAAACGTTTCGCAATCTTTCAACTCCACAAGTTTTCCGGTTTCCCAATCAACCCGGTAAAGTGGTACTTCTTTTACCTTTCTCCAAATTTTCGAGACAAGCTTTTGAACGACGTTTTGTATGTCCTCACTTTTGGCAAATGACATTTCCATATCAATTTGAGTGAATTCGGGCTGTCTATCAGCTCGCAAATCCTCATCTCTAAAGCATTTGGCAATCTGGTAGTATCCCTTGAATCCAGAAGCCATTAGGAGCTGCTTATATTGTTGCGGAGATTGTGGCAATGCGTAAAAAAAACCCGTTTTCCTGGTGGGCACTAGAAATTCCTTAGCACCTTCAGGTGTTGACTTGAATAAAAGTGGTGTTCCAATTTCAGTAAAGTTCATTTCATCTAAAACAGATCTAGCCACACGTGCTGCATGTGCTCTCATTTTCAACGCTCTTTGGTAGTAAGGCAACCTTAATTGTAAATATCTGTATTCTGCTGGAAACTGATTAGGTGTTTCTTTCAACGAATCCAATTGCGTCGCTTTTTCGTTGGAGTCATTCAGTATCTGAAACTTTTCAATAGAAAGTTCCCAAGTTTCTCTTTCCTCTTGAGATTTCTGCTTTTTTATACAAATTTTTCCGGTGACAGATAATGCATCTTCTGGTTTCAACGTGCGTAAACGTTTACTCCAATCTTCGGATTTGGTGACAATTTGCGTAAAATCACCATTGAAATCTCTGAATTTGGCAAATACAAGATTTTTTGATATCTTCCTCGGAGACCCATCTACCCATCCATTAAGTGTGACATTACTATCCAAAAGATCAGTGTATGCGTTGTTGACCTCCCCTATAGTGTGGGTAAAATGTTTGAAGTCAAACTTGTCGATAGTTCTCAATTTGTCCGGAAGGGCTGCTTGAACAACGGACAAAGAATGAAATCTCCTTCTGAACAAACAATACCCAAAACTTGACCTCATTTTAGTCAACTGTAGGTTCTTTTGGAACCTGAATGGCCTGCGGGGGGTATTACTCAATATGCACAGGACAAATTCTCGTACCATCCATTATCAGGAGCTTTTTCGGAGGTGAGAAATAATCTTATTCATGTCCTAACTTTCGAGGCGCACAGAAATTTGTTTCCATGGTAGTGAAGAAGATAAATTGTATATACATGATATAGTTCTATAGAGTGGCAACCATGTACTATAAGCAAGCAAAATTATGACTATAAAAGACGCAAAGGTCTGGTCTTTCCAAAATGTAAATTTAAGGGGAGAAGTCAATTATCGTCCTCAAGAAGATCTTCTTCATCGACTCTCTAAAAGCACCATCACTATCTTTGCATTCTTCTAATTTGTCACCATACTCCTTGAAAAGATTTGAGATTTTGATTTCACAAGTTTCGTCAATGAGTTTATTTTCCAAACTCTTATCCTTGATGAGTTTGGCCAATCCTATCTCTTTGCCAAGCAGAGAAACAGTTGCTAAAGCTTGGACAAGCATGCCTCTCTCGCTAACAAATTCCTCCAGTGGCTTCAGATAGAGATCCAATGACTGGTTGTAGATATCAAAGGCCTTGTCTGAATCGCCAAACCATCCGTGGAAAAGGACTAACGATGCTAAGTTGTTTGCTGCAGGTAGTGGAGACTGTGGAACCAACGCTTCGGCAACATTGACATTTTTGGGGTCATTGCTACTGACGCAACTGTACACAAATACCAAGGACATAGTAGTTTTTAGATCGTTCTGCTGTACCGTTCCGTCTGGAACCTTTGATTGATAATGCTGGAAGTACTTGATTGCGGTGGGTAAGTCGTTGGAGTAGAACCCCGCTGACTTCATCAAGTCTATCATCACTGGAGCTTCGTCATCCAGACCTAGCTCTTGGATTTGTTCTCTGATTTCGTCAACTACGTCTGGCAATGGTGCTAGTTGAAGTATGCTGACGCCCAACTTTTCTTTCACCTTTTTCAGATTCTCGGACTCAAGTACGGTGGAGGTCTGTAACTTCGAAATTGGCATAAGAGATTTGAGTAATGCATTGCCTGAAAGTGAAACACCATTGCTGATTGAGGCTTCGTAGAAGTGTAGGTAGTCCACATTTTTCAGATCAAAGTTCTCTGGATCGTTGATGATTTTTTCGAAGATAGAGGAGGGAATCACCATTTGGGTGATCAGAGCACTACAGTCCAGCTTCATCAAATCCGTGACCAGTTTGAGAAGCGACTGTTCATCAATCAGATCTTTGTTACCGATTCTCTCATAGACTTGGAAGATTTTAATCACTTTTTCGACATCCACATCCGCCAAACCCTCTTTGATTTCCACCTTATCGCCGTAAAGCAACTTCTTCAGTATGGCAACCAATATCTTGTCGTGAGGCTCCTCTGGCTTGAGAGATTCGTACACATCCCAGCTCGAGTTCACTCTACCGGGATTGTGACAAATCAACTCGCTGACCGAACCCTGGGATAAGTTTTGCTTGTCGTTGAGCAACTTCTTGAATGCCAAAGTTGACACAGCGTAATTGTACTTGGTAAACTTTTCAATGAGACTGTTGAGAATGTTCTTCTTGAGTTCTTCGGACACATCAGGAGTAGACTCGAGCAACTTCGACAGCTGGAGAGAGAGGGTGTACAAATCATTATACTCCTTGTTGGCCTCTTCAGCGGACTCGGGACCTTGCTTTTCCAGCCGAGAGGCATGGTGGTTAATAATGTCCAGATACGAATGTCCGTTTTTCAAGTCCGGGTCGGATTCTCCTTGTGTTTGGAGATGGTTGATAGTGTCTGAAACCGAATGATGCGAGTTCACGTCAATCAGAGCCCGTCTGGACAACGAAAAGGCTCTTTTCTGGGCTTGACAGAAGCCTCTAACAACCGTGTGCCTTCCTAGCATCCTTTTGTTCTTCGGGCTTCTGGCTTGTTCCTCTGTCCTTCCTCTGGACCCCCATCAGCAGACTAATACCAGTGACACTTAAGTTGTGTTGAAACCCTGAAGAATGAACCCGTCTTTTTTTCGCCGATCGACGGCGTCCCACGTTTTTTTGACTTTTTCCACACTTTCTCGCTTTTTCGTCGTCGAATTTCCATTTTTGCTTCGTCAGAGCTTTTCTGGGTGAGCAACACCCTCCACTTCTTCCTTCTGTTCTCTCTTGCCTCTTCTTGGTTCTTTTCCTTCTTCCTGTGTCTTTTTCTTTTCTCCTGGTGTGCATCCACATCTTGAAAAAATGTCCTTAGGTACTTTATTCGGTGAATCCGAAACCAGATCTATCCTTCCTGTCGGTTTAGTCAAGGCCTTCAAGCTTGATGTTAAGCTCGAAGCTAGAGGTTCTGCCGCTCACAAGGCTGCAGGCTTTTCTACCGAAAAGGTCCCAGCTTTCTTAGGCCCTCACGGTTACAAGTTGCAAGAATCAGTTGCCGTTTTGTTCTACTGTAAGTATCACTAGAATCAGTGTGATTCTCTTCTTTTTTTCTTCCCCTTTTTTTGTGGCACCTCAGGGTTCATGAATCACCACTGCAATACTCATACATTCTCGTTGGCATTTTCTCTCTTTCTTTTTACAATGATGAAAAAACCATTCATTTAATACAGTTATCCCTGTCTTAAATATAATGTCGAGAAACTATAATCTGAAAAGCAAAAATTGATGGATTATGCTCTGGGAGAATGGTGTGCGATGTTGGAAATTTTTGATTTTCAGTCGTGAACATGATACTAACATCAACGCAAACTTATTGTGATTATTTTCCATAGTGGTTAACTTGCACGACCCAGAATCTCCATTATTGGGTACTGACTTAGAAACAAAGGCTCAAGTCTTGAAATACATCTCATGGGGTACTGCTGAATTGATGGATCCTCTTACTAACATCATCCGTGTCCTGTTGGCTAGAATTCCATTCAACAAGAAGCTTCTTGATACCTCCAACACCGAAGTTGACAACTATGTTGTTGAATTGGAAAAGAGACTTGTGAACCACACCTACTTGGTTGGCGAAAGATTATCTCTTGCTGACTTGTTCGTTGCTTCCTGTTTCTACAGATGTTTCACCCTGACCTTCGGTAAGAAGTGGAGATCTAGCCACCCAGTCTTCATGAGATGGTTCAACACTGTTGCTGCCACTGAATACTTATCATACTTCTTCGATAACGTTAAATTCATTGACGAACCAGTCGCACCACCAAAGCCAGCCAAGAAGGAGAAGAAAGACGAACCAAAGAAGGCTGAAAAGAAGGCTGAAAAGCCAGCAGCAGCAGCAGCACCTGAGCCAGCACCTGAGCCAAAGAAGGTGAAACACCCATTAGCAGAACTCGGTAACCCAACCATTGCTTTAGATGAATGGAAGAGAGTTTACTCCAACAAAGATACCAGAAAGGAAGCTTTGCCATACTTCTGGAACACTTTTTACAACGACGATGAATGGTCATTGTGGAGAGTTGACTACAAGTACAACGACGAATTAACCTTGACTTTCATGACCAACAACTTGATTGGTGGTTTCTTCAACAGATTGACCGGCTCTACCAAGTACATGTTCGGTTGTGCTGTTGTCTACGGTGAAAACAACAACAACGGTATTGTTGGTGCTTTCCTTGTCAGAGGTAAGGACTCCGCTCCAGCTTTCAATGTTGCTCCAGATTGGGAATCATACAGCTACACCAAGTTGGATGCCTCTAAGCCAGAAGACAAGGCCTTCGTTGACAACATGTGGGCTTGGGACGAACCAGTCGTTGTTGCCGGTGAAAAGAAGGAGATTGCTGACGGTAAGGTTTTGAAATAAGCGTGTAAATTAAGACCTTTATATATATATTACGATCTATAGTGTAAAGAAAGAAAAATAATAATAATTTTTGCCCAATGTATTTGTTGCTTATCACAAACATAATTTATAAACGTTCCTATTTTACCTTTGAACAATCTGTCCAACCTTTACCTGGCTTGCTTGCCAAATATCCGCCGTTCTGTAACGCTTCCATACCCACATCACTCATGCATTTAAATCTTGCAGGGCCAAGTGCTATTCCACCGTACCAGCGGGAGACAACGACCAGAATATTTACAAGATGCAAACGATCTAACATACCCAATAACCGAAGTCCCGATCCACCTTCGTTATTATCGTGGAACCCTTGATTCAAATTGACGAGTTTACTTAACACCGAAGATTCGACTGTCAATTCATCAGTCTTTTTCCCCTTCGACTTTTTGCTTTTCGCTGTGTTGCATCCAGCTGTTTCCAATTCTGAGCTTGCTGTTTTCCAAGCGTACATTGTGGGATGTGAAGCTTTTTGTATAGTTTTGTCCAAAGTCGTGAGATCATTCAACAATTCTGGGATCGAGAGGTTCGATTTGATCGGCGTGCAAAATGCACGAAATTTCGACTTTTTCTGTACAAGTACATTTGATACAGACCATTTGGGATTCATTGCTCCGGTTTATCTCAAATCTTGTATATGTTTATATGGTATAGCTAGCTATTCCATCTTAAATCTTTTGGTGGGAATGTTAAGGCCGACTCATGAAATTTTTAAAACGTTAGCGATAAAAAAAAGGTGAGGAGTCTTTATTTGCTAGGGTAAAATGACGATGAGTAACTGATACATGAATTAGAATTAACGAATGATACACAATAACCTTGCTGATTCCATTTAGTGGATGGCACAAACATGGCTGCAGCTAAGACAAAGGCAGACACTAAGGCAGGCAAACGAGTCACCGCTACCAAAAAAAAAACCACAAAGGCTGTAAACAAGAGCAATGCACCAGGAAGCAAGAACGGTGGTAATGCAGGAGCCGATTCTAACATTAGCAAAACGCCTATAAAGGACCGTTCTGGACAAGATATGAATTCTCATACCCCCAATCATCACATGGGCAATGACCATATGAATAATATATATTCCACGCCTGGAGATGACGACATGGATGCTGCTCTTGGCAAAAATAGCTCGAACAAGCAGGATGCAATTGACTCATCCATATATCTAGACCCTCCCAGAGACAAGAACCGGTACAAATACCGAGTTGAAATACAGCAAATGATGTTTGTTTCTGGGGAAACGAATGAACCGCCCGAGCGTACCACTGATTTGATCGAAGATATAGTGAGAGACCAAGTTGTGGCTTTATTGCTGCAAGCACAACGTACAACCCAATCACGGGGCCAGAAATCTATTTTGCCTGAAGACTTGATTTTCCTGATAAGGCATGACAAGGCCAAGGTGAACAGACTACGTACGTATCTATCGTGGAAAGACGTTAGGAAAAATGCTAAAGACCAAGAAAATGGTGACCTCGCAGCTGCTGCCGCTGGAGGTGGGGATCTATTAGAAGAAGCAGCCAACGCCGGTAGTGTTGGGGGAGCCAGTAGTGTTGATAGTAAATTGCTGGCAGCCAAGCAAAAGAAAAGCTTGAAGTTGCCGTGGGAGCTAGAGTTTATGTTTACCGAACAACCTTTGAACGGAGGCTTGAACGGGGTGGTGGAAGATGAGAAAATTGACGAAGAGGAAAGAGAGGCCGTCTTGGCACAGATAAAAAGATTAAAACAGAACGATGAACGTACGAAGGACATGACACAACAGGAGTACGTCCATTGGTCGGAATGCAGACAGGCCAGCTTTACCTTCAGAAAGAGTAAGAGATTCAGAGAATGGTGTGGAATATCGCAGGTTACAGAAAGCAGGCCGAATGACGATGTCATTGATATTTTAGGGTTTCTAACTTTTGAAATGGTGTGTTCGATTACGGAAGAAGCTCTTAAAGTGAAAAGCTCAATGGACAGTCTTTCTGAAGAGCGTGACGCCCGTCGCTACCTCTTCATGGAACCAAGCAACGACAACAAGCCGATTCATGTCGAGCATATCCAGGAAGCGTGGAGACGATTGCAAGAGATTCCTAGAAGTAAGAAGGCATTGTACAATTTCCGTGGTGGCAGAATGTTGCGGACGGTGAGGTTGATATAGAAGCAGGTGAAAGATCTGCAAAATGTATAAACCATCTGCAGGTGGGTGGGACCGCAAAACGGTATTGGAGCTTCCACTGTACAGATTTCTAAGTCATGTAATACAATAATATAGACACACGTTGAACACGATTGCGGCAACATCAAAAAGAACGAATAAATAACGTGCAGTAGTATTAGACTCAGGTTTTTCCACTGTAAGGTGCGTATTTCCGATGCTTGTGCCAGACTTTCGATATCTCTTCCTTTTGCATGTGCCAAGGGAACAGGGATGGCAGATTTAGATGCAAGATACATAGACGGTGATGAGTGTCAGAGACGTGTCGCTTTCCTACGAAGCAATATTGCACCAAGCTGGCCCGTTCACAGAACCAGACTACGACTACGATGCAGGGAAGGCAGAGCTAGAAAGTTCGCACGTTCTTGTTATCGGAGCTGGCGGGTTGGGATGTGAGATATTGAAGGATTTGGCCCTGAGTGGAGTGAAGAAGATCAGTGTGATTGACATGGACACTATCGAGTTGACGAATTTAAACAGACAGTTTTTGTTCCGAGAGGAAAATGTTGGGAAATCAAAGGCGATTGTCGCCAGTGACGTGGTTGTGCAGCGAATGCAGAACGGGATCGAGATAACTCCCTATTTTGCCAAGATACAGGACTTCGACGACGACTTCTACTCACAGTTCAGCATAGTCGTGTGTGGACTCGACTCGATTGAAGCGAGGCGGTGGATCAATGCGGAACTGGTGCATCTTGCACTGGACAAGGAGAAGGTGATTCCGATGATCGATGGCGGCACGGAAGGTTTCCAGGGCTCGGTGAAGCTGATTGTGCCGACATTCACGGCGTGTTTCGAGTGCTACATGCCGCTGATCCCCGAAAAGACGACGTACCCGTTGTGCACTTTAGCCTCGACACCCCGGCTGCCCGAACACTGTATCGAATGGGCACACCAGTTGGAGTGGGAGAAGGTGAACCCCGAGGTAGCGTTTGATGCGGATGATATGGGTCACGTAGAGCAGATGTACAAGCTGGCCCGTGCTCGGGCAGAGCAGTTTGGCATCGAGGGTGTCACGAAGACGAAGACGTTGGGTGTGGTGAAGAACATTATTCCGGCCATAGCGTCGACGAACGCCGTCATTAGTGCGCAGTGCTGCAACGAGGCGTTCAAGTTCCTCACGAGCTGCAACCCAAGCATGAAGGACACGATGTTCTACAACGGAGAGAACGGAGTGCTCTGCGAGACGGACGAGTACTTGCCGCTCCCGAGCTGTCCCGTGTGTGGGAGGCGTGTGGAGGAGCTCGTGTTGCCGGCTGCAGACGCAGCGATAACGCTGGAGCAGTTGGCGCTGCGTATCAAGGATAGGTACACGTTGCAGAAGCCTGTGCTGATGGTGGACGGCCAAGAGGTGTACAACTTCAAGTACGTCGAGGACAGTTTGGAGAAGAACGACCTGCCAGCCGTGGATGTCTTTTCGGAGTCGGAGGTGACCATCACCGTGGTCGACACGAGTGTAGAGAACACGTTGGAGGTGACGGTGACGTTCCCGCTGCCGGAAAAGAAAGGGGAGGAGAAGAAGGTGACTAACGTAAAATAAGTAAATATATTTTGAATACACAGTATTGTTCGAGTTACCTATCTATATCTAGCTCTAAGGAGAAGCCGAGCGAGGGGCTTAACCGTGCTTGGAGAAGTACTTTTTGGAGTTCTCTGGCTCTGGGACAATGGTGTCGGCACCAGGGGTCCAGTTGGCAGGACAGACTTCGCCGTACTTGTCGGTGAACTGGAAGGCCTCGAGCAATCTCAAGGACTCGTCGACGGATCTACCGACAGGCAAGTCGTTGATGGTGATCTGTCTCAAAGTACCCTTTGGATCGATCAAGAAGATACCTCTGAAAGTGATGCCTTCGTCCTCGACCAAAACACCGTAGTCCTTGGCAAGCGAGTGGTTTCTGTCAGCAATAAGAGGGATGTTCAATGGGCCCAAGCCACCGTCGGCTCTGGCGACGTTGGTCCAGGCCAGCAAGGAGTACTCGGAGTCGGTGGAGGCGAACAAGACCTCGGCACCCTTGTCCTTGAACTCCTTGGCCTTCTCGGAGTAGGCAATGATTTCGGTAGGACAGACGAAGGTGAACGCCATTGGGAAGAAGGCCAACAAGACCCACTTACCCTTGTATTGCTCGAGGGAGACCTCTTCGAAGGCACCGCCGATGACTGCGGTCTTCTTGAATGCTGGAGCTGGTGCTTGGATAGTAGGGACAACCATTGTGTGTTTCTAGTGAGTGTGTCTAGTGTGTCTAAGTTCTAGGCTTGCTCCTTCCAGCCATTGGCTGCTTTCCCCAAGGGCGGCCAGTGGGGTGTTCTGGCCAGGCGGCAGCACGCCCGCCTTTTATACCCGGCGAGATAACGGCCGCGGCCGGTGGTGGAAAGGTCCAGAACTCCCACGCTGATAAATACTGGGGCCGTTGTGTGGCACCTGGGGGTGTACCAGGCCCTGGAGTCGGGGGTCGGAGGGGGTCGGAGGGGGTTGGAGGGGGTCACGGTGATGGTTACACAGTGAGACGGTAGGAAGTACACAAAACGGATTAGTAAAAGGGAGTAGGAGAGGCAATGGCCTCCCAGCGGGGAGCTAGTCCTCGTGTTGGACGCGTGCCTGGTTCGGGGTCTGTGTCTGCACCTCCCGCAGGACCCGTTGGTACACTTCGGCGAAGTTGGGCTCTAGCGTGAGCACGAAGAGCAGGAGGTCCTGGACGGTCCGCAGGAGAAGAAGACCGAGACGGCGGAGCAGGCTCTGTGCTCTGCGGCGGGCCTCGTCGGCCTCGCTGGCCGGGTCGAGGCTGCCGTCCGGACTGTAGACAGGTCTCTGGTAGGAGACGCAGAAGAGCACGACGGCATGGTAGAGCGTGTCCACGTGGCTGGCGGCGGCGGCCTTGAGGAGACGCATCCAGGCATGGACCCGGAGACAGGCGCCGATGCCGCCCTCCCGGCCCGTGCGCTCAAGCATCGTGAGCATGTTCTCGCTGAAGAGGTTGGCGGCAAAGACGGCAACGGCAATGTAGTTGCGGGGCAGGCCCAGCGTCGGGAGAATGAGGCCCCAGAAGAGACACATGAGCAAGTACTGCGAGAGCACAAAGCCGACGTTCAGCAGGAGCCCGCTGAAGAGCCAGTTGAAGGCGAAACGGCGGGCCAGGGAGATGCCGGAGCGGTACGCCCGGCGGAGCAGGGGCGGCTGCGGCTCCTGTGGCTCCGGCATGGCCGTCCGGATCGAGTCGAGGAGGGGCACGAGCTCCCTCACGACCTCGTCCATGAGGACTCTCTCGCTGGCGGACACTCTGTCGCCGCCATCGCTGCGCATCGCCTGGAATAGGCCAAGGGCGTCCGAGTACGCCTCGAAGACGGCCTGGTATGTGTTTGGCGGGCGGTTTGTGCCGGCCGCTGGCAACGGCGTCGGCGTAGCTGACTCCGCTTCTTCGCCGTGGATGCGGATCTTCAGCGTCCCGATCGGCCCAAACCTCTCCAGCTGCCGCAACCCGCTCTTGTTCACCATGATGTACGGCTTGTAGCACGAGTCCTGGTCGTAGGCATCGACCACCACGCACTGCTGCGTGCTCAACTCCACGCTCTCGCCGCCCTCCGCGTCCGTCACCACGTACTTCTCCGTCGACGTCAGGAGCTGGTCCACCAACGTGTCGCAGCCCTCGAGCGAGTCGTAAGAGTGGCCGTCGAACCGGTGCGAGCGGCCAGAAGGGAACCGGATGAAGTACGAGTTGATGTCCAACGCGTCCGTACTGGTGTCCTTCAGCGCCTTCCGCAGCTCGGCGCTCACCGGGTGCTGCTGCAGCACGTCGTGGAACTGGCACACCTCGCCATGCGTCGTGCCCGTGAACCTTGCCACCGCCACCACCGACACGTTCTGCTCCTCGATGTCGCCATGCTCGGCGCCTTCTTCATCTCCACGCTCATCCTCGCCGTAGTTCTGGTAGTTCTCCCACACCGTCGCCACCGTGTCGTACGCCTCTGCCACCGTGATGTCCAGGTCCGCAATGCTATCCACCGCAATGAACGGGTACACTGCCCCTAGCTGGCTCTGCAGCTGGCTCACGTAGCTGTAGCTGCCACACCTCACCGAGATCATGAACGTCTCCTGCACAATGTCCTCCGCCAGTCCTTCGTCCCGGTAATGCAGCGATTGTGCTCTCGCACAGCTCACCCGAAACACGACATCCACCTTCATTATCAGTAGTTATTTTGGTTTTATCTCTTCTCTTATCGCCCCGGCCCCCGTCTCCCTTCTGCTCCCTCCATCGTCCCTCTCGGTCCTGTCTTCTTCACCTTCACCGGCCTTCCTCCCTCCCTCCCCGGCTCCTCCCTGCTTCAATCTCCGCGCCACCTGTTTTTTTTTCCCTCTGCTTTTTGCACTTTTCTTTTCGCAGAGACAAAAGACTGGACAAGACCAGGGAGTCAAGAGGAGAAGAAGAAGCGTGTCCGTTGTTGCCAGTGTTCCGGTTCTTGTACAGCAGCAGAAGCAGCAGCATCATCACCGGCTCTTCGAGAAACACCCAGTATGCTTGCCCAGTCAGCCGCTAGGACCCTGCCCCAACCATTGCAACCGCTTCTGGCGTCCGTCTCCTGCTCTGGCCCAGCAGCAGCAGCAACAACTGCTGCAGCCGGCAGTCGCCGCCAGTTCGGGAACTTCATCCGGTCTGTACTCTGTCTCGACCCACCAGAGTCCCCAGACTACCCAACAGTGGAAAACAGGTTCCACCCGTGGGACTCGTCGCCGTGCCCGGACTTGCGGATGCGTGCGGCCACCATACGTGCCAAGGCAAAGTGTCCCGTCACACACAAGGACATCAACTTCACGTGCCCGCTGTCGGGGATCCCGACCCACCACTCGCTTGAGGCATGGGAGGAGGACACGCAGTACCACGAGAGCAAGAAGTACGAGATCTTGAAGAAGGTGAACATCTACGAGCACGACTTGAGGTCCGGCCGTCCCTTCCCCGAGTTCGACTTCCCTACGAACCAGAAGCGAGACAACCTCGTCAACTTGGCCAACTGGGACACGTACTTCTACACCCGTGGCTTCCTCTCCATGGACACGGAGTTCCAGCTCGCCGTGGTGACCAAGATGTTGAGTTTCCCAATGACCATCGCCTCTGTCTTCCACCAGTTCTCCCCCTACTTCCTGAAGCCCAAGGGGCCTCTCCATGTGGAGGGTCTCAAATCCCTCGCAGCCCTGCGTTACTCGCTTTACCCGCAGTACAGGCTCTCCACGTACAGAGACCGTCCAATCCGCCTGTTCCTCTTGAACGCCCGCTCGGAATCGCTCCTACCACCGCACGTGTGGAAGGAGCTCACATACCTCTTCCCCAGTGTGACATTCGAGCTCCATTTTGTCGGCCCACAGTCGTACTTCGATAGGGAGAAGAAGCAGTACCTCGTGAGCGACCGTCCGATCGTGAAGCGTGTTGACGACACCCTCTGCTTCGTCTACCACACCCACGACTTCAACGTCATGCACGAGGCGGGAGACTTCTTCCCATACGACCCATACTTAGACATGTTCATTGCATACCACCCTCAGTTCACCGAGCCTGACGTTGGAGAGATGTGGCACAAGACCATCAAGGGCCTTTTGGAGTCCAAGTGTCCTGTTTTCGTCACCGGCTTCCACGAGCAGAACTTGAGCAAGAACTTCGACTACCTGGTCGAGAACTTCAGCGACGACATGGACGTCATCTTCGACAACGAGAAGAACCTTTTCGGCTCAACCAAGTGGGAGCTCAACGACCTGAACCCCCAGGAGGTGTTCCAGTACAACCAACGTTTGTTCGGTATCAGAGGTAAGAGATATCATGCTGTCCATAAGAATTAGAGCTATGTGTACGCTTTTTGTCATTTGTAATTACCTTGTATATATTTGAGTAGCTAATACTTGCACACTTTCACTAATTTCTCTTCCGCCCACTTATGTAAGCACCCCATTGTCTCATAGGAAGAAGGCAAACTTGTTTCAGTGTGTTGTAATCTAGCTATTCTATTATGAATATCCATTGTATATGTTCACTTTTTCTTATGTTTGTTGCTTGTTAATATATAACTAATATAACTAGCCTACAAACTAATATTCTCAAACATAAATACAAGGGACAAACCTCTTGTATTTATACACTTACACCTTCGGTTAAACTTGCCATTATTCATTTATCATGGCGGCTAACTTTCCAGTTTTAGATTACTTAAGATGCCTTATCATGATAAGACTCTTATCTCTTATCACTCAATCCTTATTGGCCTCGGCATCTTATCTCAACCCTAAGATACCTTATCATGATAAGATTCTTATCTCTTATCCCTCGATCATGATTGGCTTTGGCATCTTATCTCAACACCCCACCATAATCTAAACACTTGTAGATATGTTCGACATTCCAGCTAGACCAACAAACTTATTGAATTTAATCTTGGCTAAACTTTTAGTCAACATATCAGCAACCATATTTCAGTGTTGATGAAACT